GCCAATCAATGGCTATGATGGGGCTGTCGCGGATTATTCTGTGTTTTTCGTCTCCAGGTTTTTCTTCATTCAGAAAAAAAAAGCAAAAAAAAACAAAGAATAAAACCCAGGAACAATGACCTATAACTTCGAGTGCGGAGGACGCTCTTTGTTGCATGATAAGTCTCCAATATGCCAGGGATGTAGAGTTGCATTTGCAACCACGGGTGACCGGCGGGTCTCAAATGAAGGTTGTTCCCGCCCAAACCCCCATTTTCGTACTATGACCACATGAAAGTAGGTGGATTCCAATGTGGAGCTCTCATCACCCCTAATTATACGTAGGCAATGGAAATTCAAAGCCAAGCCAACTAAGCTCTGATCTTGCAATGTACTGCGCTTTATGCGGATTCCAGCAGAAAACGATGATCCACATGACCTCGTGTACGAGTCGAGTAGGTTTGCCGAGACATCGGTGATCATACACGGGATTGGAGGAAGATGCAGAGGCTGAGATCTTTGACCTTCGACCATCAGCCAATAAGCCGCCCGTTCAAGCGAGATTCGCTCATCGTCCCACAATGTGGATCCTGACGGGCCAGAACGGCCCCCGAGGATTACTTTTTTGTTTTTCTTTTTGGGGCGCAACGCGGGAAAAGAGGCTTGACCCTCAAAGGACGTCGCAAGCAAGCCACCTATAATAGTTCGCATTATACCAACCTTCCACCGCATAAGCATCATCCGTTCACCACTGGTTGGTTCCTCCGATCAAAAACCTCAAATTAGAAATGCAAATCTATTCCATGATCGACGATCGCTTGAGCTATCAATCTAGGAAAACAAAACTGGGACCACCGCTTGAACGCTTGAATTGCCTGACATAACTGGTAGCATATCCGTGCTTGGCTCAACATTTCAACACGGCTTACACCCAACACCCAATGATAATAAAGCCAAAGGTCAGAATTGAATATTGTTATTCAGAAGATTTTGCATCGCCATGACGATACTCATCACCCACACCCAACACTTTCTACACGGACCAAGTCCGAACGACCCAATAACAAGCCAGATAATAGTCAGGATGAATTCGCGGAGGAACCCAGCTTTTCAGGCCTATGGACGATGCCCGCACAACTCATTGCTATCCTTCAAAAAAAATAAATTTAATCTTGTCCGAGGAAAAAGGCGATCATTGCGGTTCATGCACCCCGTACGGAGTATACCGCTGGTAAGGCTTCTGCTTATCCATACAGCCTCGTCGGCACCTTCCGATCGGACTCCCGAGCTGTCGGTTAAAAGAGCTTTGCAGTAGGTGAGCGCCTTACTCTAGATCGATTGTCTCCCATTTGCGCTATTTTTCGAAGCCAATTCCGTTCCGCGAATCAGCCGTGACATTTGATTCACTCCCGGTGAGGAAACTGGACTGGTAAAGAGTTAACGCCTTTGAGTATACTGTAACGCGTGGCGAGAGGGGAAAAGGAACTCTTGTGATCCCGGTCTTACCGATCTCTGCTAATATACAAGTCTAGGTGGAAGAGCGTTTTTGAGGAGCACTTTCAAGGGGCTCTGGAATACTTTCCACTGGTTCCAGATTCGGAATGATCTCAAGTGCTATTTCTTCTAGCTCTTACTAGTTGAACGTGCGCAGGAACGATTGGGTATAGTTCTTCTTGCTTTTGCGAAAGCCACGAATGTATTGCTCAAGCGTCCGGTTCCTCGTTCCAATTGTCGGAACTGCCTAATTAGGTCACTTCAATAGTGCGAATGGCGGAATCGACAATGTTGTTCTATCTCCGCGGTGCACTATTCTTCAAAGCAGTGTTCGCATTGGCCCGAACAAGGTTTATTGATCAGTCTACAGTTTTCTTGCGTCTCAATGTTGAGCTGAAGCCCCCAAGAACCCCGGGGCCAGCCCTGAAGGCTGTCGTAATACTCTACAGCTGGGCGCTCTGTAAGGTCGCAGAGGCGCCCTGCTAGAAGCCACTTCTCGGGCTCTCCGGTCCTTCTGGAAGCTGACGGGGCACGCGTGGAGAGGCCAGAATCGATTCGATCATGTTTCTAGGCCTTGTAGTATTGGATAATAATTGGCTAGAATACAATGATCCAGCCTAACAAGAGGGGACACATAAGCGATCGCTCCGCCAGATTCTCAATCAGGATCGGTGGCTGCATGGTTAGCGCACATCCTATTCGTGGCCTCGGGGTCCCGGCCAAGCGTGATGAGTTGTGCGTGACGAAGCTTTCCCTGGTTTCAGTGGAGAAATCTAATTCACTTGACCTCTCGCAAATGCATAACAAGAGTCAGAAAGTAGGAAGTAGTTAATGGCATTGAGAGCTCAGATTATACCTCGACTTGATCGACTCCGCACCCGTGGACTTTCGGACCGTCATTCCCACCCTACGTCCGAAGTGCGGGCCCTGAGTGTTGACCTAAGAACAGGGCAGCCAACAGCGATCTTGGAAACCTCAAAATTCAAATGACATAGACTTGCATATGCGGGGATCACCCGGTCAAATAAGGCACGACTGGAACTAGTCATCTATCTCTAGCCTTGAAAGTTGTTTCTCATCATGACGACCGAAGTATATCGCAGGGTCAATCTTGGAAGAGACATGGCCTCGTGCCGTGTGGCCAGTAGAAAATAGCATTGGGCCAAGCCAGATGTCCTTTTCCGGGAAAGAAAAGGTCAAAAGTTGTAGGTCAACTGTCATCGATATTTGGTTTGCCAGGTTAAAAGTCCAAGATTTATAAGATATTGCCTCACCACTTTTAGCCCGGGGATCCCGGCTCACGGGTCATGAAGCCAATAAGGATAGGTTTAGCATCGTCACAGCTGGTCAGAGTCGCGTAGGTTTTCATAAATCGCTGACAACATCAAATCAAAAGTCACAGCTCGAAAATGGACAAGTATAAGACCGAGGTGCAGCCCCGAAAGCGATTCAGCTTAGTTTGCACAGCCCAGGGATAGAGAAAACAGCTGAACATGGCCGGAGTTCGTTGTCTAGGTTCCGCAGACGGCATGAGACACCTGTGTCTTTTCCTCTCTTAAATGGAGCTAAGCCAAACATTCGCTTCTGCCAGTAGCAGAGATTGCTGGTCGGAAGAAGAAGAAGAAGCTGGAACCTGCGTTTTGTGAGCAAAATTCCTGCCGTATGGTGGAAAAGAAAACCAGGGGAGGGGAGAAAAAGACCTCTACGCTGATTGGAAGGTTGTTGACCCATGGATTTCGTCAAATACATTTTGAATCCAACAGAGATCTCCCGGAAAATTCCTCATACCTCAGAAGAGAAGGCACACTGTTTGTGACCAGGTGTCACGGTATGGCCGACGACTTGAGTGGCGTATTTGGCAACCGCGAAGCTACTTTGTAATGGAGCAGATGCCTGACTGGACTATGATTAAACGGAAAATGGAAATGTTGACAACCACTGACTCATGAACCGCGCGACATCCCTGAGGGAGCTCACTCGGCACCGTACAACATGGACCTTGGACACATCGTCTCGGGGACGCATTGTCCATTACTGTCATCTACCATTCAGGCACTCCTCCCTCTTCAAGGGATCTTCTCTGACAAATCAAGCCGTTCTGGCTCTTCATTCAAACAGGAAGATCCAAATGACAGGGATCGTTTCTAGCATTATCAAGTCCATGTTTGTCTCCATTCTATTTGCGCCTCAAAGAGAGGCTATTCTTCCAAGAAAGGTCTGGTCAACCTGAACTACGTTCAACATTTCCATGCTCAACATCTCTCTGCGAAAGCACTGGCTAACAAGTCCCATTGTCTAAAATCAGGCTTCCTCGCGCTGAAGTACCCCTCGATACCGGCGGCTGTGTGGCAAAAATATCTAGTCACCTACAATAGCCCGAGATCATCTATATCTATCACATCTCAGGCGCCCCGAACTATGTGCCTGATGCTCTCAAGCAGATACTCCCTTGCAGCCTCCACGATCAGCCTCGTTCATACCACCACCTCCTTGCCAAAATGGGAATCGAGAGCCTGTCGACCGAACTCGACTCAAATAGTGAATCTGCTCAGAATCAACGATGGTAGTAGGGATGACAGGACGTCGAAAATCAACTGTACGGGCGAAGGTTTGAAAGCCAGGCTGATTAGCGGATAGCGGATACATATCCCTACAACAAGAACAAAGCAGGGCCAAGCGAAGGCTGTACGTAAGTCATGACCTGGCGAGATCTTCGCCAAAAGACCGAATCTGAAGAGCTTTTTTTTTCGTCATTAAGCAGATCTTGGGATACTCTAGATGGCTCAGCCATACACACATCTTCGGAAACAACCATGCCGGAGGATGCATAGAAGCCTCCATCCATGGTAGGAGGTATCAGTGCGTCCAAGGAAGCTCCGCGGACAGCGCAAAAGACCATCTCGCAGCAGGACACTTTTTTGATAGCAATGAGGAGACGAAAATGACGAGGACGGAACACGACCACGAAAAGCGCATCAAAGATAAAGATAGCACATCACATTCTCTATTACCTAGAGCTAGCGATGCCCATGACTCCCAGAAACATCTAAACAAATTGCGTCTTGGAAGTAGAGACGAATTCGTCAAACAACCTTGCAATTTTACAATGTTGATACACGTCCCCAGTAGGAGTGAACTTACTTCAGCAAAATCATTGAATGACAGTCTACTTAAAACGCATGTGAACGAACACAAGCTAGTTCATTGACGATAACCGAATACCAGAACCGAATCCCATCCGTGTAGACCGATCCCAATGCATAAATGATGTGATAAAAGGTCCGTGACCCATGACCTGATCATACATGATGAAATGGAAGATAAATGCAGATAGCCCCCGACCAATGCAATGCTAAAAGAAAATCAACGCGTAAAACATAATGGATATCACATGCAACTCCGTTGCTCCGTAAAAATAAATAAGATAAGACAGATTGCAATCACAGCCAAGAAACGACATTCGAGAAATCGACTGGACAGACAGTCTGAAAGAGAATTTTGGGTTGCAAAAAGACTGGGGGTGGCCTTTACGCAGTGAACACACGGTCCAGCTGGCGCAAAGCCCTCATGTCTTCACCTCCAAATCCAATCTTCTCATTAGGAATATCTCGGGGGCCTTCACCCATCGCACCAGGGCGAGCGGGGTTGGGGCTGCCCGGGCCTGTGGGAGGGCCGGTTGAGGAGATTGGGGCCAGAGATGCACTAGCCATGAGGGTTCCAATGCTAGGAACGGTACCTGGGGGACCAGCCGGTTCTGCGGGCTTGGGGGGAGTGCCGATGGGACCGAGTTGTTGCTTCAGCATGTGCGGGCTTTGCGCGATACCGTTGGGCTGTGGGGCGCCAGGTGCGTGAGCAACGCGGGGGGAAGCGAGACGGGGATCGGCCATGGGCTGCCCGTAGCCTCGGGGGCTTCCTTGTTGGAGAGGCTCATGCATTGTGCGAGGTGATCGACCGGGGTAGCCTGGTGGGGGACCCGGAGGAAGGGTTGATTCGGGATGAGGTGGACGATCGTACATAGGTGCACCGTGGGGAGGCGGGGGGAGGGCATGGCCGTGAGCTGGGTGAGGGGGCGCCTGATGCGGGTGGCCATATGGCGGGGGACCATTGGCGCCAGGGACAAGTTGAGGGTAGCCCGGGCCGTAATGAACAGACACTGTTGGTGGTGTGGCCAAAGGTGTTGGAGGCCATGCGTACGAGGGTTGTTGATATGAAGGCGCGTGGGTTGCACGCGGATACGGGCCGATGGGGTGAGGAGTGATGGGGTAAGCAGCACCAGGCATGGGTCCACGAGTTACCACCGGGAGGTTCTGCTGATCATTGACTGTTGACTCCGGATACAGACCCTTCTGGGGTCGAACATGACGGAGTGCGGGATCTGTAGTTGGTTGTTGGAGAGACATGGCAGATGAATGAGCGCGAGCGTAGTAGCTGATCAGATGAAGGTGCTGGCCAGTGGAGGTTGTGATACTGAATGACTGTTTCATCAATCCATCGGGCTTGTACCGGTATCCATCAGGGCCCTCATCAGTGCCGTCACCTCGCTCCTCGTCGCTCCCTCTGCTGTCCGGCGTCTTGCCCGTTCTGGGCATGGAGCCTTGTGAGACGCTGCCACCACCCCGCTTGCCTTCCATCTCTCGATATGTCAGAAAGCTACCGGACACTCGACTGGCGCTCCATGATTTGCCGTCCGTCCATCGGCGCATGCCCGCTTCTCGCTCATCCCAGACGAACACTGATCCCGATCTAATTGACTGCCGTTCCTTCTCAGAAAGACGCCTTTGTACTCGTGGCAAAAGACCAATGCGACAGGCCTCAAACAAAATGATGGCGTCCGCTGGCGTGCGGACGTGTCCGTAGTAAGTCTCCATCCAGCCTCTTAAATCAACCGACGACCCAGATGGGTTAGAAACTTTAACGGCCAGGGTGATTTGACTCTTATTGAAGTGATGATAGCGAGTAGACGACAAGACGCGACGATCAAGTTTAAATTGATCTCTCACTATTATCTTCTCGATGTGGAGCAAACAGATCCGATGTGTTTAAACTTCTCTGGATCCTTTTCTTTAAATTTCCCCGATCCGGAGTGAAGAGGGTGGGGGGAGGGAAAGAGTAAGAGTAAGAGTAAAGTTCCAGTGGAGAGGAGCGGCCCAGCATATAAGAACAACCAGGATCCGAGTCAGTGATGATCGGGTATGGGGTAGGCTGAGTAGTGGATAAAGACCGGCGTTCTAGGTGTGGGTATAGGCCGAGCTTTTTTACGTCACCTAACAGGGTTAGTGGGTTTGTAATTTGGTAAGTCGTTTTTTCTTTTTTAATCTGATTTTTCTTTGAATTCAGACGCCAAAAAGGGAAACCAGACTGCAGAGATTGGGTGTGGGGCAGTGGGTAGGGAAGAGTACAGAATGCCGACAGGAACACAAGGGGGAACGAAAAAAAAGGCTCAAAGAAACGGAGTGGGGGTAGACTCACTTTGGACCCCACAAGGTTTGGAAGGAGTGGGCTTAGGCCCCTCTATAGTTGTCTCAGAGTGAATAGTTTGGAAAAATGAGAAGAGAGAATCTAGGGAAGAAGTCAAAAAGTGGGAAGCCTCATATAAGGGATATATGAAACAGGGGATTGTCCTTGTTAAAAGGGGAACAATGAGGAATCATTAAAAGAAGGTTAAAAATAAGGGAACCGGACAGGTCAGAGACCCAGAAAACGCAACGCCGAGACTTCCATACAGATTACAGGTAATTATTACTATCAACCCAGACTTGATGGAACCAAGAAAAAAAAAAAAAAATAGAAACTAAATTCAAAAATGCAAAATGCAAAATACAAAATTCAAAATTCGGGAAAAAATCCATTTCCGTGTAATACGATAGCCTGGGAAACAGAGTTAAGTGGAGACAGGCAACTAAGGTTGAAAGATGGAGCAAATGACGATCCAAGATGTGATAGGCACAGAGGGGGGAAAGGAAAAAAAAAAAGGGAAAACAAGGAAAAGGGAATTCATAAGTGATTTGAAATCGACGGGCGCTTTATCGACATTTCTCATGCATGGGAACCTTGGTTAATAAGAGATTTTAAAATGATCACAAAAGGTAATGTTTAGTTGTGGCTGGTGTGGCACATGGTTGACCATTGTACATGCTTTGTGACATTACGGAGTACGGAGTATAAAGACAATCAAAGAATAGGGATATCATGCAGCCTAAACTATACGTAAGACCTTAGCCCTCGCTAGCACTTTTAGTATGTAAATTTGGTTTGATCTAGCGGTTACAATCATGTCAGGCTCATGAAGCGATAGGGGGCCGTGGCCCCCCGACAGATTTTAAAAAAAGGCCCTTTTTTTCTAATGACCATAGAGAACAAGTGTTCTGATTCGTCATTCCAATACTGTTCTTGGAAGCTCTTGGAAGGGCCTTGGCTAAGCTTACGGTGGCTTGACAAGGATGGATTGAGTGGGGGGCAAAGACCCAGTAAGGTTAATTCTGAGCCTTGGCTTCACCCCTTCGCAAGGCAGCCCCATTCCAGGTGTGATGAGCACAAGTCATAAAAATGATTTAATTTAAAGTTAAAATCCTAATCCTGATCATAAATACAAGGGAAAGGGAAATTAGAAGGGAAAGCAAAAAAAAAAAAAAAATCCAAAAACAAATTTAGGATAAATAATAAAGGAAGAAGTAATGAATTTAGATTTGAAGAAAATGTGACTGGCCAGTCAGTCATGTACGTACGACAGAGACATGATCTGTGTCAGATGCATTCTTAAGGTGGCGCTCTGATCGCAAAGGGAGGGAAAAAAAGGTGGTTAGTGCGCGCTCATTGAAGCTTAAGCTTAATCCGACACGAGGCCGCTGAACTTTATGCTCGCTTAGAGAGACCGCATCCACTCCGGTCCATTTTCAGCTTCTGGTTTCTCGCTGATGCTTGGCATATGGGACTAGCCCTGGTTAGGCAATACTGGCTTTCTTCTATATTGCTTTAAAATTATGCATTTTCTGCTGGTGGGGCGATACCCTTCACCTTTATTTTGCTGTGAATCCGGCTTTCGTTGGGTCCGGATCTTGGCATTACACGGAGCTCGGACTTTAATTTTTGAGGAACACCGACCTCGTCACCATGGTTTGAATGCCTCGGAGAAGAGCGAGATTGGAAGACTCGTCAAGGCACGAATCAGGGTGACAAGAATGAGGCAAATAAAGACCGAACCCACTTGCCTATTGGCATTTAGCACGGACGCGACCAAGGAAACCATCTTGATTGTCCCCCACCGATTCCAGATTAATGTAACTAATGCAAGTTGTGCGGGTGTATCGGCATCAGCATCAGCCTCCTGGAACTTAAACAGCCAGAAATACACTTTACCTAAAAAAGTATATCGGGATTCGGGGAGATGGTAAAATATTAAAATTGGGAAAAAGAAAAAGCCACAGTGGCCACTAGCATCTCGTGACTCGTACTCGTATCAACGTGACGCGGCCGCGGTTTGGACTTTTAACTACTGAGTAAAAAGCTGGAGCAAGTAAATACATCTGAACACGAGACTGAATTGTGAATTGTCACGTCTTGTTGAGATGTTATTTTTCTTTTGCATAAAACTATCCAGGTCGGAATACTTTGACTTCCGGGTGAAGTACGAAACAAAGATGCCACGTAATGGATCTTCGTGCATTGGTACTTTCTCCGCGAACGATCATCACATCGGCAATAATAATGGCTCGTGGAGACGGCTAGTCGAGAAGCTAACGGGCTTGGGAAGTACACACGACTTAACTTTGTTTCGCACGTAATCTCAATCCCGAAGTCGAGACCTCGTAGCGACTTGCAAGGATTGAAATGATAAGGTTAATGTAATGATAATCAGTTCGTGTTGGTTTTTTGGATTTTTGGATTATTGAATTTTTGTTTTTGTTTTATCCGCGATCTTCCATGGAATCCACCAAGCCCTATCGACCACCTTGCATGTGGCTAAGCTTGATACATAATAACCCTGGGAAGGGAAGAAAGAAAGAGTCATCCGGAACCAATAGTGGAGTCGGATAGCCGAAGCGCCCAGGCACACTTACGAAGCGCTAGGCTGTCAGCGGAAGCCCAATTTAGGCTCTAAATTAATTCTGGTTGAATTAAGAAAAAAAGGAAAAAAGAGCTCGCCTGGTGCTTCCGGGATGAGCTTGCGCACGGGCCGGTCCTGGAGGTCCAGTTAAAGCGTATCGCCAACGGAGCCCGGTTGCACAACTGCCACATTTCACTATAATAGGCTTCGGAGGCTGAACGAGCCGAGCAGCTGATTCTGTTTGATCCATGTGAGGTTCGCACGCCTTTTCCCATCACGAAAGGTCTTTATTATAGAGGTCAATGTGTTCAAATTCGTCCACCGAAGATAAGCTCGATCGCATCCTAGGGCGTCTCTGTCAAACCGTTCGGCCATGGCCTGCATTAGATGTCTCACATGGCGCTGTCTGCAATTTGACATCACCGTGGTGATTTGGACTTCCATCGACCTGGTGGGTGGGAGGTGATGTCGCACTACTTATCTGAGTCTGTGAAATTGAATAGATCCTGTAGATATGGAATGTAAATAGGACGAGGCATATGCAGCCGAGATTATCATAAATTAATGAATCCAGTGCAAAACAATGAAAAACTGTAATAAATTAGTACATATACGGTACACGGGAAAACCGCTAATTAAACATAACCTTTTATCGGCTGTTCAGGGTCCAAGCCGATCCGATCGAGTTCATACTCCGGAACAACGAAATCAATTCAGCATATTCTTTTCAAAACAAAAAAAAAGGCATGTATTAGTACTGATTACGATTGTATGCTATATCATACCCTAAAAGGACCACATGTTACACCCTTACTTGATGTACCATGTGCGAGATCTGTCGAGCTCTGTGCGCAGGCCCCTTGATCGTCCGAATTCCGCTCCATACATCCGTCCTTCCCGCGCCTTTTACTGCATCAGGATAGTATGTCGCATGTATGGATTAATATTGGGGCCCGAGGTTCTACCGCGAGGCTGGGAGCTGACAATCTAAATACTCTACCAACGTAAGCTACCGAATCAGGTTATTGGGAAACCAGGTTCAAGCATTAAAAAAAGAACTGGAAATCGAAAAAAAATTCATTCGGGGTTCTCAGCTCTATCCGATTATCCGAGAAAAACAACTCCTTTCCAAGTGGGTCGGCTCCACTGCTCGCTAAGCATATCGCTCACAACCGCTGATTAAGGCCCTTGCGGGCCAACCCGACAAGTTTGCCGACCGTGGTTCATGAGGCTTTTGCATTTCTGATTACGGATCACCAGTGGATTCCATATGGCTTTTTCCTATTATAGGGCGCGTACGTGCAGCAATATCGGTAACTGCAATACCGAACTAGGGTATGGACTAGGTCAAGTCTTAATTTTTTTCTTGTTTTGGGTATGTGATATGCAGGCGACACAGAATGCGATATATTGCTACCCACTTCCAAGGTAAGCCCTTCTTTTCTAGTCCGTGTCGTTTCCAAGGTGTATTACGAGGCTGTTTTGGTGAGATTACTTTGATAATCTCCGACTCGTGGATCATCTTGCTGGCCTTGGTCAGGATGTAATTGCGATTGCCTAAAAAGCGGATGATCTTACTGTATTTTATTTGGACGATGACGTGCCCTTGCATGGGTCCGCACCCTAGAGCATTACTCAAGATCAACTTTACTTAAGATATGGTTGCGACGGGTACTGTATTGTCACGCATGGTTGCAACCCTGGAAATAAAGGTTGCCAAGGTTTGATTCCGTGAAACGTCGCACGAGCTTATCTCCACTAACATAATTAAGGTCCATGATTTGGACCTGGATGAATGAGGAATGTGCTGGATCATGTCCTCGTCTTTTTTCCTTTGCACAGAGTCCATTTGGTCTATTAGTTAGTAAGAAATAAAAAAGTGTAACCCAGGACGGAGTAACAACCTCTCCTTCCTTTTTTTTTTTTTTTTTTTTCAGCTCTTAGTCAACTCCTATGTGGTTTGAGTTAGGAAGATCACCGTGTGATGGACGTTTATTTCCAATAAGGTCCAAGCCTGGTCGCCTCGCTACTCAGTATTGGCTTGAATGCACCTGGTTGCCTTCCAGGTGATGATAAAACCGGAAATTGCTTAACTGAACCCCTTCTTTCTCCTGCCCTTTCCCTTTCGAAGATCAAGGCACCACCAATACCTCTATCAATTAGGTTGTCCCCTCCCCCCTTTGCCAAGTTCAGAAAAAGGGTCAACGCCCCCCCTCTAGACCCTCCCACACTTGGGGTGGCAACTGTCATCCGCGAGCCTTAAAGTCCTTTTTACTCATGAGAACCATGGGAAGAAAGGGAAAGTGGAGGAAAGCTTCTCGTTTAGTCTCTAGTCTCACACTTAAATCGTTTCTCAACCATAAAATGCCCAAACGGGCGCTATGAGCCGACCGGTGTCTTACACATGAATCAAACATAAACCATGTGGCGCACGGTTTCTTTTTTTGACTTTATGTGTCGGGGAGTTTATTCAACCGAATACGAAGAGATTACGACTGAGACTACGCTATACAGACAAAGCATTACGTAGAAAATATTTGGGAGGAAATACTAATAGCGCATGGTCGACAATGTGATACGTCAGGGATAGTCCCGGTGCATGACTCGTTTTGCTCCCAAGCGGACGAAGCCCGAACATCTTCTGCTTATGCTTAACCCTGGTAAGGTTGGGTCCCCTTGGTCCGCCGATCCTGGCCGCCTGATTGGCATGGGGGTTGATGCTCTGGGAAAGTCTATTAAATTAGGGAAGATGCACCCTGTTTTTGTTCCATTTTTTCCGTTTCCTATTTTTAATTCCCTTCTTGGCGCTCTATGGCATTCCCATCCCGTGAGGCTGTAAGCCCGTAATGTACAGCCACGCATAAATGTTTATTTCCTTCTCACGATACAATTTCTACTTTGGGATTAGAGTATCCGAGGTGCGTATCATAAATAACCAAGTACGAAGAATTACACAAACTGGAGCCTAATCAATGCCGAGACCAACCGGACAAATCCACGCCTACTTTCCAAGCGGTTAACCCGGCCACAATGCCTCGGCATCTGTAAGCGAGCTCCGCAATGAACCAAACAATGATCTCGGATTCAAGTCTTACACAATGGATTTAAGGGGGAACAAGGAATACTTATATCCGAAATTAACGGGACCCACGGACCACGTTTTATGCTGACGGAGTACTCCGCGACCTTCATTTGCTCGCATCCGTCCCAAAGAATACAGTAGCAATCTACTGTGGCGCCCCGGTTTTTAATGTTTGGCTGCGGGCGTCTACTACGCTAGATTGCTTGGCCTTGCTTGGAACCGGTCCGAGTGTCCGAGTGTCCGTGGGCCAGAATCCTTAATACAGGCAGATTTGGGGGCCAAAACTTATGCCCCATCGCGGAGTAGGTCACTTGTGGTAAGTCTTGCGCAACTAAGGCGTACAAGTCGTACAGTAGTGTCATACCTAAAGTACGGATTCGAGAGAAATGAGATTAGCACGTGGTCAAAGAGCGAGACTCAAGATACATGGCGACGGGAGTATATCCAGTCACAGTGCGCTATTCATCTACTTATGTAGCTAAGATAGCAAGCGCGCAATTAGTATTCCGCACATATCCGGAACAATCTAAAGTCGTGTCTAGCCCTGTCTATCACGATCCCAACATTCTCCCTTCGCCCCTAGCAAGGAAATCGCTGGTTGGTTCACTCGCATATATCCCTCGATCTTACCAGTAGCTTCATTCAACTTGTTTCAAGAGTGTGGATTACTACCTGTATCGTGTATCTAGTGCACTAGTCCCACTGTTCCCGTCTACGATCTTTCCGATTGTGGCCCCAAGGTGCTGACATCCCTGTCTCGCCCCCAATCGATTTAGTCTTGAACTTATTCCTTCGCTGTCCGAAGATTCTTTCGCCCCAGCCCCCGGGTTCATCCGGGGGTGGTTTTAGCTTTGGAGCTTTGGTAAATCAAGTCCAGGGCTTAGTTGTTCCCTGTGGGGGGCCAAGGGGCCTGACACTCAGATTCCAATGTGGATGCATGTTGATCGGAAAGGCTGAAACGTGATCTATTGTTAGGTATGGCATTGTAGATGTGATGTTGTCTAAAAGGTCCCTGGGGCCTGTAGATCAGAAAATGGCGGGGCTTGAATGTAATGAGTTGCAAGTTAGAGCATTTCAACATTGTGGTTTCTCTCTATAGTACATTGTTTTAGAAATAGTATACATAGCCCAGCACTGACGGGTTTGGTTAGCAATCAGCCCGGCCAAAGTACCGTGGAAATGCCACAACATCTCGGACGCTAGACACTCCGGATAAGTAGCCCAGGAACCGATCAAAGCCAAGGCCAAACCCTCCATGTGGTACTGAGCCCCATCTTCGAAGGTCGGCATACCATTGAAGATGACTGAGGTCCTCAGTCGGAGAGAGGTGAGGGTAAAGTGGCTCCGTGGGCACATCCTCGGGTTCAAAAGCTCGGGGCTTGATTAGGCCATGTTCGCGCATGTTCTTGATAAGGTCGGGCAGGCGGTGCTCACGAAGAGAGCCACCGGCGACCTCGGCGACCTCTGGGAACAGCAAATCGAAACACGCCACAGTTTCGCTCGAGGTGCTACTCTGCTCCGCATTGCCATCACCAACATGCGAAGGAGCCATATAGAATGGCTTGACAGCCTTGGGATAGTCTGTGACAAAGACCGGAGTGCCTTGGAACAAAACCTCCACAATATACTTTTCATGTTCGAGCTGTAGGCCTCCATCCCAGGTTGGAGGGTATTCGAACGAGGCACCGTCTTCAGCCACTGCTCGCTGGAGCATTTCTATGGCTTTGGCATATGTAACACGGTGCCATGTAGGGCCGTCCATCAAAGTGGACCATCTTTGACGTAGACTCGCCTCTGCTTCTGGATCGGGCTTTTTCCCATCCGGAGATCGGTTGAAGGATAAAACATCTTGACCTGCAGTGGTATCGTACAGCCTGCGTGTCAAATCACGAAGCAGGAATTCCACCTGGCCGGTGAGCGCATCCAAATCCGACATGAAGTTGGCTTCCGCCTCTAGCATATAAAACTCACTCAAATGACGCGGCGTATCACTCTTTTCTGCCCGGAACACAGGGGTCAGTGTCCAGACGTTCCCAAGTTCTGCGGCATAGGCTTCGAGATGTAGTTGAGACGACACTGTGAGATATTTGGGTGACCGAAAGAAGTGATCAGTCTCGGTATCGGCGGTGGCACCACGGGGAAGCAAGGTAAATGTTTCGCCTGCCCCTTCGCAGTCAGAGGATGTTATTATCGGGGGTTGCACTTGCGCAAAGCCTCCATTGGGGTAGGAATGGAAGACGTTGCCCAGCTGGAATAGACATTCGGAACGGAACCGGGCAAACACCGAGTTTAGAGGCGTTCGCAAGCGCAGATGAGGAATCTGGCGCAAGAAATCGGGACTTTGGTATTTCGGTTGGATGGGATATGTCTGCGATTGAGATTGGAACTATCAGTCTGTGGATTCTTCCTGGAGCTGCGCAAAGAAAGCTGCCAACCTCTGGATCCATTTCGCCGGCAATTTCCACGCTAGTCACTTCCAGCTCATGGGTCTGCGTTTTGCCTGGTGGGGAAGCCTTCCATATTCCGGTCATTGTAACTGCAGAGCCTGTAGATAGACTAGAGAGCATCGCGAATTAAATTTGACTGAACACAACCTTGGTCATAGGCAAGAAAGCTTACTCGGCTGCTAGTTCTGGCTTCATCAGTGCCTGTACTAACTCAACGGTAGAGCCATCCGAGACGCCGGCAAAAGCGATCTTCTTCTGTTTGCGAAGAGAACGAATAAACCCATTCACCTTGATCTCCTGGTCTTCCAAGCTGCAGGGCGCACCTTTCCCCGATTGGAGAATTTGAGCACATCGCAGTACTCGAGATTTAGCCGTCGGATTCTGATTGAGTCTGGCGACAGACGTGGCGAAGGCTCGTCGCCATTGCATGGCTGTATTGAGGCGCGTTGCGGTTGGTGGTCGGAGGTTGCGCGCGGAATGGAAAAACTGGGGAGCTGCCGCCTCCGATCGGCTCCCATCCATACATATGGACTGCTTTCTGATAATGTTGAATCCAAAGCGAATTTGATCTCATTTTGAATAAAGACAGTCTTTAGTTGAGAAGCCTTATACCTAGTACTACGTATTCTGCTTTATTTAATGTGCAGTGTAAATCAACATTGGCTCGTGAACTCAGTTGCCCAGGTGTATCCACCTGGGCAGCATATATATTTGGTCGGACTGCCCAGATAGCAAGCCTTTTCTGTGATTGCAGGACAGATCCATTGGAATAATCGGGAACAGGACAGCCCAGGTGGAGAACTACCTATATAACTTTCAAGTAATAAATTGGATTGGACATTGAATCTTCATTGAAAAGCAATCTTAATTCAGTGAGATCGACTGAGTAACTTCAAATTGACGAACCACAAGCCTTGAAGGAGGGGAATTGGTTGAACATGAAAATAAAAAATAAATCCGGAAAATAAAGAATGATTGGAAGAATCGAAACCAGACCTAAGCCTTGGAAAAGCAACTCATAGATGAATATTACTCCTGACCCTGGTGTGCATAAGCTTTCCGCTCCTCTTCAATCATCTCAATGGCATCAAAGAGATTGCCGTTGGATGCGGCAGCATAGATGGCCATCCGAGCCCGACCACCATCCTCAACACTCCCATATCCCATGTCGATAAGAGAAGAGACACAGTCTTCAATCCACGCATCTTGCTTGTCATTGGCACTCGCCTCGAACGGAGTGAATTGGGGGACCTCTTCAACAGGGAAGCTCCCGGGAATACTGTGCTGGGAAGAGGGTCGGGACCGCTCGCGTTCCCTTCTGTCCAGTCGCGCCCACGTGTCTAAATCACTGACGGGACGGGCAGTTGTGCGAAGCGGTTGGCGCTCACTGGCCCGACGTCGCAGACCCGAGGTACCGGTAGCTTCATCAAGAACACGCGGTTTGGAAGTGCCCTGCCTCAGCGGGTTAATCGTTGTAGTGCTTGCACGACGAAGACCAGGACCGGCGTGTCCACGATTGCCTCGACCATGAGCATGGGAAACGGTATGAGACCGGTGAGGAAGATCTTCTGTGAATGCAGGAACGGTATCATGATTATTGGCAGTTGGGTTCATGGGAGCAGGTCCAGGCGCCAGGCGCTGGCGCTGGGTTGCCAAATGTTGAGCTTCCAATTGGGAAACAGGTGGGAACCGACTAATCTCTACCTCCGGATTCAAGTTGAAAGAATTGTTGTGTTCATCCTGAGAATTGGCCTGCTGCCGAGGTTCCTTCAGTATGGATGGTTGCTGAGCTCGTGGAGCAGAGGCAGGCTCGTCAGTAGAGAAATCGATCAGTGGAGACGACACTGCTGCCTCTACCGACGAGGTGGCAGTCTTATCTGCATTTTGAGACTGAAGTGCAACAGTCTCCTTGGTGGACTGATTCGACACCTGGAAAGTGACAGATTTTCGGCGCTTAATTGGTACACTCTGCTCCTGCTCTACCTCAGAGGAGACAGGGATGTTTGAACCTGATCTAAGTTGAGAGGATTGCTGACTGGGAGTATTATCCACACCTTGAATGGGCAAAGCGTCACTGAATTCCAGGTTGATCGCGTGGCCATCAATGTGCGTACCCTGCAAGGCATCCATGGCGGCCATGGCAGGGTGAATCGAAGGGAAATGAAGATATCCGAAGCCTGCATGTTTGCCTGATACGGCATCCAATGGAAGGTCAACTGTGATAAGGAACCCCTTAGAGGCAAAGACATCTTGGATAGTTCTTTCAGTCACGTTGAACCCAACATTGCCAATGAACAAGGTCCTATTCCCAGACTCTCCTGTTTGAGTTCCCATCGAACTCAAAGGAAGATCTACTGAGGGTACTGGTAGAGGCCCAGGTCGGTGATTTGGGGGGATGCCGTTCATCCTCGGCGCCCAAGGAAAAGTTGCACCTAGGTCAGAGTGCCGGGTTTTGGGGGGAGGGGGAGGGGGAGAATGAGCGTGGTGGCCACCAGAGCGAGGTTGCGAAAATTGGTAAGGCACGAACGTAGAACAATAGGGTGGGGGATAATAGGTCGGAGTATATTCCCCAGTTCGTGGTAGAGAGTATGAAGGGTGTGATACAGAAGGAGGACCGTAATGGTGAGAAGAAGTTGAAGGTGAAGGTTGAGGGTAGATAGGCAGAGATGCATCAGCAGTTCCTGCATCGGAAGCCGTAGCATGACTGCTGGATGCAAGTTCTGCCATTGATGCGAGATCATATCCCATAGTCGGTTTCTCATCGGATTTAGCATCCGCGGGATGCGGCTCAGTGATCTGAGGATTAGTCGACGTGGAAGGCATATTGCTTGCACCATTGGCGGCAGAAGTAGAGGGAGTATTCGATCCATCAGATGGGTCATTCATCCCCCGCGGTGCGACTCGTCCGAATTCATGCTCAAAGGCTGCAAATAAAGTTCGACCAACTTCGTTGAACTCAGAAGCCATCATTCGAAAGCCCTCAGCGGCGTTTTCAGCCACAGGCCGCCCTGCATGAATGGCTTCTTCTGCCCATTGTCTGCCATTATCCGCCCACTGTCTTCCGTTATCCGGTATGTTATTGAATGCAGCTCTCACGTGGACTTCAAGTGTAGTGAGCAGAGCTTGCAGTGATGCGCCGATGTTTTCCGGCAGATGCCGCTGGGCATCACGAACTTGACGCTGCAAATCTGGCAGTCTTGTTCTTAGTTCAGATTGAACCAAATTGGCTCCATTAGCCAAGTGGTGCAGGATTTGTGCCGCAAGAGCCTCGGCAACCTGAGGCATTCTTTGGGCGCTGCTATTTGTTAAGGACTCATGGGCAGGCGATGGTTCGATTTGAGGTACTCTCTCCGCAGGCTCATCTGATGAGCCAAGAATACTGGCCAGTTCAGCCTCAAATGCTGCGAGTAAAGGTCGAGAGTCATCACCGGGGGCAGTAGTGGCGCTGAGGTGATCCAAAGTGGGTTCCTCGCGAGCAGAAGTATTCGCTGTAGGCTCAGCCATCACCGGTGCATCATTCTTCGTTTCAGAGAGCTGAGGATCCGGGGACGATTGATTCTCAAATCGCTTCCATAGCTCAGTCACCGAGTTTGACCGACGGATATCAAATATGTGCATCGGCTCTGCTTCATCTTGGGAGACCTGAATAGGCGCATGTCGAGACCTAATCTCCAGGGGCTCATCTAGACGCTGGGCAAGTTCGAGAGAAGACCCAACCTATAGAAGCAGAATTAGCGACATGATTCAAAGGAAACTTTTGGTGTGGAGCCTACAGTAATCTGATCGCCATCATCGTCATCCAGGTAAGTTAGCCTCGCGCGGGGATGATTTGAGGCGAGGTCATCATAATCAGAAGCCGAGATCTGAACTTCTCGAATAGCAGAGGGCCCAACTGGATTGGAAGATGGGGACCCTTGCTGATCTTTGATCTGGAAGGGCTTCATCATCATGAAAAGGTGTGATCTAGCTCACGCGAGAGTGGGGAAGTAACACGGGAAGGATAGCCACGGGATATCACTTGGGGCAAGATGCTTCGTTCATGGAAACCCGCAATTTTAGAGGGGGATTTGGATAGATGTCATGGAATAAATTGATTGCTGCTGCCTATGACAGCTAGATTAATCCTTTGAGGGGGGGCAAATGTTGATGCAAGGATGGGATTCAGGATGATTTCACTCTTGTACATCAGCAGGCAACAGCGGATAAGATAACTAAAAGCTTTCCCCACCTGACCTGCGCTGACTCAGCGCTTGATTTCCGATTCTGTTAGAATCCAACTGGGACTTGTTCTGTTCTTTGGCGAGGTTTTCCTCCTAGGTTTGACTAATGTTGGCCCGACTTAGTTGCCCCCAATTCTGTCCCAAAGAATCCTGGCTGGCACGGTGATGTCAATGGCCGGTCCACTGAACACGCTCCTTGAACCCTAGCTACCGCGCGACATTCGTTAGAACACCTTTCCGCGAACCCTCCCATCAATGTCGACAAGTACTCCCGCTTCGCGACTACAAAGTCCGGGCGACCGCAATCTCAAAAATGTCGTGCTAGGAGACCTCCTATTCAAGCCATGGTACCAGTCCATCTACCCCGAAGACTTGGTCGCGAAAGATGCCGATCGCCTCTATGTTTGTCGCTGGTGCTTTCGATATTCCTGTGACAGCGAAACTTTCGCAGCCCATGCACAAGTCTGTGAGCATCGCACAACACCACCTGGCACAAAAGTATATGACCACGGGGGATATGCGGTTTGGGAGGTAGATGGGGAGCAACATAAGCTCTTTGGACAGAACCTGTCACTATTCGCAAAGCTATTCCTCGACCACAAAACTGTATTTTTCGATGTCGCGACATTTCTCTACTATATCTTGACATTCACCGACCCCGAAAATGCAGAGAACTACCATGTACTCGGTTTCTACTCCCAAGAAAAGCTCTCCTGGGACGCAAACAATCTTGCCTGCATTTGCGTCTTTCCACCATATCAACACAGACAGCTGGGGAAGCTTTTGATGGGAGTGAGCTATAAGCTGAGCGGCTGGGACTCACCCGGTGGATATATCGGTGGTCCCGAAAAACCACTGAGTGATTTGGGCCAAAAGAGCTACAATCGTTTCTGGGCTGAGCGAATCGCAAGATATATACTGCGCGACAAGCAAGGAGAAGATGCTGCCCAGATAACCTCCCACAAACCAAGCTCTCCTTCAAAACGCAAGAAACCTCAGCGCGAAACTCTAACCGTGGAAGAGATCGGTCTCGCCACTGGAATGTTGACAGAAGATGTTATTACTGCTGTCAAGAGTATGGGGGTTGCTCAACCCGAGAAGAAGCGCAAAATGAGTCGGCTTATGGGAGAGAATGAAGCTGAACAGGGCCCTAAGATGTTGATTCGTAAGTCGGATGTCTGGAGTTGGGCCAAGACCCACCATCTTTCACTGGAAGATCCTGTGAGGGAAGAAGGCTTCGTCAGGAGATTGCAATCTCGACATACACCAGGGGACGACGAGAGCAGCGTGGATGACTGACTTGACCTATGGACGCAGTCTTGTACCAATATTTGACTTAATACTGTTTTATGATAATGATAATTACTCCAATGAGGAACAACGATACTACTATGTATTATACGTGGAATAACCGTAGCTCGGATTTTATTCATACCTAGTCTTCCAAAGCTTGGGAAGCTCTACCTGTACAAATAATTATGAGGCTGATATCTTGCAATTCTTGTGTGCATTCTTTTTTTTATTTTTGCTAGTAGACTGTACTTTTCAAGCATTAAGCCCTAGCTCCATCGAAATCTTTACATGAGTTGCCGGGCATTGTCAATCAATGGTACATTACTCCTCCTGAGGGCCAGGTCCACTGGGCTTGCTCATTTGTCGGGCCTTCAACAACTCGTCACAGAGAAGGAGGTTGGCAGCAATGCCAGTGCTGGAGGCGACACAGTTTCGCAGAACTCGGTAAGAGTCAAAGACACCCTGCTGCACAGGGTCCATCGGCTCACCAGTGTTCAAGTCTAGGCCAACAATGTTACCATCATCACACTCTCCCTGCAGAGCGGCCAGAGAATCCTGGATATCATGACCAGAGTTGGCAGCCAGAGTCTTGGGAATGATCAGGAGAGCATCGGCGAAGGCATCAACACCATACTTGGCCTTGCCCTTAACTGTCTTCCGGAAGGCATCGGACTTGAGGTGAGTGGCGCAGGCAACCTGGAAGGCACCAGCACCGGGGATAACACAACCGTCAACAATGGTGTTGTAGACAGAGCGCAGGCCGTCACGAACAGCATCCTTGACCTGAGCGATGGTGTGTGGGTTGGGACCCTTGATGAGAATGGTCACGGACTTAGGGTCCTTGACCTCCTCAACAAAAGTGTACTTCTCCTCGCCGAGCTGGTGCTCGTAGACTAGACCGGCCCAGCCGAGGACATCGGGAGTCATGTCCTCCACGCTGTTCTGGGCAATACCACCGCAAACCAGCTGCAGACGCTCCATGTTTCTCCGCTTGGCTCGGCGAAGAGCCATAATGCCGTTCTTGACAAGGATGTCCAAGCTAAGAGGGTCGATACCCTTCTGATTGATCACAACGAATCCCTTCTTCGGGTCATTGCCGCAGACCTGCTTCTTGAGATCCACAATCTTCTGCAGCTTCGCATCGACGAACTTGCGTTCGCTCTCCACCAACTTGTCCCGCTGCTCGGCAGTAGAGTAGTAGAAGCCTGAGTTGATCTCAGACTTCTCGTACTCCAGGCTGACGTTCAAGGTTAAAATGAAGGCGTTCTCCACCCGCTTAGGCATGTCGGGGTGGCGGGCACCGTGATCCAAAGCCAGACCACGGATGAGCTGGGTGTCCGAGGATGTGCGGTGTTGCATAGTCATGATCTCAACCATGTGCAAATCGGGCTTCTCTGGGGCGCGGTGGATGGCAAGCACGGCATCGACAATGTCAGGGGTCAACTTCTCGGCGAGGGCGTTGTTCAGCTTGGTGGAAAGAGAGGTGCGAGCGACGGAGAGGAGGAGCTCTCGGTCAATGGTGCGCTCGAGCTTGAATTCGTCGAGGTACTGAGATCATTAGGTCAGACTCAAACATCATAGCCGATCATGCATATTGGACGATAAAATACCTTCAAAGCCTCTGTCTTCGCAATCTCATAACCATCGGTGATCACTCGGGGGTGCAGACCCTCCGAAATGAAACGGTCTGCCTGCTTCAGGAGCTCTCCTACGGAGAGCACGACCGATGTTGTTCCATCACCAGTGATATCATCTTGTGCGGTTGCTGCACGGGCAATCATAACCTTCCATCCTTATCAGTGAGGGACGGATGTTCGTTCGGGGGAGTATTGCCTTACAGCTGTGGGGTTTTGAATTTGCTGCTGGATATTAGTATCTCTGTTCTGCAGCACGCTGACCATTAGGGGTGCAACTAACCATTTCACGAAGCAAAACATTTCCATCCTTTGTCAACTTGATCTATTATCGTATCACCGCATTAGATATCTCCATCTGTAGTAATGAAGAGGATAAAAGAGAGATTGCATACTCCGCCAGAACCGTCCACCAGCCTAGAAGTTGTGTCAGCTACATCGAGGCTTTTACCCGCATGGAAACTGTAACTTACATCTTCAGAGTTCCTGAGGGACCAAGATTGGACTTGAGGACATCTTGAAGACCCTCTCCAGCACCGATGTTGACCTTCAGGGCCTCTCCTCTCCGCTAGATGAAATGTTAGTGCGGGCCACGGAGGGGTCAAATATGTGAGAATTGCATACCCGGGACTCCGCCTTTGGGTTCAGTAGCTGAGTTGCAGACATCTCTGCTGTAATAAATGAATGAACAAGAGCTCAGCTCAAACAACAAAGCAACAATATTGAGAATAGGAGGGGAGCTCGTTCAACCCGTGGACAGGAGTGGGCAGGCGTAGCGGGAAGGCGGTGAGGGTGGTGGTTTTTGCCCACAGTCACCGATTCGTCGCACTAGATTGGGTTAGCGGCGAAAAAAAGCTCTTGATTTTCGACTTCTCTTCCGCTCTCTAGAACGACCGCACCAACAACCCCATCGTGTTGAACCCTCACGTCGTTTGTGGGCCCCGGTTGTTGCAATTGATATTTTGGTCAACTAGCGCCTAATACGACCAGAATCTAAAAAAACGACATGGCCGACTACCTTCTCTTCGAGAGCCCTATCGGCTACTCGCTCTTCAAGGTCGCCCTCCAGGGCGATGCCGTGGGCAACCGCCTGAAGGAAGTTCAGGAGGGTGTTAATGATCTTGCCAAGTTCGGCAAGATGATTGACCTCGCCAGTTTCCTTCCCTTTGAGTACGTTCTGAGTCTGGGATTTTCGCCCGCAAATTTTATTCGTCGAGGAATCCCTCGCTAACCCACCGTAGAAACAACAAGCAGGCTCTTGGTGAGATCAACGATGTCTCTGAGGGTGTCGCCTCCGAGACTCTCATTTCTTTCCTGGAATTGAACCTTCCCAAGCCGAGCAAGAAGAAGAAGGTTGTGCTGGGTCTTTGCGACAAGGGTCTTGCTGGAAGCATCAAGTCTGCCTTTGATTTCGTCGACTGCGAAACCGGTGACACCAGTGAGGTTGTGCAGGATCTTCTCCGTGGCATTCGCCAGCACTTCAGCAAGCTGCTGAAGGAGCTCCGTGAGGGTGACATGGACACCGCCCAGCTCGGTCTGGGTCACGCCTACTCGCGTGCCAAGGTTAAGTTCTCCGTTCAGCGTGACGACAACCACATCATCCAGGCCATTGCTATTCTCGACCAGCTTGACAAGGCTATCAATACTTTTGCCATGCGTGCTCGCGAGTGGTACTCGTGGCACTTCCCCGAGCTGGTCAAAATTGTCTCTGACAACCAGCGCTACGCCGAGATTGCCCTTTTCGTCCAGGATAAGAAGAATCTCAACGATGAGAGCCTGCACGACATTGCTGCTCTTGTGGACGATGATAAGGACGTTGCCCAGAACATCATTGATGCCGCCAAGCACAGTATGGGTCAGGATATCTCCGAGTCCGACATGGAGAACTGCACTGCCTTCGCCGCCCGTGTTGTCAGCCTCGCTAAGTACCGCAAGTCTCTCTACCAGTACCTGGTGTCCAAGATGAGCGTCGTTGCCCCCAACCTTGCTGCCTTGATCGGAGAGGTTGTCGGTGCTCGCCTGATCTCCCACGCCGGTAGCTTGACCAACTTGTCCAAGTACCCTGCTTCTACTGTTCAGATTCTGGGTGCCGAGAAGGCCCTGTTCCGTGCCCTGAAGACCAAGGGTAACACCCCCAAGTATGGTCTCTTGTACCACTCTTCCTTCATCGGCCGTGCCGGTCCTAAGAACAAGGGCCGCATCTCGCGTTTCCTCGCCAACAAGTGCTCTATCGCTTCCCGTATCGACAACTTCTCTGATGAGCCTAACACCAAGTTCGGTGAGGCCTTGAAGCAGCAGGTTGAGGAGCGCCTCGAGTTCTACGCCACTGGCGCCGCCCCTACCAAGAACGAAGTTGCCATGGTATGTTCAAACCTACGCCCTACATTTGCAAATAGGCTTTTTGCTAACAATCTTGCCGCAGAAAAACGCCATGGATGCCGTTCTGGCTGGTATGGATGATGTGAATGGCAGCGATGATGAGATGGAGGACGTCTCCCCCAAGAAGGAGAAGAAGGACAAGAAGGAGAAGAAGGAAAAGAAGGAGAAGAGCGACAAGAGCGATAAGAAGAAGAAGCGCAAGTCCGAGGGTGGTGAGGGCGAGTCCGAGAAGAAGAAGAAGCGCAAGCACGACTCCGATGCTGAGCCTTCGAAGAAGAAGCAGAAGGCATAAAAGTGCTTTTTCTTTGGAACTGGGAGTCTTTGTCACGGCGTTGGGATTTCTTTCATAAGTTTTCATATCTGTTCAATCTTGTTCACGACTCGATGGGCTCGGGCATTTGTAAATTATTCGATTTAGGCCATCTTTGGCAATACGATTTGCTCTTTCCTGTGTGTCTGCGCTTCTCATTCCTTACATTTGCATGGCTGAGTATGATCAGATGTTCAACTCCTAGCTGATCCATAAGTATAAGTGTAGTGGTGAGGTTGTCGGCAATGCGGTGTAAGACGCTGGGGTTGATGACTGCATAGAGTAAGTAGTATGACAATATTTCGAATTCTTATGTACCCAAGGCTCCTATGGATTGGTAAGGCAATCGTTGTGAATGTGTATGGCCTGAAAAAGGGGTATTGGTAAGGGCTGACTCGGAAGAATATGCACTCGAACAATCCCTTGGAACCTTGGGGGTAATATTTCCTTTTGTACAACCGCGATTGGTCCCGCATCTGCAGAACACCTACACACCCGAGCGTCAAATGACCCCTCACTCAATCCTGATCTCCGCACTCTAGTATGTGAATCGCTGCATAATGGATTTACCCTTCTAGCCCTGGTTGTTGTATGGGGCGACTTCTCCCACTGTTATCCCATGATCAACGCGACCTCCCTTCGAGATCTCCCTTTATGTTCGTCTCCAGCCCCACGATGACGACAGATCTCCCGCAATACTTCTCGCCCAAGCGCAAACGAGAACCTTCCGAGTCCGACTATTACAGTCCATCAGCATCCCCGACATCAACAAGCTCCATCGTGAGCCTGCAAGAAACTAGGTTTCGGGAGGAGGAGGTCGGGCGCCACAGCCCTCGAGCCGCAGTGGCGGGTCGATTTGGGGAACTAGCGATTCGGGGTGAACGTCTCACAAATCTGAGGCGCCCAAATGGAGATACTTCACTCGAGTCCAGTTCACCACCAGAACAAGGGATAGGCGCCACGGACAAGCCCAAGACTATGCCCGGGGCCTGGCCAGCTGACAATGAGGCGAGTAAGGTGCCTGACTACGAGACGGCACCTGAGCTGTCCACTCCAAATACAAATAAAACCCCCACTGCCCCGGCTGTGTCTCCGTCCAAAAGGGAATTTTTACAGCTGCGCAAGCAGCTTCAACCCAGCTCTCCGTCAAAAAGCCGCAAGCAACGACTCTCGCCCCCTCCTGCCGAGGTTTCCAAGGAAGATCCGTTCACTTGGCATGATCATGAAATAACGGGACACGATCCGACGGATCCCGCAGACGACGGCTATGGGATCAACGGTGTAGGCTTCAGGCCTACTGCGGCGATTGCGTGGGCACGATCTCAAAAGCGGCAGAAACAAGTTGCCGAATGGAAGACCCGTGAAGCACGGGAGGCTCGTGAAAAGCGGAGACAACGACGACATGAGAGCGAAAGCCTGGACAGAGTCCATGGTATTCAACAAAGCTCCATCCCGAAACGGGTCAAGTTTGATGTCGAAGCCGAAATATTTAGCAGGGATCTTTCCCCACCATAGTGCATCTAAAGCATATATAGCGTCAGGCACATGCCTGCGCGTTCAAGGGTGCCTATTGTCTTTTGACTGATTTGGCCCGCACTGATTTTTGGGTGAATTGGGAAAGCTATGATACACAGAGATGATTTGATGACATGATGCCCACACCCCTCACATGGGATCAGAATATACATTTTTGGATATAATCGAACAAATACCGTGACTCCAGCTCATATATGAGCAACGCTACCAGAACTTGTAGTTGGAAGGGTTTGTCCAACTCTTCTTTTGCTTTTCCTCCTCTGTCCGCAGGGCCGCCGCCTCGATGGCCTTTTCCTTATCCCGTTGTTTCTTCTCTTTCAATTCCTTCATTAACTCGACTGCTTGCTTCATTCCGTGCATCTCTTCGATTCGTTGACGGCGGCAGAGCTCATAAGCTGCCAAAGAAGTGACCGCAAATACTCCGACGGCCCAGTTTCCGGCAGACCATAATGAGCGCATCCCTGGACATAAGAGATTAGCTATCGGCGCAGCTCCCAGATATAAAAGAAAAACCAAGGACGGAGGATTGAGACGCACCTCCAAATACACCACGAATACCACCAATTCCAAAGCCGGCGCCAATGCCAGTTAATAACGACTCCCGTGCACATGGTGCTTTGTAGAATGATGAGATTTGACTCATAGATACATCTCCGACCACTTCAGAGTAGGATACATCTTTGGGATCTTTGCCACGAGGCTTGTAAGAGGCATTGGCGAGCATGTTGACCGGCTCTTCGGGGTTGCCGAATGCATCCCATAACTTTCCGACTTGCGACTGAGGGAACTCGTGTTTGGGTTTGGTGGGATCGGTATTGGGGATGCTCGCGGGGAGGTGACTACCAGCCTCCTGGGCAGAGGTTGAATTTCGAGAATCGTCGGCCATGATATTGTAAATGGGTGAACCTTATGATAGTTGACTCCGTTTATCGCCATCCGCAGAAAGGCCAATCGATATCAATATCGCGGGACATGAATTATCCGCCATATGCTGTATTCAGATAGTTATTCCGGAAGATGCTGACTAAGATCTTTTTCACGCGTCAATGGAACGCGGACGCGTCGAGTGCATTACGATCAAACGGACTGGAGCAGCCCAAAACCTAGACCCTTCTACAGACATTGGCTGCAGGAGCTCTCACCTCACTCTCTGCATCGCACCGCGTCTGCTTAACCCAAATCCTCCAACTTGTCCTTAGCGATCCAGTTAATTCCATTCCATGTTCGTCTAACGCGACCCGCCGTGAGAAAAGGATTCTGAGCAGCCCGGCCGGGCCACCAATTTCGCCATGCCTTCGCGAAAACCCAGCAAGTATGGGAACAACAAATACCGATCCGGCGCAGCATCTTCAAATCCACGTCGATCTAAGACTGTCGAGTTCTCCTCCCTTCGTTCCACCGAAGCAACTTCCCTAGATGAGAAATTTGAGGCCATTCGACTGGCCAACAGCATCGATGAATCTCTCGGATTCGCCCGTTTCGAGGCCGGCGAAGCCAGAGCCGGCTGGCTTATCAACATGCGCAGCACCACAATAGAAGACGCAAACGTACCAGGTGGCCGCGCTGGTGTCGATTACTATTTCCTCCAAGACGACGGAGGCAGTTTCAAAGCAACCGTCGAGTATGATCCATACTTCCTCCTTGCGGTCAAAAAGGGTCATGAGATGGAAGTGGAGGAATGGTGCAGGCGCAATTTTGAAGGGTTGATCAAGAGCTTCAAGAGATTAGACAAGGAGGACTTAAATCTTCCAAATCACCTTCTCGGACACCGGAGGACGTTTATCAGGTTGAACTTTGCCAACGTTAGCAATTTGCTTGAGGTTCGCCGCACGCTTCTGCCTTTGGCGGAGAAGAACAAGAAAAATGCGACTGATATGGACGCATACGCTGAAATGACCAGGTTGGTTATGAACCGAAATTGTTGGAAACATCTCAAGGCTGCATGCTGATTAGGATTCTCAAGTGGAACCACCGGTTTCGACCTTTTTGATGACGAAATAATTAATGAACAACGACCTAATGGCAACATGCAAGCGAGTGATTTTATTGTTGATATCCGAGAGTACGATGTTCCATACCATGTCCGAGTATGCATAGACAAGGGTTTGTGCTTTCCCTTTGAGATTGAAGAAGGCTAGTGATACTAAACCTCAATAGATATTCGGATTGGAAAGTGGTACAACGTGGAGTCGAGACAAGGCGTGATATCTCTGAAATGCTTAGAAGACCGACTTACGCGCGCCGATCCCGTCGTTTTAGCCTTCGATATTGAGACAACAAAACTGCCTCTCAAATTCCCCGATGCTCTGATTGACCAGGTCATGATGATCTCGTACATGATCGATGGCCAAGGATTTCTTATCACGAACCGAGAGATTGTCTCTTCCGACATCAACGATTTCGAGTACACACCGAAGCCAGAGTACAGCGGACCCTTTGTGATTTTCAACGAGCCGAACGAACGAGCCGTTCTAGAGCGATTCTTTGAACACATTAAGCTTGCAAAACCAACTGTTATTGCCACCTACAACGGTGACTTTTTCGATTGGCCATTTGTTGAAACAAGAGCCAGTGTCCAGGGAATCGACATGTACACAGAAATCGGCTTCAGGAAGAACAGCGAAGACGTCTATCAAGCTGATTACTGTGTGCATATGGATTGCTTTGCATGGGTGAACCGTGATAGTTACCTTCCCCAGGGAAGTCGTGGTTTGAAAGCAGTGACCGTAGCAAAGCTTGGATATGATCCCGATGAGCTTGACCCCGAGTTGATGACTCCTTACGCAAGTGAACGGCCTCAAACACTAGCCGAGTACTCTGTTTCCGATGCCGTTGCGACATACTATCTGTACATGAAATATGTACATCCTTTCATCTTCTCCTTATGTACTGTTATTCCGCTCAACCCAGACGACACCTTGCGAAAAGGAACGGGAACCTTGTGCGAGATGCTTCTCATGGTGCAGGCGTATCAAGGTGATATCGTTCTTCCCAACAAACACAAGAATGCTGCGGAGGCATTTTATGATGGTCACCTCTTGGACTCCGAAACCTATGTGGGTGGTCACGTTGAAAGCATTGAAGCTGGTGTTTTCCGAAGTGACATTCCTGTCACGTTCACTGTTGACCCAACTGCTATCGAAGAACTCATCCGCGATCTTGACCATGCTCTAAAGTTCAGTATCGAGGTCGAGGAAAAGAAGTCTATGGACGATGTCACAAATTACGATGAAGTCAAAGCCCAGATTTTAGAACGCTTGGTCGATCTGAAGAACAACCCAAGCCGCAATGAGGTGCCTTTCATCTATCACTTGGATGTTGCTTCTATGTATCCCAACATCATGATCACCAATCGATTGCAACCTGATTCTATGATTGAAGAGTCAAACTGTGCCGCGTGCGATTTCAATCGGCCCGGCAAGACTTGCGATAGGAGAATGCCGTGGGCTTGGCGTGGTGAATTCTTGCCTGCTAAGCGGGATGAATACAACATGATTCGACGGGCCACTGCAAATGAGCGTTTCCCCGGGCGGTATAAAAATTCTCCCACAAGGGCATTCAGTGAACTCAGCATCGAGGAACAGGCTGATGTGATCAGAAAGCGATTACAAGATTACAGCAAGAAGATCTACCACAAGATTCATGACAGTAAGACCATGGTCCGAGAGGCAATCATCTGTCAAAGAGAAAATCCATTTTATGTCGATACTGTCCGAAGCTTCCGTGACCGTCGTTATGATTTTAAGGGAAAGCAAAAGGTCTGGAAAAACAAAACAGAGTCCTTGCAGTCATCGGGTGCGTCCGCTGCTGAGATTGATGAGGCTAAGAAGATGATTGTCCTGTTTGATTCGCTTCAACTTGCACACAAAGTCATTCTGAACAGTTTCTATGGTTATGTTATGCGAAAGGGATCTCGCTGGTATTCCTTGGAGATGGCCGGTGTGACCTGTCTCACGGGTGCCCACATCATTCAAATGGCGCGGGAGCTTGTTGAACGTATTGGACGACCTCTAGAACTGGATACCGATGGTATTTGGTGTATGCTTCCGGGAACATTCCCTGAAAACTTCTCTTTCACTCTCAAGAACGGGAAGAAGCTAGGAATTTCGTATCCTTGTGTCATGCTCAATCATCTTGTCCACGGAAAGTATACCAACCATCAATACCAATCACTTACCGACCCATCAACCTTCAAATATGAGACCTACAGCGAGAACTCTATTTTCTTCGAAGTTGATGGTCCTTACAGAGCCATGATTTTGCCAACATCGAAGGAAGAGGACAAAAACTTGAAGAAGCGATACGCTGTGTTCAATCACGATGGCTCCTTGGCCGAGCTTAAGGGTTTCGAAGTTAAGCGGAGAGGAGAGTTGAAGTTGATCAAGATCTTTCAGACGCAAATCTTCAAATTCTTCTTGGAAGGCACAAACCTTGCTGAGACATATGCTGCTGTCGCACGAGTTGCTGATCGGTGGTTGGATGTTCTTTATGAGCACGGTGCCACATTAGCCGACGAGGAACTCATCGATCTTATTTCAGAAAACCGCAGCATGTCAAAGACGCTAGAGGAATATGGAAACCAAAAGTCCTCACCTATCACCACAGCAAAGCGCCTGGCAGAGTTCCTGGGTGAGCAAATGGTCAAAGATAAGGGCTTGAACTGTAAGTACATTATCTCATCGAGGCCAAGAAACACTCCTGTCACCGAAAGAGCTGTTCCCGTGGCCATCTTCTCTGCCGAGGAGAACGTCAAGCGATACTTCTTGCGAAAATGGCTCAAAGAAGATCCTGGTGATATGGACCCCCGCAACGTTATCGATTGGGACTACTATCTCGAGCGCTTGGGATCGGTTGTGCAGAAGCTCATCACTATTCCGGCTGCTCTGCAGAAAATTCGGAACCCTGTGCCTCGGATTGCTCATCCCGACTGGTTACAGCGACGTATCAATCAGAAAGATGACAAGTTCAAGCAGAAGAAGATGACTGATCTGTTCACGAAATCGGAGAAAGCGCCCCTTTCATCGATTTCAGCCAATATCCTGGAACATCGTGTTCAGCATGTCGGTGACTTGGACGAAGCACTAAGTAATTCAACCCAGAAGGTCCACTCGCCTGAGGCCAAGGTGTCTCAGAAAAGAAAGCATCCGGAGGGGCTTCCCAAAACATCACTGGATCCCTTCGCGAGCCTTCCTACCACCATGCCATCAATTACGGACGATTACCAGGGCTTCCTCCGCTACCAAAAGCAGAAATGGAAAATCCAGAAGCAGGCCCGGATACGTCGGCGCCAATTGTTTGGTGACCGATCGAACGTCGCCTCTGATTCCCTAGGTGGCTTCTTCCGCAATCAAGCACAAATGCTCTACATCAGCACCTGGCAGGTCTTGCAGCTGTGTGAAACAGGCCGCCCAGGAATTGTGCGGGCTTTTGTACTGATCGATCAAAAGGTTCATGCACTCAATGTCAAGGTTCCACGACAGTTCTTTGTGAACCTGAAGCGAGATTCTTTGCCTGACATTGAAGTACCCGACTGTGAGGTCGAGAAGGTTAACCATACATTGCCCAATGGTCACCCTTCGGTTCACCTCTTCAAGGTGTCTTTGTCAGAAGACACGTTCCTGGAAGAGGCAGATAAGATGGATGCCCTGTTCCAACATTCCAGTATCGAAGGTGTATATGAGCGAAATATTTCGCCGAGCATCCGAGCGGTTCTTAAACTCGGCAGTCACTGTACTTTCGACGAAGAGCAGCGTGGTGTTCTGGGCGAGGGTCTAGAGAAGGGCTTCGACCTTGCGACATTGCTCCATACTACCTCAGACCAGCCTTACCTCATGGATTCACCCTTGGCGTACCATTATCTTTACCATGTTACTTCTGGAGAGAGACAGGTCTTTGCTCTGTTCTCAACAGCGAAGAATGAGGCGCATATTGTCATTCTTAACCGGACAAGGGATGTTCAAGGCCTGCCGAACGTCGACAAGATTTATTCCGAACTGCTTTCTCGAAAACTACAAGATGGATCCACTGATGAGTCGCAAAATGCCTTCCAGTATCAGGACAAGATCCACTTCAAAACCACCCAGGTGATGACCCGAAGAAAAGCCCATTTGGAAGTGGGTGATTTGGTAAGAAAGCTTCGAAATGACGAGAGTCAACCGACCGTTCTGGTCATCCAGTCCCAGCAGAAGGACCGGCTGTGCCACGATATTCCTATCTTGAAAGAATACCCAACTCTATCTGTGAAGCCTGAAGTTTCAGATATGGATCTGCCTCCCCTTGGCTGGCAATCATTCATCGCTAGGCGTCTTGTCACCCATTATTTGTACCTCTCTGCTTGGATTCAGCACCTGACTCTGCTGGCTCGATACGGAGATGTTCCCCTCTGCAATATGGAGACCGACGACCCTCGGTACCTCATTGATATCTCGTACGCCAGACGACTTCAACAGAACAATGTTGTTCTGTGGTGGTCAACGGCCCCACGGCCAGATCATGCCGGGTATGAAAAAGACGACGTAACAGGTCGACTGGAGGTTGTCAACATGCCGTCTGTGAATGTGCCAAATGCCTATGGGACAGTGTGCATTGAACTGGACGTTCGCAACCTCGCCATCAACACAATTCTCACATCCTCAATTGTTAGCGAGATGGATGGGAATGATACTCTATTGGCTTCCGGGAATGGAGAGGATACTGGCGTGCTGTACTCCGAAAAAGCTTTTGCATCGGCCGGTGCGCATGTTCTCCGAGACATGGTCAAACACTGGTGGACCGAGGCCTGTGCTGGGAATAGCATGGCTGACATCATGGTCCAGCACTTGATCCGATGGGTTGAAAGTCCAGTCTCCTGTCTCTATGATCGATCCCTGCACAACTATGTTCGAATGCTCTCACGCAAGTCATTCCAGAGGCTAATGGCCGAGTTCCGACGAGTTGGCTCCAACGTTGTGTTTGCCAGCTCCACACGACTTTTGCTTCAGACCACCAAGACTGAAGTGGGCAATGCCTACGCATACAGTCAATACGTTTTGAAATCAATCCGTGCCAATCCTTCGTTCCATTTCATCGATCTTGAGATCAGGGAGTACTGGGATTATCTCTTGTGGTACGATGAGTACAATTACGGCGGCAAGGGCTGTCGTGAAGTCGTGGAGGCTGAAAATCAAGACCTCGAGACTGTCATGCATTGGCAACTCAATCGATTCCTGCCAGCGCCCATGCAAACTATCTTCCACGATTGGGTCGTTGAATACATCGAGCTGATGCATTCCTTTAAGCGCCCCGATCTTCAGGATGGCAATATGTCCTCTACACCTCGAATGACGCAAATCCCCATTGGACAACCCAGTGAGAAGGAGAGCGAAGAGATCACCGCCATCCTTGCGGAACGATTCTCCAAACCTCTGAAGAAGCAGATCTCAGGTCTGATTCGCCGCCAGCGGGACGAGATGCTACACCCCGAGTTAGCATCGGACTATGCCTTCCCGGTTCTCCCGGGTGTTTTGGTTGATCCAACCCATGATAAGCGCAATCCATCACTAGAGCTAGTGAAGCTGCTCATGCAGGTTCTGAGCCTGTCAAAGATCACCACTCTTGAGTCACGACTTTTACGCCGCGAACTGCTAGCTCTTTTTGAAGTACGCGAGTTCAGCAATGAAGGCCGATTCGAGAACCCCAGCACCAACCTGAAACTGACGGAATTAACCTGTAACGCCTGCTGTCTCATCCGTGACCTGGACCTGTGCCGAGACGAAGACGTGCTCCCCGACCCAGGTACCGACAACAAAACCCCCAAGCCATGGCGCTGCCCCTTCTGTCAGACGGAGTATGACCGGCTTGCCCAGGAGGAAATTCTTATTGGCCAAGTGCAGGGTCTTGTGGTGGAATGGCAAACCCAAGATCTCAAGTGCTCCAAATGCCAAAATCTCAAGATCAGCGAGTTCATGGAACACTGCTCCTGCAGTGGTACTTGGGCCCCAACAATTGATCTCAAGGAGACTCAAAAGAAATTAGAAGTGCTGCAAAGTGCTGCCAAGTTCCATAACCTTCAGCTGCTTGAGAATGTGGTCGACGGTGTGCTGTCCCGAGTTTAGGGGATGTGGATGTTTAATATTTATGTCTTTTTTTTTTGTTTTATTTTGATCATGTATTTCTTTGACGGGGATTCATGTTCTGGAGTCTGGGGTGTTTATCTGCATGGCATCGGTGTTGGACCAATGTAAATAGTGGAAGCCGTTGGCGATCACGTCGATCTTTCTCCGGCCCATTCACACCCTTTTTTATTCAAACTTCCTTTCCACCTCCCTTCTCGATTTTCCAGATCCTTTCCACTCTATCATCAAATCCCCGCTATATTGATTTTCCCCCGATTATTAACATTCAAGTCAATCTCCGACCGCAGCGGGGTAAATAATAAGGAAAAGCAGTGAGTATCTCGGTTGGCGGGGCTGAACCGCGCGCCTGCGGTCAACTCCCATAGTAGCACACTGCGCATGAGGCTGACTCGGATGATCACAGGACCGTTTTATCTTCGCCCTTTATATACCTTGAGCCCCTAGCCCAGGGTCTGAATTGATCCTACCCGCCGGCACCGTCCTCCACCGCATAAGACCTTTTCCTTCTTTCCAATGGCACAACCCCCGAAGCCTCAGGTTCAGCCATGTCGCTATAAGACCGGCAAGACACTCGGCGCTGGCTCATACTCTGTTGTTAAAGAATGCGTCCATATCGACACCGGTCGTTATTATGCTGCGAAAGTGATCAATAAGCGCCTGATGGCTGGGCGCGAGCACATGGTAGGTTAGACCATACCCACAGCGCTAGATCGCCATGAATGGACACTGGGCAGTTATGCTTACGATGTCGCGGGAACTTTAGGTCCGGAATGAGATCGCTGTACTGAAGAGAGTATCCATGGGCCACCAGAACATCCTCACGCTGGTAGACTACTTTGAAACCATGAACAACTGTGCGTTGCGACTTTCCACACCGTTGTTGGCATAAATGTGGCTGCCTGATTTGACATGGGACTATGTGCTAATCCTTCGTCCCATCTAGTGTACTTGGTCACTGATCTCGCCTTGGGTGGAGAGCTCTTCGACCGCATCTGCCGGAAAGGCAGCTATTACGAGACTGATGCCGCAAGCCTAATCCGGGCCGTCCTGTCGGCCGTGGCTTACTTGCATGACCATGGAATTGTACACCGAGATCTTAAGCCTGAGAATCTCCTGTTTCGTACCCCAGAAGATAATGCCGATCTCCTTCTTGCCGACTTTGGCTTGTCCAGAATTATGGATGAGGAGCAGTTTCATGTGTTGACAACCACATGTGGAACACCGGGATACATGGCACCAGAAATCTTCAAGAAGAGCGGACATGGCAAGCCAGTGTAAGTTGTGACCCTAACCAACGTGGTATCGTACCTTCCCTAACCGAGCTCTATAGCGATATTTGGGCCATCGGTGTCATCACCTACTTCCTCTTATGCGGTTACACACCCTTCGACCGAGACTCCAACTTAGAGGAAATGCAAGCCATCCTAGCAGCGGACTACGCTTTCACTCCACTTGAATACTGGCGCGGCGTTTCTCAAGAAGCCCGCAACTTCATCAACCGATGCCTGACCATCGACCCTAAAAAGCGCATGACAGCCCACGAAGCCCTGCAACACGTTTGGATCAACCCGCCATACGATGACGCGCGGACCGGCTCCGGCGAGGACTTGTTGCCGACTGTGAAGAAGAATTTCAATGCACGCCGCACGCTGCATCGGGCTATCGACACCGTGCGCGCGATTAACAAGCTGCGCGAGGGTGGTGGGTTCATGATGGATGGAGTGATGAGTATTGATCCGAAGCCTGAGCGTGTGAACGGAGCAGAGATTGTAGACGAGGGCCATGCTGCTCCTGCACAGCATGATGAAGGCAGTGCTATGCAGATTGATAGTCGGGGCAATGCGCGTGGCCAATCTGAGATACAGATTCGGGAGCAGGAACGTAGACTCAAGGAGACCATGGCTGGATTATGGACTCGAAACCATGGGAAATGAGCGGGAGCCTCGTAATTCACGAGCAGCAAGTTGGATGACGGTTATTGTGATTCATTGCGTTCCCGCTTGGATGCTTGGTTACATGTCTAGATGCTTGCTTTCGGGGCTACGGCCTTTGGTGCTATAACAGCGTTGACTTATTCGTACATACCTGATCTAAATGCAATGATTGATGAACAGAATCGATGCATCAGCCCATGGGTTTTCTTCGAATTTGCATATGTATTCAACCAAATCATGCAGAGCTATCATACGCCAAGCATATGAAATCCCATGTCATAAATTCTGCTCCCAGATCGCAAAAAGTCGTAATAGTTCATAAGCGACCATGTAGACAAGTTGCATCTAACGAGCAAGTCAACAAGAGCGAGGCACGATCAAGCCAAGCCCAACAGATCACGGCCATCATCTAAAGAAAGCACCCATTTCCTCCATTCCTGCCACTCCTCATACGACGCACTCGCCTTGAGACCCTGATAACGAACAGTCTTGAAATCAGACACCTGATCCCAGGGTTTCGAAGCGCCAGAATCACCACTCCCAACCCGCATTAATCGTCGAGCCATACCGCCAGCGCCGCCGTCCCAGCCAGCTTTGCGCATCAGACTCTCGACAGTCTCTTCTTTCGACCAGCCTTGTTCAACGGCAACGTCAGGCAGGTAGGTGGCACCATAGCGTCTGCCGCGGTGGATGAATGATATTCGGAGTCCGTGTGTGCCTAGGTTCCAGTCCATGGGGTTGGTGCAGGGCTCAAAGGAGCCCAGGAGTGTCAGTGAGCATGATAAAGCAGGAAGAAGGGATTTAGGTATTGGAGAGAAGCGAGTATCGTCGAAAGCCCTATTTTACCAAGCATGTGAGTTTCGTATTCTCGCCTTGATTCGAACCCTTGGGCCCACGTACGAATTTCTAGCATAGGACTTCAGCCCTGACTCGAGCTTTTGCGCTTCAAATGTGCCTATGCACCCACGCAAAGACTTGCTACCACTCCGTGAGATGGTATTCCACGTTACGAATAACGGGTATTTCTCATCAGACTTGGAGTCCGATCCCAGGCTCCCAGACTGGGCGCTTGGGGTCGTAGCGGCAGTAGAGCTAGACAAGAGCGAGTTGGAAGAGGTGTTGGAGGCGCTGGATGAAGTGGATGAGGATGTCTGACTCTGTAGGCGGCTGACGGCGGGCGGTTTCAGACCCTTGGACTGAATACTTGTCTGGGGCTCGTCATTTACGGAAAAAGGCGGACCTGATGCGTCGTCCTCTTCTTCCGTGTCCCAATCCGCTTGGGCTCGGGATCCAAGACTTGAGAGTTTCTTGGTTTGTTCATGCTGTTCCCAGAGGGCTTCTACGGCTGCGAGGTTGATTAGGTTGTGGTCCTCGAAGGAGGAGGATAGGCTTTCGAAGCAATAGTAACACTGGGCTGCGTTGGCCATCTCGGTATGCGGTGGATTTTTCCTTGCCGTTGATTTATCTTCTGCCTCTTGTATGAGGCGGGGTTCCTGGACTGTTGTACTGGCTCAGATCCTTGGAACGACGTGCCCAGTGTAAAGTGACCTCCGCAGGGGACCGACGAGGCGATAAGAGAGGGGCTTATCGGTGGAGCATAAGCCTAGAACAAAGTCGGGGGCGGGGCCAGGAGGGTCTGAGAACAGCAACAACACGACAAGGAAACGAAATCAAGGACACGGAACCACGAGATTTGGGTTGATGACAGATATTGATCCAAAGTTGGGAGTTCCGATAAGGTTCACACGTGAGTTATTACGTGACTCTAGAGGATAGCGAGGAAAGCTAATCTATAATTTCGATTACGAACCTTGGAACTAGAGTGCGTTTGCAACTTTATATAATATGTATCAACATTCCATTATCTATTCATTGATTCATTTTCATAACTCGATGCTTATTTGCGTGAATTTCTAATCTATGCCTTGACCAACAGGTTCTTACCCGTCATCTCGGCGGGTTGCTCGACGCCCATGGCGGCGAGCACGGTGGGCGCAACGTCACCCAGGACACCGCCCTCCTTGGAGAGGGTCCAGCCAGCCGGGGCATTGGCCATAACGAAGGGAACCTTGTTGAGGGTGTGGGAAGTCTTGGGAGTAAGCTTCTCGTTGAGCATCTCCTCGGCATTGCTGTAATTGGATGGTCAGCTTGGAGCAGAGTTGATTCATATATCATGGAGGCTTACCCGTGGTCAGCGGTAATGAAGAGTACGTAGTTGTTCTTCTTGCAGGCCTCGTAGATCTCACCAATGGCCTTGTCGGTAGCAGCAACACCCTGGATGGCAGCCTCGTACACACCAGTGTGGCCGACCATATCAGGGGGTGCGAAGTTGTTCATGACGAGATCAAAGTTGCCCTCACCAATGCGCTCAGACATCTTAGTAGCGACGGCGGCGGCGCTCATCTTGGGGTCAAGGTCATAGGTGGCCACTCGGGGCGAGGGGATCATGTCACGAACCTCACCGGGGAACTGCTTCTCAACACCACCGTTGAAGAAGAAAGTAACGTGCGCATACTTCTCGGTCTCAGCAATGTGGCACTGCGAGAGGTTCTTCTTTCCCAGCCATTCAGACAGAACATTGCCCATGTGCTGAGGAGGGAAGGCAACGGGGAATGTGTAGTCCGTCTTGTATTGGGTCATGGTGGTGAGGGAGATGTTCTTGGGGTAAGGGAAGTCGGGACGCGGGGAGCGGTCGTGGTCACCCAGCAGCTGGGTAATTTCACGGACACGATCCGACCGGTAATTGAAAAAAAAGACGGTGTCGTCATCTAGAGTACCAAGTTAGTGGATCGTATACTTGGGTACCTTTTCTCTTTGGGTGACAAACCTTGGATGCGGCGCTCCTTGCCGCCGACAATGATAGGCTTCAGGAACTCATCATTTTCCTTCTTCTCGTAGCGTTCCTTAATAGTCTGGAGAGGGTCCTCGCTGTCCTCACCCTCGCCGGTAACCAGACCTTTGAGGCCGATCTCGACACGCTCCCAGCGCTTGTCACGGTCCATGATATAGTAACGGCCAACGACGGTGGCGATCTCACCAACACCAAGCTCCTTAGTCTTGGTCAGGAGCTGCTCCATATAGATGACAGCACTCTTGGGGTCGGTATCGCGGCCATCACCGAAGAAGTGGATGTAGACCTTGGGGATCTGGAACTCCTTGGCGACCTGGAGTAGAGCAAACAGGTGAGTGATGTTGGAGTGGACACCACCGTCCGAAACCAGACCACACAGGTGCAAACGACCATTGCCCTCCTTGGCACGAGTGAAGGCATTGACAATGCTGTCCACCTTGTTCAACTCGCCCTTCTTCAGGGTCTGGTCAATGCGAACACTGTCCTGCCAGACAACACGGCCGGCACCAATGTTCAAGTGACCGACCTCACTGTTGCCCATGAGACCCTCAGGCAAACCAACTGCGAGCGAGGAAGCTTCGAGTTCGGTGAAACCCTGAGCAGTCTTGGAGTTGGCCTCGGCGAAGCCAGACATGAACGGAGTCTCGGCCGCGGCGATGGCATCACCCTGGGGAGGGGCATCGGGGTTGGACATACCCCAGCCATCAATGACAACTGCAAGGGCCGCGTTAGCCTGGTATAATTTTGGGGACCTGGGTGGCAGGGCTGATCATACTTAAAGCGACTTTCTGGTCAGCCATGGTGGGGGGTGGAGTTATATTATCCCGTGATAACCTATAGAACCTAGGTCAATCGCTGAGCCCAGATAACAGCCAGCTTGGCTTTGAATTTAAAAGACTGCTTACCTTTCCAAATGTTAAGAAAGGAGGAGAGAATCTGGGGGCAAACAAGGAAGACGAAAAGTGGTAGGCCGGTGAAGGAGGGGCATTTCCCGGTGACGCTTTTGGTTCTCCCGCGACGTCACCGTGCCGTTCCGACTCTTCCCTAAACACTTACCCCAGTCTCGGCTCAAGCTTTGACTGGTTTTCTTCGCGCCGTTTCATTCTTATCCGGCTTCCGATCTTGCCCTGGATTCAGCCCACAATGGCTTCTAGATCCCCGACAGCAGCTACTCCGCTGCCGAAGTCGTCCGTCGCGCCCGAGAGTCCCTCCAAAGACGCGACCGAACCTCCCCAAACCGTGCCTTTCCCATCACCACAGACCTTTGAGATTATTCCACCTCTTCATGGTATTTTGCTTCGCTTGTTATCTCAAAAGGGTCCCTCGGATGGGAGTGGTGGTGCCCCCGGAGAAGCTCCAGGCGGCCTAGGAGCTTCTGAAGCACATCAACAGGACCAACAAGCACCGTCCAGTGGCAACAATGGCACATCCCAAGCTGTTCAAGAAGTTCCAACCCTCGACCCAAATGCTCACCCGCCGCTTGATGTGAAAGATCTTCCTACACAAACCAGCTCCGTGAAGATTCGGATTCAAAAGGCACGGGCGGTAGTGGAGGGACTTCCAGACGTCCAGCGGTCTGTCGAAGACCAGCAGAGAGAGATTGTAGAGCTTGAGGACCGTGTGGCTCGTCTCCGATCTGTCATTACAGACTTTGGAAGCCGTGCAGCAAAGACATAGGGGTGATATCGTGGCTCCCAAGGTTTTCTTTATGAGTCATTGCATATGGAGAACGGGCAGCTACAGCTGGACATACAGCAGATTGAGCCCACTGTACATTGTTCTTCATTTTCCCTTATATTTGTCTCATTTTCTGGTGTTTATGGAAAGGAATACCCAATGTTTTCTTTGTTATTCGTTGTTCGTGGTCTTTTTTTGTTCTCAGCCTTTTTTTTTTTTTTTTTTAAACAGCAAAATTCGCATTAGCCCGACCATTGCGGGGAAAGCAAAATTTGGCGTAAGCACAGTTGAAAAACATAGCAGAAATCCCACCGGGGCACCATCATCCTAGCAATTGAGCTAGATAATTCAATTACTATACAGTCTTACAAGACTACGTACTTTTTTTCTCATAATAAAGTCTGCAGTGTCGAACCCTATTCGGCGAAACTCTCCGATATCGTCGTCGATTCCTGCCTGAGGCCGGTCGATCCCTCCCCTCTACCCCACCAGCTTTTTTTTCTTACTTTTTTACCATTCTTTTTTCCTTCCCTTCCTCATCCTCTTTTCATTCCTCATTCTCCCCCCTTTCACACTTCACAATGTCCACTTACGCTTTGTCTGATGCCCACCGGGCTGTAAGTGCTTCCCCAGGCATAGAATTGAGATCTAGTAAGATCGGTGACTCATGACTTTATAGCAAATGCACGATGGTCTCAAGGAGAGCGATCCTGAGATCGCTGCCATCATGGTATGTCCTCATCAATTGAGACATTGGTTCTTGTAACCAAGACGTCTTTTTTCAATGGGATTATTCCAGATAGCTAACAGACATCGTTAATAGGAGCGTGAGATCCAGCGTCAGCGTGAGTCGGTCGTTCTGATCGCCTCCGAGAACTTCACCTCCCACGCTGTCTTCGAGGCCCTGGGTACCCCCATGTCCAACAAGTACTCCGAGGGTTACCCCGGTGCCCGTTACTACGGTGGTAACCAGCACATCGATGCCATTGAGATCACTTGCCAGAACCGTGCTCTCAAGGCCTTCAACCTCGACCCCGCCAAGTGGGGTGTCAACGTCCAGTGTCTGTCTGGCTCCCCCGCCAACCTGCAGGTTTACCAGGCTCTGATGCGCCCCCACGACCGCCTGATGGGTCTTGACCTCCCCCACGGTGGTCACTTGTCTCACGGTTACCAGACCCCCGCCAAGAAGTGAGTTCTGCTTGATCTTGTCACCCCTGGAGACGGTTTTCTAACATATATCGTCTAGGATCTCTGCTGTCTCCACCTACTTCGAGACCTTCCCCTACCGTGTTGACCTGGAGACCGGTATCATTGACTACGACACTCTGGAGAAGAACGCCGAGATGTACCGCCCCAAGTGCCTGGTTGCCGGTACCTCCGCCTACTGCCGTCTGATCGACTACAAGCGCATGCGCCAGATCGCTGACAAGGTTGGTGCCTACCTCATTGTTGATATGGCCCACATCTCCGGTCTGATTGCTGCCGGCGTCATCCCCTCTCCCTTCGAGTACGCCGATGTCGTCACCACCACCACCCACAAGTCTCTGCGTGGTCCCCGTGGTGCCATGATCTTCTTCCGTCGTGGTGTCCGCAGCACCGACAAGACTGGCAAGGACATCATGTACGACCTTGAGAACCCCATCAACTTCTCCGTCTTCCCCGGTCACCAGGGTGGCCCCCACAACCACACCATCACTGCCCTGGCTGTTGCCCTGAAGCAGGTTGACACCCCCGAGTTCAAGCAGTACCAGGCCCAGGTCATCAAGAACGCCAAGGCCCTTGAGGAGGAGTTCAAGACTCTCGGCCACAAGCTCGTCTCCGATGGCACTGACAGCCACATGGTCCTCCTGGACCTCCGCGCCAAGAGCCTGGACGGTGCCCGTGTTGAGGCTGTCCTTGAGCAGATCAACATTGCCTGCAACAAGAACTCCATCCCCGGTGACAAGTCTGCCCTGACCCCTTGCGGTATCCGTATCGGTGCCCCCGCTATGTCCACCCGTGGTATGGGTGAGGAGGACTTCAAGCGCATTGCCCGCTACATTGACACCACCATCACCCTCTGCAAGAAGATCCAGGGTGATCTCCCCAAGGAGGCCAACAAGCTCAAGGACTTCAAGGCCAAGGTTGCCTCTGACACCGTCCCCGAGATCCTGGAGCTCCGCAAGGAGATTTCTGCCTGGGCTAGCACTTTCCCCCTTCCCGTTTAAATTGGCATCCAACAAAGCCAATAGAGGAGAGGTGAATTTTTATAAGATATGAAAGTTACGAAGAGAGATATGAATCTCTGGCGATCTCGCGAGTTCAACATCAACTATGAAAGCGTTGGAGATCGAAATACCACACGGTGCGTTTTATGGGGTTTATATACAGGTCTGCTTTTTCAACCTTAGGGACATCTGGGTAATTTCTACTTGTTTTTTCTACTTTTCTTTTTTTTTGTTATTCTTGAGCATGTGAAACGAACCACTACATATCCTCCTCGCTTCTTCAACTGCGAGGAGACCTGATTTTCAGGGGACCAAAAGTTCAACAACTGGCGTGTGGGCTTTTTTTTTGCTGTTGGGGTACACCACGTCACTACTCAGCTACTCTCGAAATTCAATACAGCCATTCATGGTTGGACTATCTTCCTACTCGTAATAGTGTAATGGATGCACAGCGTCTTGTTGGTGCTATGTCTACCCAAGTTGAAAACTAAAGGTACCCATGGACCATGGGTCCTTATATAGGGCAATCCCAAACAGCGCTCCCCCAATTCGTACTTCCCAAATGACTTCATCGCCCAGAATCATCGTTTCAACTATTCTTGATTGAGGTGTTCAATGTTACATCCAGTAGCTCGGCCAACTGCGCCCGGCGGCCGAACTTGAATGCAGATCTATCACAAAACATCTGGTATCCTACTCAAATATATCGGGGTTCCCCACCACTCACGAACATGATCACACCGCGTCTATAGCTAGGGCGCGGGGAAACGACCTTGAGAGTCTCAACTTAGAGTCTGTCATCGCAGTGAGAGCACACCAAATGCGATTACAGGCCCCCACTCCACTCATGGCACTTCCGCCTACAGCAATAGCAGCAACACAAATGCCACTAGCTGATCCCGGCCTAATGATCAATGGAGTATCGATAGAAACCCGATCTCACTGGATGCGTCTCGCAAATCAGGCGTTAGGAGATTTGAGCGGCTCCCCTTGCCCCTTTGCAGCTTTTGGAACTGTGATAGTGAACCACACGGACTCTATTGCGGGCGAGCTTATCTGCATGGGCGTCAATGAGAATGGAAAAACAGGTAACCCTTCTTTGCATGGTTAGACAGCTCGATTTCCCACCATTTGAAACATTGCAAATAATATTCATAGGAGAAATCGCGGCAATTACCAACTGCACTAGTATTCTAACCGATCCTCATGGCAAATACCGTCTTACTGCTACCGAGGCGGCAGCGGCGTTTACCGATTTATCTCTATATACGAACGCCGAAAGCTGTCCAATGGTATGTTGGAGTGATATCCAGAACTCCTAGATGATATCATAGTTTGTCGCTGATTCTAATTGTCAATCTAGTGTGCATCAGCGATTCGGTGGGCTGGGTTCCGCGAGTATATCTACGGAACATCGATTGCAACACTGATCGAGAAAGGCTGGAGACAGATCCGTATTGCATCAGTGGATGTCTTTGGGGCCTCTTTCGATCTCCCATATTCATCACGGTTGATTGCTGGTGTTCTTACTGACGAAACGGATCCTTATTTCCTGTGGCAATACGATCCGACCTATCCATGCCCCCGAGGGTGCTCACGAACTAAGGGTGAGACAAGCTGTGCGGTGGGTTCAGGTTAACGCATAGGAGAGCCGCCAAGCTCTAGGCTTGACAGTGTATACATGATCATATACCCATCTTTCAAGGCTTGTCCTTGTCCGGTCACTGCTTTCTGATTTCAAAATTTGATTGGGTATAATTTTGTTCCGGCAATTACTCGCCGAGTTCATACATCATTGAGGGTACACTTGGGCGGATTCTCCCAAAGAGTCTCCATGAAGCAAACAGCCTTAGAAGAGGCGTATTGTTGGTCAAACGCAGCTTTGGACGGAACGGACTGCAATTCAGGCGTGAAACGAGTGGAACAGTTCCAAATCCAGCCGATGGTTGTCCGTTGCCGCCACCTAGCGAGCGCGCTTCTCCTTCCCTGTTGAATATCTCATAGCTGGTATATCTCATGCGGAGGCAGCAGCAGCCTGCTGCTGTTGGACTGCGGATTGGAATTGCACAATCTAGTCGTAGCACATTAGTATTGACCACTAAAGACCCCGGGATCTTTCTAATTCACCTCAGTGCGCTTCTGCTCGGCCTCATCCTGCTTCGTCTCAATCTCTTTTTCAATTCGCTTACTGTATAGCACGAGTCAGCGTCGGTCATCTCTCAAAACCGGGGACACACTAACATCTCCTTCTCAATGAACTCCAGACGACCATTGACGGCCATAACAGCCTCGGTCTTGTCTTGCTTCAGCAACACCGGTCCGACCATCTTAAAAATGTTGGATTCATCGTCTAGCTGGGCGAATTCGCTCTGTACGCCCTGGTTCTCCTGCTGTTGCGACTCGAGCTTCTGGCGGGCATCGACAAGACCCTCGAGCTCTAAACGAAACAAACAATTAGCTATCACCATCTATAGAGTATGATTAAATCATGAATCCTAATTACCGGTCTGCATCTGCTGGAACTCGTCCGAGAGAGCCTGGAGCTTTTTCTGGGCGTCCATGACGAAGGTTGGCGGGGAGGTGGGAGAAGGGAAAACCGATCAACGTCTGCCCGCCCGTCAACAACCTCCCTTCCCCCTCTAACTCCAACTCCGATCCACCACCCACATCGAACTTGTGCATTTTCTCCCCGCACACCTTCATTTATCCCATTACTCTACCATCTAGTTGCTCTGCTCATTCCCAGTCATCGACTCTCGTCTGTGAAGCCGCTGCCTAGAACGAACAACGCCCTTTCCTTCCCCTCTCCATCTCCCCGCTTTATCGCTCCGCGGTTGACTTGCCACGACCCCGAAAACGTGACCAACAAGCCAGGACAAAAGATCCGCCAACATGAGTAACACGGATTTTCTGGGGCGGGCGATTGACACGGTCAAGAAGGCGATCGAGAATGACAATGAGGGCGAGTACGAACAGGCCTATCAGCTCTACTACGCTGCATTGGAGTTGTTCATGCTGGCCTTGAAATGGGAGAAAAACCCGCGATCCAAGGAGATGATCCGTGCCAAGACGGGCGAGTATATGGACCGCGCAGAGAAGCTAAAGAATCATTTGGCTTCGGGTGAGGGTAAACAGAAACCAAGTGCCGTGGGCGCGAATGGGAAGGTTGCGCAGGGAAGTGGGAAAGGGTAAGAATCTGCCTCTACTCCAATCTTGTCTTGAATTCTTGCCTGGTGTTGTTCTGTGGATGAACTTCCATGAAGCTGAAGACTGACGAAAATTGATGGAATAGGAAAGAAGATGACGATAATGGTGAAGACGCAGATGCGAAGAAACTTCGATCAGCCCTGCAAGGTGCTATTCTGTCGGACAAGCCGAATGTAAAGTGGGAAGATGTTGCTGGTCTGGAGAACGCGAAGGAGGCCTTGAAAGAGGCGGTCATTCTTCCTATCAAGTTTCCGCACCTGTTTACCGGCAAGCGACAACCATGGAAGGGAATCCTGCTGTACGGTCCTCCGGGTACTGGTAAATCATACCTGGCCAAAGCTGTCGCAACGGAAGCGAACAGCACGTTCTTCAGTGTCAGCAGTAGTGACTTGGTGTCGAAGTGGATGGGAGAGAGTGAAAGGTAGGCATTCAACTCAACCGCACACAGTCCCTGCAGAATCCGAGGCTAACCGTCCCTAGACTTGTGAAGCAACTCTTCAATATGGCCCGTGAAAACAAACCTGCAATTATCTTCATTGACGAAGTCGACGCACTGTGTGGACCGCGTGGCGAAGGCGAATCTGAGGCGTCCAGGCGTATCAAGACCGAGCTCCTCGTGCAGATGGATGGTGTCGGCAAGGATTCAAAGGGTGTTTTGATCTTGGGTGCAACCAACATCCCCTGGCAGCTGGATGCCGCCATTCGGCGACGATTCCAACGCAGAGTCCACATCAGCTTGCCCGACCTCAATGCACGGATGAAGATGTTCATGCTGGCCGTGGGCTCCACACCGTGTCAATTGACGCAGGCTGACTATCGATCATTGGCCGAGATGAGTGAAGGCTACTCCGGTAGTGATATCAGCATTGCTGTGCAGGATGCCCTGATGCAGCCAATCCGTAAGATTCAAACAGCGACACATTATAAAAAGGTTAGTCAACTTATCCAGTGATGTTGATCAAACCTTTGGTTTACTAAAATTTACGCTCTAGGTCATCGTCGATGGGGCTGAGAAACTCACTCCTTGTTCGCCAGGTGACGCCGGTGCAGGGGAGATGACTTGGCTAAGCATCGAAGCAGAGCAGCTCCTGGAGCCACCACTCATCCTAAAGGACTTCATTAAAGCAGTTCACAATTCCCGTCCAACAGTCAGCAATGAAGATCTTACACGAAACTCAGAATGGACGAAAGAGTTTGGCAGCGAGGGTGCATGATCGATTGGTCCCCCTTTTACATCGTTTACATCGTCTTTGAGTGCCTCGCTTTATCCATCTGTTACTTCAAGCTTTTGAGGTCAATCTTGGATACAAGCCATCCCAAATTCTCGTCCTTTCAGGTTTCTGTGATGTTGGAGGGGGCTTGCTTTGAAGAGTAAGGTGTTCATTAAAAGGCAGCGCTGTCTTCTATTCAGTTTCTTGTTTCCATTTCCGTCTAGTACTTTGGCAATGGCGAGGCGTTCATTGAGCAAATATCCATGTGTTTTTATTTTGAAGGGTCTTCTGTCCAAAGCTCTCGCAAAGAAGCTGTGATCCATACAACTACTACAGTACCTCGATTCTGTTCATAACCCGGTAAATGATGTAGTGGCCCAGGGTAATATCCACCAAATCTCCATATCAAGCTTCTCAAGTAAATCAATTTTTCTCACCATTTCCGCCGAAAGTAAGACTCCGGTATCTACATAAGAGGGACAATCTACTCTTTTCCTGCCAATTTCCTTAGGGCATAGACATGTGCCAATTCAAGGCTCAATTTCTGTTGACGGTACACATTAATAACATCCGAATCACTCCAGAATGACCATGCTCGATGCCAGATAGTACAATATAACAGCATCAGTCCCATTGTTCAGATCAGAACAAGGCCCCAAAAACGCCGAGAGAAGCAAAACAAATCCGAAACAAGACGAAAACAAACAAAAATTGCATTAGTAGCATGGCATGTCGGGGAATCTCTCGTAGAAGGGTTGATGACGCTGGAAAACAGACGAATGAAACAAAGCCATAATGAAAAAGACAAATCAATCTACTGGCCCAGCAAGCTCTTGCCAGAGCTTTCGCGGCGCTTGAGCATCTCACTCTTAGCCCGTTTTAAGCCCTCGCCTAGCTTCTTGGTCCGCCTCCACTCCTGGCCCATCTTTTTCATACGAACAGTCGCGACTACCAGGGAGATGGCAGATCGCAACTTGCCGCGGGGAGAACGCACAGAGGTACGATCACGAGCATGAACACCCATTTCGGAAATCATGCGGAGATCGGCTTCGTTGCTGTATTTCAAGTTATGTCAGTCAAGAGGCACATTGTGCGCGAAGGGAGGGACGGAATAACGAACCATGCTACGCGAACCCGTTCACCGAGTTCCATTAGACCCTTACTCCAGGCCAGATCACGGCGGAACTTCTCCTCACGCTTTAGACGGGCACGAAGCCAGATGATTTCCTTGCCTAGACCACGCATCTCTTTTTCATGTCGGGTCTTGTTGGTCGACTTTCCTTGAGATGCCTTTTCCAGAGCCTCCTCGTAAAGTTGCTGTAGTGTCTCCAGGTCCTTCAAGGCCGTTTCAGCTTTGCGAACACAGAAGCCACGCTCTTCACGGATGCGGCGAACTAATGCTTTCATTTCATTCAATCGCGAGTCTCGTTCCGAAACCTTCAGAGCCAGAGCCTCTGCCTCGATGGTCGAAGACTTGAGTAGTTCATGGAGGTCCCTTTGGTCCTCCTCTTTCATGGCGGCACGTTCCAGATCGCGATTCTTAGACTTGACCTCCTTGAGAGATCGGTGTGCTTCCGCGAGCTGCTTGCGTAGGCCACGCAACTCTTCATTGAGCTTGTTAGAGGGCGAATTCTGTGCAGAGCCGGAGTCGAATTTATTCATGAGGGCGTCATGAAGGTCTCTTTCCAAGTCTGAATTTCGGGATTTCCAGGCGCGCACAGCTGCTTTGTGTTCCTGCAGAAGAACCTTCTCACGCTTACGGGCCTCATCCAGGCTATGACGGAGAACAGACAGATCACCATGTGTGGTAGACTGCTCGTGCTCAGCTAGTGGTTGTTGTGCGAGAAGCGTCTCCAGCTCCTGGATTCGCCGTTCGAGTCGTTGCACCTTTGTCTTGGCGGATGTCAATTCCCTGTCCCGGTTTCCAGAGCCAGCGAGCAACTTATCCTGAAGACGATCGATTTCAGCTGAAAGGCGACCTTGTTCCGCCGTAGCACTTTCGATCTCGAGCCCAAGCTGACCCTCGAGGGTTTCCTTGGCTTCCAACAGGGCACACTTATCATCTCGAAGACGTTTCAGTTCGTTCTCTAAGCGAGTGGTGGTCTTCCGGAGTTCGAGCTTTTCACGGTCAAACCGACTTGTTTCATCGCCACTCTGCGCGCGTTCAACCTGGGTCTGGAGTTCGTCTCGCTCGGTCTCCATCTCAACCAAAGAGGTCCGCAACTCATGCAACTCAACATGAGCTTGGGCAAGCTGATCACGAGCTTTCTGCAATTGAAATTCCATATCGGTTGAACCCTTTTGAGATCGGCCCTTGGCATACTGTTGCTCCTCTGCTAGGCTAGATTGTAATACAACAACTTCGTCTTCCAATGCCTGGATCTTTTCCTTGAGTGATTGCTCCTCGCGCTTGGAGATACGAAGTTCCTCTCGCACAGTAAGAAGGTCGTTCCGTTGTTCGTCGATAATTTGTCTCTTCAGTGCCAGATCGTCACCGAGTTCTTTGATTTGGCGGCTGAGCACAGCTTCTTCCTGGGTATGGCGCTGCTTCTCACTGTCGATAGCATCCTGAAGCTTGTGCTCCTTCCCTGAAAGACTGTGTTCCACTGCCTGGAGTCTCTCGAGCGTTCGCTTGTAGCCTGATGCTTGCTCTTCAGCCCGCTCCTTTTGAGATTGCAATGTGCGCTTGGTGCTGTCCCAACGGTCTTGCTCGAGGGCAAAGTTGCCTTCTTTGTCCTCTATCTCATTCCGAAGAACTTCAATCTCCTCCCGAAACCGGTCTAGCTCCACCTTGTGTTGCCAGCGCAGATTCTGATTATCTTGAGCACGTGTAGTAGCCTCCTCGACTGCTTGTTGAAGTTCGCGAATCCTGGACTGCGCTCGAGTCAATTCGCCTTGAAGACCTCCTGACTCGTCAGTCAGGGCTTGGTGTCGAGTTTGTAGAAGTTCCTTCTCTTCTGTCTGGCGTTGGGCATCATCAAGGGCTTCTTGTAGGCGCATCGCTGTCTGTTCACGATCCCTTACCGCCGAGTCCCGTTCATGCCTGGCCAATTCCAAGTCCTCGCCCAGCTTTCCGGCATTGCTCTTCAAGTCTTGCTGGAGTGTACGGTAGCGCTCTTCCAACTGAGCGACTGAACGAGCTTTGTTCTCAAGTTCAGCCCTGAGCGTTTCGTTTTCTCGCTGCAGATCATGCATATCCACCTCAAGCTGTTCAGCTCTCTCTTCAAGCTGCCGACTAAGTCCCTTTGTGGTAAAAGACTTGTTTGACATCTCGTCCTGCAATTCTCGGAGATCATCTTCAGCACGATCCTTATCCTCCACAGCCTGTCTTGCTGTGTAGGCCGCTTCCTCCACGTCTATTTTCGCCTTCTCGAGACTATCTTGGAGTTCCTGGAGATGCTCCTTGGCCCGGTCAAGCTCAACTTGAAGTTCTGTAGCTGCGTCGTTCTCGTTGGCATTCTCTCTCAGCTCCTCCAATTGCTCATCGCGCTCGTCGATTATCCGATCTTTTTCTCGGACCGCCGCTTCCAAGTCCTCAACGTCGTCTCGGAGTTTATCGATCTCCTGGGATTGCCCGTCCTTGGCCAGTCTCAACTCTTCTCGTAGTTCTCTGATCTCCTTGTCCCGGACATCGACCTCATCGCGCATCAAGTCCATTTCCTGCTGTACCTCCTCATCGGTCTGTCCTCGTCGGGCTTTCTCTCTCATCTCCGCAACCTGTTGGCGGTAATCCTCCAAATCGCGTTCTGCTTGTAGTAGGCTTTTCTTGTACCGAGAGATATCGCGCTGCATAGTTAGCTTTGTAACTTTGAGATCGGTGTTCTCTTTGAGTGCAGTGCTGTTGTATTCGGGGCCGGCTTTTTCCAACTGCTCTTCGAGGTAGTGGATCTTCAGCTTGAGATTCCAGTTGTCCTTGTCAAGCCTGTCGATAATCTACAAAAGTCAGCGCACATTCCCATGATATGCCGGGTAGGATGACATACTCTCTCTTGTTCTTTCAGAGTCATATTTTGACCATCGCCCAGGACGCCTCCACCTCCGCGGCCGAGTCCTGGAAGAGGAGTACTCTGCACACTGCTGCTGGCGGCTTGAGGAAGCGGTGTCGGTTCATCGGCCGTCATATCCTCCTCGTATATATCAGACATGTCGATGGGTGGTAGCCCAGGGGTATGGGCCAGGCGACTGGTGTCTCGCAAGTAACCCGGAGTCTTCGGACCGTCCGCCCCTCGAGTGGTCGAGATATTTTTGAGGTAATTGTTCTTTGTCGCGCTTTTCATCAGAGGCGTAAACTCTCCCCTGGCTGTTCCTGCTGCAGGGAGGTGTCTTAACGCGCTTCTTGTTGATTTGGGATTGTTGGCGCGCGGGGTGCCGAGTTTGTTGCTATCAGAGACGCGTTTCCTCCCATTGTTAAAGCCTTTTATCACGTCGTTGTCCTTCGACGGAGTATGAAATGAGTTCTCCACTGAGTCCAGAGCCGATAAGTGTGTCCTGCCGACGCTGCGAAAGCCGTTGGTGAGATAAGTCGCGTTCCCGTCAATTTCAGTGCGCGGCGTGTCGATGTAGGGGAACGCCATTATGGCGGAACAAAGTGACGGGACGTGTCAGTACCGATTAAACACGCAACCACCACCTTCACAGAGAGCTCAGATATAGTTGGGAAAGCACTTGGGCAGGAACGTGTTGTGTTCATGCTGCGAAGCGTCGGAGACTGTTGATGTCTAGCCGCATTGGGCTTAGCGCGCGTTGCGAGTGGATCCTCGACTTTCGCCGCTTTTTTTTCGAGATTGGCATTCCATGAGGTCATGGTCGCATTGGATCTTCAAACTTCATGATCATGGCGACTGAGGAGGATATTGCGTGGTTTAAATCCACTTTTCGTCCTATTCCTAAGCCAGAGCTCCCGGATGACTCTGTCGAGTACTTCATTTACCATTTGCCTTCCCCCGCCCCCGCCGTTATCGACGAAGCTGCCGAGACTAGGGCCCGATTGCTGGAGGTGCAGCGCACCGCCGCAGAACTGACCAAGGATCTACTCAAAGACTACATCTGGCAACGAGAAGGCTTCCGGCTGGAAACAGTTAAGGATGATGGTAGAGAATCCCCCATAACGAACTATTTTGTCCATTTGACTGATACCGATTGCAGGAATCACCTATCTTAGCGGCCGCACCAACTATGGCGACTCAATCGAAGATGAATGGGTTGTGGTATATCTTCTACGCGAATTAACCAAACGACACAAAGACATCTGGGTTAAGGTTGTCGATGGTGATGGCGAGTTCCTGCTTATCGAAGCTGCGGGCACACTTCCTGCCTGGCTAGAGCCCGAAGTTGCAGACAACAGGGTAAGCTCGAATTGTAGACACTTGTTGAAGATAGGGAAAGCTAACTCAGGCATTCTATCTCACAGGTCTGGATTAACCAAGGAGGTCTCAAAATCATCAAGCCTAAACAAACTCCTGGGAAGCAAGTAACCGAGAAACTCTCCCTTGCGCAGGCACGAAAGATCATCCAGGGCGAACCGGATCGCTTCATCAAGTCCACCATGATACAAGAAGAGGCCTTCTATAGGTTACGCAACTACCCTAAACAAATTTCCGAGAATCTTCATTCAGCAATTGTGACCATTCCCCGCAAGGTCGCATTCCTCCTCCACCAGAAGCCAGGATATATATCGCCAGCCGTGGAGGCATTTTACGTCCGTGATCCAATTGCTTTGCGCCCCCTTCGTGCCAAGGATACATCCGGCCTTACCTTCAAGCCGGATGACATGGTTACAGTAAGCGTCCGTTTCACGCGCGTTGGGTATGCCCAGGTCAAAAGCCAAGAATTTCCCATTCCAAGCACCTGGGCGGGTAAGTTGCCACCAATAGACGAGGACAAAGCATATGCTCGGGCGGAAACCGGAATGAAGCTTGCGTGTGGGTTTGAAATGTTACTCTACGATCCTCACCATCAGGATAAAGCTGCTGTCAGAGAGATGAAGCTCCTCTTGGAGGATGTGGAGACCGGCGACGAAGAGCTACCAACAAACGAAGACATCGAAAAGACATGGGACACAAGAGAGGACGATGAAAAATGGCTAGATATCAACTTCGAGGATCTGGATCGAGAGCTCAAAGGCAAAGGCAAGGGCAAGGGCAAAGAGGGGGGCGGAAACTTTGGTGATGCTGGTGCACAAGAGAACCTGCAACGAATTGTGGCTCGCTTTGACGAATTCCTGAATGACACATCAGCTGGCTTCGATGGAGCCGAATTTGATGACTTTGAAACTGATTCGGACGTTGATTCCGACGATGACGATGAACTCAGCAGTGACGGCGAAGACAAAGATGCATCATTCAACGAAGAAGAATTTGCCCGAATGATGAAAGAGATGATGGGCATGCCATCCGCATCGGGTGAAGGCCCGGACCTCTCAACCCCATTACGCAACCGAATCAAAGAGCTTGAAGCCGAGGATGACGAGCAAGATGACGAGTTGGAACAGATCCAGGAACTCTCTCGGCAGATGGAGGTCGAGCTGAAGAAAACCGGTGTCCTGGATCTGAACGGAAAACAAAAGAAGCTATCACCTGGAGATGATGCTTCTAAAGGAAAAGGTGCCGAGGGAGCCGAGGATGATGACGATGAGAATGTCAATATCAACCTCGCCAAGAATATCTTGGAGAGTCTACAGGGACAGGCCGGTACAGCGGGCCCTGCAGGGAATCTACTGTCGATGATGGGTCTGCATATGCCTAAAGACGATCGGAGCTAAGGATCAATGAGGTTCAACGGAATTTTTCCGTTGCTTGTGAATGATGAATCCAGTCTACGTATTCTCCCTCGCGGCCTTGCCCATCACTTCGGCTACTTTCCTTGAAACCTACGGGCTATGAGACATTCCCCGTTCTAAATGAGTGGTCTCGGGACTCGACCGGTGTACAGGCAGAGCCCCGCTGCAATTACCTAAAACTGAGGCTCCAAAACACACACAGATTGTGACCGGAGAAGCGGGATCAACAAACTTCTTGCCTTTGAGAGTACCTAGGACTCGCCACCAAGACCATAATGTTTGTCTGATCTCTTTCAAAGAGGGCTACTCAGCCAATGATGATGTAACAGAAAGAAATCAGCTCCTATCCTTATTTATATTTCCATGGTTCTCTAGGATGTCAAGCAATGGCCACGTTCCAGGGAACTCACACGAGCAGCATAATCAAATCAGATCTGTATGGTCCCTCGGGGAATTCTGACAAGACTCCACGTTACCCACCCGGTGTGCCTAGAGCAGTAGGTCAAGTAAAGTGTTGCCTCTTAGAGTTTCTCCGGTCCCCACCCGCCGATAATCGCGCAGACCCCGATCGCGAAAATTTTAATTGGGACTGGCTTTTGATCAGCGGACTTGATGTTGTACCATTGCATACTGTGGTCTAGTCATAATAGCCAATGGCTTTGCTTTGTAAGGTGATGCAAGTCTATAACATGGCATGTGATCTGTGCCGTGAAACATGAAAGAGACCATGTGGGGTGAATCTGATCTCAGATGGAAATCCTTCAGCTTCTACAACTACATACAGTTTCCGAGCTCCCGAGGAAGTTACCAAGTGAACACCGACGGGGCCAATGACCTCGGTAATAAGGTCGCAGGGCAAAAGTGGCCCATTTGCCGTGTCCATAAGGAAAACGGCAAGTCGCCTGAAAAGCACGGAGTACAGTGTTCATATTTGGAAGTCGGTAGCCCCGGTCCCCATAGTCTCCATACGTATTATTAATATCGGCATGGCTCGACCCATCCGCCCCTCAGGCCGTTAAGCTGTCGTGTGCCAATTCGTCCCAGCGGAGTCGAATAAAATTAGAAAAGAAAGTGGGAAACGCAAGACACAGAACAGAAACCTCGAACGCGTTATTGTGGGTAGGCGGGTAAGGGAAAAATCGATGGAAAACCAAAATACTGGAGCCGGCTCCATAGCTCCACGGGCTAGCGGGTTCGATTGGGCGACAATCGGTAAGCTAGGCAGTCACCGGATCCATGGCTTCTACAGACAGTTTGTTTTGGAGTTAAATCCCTCATTCATTGTTTTGATTTGGGGTGGAAAGAGGCTTGCGATTTCGGAGTTGACGGGGGAAAGGCATCCTCTGAGTAATGTGCCGGCATTACAGCTGTTTGTCCTGTTGCCTGTATTTTTGAATCATTATCATTCCACCAGTCGATGTATTGTTCTTTAGTGTTTTATATGGTGCTTAATAAATACTATTCCTTCTTTTAGTTATAATGAGGTTATTGAGGTAATATAGATTTCCTTGGAATTGGTTTGGAATTGGTTTGGAATTGGTTCTAGCGTTCCCATACATCCACATGTACCGAACATACGAACGTTTCAACAATCGGAAGTACCCACAGTAGATTATGACAGCGAAGTTTATACTACTTCGCAATGAAGGTTTTACAGTTTAGAAAACCGTTGTAGAGTTAAAAAAGTTGACAAGAATGTCAGACTTGGCACGTACATGTACCTGCATCACCTTGAAGAACAACCGCCACCACACACTTCTACCTTGAGGTAGTATAAGCAAAAAGTTGAGGCCAGAGAGAATCGAACTCCCAACCTTCAGGAATTTCCTAACTGGAATCTGACGCCTTACCATTAGACTATGGCCCCCATTGGTTGATTTTCCGATTCCTTATTACGACTCCTGAACCTACCAATGAAACCAGGTTCTTCAACTTGTTATCCACTTGACCAGCCAATGATAGTTCCGGTAAAGCATGACAAAGAGATTCGGCGATGCGGCACGCGTCGATTACTCGGAAGAGCGATGTTCCCTCCATCTTCCATTTCCCCCCACTTCCTTTAGCCGCCATTGGTTCCTTCAGGGAATGGGGTGAGGGGGGAAACAGGGATCCGGAGCGCGATCGTATATGCCGGTGTATACAAGTAAGACCGCCACCGAGGGTCCTTCATGTACTTTTGAGACTAGTCTGCCTGCTTTACCAAGTTTTGGGAGGGGTTCTACATTCTAGATGCAAGACGAGGAAACAGACTGGCTTACATCCCTGTCCGCGGTACCGGCGACTTATATCGCGGCCAGTAGCCGTGTCCCAGCGGTGTGGGTAAAGGGCTAGAAGGATCGCAGTTGAGCAATCATGATTGAGATGAAATAAACTCCGAGCCCTAAGAGTTGCCGATCGGGGAGGATGGGAAGAGGGGGGAGAATGCGGGCATAAAGTGATGACGTTGCGAGAAGATGACAATGCATGATAGCGTTAACGGCCCCCAAGTGATAATAATCTGGCAAGAATACGAGGATCTTCATTCGAGAATAAGCCAGTCAAGGTTTAGATCCCTGTTGTTGCTAATCGCCCTAAAGTTCGGGATCCTTCTCCTCCTAGCCCCTCCTATATCGGCTAGCGAGGAAATATAGAAAGGTTCTGGAAGTTGGGATCCCAAAACAGAGAAGATCAACAGATCATCGAACCGAAGGGGCCGCAGGAAGGGAAATCCTCGGGACTAAGATTAATTCAGGGTGGAGAGTTGAGTTTCCGGGGACACATCGATGTCTTCCCTGGTATACCCGGAGTCACGTAGCAAATCGGAGGATTGGGAATCAGCCTTTCATGAGTTATAAGTGCTCAATTACAAATTGTATTATCAATGATAATTTCCGGAGTCAATATACCTTGAAACGGAAGGTAAAACATTCAACCCTAAAATCCCAGCCACCGGGGCAAAGGAATTAGAGAAAAAGAAAAGAAAAAAAAGTGATCGGCCTTGGACTGGTCCAGCTGATAGATCGACTCAAGCGTTCAATACAGGCTAAACGCCCCTGTTTGCAGCCACCATTCTTCCTCGGTCCTAACGGGACTAGGACACGGGAACACGTTGGGTAGTCAATTCATCTGCAGTCGGGCCGACTGCTTCACATGCTAATATAATAGAAAAAAAATATTTGTAAAAAATAAAATAAAATAAAAAAAATTAGTTAATTACTGGAGTCGCATAGCACAGACTACTGAATCAAAATCAGAAATGACACGGATATACGAGGTTTCACTACGGAGTACAATCTCACGGGGAACACGGAAAGGGGCCCCAGTAAGGAGAAAAGAATGTGAGATATCAGTATAAGAGTGAACTACGTAGAAGGCTTAACACAAAGAGATAACGAAGTACGGAGTACATAAGTCTGTCCTAGATCCTGGGACTGAAGAGTTTCCCCAACTAATCAGAAAGTGTTCAATCGAGAAAAGCCTCAGTGGAGTCAAAGTGGAGTTGTTCTTTTCTTCCATCGACCTTCCATTCGTCTCAGAAAGGGAGGTTTTCACGAGTCTGGTTGGGCTCCACTCGGCCTTCGACCGAAGCCGACACGGCGGAAATCCAAATGTAACTTTGGTCCGTGGCAAAAGAACCCCCCTTCCTATATCACGGCCTTTTCGCCTTTTGTCATTCCACTTGGCTCTCTCATATCTCGCCCTTTCCCGGGAACCTGGTCTGTGGATATCTCCCCGGCGCATTCCAGCCTTATATCGCAATGATGGCCTGAACTGGTTCTGCTGATCCGCCTCCAGATCCGCCATGGATTTTCTCGTGAGTTCCCTCATTTCCCTCACCACCCCACAGCCATGGCTAAGACCTCGATGCAGCTTTCTTTAACGCACTTCTGTGAAGTGCATGGCCCAACCTCCATCATCTGCTCCCAGGTCACCCCGTTCGCCTGTTCACAATGCCATCCGGATGCGGATCACTCTCCGGACAATAGCCCGGCCAACTCACCTCGCCCTAAATCCCCCAATACACCTGCAACGGCCGATTTCAATGGTTCCAAGGTCGAAAAGATCGAGGATCACCCTTATTTCATGCGACCGCAGCTCGCCTCACCCGAAGAACGGAATACTCGCGCCGGGAGTGTGGACGGCGACACATGCGCCAGCTGTAGCTTGTCTCTCCCAGAAGGAGTGAGCAAACAGCTCCCTTCACCCAGTCGCGACGGCAAGTCCAACAATGGCAGTCCAGTCCTGCGCTCCCGTGAGGTCGTCTACTCATGCGGTAACAACCACTGCGACTCTGATGATCACGCCCCCGACCCTCACGCTCATGCATCACCGCCCGATTCTCTACACTCCTCCTCAGTCGCTTCTGACTCCTCCTGCCACTCGCATATCCTGACCTATCTCTCTCTCCGGGGCCCACCAAACCCCACCGATTACGCACTATTGCGCCGGTCCTCTATCCGCACTCTGAGCTGCGAACTTCTTCCCCGTGGTCTCTCCTCCGGTCCAATTTGCTTCGGCGACTCCGTTGCAGGCTACACAATTGCCTACATTTTCCGTCTTCCCGACCCCATGGCTCGTGGCAAACGACGCAGCTATGCCCTTGTGGCTCTCGCTGGAAAAGATGCCGGAAGGGCATTCCGAGCGTGTCCCGTCATCTGGCGAGCCTTCGGTCGTATCGCAACTGGCATTGTGAGCGCAGCAGAACGATTTCAGGAAGAGGAAAAGAAGCGGGAGGAGCAAACTAACCCTGGAGGCAATCCCGGCGGTCGTCAATTCACACCTGTGTCCTCCTTCCTAACCGGTCGAGCTTTTGACCCGACCGGGCAGCCACGCCGGCTTGGTCAGATCCGTGCGCGCAATTTAGCCGAGATCGTCGGCAATGAATACATTTTCACCGAGATACATGCTCATTTTGTTGCGCTCCTACAACAACTCGGGTCGATGTTCGGCGGTGTTCCTATCTCTGATGAACGCTACGTCTGCAGTACGATGGGTGATGAAGAAACTACTGGCGCTAGCCAGCCAGTTCTCGTCTCCGCCGCCGCCCGCTCAAAGCGTAATTCCACTGCTACCAAGTACGATGGCAACGACATTGATATGTCCAAGTTGGACATATCTGGGCCCAAGCCTATTCCAATTAACGCTCGCCGGTCCGTCGTGGCCTAGAGTTCGTTTCCCACCTTTTTTTTTCTCCGACATCAACACCTTTGAGATACCCCGCCTGCATGTTTTTCCTTTCCAGGCACATTTTACTTGCTTTCTACTCTGCGCTGCTTTGATTGGTTCCTAGCGATTATTTTGATTTTTTTCTTTCTCTCTGCATACTCGTGCTTTTCTGTATGATGGATACGGGGCATAGACTATGGCGTCTCACAGACAGGGATCGGAGTTTTTTTCTTTGAGTGTTTTAGTTTTCTATTCTTTCCTCTTGGATTATCTCCTTTCGCTTGCCTAGCCTGGGACCCTTGGCTTATGGGTTCGGAGGTTGGTTTGTTGATTGGGGAGTTGACGATGCAATGAGGCATTCAAGAGATATGTATTTTATGTATTATTGGACACGATAATGACAGCCGAATCTCGGGCTGATACTTTTAATATCAACTGTACTAGTTATCAAGTTTGAAGCTATTTGATTCACAGTCGACAATAACCCTCGTAGCATAGCTATATCTAGGCGCAGTCTTAATACGACAAATTATCTATCATTATGCAAGGTTCATGCCAGCTGTTTCAAAGAACGAACTGAGACGTACGAGATACACACCTGGGCACATGCCAAACTTTAATTTTCAAGCTAACACATGAAGACCTGTGCAATTTACAGCTCACAGATGGAGATAAAGCTGCGAGGTATTAGTATATTCCTGTATTTCGGTTAAGATACTTAATAAAGTCGTTGAGAAAACAGCAAAATGTAGATTAAAGCAATGGGATATAGTTCGGGCGGAGAAACCATCCCAATATGGTTCTTCCGCTCCCAGGGCCACAATCAAAAATCCCACCAAAAAGAACCTCACAAAGACCCGCCCTCTTCAACCCCCTCGTCAAACCAGCAAGATGGTCGCCTTCGACAAGTGTGAAACCCGACCGGCCAACATCGACGCCATTCTCAATGGCCTCGATCGGTACAACCCCGAAACCACCACAGTCTTCCAGGACTACGTGGTGCAGCAGTGCGAGGACCGGACATTCGACTGCTATGCCAACCTGGCTTTGCTGAAGCTGTGAGTCGCCTCTGATTCTATGCCCTTTTGGACACTGTCCATGAAATCTCCTGGTGTTTATTTGATGAACAATCTTTTTCAATTCACGTTTCCTATTACCTGACAACCCGTCGCGTATGGGGCTGTTGAGAATTTATCGAGTACCTGAATCTACCTCGATGCATTAGCATTGCATGGTAGCACCAGTCCTTAGCTGCTCGCATCTTCAAAACATATCAGGATCGCATTCACTGTAACTGACTCGCGCACTTCGTAACAACTAGCTACCAGTTCAACCCTCACCTTACCCAGCCTGACACCGTCACCAACGTACTCGTCAAGGCTCTGACTGTGTTCCCTTCCCCCGCCTTCTCGCTCTGCCTCTCCCTGCTCCCTGCCCACACTCAGCCTTTCCCCACTACCCAAGAGGCCCAGGCTGCTTCCCAGACCTCCGACTTCGTTGAGTCCGTGCAGAAGCTCTCCCGCCTGTCAACCCTCCTCGAGTCCGCCCAGTACACTCAGTTCTGGTCCACTCTTAACTCCGACGACCTTTACGCCGATCTGACTGCCGATGTTGCCGGCTTTGAGGAGCTTGTTCGCATCCGCATCGCCGTCGAGGTCGGCAAGGCTTTCCGCTCCATTACTACCGAGTCCCTGGAGCAGTGGCTCGACCTCCGCAACCGTGAGGCTCTTGAGAAGTTCGTCACTGATGTCTGCGGCTGGAAGGTCGATGGCACCGCGGTTTCCGTTCCCACCAACAAGGAGAACGAGGCCCGCAGTGAGGTCAAGAGCGAGCGTGTCGGTGTCGACATGTTCGGCCGTGTGATTCGCCGTGGCTTCGAGCAGACCGCATAAGCGGTTCATTGCAATTTTTAACTTTTCTTTCTTTGTTTCTTTTTCATCCTCCGTACCTTCACTTCTCGAACTTGCATAAAAAGAGTTTGAGAAGTAAAAAAAGACATGAGTTCATGACACCTCCGATCCGTGAGACGGTGATAGATTTCGCATGGAGGAGGCTCGGAGATGAGTCGGGATCTGGCGCATCCGGCGTTTCTTTTGTCCCTATTGGAATGTGCTTTATGCTTGAAATGAGCGGATGAAGGGTTGTTGCGAGAGATGTTCATACCATACCTATGCCGAGCCAATTCATCTGGCTCAAAATATAAGACATACCGATCAATATACGTAAATACACATACCTTGAACACTTGAGGGAGCTCAGTAAACAGTAAAAAGCACCCTTCAAAAATCTTATATGTCAAAGTCATGATATCTTTTTTTTCGTATCGAGACGGGCTCAACTCTCGGAAAATGGTATAATCTATTTCATCTCCTCCCACTGCACACCAGCCCACTCCTCTCTCCAACCAGTCTGCCAAAGAGCCTCAGGAGCACAATCCTTCGAGCAGACACCCATAACAATAGTCCCCCACTCCATCCCGGCATCCCCCTCCCCAAGCCCAACACCAGGACGTCCATCCTCAAGAATACTAATAGCATGCGGCACAAGCTGCACTTCAAAGACACGCTGCGCGCCACAGTACTCGCAACGCGGCATATGACCACCTCCAACAGTAGTCACACGGCCAGCCGAGTGCTCGGGATGTAAAAGCTTACCCACCGGGTCAGCATACGAGCAAAGCAGCGGGGTGCCGCGGTACTCGTAGCGCAGGACCTGTTCAGGGTTATGAGAGAGGCGAGTAGAGAACTTCATAAAAGCCTTGTCGAGCTCGGACTCGAATGTATCTTTGAGATCACCGCCAGCACCTTCTTCTTCCATTGGTTCCATTTGCACGTTGTCCGGGACGGTGGGCGTCGATGGCCGCGAGAGGGTCTCGTATTCGGCGTCTAGGAAGTAATTCTGGTATGGAGCCGGGAAGGCGGCTTGTTCGGGCCACGGAGCGAGAGCGCCTGATGATTCCGGTGTGGGCTTGAAGGTGGTGAGAGCGGGGTTACTAGCTGATGGCTCTGGAGACGAGATCCGGACCTTGTCAGCGAAGGATTCGGCGAGCGCATTGGTGGATGATTGAGCTGGGGTTGGGGCAGGAGCTGGAGCGGGAGCTGGAGCTGTGGAGGGTTTGGGCATCGCAAAGGGATTGGCAAAACCCCCCAGCTGAAGAGCCCGGATTGGAGGAGAAAGGATTGGCGTTTGCAGACACGCTGCTCGTCAACGCGGTTGCTCCAAACAGACTGGCTCCTAGGTCCCTGGGCTGCTGGGGCTGGGGTGGGGGTGGTGTGGTCTCTTTCTTTTCAATTTCCTTGGTACCTTCTTGTTCGTTTTGTTGCGGCGAAGAGTTCAGGTTAACCTTGCGAGTTGCGCGATATGCGCGAATACTGCCTGGTTTGCGGTTGCATGGCTTTCTGGGGCAGCCGAAGATATACAGGCGGCGCTCGTCGGTGGGGAAATGGTCGGGCAGGTCACCGTGCAACTCGAGCAGTAGTAACATGGGACTATTGCAGACCTTACAGTTGGCAAATTCACCCGGTGGGGCAACGTTGTCTGCAAGCCATTTCTGTTTCATTCAAGGTCTCTTAGTGTGGTTCTTCTTGGTATGGAACTATGCACATACCGGCCAGCCGCCTAGGTGGCTAACGGTGTCCTCGATAACCTCATCGTCGGCGTAACCGAGAAGAACACCGGTATCGGTAAAGTCCTCGTCGGCACTGGAGTCACTGTCGTAGGGATCCATGGTGAATTGGGGATGTTGGAAAGTCGCAAAACCCCGCTGTTCAAAAAAAATGTTGCGATAAGCGATACGATCGCCCCACATGGTAATATTACACCGTCATTGGTTGCTCCCCAACTTCATTCCATCCCCAACCTCTCAAGGGACTTGTAATCATGTCACTCTTGGGGCCTTGGAGATGCCTTTGGGCTCTGTATGTCCTGAATTTGTTCTTTTCATTTAGCAGCGCAACCCAAAAGCCTTTACAGACAGTCATAGATGCCGCCCCGAAGCGGGTGGCTGTCATCGGTAGGCTCCATAGCCCAGATAGATATCCAATCGAAATCCCATCCAAAGCCCATTGAAATCCCATCGATCAGACCTGCTAATGCCAGTATACAGGAGCTGGAGCTGGAGGCTCCTTCGCCGCATATGAATTGCGCAAGCTCGCAGACGCCTCAGGCATCCCTGTCAATGTCACCGTATTTGAACGTGCCTCGTATATCGGTGGACGCTCGACAACGGTCGATGCATTCGAAGACCCTGCATACCCGATCGAGCTGGGCGCTTCGATATTTGTAGAGGTCAATCAAATCCTCATGAACGCATCATACGACCTGGGTCTCTTCGTCCTCGGCGCAGACTATGCCAGACCTAAGCAGACCGACGACACTATAGGAATTTGGGATGGCTCCAAGTTTGTATTCACAGTGCAAGACACCTCCAGCTGGTGGAACATCGCCAAGCTATTCTGGAGATATGGGCTGGCACCGTTGCGCACTCAGAATCTTATGAAGGAGATTGTGGGTAGATTCCTGAAGCTCTACGAGGAGCCAATGTTTCCTTTCCGATCACTGTCGGAGGCAGCAGCAGCGGTCAATCTAGTCAATGTAACCGCTTCCCCGGGAAATGCATTCCTCAATGCAAACTCGATTTCGGAGTCATTTGCACGAGAGATCATCCAAGCCAGTACGCGGGTGAACTATGGCCAGAATCTGGCGCTGATCCACGGGCTTGAATCCATGGTCTGCATGGCGACGGATGGCGCCGTATCCGTTCATGGCGGGAACTGGAGGATATTCGATGGGGTATTGAAGGCTGCCAAGACCGAGGTCCGGTTGAATACGACTGTCACCAATATCGTGAGAAGTAAGGAAGGTACTGTGCGAGTTACCTCCAAGCCAACTTTTGATCTTGACTCGGCACTATCGGATTCAGATGAAACCGAATTCGATGAAGTCATTATTGCTGGACCGCTGCAATACTCCGGTATCTCAATCTCCCCACCTCTAGAGCGGGTGCCGGATGATATCCCATATGCTAAACTTCATGTCACGCTTCTTGCCTCGCCGCACCGGATTTCATCTCAGTTCTTCGGCCTTGACGACAAAACCTCACCCCCGGAGACAATTCTTACTACTCTTCCCGAGGGACTCGACCTTGGCACCAATCCGAAGGGTGTTGGGCCTGCTGGGTTCTGGAGTGTCAGCACCCTCCAGGAGGTGCCTCGAATCATTATGAAAGATGGCAAGGAGCAACACGAGGATCACTACGTCTACAAGATTTTCTCCCCAGAGCGACCAACCGCTGAGTTCATTGCCGAACTATTCGGGATCGATTACTCTCGTAAAACCTCTAGCTCAGAAATCGCTGGTCTTGATAACTCGACCATCGCCGATCTCCCCAAGAGCGAGGTTAGCTGGTTTCATGAGAAGGTCTGGCATCCATACCCTCTTATGTATCCCCGCGTGACGTTTGAGGAGGTTCTTCTGGCGCCCAGTGTCTGGTACACCAGCGGCATTGAAAGCTTTATATCCACAATGGAGACCAGTGCTCTGATGGGTAGGAACGTGGCTGCGCTTATGATTCAATCTTGGCAGAGAGAAAAGGATGAGAGAGGCGATCAAAGCTCTTCAACTGGAAGAACTGAGCTGTAGCTCGTCCTCCAACGTCAATATTGAGTCTCAGCCTGCCGATATCACCGCTTCAGTATTTTCCTTATCCGAGTTATTGGCTCCCACTCCTGCTTCTGTTTTGTCTGGAAATAAGGTTCAGATATCTGTCTTACGAGTATCAGTACATCTAGCATAAATTTGATATATCACCGAGTCACCAGCAATTGTTGTACTGGTAGCAGCGATAAGTATCTCTGATCAATTCTCAGGTGGTTTACCTGGCCTTGCGAAGGAATGGGAAAATTGAACTCAATTCTTCTATGCACATGAATCATAACCTCGATAAATCTAATCCGATATCGACATGGGAAGGCTTTTCTATTACATCCTATAACCCCTCAACCCAAAAGCTAAACTTGAAAAAACAATAATGAACCATTTGATGGCAATATTTACTCCATCTCGATGGTACCCGGGGGCTTGCTGGTGAAGTCGTAGCAGACGCGGCAGACACCGTCAACCTCGTTGACAATGCGAGTCGAGACCTTGGTCAGGAATTCGTAGCTGAAGGGGTAGGGAGTCGCGGTCATAAAGTCACGGGTGGAGATGGCGCGGAGGAGGATGATGTTCGCGTAGACACGCTTGTCACCCATAACACCGACGGCGCGCGAAGGGTCAAGGGCGGCGTAGGCCTGGCCAATATCGTCGTAGAGACCGGCCTCGCGGATCATGGAGATGAAGATGTTATCGGCCTTACGGGCCATCTCGACCTTCTCCTTGGTAACCTCGCCAAGAACACGGATGGCGAGACCAGGGCCGGGGAAGGGGTGGCGGCCAACAAGCTCAGCAGAGATGTTCATCTGGCGACCGAGCTCACGGACCTCATCCTTGAACAGCTCACGCAAGGGCTCAATGAGCTTAAGACCGTGGCCAGCCATCAGGCGCTCAGCAATACCACCGACGTTGTGGTGGGTCTTGATAGTCTGCGAGGGACCCTTGAAGGAGATACTCTCGATGACATCGGGGTAGAGAGTGCCCTGCAAGAACCACTCGACCTTACCGGAACTCTCGGCCTCAATTCTCCGGGCCTCAGCCTCGAACACATCGATAAACTTACCACCAATGAACTTGCGCTTCTTCTCAGGGTCATTCTCACCCTTAAGACCAGCGAGGAACTCCTCACTGGCATCAACAACAGTCAGGTTGATACCCAGTTGCTCCTGCAGCACAACCTTGACGAGAGCGCACTCGTTCAGACGCATGCAACCGTTGTCAACAAGGACAGCGTGGAAACGGTCACCGATGGCCTCAGTCATCAGCTTAGCAGCAACAGTAGAGTCGACACCACCGCTAACGGCACCAATGACCTGACCGGTGGGGCCAACAAGCTCACGAATGCGCTTAACCTCCTGACCAATGAACTCAGACATGGTCCATGTCTGCTGGGCACCACAGATGCCGACAGCGAAGTTCTTCAGAAGCTGACCACCCTGGGGAGTGTCTATTGACCGACATATTAGTACCATTAGCAAGCTAAAGGCATAGGCATCGAATATAAAACTCACGGGTAACCTCGGGGTGGAACTGGATGCCGTAGACAGGGTCGGACTTGTGGGCAATGGCAGCGTACTCAGAGTTCTGGGTCGTGCCAATGGTGTGGAAGCCCTCGGGAAGGTTGCAGAGCTTGTCACCGTGAGACATCCAGACGGTCATGGCATCCTCGAGACCCTCGAAGAGCTTGTCAACGTGACCACCGAAGCGAGTGGCCTTCAGATCAGCGTGACCGTACTCACGAGCGGTGCCAGCGACAACGTTGTCGGCGTGCAGACGGTGAGCGATCTCCTGGAGACCGTAGCAGATTCCCAGAATGGGGACACCAAGCTCGAAGAAGGCGGGGTCAATGTGGGGAGCGTCCTTCTCGTAAACGGAGTAGGGACCACCGGACAGGATGACACCCTTGGGCTTCCAGGTAAGGTCGGCCAGCTTTTGGGTGCAAGGAAGCATCTCACAGTAGACGTTGATCTCACGGAGACGGCGGGTGATAAGGTGAGTGCTGCAGAGAGGGTGCGCATTAGAAAATCAGGTCCCAATGAGTCAAACCAAGGACCAATCTTGGTGTAATGGGAGGAACCCATACTATTGAGAGCCATTGTCGAGCACCAAAATGGTGTCGAAGGCGTTGTGGGGGATCACCGCGGAGGACATTGTGAAGTTTCAATTACCAGAGGTAAATGATGCAAATTGGTATATGATGATCCTGTAGCTAAACAAGATCTTGAATAATCTGCAGGAACAAGCTCCCCCGGAGAATGCAATGGGGAAAAGAATTTCCAAATTTTATAGAGGGGCAGCCGATAAGAAAAAATTGAGTCAATCGGCCTTGATAGTTCACCGCCCACATGATGAGGGGCAGGCGGTGAAGCCTTATCGATTACAGCCCTAGATCTATACAGTTCACAGTGCACACAATTAGTGGGCTTCTATTGGATATGTATAATTGGTTGAGATGATGATATACTAGGTATATATGTGTGGGATAGTCAAATGTTACCAATCCGCCTCGCTGTCACTGCCTGGGTAGGCCTTCTTCCTCAGTTTCCAGAGGGATTTCTCACGTCGCGCATTAGCCTCACGCTGATGCCGGCTATTGTCTTCTACAACCTTCATCCAGGGCACATTGCTCGCGCGACGGATCCTGTCTCGAAGGAGCGCAAGCGTTTGATTGTGTTGAGTTTGATCAGCAGCAGACTCTCCGCCCTTTTTAGCACGGGCAACAACCTGCTGATAGCGTCGTTCCGCAGCCCGAGCAGCATAGTATTCTTCGCTCACAGCCCAATTAGGACTATCCAGCTGGCCGCGGACCAACATGAGGCTGTGCCCTTGCTCAATAGCCTCACGAATATGTGAAGACGGAACAGGGGTGGAGAGCTCAATCTTCTGAGAATGAACATCCACCGAACGGATTAGTGCAAGACCAAGGCAATTTGAGGCCTTGGGGTTCAATGGGGTGCAGCTCCCAGACCCAGTGAAGAGATAGGGTAGACCCTCGGGTGTTCGGACAATGCTATCGGCAGCAGACAAGGACTCCAAGCTCTTGACTTGAGGTTTCTCTGAGTCCATGTCCATATGGTCAGCAGTAGACTCACTCTCATCCTCTGAAATGTCGACAGGAGCTTTAACTGAACCAGAGGATGAGGCGCCAGTAATCGCATTTGAGGATTCGATCGCCACCAAACCGACAACAGCTCCTTCCAAAACTTCACGGAGCATGTCCGGGCTGATCTGGGAGCCCATGACCATGATACCCAGAATACCCTGCTTTGAACCGGCGTAATCCACAGCCATTGGCCTTGTGCGTGACAGAGGTGTTTCCGACCAAATCGGGTTGCTGATATCCGTAGAATGAGATGAGTGGAAATAGGACTGGATTTGCATTGAGCGTAATTGTGCGCTTGAACGGCTCACAAAGTCGGTTGGCTGGGATGGCAAAATTGTCATCGGGACCCGAGCCTCGTTTGCAGCAAACCTTAGAGGCTCCACAACCTCCTGAGGACCTTTTTCGCTCATATAAACGACGTCAGAGAGGCCAAGGCATTTGACCAACCATGTGGCCACCTCTAATCCCTGCCCGAAGATCCAGCCCGGGTAGTTAACAATCAAAGGGCATTGTGGATACTGTGCCAGCAAAGAGTGGTACTGATCCAGAAGATCCATTGTAGCCAGAGCATAATGGTCAGAATCCTCTTTCGGGGAAGTTGCTCCGATATGATGAGCTCGCAAAATTTTACCATCGCAAGAGTCTAGTGACGGGTGGGTGAATGGAGGGCCAAAGAATGGAGCCCGGAGGTGTGCGAGATAAACCTGTCCCATAGGCGCAAACTCTGGCTGCCCCGGATCTAGGTCAAGGAAAGCAACACCATCGGTATTGGTGAATCCGTTTTCTGTTTCTGGGGCAGGGCTGAGAACATGGTTCAGCAGGTATCTGCTGAAAGTAGACTTTCCAGACGCTTTTGGACCGCAAACCAAGACTCGCAGGCTCCCTTGTCGCTGAGACAGTGCTTTCATGGATGCGCTCCATTTCTTATCAAGATGAAGAGGCCGCAGATGCCGCTTCAAGGGATCCTCTCCCGATGAATAAAGCTGGGAAACATTAACCTTGAGGATTCAAAAAGAGTGTAAAGATCGACTATGGCTGACATACCACTGAAAAAGACCGCCGCGAATTCTTCGAAGCACCTTTCAAAGTAGCTTTATCCGCAGCGGTGTTCTGTCCATTCCAGATCTTCTGATATAACGGAGATACGTCCCGAAGACGAGAGAGGCCACTATTGCAGGATTTGATCTGCACCTCTGCCTCGCCGTCTACACCAGAGACACACTTGATAATAGGCAAGGAATGCGTCGAGGGGGCATAGACCCTATACACCCGCGGAGAAGGAGGCAACTTCGCACCCATAAGGCTGACAACTCCTTGTTTGACCCAAAGGTCATACTGACCCATAAGAGCCAAGTTCTAAATATATTTTAGCGCAGTTCAACTGAGGTTGAGGCCGACAACCCTACTGTCTTTTCTTTGATGCGAATGCATAGAACGCTCTCATCCGCATAGACTATGCTGTTTCTGTTCAGTCTAGCCTTAGACAAGGGGAAATTCTGCATTTCAATTGGTGTTTCTGTGGGTGATTCGTAGCCGTCGGCGTCACCAGCGACAGACGCGACCTCGTCCTCATTCATTTCTTCCGGGCCTTCGACGATGTTTTCGTCCGAATCCTCATTCTCAGATTCTTCCTCAGCTTCCGATACCTGGCTAGGCGTTTCTGAGGGGTTGGCCTGGGTTGCTCTCTTTGGCCGCCCTGTGGTTGTGTCTAAAGCGATTGGCACTTCTTGGTTCTTGGATGACCTTGTCTGGCGACCCTTGGACTCTGTGCCATTCGTCCCAGTCAATTGATCCCCCTCGAGAGATCGTCGCGGTCGTTTCGAAGGTGGTTCTGCAGCCGCTTCAACCACCACTTCGACTTTCGATGCGGTCACATTTTGCGCTTGTTGCTGCCGAGCTTTGCGAGCCGCGATGGCACTGACTGGGCCTAGGAAGTTCCATTAGCGGTGAATTCCGGTGTCAACAAGATAATGGTAGAGTGTACCAGCGCTCTGCTGTTTCTCAGCCTTACGTTTCATCATGGCAGCGTAGCAAGTCAATTTGAGATTCACGGAAGGTCGATAATGCAGTTCCTAGCTGATAAGGAAAAAAGTTGGCGAGTGGCCCGTGCGCCCGCGGAGCAGAAAAAAAGATCCGCGAAACCTCCAATTGTAGTCCCTTCAACGTCGCAGCGACTTTACGGGTTGCGATACAACACATTCAATTGGCTTTACAATTTTGTTCATACCATTAAATCATATATCACCAAGCTCGTCTTTGTGCATCCGAATTCGTGGGGCAGACCAAGCTCGACCACCGACAATTGAGCAAGAACGCCTATAGTCGCCATGGCCGCTTCATCTTCCTCCTCGAGCGACAGCAGCTCCAGTCGCTCTTCCTCTCCTGAGCCGGACAATAAGCAGAAGCAAACTTTGAAGGCGGCATCAAAGACAAAAGACGAAGTTGAAGACTCGTCAAGTTCGTCTGGTTCGGAGTCTGATAGCGAAGAAAGCTCCAGTGACATGGACACTAGCGAGGATGCTCCTCAGGTGCAGACGCCTGCTAAAAAGTAAATTAACTTTTTCTGAAATATTGGCTATCTATATGTTTCATTTGCACGAATCTAACATTTGCTACTCCAGGACAATTGCTATCGGCCCCAAGCCCTACAAGGCTCCTTCCGGCTTCAAGTCCGGAAAGCAGCAAGCCCCGCCATCCTCAACCTCTTCCTCCATCCTCTCCAACCTGAACGGAAAGAAAGTCATTCACATCACAGCTCCGTCTTTCCTCCCATTGTCGAAGGTCAAAGAGATCTCCATGTCCAAGATCGCCAAGGGCCAGCCGATCCTTTCCTTCGACGGCGCAAACTACGGTATCCCGGCTGAATCACTCCGCGAAGAAGTCCAGCAGGGAAAATCTCTGCTCACCTTCGACCAGAAAACCCAGAAATACCGCAAACAAGCCGATAACATCCCCACTTACCACATTCAGGAATTGATGGGTGTACCAGAAGCCGATAAGGCGGCGGTGGAAGCGCTCCGGGATACTGTCAAGCCCGCTCGGCCCCAGCCGAAGCACCTGAAAATGCGCTTCCGGCCTCTCGGAAGCTTGCCTGCTCCGCCCGAGACTCTGGGCTCGGACTCGGAGTCCGAGGCCGAGCCTTCTTTCAAGGTACCTGCTGGGGAGAAGGAGCGTAAGCGGAAGCACCACCACACTGATGGAGATGCTGCCCAGACGACTAGCTTGCCCAGCCGGAAGAAGTCAAGGAAGCACACAGAGAATGGGGAGGAAGAGCAAGACCATAAGAAGTCGAAAAAGTCACACAAGGATGGCGAGGAGAAGAAGCGGAAAAAGGCAAAGGCATGATTCGGTGTTAGGGTTTGTTTATTTCTTGTTTAGCTAAAAGATATCTTCGTTTCTATGACATCAGGACAACTTCAATGTACAATTTCACCCATACAATCTTTGATCTTTCGAATGATACTACGATGAATTCTTGACCGATATTAGTATGCAAGAGAATACTACACGACCATAGCCATTCTAGCATTAAAGATTTATTTCAAGATATGTAATAGGTATCAAGCTAGCGACATCCCAGTGCTGGAATTTGATACACCATTAGCTATCTCGTTCGGCCGAACGCCAAGGTAGAACCTGTCCACCGCAACATCATTACAAACCCTTATTTGGAATGATGCAGGTTGGTGTGGAAATTCTCGTGCACGCTTACAAGTTGCAACTTCTTTCCATTTGCACCAATCACACCACCCTTCTCCTCGTCATCGGAGCTACGCTCAGCAGCCTCCCATTCAGTACCAGCAGCCTTCTCAAGGTTCTTTCCGCGAGTCTCTTTCACGAAGAACCAACAGAAGACAGCAGCGACGAAATCAAAGCCCATGAAGATCAGGAAGGTGTTGGCACCCACGTTGTCGATCATATAGGGACTGGCGAATGAGAAACAGAATGATGTTGCCCAGTGTGCCAGCATGCTGACAGCTAATCCCATGGCACGGATGCGAGTCGGGAAGATCTCGGGCACATAAGCCCACGGCATAGGCCCCCAGGAGCAGTTGTACACCTAAGAATGAGTTAAATGAAGTCAAGAAATAGAAGAATAGGGATATGGACTGACCATGATGTTAAGGTAGAGCATGGCGACCGTCGCCCTTCCAGCAGACGTGACGTTTCCATCAATGGTTGTGTGCGTCTTGTCAACAACCAACGATGTAATTAACATGCAGGTGCCCATAAACACGGAACCGCCGACCAGAGACCCACGACGAGTCAGACGCTCTGAAAGGAAGAAGATGAAAAAGGAGCACGCGATAACTTTCATGGCACCGAATAAGGCAGTAAGTAGCATATCCGAATTGCCACCAGCAACCAGCTTGAAGTATTGCGGCGCGAAGACCGCGAGGGCACTGCTTCCTGTGGCATTCTGGAAGGTGAACAACAAAGGGCCGACAAAGAAGCGCAGGCGGTTAGCAGGCTCGAGAAGCTCGCGGAAAGAGAAACCTTCACGCTCAGCACGTTCCGCCTGCAGACCAAGCTGGGTTTCTGCAAACTCGTCACGAGTCTTCTGGTTGTCCCCGCCACGGATCCACTCGATCGATTTCCAGGCCTCCTCGTTGCGATTCTGGGTTGCGAGCCAACGGATTGACTCCGGGAGCGTGAAAGACAGGATGAATAGGGCACCTCCTGATACTAGTTGGAGACCAACGGGGATCTGCCACTCGCGTGTGGTACCAGAAATCGAGGCACTCTGCTCTACACCCTGTTCTGAAGCTTAGGGTCGTTCCCTCAATACACGTGAGAAGGGGGCAAAGACTTACATAGTCAACCCAGTACGCGAGGAAAACACCCCACGCATACATCCACTGGTAGAAAGAACCACAGCGACCACGGATCTCCTTGGGGGTCATCTCTGCCGAGTACATGGGAATCACCACACTCTGTGCACCCATGCCCAAACCAGCAATGATGCGGCCCACATACCAGGCTGCCAGCGAGTGTGTGTTGATAACCTGTATAATGACACCAAGACAGAAAACCCCAGTTGCACCGATGATGGTCCACTTCCGTCCATACCTATTGGTTATTGGGTAGATACAAGCTGCGGCGACAAAGGAACCTAGCTGCTCCAAGCCCACAGTGAGCGAGGAGACCTTGGACTCGTGCGCAGAAGTGTAGCGAAAGTCGGACTCGAAGGACTTGAAAGTGAGGATACCACCGGCGATACCAGCATCGTAACCCGACAGAAAAGAAGAAATGCTGTTAATCGGTCAGCTCTCTAATGCGGGCCAAGCATATACAGGCTAATACTAACAAGACGATACCAGCCAAGTGATATGCACGCCAAGTGCCCAGACGGGTATTTAGTTCAGGGAATGAAAAGAGCCCCATGATGATCGAGGCTATGGAAACGTGTGGTACAGAGTAAAGGAAACTCTGATGTCGATCCTCAGCCAAGGCGACACAAGCTGGCTACTGCGATATAAAAGAGAAATTTGGCTCGGACCGTGCCATGGTGAGTAGGTACAGGGGTGCATTTGCGTGCTCTGTAATTACGCCCTCTAAATGGAGGAAAGGTAGACATAGGCTCGTTCGCACGCACGAGCACGCCTTAGCGCGAAACGATGATGTTATGGAGCCGACAGGCGAGTTAGTTTGACCGTACCGTATAGCGTGTAAAACGACCTGGGCTGAAAGAATTTAGACCGCGCGTTCAAGGTCAGACTCTATACTACCAGTCACATCTTGGTGGCTGGTTGGGGCTTAATGCCGGTCGGTTGTCGGCTACAGTCAGTCTGGGGTTGGCTTGACGGAGAATTTACCATTTAATAGTTATATGGGGTGATCAAGCCCAAAAGTGATTGCATTCTGGCTTTATCCTTTTTTTCTCTATTGGTCTTGTGATGGTCAAAAGAAATGACTATCCTCTTTTGAGTCGAGGCGAGATGTGTTGACCAAGGCTTAGATCAGGGGATCCACGATGCTTAGCAAATGTCGATCCCCCCGCATATTCGAGTCCACATCCACATCCACAATCTATATGTACATTAAACATTACAGATGATCTGAGCATTGGCCTTTCTACTGTCTTTCTATTGTTTTAGAGGTACACTATAAGATTCTCGATTCGCTTTACAAACCCAAATCGACTACGACTCTGCAGGGCGACATGGTTACATAATCAATAGATCACCTGATGCTGTCACATGCCAGACCACCTGCCTCATATTGTTCTATTTGCATCATTTGCATCAGAATATAATGAAGATACTTGCTTACATACTTGAAAATGCATGCTTACAGATGTATAAGCCTGGGTAGGGAGACGAGACAAAGGATGCGGTGATTTATAGACTATAAGGTTATCCAGTCATTCTATGTGGAAACCACAGACCTGTAAAGTGGAGCATCAGCTCCAGGACTTTCGAAACCAGAACACGGACAATGGAATATTGGAAGGTGTTTGATTTGACAGAACCATATCTTCTTGACCGACTGGTACCTTTTATACTTGTTTTGTACGTTGTTCTTTTGTTCTTTTGTTCTTATAGTCCTGAAAGAAGTGCGGAGTACCTTGGGTGTCTCGGGCATGTATAGAGAGGTCCGAGCTTCCTTGACTTATCGCTCCCGCTTATCGTCCCCATTTGAGGCGTGGACTAGAACCTCGTGCAATCCATCTCATTCTCTCCTCACATGCTGCTATGATAACGTGGATAGCTCGTTGGGCAACTCTTTACCGAAGCCCACCTGACGTGGCCGCCCCCGATCGCCCTATCAGGAGCTGTCACCTGCGACCCTGATCCTAACCTGCCGCAGGTGCAGTCCAACCTCCCAACGTTCTCAAACAGCTTCCAACTTTCATCGATTATAACCCCATATCATCCGTTAAGATGGGACCTGGATTAGATGACGCCAAACGGCGAGTTGATCACAGGATGAGTGCGAGTATGAAAGTTCCTTCGGTACATCGACCATTTCCCGATCGGCTTCCCGAACGCTTCAAGGACGACGCAGATGCCCAAGTGGATTTCACGGCCCCACCCCAGGGAATGGGCTCTCGAGATGGAAACATGCACTATATGCAACAGTCCCTGTTCTCCATGATCGCTGCCGTGGGCTCTCGTTCTGATTTTCGGGCCCGGTTTGACGATTCGAGCGACGAGGAATCGGACGACAAGCGAAAGGAAAATCGGCCGGACCTTGCAACTCGGGAATCCTCATCACATTATAATACCAGTGAAAAACATGGATTAAATCTACGAGATGAAATTGAAGAACGAGGCCGTCGCCACCGCAGAACAATATCGGAGAATAAAGCGGTGCGGAAGCTACCTTCCCTTAGTTCAAAGGATGAGGAGAAGGACATGTCAACTCCCAGTGGTTCGGTTCTCACTCTACCTCTGAGAAGAGCTCGCAGTGCTACGCCACGCGCAGCCCCCGTTCTTTCTCGGATGGTCCAGGCACAGAATCGGTTCGACACAGCGACTGTACCCGAGAATCCACCATCGAGACCGGAAACCCCAAGCCAAGAGCGACCGCAAACCGCAGGCTCTGCCCTCTCCTCACGACTAATGGAGATGTTTGGATTTGAAAGACCGGAAAAGGTCTTGGTCGAATATGCCTGTGCATTGCTGCAAAGTATGCTTCTCCAAGGCTACATGTATGTCACAGAAGGGCACATCTGCTTCTATGCGTATCTGCCTAAAAAGTCTACTGTCGCCATCAAATCCGGCTATGTTTCGAAGCGTGGGCGGAAGAATCCAAAGTATAACCGTTACTGGTTCGTTCTGAGGGGCGATGTACTGTCTTACTATGCCGATCCCTCGAATCTGTACTTTCCCAGCGGCCATGTGGATCTTCGATATGGTATCTCCGCATCCCTTGCAGAGCCGAAATTTGAAGGCGCTGAGGTGAAAGACTTCCAAGTCAGCACGGACCAGCGAACCTTTTACTTCCGTGCAGATAGTGCCACGAGCGCAAAAGAGTGGGTGAAGGCACTCCAGAAGGTTATTTTCAGGTCTCACAATGAGGGAGATAGTGTCAAAGTATCATTCCCCATCAAGAATGTTATTGACCTGGAGGAGAGCCCTATGGCCGAATTTGCCGAAACCTTCAAAATCCGCGTGGTGGACAGTAATGAGGATTTCGCCATTGATGAAGTAAGTATCTTCTTTAAAGCCCAAGAAAATTGTCTAAAAGGTACTGACTTTGTCCTTTAGTACTTTTTTTCTTTCTTCAACTCAGGCCAGGAGGCCTTCGATTATTTAAAGAGTCTAGTGAGCTCATCTCCTGCAAGGAATCTGTCAGAAGAGTCTCGAGATGTAAACACTAGGAAAGTAGAGCCCGACGCAACTGTCGCTGATCTCAGGAGATTGTCGGATGGCCAAATCCCGAAGCAAGATCAGACATCGCGCGAGCGGAGTACAAGTATCGCCGATTCATTTGCCCATTCTGCGGATCAGGGGACAGATTCGTCGCATGTTGTACATTCCATGACCGAAACAACTGAATCGGCTAGTCAAATTCTCAATCGAAGCGATGTTTTCCAATCGCCAACCATGCGGTCCCTACCAAGACGCTCATCTGATGCTGGTGATATTGCTCAGCGGCGATCCGACGATACGGCTCGCTCTACATCTGCTCGACTGGGTTCTGCAGCACGTCGAGATATAACCAACACTCCCAGCCAGAGGTTGACACAGCGCCAACCAGCAAATATTCCGCTGAATGATCTGGTCAAGGCTGGATCGTACCCCCTCCAACGTGCTGCTGGGTTTGCCGAATACCTGAAAAGCAGATCCCGACAAATGAGCAGCTTGTTGGCAACAGAATCCATGGGCTACATCGAGAAGGTATCTGGCATGTGGATAGGTGGACAGAGGCATTATGGCGAGACTGAAGGCGTGATACCAAGGGATCATACAATTGACGCTGAAGAGGAGGAAACTGATGCTAACCATGGCGATCGGTTCCGTGCTCATTTCGCCCTCCCATCGACCGAAAAACTGCAAGCAACATATTATGCTTATTTACATCGAATGCTCCCGCTCTACGGCAAGATTTATGTCAGTGAGAGGAAACTCTGTTTCCGCAGTTTGATCCCTGGTACCCGCACCAAGATGATTCTGCCCCTAAAGGACATTGAGAATGTAGAGAAAGAGAATGGCTTCCGATTCGGCTACCACGGACTAGTTGTCATTATCCGTGGCCATGAAGAACTCTTCTTTGAGTTCAATGCCTCTGATGGGAGGGATGACTGTGCAGTTACGCTCCACCAAAACCTGGAGTCAGTCAAGTTCCTCATGGAGTCAGGCCTACTGGCAGAGGAGCGTGAGGAAGTCGAGGCAGCAAAGGCCGAGCATCAAATGCTCGAAGAGGCTCGACTTGACAGCCCCGAGGAACATGAATCGCATCCAACGCTCCATGAGGGCTCTTCTGAGATTCATCCATTCTTCGACGATCCCCGTGCTTCTATTATCAATTTCAAGCCCCCAGAGCCTCTGAGAATTACTTGTCTGACTATCGGATCCCGGGGTGATGTACAGCCCTATATTGCTCTGTGTAAGGGGCTTATTGCAGAGGGCCACAAGCCAAAGATCGCTACCCATGCTGAATTCGAACCTTGGATTCGGAAGCACGGCATTGATTTTGCTCCCGTTGATGGCGATCCTGCAGAACTGATGCGGATCTGCGTGGAGAACGGCATGTTTACTTACTCCTTCCTCCGAGAAGCTTCTTCAAAATTCAGAGGCTGGATTGATGATCTGTTGTCATCCGCCTGGTCTAGCTGTCAAGGTAGCGATCTTCTCATCGAATCGCCGAGTGCAATGGCGGGAATCCATATCGCCGAAGCTCTTCGAATCCCATACTTCCGCGGATTCACCATGCCGTGGTCGAGGACTCGCGCATATCCACATGCATTTGCTGTGCCTGAGAATCGTATGGGTGGCTACTACAACCATCTCACATACGTGATGTTTGATAATATATTCTGGAAGGCAATCGCTGGCCAGGTCAACCGCTGGCGTAACAAAGAGCTGGGTCTTAAAGCCACAAATTTGGACAGGATGCAACAGAACAAAGTCCCGTTCCTGTACAACTTTTCGCCTTCGGTGGTGCCACCGCCTCTTGATTTCCCTGATTGGATTCGGATCACTGGCTACTGGTTCCTAAGTGAAGGATCAAATTGGACCCCTCCAGCGGAGCTTTCAGAGTTCATCAATCGTGCTCGTGCCGATTCCAAGAAACTTGTGTATATCGGATTTGGATCTATTGTGGTCTCAGATCCTGCTGCTTTGACTCGGACTGTCATTGAGTCCGTTCAGAAAGCCGGTGTGCGGTGTATTCTCTCAAAGGGATGGTCAGATCGACTAGGTGACCCTTCTAGTGCCAAGGTAGAGATTCCCCTGCCTTCGGATATCCTTCAGATTCAATCTGCGCCTCACGATTGGCTCTTCGCGCAGATTGATGCTGCAGCGCATCACGGTGGTGCAGGAACAACTGGCGCGAGTCTTCGCGCCGGTGTACCGACCATCATTAAACCATTCTTTGGTGACCAATTCTTCTTTGGTTCCCGGGTTGAGGACCTCGGGGTGGGGATTTGCATGAAGAAGCTCAACGTCAGTGTTTTCTCACGAGCAATTTGGGAGGCTACGCATAGTGAGCGAATGGTTGTCAAAGCTCGTAACCTGGGCATCCAGATCCGTAGTGTGAGTTATAATCAACCCTCTTTAATAGTCCTTATCGCTGATCAGTGTTTTATCTTACAGGAAGATGGAGTGGCCACTGCTATCCAGTCTCTCTATCGCGATCTTGAATACGCAAAGACTCTTGCACGACAACGCTCAAATGCTTCAGCCACCCCATTTTCGCCAACTCCATCCGCCAAAGCCTCTCCAGATCATGCCGATGATGACATCGATGACATCGAAGAATGGACATTTATTGGCGACGACACTGACAATGACCTCTCAAAACGAGTACGTGAGCGAGCTGCATCGGCCGCATCAGCTGTTTCGGATGTCGATAGAATGGCGTCCAGCATGTTTCTCCCCTCTTGATCATTTACATTTTGGCCAAACAATTCCCAAATAATCCCGTCCAATTTCCTTTATACCTCGTGTGTCTCTTTTTCTCACTTTGGCTGATTCTCACGTCTTAATGATTCGATGTTTTGAGACATGATTTATGATTGCATTTCGCTGTTTCGTTGGAGTTATGGATTCATACAGCGTTCTGTTCCTTTCACTGAGTTGATTGATTTGATACACCGGCTCTTGTTCTTTAGTATTGCCTTCATTAGACGGTATCCTATCCAGCGATAATTTTGATATGGAATGCATTTGACGCATATAAATTTGGCCTTTCACAACATGAAATGTTTGGGATTCGAAATCTAGACAGGGGGGTTGATGACTCATCTACATTTGGCCCCAGGTCAGCGAGGCTGCAATCCGACTTAACCTCGGGTTGCATATCTCACCTGGGCATCCACTCTTGCATCATGGTGGATTCTATAAAATCTACAAACTCGGGGTCTCGAGTGCGCAAGTTCACCAAATCCTGCTCTCGGTGCAGATCATCAAAGCTCAAATGTGACAGGAAAGAACCATGTGTATGTAATGACATCCTCTTAATGATGATCGACGCTGATGTTTATCAGATCGAATGTACGAAACGTGATATGGGCCACCTTTGTACTAAAGATGAACGTCATCCAAGAGCCAAAAGGGCGAATACGGGCCCAAGTCATAATATGTAGGGTGATCCAGCTGATGGCAAATTTACATTACTGACCTCTATCAGGACTAGATCGAAATCTCCCATGTCAGAGACAACAGTTTCAGAGGACACTGCACAAATTCTGGAGGATTTTATCGAGGGAGCATCTCGTTCCAATATCTTGTCTTCAGCCTCTGGATCAACTTTATCAACTCCGGCTCCCGATTACCCTAACCTTTACTGGGAGACCGCAGAGTCTCGGTTGCAAAATGAAAGGGTCTCATTGATAAGAGAGATCACTAATGCAATCCCGGACTCGGAAATGGCTCATCACCTCTATGATGTCTTTGCAACTCGCTGTCAGGGTCCCCTGGGCAATACCTTTCACACACCCACATTCCTGAAGCATGCTGACAGGGTGTGTGGATATGTCACCTCTGCATCGTTCGACTTACATTCTTTCGCCAGTTCTTTCTCCATGGAGAGTCTAGCTTGTTTCCTCATGGCGGTTTGTGCTGTTATATTCCCTACAAGTGATTCGTACTGATATACATGTACAGCTTGTGCTCGGTCTCGCTTTTCATCCCAAGCCAAATATCCTCGGATGGTCCTCCACAGATATGAACGAGCGTGTAGAGATTCTTCGGTCCTCGAATTCTTATTCTTCGATATGGAGATCCCTTGCGTTGCGTTGTCTACGAGGGCGAATGGGAATATTCTGTGCATCGATCGCTAGTTTACAAGCAGCCCTCATGCTTCTACTAGATGGGCAAAATGATAGCTTGGAGCTCGACTCTCTCTTGGTCACTGCAGTCTCGGGTGCTCAGAAGCTAGGTTTGCATCAGCTGGGAGACGTGAAATTGGATTCCTTGACGACCTCTTCTGGTGATGTTGATGTGCCTGTGCATATCCGAACAGAACTCGGCATCCGCATCTGGTGAGTAGCATTGCGCTCTATAGTGAACCTTCACTGACAAATATAAGGTGGGCCCTCGTCCTGCGAGATTGGTCCCGGGGGCATGTGCTGGGATACTATACAATTCATCCCTCGCAGTTTAATACTCGCAGGCCGCTGCATATTAATGACGAGGATCTTAATCTAGAGGGATTTGATAATCACGGATCCATCACAGAACGGCCCCGATCTGAATTCACCATGCTCTCCTACACAATATACGCCCTCGAGATCGCTGCTTTGGTACGGGAGTCCGTTGACCTTCGCAATCCTTCGTCTCAAGCACCACACGAAAAGGCCGTGGCTACTAATCCGAAGATTGAACTCACCAAGGAATACGAAAAGTTGTTGATGGCACTACCATCACACTTCAGACCTGGAAGTGTAGTTGGCCTCACGTCAACGGGTCCCTTGGCAGCGGTACCGGTGCAGCAATGGATGTTACAACAACAACTCTGGAGCTTATTTCTACGGCTTTACCGGGGAAAGATGACTCGCACCAGTCGTGCCACTTGTCAAATCCTCGCACAGAATATCATTAGCAGCAGTACTCAGATTCAAACCCGGTGCACTGTATGTGGCAGCTTATCGATAAACGACATTCAACTCTTCAATGCTGCTGCTGTGCTTCTCATTGATCTGCTTTATACGACCAAGCCTGAAGGTCCAGATGGAACAGATGGAGATCTGAGTCGAGTAATGATCAAGGACAAGATCAATGAGGCCGTTGAAATACTGAAATCAAGATCTGAACCTGAAAAGTCCCAGACGCTGGAAGAAGCTCTATCATGGGGGTTCAATTCGTCTACACAACGAAGTATCTTTGTGTTAGACGCCTTGATGAAGTTTGTTGAGGATTTTAGTGGTCATGAATATGGGGAGTTGGAAACAAGGGAGTTTCTCAAAAGCAAGGTGACTGGTCTTCTACCCACTTTCTTGGAGAGCAGCCACACGATCTCTCCCGGGAGTGGCTTGGACTTTGCCAATTCCATCAACACATTTTTGTCTCTTCCTAATACCCCCGATGATACTTTTGGTGATTTGGATGTCCTCCCTATGCTCTCCAACGACCCTGACTACGATCTCTGGCAGTTCTTGGACTTTACTCCTGATTTCCAATCTTGAGTCGTTCAATACAATTTAATGTTTTCTTTTCCAGGTCCAAACACAACTATTCAATAGCCAATAACTACCTCGAGATCCAGGTAGTCATTCTTGTTGACCGGCGACACACATATTGCCCATAGGGAGCATCGTCATGCCATACTCCAACCCATCCCAGCATGTTAGCTCAGGGGAAGAGCGCCGGGCTCATAACCCGGAGGTACGTCCTACTTCAATTTCCACTTTAGGAATTCAAAATACTAACCCACGACAGGACCCTGGATCGAAACCAGGACATGCTAAGCATTCCATTCTTTTTTGCTGAGCGAGAATCATTTATATTCTAGGGAGAGACCAACGTGCTGCATTGTTTTCTGTTGCAAGTTACTGTGCAGGTATATGTTTGCTTATCCGAATATCCAGTGTTACTGTCAACATGATCCAAGGGCTTCTGATCAATACCTTATAGTCGTCAAGATAGAATCTTGCTCATTGACCACCAATATCACTGACAGCTTTCCTATTTACTCCAGTAGATTTAGGACCTTACATAAAGGCTAGAGATATTGATGTCATTTTATGCCATAGATATAGGAGTAATCATTGATCAACCAGGCCGGGACTTCTCTGTGTCATCTTTCCCATCACCCTTTTCTTTCCGCCGTTGCACCACATCCCAATTGTACACACGAGCCGTAGCGACCTCCAATGTCTAAAAACAGTCAGTCTGATAATCCCACTACCAGGCTCCGAGGAAACATACCGTAATCTGCTCGCGCAAGAACTCCAGGTCCTCATCACAATTAGCCAGACTCAACTCCGCTGCCGAAAGCTTCTCCTTTAACATAGCCTCAGCCTCCTCAAGCGGGTATGCCAACATGACATTAGCACCAAGCCAGAGGTACACCTCCTCGGTATCAGCAGGAGAGATAGAAGCACGAGCGTAGAGGGTATCATTGAGTTCAAAGTTGGTCTCGAGTTCGGAATCGGGATTGGCCTAGCACGAATTAACCCATTGCTCCTTTTGACATCCTGGAACACAACTGACCTCCTTGCGCAGCTTCAAGAACTGCACCATCTCCAATGTCTTCTTGATATCCGGGATCTTATCGCGCAGTCCCTGCCCGCGGCGCTGGCTGTTCACTTCCATGAACTGGTACTTGGAGATCATCTCCTGGAACCGGCGAAGGGTTGGCTCAACGTCATCGCGCGAGGAGACATAGTCGGCTACATTGTCGACAAAGGGAGCGACGGGGATTCCCCGCGCGTTGGTTTGTGTTGTTACCGGGCTGCGATGGAGGGGTTAGGAGATTTTGGACGGACACGGGCGTGCACAAAAACATTGGGAAGAGAGATATGGATTCAGAGTTCAATGTTGACAGCTAGAAAAGAAATCAATATACTTACGCCTTGGATTTGGAGTCTGCCATGGCTGAAGGTGGTTACGTGCAAAGAAACCCAAAGTGGGGAGAGCTTGATTCTCTTTCTGCCCGCGACTTTCTTTCCGCTCGTGTCTCCGCTACAGCTCCGTCATCGCATACACTTCACCACCACATAACTCCAATGGTCCTCTTAATTGCAACGGATCGCATCCTTGCGGCCTTGGAGGCAGTTCCTGCTCCTCGTCGAGAGAAACTTGATCTCCCTTCCTCGTTGGATCTTCACGGGCCGATTGCACACAGCCAGCTCCTGCGCCTATCGAAACACCTCCAGAATGACGCCGAATACAACTCCACAGATCGTGGGATGTCAATGAATAGCCCTACAATTCTGAGCGCCCTCCTGCGCGGCACAAAAGTCTACGTACCACCACCGCCTAAGAAACCCGAGCCTGTATGTGATGTTATCCCAACACCGGACACCTCCTACCTCCAAGACCCATCATCCCACCAGACAAAACATATTTACTAATGCTGGAATAATAAAGTCCCCCGAATATCTCGCCGAGAAAGCCCGCCTCCAAGCCCTAGCCGAAAGACAAGCCTACCAACGCCTGCTAAATCCAGCCTACACCCCGAACCCAGATCACGCAGACCCATACGCCACAAAAGCCGATGGAACACCATATAGCGAAGATACACTTACTCCTTCACTGGTGCTAAACATTTTCCTCTCAACAATCATCACCGGAGCCGCCGTGTATTGGGGCCTAACCAGCTTCGGCATGCCACGTATCCTGGCGTCAATATTTTCGGCGATGACGGGTCCGGCTCCGGGCGATGGAATGGAGGCTCGGGATGCTGTTGGGGCGTCCGAGGCTGTGCGGGTTCTTCTATCATTCTTTGCGGCGTTATCTGTTGCCGTTGCCGAGTCGGTTTTGTATGCGGTTTATCTTGGGAAGGTTGTTGAGGCTAGGAATAAGGAGAGGAAGCTGAAGGAGAAGAAGGTTGTCATTGGACCCGTAGAAGGGGATGATGATCTTGATGAGGGAGTGATTGTTGGTGAAGGGGAGAAGGAGGAAATTTGGGGTAAGGGAGTTAACGGAGGTGTGAGGCGGAGGATGAGGGAGAAATGGGAAAAAGAGCAAGATCAGACTCAAGACTGATTCACTGGAGCTTGTACAGATATTTCGTTTACTGGATGTACATGTACGTGTTTTATACCCATTTCGGTTGAATTGAATCATCATAAATATTTTCATTCGTAGTCTATAAAGCTACAACGCGCTGTCATTACTCTAACGGGTATGAATGCTGTTCATCATTAGTGCTCGTCACAGCGCTTGACCGAGACCGAGATGCAGGGGTGGAAAAATCGAGAAAGGCCGAGGCTGCCAAAAGTCAACTTGTCCCAAACGGAGACAAAGGAGATGCAGGGAATTGAAAGAAAGAGAAAAGAAAAGTGGAGACAAAAACAAGGGTATCAAACCCGCTTCTCAAGAAGCAGCTTTCCGGAAGGGAGCTTCGAGCCGAAGTTATCCTCACGGCTGAAGATGCGCTCACCACGGAGCCAGGTCTCGCGGACCATTCCGCGCAAAGTGCGGCCCTGGTAGGGGGAGCACTTGTTACGGAAGAGCATAGTGCTAGGCTCGACAGTCCACTCAGCAGAGTCATCGAAGACACAGATGTCAGCGTCAAAGCCGGCACGCAGGTCACCCTTGCGGGTCTCCAGGCCGACCTGAGCAGCGGTGTTGGCGCAGCAGAGGCGAACGACGTCTTGCAATGCGTTCCGGGTGTTCACGTCCTCAGGAGAGGGAGTCAGACCCTTGCGACGGCTGAGCTCTGTCCAAAGGATGGGCAGACCTAGACCCACGGAGGAGATACCACCCCATGCAGAGAAGAAGTCGCCCTTCTCTTCCTTGCCACCCTCGATGGCGCCGGCGATGTGGGAAGGAAGCTGCTTCAGATCAGGAGTGCAGGGAGAGTGGTCCGAGACGACAGTCTTGATGACACCGTCAGCAGCGTGCTTCTCAAGCTCCTCCCACAGGCCATCCTGGTTCAGCTGGGAGCGGATGGGCGGGCAGCACTTGTGTCGAGTGTCACCGTCACGCACTTCTTCAGCAGCCAGCGACAGGTAGTGGAAGCAGGTCTCAGCAGTGATCTTCACACCACGGGCACGGGCTTCCCGCAAAATTGGAATAGCCTCCATGGCAGAGAGATGAACAATGTGCAATTGAAGGTTAGGGGCGAGGTGGGCCAAGGACAGAATACTCTCAATGGCACAAGTTTCAAACACTGAAGGCCGGGAGGCCAGGAAAGTGGAGTAAGCCTCCAGGGGTCCAGCCGGGACCGCTGGGGGATCAGAAGTTTGAACCTCATCACCGACGGACTTGGTGATGGGTGGAACCATCTCAGCGTGGAACATGAGTGTTGTGGGCTCATCGGCCAGCTCAATCATTGCTTTTTTGATATCTTCTTGGGTCACAGCAGGGAACTCATCAACCTATTGAAATGGTTAGCGGGTTGCGAGACGGATGACCAAGATATTATCACTTACACCACTGTCAATCAGGAAACCCTTGAAACCACGGACACCCTCGTTCACGAGACCCTGCAGTTCACCAGCATTTCCGGGAATGATACCACCATAGAAACCCACATCCACCCAGCACTTACCCTGGGCAGCCTTGAGCTTCTCCTTCAAGCCCGCCACAGTAGTGGTAGGAGGGATAGCATTCAAAGGCATGTCAATGACAGTGGTCACACCACCAAAGGCAGCAGCCTGGGTGCCGGTGTAGAAGCCCTCCCATTCAGTACGGCCGGGCTCATTCAGATGAACGTGAGCATCGACCAATCCGGGCAAAAGCACATAGGGCGAGTAGTCGGTATAAGGAGTGCCCTCGGGGAATTCCGAGGCAGGAATTACGGAATCGAAGACGGCGGTAATCTTGCCCGTAGTCTGAGAGATGACCACAGTCGCAGAGGTCAAACGGCCGGAGATGACGGCACGCGATGAAGCCACCACGGCAATGGAGGGAATGTTAGCTGTTGCCATGATTTCTTTGCTTCAGACTTGCCCAGACTAAGTCGGTAGCGGCAGTGGTAATAGATTAAGGTGGAGCGGGGGAAAGTATATAAAGGATGGCCGAATAGATAAGAGGACCAATAGATTGGATCGGATAATGAAAGATAATTGATAGAGGGGCGGAAAAGCAAAAATGGCCTTATCTTGAAAGAAGAAAAAGTCCAAAGATAAGGGTATGGCGGAGATATAAATACCAGAGCCACCCCTACAAATTTAAACACTGGGGAATTGACCCACAAGGAAAATTCAAGCGGGTAAAGAAATGGACATGGCGATACCCACCTGGGGAGTCCCACCATGAAGGCATTACTCGATAGCAACTGCTGTGGCTAATCGGCCCTGGTGCGGACCAGTCACCGCCGTCCCAACAGATGCAAGATCGGCCTCATGATCACTTCGACGAATACCCTCACATTTGCCCTATCAGGACGATGAGGGGGTTTCGGGGGCATAGTTGACAGTTACCCCTGGTGAAGATTCCACTGACTTTGACGGTTATCGCCATACTGCGGTTCATAGGAACCATGGTTCACAAGCACATAAAAATTCTGTATGGAGGCGAACAATGGTTGGACGAGCGAATCAGGTATGGATCACATTGCAATCCACCCGATAACGAGCCATCGGGCACCTCCGACGCAACAAGTGCTCGGGCATCGCCTTATCAACGGGGCCCTGGTGCCGGAAAACCGACTTTATCAGCCGCTTACTCGATCAAAACCGCTTCCGACTTGCTCCGCTGCGTTTTTTTTACTCGATCAAAACCTCGAAATATCCCAGTCTTCGGTCTGGCCCATCACTTCCTCCGAAAGCGCTGAGCCTGTGACTGTGCTCTCGGTCCCCTTGGGCTTTTTGCGGCGGATTCCGATAAATGAGGGGCTGCGTTTTCATCGAGTAAAACCCCACTGTGATCGCCTCAAAATGCAAAGGGCGGCGATTTCATTTGAAATGAGATTGAAGGTTATTTGAAAATGATGAAAAGGAAGAGAAGAGTGAAGGTACGGATTGCGGGGTTAAATCAAGGATCAGATGTCATTGCGCCATTTCCCGCCTACTACAACCGATCATCTTCAACTGCGCTCAGATATGAGATCATTGATATCCTGGGGAATTGACTAACATTACAGATCAGTCTGGTGTAAATACCAGCTTGGTACATATTAGACTGCTACATGGGCTTGCAAACATGAAACACGAGCTGATGTAAACCTACCTGAAATTTGATCGTTTATACCTCAAAATCATATTCATTTCTCACTATGGCAATACTTATCTGGCCTGGTAAAAACCGCCTGTAAACAAGGTTCAAAAAAGGCCATGGGATATCATTCTGTGAGGCCATCCACCAAAAGCAGCATTGCACCCAACTTAGGCCGCAGCATCAGTCACCTTCAGCTCATCCATGATCTGGGTGATCTCGGCCACCGAATGGCCCTTCTCTTCCTCGCTATCTGACTTGATTATTTCAGTCTCGGGTGCTTTAACCGCAACATTCAGGTCTTGCTCCCCAAGATCGGCAAATTTATCTTCTTGTGCCGCCTCCGCAGCAACCTTCAGCTCTTGCTGGCATTGAATATCTGCGGCCTGGTCTTCTTCATGCTTGGCCTCCTCGGCGTCCTCGGCTTCCTTCTCATCCTCCACCTGCTCATCCAACCCACGGCGCATATCTTCGTCCATGTCCTCAGCACGCAGCATGACATGCTCTGAATACCCTGGGTCATTACCTAACATATCAAGCCACTTCAGCATATCTCTCCACGAGGCAGGAATGATACACTCGACGTTCAAACCCTCGCCTGAAGAATAGCAATTACAGCCAAACAGCCGATAGCCAGCCATGCGACTACCGAGAGGAGTAGAGGAAAGGAGATATGCGCGGCAGCGTGAGGCCAGGAACGAAGTGAACGACGAAGGATCCGTAAGGGTACCCATGTCGATGTCAGTATGAGTTGTCTGCTGTGGGTCTCCGAGACAGATGCCGGAGACATAAGGCTTCCAGACGTGCCCTGTAGATATTTTAGTAGATAAGAGGTATACTTCGAGGAAGGAAGTACTTACAGTCCTTCTGCAGGTATCTAATCACTCCCAGACCACCCTCGGACATACCGATGATATCGATTCGGGTGTCCTTTTGCACAATTGGCCACAATACCTTCTCGAAGACATACTGAACATGCTGCTGCCAGTCACCGTTGCTGGGAATCTTATTCCGCCAGCTCATCGTGGCCTGGCCCCAGTTTGCATATGGACGAGGGGTTGCAAGCCAAGTCTGCCGGCTGATAGCACGCTGCGAGGCACAGTGCCAGGTCAACTGTCCAGCGTTAGCCATAACGAGGCCAACTTCCTTGTTCTTGCCATCACCGAGCACAGCGTCGGTGAAGTCGACTGCTGACCCCAGGTTGATGCCGTCATGGATGGACCGGTAGGCCCACACGCCGAGGTCTTGCACAGGTTCGCCGATGACAACGATGATGCGGGACTTTTGAGCAAGGTCTGCCGTTGTGAGGATGGGCACGTGGCTTTCATCTTCATTTCTGCCAAGGGGAAGACGAAGGATTTCCAAGCCAGCTTTCTTCAGACGATCGATGATGATCTGTCGGATACAGCCTACTTTTCATATTAGCCAGCCTTGATCAAGTCCAAAATTTATAGATGTTCACCATTGAGGGATTCGCGGAACCTGACATTGAAGCGGTCATTGCGGTTGACTTTGTATTTGTATCCTTCTTCTGGGTTGGCAATTTGACGAATTTGGTCATTGCCATTGATGTAGAAACTGGGATGATTGGTTAGCCGCGATGATAAATGCAAGAAGTCATAAGATATACATACCCCAGTCCCTTGAGATCCACAGGGAAGTCAGGGTCGGGAGGCAGATCCTTGTTCTGCCAGACGTACATGTTGATAGACAAGCTGTGGTGATGAGATGTGATGAGTGATAGAAAAAAGGGTTGTGGAGGTAGATATAAGAGAAGATGCGCAATTGTCAAAGAAGGAAAGGAAGAGAAAGAAAGCAGATAGTGCCTTGTCTCTTGGATGAGCCAAACAGAAAATGCCAGGCTGCACAATGGAACCAAGTAAAGAGGAGCCTTGAAGTTATGTCGTGGAAATAGATGGTGCAAGTTAATAGTAAAAGTGAATAGTGAAGGCGAATAGAGAGAATGCAAAATGATATGGTATGTGCATACTATACAAGCTTCAATTGAAGACACAGAACGCCGCCAAGCCCAAGAATTTCATATCAACCCCAGTAATGATACAACCTCCAATTACCAACTGGCCTTCTTCACACCAGGAAGCTCACCAGAAAGAGCCTGCAGACGGAATTGGTACTACATGAACCAGTCAGTCTAGCTCTTCACTTAGCACTCACAAGGATAACTCACTCGGTTGATTCTGAAGTCCCGGAACACACTGCGAGCGGTACCAGATGCCACACAGCGGTTCTTAATCTGTGTCGGCCGGGTGTAGGCGTGCATCTGCGACAACTGGAGCTGGGCCTGGGCACGGGTACGGCCAGGGAGGGAGGTGTTGCGAATCATGTAACGGAGCGCTTGGCTATTATACCAGAAGACGTCAGATCAGGATCTTATCAATTGGACCCCCGAATGGGAGCCTTTCCAGAGGATGCAGGTATAAGCCCGGGGCAGAATTTCTTACCGTTCGGGCTCGGTCTGCTCGAAGGCCATGCGCTTGTTGTGGTCACGGATCAGGCGGGTGTTGATGAACCCAGAGAGGTTCAGCCTCTTGGGGTGGAATAGGGAGGCGGCAGGCTTCGACATGATGTGTGTTTTGAGCAAAGGTGGAGGAGCTGGGGGAGAAAGAAAGTCGCGATGTTCTTTCCAGGCGGAGTTGGCGAAAACTCCTAATTGGGCTTAGCGTGGATCCCCGATATTCCCACCAAATGGTGCACTTATATAAGTGTCGGGTTGGAAACCACAGGAGCATCTCGAGCTGATCCTTATATCTTCTCCATGGTTCCTCTAAATAACCCCATCGCTACAGATATACTAGAACGGTTGGTGCGCTGTGCGCTGGTTGAAGGTAGACTGATCACCATGGATGGACTTACGGCTATAGCGATCCGGGGGCCACCTTAGAGAAATCAATACCTCCGGAGGGCCCGGTCTAGAGCTACAGAGTGAGAAACTAGAGTCATCTTATATGGAAAAGACCGAGCAACCATTTCTGGTAGCTGCAGACATACATGAATCGCAATCAGTAGTGGTACAGTTTGTGAATTGATCCAAGTCACCCTGCAGGGTATATTCTATATGCTTGGACAGAGGGCAAACTGCCCGCGAATGTAACACAAATTGCGAGTCGAAACCGAAGACCAACAGCGTTTCTGTTCACACCTCCGCGGCCAACTGCTCGACCCGCTCCACCCGCTCCTGCTTCACACCACACCCGGTGGCATCACAGCTCATCGTCCAGAGCTAACTTAGTGGGCGGGCTTGCCGGCGTTGGGGTTGCGGGGGTCGTTCTTGAACTCGGCAGCTAGAAAGAGTCGAGGGTTAGTTATGTGTTTCGGACATGGTTCAAACAGAATCGGCCGTCGCGAAGCACAACATTCATTGCGGTGCCATCTTGGTACAAGTCGAACTGAACCAGAAATTCAGGACGCGCTGGGGAACTCACTGTTGGACAGAGCGTTCTGCAGAGAGTTGACACCGTAGAGCACAATGAGACCTGGAAAGGAGACCTGTTAGAACACTATTCCGTGGCGGGGAGCTCGGTCGGGGCCGCGATTGAAACATGGAATCGGGAATCATTTCATTTCGAATAATCGGACCGTATTCAGGGGATTTGATGGAGCGTACCGGCAGCGAAGAAGGGGGTCATAGGCTTGGCTGTGGAGCAATGGGTTAGTCTTAAGTGCCAGCTGTGGAAACTCGGTGTCGAGTCTTCAAGTTCATGGATAGCATACCGAGAGCGCCGGGGAACTTCTTTCCGAGGAGAGACATGGTGTAAATGGTGCGAAGATAAGGAATCGGAGTTCGCGGGGGTGGTGATGCAGAAGGAAGAGGAGATGTGAAGTTGGAGTTTGCCCGGTCCGACACGCCTTGCCGCTTTAGGCTTGGCGTGGCCGCTTTACCCGATCGGTCCCGACTTGTTTACTCGTTGATAACATGAGCTCTCTTTTAATCTAACAACTCTACACAAAGTCTCCTCTGCTCTGCTTTTCGTCAACATGGCGTCTTCACTGGCCTCCTCCGTATCGTCACTCCAATCATCTCTTCAGCTCCTGGACAACTCTATCACCATTCTGGACGAAGGTGTCAACGATTTCCCCCGCTTGTGCAAAGTCCTTCAAACAACGCGAGTATGTACAAGATGAAAAAACCACTTTGCTAGCGCAAATCTAACAAGTGTTGCCAATTTAGCACTTTGAGCTCCTGCCAGAACCGACCCTACGAGAAGCGCAGCAATCTCTCCTAGATGAAATCACCCCCAGCATCGCCCATCTCCTCTCTCTCGCCTCGAACCACGTCGAGAAGCTAGCTCGACGCGAAGAAGGTCTGAAAGCCAAATGTGATCTCCAAGAAGGACGCCTGTCCTCAAACCCGGAGAATCGCACCTCTGCAAATCGAGTCCAGTCCCAGAGCGGCGCGGCAATGCGGGGTCGTCTGGCAAGCTCGACAGGAAATGCGGCATCCAAGGCGGCGGAGCTACGGCGACTGGTCCAGAAAAAGGAGCGACTCAAGTATGTTGTCGATCGATTAGAGCTACAAAGTACCCAGCGACAACGCCAGTTGAGGAAAAGCATGGCTGCTCAGTGAGCCTGAACTTTTGCTTCACGATCAGAAAATTATGAGTCGATACTGGTTTACCTCGACTACCCATAGCCAAGCGGCCATCAATCAGGAGACGCACTCGATGCGCTACCAACGCAGCTTCGCCTGGTACGGGGCAATGTCTCACCTCTCGCCACACTACGACGATAGTTAGCCAACTCATCGCTGTGTTGGCATGAAGAGCGCCAGAACAACTTCAGATCCCGATGAGCAACGGTTCTTGCGTACCATGCGACGAGAAAACCCCTAGGTTTCTTTGCACCTCGATATGGTGCATAAGCCAAACTTTCAGACGTGGTGGCATTGTGGATCAATGGCAAGGCTTTGGCCGTTGAACTTCTCTAGTGGAATCTAAGGCGAGGGACATTCTATGAAAGGCTTTCTTCTATTAGTGTCACCTCAAAGAATGGAACTTTCATTCTTTATCGGTATCTAAGTCATTATGTGTCAGCAAATTTTTCAATGGAAACTCGACATATTAAACACTCCCTATACCTTTGTGACTTTATCCATCACTTGATAAAACCAAGGGAAATCAGATCTCTTGTATGTTCAAAGGGAACAATGCCTTTGATTTAATCATCATTCATGATGGTCACTCGGCCTCGTTGATTCGGTCATACTGCATAGGAGTTATTTATTCATATAATGCCCAAGAACAATCCTCTGAATCGTCCTCCAATGCCTCTCTACACGCGAGCTACATAAGGATCTTACACCCATTATTCCCGAGATCAAAGCATCCTGAAAAAAAAAGGTCTATATGCTATCCATATCGCAGCTAAGAGTGCTCCGGAAAATCCTATTGGAGGTACTGCTGGATGTTTTACTTTCATGTGTGGTGAGCGAAATCCTGCGTGGCGTAGATCGCTTAGTCGGGATGTTGGCTGTAACAACACTGCGCACATTCTCTACCTTGAAGCCTTGTTGGATTAATACAGTCTTTATGAGCTAGAGAGGAAGACCTCCATTGGCTATAGATAACCTTGGAAGTAAGTGACCTACTCCAATGATCAATAGCTCCGGAAGCGAGTTCGCAATAATCCTAACATATTATAATGGATCCATATTTAAGCTTCAGAGCGAAGAGACTGTATTTACAGTTTTACATAGTGATGTGAAGATGATACCTATTATACATGATCCAATCCCAATCCCGATAATCCTCAAATGCTGTTCACGGTCAGATAGTAGTACAATATGGTCCAAAATCCCAATATCAAATGCGCCATCCAACCAATGCTAGGCAGATCCTTGAGATCGCCAACGGAACCAACTTAGCGACTTAGTGAGTATTCTCAGCATTAAGCTGTCTCTTCAACGCCTGTCTCATCTTCTTCTTGTCATTGTGTTTTTTCCAGCTAGGGATAGTCTCGCCTTTCTTCCGCGGAGTCGGCTCAGGCAGGTCCGAGCGGCTTCGCGCTTCGTCGAGTTCATCATCTTCATCATCTTCCTCGTCGCGCTCGTGCTCCTCTATTTCCTCCTCCTCGCGAGCTGCCTTGGTTGCAGCCCGTCGAGCGAGACGTTCTTTCTTGCCTTCGCCATGCTTGTCACCCAAGTTCAGATTGCGCGGGATACGGGTCTTGGCACCTAGTGCCCAGAGGTCACCCCAGCTGGACTTGCGAGCGTCGCGGTAAGCCTGTCGACTGTAAGAACGCGGGACAGTCCAGCGTTCTATCTTGCCAGCCGGGGTACAGAGATCGAAAATGACATGACCGCGGCGTTTAAGGGGAGGGTAGACCGCACGGGGAAGAGAAAGCGCGTGAATCTTAGACAGATCCTCGGCATCCTCATACCCTTCAAAAGCGGCGTCTGTAACTTCGGCATCCTGTTGGATGCCAAGTTCCTGTCGCATATCTACACCACGCTGCACAGCAAGGTAGCTGAACTTGATGTCTTCGTGGTTGCGGTCCTTGGCTCCCATGATGCGCTGTAGGAATGGAGGTCGGATGTACCGCTGCTCAAAGTGGCAGTAGTCCTTGCGGCCCTTTGAAGGGCCTGCAGGATTGTGCATGGGGCAGGTGGAGTGATTAGTGCAAGGCGCAATGATCATACCGGCTCCCTTAGTCACTGGTCCATTCTCGTCGGGGTTCTCGAGGAAGTTGTTATATTCTGTTGAGCCAGGACTGGAAATATGGCGCTTGAGCAGCATTTCTCGGGCACTGGCAATGGCCTCGAAGCCTTTTTGACGTCCCTTCTCCAGGAGAATAAGAATACCTCCCTGGGGGTTGAGGAGAGCCCATAGCTTCTCCACATACTCCTTACGTTCATATTCTTCTTCGAAGCCGAGGAGAGCGTGAGGCGCGATTATCACATCGAACTGCTTGCGCTTGGGAGCCTCACGCGAGTCATCTATGGTCGGCTTCTCACGTACGTGGAGGTAGTCCGGTAACCGAGGAAGGAAAGTTGTGTTCTCGAGGAGTGCACTTGCGCGGAGACGGAGCGCGTCGGAGCCTGTCAAAACTGTCGATCGGCCATAGGGAATCGGCTGTCCCCTGGGGTGGTCGGGAACCATGGTCTCATATTCCGCGCGGACGACATCTCTCCAGGCCAATATGCCAGCACCACCACCACTAGCATCAAGGACATTCGGACCGCCTTCTTGACTGATAAGGTTGCGAAGCCAGTCTGTCCCGAGGCGCTTCCTTACTTCAACAAGAACACTGAGTGCCGACGCATAAATGCCCGGGTAGAGGACCGCGAGGTAGGCATTGGCCTCCATATTGGCCATGTAATGTTGAGATGCATGGATTGGAATTGGAAGCTGAGGCAGCTGTGCGCGTGGAGGTGCAGTTGTGGTGGAATGAGGCAAGCCTGGCCCACCGAACAAACGATGAGCAGTTTCAGCGACATGCCTGTTGGAGACCTCCGACAAAATGACGGAGATGGGACCAGTAAGAGAGTCTTTTGGTGGATAAATGGTAGAGGGATCCGTTTGGGCTTTGCCCATCTGGGTCAAAGGGTGAGCTCTCGGAGTAGAGTCTGGAACGGCCTCATTCTCAAACTGCTCAAGCATGATTTCGCCACCAAGCTGCTCGGCCACTTCTCGTGTCCGCTGCATGGCAATTGTCTCCTGTTCCTGTTCTCCAACCTCCATATCATAGACAACGGGCACATCGTCCTCATATTCTGCATTTCCCTTGTATTCGACCTCCTCCCAGTTGCCCTCTCCATCCTCGCGGAACAGCTGATCAGATTCCCCCTCGTCTTCCTCTGCGAACGCTTCCTCGAGAAATTCTTGAACGATCGGTTCTCCGTAGAGGCTGGTATAAAGCTTAATCTCTCCTGCGTCTAGAACTCCTTCTGGAATGGTGTCTCCGAATTGCTGTCGAACCAGATTCACCCAGGATTCCGTCGTGTGAAGGTCCCGGTTGCTCATGAACTCGGCCAGCAGGTCGTCAGCGCCATCCGATTCCGCCAAAAAATCTATTTCATCCATTGTTTGCACCATCCTTTCCTCATTTTCACTGATGCGCTCGATGAGTACGTTGATCTGGTCGATCGTGCTGGGTTCTGCGGAGTCGGGTGCCGGGGGTTCTGCGGACGCTGCGGTGGAAGAGTGTCGCTGTGTAGAGGCCCATGGCAGCACCATGGCCCTCGAAACATGTGTCCTGCATGGTCGTGAATTGGTAGCAATCGAGGTAGATCGTGAGTGTTGAAGATCTGGTTGCTGTCGCGCCATCAAGCCCGCAGCTCCGCGGGACTGTCGCGCTCCAGCAGGGCGAGAAGCCCGCAGCAGGTACCTCGCATGCGAGCTGCCGGCGCTTGATGTGGATGGCCTGGACAACATTCTGCCAAGCCAAAAGAGCATACGGTTGGCAAAGGATGCAGGAAAAAGTTGAAAAAAGCAGCTCCAGAAAATTGATGCCAAGCCATCACAAACTGCAAGTCGCTGATTGGCCGGTCCGGCGCCCCATAGAGCTGTTGGACTGATCCACTTTAATCAGGATATGGATCATGAGATAAGGACAAGAGCAGGATTCTAGGTAAATCTCTACCAGGTTCATTACATCAATTATGTAGAAATCAATAATCTTTACCCTCACATTATGAGATGTACAAAGCATACCTTTGAACCTTCTCTATGACTAGTAGGCTCGCGCAACTCGAAGTCATGCAATAGGGTATCTATAAGTTCTATGTGTCGCTCTCTGTATCTTCATTGCCCATAAGTACTCGCAATGCGGTCACCCAGCGCATAACTTCATGCTCCAAAGCTGTCAATTTTGCCATGACAGCCATCAGACTGGGATCCTGGCTTTCCACCCGAACCTTTTCTTTGACACGCACTTCTTCTCCGTGCCACATGAATACATCACCAGCCTCATCATGTGCACGTTTATGGCTCCCAAATATTCGGTCCCGCAGGGAGAATCCTGTCAAAGAGATATCTGTGGCGAAAGCAGACGGAGTTTGCGTAATAGTAGTGCTCTCCAAGGTGCGCAGAAGAAGAACAAGCGCGGAGTCGGCAATGGAAAGGTGAAATGAGACATAGGGCGGAGGCGGAGGATCAAACATCTAGGGATGAAAGTCAATCAATAGAAAGAGCTTTAGGTTGGGATGAGTGAGACTTACATTATCGCTAGCACTGGCGTCCCACCAGTTGCCTCGCACGTCCCCCTCCCCCTTCAGCATCTGTCGTGCCTCGCTGATGGTCTCATGCAAGAGATGCAGCTGGCTGAAGATAAATGTCGCATCAAGAGGATTGCCCGTATATGTGCTCACATCCACAATGTCCAGACTCTGGTTGACCAGGTTTCGCACCGACACGAGCTGCTGCAGAACTAAGCTAGGAGCTTCGGGGGATTGCGACAGAGTCAATCGGGTACTGGGGCTGCCGCGTGGAGGAGGTAGCGAGGGAAGACGAAGCTGAATATCCTGGCAGCCACAATTAAGTGAGCAAATTCATTCCGAACGTCCTAATAGAAGAACAATGGGTACGGTCGGCACATACCCCTTTGACCACCTGCGTGCCGAGGCGCGTCACGAAACCTTTGACATTTTCTGATCGCAATGACGAGAGAACCAGAGTAGAACCCGGTTCTTGTGGTGCGATTAGAGCCGCGCACTCTTGAAGGCCTTCTTTGAGGGAAACAAGGGATTCCTGAAGTGATTGGAGGAGCCACTCGAGCTCACAGGCCTAAGGCAGAAGAAAAGAGACATGTGTTGGCATCAGATCCACACGGGTACGATCAATGAGGGGCGATCTCATTTTTGCGCATCCACCATGGACTAGGTCCACTGAGTTGCATCACTCCGTAAGGGTCGGGAGTTGACGTACCAGCGCCTTATCGGCCTCCCGATTCACTTGATCGGGGGGCAGTGGGGGGTATGCCCAAGTTGCCATGATGTGAAGCGCCACAAAAATTGGGCCAGTATAAACTTTCGGTAAGGAGAAAAAGTCCAGGCAGAAATGAATTTTGAGTTGATCCACGTCACTGAGGGGAACAAGTCAGGGAGCTGCAACGTTGTTGCTGGTTTAAGTCTGTTGCTGCTGTTCGTCACTTCGTCATGGACCGCCAACGCTAGACCAAATAGGGTCTAGCTGATTACTACATCAGGCTAGCGCTCTATAAAGTGGACGCTAGCCCTAAAGCAGCACAGCAAATCAGGTGCAAGCATGACGTTATGATCCTCGTTCAATCTATGAGTGCGATGATGCTCACACCGTACAAGAGGGGAACCCGGATGGGCCCGGCTCTGAGATCAGCGTTCCTTTTTCTGTGACTCTTTTTCAACTTGTCTTCTTCCTCTTCACTGAGAAAAAAAAAGGTCTCCCCATTCCCTCAATCTCGGTTTCGACCTGCGCGCATTCCCTATATAACATCGGGCAGCAAAACCGAGCTGTGATACCTCACCTCAATCCCATAGCGACGAGAAAGAAACTTCTTTTCTGACAATACCTCCACGACCCAGCCCAGGGACACTATACACCATGGGTTTCAGCAGTAAGTTCTCACCACGTTCTTTTCACCCATATGGATTATACCCGTTCTATACAGAGACAATTGGATACTAATGAGCCATAGGAGCTACATTGGGCTTCTTGGGCCTGTTCTTCATGGCCAGCTCCATCCTGCTCATTTTCCTCACACTGCTGGGCGGTGCTCGTAACTCGAACCCGTTGAACCAAATCTACTTCCTTCAGGCGGATACAAGCAACATCCCAGGTGCTCCATCCACCTCGCGCTGGACCTTCTGGAATGTATGCAGTGTGACGGACAATGGCAGGAATGACTGTGGCAGCTCGCACCCAGACTTCCCATTTGACCCGCCACGCGCCGACAACTTCAACACTACTACCAATGTGCCTCATCAATTCATCGGGTACGTAATGTGAACTTGGCGCATAGGCCATACATCAAGTCGAACTTTGTTTCTAACAATATTCTTATTCTAGAACCAAACACTACTACTTGACTTCCCGGTTCATGTTCCCGTTCATCATCATTGGACTATTCTTCGCTGTCGTCTCGCTCTTCACTGGCCTTCTGGCCATGTGCACTCGCATTGGCAGCTACATCTCCGGTTTCCTCGCGTGGCTTGCTTTGACTTTCCAGGTGATCACGACCTGTCTGATGACGTATGTTTCTCCATATACTAAATTCTCATACTTGCTTGTTTACTAATCTTCACATTAGTGCTGTCTTCGTCCAGGGCCGCCACGCTTTCTCGAGCAATGGCCAGACCTCCAAGTTGGGTGTCAAGGCTTTCGCGTTCATGTGGACCGCCAGCGCATGCTTATTTATCTCCTGCCTGTGCTACTGCCTCGGTGGCGCAGTTGGCCGCAAAGATGGTAGTGGTTACAGCGGACGCAAAGAGCGCCGCCGCGGTTTCTTCTCCTCCAACCGCTCCAACAGCGTCCATAGCGAAAAGAGGGAGGATGCCCCGGCCACTACCAACTACGCGTAAATGACTTCTTGCCGGGTTTAAGCTGGAAAACATATGGTCTTGCAATGGCCAACACCACTCACGTTGACTATTCAATACTCTCAACGTCGAGTTCTGAAACATGCTATTTCAACCCCGTACACGATTTCCCTTCTGCGTTGATACTCCCTGAGATATACATCGCGTTGGTGTGTATTTCTCTCAACCTGCTTTAGCCTCGTTGGTCTATGTTTTGAAATGATTTCCTTCTGTTTCCCTCTGATGTACAACTAATCCACTCACTTGATGCGGCACGAACTACTCACGATCGTTACATTTACACCCTAATCGATTGCAATCTATATTTCTTTTTTTTTCTTTGTCATTTCTTGTCCAATGAATCGTTGACGAGTCTCATGGTTCAAATTCTTTGTTCTGGGGTTTGATCTGATGTCTTGTCTTATATGCCTCTATTTTAATTGGCTGTAATATAATGTGTTCCTAAGCTTCACCATAGCAAAAGATTCGAAAGTTGTTCACTTGAGCGTTGATGTCTTGTTTAGTAATGTAAACCATAAACCACAGTTAAGTTATCTAGGAACGCAGGAGTCGCCCAAATGATTGTTAACCCCATGTTACTACGCATAATGGATCAGATGAAAGTAGAAAATCATGTTCATTGGTCATTTCCAACTGAGAGTCTATATAGGAGGAAATAGGACGGGGAAATAAAACGAGATAGCAAAGGTAGCGTGTGACTCCAACGAGATAATGACGGGAACATCAAAAAGCCTCTATCAATCATGCATGCATCATCACACCATAAGAAGATCGGATTCTTTTTTGAGGGGGAAGTTGATCTAAGCAGAGCCGTTGATGGCACCACGGACGGCGGTCTGGCCACCGACCTCGCGCACGGCAATCTGGAGACCCAGATCGGGGTTAACGTGAACCATGACCTCGACCTTGCCGCCGGCCTTGACGCCCTTGACAGCGAGCTCGGCAACGGGCTTCTCAGTCTTCCATACAATCTCGCGGATCTCCTCGTCCTCATCCTCGTCATCGGAGAAGTCAGAGTCCTCGTCATCAGCGGGCTTCTCCTGCTTAGGCTTGGGCTCAGGCTTGGTGACCTTGATATCGCGGGAACCCTCGCAGACGCGGACCAGAACGTCACCACCCTCCTTGGGGACGGAGTATTGGGCGATGCGGCGGGCGGGGAGAGCGGTCTCGGAGGCAATGAGGGGCTGGAAGGAAGTCTCGCTGCCGGAGGTGAACTCAACACCGATGGCCTTGGTCAGGTGGGGGGTAACGGTCACCATGGGGTGGATGGACTGCTCAACATCCTCGTGGTCAAACTCCTGGACCAAGGAAGCCTGGAAAGCGGCACCACGAGCGGCCAACTCAGAGGGGTTGATGGCGGAGAGGTTGGTGGAGGGGGCCAAGATGGAAGTAGTCTCGGGGAAGATGTTCTGAGCCAGCTGGGCAATCTTGGGGGTGTGCGAGGCACCACCGGAGAAGATGACCTCGTCAATGTCAAGAACATCAAGCTCGGCCTTCTTGACAACCTGCTCGATCAGGCCGGTGAATTGAGCGAAGACCTTGCTGGAGAGGAGCTCGAAGCGAGTGCGGTTGATGGTGGAACCGTAGTCAATACCAGCAGCCAAAGACTCAATGCTCAACTGAGCGTTGGCGCTCAGGCTGAGAGCCTTGCGGGTACCCTCACCCTCCAGCTTAAGCTTGGCGAGACTACGGGCATCCTCGCGGGGGTCAGTCTTGTGCTTCTTGACGAACTCCTTGGCGAAGTGGTCAATGATGATCTGATCCAAGGAAGCACCACCGAGCTCGTAGTCGTGAGCAGTGGCCAGGATGGTGTACATGCCGCCGCGGCAGGCAACAACGGCGACGTCGGAGCGGGTGCCACCAAGGTCAGCGACAACGACCAGCTTGTCGGTGACAGTGGCCTCGGGGCGAGCGTCGTAAGCCATGACAGCAGCGACGGGCTCGTGGATCAGCTGGAGAACATCAATGCCGGCCTCCTTAGCGGCAGCGACGAGAGCCTCGCGCTGAGCATCGGTGAAGTCGGTGGGGACGGTGATGACAGCGGCGTTGACCTGCTTGCCAAGGAAATCGGAGGCAGACTGCTTCAGGCGGCGGAGGTGGCGGGTGGTGATCTCGGAGACAGTGACAGTGTTGGGCTTCTCGCTGGCAGTGTCGCGGATGGTGAAAGCCACAGTGGACTCGCTCTGCTGGGGGTGGGCGGAAGCGTGGGCTGGGGTAGGGTCGATGGACTTGAACTCCTTGCCCAGGTAATCCCGGAAGTAGGCGACAGTGTTGGAAGAGTTGCGGATGAGCTGGGCCTTAGCCTGGGTACCGTGGTACTCCTCACCGTCGATGTAGGAGAGGATGCTGGGAATTTGACGGTCTTGAAACGGTCAGTCTCTTGAATAGTTGAACATAGGACTCAAAAAACATACCTCCCTCCTCGTTTGCAATAACCTCAGCCTTGCCCTCCTAAAGCTATTTGTTAGTTTCTGGCGAATGCTTCCCGAGCAGTATGTGAACGTACAGGCGAGATACGGGCAATTGAGCTGGATGTGTTACCGAAAGAGATACCGATAGCGAAGCGCTCTGCCTCAGCAGCGACACCGTTTGAGTCACCCATTTTGATTAAGTGTGTGAGAAAATCCTAAATTGAAAATATAGGAAGAGAATCCGCGACACAATGGACGTGGAGAGTTCAGAAAGAATGACCGGGGAATGAAAATGTCTCGATGGAGGGGGAGAACCAAACCGAAAAATTTGAAGATTTTCGGCGGAAAGTGGCTTGTGCTTATCGATATCGATTGTGGCGGTACAGTCAATCCTTGATATACTCGCGTCCCAAGATTGCCACATTTATTATATATCGTAAAAAAGTCAAATTATATGCCTAAATTATCAAGCGTATCATCAGATTTATTTCTCCTAGTCATTCAGGAAGTATTCATCCTTGTCTTTCACTTTTCACCAATTGTACCGCCAGCATTGTCACCCATCACGTGTCGATAGGCCGATAAGCAGTTTTCTTCTGCAAAATCCCAAGTCATAGCTTTCCCCTCCATAGCTGAATGTTGAAACCCACCTATTTCACTCTGCATCCTGTTTCCCTGTCGATAGAACACCCTAGGAAGCTCTCCAATCTCTGACCGGCATCATGTCGACCCCCCTCATTCTGCTTCCCGGCGATGAAGTTCCAAAAGATCAACTTCCACACTCCAAGTCCAACAACCCTCTCAAAGTAGGCCCTGGCCTCCGCCTGTTATCACAACCTTCGGCGAAGCCTACCTCATCAAATCATGTTCTTACGGCAACACAAGCTGGTATTCTGACAACAGATGCCAAGCGAAACAATGTCTCCATTCTCTCCTTCTCCAATCGCCGTTACATTCCCGCCATGAACGACCTGGTCATCGCGCAGGTCCACCACTCCAGTGTCGATTTCTTCCACTGTATTGTTACACCGCACACCGCACACGCACTACTGGGTCAATTGTCGTTCGAGGGCGCAACAAAAAAGACAAGACCGCAGCTGAAGCAAGGCGATCTGGTTTACGCACGGGTTCTGTCCGTTGGCGTTGGCGCTGGCGCTGAGGTCGAAATTACTTGTGTGCATCCGGCAACTGGAAAAGCCGAGCCGGGAGGTATGGGGCCTTTGAACGGTGGCATGATGTTTGATATTTCCACAGGTATGGCTACCCGATTGCTTCGGGCTAGCTCTTCCTCTGCCGATGAAACCGAGGGTGTGGATGGTCTTGTTGTTCTTTCTGAGCTTGGGAAGAAACTCGAGAGCATCGGAGGATTTGAATTGGCTGTTGGGCGCAATGGGAAAGTCTGGGTGGACTGCTCGAATGCTGGGGAAAACGAGGTCAAGGCTACAATTGCCATCGGGCAGTGTTTGCAAGGAACAGATGAGCACAACCTGAACCCGACGGATCAGAAGAAGCTGGTCACAAAAATCCTTAAGGCCATGAAGTTATGAGAACCAGTGACAATGGTCTGATTTGAGGAGTCTGGGTTTTGGAAAGGTTATTTTCTTCCTGGTATACCATGAGCAATATGTACAGTAATTTCTGCATCACACAAGCACTCTGTTTCATCAAAGAACTTACAAGATGTTTTTAAGCTTGTATCGCGGTAATCATCAGTCAGAGGACTGTCATCATAAGGGCAGTGGCAATCTCAACTTGACGTGTTCCACTACTGTTGACGTTCAAAATTTGCCAAATCTTGCGCATCACGGATACATGAGGTATCTGGAATGATAGAAGATGGGTTTGGAAGTAGGAAAAGATGGATAGGGGGTTATAGTCGACCGCATCGCGCCTTTCGAAAACAAATGAATCGTGCCTTCTGTGTACATAGTTAAGACAAGCAAGACAAATCATCATTGTCCGACGAGCTTCTGGACATACCTAGTACCACACACTATCTCCATGGTAGATTCAAAATGAAGATGACATGCGTGCTATCCGTTCCTATATCCCTGCACCGCTCATTGGGACAATGAACTAAAAGGAGCGCCAAGAATGTCAATTATGAGAATTTGCATGAAGTGGGACACCGATGCTTGTGGGCTAAGGAGAAATTGAAGACCCGGCAACTGATTCCAGTCTTGAAAGGAGATCGATTGTGAATAGAGAAGGTTGGAGTTTGATGTTCTTGTTACTATATGATGACATCTACTCAGATGAGGAGCTGGGGCTATTGATGTATGAAGAATTTGAAGCTGGTTTCTGTTTTTATCATACATTGATTCTTCGTGACGATACTATCATAGTAAAATCAGAAGGGTCTACCGTTAGATCGTCTAAATTCAAGCTCAAAGATAGGGTCTGTACAATGTACGTACAGGGTCCGGAGTTAGCATATACTGGGTGAACAACATTCCAAGATTAATGGGCCCCGCCAGTTCCATAGGGGAAAAGAAAACCACACCAGGGCCAATTGCTTCAGACAGTATTCATATACATGAGGTTTACTGTCGACATTGTTCTGAATGTTGAGATGAAGAACATGTCAATCCCATAAAGGCGATGTTACGTAATCTCCTTGAAGCATCGGCAATCGAGACTCGGATTCAGGAACCCGGAATTGAAAGTATCAACCTCCAAATGCTCCAAGACACCAAATGAATTCGAGGACATGAATCCCTTTCAGCAGCAAAAGGCCGCTAAGGCCTGGCACCGCATTGGTCTTGTATCCTCAATCCCGGAACTCGAGAATCACGACGGCTATCGGATGGCCCCAAAATGCAAGGCTTTCATCATTCCCAAGGATGGAACCTCAGACCCTCAGGCTCCAGAAGAAGCGGATCTGGACTTCTCGTTCAATTTAGCGAATCAGGTTCTTGTTTTTAAATATCAAGGGAAAGTCCATGCCGTTGATCATGTAAGCGTTGACAGATACCTATCTAGACGTAGTACGAAGCTGATTATTTTAAACTAGCAATGCCCGCATGCAACCTTCCCTCTATCCCAGGGTAAATTGTTCGACATTGAGGACTTCGGTGTCAAGCTCAGCACCGGGCTTACATGTCCCAAGCATGGCTGGTCTTTCGATATTTTCACCGGCAAGGGAGATCGAGGCAATTACAATCTCAAACTCTGGGAGATTGATCTGCGAGAGCCTTCTTCAACGGTCGAGACTTCTGATGATGACAAGGAAGTCTGGGTGAGACCTAAACAGCGAATTGGTTGATATGATCTATCACTTTTCGAATGCCCCCACGCCTCGAACGAACAATTCGGTCGGCTCCCATTTGTGCATCATGATGGCACAGTTTTAGGAGTTGTGCCAATCAGTACAGCAAGTGCCCAATGGCGCCTGAATTAAAACATGATGGGTATGCCCAGAGAAATCTGGGCTGCCAGGCTGGTTGTATAGATATCGAACATTTCTGGATGATTGCTAGGTAGAAGGCCGGCACTTTTATTGTATATAGCAATATTATTCGCACATAACTGAACTTCTGCGCATTGACATATCAAAAGTCTTATCGATGGAAGCATGCATGTAAGCGTGCCTGCATTTGATATTCAATACTTTAATGCATGGGCGGTGATAGGGCGGTGTAGTATTCTGCCATGAGGCCAGTTGATTTTTGGATGTTCTCGACCTGCAGCCTTTTTGCCTGACGCAGCGAGACACCGACTCCGTCGCAAAGGATGGACCAAGTCGATATGGAAGGTATGCCATATACAAGGTCTTCTCCCTTGATCGTTCCGTCACTTACTTCCACCTCCTCTAGTGGCCCCATCGCCCCAATTTGAGCCCACCATGGACGACGCAAAGAAGAAAAAGAAGTCGCGCAAATCCAAGAACAAGGATCGCTCCTCTCCCGCGCCTATTTCAAATGGTCTAGCATCATCTCCTGGTCGAAGCGATGATTCTTCGCAGGAGAAAAAGCGAAAGCGGGATTCAGAAGTCGGCCACAAGAAACAGAAGAAGCACAAGCTTGATTCGACACAAAATGGGATGCAAAACAGCGACTCCTCTGTCAATTCCACAGTAGATAGTCAGGCTCAGTCCAGCGAACCTGATATGCCAGTAAAGACCCAAAAGTCCGCGACAAACGGCCTCGAGACTCCCCCCTCAAGTTGTTGCGCCTGTGGCCAATGGCACCGAAACCACCACAAGCACAGGGAAACCGAGGAAGCTCCGTGGGTCTAGGATTGGTGGAAAGAACAACATGAAGGTTGGATTCTTCGTCCAGGAAGAAGTCGCGGCATTGGAGGCTTTCAAAATCTCGTTCTGCAACACCCATGGGTTCTCAGATCACAAGAAATTCGACGAAATGATCCAACATTCCGAGCGCGATGGCGGCGACTGGCCGTGCCCAGCAGATGTGTGCACCAAAAGCGAATTCTGGAACCAAATTTACGACCTCGTCCCCGACCGCGATCGGCGATCTCTGTACCGATTCATGCGGCGGCACTTCCAAGATTCAGCTCAGAAGCCACACGAATGGTCGGCAGAACAAGACAGAGAGCTCGTCGCACTCATGAGCCAACACAAAGGCAAATGGGCATACGTTGCCAAGCTTCTCGGCCGTAGCGACGACGATGTAACGCAGCGCTGGAAGAACCAACTGGAACACCGAGGAAAGATGAACCGAGGGAAATGGAGTGAAGAGGAACTGCGCTCTCTGCTAGACGAAGTCCAGAAGGTCTGGAACAAGACTTCAGCATTGGACGGTCCTGCTGCTGGAAAGGATATGTATGAGTTGGAAGAGAAGCATCTCCGATGGGGCGTTGTTAGTGATAACCTGAACAATGTGCGATCGCGCCAGCAATGCGCAGACAAATGGCGCAAGATTCGAAGATCTGTTGAGAATATGCGTGCTTGTGGGAATCCTGATGCCGTGTACGATCCTATCGAGGCCGTCAACAAGCGCACTCGATGGGGTTCTGGATCTGTCACCCCGAAGAGCACATATTTAGTCGGTGACGATGACGATGAAGATGGAGACAGCAAGGGTGGTAACGGAACACCAGGACCCATCAATGGCCTTGGTCTCACTGTGGATGATTCTCAAGCACCTGCTTCAGAGAAGAAGCCATTGCCAGAGGCACCAGCTTCTCCACAGCCGACCGCTGAGCAGGACTCGGAACCCGAGCCTGAGGCTCACTCTCCCGTCACTTCCACACAAAATAGCCCCGAAAAAGCAAGCCCAAAACAACGCAAACAACTCGAATCCGAAGATCCAGCTGTGCTAGACGACGAGGCAGAACAAAAGGCAGCTAAGAAGGCTGAAAAGGAGAAGAGGAAGAAGGAGAGACGCGAGAAGGAGAGACGCGAGCAACGCGATGTTAATGAAATTGTGGCAGCAATTTCAGGGAGCGTCAAGAAAGAAAAGAAGGACGATAAGAACGACAGACCCCGCAACCCTCTTATCGATAAAGCTGGACATGAAGCTGAAGCAGAGCACGCCACTCCCACGCCCTCAAAGAAGAAGAAGCGCAAGTCTATGGCTACTAACGGCGCTGCTACCGATGAGCCCAAATCTCCCGAGTCTCACAAAAAGAAGAAGAAGAAATCGACTCAAGAAATTGCTAAGTAACGGGGCTGGTTCTCCGGCTATGGAAAATACTAGGGTGATCTAACTGTGAATGTGAACGTCCACTGGATGTGTATGTTACGATGTATGTAAGAATGAGAATCCATGGATATGCAATGGCTGTATGAACGTCTTATGCAGCAATATTGAACAAAAACTCCAGTTCCACAATGACTCATACATGCAATAATCTGGGAACAAAGGCTGGAATCCCAAAACAAACTATCTATAGCTCATCTTTACCCTCTTCGTCATCTTCCTCTTCATCCTCCATCTCAACACTCTCGCCCTGCACGGAATCAATCTGCTTTTCAGCAGCAACCTTCTTCGCCAACAAAGCAATTTCATCATCATAAACCGTCCATTCAGGAACCTGCCTTCTAGCACGGTCCAACTTCGGTTCCTTAGTCAACGGATTATTGCATAGATCAATAGTCCTAGCTGATTCCAAATCCTCATCAGCACACCAAGTCTCACACCATAACCACTCCTGCGGCAAGCTGTGAATAGGAATATGATGCTGCATATGATTAGGAAGGTCCTGGTCAAGGTTGCTCAGACTATTCGGATCAGCCGAAAGCATCTGGTATTGTCCTCTCAATCGATCACCAGCAGCCAATTCCCTGAACCGGTTGAGATCAACGACGTACAAAGCCGAGATGTGATACGGTCTTCCACGGAGGAAATTACTCCAGTAACCCTGTTTCCAGAAGCGGAAGCCCTCCATTTCGGTCCGGGAGTCGCCCATAGGCGTGAAGCCATAGGGCGCACCTTGTAGGTCGTGGGTAACGAGCTCGTACATGTCTGTTCGGACGATCTGGTCCGCATCTACAAAGATGACTTTATCCAGAGAAAGTGGGAAAAGGACATCCAGGAAAAGGATTTTGTAACCCCAGATTTCGCGCTGTTTTTCTGTTTGGGCGCGGAGCCAGTGCGGCCATTTGTAGGTGACCATTTCGTAGGAGAAGCCGTATTCAGCGGCGAGGTGAGGGAGGAAGTCGCGGAAGGAGGGGGACAGGAATTGCTCGATAAACCAGAACTTGACTGTGTGCTTTGTGTGACGCATAACGGAGACCATCATAATATTGAGCATCCGCTCGTAGAGGTGGCCACTTGCCACGGAGAAAATATTGATGTCGGCATGTTGTTCTGAGGACTTTGAGCCGACACCAACGCTGGAAAGGACGCCCTGGGCGAAACTGAATCCCTTTGATACGAGACCCATGGCGGAGCCGGATTGCTGACCTGTTTCTAGGACGTCTTCAGTCTCGTAGCCTGGATTACGGGAGAGGCGGGGGAAGAGAGTGCGGCCCTGGAATGATAGTAGGGTGACTTCGTTGCTGAAATCTTCGGAGCCACCGACGCTTTCGAGTTCGAAGATTTTCTCGCTGCGACCGGGCTTGAGGTTGATTTGCCAAAGACCTGGTTGTGCCTTAAATTGGAAGTAGCCTAGATTGGCCATGATGAGGGTGTCTGCAAAGTGAGGGTTTTCCTCAGTGCCCAGGATGAGCTGAACGCCGCGAGGTGGAGTCTTGGTAGTAAGATCACGCGAGTGGCCCTCAATGAGGATATGCTCCAAAGCATAAATAGCATCGACATTGGTGTCACTCTTGAGCGAGCTCAGCTTGATGTTATCCAAGTCATGGATGGAATCCTGAGGCGCGACAAGCCATGAACTAGGCACATCCATGCCCAGGGTGAGCAAGGCCTCAACAGGAAGCCCGGAAAATGAAGCCTGGGGGCGGGACAGAGCTCCATCGCTAGTAAATTTGGGCTCTGACTCGAGAACGTAGCGGTAGAATCGCTTGACAGGTAATTCCTTGATCTCCTCTTTCGGGTTGAGGAAAATCTTAAGCTGGACGCCGGCCAATTCAGACAAAACTTTGAGTATAGGTAGCCACCTCTGAGCCATTTCGGATGCAGGGTCGAGAACAACAGCAACATTGATTGAGGGGTCCTCGGAGTTGGAGACAGTGATCACAGAGTGATCTGTCCTCCAGCCATCAGACACATCCAGTCTGTAATCGGGTGTGTTTTCAAACATTCCCTCGGGAATATCCGAGGTCGTCGACAGGGAGACCAATGAAGTGAGCTTGGCAAAGTCAAGTGGTGTAGAGACCTTGGCATCTAATTTAAGGTTCTTTGCAGCCTTTGCAACGGGATCGATGCGCTTGCTGTGCTCATATGCGACCAGCTGAGCCAGGTCGTCCGCACCAATAGTGGAATCTCCGAGGAGCACTACTCTTCCATTGACGATAAGACCCGATCCTTTCAGCTTGAAGCCAAGCTTCTCAATGAGACTCCGGTGCATGGCGAAGGGGGCCTTGTTGTCCAGGTCTGGATCCATGGACAAATCATCCAGTGAGCTAATCGTAGCCAGAAGCTGCTCAACACTCTCACCTTCAGTAAGTGACTTTTGGATTTTGTCGAAGTTGGATACTCCTTCAGCATCGACGGAACCACTGTGTAGAAGAAGAATGTCTACTTCATCATGCTCTTTCCGGAAGCTCAGGACATCAGCCAACAACTTCAATCCCTGCGCCGACTCAAAGTTCGCCATAACAATAATGTGCACAGTCTCAAGTACATCCTTGTTAGATGCGATACGAGGAACATCAGCCAAGGCTTCCGAATCAGATCCGAAAACACTAGCAAGATCCACAACCTGTACACTCTTGGGGTCTTCGGGCATCAAGAAAGTGTTACGTCTCTCAAATGCCGTCGCCAAGAAAAACTCAGGTAGCCAAGCGGTCTCTTCGAAGACTCCCTCAACAATGCCCTGCTGAACCAATTTCAAATCTCTGCCGATCTGCATACTCATCTCCTGCATCCAGTTGCCCTCACGGGAGATCGGAACTCCGTTGACCAGGAAATGAGGGTCATCGAGAACAAGGCTCAGGCGGCTCTGGTACTGGCATGCACGGTCTGCGATGGCGCTATAATGTCCATTTTTTTGCACTTCCTCTAGCGACATGGCTTCCTTATCTGCGCGTGGCTGCCGCTCCTTGATCACAGAAGCGAAGACAGATTTATCCGGATTCCCTGTCTTCGATTTTGAAGCAGACTAAACAAAATCAACATTAGTGTCAAGTAGAACATTAGAAGATATCTGATATCTGACCTCTTCCAAATATTGAATAAATGCCGAAAGTCCAAAGACGTCCTGAAGATAGTGCGCCACCTTAAGCTGCGCGATAGACTCTGGGGACTCCGCGGTAGGCACCAAACCAAACCTCACAGGAATCCCGCGCTTGATGAATGTAAGAAGCTGCTGGAGAATCAACAGTATATCCTCTGATTTCGACAAATCGACAGGAACGATAACATTATGCAAGTCGCGGGCCACCGGCGGCAACTGGCCCGGGTAGGCATTTTGGACGTATGCCTCCAGGCCACCAGGCCATTCCTGGTACCTAGAGTCCTTCTCAAGATTGTTCAACCAGATAATTACCTCGCCACCCTCCAATTCATCACGGTAATCGTATCTCTGCGAATCATCATCTGCGTGCGACTCTGCCAGCTGAGGGTGTGACAGAAGCTTGACAGCATCCTGAGCAGACAAGCCCAAGCCCCGGAATTTCTCGATCAACTGGCGCTCCCCACGAAGGTGGTCGAGTAGAGAGAAAGCATCAATTTGGCGCTGGTCAATCTGGACACCGTTGATCCACATAAGATTACCACCCGAGGGAATCATGCGTGCCCGGTTGGCACGCACTTCTTTCTTCAGCGGCACAGTAGCGTTGTGAGCAGCCACTACAGATGAGTACTTTGGGAAGTTTTGAGAAAGCTTGATCAGTGTATCAAGCGGGCTCTCGCTGCCCATAACATAGGCCGCGGTGTTCCAGCCCAATCTCGAAACTTCCGAAGCGGAGAGAGGCCGCAAGTCATCTGGGGATTCTTCCTTCAATTCTTCCAAAGAGTCTGCCAGCTTGTTCTCGCTGTCTCCTCGCTGTTCGGCATCTCGATCATCGATGACAATATAATCTGTTCGTTTCAAAGCCAGCTCCACACCGTATCCTGGTACAAACAAAGGACGAGAGATCGAATGCTGAGGCGGCCGGTAACGCACGCGGTATGAGATTTGCCCTTCTTTCGCCATATCGGTCAATGTTTCGTGGAATTCCTTGAACATGGGGGCGGAAATGTCGGCGTAAAGTACTGCAGGGGGTAGTGATGCATCGCCAAAGACTCGATCGAACGGAAGCTCTCTAGGATCTCTGTGAAGGTAGTAACACCCAAGGTCAGCCATAATCCAAACAATCAATACCCATTGTACACATACAAGTTACCCTGGACATCCTGTTGTGCACGCTCCATGGCCGAAGAACAATACTGCTTGCCATCGGAGTGAACCCAAACCGGACATACTGCGTCCTGTGCCACCATCAACGAGTGCTGAACAGAAGTGTTATAGTATTGGTAATGCGCCTGGATCCTCGGCGCAGATGATCGGACCGCAAGCGACAGTTTGAAAGAGGAGAGGGCCTCGGCGGTGCGCAAGTGACCATCTTCATGGACAACCTGCAAGAAGCGGTCGTACAGCTCCTTCTCAGTAGTGGTATCTTCAAAGGTTCCGTCGGCGATACGATCGAGTAATGGGAAATAGGATGTGGAGTTCTCTTCTGCGGCGGACTCACTATTCACACATGTTAGTCTTTCCTGCGCCTGTTGACATTATCGAAGTTCTTCAACTTACAGTAGCTCCACAAGGTATGGTGATGCATCGAATGAAGCTTGAAGGGCGACGTTCACAGATGGGCTAGCATTGGCTACCCAGCCTGGCAATACGGCGGCGATGGCAGCGTACCAACGCCATGACAGGAGGGATTTGGAGGTCCGCATCCTGCTGTGGGGAGAATCAACAAAGTATAGGTATAGGGACCGGGCCCCGTGGACAATGACGTGGATCTCTCTGTTTGGGATTGAGTGGAGGACAGTGGAGATACAGATTGAAAGAGAGATAGTCTGACGACAGAGCCGCTCACAATACCGCGGAGATTCCCTGTCGATCTGGACACGTACTATCTTATCGCTTATCGCAGCTCCTACGGTACACAAAGCGGCAGGCCGTTCTCTCTACGTAATGATACTTGCGATGCTACAAATCAAGAGTGGCTTTTTGAATCATTTTTCATTTTTATCTGATTTTCAATTGAATCCGGTTCAATCTCATAGGCAGCTTGCTGCGACATTTTTTGTAAACCGTAACGACATTATTTCGTAATAGAACCCACGCGCCAGACTTTTGCTTCCGATACCATGCAATGCCCACGCGCCAAATAACTCCGAGTGAAAGAACAAGAAAGAAAAATACACGATCCCACCATATGCAACCTGGCCTTTTGTCCATGGAGACGCCAAGAAATGTGCAGCAAAAAAAAGAAGTGGTTACATATGAAGTCTGGGCCTCAGAGAGAGAGACGCCGAGTCAAGGATGCGCCTCACTGGGCGTGGATGGCGGAATCATTTGCTTGCGACTTCTTGCGGCTGGTGGCTTCGCCAATCAGACGGCGGCGCTTCTGCTCGTCGATCTCAAAGAAAGAGCTCTCGGCATAACTTTCCTGGCTGCTGGGACGAATACCAAAAGTAGTGGTAGACTTCATCTTCTTCAAGTTCTTGGTTTTGCTGCCGAGACCCATCCGACGAATCTCACTGGCCAGGCGCTCCAGGGCCGAACCGGCAGACTTTGTCTGGGTGGGGCTGGGAGCTGGGAAGTAGGGAAGAGGCTTCTCCTGGGGGGCATCCTCCAAGCTAAGGTTGCTGGTGGAAGAAGCAAAGCTGATACCCGAGTCAACCTTGCGACCCTTGGTACGGTGGGCCGATTGAGGAGATTGAGACTCCTCCAGATAACTCGGCTCATGGATCAACATGCATTCATCAATGATCTCTTGAGCCATTGTCAGATATTTCTCCACGGAATCACGGACAATAGGCCAGCTGGAATCCTCGCCCTCGGGGGCGCCCTGCGAGATAACCGGCTTCAGTATAGCCGTGTTACCGTCCTTGCTGACAGCGTTGATCCAAGTAAAGAACCCGGACCGCTGCACCTTGAGAATATGGTGGGTCAATTGCGAGGTCGGGGTTGGGCTTTTCTCCGAGACCGGCGGGAAAAGAGTGTTAAGCATGGCGACGTGGGCGGCTTTGTTGGTGTGGTCAAGAATCATTTCGTTAAGGAGAGTCCAACGACGCAGGCCGACGTAGATCTGGGTGTACAAAGCTTCCATGTAGCGTCCTTTGCTCTTCATGGTCTCCAGCCAGGACATGACTCCAGGGAAATTCAGGGCCAGCCCGGAGTGAACAGGGTCTTCGACATCGGCACGGCTGATACCTAGACGCTGAATGGCATTGTACATTTCCTTTTTCCAGCGGGCATCAAGGTCCCGCAGGTAGTCCAGGGCAGTCAATGCCTGGGGGAAATCGACCTGGTCGAGGTCGGCAATCCAAACACGGCGCAAAAAGGAAGTGAGGAAAGCCGGGGGCAGGGCGCAGGGCTGCGAGGGCAGGCGAGAGATTTGGTAGATGAGCTGCGAGCGAAAGTCGGCGCTGGCGTCGATGGAATCGTCCGAGCTAGAAGACTTGGAGGAGGCGGAGTTGCGCGGGGAAAAGGCGGACTCCTGGGGACGAGTGGAGTTGGGGTTCTTGGCGGGGTTGCAGTTGATAGTGTACATGGTACGAAGAGGAATCTCATAGGAAGTCGGGTATCGCAGACAGTGATCAAAGATCCAGGTCAGACCACGACCGTTGGGATTGTCCAGAGGTGATTCAGACATGATGGGCAAAGAGTGATGATGGGATTGATGTTATGGAGGAAAGAGTCAAAGAGCGGAATCAAGCATAAAATAGTAACCACAGTGTTTCCAAGCGGGCTGGGAATTCCAACCACTTTGCGTTCTTGGAGTGATGCTGAGCAAGGTATGTAGCAATGAAAACGAAAGTACGCGACACCGGATCAAAAATGAAAGGTCACACTGTGCATAATCCGCCGGGGAATTGGCAAATCAAGTGGCTGAAGTGTCTTGAGAAGAAGTGGTTTTCGATACCCTTGCAGATATGATCTAAGACGCGGCGGAATGATTCGATCTCAAGCAACCTAGGCCAGAGACACGTGAGACAGGGAGAAAAAAGAATGGTTGGAAGACAGAAACAAAGTGGAGAAAAAAAAAAAAGAAGGGATGGCAGGAGTTAGAGGATGGAGAGGGAGGAATGGAGATGAAGAGGGGGAAATCCACGATAATTAAGATCATGGATATCTATGTTCTGGACCACGGGAGTGGAGCTCCATCGAGGTACACAAAGTACGACTCCGACATTCCGGTTCCATGGGTTTCGCCCGTTTCTCAAGATCCACTATGCATCCAGCCGGGATTGAAGAGGAAAAGACCACCGTTGGCTTTCCGTCTTTCCGTCAACTCCACTTTCTCCTGCCGCTAAACCGCTTTACTCCTTCGCTTGTGCCTCATGTGTCCGAATAATGTGCCGATGGATTCATACTCGTGTGCTTGATCCTTAACCCCTCAAATTAATCCTTTGACATCCCTGTCCGGAGTCCGGTAATCAAAGGGAACCAAAAGGGAACCATTTTGAAAACGCCGCACACGCCTCAGACGCCTCACGCGTCCACGCATGATTCCCCCCGGTGGCCAAGGCAAAATTTTCCAGCATTCACCTGATCTACAGTACAAATATAGATCAATTGACATTCGTCGAGGCATAAAACGTCTCTCATTGTGGGGTGGACACGCAATCGGGGGAGCCGAGCCTCGCAACGCCACTGCCACCCCTGCTTAACAAAGCCGTTGGAGGAGTCAACCAAGAAAACTCTGACAGGTATTCCCCAAAAGGACGTTCCAAGGTTCAGCTTGATTATGTGCATCGCTAGGTCATTTTTCTCAAGTGATCGCCCACAATAAACAACCGCAACCAGCAGACTGATCCATGGAACTGAAATGTCATTCCCCGCCCCAATCATCGCAATAATAAGTATCGGTTGTGGGTCGTTTCAGATCCTCTAATTTGATTTGGGGCCACCTCCGTACCCAAATCGACAGGTTCATTCTATGCAGTATGATCGATCTAAGCATTTAATTAACTCGCTACAATCGATTTGGAATGTACTTTTGTAAAGAGAAAAAAAAAAAAAAAAAATCTTCATATCGTGGATTGAACCAGAAACCCCAACTCAGCACCCTCGTGGGGTCTTTCAACAGGACCTTCCCAATCCAGCAGTGGGCCCAGCTCCGCAATGTGTCCAGATCTGATCGTCATTCATTGTTATGGTGATTTAATTTCTTGAGTGGAGACGACCCTGTCAAAAATCACGTTGCCCGACTTGAGCTAATCATCTTAGACGGCGATCATGGCATCATGCTCCTGGAAACCGGGACGGGCTTAATTCCCAAGCGAGATGCTCGAACACCGCGATCGTGGGCTCGAGTTCGATGAGCAGTTCGACTCAGGGGAGGAGGTCCGTGTGATTTTACCTTTGCCTTTGTCTTTGACTTTTGTTTTCGTTTTGATTTTTGCCCTGTCGGAGATTGTTGGCCGAGGCACTCGTGAAACTACAGAGCTGATGCAGAAACTTTTGCCATCTGCCCCGGTGGAAGGATCATCCATTGGGAATTGGACGAGTCCCATTAGTTTATTGATTTTTGGGTCATGTGTTGCCCCGGTCCTGCGGCATAGGTTTGACTTTTGACTTTGACTTTCTCCTTTCTTTTGACCGGATGGCCTCCCTTTTAGGCATCTCGTTCCAATTAATGGGGCCACGGAGATCACGGTGAAGGTGAGGCTACCTTATCGGTATCGCTAGGCTACCGGACACCTGCATAGGCGGCATTCTTGTTTTACGCGCTTGCCCTTGCGAAATCCTCGCGGCAAAGACGTTGCCGTGTCGATCTTTTTAGTCTACAGGTGCCCAAGTGTGGAAACAAAGAAAGACAGATCCAATGAGAAATCAAGTTCTACCTTTACACATCATCCACCTTCTCAATCGAGTACACCTCCAACTCGGCAATCATGGTATGAGCAGGCACGGTCACACAAATTGGGAAGCCGCCGTAGTCCGGATCTTCATTGGGCATCATAGCAAAGATCCCACTGCGCGTCTCATCTCCGTTCAACACCCGCAGCGGACGCAGTTCCCCCGTTTCTTTGTTCACCACCTTTTCCCGGAAGCGCAGAAATCCCGTGAAACTGGTCGTCGGCGATAACGCCCTTGCCCGCACCTGGAACCCCCACCCAATTAACAGAAACCGTGCTTCACCAAGATGGATCACCATCCCAGCACCAAGACCAGGCTTCCCAAAGACAAAGCACCGCTCGATAGTGATCTCATATCCACCCCAGCACCTGACTACGGGCTTCGAGGAGTCAGCACTGCCCCCGTCTCCCGAGATTTCATCAAAGTAGAACCCAACAGAAGAGTCAGGACGAGTCTGCGCCTCAAGCACAAACGGAGATACAGACTGTAGCAGGCCGTAATGCCTAGTGAATGGATTTGTAGCGGGCACTTGCGTGTCAATCCCAAAGGGGGACACACCCATAGCCTGATACGAACCATAAGCCACCCAGATACGTCTCGCACCGTACTCATCACGCCGCTGCTCGGGGATAAACAGTGGCTGATTCCGGTGGCGGTACTTGCGACAGGAACTACTGTAATCATTCAGATAGACATCGGGCGCGATGAAGTCCAATGACGGAGCAAACTGTTGCCAGATATCGAGGACGTTGCTAGTGCCTCCTCCCGACGGGTAATCGCCTGGGTTGCCGCCTCCGCCGACTACAACGGGAAAATCGTTGTCGCCGTCGACGTCTACATAGTTTTGCCAGACGTTTGTGTAAAGTGGGAGTGGATATGCTTGTTTACCAGTTGCAGCGACTTGGTTGACGTATTTGGCGTAGTGATAAGCCATGAAGAGCTCGTCCGTGCGTGGTCCTTGACCAAAGACCTGGGTCCATGTTCCAGATGGGTTCGTTTGTGATTTGAGGTGTGTTAAATTTGCCTTTAGGTCTGTGTGGAGATTATCCCAATCTTGCGCCAGGAAGTGCAGGAGGTCCAGTGGGACTGGTTCATTGAAACGCTTCTCTGCGGCAGCGGATCCGTCTCGAGAATCACCGAGTAGACCTGTCTCATTCTCGACCTGTACCATGAGCACTGTCGAGTGTGCACTGTCCACCTCTTTTAGATGGCTCAGAAAGCGTCCGAATGCCTTTGCGTCTGCCTTCGGACCTTCCTCGTGGAAAATTGATAGGACGTCACCGGTTTGTAGCACGCCGCCGGCTTGTCGCAGCTTTGCTCGAGGGAATCTTTTGGTGTTTGTCTTGACCCATGGCGGGACATAAGTCGAGATGCCGTTCTTGAATGAACCAAACCATAACAGAACAAGATGCAGCCCATGCTTCCTCGCACCTAGGATAACCTTATCTAGCTCGGCGAAGTGGAACTGGTCCTCCACAGGCTCGATATCTTCCCAGGTGACACACCCAAGCACGGTATTGACATTCGTATCAACAAGCTTCTGCCAAACAGAATCCATGAATTCAGCCGAGGTCATAGAAGAGTTCTGCAGCTCAGCAGCAAGGGCGAGGAACGGCTTGCCATGAACGATAAGCTGCGTCGCGGACTCCGTGCTTCGAAGGTGAGGAATTTGGGTAGACAATGTCATTTTGCAATTCAACTCAATACAAATGTTTCTGTTTTCAACCTTTGGAAGACAATAAATAATATAGATTGAGCTGTTATGCCAGACACTCAGTCCACCTCTTTTATATCTGCTCCCTTCTACCCCTCATCGTACCCCGCCGTCGCAACAAGCAGTGGAACCATACAGAATGAAATCTGCCATCAGCAGGGATAGAGATTCCAAGACCACGAACCAGGTTTGATAATGAACGATTGGCCAATATCCCGCGCGGGACTTCCCCTCAAGAAGATGAGGATACCGAGCTGCGGGAATGAACGCTTGCTATTGGCTGATAACCCGCAACATACCATGAGGCGTTTCTCCGCAAATACTTTACCTTATTCGGAAGAAAACCGGGGTAGATGAGCATATGCTACATGCCTGGAGGGTTCAATTCTGAGTTGGGAGACGTATGCTTCATGGTTTAAATAGGGCTTCCTAGCCGACATGGTTGGTCTCTTGGTTAATTCTTTCTACATTGCTGGAAATAGTACTACTACGACTACCTCGATAGATACGTTGACTTATCAAGATGGACGACAGAGAGACTCCCAAGGAAGGTAAGGGTATGGCTAGTCATGTTGAGTTCACAAGCCATGCTCGTGTGGACTTTCCAGAAGTCACCTGGTGGAAGCATCCTGGGCTGCGGAAACTATACATTATGATGCCGATTCTATTCCTCGGTATGTGAGTTCCACTATTTGATGGGTTAATGAGCTAGCTAAGATGTGTGTATCTAGGATCCTCAACAAATGGATATGATGGCTCCCTGCTGAATGGTTTGCAGACCATGACCCCATGGGAAGATTGTAAGTACATCTGGTGATTTACAAGGTTCCAAAGGTTCAAGGCTAACTCTATAGACTTCAACAACCCCAGCGGCTCGACACTAGGTCTTTTCACCGCAATTCAGAACATCGGCGGCTTCTGCTCATTGTTCTTCGGTATCCAGCCCTCTTCCTCTTTGTCGCCCCCAACTGATTGGAGATCACAGCATCATACACGGCCGACATTTTCGGGCGCAAAAAGGGAGTAGCCATTGGACTGGTAATTATCTTTGTTGGAGCTGTCATCCAGGTTGTCCCATCCGTCAACTCCAATATGTTCCTGGCAGGAAGATTCCTTGTGGGTCTGGGGTAAATTGACCTTTTCGTACAGGGTGACCTAGGCACTAACATTCTTAGGTCCAACATAAGTCAGGCATCCGCACCGCTGCTTATCACGGAACTGGCCCATCCTCAACACCGCGGGAGATTGACAACCATGTATAATACACTGTGGTATGTGGGGGCGATCGTTGCGGCCTGGACTGTCTTTGGCACAATCAAGTATACATCGGAAGCAGCTTGGAGGATTCCCGTCGGTATGCAAGCGGCCATGCCGGCTATCCAGTTCTTCGGCATATGGTTTGTTCCTGAAAGCCCTCGTTGGCTTTGTGCGAAGGACCGCCCGGAGGAGGCGTTCGAGGTTTTAGTCAAAGTAAGTTCTTGAGTTTTATAGCAGTGACCAGTCTGATAACCAGTGATCTTGGCAGTATCACGCGAATGGAGATAGACAAGACCCATTCTGTGCATTTGAATTCCAAGAGATCCAGGACACTATTCGCTTGGAAAAGGAAAATACAGACAATGGGTGGATGGTGCTAGTTCAGACCCCTGGTAATCGCAAACGTCTATTCCTCATTGTCCTCACTGGGTTCTTCTCGCAGTGCTCCGGTAATGGTTTAGTGTCGTACTACATTCACGACATCTTGAAATCCGTCGGGATCGAGTCCTCATATGACCAGTCAATGATCAATGGTGCTCTCACGGTATGGTGTTTTTTGATCGCAATCGGCACTTCGGCTTTTCTTGTGGATCTTCTCGGCAGACGAATGTTGTTCATGATCGCTGGCGTTGGAATGTTGATAAGCTTCAGCATCTGGACTGGGTATAATGCCTTCCCCAGCTGAAGTGAGATATGGCTAACTCAGATGCAGATGTTCGGCAGTATATGAGAAAACAGGTGATCACAGTGCTGGGAGTGCAGTCATTGCTATGATCTTTCTCTTTTATGGGGCAGCCGGGTTCGCGTGGCCTGGTCTGACGGTCGCATATACTGCTGAGATTCTTCCCTTCAACATCCGAGCCAAAGGTCTTACTGTCGCAATGGCCGTTACGGCGGCATCGTCGGTGTTCAATCAATACGTTAATCCAATAGGCCTGGAGTCGCTGCAGTGGCGCTTTTATTTCGTGTATATTGCCATCTTGGTGATTGAGTGTTTCTGCATTTGGTTTTTCTTTGTGGAGACAAAAGGTCCGACTTTGGAGGAAATCGCAGCACTCTTTGATGGGGAGAATGCCAACGTGGCTGGTAATGAGCTGACGCTCCGACCAGAAACAAAGTCTGTGAATCCTTGAAGGACTGGGTATCCAATCTGATCATTTTTAACGTTCTGGGCGAAGCATTGACAGAGCATCACTGGCGAATTTTCCACGTTCTTTCAACTCGACGGTGGCTAGCTGTCCTACCTCACCTTCTATGGGTAAAGCATGCTGCAGGAGGAATTTGACTATCCATCTGTCCACTGTATATGTCTTGTCCATAGTTCGCATACAAACTTTTTGAAATGTAAATAATCGCTCCATCTGTATTGCATTAGCTCTTGCCAAGTTGAACCAGATAAATTTTGCTGCAGTCTCACCATCAAATCAACGCCAGGCCAGTATTGTTTCAGCTTGAGCAGAGTCTCAAAGTTATTGAACAGTCTCTTTCTAACATCAAGTTGCTCAGCCTGATTCCCGAATAAGAGGGTGTGGAGCAACGCAGATGATGATACCACAGTCATATGTGCCACGATGAGATAGACCGCTTCACAGTCCGGGGTCTCTTGAGAAGATCTCAGCAGGTCACTGAAAGATGTCGCATGATATTTGCAGCGAGCTACAAACATTGTTCGATTCACATTCGGAGAGGCTTTGACGTCAAAGTATGGGAAATATAGAAGGGTTGCATAGTGGTGGTATCCTAGATGGAGAGCCACGAACGCTCGTCCAAGACCTATCTGAGCATGTAGCCTCAAGTTTTCGGATGTGAATTGTAAAGTGGGTGGAAGGTCGTGGACAAAATGCTCGAATTTTTGTGCCAGATTTTGGGTTATTATTTCTGCTGTTCCTTCCTCCAACAAGCCGTTTGCTAACTTCTGGTGAAGATCTTGAATATGGCCGAAGATTCGAGCAAGAATCACCATATGGCCCCAAAGACCAGGCCCTGAATGAGAAATACTTCCAACTTTTTGCCCTGATTTCAATGACCAAAATTCAGTTTCAGCCATTGGTAAGCGATGTTGATCATCATGGAACTGTCTGGGCAAATTGAGCCCTGCAGAGGACCACTGGTCGATCATATACAAGGACCACCAAGTTCTAACCTTGATCTCCTGAGTAATGCTATCTTCTGTCGTATTTGACTCTGGTAAATGAAGAATGTGTGCCATGCGAAATGCAATGCCTATTTATGTAGAAGTTAGTCGCTGGTCTGGGAGAATAATGGCCAACTCACCAAAGAAAATGCCCTCTGTTGCAGACTGTGCTTCAGCGCCGCACAGATTACCGACCAATATACTCGCATGGATGTTATCCAAACATGGAACATCAATGTTCATCTTTAGAAGATGTTTGGCTTTCGAGAAGAATATATCTGCCTTCTGACGCACCGTTTCCTCATCAGACAACCTTCCAGGGTTATTCAGTGGGCACCCATTTGTTGGTCGGGGGGATTCATTTCTCGGTCACTTACCGGGCTGCAAGTGCCATAATTCCATATAGTACCGCCATCGGAAGCGACCCATTGCGTACTCGCTCTTTCAGTAGCGCTGGGTGAAACAGGGTATGCGGTTTGTCATGAATGCAACTCAAGTAAAGATCGACCAGTCGATCTCGAACATCATCTGTCAAGCCCGGAACTTCCAAAGAGTGGATATCACTGTCATCTGCAGGGACTGGTAAAATAGTTCTCTGCGGCTTCTGTTTTTGTTCTGTGAGGGAACAGGGTTTGTTCAGCCTAAGGCACTGTTGACAGGACTTCCCCGCTTTTTCCGCTGTGCACCTGCGCTTGCCGACTCGACAATGTCGACAAGATTTGGATATTTTCATCCTGGACACAAGGTCGGTTCAGGAAGATAAGTAGTTTAGAGTCTGGTGTCAAGGAGATTTGATGTATAATGTCGGCCACTTATGTCCCATGTGGGGTCTCGGCTATTTGCACTTTATCCGATTGATTCCCGATCGAAGATACCCTTCAAACTTCGCTTTGCTATGACTTCTACTCCTGTTTGAAGCTCGAAGTCTGTTTTATGTTTATCATCTTGGCCCGTCTCAGATAAGAGTTTCACGACCTGCAGGAAACTGGCGTTGAGTATCATGGCTGAACAGTATGTTGCGGGAGCGAGATGCGGTATTTTCAGGAAGAGGGATAGAAGCAATATTGAGACTCTTCTGTATCTCAAGTAGGAAGGGGAAAGAGCAAGGGTACAAAAGGGGATTGTTGAACGGGTGCAGCGATATAACCAAGTATGACTTGTCTGATAGGCACATTCGTACTGTAACAATCCGCTTGTTTTCGGTTGCTTTCCATATCATTATCTTACCCACAAGCCTACCTAAGCTCTTTATTTCTATTAAATGGGGAAATGGTGGGTGATAACAGCAGCTACTCCATAAGAATACTGTATTGTAGTGACAACTATTATCAACATGCTCTACAGTGGTGCCAAAACCAGCCCAGTCGCAACTTACAATGTCTGGTCTATCTCAAGACTCGCTACGTTCCAGACCTTACAAGACATAGTTCTGAAAAGAATCAAACTCATGCATGAAAAAAAAGATTGAATACACAGTAACGCACTTGACAGACATTTATACTATATCGAGAATATTTCTTCGAAACCAAAACAGAGTAAAACAATGAAACAGTCTTGACAAATAATGCCTTCTACGTTTTGCTGCCTTTTTCTCGGAGTTGTCTTTAGATCTGGCTTGCCTTATCACTCAGTAGAGTCATTTCCTCAATCACAAGACAAACAAAAACGAAAGCTTTATACTCTGATCCTGATTATTCCGTGAAAGAGACATTTGGAAGGGGACTATTGAGTAGGAGGCCTCTAAGAAGTTTCGAGTGGACTGCGAGATTGAACGCCGACTCTCTTGGCATCCCGGCACTGCTTGCAGCTCTTTGTGATGGGCCCTCCGGTCTGGAGAGGTTGGAACTGGTCGATTGGCCACTCCTTAAAGCAAGATTGGCACTTTTTTGAGGAGGGTTGTGCAGGGTCAGCAGCTTTTGCTGGGCGCTCGCGGCGACCTGTAGCAACCATTTTCTTGGCATTCGCAGTTCGGCACTGCTGGCAGGTCTTTGTTTCGGGCCCTCCGCATTGAGCAGACTGAAATTGGTCCAGTGGCCATTCCTGCCGACACCGCTTGCATGTCTTTGAGGTGCGGTCTGCGGGGTCAGCAGTAGGCTCTTCAACAGGAGGCTTTTCAGCGGCCTCGCGGGCTCTTGTCGCTGGCCGCTCCCATCCATTAGGTACCTCACGTTTCCCCGTTGTCTTTTTGGGCTCATCTGGTGATACCTTTGCCTTTTTTGACTGTTTTGCAGGTGGATCAGGAGCGGGCTTTTTAGCAAATCTTCCACGTTCCCCACGAGCTTGAGCAGACTTATGCTTCGGTAAATCCCGGGACTTTTCTGTTGATTCCGTGGGCTTTGTCTTCTTTGCAGGCGGTCCAGGAGCGGGCTCGGTAAGAGCTGGCTCACGAGCGCGCTTCCGAGGCTTGTGAACAGGCTCACGGTAACCCTCCGGGGGAGACTCAGAAAGTAATGGCAGGGGGTGCTCAGCCCCAGCCTTAGGGAGCGGGTCATCAATATACATATCATCCGCTTTCTGTCTGTATCTAGGACCTTCAGGGCTGTTGGGCAGAATAGGAGGCCCCAAAAACCACTGCTGGGGACCGTACTCAGTAACAGGCCCAGGAGCTGCCTTCGGAAGTTTTATACGCTGAGTGACTGAACCCGCCTTGGGAGTCCCAAGCACTGGAGGAAGGGTAGGTCTAGCTGGAGGAAGACCAGCTCTAGGACCAGCCCTAGGACCAAGTGAATTGGCTATCCGAGGCCGGCCCCGGCTCGACATGCGTTCTTTTCTCTTGGCATATTCAGGCTTGCCTATAAGGTCCAAAGACCTACCTTCAAGAGGAGGTGTGGAGGCTGAAATCCATTCAAGATCAAACCGCATTTGAAGTATTGTTGTGTCTTCTTCCTCATCTTCAGTATACCAAGTCACAACTCGAGAGATTTTAAATCTTCCTGGACATGCCCCCAAAATCATGTAGACCACAACTCTACCCATATATGTTCCGAGTAAGGCTCTATATTCCGATGAGCCATGTCTCCATTCTTGCGGCTGCAAATATGTTTCTCGGTCGGGTTCGTCTTCGGTTGGGAGAAGGTTCAACTCCTGGTAGATCCTGGCAACAAATCTGAGGTCACTCGGGTTGGCTACTTTAGAGTAATAGATAGACTTTAGGGACCCCATTCCAAGACAAAGATATTTGTATACGACCGCCATGATCTCCGACGTATGAAGTCCCCTTCTACCTCGATATCGGAACATAAAGTATATGCATAGGATACCTTGTGTGACGTACAGTTGCCAATTATTCGACTGTTGGGGCTGACCCGGAGCCTGTACTGGCTGCGTTACCTCCACAAACTTTGCTTTGATGTCAACGTTACTAATGAGACCCGATCTTTGAGCATCCCGTGCAACATTCGGTGGTAGGGTCAGATCTAACGGTTCGTGGTTACAAAGCCGGACAACGTCATCTGCCACAATCTCGATAGGTTGAACAGGACAGGGATCCCCTGGGGTATCAGCGTGCTCAAGCCACCTCTGGAATCTAAAGCCCCTTCTTTCACGCCTGCCCCACCTGTCCATCCGACCTGGGCGTGGCTCATCGTCGGGGAAGGAAGAATCGGTCATCGGCTCATCCAACGGGTTCAGTGATAAAACTCCATCCTCGTCTGGAATGGGGCCTTCCGTAGATCCTGTAGCTGGTGCAGCGCTGCCTGCACTAGAATTTGTCGAACGGCCATTTCTGGACTCTGCACTCGGTGTGAAAGGTCCAAGTTCCAAAGGGTCGAAAGGGTCAAGGGGCTCTTCCGGCGGAGGTGGACTTTCGTGATCCGGAAGACATTCCTCGTCATCGTCACGCCGACCACCCATTATGCTTTAGGATACTGTATAGATTGTGGGGTAAATATGATTCAAAATGCTATATACACGAGAGTGCTAGCACCTACGTTGCCTTTATATTTCGATTACGAAAGGAGTCCTCAAAATTAGTATATTTAGAACATTAATGCCAAGGTCATATAATGAAGGTGCAGTAGGTGTTTCCAATGGTCAGAAATAGTAGCATTGACTTCAAAGACTTCCATTCTGATGTTGTACTAAGACTAACTGACTCAGGCATTCAATTGATGATAGCGGCAGCTGAAATAACAAAGCAGCCCAGGGTTGGGATAACCTTTGTTAAATTGACGAACATCGCCTCTTCATTGACATCAAACATGGAACTTAAAAGCCTCGCTCATGAGTGTCAAAGTGTAAAAGTCTAACACTAGTGTGGGAATAAAGATTTTGATGTTGATCCTGTCTTGGTTTCGGGATCTAAATCTGTTTCAACAATGCAGTCGAGTCTGCATGACCCAAGCCTCATTCCAAGCCCACTCATTCTTTGTTACAAGTTTTGGGGGAACATTTTCACATTTCGTAGGAGGAGCTTCATTTCTCACTGAGGATCCCAACCAAAGTGCAAAAAGCACTGTTTCAACTTCTACTAGTGCCTTCAGATTGGCTTGTTATGGCGAATCTTTGCGGAGGCTTTTGCTCTAACGAGTGACTCAGCAATATGGTTGTGGGTTCATTTGTTATCACTGCATTCTCATAGCTGCCAGGTCATACTTCAAATGAAAATTCGATGGTAGAATTCAATGTGAAAGAAGCATTAATAGAGATATAGGCATAGGCACAAGATACATGGTGATTCTAGGGATGTATATGAGTGGACCCACTTTTCGGCGCTACCACTAGCGCGATATACCGCCCGGCAGAAAAAGAGTGATAAGATCACCAGTCCACAACATTATCCCATCAAACAGCTTTAAGATGGGTAAAGGACCGTTGGAGCGACAGCTCCAGTTTGAAAAGCAGAACAAAGATCTTGTCAAGCTACCAAAATGTGTGTATTTATTTCACCACAGACCCTGCATTCAGCTTGGACACTAACCGCCGGCTTATAGACGCGAAAGTTGAAAAACGCCCTATCAACCACCCCCCAGTTGCCTCTCCTTATGCAGGAACCTCTGTGCCAAAGATTGTCTATGTCTCGACTAGTACACCCTTCATGAGTGCCGTGAAGCGCGTCCAGAAACTCCTTCGCCATGCCGAGAAACGCGCAACAGCCAACATCGATCTTGGAGACACGCGCAAAACAGAGCAGCAGAAGCTTGCGGAGTTGACCAAGGCCGCGGATAAGCGAGAAGAGATTTTTTTAAAGGCTACGGGGAGAGCAATTGAGAAGGCACTCAAAGTGGGCAAATGGTTCGAGGAGAAGGAAACCGAGTATGTGGTCCGTGTGACTACCGGCAGTGTGCTTGCGGTTGATGATATTGTCGAGGATGAGGAAAAGAAGAAGCTGGAGATGCAAAAGGAGCAGCAACAATCGAAAGACGAGTCGCTTCCTGAAAAGCAGGACCACGAAACCTCCAAAGCCGCTGCGAAGAAACGAAAGCGCCAGGCCCCTGCTGTATCCGATGATGCTGAACTTCCTGAGTCGCGCACCCGTTGGGTCAAATCGGTTGAGGTTGCCGTGAGTCTCAAATGAAGAGACACAAAGAGCCGACACGCATACTACCACTGTATGACTATATCTTGTAACGATACTGTTAGGACGATCACAACCGTCCAACTGAAGAACCCCGACTCGAACAGCCTATCAGAAGCCATACAGCCTTGATTCTCATAGGTGCTTCAGGCTAAGACCTGCCAGCTAAGCTCAAGACCAGTTCAGACACAGCTCCCCAGTTCGCCCATGACACAGCCGAGACACCCCGATGGTGACTTGAAGAGTCGACGCTCTTGCCGGTTCTGGCTCATGATGGATGAGATCAATGAGAAACATGAGACACCGGGCCCTCATGTCAGTCTGAGGATATCCTCGAAGGTCTATCAAACCTTGTTGGGCATTGATATTCTCCGATGAGCAATGTTCTTATGAATAGCTTTCCCAATTCAAATCTACCTTGAAAGAATCAGACTCCTCCCTAGGAGTGACAATCAAACAAGGGTATCTGAAATAAAAACAATGCGAAATCAAGTAGTTGCCATTCTTATTTCTTGGATACATACCACAGTCTGAGCTATCTCACATTGATACCTCTTCACCATCATCATTCAAAGCAGCTCGGCTACAACATTTGAACCCTCGACCTCGGAGGCAGGGGGGCTTCCAAGGAGCTCTGCTTTCCCCGGATGATCCCCAGGCAGCTTCACCCGCCTTCTAGCCGATGGTCCATGCGGCTCACCAGGACCCTGCAAAGCATAGCTATTCCGTCTCTTTCGCCTTTGCATCACTATGACCACAAAAACTACAATGAAAATCAAACCTCCAACGCCAGCACCGACACCAATCCCAGCCTTCGCTCCTGTGGATAGAGAAGAGCTCGATACCGAAGTGGCGCTAGGCGCTGCTGTACTTGTAGCTTTCCCAATTGTCGTTGAACCGGAAGTTGACGTAGGTGAGACCGTTAGATCAGTGGTCTGGTACATCAACTGGAACAGCGGAGCATTGACTCTAACAATGTCAACCGTCACAATTGACACGGATGCAGAAACAGAAGCAGAGTCCAACGCCGTCAAAGGGACAGTCAGATAAGAGAACCCATTACTCGTCCCTGAAGAGCAGTATACAGCCGGGAATGAACCAGTCGAATAATCCGAGTAACACGTCTGAGCACTTTCAGTCCCATCCCAATTATATACACAAACAAAACCACTAGACCAGATTAGTTCTACTTGACCCTAAATGCGAGATCAAACATACCTCGGACAACATCCCACCGCAGTCTCAGATGAGACTAACGGATATTGGAACGAGTACTCCGTTATTCCTCCATGCGTCGCATAACAAGCAGCGGAGTATCCTGTCGGACATGAGATACCCGGCGAATAGAATCCCCCGCCATTGAACGCTTTTCCCGTCAGGTACTCGTCATTCGATTGCGGGGGCCAGCAGGCGGGATTTTCCTGGACTCCTTGACTATTGAAAGTGTTCGTGCTGCATGCCTGGGCCTGCCAGGCTGTTGAGCAGGTTTGGCAGTCTAGGACTGCTATAGCGCAGGAGGACGGGTAGATGAAAGCGGTTGTAAAGGGGCCGATATTCGAGCGCGTGGATGTTCATGCAGACATAATGGAGGTTCTTTTTATGCGAGTGCGCTGGTGTCACCCGTGTGGAATGGAACTATATAGCTACTAGAGCAGTGGAATCGGTGATTATTGAGAGCAATGCCTTGGTCTTGGGAACTTGCCTTCACGGTGATGTTGGTACAGCCGAACAAATTCCCCCCAGGAGGAATGAGTATATGGGGTAAGTACTAACCTCACCTTCCGCTGCAACGGTAAACAGAGTTCAGCTCGCTAGATCTAATACGTGCTAGGAGTCCAGCCGCGACCTGGTGAATCTAGTGGAAAGTCTAAATCTAGGTATACGAAGTCCGCACGCCACGCTACTGGATGCCTGAGGGGAGTATTCTAGCATACCACGGGTGATGTCCTCTCGATAGGATTGTTACTCTGTATTAAAAATATCAACACCAACTTCCATGGAAAGTTGTCATAGCCACAGGGAATAAGTGATATGGACACCGAAACCTAATACATACAACCCGAGATACAATATGGGTAAAATGGACAAAGAAGTAATAATATACACCTCCTACTTTGGAACACAGACCCAACTGCAGCCAAAGCGTTTGAACGGCAACGGGCGAAGCTTCTCACCCGAAGCCCGCGCAAGCTTCATGCCCTTTTCATAAGGCGTGCAATCCCACCACTCGAGCCATTCCGTCCGAGGAATGATATATTCCTTCTGACATATGGAGCACTGCTGACCACCTGCTGCGCGTATTTTTTTCACCTGCTGCATCAATGGGATCACCAAAGCAGGGAACTCTGCTAGCTCTTCATCGGTGACGTGCTCGAGGTCTGGAAGTTTGCATACAGCTCGGAGTGCGACTTCGCGCAAGGAGGGAGCGGTAGGGACCGGGTCCGATGATGGAATCATCATATTTGAGACTAGGTTCTCTTCAATTGGTCGCCCTTCCATGTCCAGCCGTGTAGTTGGGCCGGTAGCCACATGAATGGTAGTCCATGCCTCAGCTGGAGGAGAATCCTCGTAAATGTCAAATCGAGGGGTTTCAAGGGTAATTTCTGGTTCATCTTGTTCAGAGTCGTATTCGTCGTAAGGTTGGTCTGTGGTCTTCTTTTCGGGTTCGCGATGCCATTTAGCAATGGTGGCTTCTTCAATTGAAGGGAATGGGTTGGGATATGCGGTCATGTGTTTCAGCTCGCCATGCTGGAGTAGGCGTAGGAGCTCCCATGGCAAATAAGTCAGTCTGTTCACAGAAACATTCAAAACCTCCAACTCCTTTAGTTTCTGAACTGTGTAGGGGATTTCGTGGAGTTCATTGTTCCGCACACTGAGGACTTTTAGGCCGCTCAGCTCAAACAACTCATTGTGGAGTTCATTTAGAGAGTTTCCAGGAAGGTAGATACTGAGAAAAGGCTGTAGCGAAGAATAAGCATTTTCAGACAAGGGGGCCTGCTCTACGGAAGGCAACTTCGTCAGATGTTGTAGAGGCCGGAATAGACCTGACGGGATAATTCTGAGGTTAAAGTTCCTGGACACAATGTTAATATCAGACTAAACCAAAGCACCATTTCAGGATCAGATTAAAGAAGGAAACATACCCAAGATCAACAATATCCTCCCCTTTCTCTAAACAATCATTCACCACAGACCTCGCGAACCGCTGTTCCTCCGACTCGTGGGGTCCCTTCAAAATTGGCAAAGGAAGAACCGGCGGTGCAGCCTTGCCACTGGGAAGCAATACCAAAGGGCCCTGGGCAGGCTTCCCCTGAGCCTTCGGATCAAGCACCGTCTTCAGGAGATCCTCGCCCCAAGGACCATCCTCGGATGGAAAAAGCGAATCAGCACCCGACTCATCACTCCCCATCCAAACACCACTATCGACATTGCGCTTCTCCTTGAAGTCCCCCCTTTTCCTCTTCGAATCAATCACCTGTTCCCCCCACCACGTTCCACGATATCGTCTCTTCCGTCCAGCCCCCATTGCAGGCGCATGATAATTCTCTAATCCCGACGCGGGGATATCGTCGCTGGAGAATAACGCTGGATCACTAGATGGCTGACTGGAGCGGTCATCGAAGCGCGAAAGCCGACGCGCTTTACGGAATGATGGTGCAAGCGACGTGGCGGGGGAACCGCTTGCGTTTGCGCGGGCGGGCGATCGGTGCCGGATGCGCCGCGGCGGGTGGGAGGGGAATCTCGTTGTCCATTGCGAGAGTGATTGTCGCGGGGCAGACGAGTCGCACCTCGGTTCCCTCTTAGGTCATACAGAGGTGAACAATGCGTTGGAGCTTTGGGGGGTTGCGACGCGTTGTGGAGCCCGTGTGGAGGCGGGTGTCAACAACGCGCGATCAATCCGCGATAAGTATGAAAGATAAAGAGAATCCCGAATCAACTCAAATGAGCTATTTAATTTGAAGGAGATGTTCTGAAAGAGAAAAGTTATATATATATATAGAAGAACGGATTCGCGTAAGATAAGATCAGATCTAACGGCCCAAAACGGGTATCACGCGTGGGCGCACGGCCATTGAGTTTATCAGTCGACCTCGGAGCTCGCGGCAGTCAGATCGGAATGTTGGAATGTTCGATCGGCATGATCTTCGTCACGTCAACTCTATACACTTAGTGATATTATTGGGCATGGATATAAAGATGGTCTTCACGATCCCCAGTTTTGCGCCCTGGATCCTAATTATATCACAGTAAGGAATATATGGGCGCGTAGACACGTGGATAGGCGGATAGGTTGATAAGATGGTAAATATTTATTTTGGAAGTATATGGTATATACGGGGAAAAAAGAGTTTCATATGGCGCCAAGGGGATGGGTCCAGGTTTCAGCTTCTGAACAGGCGTGTTGTTGATGTGCCAGAGTAAGATAACTCCGGTTCAAACACACCCTTGCTGATGATATCCCGGAACACAATTCCCCATACACAAATATGAACAAAAGAATTGAACAATGGGGTTGACAGAAGAAGACATCAAATCGTGTCCAGAAAAATTCGTTAAAAGGGGGTATTTGAAGTGCATAAAACCGTTTCCTCTCCGAATGAGGTTCTCCAGTGAACCATGAGCCGTAAAAATAAAAATTTGAAGTGAAGAATCGAAAATAGAAGTCCAATAAAAGGTAACCCCGGCTCTGCTGGAGACAACGGCGAAGAGTAGAGTCACCGAGCAATCACAGAGTCAAACCAAATGGTTGTGGAAGTTATCACAACTCAAGGGCTGCTGAGGTCGTTCCCGGTGCTCTTTGATGCGTATAGGCGATTATAGGGCCGCGCCCATAATCAGCGCAAAGGATCCAGCGACTAGAGCAGCGGGCATACCAACGGCCACGTTAACAGCACCGCCAGTCTTGGTGGCGGAGGTAGCAGCGGCGGTCTTGGTAGCAGATTGGACAAGAGGAGTGGAGGTCATAGTGGCCATGCTAGAGCTGGGGGTGATGCTAGCGCTAGCGCTAGCGCTAGCACTAGGAGTGGCAGTGACCGAGTGGACGCGAACCAGCGTCTTGGTGATGGTCATTGTTGAGGTTGAGGTAGTCGTATCCTCTGCGACAGCGAACTGGGCTGCAGCCAGGCAGAGGAACGAAGTGACAAAAGCCTTAATCTGCATTTTGTCGAATTGGGATTGATATTGACAAGAAAAGTTTTCGTCTGAGAGAATTGAAGTCGTACACAGCAAGGTGTGATCGATTGAGATGATAATCCACGAGTTAAAGATGGATTGCAGAGGTGTGATGACCGTTACTGAGGCAAGTACGAATTTGCAGCGGTTCCGGGTGAGAGATTGACTTTGAGCGCAAAGGATTGGGACTCAAAGGGATATAGGGTAAAGATCGTGGGATAGAGCGCGGCTCAAATGGGGCCAGATGGCATAAACGAGGGACTTGGGTAAAGAATGACTGGGGGTGAGGAAGTTTGCAAGGTGCCTAAGAAGGAAGAAGGAGGAAAGTATGACAGGGTGCGGTATGCCAGACCTAAATACGAAGGCTAACCTGGGGAAGGGGCCATTTGGGCACTGTGGCGCCAAGTTAGATTTTTCTATTGTTTTGTTCTGGATGGACTGACGATCCTATTGGATCAACGGGGCACGCGAGTCTGGGACTATCCGAAATAGGGCGGTCCAAAATCGAACTATGGGGCCTAAGCAATCAAAAAACCCTAATTACCGTGACTAGCGTCAGGCACAGTAGGGTCTGGATCGGTGGAGTGGCACGGACTCCCCCATGCGAGGGATTTGGGGGATGCAAATTCCAATCTGCGTCGCGTCATAGGGGAGCTATTGAATGCAGTATCACTTGTTGACGGTCTGAGGGTGTAGACGTGGAGCACAATGTGGGCGGTCCTAAGTTGTCGGGTCCGAGGAACAAAACGGTGTGCAATTTATTTATCCTTTGGAGGCTTACTCTCCACTATTCAGAGGGAGGAAAAGCCCGAAAGAATTCCCCCTAAAGGGTAAAGGGATGTCATAGGTGATGTTGCAGCCCTAAATCCGAAATAAGCAGTTCAATGGACCATTTCCAGGCCAACAATGATTGACCCAGACGGACTCCCGGAGTAAAATAAAATAACAAAATAAAAATAGAGGAATTAAACCTCTGCATGTTTGGGACATGTTTCCGTAAGCGCTGATCCTAAAATGAGGATGTTCTCTATGCATCTGAGGCAGACCGTGTTTTCAAAATTGCCTGTGTTACCCCTGGCGTCATGAATGCAGGAACGGAAAACACGGATCTCCTCCGGACTGGAAATTTGTGATTCGCTACTCTGGCTTTGTTCTCATCACCTGCACCCTCGATGTGGATTGGCTAGCCACGGGTTTAGCCGAGATTGGCTGTAGAGTTTGTCGCTCTTAGCCTGGATTGGGGGGCGACCCGAAAGTCCTCCCCTACGAGCACGAGGCGGACTTTTCCCATGTTGTGAAAGGTTGGCTTGGCAAAATCCACAGAGCGAAACGGGAAATTAAGAAATTGGGGCTCTCGGAGTGACTTTCGTGCCTGTTCCTGGCGGGATCCATGGAACCTTTTTCGAGCCATATTCCACCAGATATGGATCGGCCTTTTCACCTTCCTTTCACAGCGAGTTAGTGATTTGGATACACGGATGAAGAGAGTGTGGGGGGAGCGAGAACTTGACCGATCATCCCGTCCAAAGTTTGGCCTGACTCTAATTGGCTTGATCTCCTTGCAGAACACGTTCGTTCATCTGGGGGAACACATGTTCTTGGGCATACACATCCTTGTCGATGTGGCATAATGCGGTTGGATTGTATGCGCTCTGCTTGATGGGTCCAATCGGCCACCTCGGCAGATGTTAAGCAGAGAAGGGGTGAATGTTGCCAGGCCCCGTTTGCAAAAGTGACGATCGGTGGTATCACCGCTCCGTGGACCGCTTTTCCGCATTCTTCATATAAACAACCAGGACAAGACAGGAAGAGCTCCAATTCATTGGGCTTTTGAAATGATATATTTGGATCTGTAGAGACTTGACTTGACTTGAAGCGCTGTAGAATTTGTAAAATGAGAATAGAAGTGAAGCCACTGAGGAAGCCTATGTTATAGGTTCGTAGAGCAGTGTACCTAAATATATTTTTGTGCCAAGTATCGACCTCAACCCTGAAAGCTTGAACTTCTGAAGTTGGGCCTCTTCTTGAATAAGCCAACTAGTTTATATCAATGATGCCCGACTTGGGCAGGAGAACTAGAAGTTGAAATGTCTACAGAATAAGTTGATATATATGCTCGATGAATTGGCATTTACCTCCGGGAACAACAATATACCGACTACATCTATGTACCTCGGTAGATGTGGAGTTTGACAACTCAATCTTGAAAGGACAATGACATCAGATGTCTACTGTGCGACTGCAATCTTGGCGTACATAATGATACTGTGGAACATATGTATAATGTGTCCCAGCGTAATGTGTAGAGTAATGGTACATGAATTGCGCTGATCGAGGCCGGTTGGGCAGACCCTGAACTATGGTCGCATGAAGTGATTTCTTCAAAATTATATCTCAGAAAGTCAGGCCATCAAACAGCAAGGATACCATTACAACGAAGTCTGGGTTGCTGGACACCCACCAAACAAGGTAGCATACCCCAGACCCGACCGGTACCTAGTATTTACATGATGAGCTGGATAGCTTTTGAATATCCAGCCCGGCCCGATTTCGACGCAAAAGCCTTGCGCTCCCTAGACCTTCCTCCCTCCAGCTTATCGGAACCGCTCAAATAAACTGCTTATATCGTACAAAATGCATCCCCATCGATTTGATCGTGTCGCATGTCCCTCTGACATCCCGGGCGGGGCAAGGGCAGATTTATTGGCGCATCGAGCGTAGGGAGGTCTGGCGAGGAAGCATCATCGGGGGTCCCTGAGCACGGAGCCAGAGGTCGTTGCGGGGTCCCTCAGAACGGATCACGCTGCCGATGGACATGAAAAGACTGGAGAAGAACATAATCAGCATGGGTTTGGGGTGCTCTGTGGCTGAGGACTACTGGTAACCCAGCAAAACAAGAAATTATGCCACTGTAATAGATGTAGAATCAATACGTACCCAAACGTAGCACCGGAACCCACCATGTACTTGCCCAGAGTGCGCATCACACCGTTGGGACCAGCGCCGTGCTGGAGGATGACCACAGCTCCTAGACCATGTTAGCTTCCCAATTATATCCCGACATACCGCCCATCAGGTCTATATCAAACGTACCACCAATGAAGCCCATGATAGCTCCGACAGCTAAAGACCGAGTATCGCATTAGTCGAAGCACTTCAGTAGACAGCTAAGCGTGATATATGCACATACTTGAGCCCATCATGGCACCCATTTTCACTATAGAACAAGTTAGCTCCCAATCAATCTTAACCCAGGTATTGCGCATTGTAGTAAATCAGTGTGAGTGTTGACATACTCTTGTCAAAGGTCGAAGGACCGGCTGCGGGAGGACCAGCAACAACAGGCATTTTGGAGGATGTAGTTAGAGTGTTATGGCGGTAGGATGTGAGGTGAAAGAGCACACGCAGCTCAAGCTTAGCAAAGCTGATATGTTTATAATAATGCGCCTCAAGTGCAAAAGTAATTCGCAAGGGATTCGGGAGCTTTTTCAAACGAATCGCATCACTTTCACGTCCGTCTCCGCTTTGGTCACGTGCCTTTAACGGGTGCCACACGTGCACTGCACGTGATCGTATGCCTGGGGCGTCGATGGTGGAAGGGGAGCAGGAGACCATGATCCTCCTCTCCCGTGGAGTTGTTCCTTATGGCCTGCCATCTTGTTTGATTTCTTTCTTCTTAAAACTGCTATTAGGGCAGTTTTCGAGCCCGTGGCAAGGCGGAAGTCCCGTCCTGTGTTTCTTCCATTGTCCTGGGGCAGTGAGACACTCGGTCGCTGCTCACTTTTCGGCAAGACCTCACACGCCTCCCTGGTCTGGAGCACTGACTATTCTGACCCCCCATCCGCGTTTAAACTTCCTTGAAACACTTTGAACAGGTAAGTTCAACGTTCACTACATTTGACAAGGTAGTGGGTGGTTCAAGTCTCACGAGGGTCTTGAGGCGGCCAGTAAATTGTTGGAGTGAATCGAGACGCTAACGCGACCGTTCTGAAGACGTCGGACCAAAAACAACAGCCCCAGGCGCGACCAAATAAAGCAATAGATACTTATTGTCATTCATCTATCGAAATCCCTGAGTGTGACGGATTCCCACGCGCGCGATCGTCACTTTCTGCTCACCACGTCATACTGTGCTGAACCTCTCCCCGGTGTCGTTCTCCATGACTGCCGTGGTATCTCCTCCTAGTGTGCAATCGGGCTCTCGCTTGGGATGGTACAGCACTGGTAACGGAGGACAAGGAGCTCTGTCTTCAGTGGACGACGAAGTATCACGGATGTTTATGCAACGGAAGCCGGTTCAGCGCTCAAATTCCTCATCTTCCTTGGGGTCGACAACCTCTACGACCACGGTCATCACTACTCAAGATCCTAATGCTGGGCAAGGTTCCACCACTGACGGTACTTGGTCATCGAAGAAGAAACCCGCCAGAAGTCCTTGGCCCAGCTCCAAGTCAGAACCGGTAGCAGGTGTCACCAACACACGATCCCAGGCAGTCCCTGCATTCCTCTCAGGGCCAACTGCATCATCTACAATGTCCGCCATTCATCAACCACAGTCCATTGTCCCATCACAACATATGCTCCAGTCCTCGCAACAGAATGGCATTCGACAGCAGCCCAATGGGTCGGCAGAACCGCCCGCCATCTTAGGGTTGGCTCCAATGAATGGCACTTTCGAAAAGAAGCAAATCAATGTCCCTTTCTACCCTGAAGTTCTTCGAATTGGTCGACAGACAAATGCGAAGACTGTACCAACTCCAGTAAATGGGTTTTTCGATTCTAAGGTTCTGTCTCGGCAACATGCTGAAATCTGGGCCGATAAGACTGGAAAGGTCTGGATTCGGGATGTGAAATCTTCCAACGGCACTTTCGTGAATGGCCACCGGCTGTCTCCGGAGAACCGGGAATCAGAGCCACATGAGCTGCGCGAAGGTGATACTTTGGAATTGGGAATTGATATTGTGAGCGAGGACCAGAACAGCATTGTTCATCATAAAGTTTCGGCTAAAGTTGAGCACGCTGGCTTGTATGGGTCCACGCCCAATATTCTTGACCTCAACTTTGGAGACTTGGACCCTGCCTCTGGGGGTGGTCTGCTTCCATCTCCATTGAGTCAACCACTATCACACCTGCGAGGCAGATCTGGTAGTAATGCGAGCAGCCGCAGTGCCCAGAGCACCGCTAGTACCCAGCTGAATGCTATGCATCAACAAAGGCAGATGAACTACTGGAACTCGCCTATCTCTGTCGAACAAGTTGTCAAAAGACTCACTGTATGAAATCTGTTCCTTGCTGTTATGATTATGAGTTGCTAACAATGTCGTTCAGGGCGAATTAAAACAAGCCAAACAGCAGTCCATGGACCTTCGCCAGACTGACGATTTTTTGACAGCCATAATGAAGCCAGGCTATGCCGAGAAAGAAAAGGCTAGTAAACCATCTTCTTTTGAAAGTAATGGTCCTCGTCAATTGAATGGACGTCCCAAAATGCCTCGCGTCGACTCGTTTTCCCGATTCTCAGACCCGCCCGCCCCTCCTCCCCAGCAACCGCTTCCCGAGAAACCGGATGCCCCTCCACGAAATGCTGCCGATTCCTTTTCGCCTTTGAAGCGCAGTGACACGGAGAAAACAAAGCCAGCTACAAGTTCCCCTGTTTCGCGGGACTCGAGCCAGATTTTAAACCTCATCGAGGCACTCTCGTCTGCCAAGCGAGAAATTGATACGCAAGGTGCCCGTGTCAAGGAACTCGAGACTCTTGTTCTTCAAGAACGAGCCGCACGCGAGTCGGCGGAAGAAAAGGTCAAGAATCTGGAGTTGCATATCATGCCAAAAACCAATGGGGTTGTCAAATCCGAGGATGGTCCTGCGGAACAAGAATCGGCCATCAAGGATGAACATGACGACTCCGAGGAGGTTCAAAAACCCAACGGCTCAACTCTGCCATCCGAGGCTTCTGCCGCGCCTGATTCTCATCTGCCAGAGCCTACTGCTGTGGACACCACCCAGCTTGAGCATCGGTTGGAAACGATGATGCAAGAAATGGAGGAGATGAGAAAGCAGATGGCTTCGTTCAAGGATCGCGCCGAGAAAGCCGAGGAGGACAATGTCGAGTCCCGCGCGTCTTTGGCGGAGATGATTGAGACACTCCGCCGGGAACGTGCTGAGAAGGCCCTCGTTACAACCCCTGGCCCCAAGTCGGATCCCCAAGGCCATGACCAGTCAAAGAACACTACTGGGCAGGCGCCCGCGATTGAGAATGGTGCTGTGAATCCCGATGAGAAGGGTGGTTCGTCTGTGCAGCCTTTGGATCCAGCCTCTTCAGACGGCAAAGAAGTGAACGCAGCGGCTACCGGCATGGCCACAGAATATCGCCGACGTCAATTTTTGCACGACACCAGCCCTTATGCGTCCATGGTTGGTGTTGTTCTTCTTGGAGTCGGCATCATGGCCTATCTTAACGGGTGGCAAAAGCTGGAAAAATAAATAATACGCTTTGGCTGCTGCGTCTGCACTGTTTGACACATTAACGATTGTCCTTTTCCGAAAAGTCGGCGCCCTGGAGCACCCTGGCATGATTATTTCTCCTGACGACTTGATTCCCCTGTATTTCTGGGCCTGGCCTGCTGCCGTGCAGCGTCTAGTTGCCTGATTCGTTTTGGGACTCGGCGTTAGTTCCCCTAGTCGTCATCTTGCATACGTTGCATACTCTGACTTTCTCTCTTGTCTTTTTGTCTCATGGTTTTTAGCCTTATCTCCATTCGCGTCAATCATGACCCTTGACGACGGATGTCCCGATCCCTCACCTCATCCTTGTTGATGCTTTCCTTGCCTTTACCTCTCTTGTTATGCCCCCCTGTGTTTCTACTCCATGCCTCATCAGCCTAGCCCATACAGTCTTTTGCCTCTCTCATTTTATGTCTTGTTAATCACGAGCCTTGGTCTTAGGACTTTGGCGAATATCTTCTTTTATCTGTACATGATGGAATTATTAGGGATACTTTCACGACTACACTTATCATTGTAAACCTTGAATGTATGTTCTCTCCCGTATTACTTTTCTTATTATAAGTTATGGGTTTTTGCATAGACACGATAATGCCTGCCACATAGGGCTTATCAAGGTCACTGAAGACGTCATCATAATCATCACGAACACCCTAGAAATCGTGAACACGGGCATAAACGTTAGCAGATAGCAGATACTCAATAACCACCCACTCAATAAATAAACCAGCACCTGTAATATGTAAGAGCTGTCATAAATTATGTTTCGGATATGTACATTACAACCGTTCACTGTGTTTTGAGCGACAGTCAAAACCAACCTTTAGATTCCAATGAGAATTACTTGATACCAATTTATTGTAAAACCATGATTCATACCCGACAACATATAGAAACCATCGTTTGAGATTCGATACCCAATTTGATCTGTCAAGAAAAAAGAATTCAACTCAAAATACATTGTCGACAACACACAAGTCATGAAACTGTTCATGTCAATACCACCTAATTTCCGCGCTGATTGCCCGTAGCATTGCCCTCGTAATCTGAGCTGCGCACTCGTGGATCAAGCTTGTTAAGCAGATTCGAACTGTGGGGACCAGAAGATCGTCTCTTAGGAGCATCAGCTGTATTATAGCTGCTACCTCCTGCAGCACCACCACCGAAGCCCTGCTTATCCATCTCAGATTCAGATCGCGTCTCCATTTGGCTGGGCATGTTGGCAGCTGTGGATGAACGGGTGTTATATCTGTTCGAGCCTCCAAGGTCGTCACCGTAGTTTGAGTTGTAGGCACCTGTTTGGCCGGTGCCGGTGGTTGCACGGTTATCTGTTTTGAACTTACGGTTAGGATTGAAATTTATAGAGGGCTGAATGCGAGGTGGGCGGGGGGGGGGGGTTGAAGTCTTACCAAACCCACTGTCCATCTTGTTGGACATCTGTGACTCGCCAATCCCGGTGTTCATGGGATTCGAGCCATAGTCTTGAGTAGCTGACCCATAGGAATCAGTGTTCATGCCCGAGCCAAGGTCTCCGGCGCGAGTGTTTGAACCGTAGGTTTCAGAGCCGATTGGCTTCTGGTAGCCGGTGTCATAGTCTTTGGCTTTGTTGGCGGAGTCGTAGGTGTCAGTCCCCATGTTGCCCATGTTGGATGAACCGTAAGTGTCACCGGTATCTGATCAATGTTAGTACCCTGATCTCTCAAAGCCGACGATCAACGAACCCTGCATTCTGTTGGCCGTAGAATCTTGAGTGCCCATACCCATGCCGGTAGATCCGTAGTTGCCGCTGCCTGTGTTGGTGGATCCGTAGGTATTGCCAGTTTCTACAGCGCAAACTGTTAATTTGAGGATTAGAAATAGGCAAGAGTGTTCCAACCTTCCATTACGCCGGGCATCTTAGTACCACGCTGCGCACCAGTATCGTAGCCACTGGTACCATAGCTGTCAGAGCCCATGGGCTTCGAGCTGTAGTCGCCGGTGGTAGTAGGGTCTTGGGCATTTGTGCTGGAGCCCCAGGTATCACCTTGGCCATAGGTATCACGGGCATCTTTAAAAGGTAAGTAGCTGGCCATATTGTCAAAACATATACAAATAGCCTACCATCAACCTTCTGTGTCACATGTGACGAGTCATGAGAGGATCCCTTGTTTTCAGAATCATGATGACCGGTAAGGGCATCCTTCATTTTATGCATCAAGTTCGACATGATGAATGATATGTATGGAGTAGGGCTTTAGGTAGATAAAAAGAAATAATACGTATTTGATCGTGAAAGACGAGCGAGTCAAATGGCAAGTTGTTTACAATGGAGAGACAGCAGAGATGAGGGGCTTTAAATTCTAAGAATTTGTCTTACACAGAGTGATTGTCAATCGCTGGTCGTGGTACTCAATCCATGACGACACAACACGGGATGGATAAAATAGCAACCACTGAGATCGGGTCTTTCATTGTTTTCCACATGGGCTGCTATGACGTGCCACTGGACTGATGCGGGGATTAGTGTACCAAACAACAAAGTAACACGACTCGTGTCGTCCATCGTCATGATCTCGCACCTCTCAGCCATGTACGCAACCGGACAAGGATATTTAGAGTATTTCTGCAATAGTCATGTGAAGTGGAGAGCTAGAGGTGAACCAGGGCTCGATTGTTCTCTTGCTATGGGAGCGTGGCAATAATCCCAGATTGTCGCGGGCTATTTAACTGGCTGGTTCCAGACCTGTAACTTAATCCATTCCAATTTTCGGAACATAAATTAGTGAAATATCTTGGCATAACATTCCTTTAAGGGTTCTAGAACGTTTTTTGGTGCTACTGATAAAAGGTGGGAAACCATAAACTTCTATTGCACCACTTTTCTACCGCTGTACACCCTTTACATGTCTTTTTACAGTATGCGTGAAAGATTCAGAGGTGCACTAAATGTCAGTTGGAGAACCAGTTTCAGGAAATGTTTCTTGTTGCTTACTTTTTGCCGTCAACAACGATATACATGGATACCTACCTATTATGGACGTGCATACATCTTCATCTACGCCCCCCTCTTCAAGGCGGAAATAGCGTGCAAGGTAATTAATATAGCCCAGAAAAAGAATGAAACAAAAGGGCTAGACCTTTGGTAAAGATGCGACCGCTACAAACTGGCATCGGAAAAGTCAGAAATGCGACTTTTATATTCCAGTCTCTACCTAGAATCAAAAAGCCACTTCCTTTTTCACCTCCACTTTGCATAAACACTCAAGCAGCCCTCTCGCTGATTATGTACTTGATGTTCGGATCATTGAATCGATATTTCTTGGGTCGTTTTTCTTTCGGTGGTCTTATAAACTGTGGACTTCTTGTGTGAATGCTCTCAGCTTCGGTCTTCATTTCTACCAGATTGTCCTCACTCGAATCCCCGTAATCAGACCCTGAGATACTGTCAGATAATTCCGCATCCAATATCGGCCAACGTGACTTCACTTGATGTAATACTATCTCCAAGAGCGCTTCATTCGAAGCCCTTGGGAATGGACGCCATTTAGCTCCCCTTGATTTATCGTCATGATCAAGCTCCTTTACTGAGACCCGTAGCATTGATCGGGGGATATAACATCCGGAAGTACTCCAGAATAGCTTTTCGGGTTTCCATCTCATTTTCGATATTTCTCCTAATCCTGAGCAGTTGTGTTGCCAAGCTGATCTCAGAGTCTGTACACAAAAGCTAAAATACAGATAGCGTGCTGCGGGGCGGACAGAAGAGCGGAACACTAGCTTTCGATCGTTCAACTGACCGAAGGTGAGTTTTCGATTTTCGAACGCACCGAATATGGGTCTTTCGTGGTGAGAGCTTATAGACTTGTCCCGAAGCTCCCATGTTGGATCCATGACTTTGATTTTATACTCGAGGTCACCACATAAGATTCTTGCGAGAAGCGAGTCGGAGATGCTAGGGACGATTGCCAGTTTACCAGATCTGAAGTGTTCTTCCATGGACCTCGACATCAAAAGACCATTTTGGGCCGAGAATAGCTCCAGGGAGCTTTTCTTTCCAAAAATTGCATCCATGGTTTCGTGTCCATGCATGTAAGAGAAAAGCTGGACGGCAATGACGTTGTACTCATGCTCCCAGCTGCCGAGAATTGGGCACCAAAGCCAGGGCTGGCTGGAATGTTGGGCTTGATATTGTTCAATCAGCTCATCACGAAAAATGAGCTGCTCTGCATAGTTATCTTCGCCCTTCACTTTACCTATACATACATTGGGTAATCTTGTCTTGGTAAATAGTTTTCGTACGCTTCCACACCGGGGATTTGGGTTAGACTCTGCACGTTTAACGTATATCTTGCAGCTTTGCTCTCGAGCACAAATTTGCTCAATGATGGCTTTTGCTTCCTCCGTTTTTTCCCAAGAGGTTTCGTCACCTTCAAAGAAATACAGTGATATCTTTCGCTCCAGTTCAGATCTTTGGAGATAGATTGACTCTACTCGAGCGGCCCGTGCCCAGAAGCTGGGATCAAACGGCCCACATGACTGCCATGATTGCCATGGTTGACAGAATCTGCTAATTTGCTCGTCAATGGCCCGCTTTTTCTGCTTCAGGATAGTAAGTGATTCATAGTCGGAGTCAAGAGATTTGACGCATTCAAGCTCCCGGCTTGTAACTAAATTCATGATGGAATGCTCCAGGATAAAGATTTGAAATGTGAATTTGAGATGTGTAGATTGAGAAGTTCCAAGGGAGAAAAGAGTAGAAATACTGGCATTGGGCTTGTATACTTGGGGCCAGAACGCACTAGTCCTGATTGGGATCGATAACAGCCCAACTGGGACTAGTACAAGTGGAGAATGGATCACGCCCCAGATTGCATGAGTACATTGATATCGCATCGCATTTGTTATTTGTCATTTGTCGCATCTCGTGCAATAGATTGTCATAAGGCCACAGCAGCTATTTTAGTGCGAGCCGAAAAGTTAAAGTTAGGAAAACGTCTGAGTTGTCTTGGCCGTGATGATATGATCGGCATGAATCGAATCCTCATTGAGAAAACTCCATAGGGGGGGAGATGTTCTACACCGAGAATACCCCAAACATCTTGAATCCATTTGAAAGGATAACAACAGCATTGCAATTTCCTTATATGTAAAAGCCTCGCGCGGGGTAGATCAAGCGCCAGTGTCAGGTGATTCTGCCGCCTGATGGCCTCAGGAACCAACATGACAATATCGCGATGCCGTCACTGCCTTGTTTATGTAATCCATCAGTTCACTCGTCCCCGTCTCCTTCTCCACCTGCCTAACTTTCTATTGTGCTTCTCCTTATCTCCTAAAGTCCCCCTTTGTTGATCTTAGGGAGCTCAGGCTGTGACCGTTGGTTTCTTCTTGACCTGCGGTGCTACTCATTGCTCCCGATGAGTGGCAGCCTGCTTGTTTGACGCCAACCGTTGGATTGGTAGATTCCGACCCGTCAGCCTTTGTCATACAACACTCCTGGCATCGTCCCTCGCTCCCCTCGAATATCCACCTTTCCAGTCTAACTTTCTACACTTTTCTTCTTTGGAAACGTTGTGGTTCACACATCTGCCAAAGATGCGGCCACCACGCCTCCTCGTGGCGCTCTTCTGCCTAATCTTCTTCCCTATCTTCGTCACCTTATTTTCAGCGCTCTCTTCTTCTGATGTAGCGACTCCCACTACACTCACTGGCCGGCAGTCCGGACTGCACGCCCTGTTCTCATTTAACATTCCGACCTCCCTGTTCCCCCCATCGGCGATCATCAGTCTGACCGATGACAACTCAACCTTCTTCCTCGCCCGCCCGGCGGCATTTGGTCCGCTACTGCCTAGCAAAAGCCTAAGCGGTCAACTGTGGGTAGGCAGTGGATTTGGCGAAGGAGGGCTGGCTGCCGGCGTCGAAGGGGAACTAGGTTGCTCTGATATCCCTGGCTGGGGTGAAGGAAACGGCCCCAAGCTGCCAGACACCTCCCCCAGGGGCGCAGACCAGAAATCCGGCAAGTCCGGAGGTGGTACAGTAAAAGAGGGGGCTGTTTCACAAAATACACGGTCACCATCGCAGCCTGAGGGCTGGCAGAATGCCAAAGATGATACCTCGACTCCCCCCTCATCGAGTGACGGTACTGACGATCACCTTCACCACCCGTTACCCGAATCCAGTGGGTCAGAGATTGGCGCAAACCAAAAGCACGGAGACTACGTACAGGTCAAAAAGTCCACCCATGCGGACATTCAATCGCTACAAGAAACCGCGGAGATACAGGGCAAAGTGGTGTTGCTAAGCCGCGGTGGCTGTGGGTTCCTTGAGAAGGTCAAATGGGCCCAACGCCGCGGAGCTATCGCGCTGATTGTTGGTGATGATACTCGTGGTGGTAGCCTAGTTACCATGTATGCACGGGGGGACACGTCCAATGTGACCATCCCCGCACTTTTCACTTCTCATACGACCGCCCACCTTCTTTCATCTTTGATACCGGCGCACTCTGGCGCAAATTCTGGCTTGGGCGAAGCCCTTAAATCTCTACAGGCAAACCTTGCTGGCAAAGCCAATGCGGACTTTCAAAAAGCTGCAACCACTGCGACTGCGACCGCAAGTTCTACGCCCACGTCAACGAAGACCTCAACGAAAGAACGCCCCACGTCTGCGACGAAGTCTGGCGCTGGGTTCTTCCGTACCTTAGGCTCCTTCTTCGGGCTGTGCAATAAGTTCGGTGGTCCAAGGGGTGTCGAAGAGAGCCGACGTCCGCCGAGCAGTGGTAACATCGATTGGATGACCTGGGATATAACCGAAGGCCGAGTCGACCGCACCAAGAGCTCCTTGTCTTACAATAGCCGGAACCAAGGCAAAAATGATGATAAACTGGATAGCAACAAGGTTGGACTGGTAGCTGACAGCTTTGAGGCTGATGATTTTGTTATTGGGGTTCAAGATTGGAGGGACCCTGACTTGATGCCTCCACGAGGCAGCACTCTCCCGACGACAAGTACTACTGCAACCGGGAAAGATGCTTCGAAAACCTCCGTCCCAGGGTCAGAGGCCGTTTCCTCCAATGTTCTGCGTGGTGGTAGCATCACCCCCGGAAGTGGAGAGTACCAAAGTATCGACAAATCTACCGGAAAATCCCGTGATTCGGCGACGAAAGACTCCGGAAAAGATGCCCATGCGACTAAAGAAGAAACCAAATCATCTGAACAGGGCTGGTTCGCCAGTCATTTCGGCTGGAGTGATGAACAGATGCAGGATGCTCAACCGTCTGCTTCGCCTTCCATTCAGAATTTCGTTACCAACCAGAAAACGCAAAATGCGGCACATTCTTCAAACACACCAGCTACCATGTTTTCTGAGCATGAAGGTCTTTGGGTGACTTTGACACCCACAAGCATGTCAACGAGCCCATTTTTCGATACCCTTTTGGTTCTCGTGATCAGTCCACTCCTAACACTCACGGTGGTCTATGCGCTTCTGCTTCTCCGATCACGCATGCGACGGCGCCGCTGGCGTGCACCGAAGTCTGTTGTTGAGCGCCTTCCCGTTCGAACGTACCATACTATCTCCAATAGCTCCTCCTCCTCAAGCTCTCCGCGTCCATGCAGCCCTGGAGCTGCCTTACCGACTTCTCCTCTCCTTAGCAATGATTGCCAATCGAGTCCATCGCGGCCAACCCAATCGCGGTCTCAGACCATTGCTGGGGTGACACTAGATTCTGGATCCCACAAGGACGAGAAAACAACTAGTTTCCAGTCGGGCTCGATTTTATGGCGACGTAAGTATACCGGTAGACAAGTGGAGTGTGTTGTTTGCCTGGAAGAATATATCGATGGACAAAGTCGAGTGATGAGTTTGCCTTGTGGCCACGAGTTCCACGCCGAATGCATGTAAGTGGCCATCATTGCATTTCCAAATAAATAAAAAAGCAACTAACAATCATAGCACACCTTGGCTTACCACTCGTCGACGAACCTGCCCTATCTGTAAGGGCGACGTTGTACGTTCGATGGCCCATTCCCATGGCGACGATGCTCACTTTGATAGCGAGCAGTCCGCTGGCCTTGGAATCCAAGAGGTGGAATCTTCCGTTGATGCATCATCCGCCCCTGTCCTCATTACGGGTATCAGCAACGACGCTTCTGATGTCGAGGAGAACCGAGGTCTTCTTGGAGGTCAATCAGCCTCTGCACCTCAGGCAAGCTGGAGAAATCTAGCGTCCCTGAGTCTGTCTGCTCTTAGCGGTGATACCATCTGGCACCAGGCTCGTGCCGATCGGAATCGCTGATTAAATATTCTTGCTTTCTTCTTGTGTTTATTCTCTTTCTTTCATCCTCTCCACTTCGTTGTGGAACCTGGGTTTGGTTCTTTGACACATGCTGTATTAGCGATCCTTTGATTCCCTTTATGACTTTGACTTTGCGGGGCGTTTAATTGGTACATCTCGGAGTGCTGGGAGGTGTTGCAAAGCATCTGCGAGCATCATTGAAGCGGCTGGGACATACCGCAGGTCGATCGTTTCAACATCTCTTTTCTTCAGTGGATGAACATCCTACCAGATACCATTACTTTTGGGCTTTGCTGTTGCATTTCTCCCACCAATACTGTTTTATGACTACAAAGTATGTGGTTTATCTTGGATTTGTCACGGTTGCGCAATGAAATTATAAATCTGCATCTGTAACGATTCTTAAGACTCAGAAGTGCATAGAGTCCTACCCTCTCACATCTACTGCGGGTCCAAGTGAACGCTACCGCAGACCTCCCCAAACACCTCCAAAGTATGTGCGTGTTGATCACGCACCAACTCAAGCCGCGAAAGCATATCACGGCCTAGCGCTAGGAACCGCTCCTGCTCATGCCCAGCACCAGCGCCTTCCCCCACAACGATCTCGTAAATTGCCTTTGCAGCTTTCTCCTTGTCACTATTCGCAGGAAATTTCCCCATTCCAAACATTTGCATCATTTGCGCGGCAGCCGAGCCACGATAATCGTCAGGAAGCGGACCCTGCGCAATCGTCGAGGCATTCCCAATATTCGTGTTCAAGGTACCTATCCACACTGTCAAAGGGCGGATATTGAAAGGAGCAACCTCCTTGGCTAGCACTCGTGTCGAAGCTGTATTACACAAAATTAGACACAAGATTCCATAAATCAAGTTCAACAACATTACTTACTATCCAGTGCAGCCTTTGCCGCAGCATAAGCGCCCATACCATCATATCCATCCAAGGCAGCTCCAGAGCTGATGTTCACGATTATTCCAGCTCGACGCTGTCGCATACCTGGAAGCACAGCACGAATGAGTCGCTGTGGACCAAAGTAGAGCGTTTCCATCTGGCCGAGCAGGTCCCCGTCTGCAAGTTGCTCCAGGACACCGAAGGTGATTACGCCAGCATTGTTGACAAGAACATCAACATGATGTCCATTTGACTCGAGAGTTCTCATTAGCGACACGGGGGCACTTGGATCATCCACATCCAGTTCATGCCATTCTCCACCGTTGTTCTTGACCTCTTCAACCAGATCGGGTGTTCGAGAGGGTTGGCGCGAGGTGGCGATCACGATATCTCCGTGAGCTTGAACTATGCGTGTAAGCTCAAGGCCTAGGCCGGAGGAGCAACCTGTTATCAGCCAGGTCAGAGGACGAGTGGGCTTGGTGTATGGGGACATGGCGAGGTATGTTGAATCTACGTAGCTCTGTGTGAAAAGAAGAAGAAGATGTGGCTTTGTGATGAGATTGCAGAGGTATTTATGGTGTGTGATTTTGGAGTCATCATGGACTTAATCCACTCGCTCCGTTGGTAATTCTGAACAACTCCAAGAGTAAGTCCGTACAGTTGGAGAGAGTAGAAACAAGGGCACGGATATAAAAGCGGGCCTCGGACTTACGTGTGAATTGTCAGATGCACAGACCTGATCTTACTCCAACCTCTAGATCCAGTGATCGCTGGTTTACAGTGCCCTCTCAATGTTTATGGAACCAATTTGCATTTAGTCAGCTATCCAATTAAATGCGATTAGCAGGAGCCAAGCTGATTCAAAGTGGGCTTATTAATCGTGCATGCTCAAGAATCAGGCATAGACCTAGACTTGGTGCTAGTTTGATTTGATGCGTATAGACTTTCTGTATAAATCAAAAAAATCATGAATCATGAAAGGTTTGGCCAGACTAAGCTTGTATATAAGAGCTTGAATAGCGTTTAAGGAGTATAGAAGTGTCCAATTAACCCCTTCCTCCAAATTGTCGAGAGTTGGAGTGCTCTCGGAAAAGAGCGTGCCCTATAGTACGTAAATGGGAGTGAAGGCGTGCGATTTCTATGCAATCTGGTCCTCATTCCTTGTCGTTTTGTCTCTCTATTTACTTCTTTCTTTTCACTCCGTAATCTCTTCTTCTTCTTTCTCCCTATGTTTTGTTCTTCTCTTCTCCCACAACTCTTCTTCCACAACTCACAACTCACGACTCACAACATCCCACTTGCAACATGTTTCCTCCTAATGAGGGAACACGTCCCCCAGATAATCCTAGCAATCAGTCTCCTCGAGGCCCACGAAATCGTCGGTCTTGTACGTATCCTGCCCAGTCTTGGCTTCACTGTTTATACCTAACAAAACTTACCAAGACTACATTAACCCTTCACGAGGTTTCCATGACCATCCTTACTCGGGTTTCAATGAGCAGCACGTCTATCCCCAGAACCAGTACCTCAACGTCTATTCTGGCCACGATTATCCTGCCGTTATTGGTTTCAGTCAACAGCCTCCCCCGGTTTACCAGCAGTACTATCCCACTTATGATGCTACTCTAAATGGTAACTTTGGTAAGTGCCTTTGATAACCCCTATCCGTGAACATGATATTCTTACCTTGAGAAGAAACATACAGTACTGACTATAATTTTCCATCGCATTTGACTGACAAAACATTTTCAACAGGCCCAGCTCAGGAAACGAACCTGGGACAAGCCAATACATTGGTAGCTTCCCTTCTGGTTCCAACTGCTGTGCCATATGTGCCCCTCTCTGAGAGACAGCACTGGCAACAGCCACAGGGTTATGATTCACCCATTGCTTCCTCGGGGTCACCATATCGCTCTCCAGCACCCGCGTATGGCTCTCCCGAATATGGTTCTCCCGCATATGGTTCTCCGCAACGATATGTCCAAGCAACTGCCCAGAGTCAAACTCCCAAGCGCTCCACCCTGAGAGCCACTGCTCCGCCATTCTACCCTGCTCACATGCGACAGAATGCAGCCTCGCCCCCACAGGAGGAGATCGAGGAAGCCCCGATCATCCAGCAGAGTGCTCGTGCCAAGATCTACGAGCAGATGCCTGTGCCTGAAAACATGGCACCCATGAGAAAGAGGAGGACTCGTGGAGGAGGATTTGTGAACAGCAACCAGCGTCCTGAAGTCGTCATTCGTGAGTGCAATGGCCAGAGCAGCTCTATCCCATCCTTGGTTGCTGACGCAAGACATCAAGCGGTAATTCCACCGCAGCGCTCTAAGCCTCCGAGACGTCGTACTCTTGCAGAGTGCCCGGTGCAGAGCCTCACTCGCCCCTCTGTGGGACAATGGAAGGAGTTGGAAGAAGACGTGCCCGCTCAACAGGGCTCCGAACGACGTGCTGCCAACCCACGCCACTTTATGGAGGATGTCCCTGAATATGACGAGTCGCCTCTTCGTCCTCGCGAGAGGGATTCGATTTCGGAGTTCGAGCTTGCCCGTACCAACGAGGAAGCCTATGGCCGATTCAACCACCACCATGGCTCTCCTGCTACTGGGCGCTGATGCTCGAAGATTCCGGCCTCTCAGTTTCTTGTTCGTTGCGTTTCGTGTCCGTTACAATTTTCATCCCGCCGTAGATTGCGGTGGCTCTCAAATGTACTTGACTTTCAATATTTCTGTAGTTAAGCATCATGATGAAAAAAAAGATGAAAAGATCAAAAAAAAGATTAAAATTCAATTGTCTATCATTCCTATCCCAGCCTGAATGTAATAAATCAGAAAGTATGATAGGGTTTTTGAGGTCACGAGCCTGCAAGTCCAACAAGCCTGATGTTGATCTTGGAGGCTCTACCTCATTCCCATTAGCGAGTCCATCTGAGTATGACCTATATACACGTGGCTCACATTCTCGCTTTGACCTTCCACCCAGTCTTGCAACCCCGAGACACGACAAGTAGCATGCTACCAGCAAAAACACTGGCAGCAGCAAAGCATTGAGCGTACAGGTAGCTACCATTACCACGCTGCACCAAAGCACCGGCAATGGGGGACCCCGTCAGCGCTGCAAAGCTGACTATGCTTAACACCATGCCAGTCCGGACTCCAATCTTCTTCAGATCAGATGTCAACGATGTCAAGCTAGCCGGAAACAGTGACTGCAGACTCGCGGCAAAGATTCCATAGAAGACTGAGAAAGCATACAGCTCTCCCACCCTTGTCACACTGATCCAACAAAACAGGATAATGGACGATATAACAACCACTGGAATGAGAAGATTGACTGGACCTGTATATCTGTCCGCCAGGATATTTGGGAGGATTCGCGCAAAAAAGCCAGCACCATTCATGATGAGCAGCAAATTGATTGATGTTGATGAGTCAACCCCAATTACCTCTCTGGCATAGCTGCCAACATAGAAGAAGGCAACATAAAGCCCCCAAAACATGAAGAATACTCCAACAGTGAATATCGCGTATGACGAATCTTGAAAGGCCGTCCATTCCACAAGTGGCCCGCCTTTGCGTGGAGGCACCCTCTGCTTGAAGAAGATAAATGAAGGAAGCAACATGCCCAGACTCAGGAACCCTAGGACCCGCATCGTCCACGGGAATCCAATCCGCGGCAACAGCTGTCCAACAATAGCTGGGAAGATAAGACCACCTGTGCTAGAGCCGGCAGCAGTAACGCCAATAGCCAACGACCGATTCCGAGAGAAGTAAGTCGACACCAACGATAAAGTCGGACAAAACATCAGTCCACTGCCTATGCCGAGACATAGTCCCTGTGACAGAAACAATTGCCAATACGTCGTTGACAGGGAAGCCATAAAAGTCCCAAGCAGATTGAGGAGGGCACCTAAGCCCCACACAGCTTTGAAATATCCAGCATCTGAAGCTCGACCAGAGAAAGCGGCAATGGAAAAAAGAAAAAAGGTCTGCACACTTCCAATCCAGGAAATGGCCGATGCCGTCTCATTGAGCATTTGGGTATAGTGTGTTTGGAATACGCCGAACGCGGTGACATAGCCCCAGGTGTTGCAAATTGTGAAGTGTGACCAGAGAATCTGGCTCCAGGCTTGGAAGCCTCCATCGGGAGGCGGGCCGTAGTCCTTGTCTTCGTGACTTGTTCGGATCAGGGATAGGGTTTTGTCGAACAGACTCGAGCTTTGAGATGCTTCTGGTCTCGGAGGGAAGGTGGAGGTAATTCCTTGCTCGACCTTCGAAAGGTCTTTCTCCGACTCCATTGATGAACAGATTGGTAAATTGTAGAGTTTTTTTATGTGCGAATCAAAACTCTCTCTCTTCAAGTAATGTATGAGCATTTAGTAGTTCGAGCACGAGATATTTTGATTACATACCGGATTGGGTGATCTTAAGATTAACGAGCATCGAGACCTTTCCCATCGAGGAGACTTGTCTGACTTTTTTCACTTTCCCTAATTCATTGGGAGCTTTTTTTAAATAGTAAAACACTGTTTATAATCTTCGCTTGGCCTCGGTTCGGATTTGTCGGGATCAGCGGATTTGACGGATCGGCGGATTTGGCGGAGCGGAACAGCCCCACGATTTAAAGTTTAAAGTAATATAAAGTCGCCAACCTTCCCAGATCTTAGTTTCCATCATAATTTCAAGATGGCAGACTATACCTATACCTACTTTCGCGTCTCCAAATCGGAAGATCTCATTACCTCCGCTCACCAATACAAGGACCTACGACTACGGGCCCTGAAACTCTCGCCTTCTTCTTTTGCTTCTACCTACGACCTTGAATCTACATTACCCGATGAATACTGGATATCCCGTTTGACACAGACCGGAAGAGAGACATTCATCTGTGCTGCAGCGCCGACGGTGAACCCCAGCCAAGCTGAGCCAGAATGGGTAGCACAGGTGACATTCTTGGGCCCTCAAAGCATCGAGGACTTCACCCTTCCAGCGGAATCGGGCCAACCTATGCCACTCTCGGATGAGGTCGAGGAAAGATGGCAAATGCTTGCTCTCTTCACCCAGTCTACACACCGTGGGAGGGGCATCGCGAAAGCCCTTACTCGAAAAGCGCTGGACTACCTCGTTTCCTATCGAAATGAACCGAAAAATGTTAGCATTCGCCTTATGGTAAAACCTGGCATGATGGCTGTTGTAAAGTTTTACCTGCAGCTTGGGTTCAGTGAAGTGGGGAGCTCGTCCCTCGCGGAGGCGCTTATTGCGAATGGAGACCGGGAGCTTTTACCGAACGACTACCTGCTACAGGAGAAATATACTACGCGCAAAAGCCACCTTATGATTAAGCAGATCTCAAGGGATGAGTAGTGATGGAGGAGGCATGGTGCAAGGGACAGAAACGATGTATTCAGCATAATCTTTAGACTTGGTGACAAACCTTGGAAGCATTAATATAAAATAGAGTTGACTGCATCCTTGTCTTTCTAGGAAAATAGGCAACACATACAGCTGTGATACTGGGAAATTACACAAAGGGCTTCCACTGCCGCTCACACCACTCCCAAAACCGTGTTGGATATCCAAGTCCCCCATCCTCGGCTGAAGTCATCGCCGCAACGATATCTCGTCGTGGGCAATCCTTGTCCGGTCGAATTCTTCCCCAGGGAATAACATAGGCGCCATTGTTCTCAAGGGTTATCTCAGATGATAAGCCGGCGTATAGCTCGGTATAGGCCCCATACTTGGCCTCATAAAGCAAAGGGCTTATAAAAAACATAGCAATCGCCGGAGTCCCTGCATAGGAGCCTGCATTTAGATTGCCTGGATTCTGTACCACGCTCACAATGTTCTCCTGATCGAGACGGTATCGTCGGGCCAACTCGCGGCCCAGCATCCAGGTTCCCACCTTAGAGACAGCATAGTTGCGAGTACGATCTTTGGTACCCGAATCTAACATGGTGAAATCAATCCCATCTGCCGGCGAGGCGCCCTCCGCCAAAAAGCTGGAAGTCCACACTACCCGGACTGATCCAAGAGGTGTCTCGGGCGCTGCTGCGGCCGCCCGTAGCTGGGGTCGCAGGAGCTCGGTGAATAGCAAAGTTGCGATACAGTGCATGCCCACCATAGCCTCGAATCCCTGGGCTGTTGTAGCACCGACTTCCACTCGGTTCGCTCCAGTTCCTGCATTGTTCCAAAGGACATCGAGCTTTGATTCTTGTTGTGCGAAGGTAGTCGCCGCCTTCTTGACTGATTCCAAGTCGTTGAGGTCAAGATGGAGGAACTTGATCTTACCAGGCATCGTCGGTGCAGGTTGAACCTTCATAATGGATTGAATTGCGGTTTCGGCACGCTCCTGGAGAGCCATGTTAGCCCGACGGTGGAGTCATGGCTCCAAATCTGGTTGGGTAACTTACCTTCGATCTTGATGCCATGTAGATGGTGGCACCGGAGCCATACAGGATCTTGCATAATTCAAAGCCGACGCCTGCATTGCCGCCTGTCACGATAAAAACCCGACCTTTCTGCAAAGGCAGCTCTTTCTCAGTGAAGGCCGCTTTAGGGGGGAACCACTGGGTACGCAGATTCCGAAAGGAGGCAAGCGACATGGTGAATAGGTGATTGAATGCTGATATGCCTTACATAGAAGGTTTTGGTGCGCTTACATGTCCTTCCCAACCATTATGTAGCTTCCCGAGTGGGGGCCATACGGGTGGGGGCCGTACGGGTGGGCTTTATCTGTTCTTGTTTCCATGTACACGCAGCCCGCACGAGTCAGTGGCTTCCACTGGCAGGGATCATCCGGAGCTGAGACCCCCGGCCACAGGACCCACCGGATCAGATACATAGCTGTTCCCTCCTTTTGTTATTCGTTGGGACAAGAGCTACTCCAATCCTTATAACGTATAAGACCTGAGACTAGTAGTTGCTGATAGTCGAATCGCTACTAGTTGGGCAACGACGGTCATAGTTTCTAAAAACATTGAAGGCCTGCTTGTTGTCTGAATTATCGTGCTTCGCCTCCGTTGAAGCTTCGTCTATGATATTGAGTCTACATACAGTCATCCTTGGGCGTAAATCATCGAGGCTTCAAAACATAAACGAAGACCACTCCATAGGCCAATCCCAATTTTCAATATCGGCAAGGAGATCTGAAAATAGATCCAATTGCTCGTTGCCACTCGAGTAAGGCTCTAAAAGCTCCAGATTCGGACAAAAGCTCAACGGGTAAGGAAATAGAGAAAGTATTTCCTGCGCCATCTCTGTAGTTGGTGTGGGCGCCGAATTCGGGGCATCAGGGGGGAGTATCAGATACACTAAACGCGCTCGCCCCTGCATGGTCAATTTCATCGATCCGCCGCTGCACCAATAACACAGCGGGGTGTTTCTCGCCCATTTTCTCCAGAACCATGCGGCTAATGCGTTTCTCGTTGACTTGATTCGGAATCTGTTCATCCTTGCTGAATGTTCGTGGTATTGAAGCTACCAGGTTTGCCCAAGCGTGAATGGGCAGGAGAAACGGAGTGCCTTCGTGATAAAGGATCTCTTCGTAAAGCCGTGAGATACATGATGATGCTACAATAGAGGCACATTTCAGCAACGGACTGTTTTCTCGACGGCCGAGAAAGCAGGTCAGAATGATGGTCATCAGGTAGAATATGTGAAGTTCTGCGACTGCTCGATTGTGTCTTTTTCTGGTCTCTTTTTTTCATCAAAAAGGTGTAACTCAGGGGGCAAATTTTCCCTCCAGATCCTGAGCGACTCAAGCATTGTAAAGACCTGCGCTTGCGAGGTATTGTCAAACTTTCCCATTTGTAAAACTTCTCTGAGCTTCTGACAGAGGAGTACCATCTCACAAAAGAAATGAGCCTCGGTATTCGGCGTATTAAAATCTGCGACTGTCGGTAGTCGTACATTGCATTCATTGAGTGGAAACATTCCTGGGCGGCCTGAGCAGCCCATTTGCATGGTATCATTAAGAAATAAGTACCACCAAATCCTCCTGATTCTTCCAGGGTCTGCGAACTGTAGATATGCACTTTCGTTATGCATCTGCAATTGAAGAGCGAGTCGAATTGCCATTCCAATCCACTGCCACGGATTATCTAGAGCGACTCCATAGCCTTCGTGCATAGGGAAAGAAGCTAGTATACACAGAGCACTTAGCGTATTGAGTGGAGCTGGATCATGATTCAGGAAAATCAACGTCTTGACCCGTTTATAGATCGCTGACGTGGACCATTCAGTGGGTCCTTCGGTAGATCGACGCATGCCACTGCCTCCGAAATAAACTGATTGTCGGAGCAGAAGCGAACTTTCCAACTCCTCTTGGCCCCGATCCAGAACAGGAGCCATGTGATGAAGCTCACAGAAATAGAAATCTGCCAGGGCCTGCGAAACGACAGGTGGCGGGCAGTGAGCTGCTTGAGTTATCTGTATTATAAGCTCGGCCTGCTTGGCTTCATTGCCCTGCGACGAATGAGCTTGGCTTTCATGTTTTGTCATTGAGGCCTGGTGAATATTGTTTCCAAGTACATTCATTGACGAAGGCGTCAACTGCAGAGGTGTAATTGGGTTTGCTTGGGCTGGCGAGGCATTCGCATGAGTGCTAGGCATAGCCAGTGAAGCACGAAGTGATTTTTGTTTGCGTGATCCAATGTGCAGACTATGCAGTCAGCACCGTCGATATTAGGGGAGACTTGGGTGAGCTATACTGGCAGTCACGCCCTTCATGTTCGCATCTACTGCAAATTCCACTTGGTCGAGCCTCGAGATCACAGCGGACCTAGAAGGCTGTTAGCATCACTTCGCTTACTAAAAAGGGACCGCGATTGACCTTGCGACTGTGGCATCGCACACAAACTGCCCGTGCACGGCTTGACACATCCTTATCGCGTCTCCTCGGCATATTCACAGCAGCAAGCCTCTTTCTGTTTGTAATGGATTTTCGGTTGAAGTGCTCGGGCAACGAGGCTGGCAATGCCGAACATGTTATGTAATCACCTTATGTTATGCTCGGCACTCGGTTTGTACCTTAATCAAATGCTCGGCGATCTTGATCAAGATACCATCCCATTAAGCTCATAGCTTTTTAAACTCTTCAGCATTTGTTTCTACTTGCTATAGTATCCATCTAGACCTCTAGTTTTTGTACACCACACATAAAATGGCCCGTCCAAATGGCCCGGTCCAGTTGACCTTCTTTCCACAGGAATTGTACACATCAGACATCTACCCCCTATTCCCTGGCTGAGCAGGTTTATCGTCCTAATTCTTGCCCTATCAGAAGCGATCGTGTGGGATTCCTTTCTCGTAACTCTGAGCCTTGGTAGTGAAGGTAGTCATCATATGCAATTTTAAAAAAGATCTAGTCTATAGGGTATCACAAAAAGTCTATGGGTATATAACAAAACGCATCAACGAAGCTCCACCTGGAATCGTGGATGAGTTCGAATCATTGCTCCGTACCTCACAAAAAGGAATGGGACAAAGCACATAGCAAGCGCAATGAATGCTAACAGCGAATTTCCCCATCCCAACCCAAGCGCATCATACATTGATGGACCAGCCAGCGGCAAGACGGCACCAAAAAGCGAGCGCAGAAAAACATTGGCGGCAGTCACGGATGCAGCGTAACGAACATATGAATCGACCAAATAGGCACTAACAGTAGCAAAAACAGCCACGAGACCGAAACCGAAAATGGCAGTACCGATAATCGGCATGATCCAGTGAACCTTCTCCTGTGCTGACCATCCATACCAGAAGAGCCCGACCGGAATGGCCCAAGACCCGTACAGCATTGGCGGGAGACGCGATTCCGGTGCGAAACGGCCCTCAGCTGAGTGTTTGGCTGCGATTTTGTTGACTGATTTTCCAACGATGAGTAGACCGAGGGCACAGCCTACTCCAAAGCCAAGGTAGGCTAGACCCGCGAGACCCTGGCTGAAGCCGTATTGGTCTTCGAAGATGGACGTCATGGTGGTGAACATCAGGTAGAGATATCCATAGGTGATAGCGGCGAAGAGCGCCATCATGAAGACAATGGGTGAGGTAAAAAGCAGCTTGATGGGACGCGAAAGAGCAGAGAAGAAGATTTGACGAGGTAGCCTAGCCCCATTATCGAAAATAGAGCGAAGATTGGGATTCCCAGTTTCTTTGCGCAGTCGTGCTGCTTTCCGTCGCAGTAACACCGGCGCGTAAGACTCTCGGTAGCAGAATACTGAACCAATCAGGATAACACCAATCTAGATCTCATGTTAGAAATTTCGAAACCCATGGAATGTATAGAAACATACGGTAATAGCAAGAACCCAAAATACCCATCTCCACCCCTCAGCCTCCACTAAGAAACCACCCGCAACAGGCCCTACCACCGGTCCCATATACGGGCCCATCGCCCAGATGGCCATGACACCGGCACGTTTCTCCTTGTACACCATGTCAGCCACGGTGCCTGAGCCGATTGTCAGCGGACAAACACCCGCGATACCCGCCAGGAGCCGGAAGACTAGAAGCTGAGGTAAGCTTTGCGAGACGGCACATGCGATGGTGAAGATCAACAAGAAGATATTGCAGGTGTGGTAGAGGGGAATGCGCCCGTATAATTCAGATAGCGGCGCTATCAGGAACGGACCGACAACATAACCTAGGACGTAGATTGACACTAGGAATGAGGCCATCATTGTACTGTCAGAGCCAAACTCTTTCTGGATATCTGCTACACCTGGTGTGAACATTGAGGAGGCGAGGGGGCTATATGACTTGTTAGCGAGTGCATTCCAATAGTTGAAGGTTATGGTCGAAAAGAAGAAGGGAATATGTGATCCATATACTGTACTGCTAGGTAGAGTGTATATAAAACTTGAGCTGGAAGCCTTGGAGATAGGAACATACGTCATGAATGTGTTAATAGCCATGAAAATTAACTGTCGCCATTTCTTATAAGAAGGCCAATTAAATGGGTTTTCAGGATCATCAGGACCATCCCAATCGACCAGATCAGGATCACGATCCTTTTCCGTGACAACAAGCTTCACAGGCGGTGCTTCGATATCTGTTTTTGCGGACAATTCGACTGGATCCATCGAATTTTCCGGGGCTCCACCCATTTTTCTTGACAGGCTTGGCAGATTAATGCTACTGTACACAGCATACAAGGTTCTTCAAGGCATTAGACACAAGTGTATATGATTTGGGATGGCAATTACTTTATAAAGTAAGCATTGATCAGGAAGAAAAAAAACTTCCCCCACTAATGCCATGTTTCTGGATCATGCTAAGCAGATATCACGGCAAAATCGGCAACTTAGCCTCAAGGGGAATAATTGGGCTCGGTTAAGCAGTTTCTGAGCCTCGGAAAACCGAAGAGATTACTTATCGCTGCCGACGGGCTCCACTCGATCCACTTCAATCTTGATCTATACCACCTTCAATGAGAAAGCAGGGAAAAGACACTGGTTGATTGGGTACACATATTTTTGAATTTAAATATACCTTCGATTCCAGTAGAATTCATCTCTTGTAGCTTGGAATTGCCTCGAGATAACCACCTCTTCTCCTCTCCAGCCCCACCTCTTCTTCCCTGCATACTACCACCGACCAATCACAACTAAACCCGTGCCTAAGACCGTCGTTTACCCCGCTAGTCTATGCAGAGACCTATGCCCAAAAGTATACGTACCACAGCTACCTGACCCGATGCCCGCACGCCCCGACTATTACCCTCAGTCAAAATACAACGGATAGGGACAGAGAGAGAAACAAACGGATAGCATGAATGCAAACATTTTAGTTAACAAATCCAAAGTCATACATCGTGAAATTCCTTGCACAGCCATTAACGCATCCAACCCATCAAGTGGTAGACTATCATATATAGCACCTTCAAAATAATTATAATCACCTAAAAGACCAACATACCAACAGCTGCAACCCCGATAAACGCAAGTGGAGCAGGGGCAGATGTAACAGCACTACCACCAGTAGAAGTCGAGGTAGATTCAGTAGCATTCGTAGCCCCAGACGCCATAGCAGAGAGTGTAGTAGACGGGTAAACCGTAGCAGTAGGAGAAGAGGTAGCCGTCGTCGACGCAGAAATATTAGAATGGATCTTGAATCCGGGCGAATAGCTAAAGGTAGAGATATCGTTCACCCGGGCAATTTGAATGTAGTACGTTTCATTGTTGGAAAGGCCGCCTGTTACATTCCAAGTGTGGTGGCCCAGGGCACCGTCGATCGTGGCTGTATATATCATTAGTACACATGCCGGTCTTGAAAAGTATAGAAGTTGACAAGGTGGGTGATGTTGAAAGGGACTTGGGAAGACGTACTGCCAATGACTGCCAGGGCGTCAGTAGAATACTCCGAATTCTTCTGGCCCATCAGCATGAGATTGACATCGCCAGATACTGTAGAATGCCAGTTGATGTTGTACATAGTGCCCGCCTGGAGGACTTCTCCTTTGCTTGGTTTGGTAATCTCATCGAAACTGACGTCGTTGGAGAAGGCTGTACAGCATACGCTTGCAAGTAGAATAGCGTAAGAAGCAAACTGCATTTCGAGTAATTGTTATGTTCTAGGGTCAAAATGTTCGAGTGAAATTTGGAATGTGTAAGTTGAGGAAAAAAGCTTGGTGGGCCAAGGAAGCCGCTTGAACATATAAGATTTTCAATCATTGCCTGCCTACGACCGATGAAATTAGAAGCGGGGGCCATAGAGGAAGATTGTTCATTTACCTGCGTCTGATGAGGCTCATTTCATTCCTTCCCCACTTTCTCGAGGTAAACACGGGTGGGTTGGGGGCCAGGAGCCGGGGACCGGGCGAGGATTTGCAGATTTGCAAGTTTGCTTCCCGAAATGTATGGTTCAGTGCCTAGCTTAGCATACACGAGCCAAGCGTGTTCTCCACATTACTATGTTCTGGATCCTATTGGGTTCTCATCGGGCTCAAGGTTTGATGTTTTGATATCACTCCAAGACTGGGTACTTCATACAGGGGTATGTGAGAGCCCAGATGATACTACCAAATGATGCAATCGTGCATTTACGCCCCTCACATGAGGGTCACGAGTGTGGTTTACAGGAATAATTCAAGATCAAGAAGAGAAGTATGGATTGTATGAACACATTAGTGCGTTACCGCAGAATGATGAACAGGGAAGAAGAAAATAAGACCGTCACCGAGGGGGAACAGAGACTGCGATAGTCAGCCGAAGCAATTAGTCGCATGTACCCATGATACCTCATCTTCAGACTTCGTGTCGATCCACATAACCAAGGCGGGATATTCAAGGCTCAAAGAGAATAGCAGGAAAAGAAAAGGGCGCAGAAGAAAAAAGCATCAAGAGAAAATATGTTTCGTATCGTGAAAAAAAAAATTGAACAAGATCGCCCGATTAGATGGAATCGAGCGACCAGCCCAAGACACCAGTACAAGAGAAAGCAAGGAGCGCCCATGTATCATTGTTCGAGTCGTTGATTCACTGCCGTTGCCGTAGCGAATTGCGGATGCAACTAAGCACCATATTACAATAGACTGCCTCAAAGGTGGCAATAGAATTGAAGTTGGGGTATGAAGAAACACAATTCGCTAGTCTTGGGGAACCCAGGATCTGGACTTGTGTCTAACAAGAGACAAGATTGATGTGATTATCATTCAGTGCCGCGCAGGCAAGCATAGTGCGATGCGGGTGGAATGCAGTGGTGGCAATGGGCGAGGCGCGGTTGTGGTGGAGGAAGCTGGAATAAGGTTCAAATGTAGAAAGGTATGTACCATCGACGTTAAACGTCTTCACCTCATGGCGGTTTGTACCCCTGAATTGAAAGTCAGCTACTCGCCTCAACACAAAGGAAGATATCGAAAACAAAGAACATACATGCTGAAGACAGGAGCGTGCTCATGAACGCTCAAGGTACGGAGAGTATCCTTAGTGGCGTAAATAGTAGAAAGCGCATCGTTCATACGGAGGTCCCAAAGGCGGATCTCACCATTGCGACTACCCGAGATGAGCTCTCGGAAGCCACCACGCTGCATATGAACGTTGGTGATCCACTGCTTGTGCTCACGCCAAACTTTGACCATGGATGTAGTAGGCTTCAACCGCTGATCAAAGACGCGAACAGCGCCATCACCAAAGCCAGCAACAAAGATATTGCCAGCCACTTGGTCTGAAGTCAATGATGTGATGCAGGAGCCGGACCGTGCAGGAATATCCTATTGAAGAGATCCGTAATTAGAATCCATGGATAGGACAAAATGAAGACACTTGAACTTACGTTGGTGCAGACTTCGGTAGCTGCATTCCACACTCGAATCACCTTCACATCACCTGCCACCAAGGCCTTTCCTTGCCCTTGTTGCCAGTCAAGTACAAGACCCGCGTTGCGGTTGCTTGGTATCAAGTCAGGCAACGCCCGGAATGCTGTTACGACCTCGATGCCCCTAGCAGACTCGTAATTACGGAACAGCTTGAGCACGCCGTCCGAAGAGCCCGTCAATAGGAGGGCCTGGTCATCTTCGTTGATATATCGAACTTCGTTGATTTTGGATCCGACTGGGTTTCCATTCGAGAACTGATTGAGGCGTTTGTGGCTCTGCCAATCCCAGATACTGCAAGCAATGGTTAGTAACCGGCGAATACAGCCATGGCCACCGAGAACTTACGCAATGGTGTCCCGATCGTCAGCAACGGCGATGTGATCCTCGAATTGATGAAAGCACATCCTCAAAGGTTGACTGCCGTTTGATAACAATGCAACCGAATTATCCCATCGACTTGTGCCTGCCTTTCCTTTGAGGGGTTGGGTTTCTGCAATAATCTTCTCGTTGCGACCACGCCTCCAGAGGCGCTCGTTGTAGTCGGAGCTTCCAGGCTCGTCGGGCTCGTTAGGTTTCATCTGGGGTTCCCGGAAATACTTCTCAACAGTGAGTACGGGTTCAGGGTTCATAATAATCAAGGAGAAATTAGGGATATGTTCAAAGGGGTCTGTATTTACCTCTGTTGACCAGTCCAGGAATCTGCTTTTAAGGGGGATAGCAGGGATCTCCTCTGAATCTATAGGCTGGAAGCCGCGCGATGTAGGTGTAGGGGCCAGGTGATAGGCGGTGGCGGGAGCGACATGGTCGTTTACTTCGGGAGGTCGGGTCCACTCAGGCGGAGCACGGCCACGGGGAGTCATGGGCATACGGCTCTTGGTGGGCGAAGAAGGAGTATTACTTTCGGTGGACGGATCTCCAACTCCCGAGCCAAATGCAAGATTTCTGAGGGAGGCAGCGTAGCTTGCTGTACGCTTGAAACCAAGGGATAGATACCCTTCCTGTTTGGAAAGTGTTGTGTTGGCGGACGGCGGCGTAGAGGGAGGAGCTGTCTTCTTGGCCTCTGAACGCTCAGCTATCTGGAGCTTTTGCGACAAACGGTAGGTTAGGTCTAAGATCTCGATTCTGTTTTTATCAGCGAGAGCCGCCATGGGCGACTCCAGAAGGATGAGGTGGATATAATCAACGATGATACCGGCACCTTGGGCGATTTCAGGGTGCGGGTCGACAGAAATAATCAAAATTTGTTTCCAGAGAGTACCGAAGGTGGTGTTGCGAGAGAGTTGGGGTGTCTTAGCATCGAACTCCGAAGACGTCTTCTGGAATTCTGCTTGAGTGGCCGGAGATGAATCCTGAAGACGGCGCTGGAGAGACCGCTTCTCATTTTGAAGCTCTTCATATGCTGCCACTAAGAACTTGTTCTGATGACGCTTGACGAAGGTGGAGAAAAACACGAGCAGCTCTTTTCTGACAAGGACACTCCCATCGGCAGCCATAGGCAAGACTGCTAAGGCTAGTGACTCTTCAATCTGGGCAACTTGATCCGTCAAATCTGGAATCCCAATGAAAGTGGTAACCGCGTGCAACATTGCAGCGCGAACCTCTGGGACAGGATCAAAATTCAGCTCGCAGAGTCGCGCGGGGGCTGCGCATCGAATGCCCATCCATTTGGCTTCTGGGAAGTCACACCAAAGCATACTCAGGCACAGACAAGACCATTGCCGCAGCAGGGGGTTCTCAACATCGCCGAGATGTCTCAAACACGAGTCAAATAGTTCACCGGACAGACACACGTTCTGACCCTGCGGATAATTCTTGCAGAAGATGGAAACAATGAACGCACACATAGCCCGATGCTCACTAGCATTTCCAACAGGGATGGGCGAAGCAGGGTTCAAGATAGAGATGAAATAGTGGATTCCATTATCCTTGAGCAGATCATTTTGAACGGTGTGATCAACGGCCATAATTCTCGCCCAGATGAAAACCATGACTGGCTTCAGTTCCTGGGCAGCTGACTGCAGCAGTTTGACAACGTAAGGGAATATGCCGATGCTAAGGGCAAGGTGTACCGCCCACGGCCCCAAATCCAAGAACTTGCTAAGCAGAATCAATGCACGCAGACGATGTGCTTGACTGAGAAGGACTTGCAGCACAATGGGAAGTTGGTCAGGAGGCGTTTTCTCCGTAGGCCCGGATGATAGATAGACCTCAAACGCAGTAAGTTGCTCAGCAAAGAAGGTAGAGTGCTGGTACTCGTATTGGCGGCGGCCTTCTTCTTGATCAATCAAAGCGGGAAGCTGCGCTAGCACCATCTCCACGGCGAGGTCCCAGCTCTTCCAAAGTGGATGATGGTGGGTCTCGGGGAGTTCGGGTGAAGATATTGGGTTACATTTATACGTACGCATGATGCGTTCGCTCAGAAGGAAGTTTCTGAATAACGCCGCAACCATGAGATCTTGCCGGAAAAGCTTTTTGAACAATGCACGAGGAAGGGTGTTCCACGCAATCGTGTCGGTGATCGCGGTGAAGATCCAATTCAATTCACCAAGAGGACTGCGCCGGTCTTGGAGGCGACCTGGGACTCTGAAGTCATCAATGGAAATGTCAGTCCGCAGGGGGTTCTGTAGAATGAAGAAACGTAGCGCAATTTCAATCGGGGTTGTCAAACAGCAGGTGAAAAGATCGGCCGGCAGATCTGGGTTGGTCGGAAGAGACTCGTTCTTCTGGCATGCCGCAAGTAGAATGCAATCACCATAGTTCTGGACAACGGCATTGGGATCTCGTTTTTTCGCTTCGATGTTCTCTTTCTCATGTTTTTCCACAAAGGTATGGAAATTTTGGACAATGTTGCCCGCATGCGACACGTCAAAGACGAAAAGACTAGGTCCAGCCAGCCAGGATTGGAGATCATACAGAGGCACCGGGATGTACTGTGTATAGTTCTTGTTAAAAACCCAGATCTCGCCTGATTGGGTAGGCAAAGGAACTCCATGGCCATTGTAATGCAGGAGGACCCGCTCATCCTTGGCATTCCGACGTAGGGAGATGCAAAACTTCTTAGTCTCATCCACGGACGGGTCCAGGTATTGCTTGTATCTTGTCCGAAGGCTCAGCGTCTCGTATTGCTCTTGTAGCTTCTTGCCAATTTGTTCCATTATCTTATTTTGACCGCCACCCGTGGTTGAGGTAGGATCTACCCAGCATTCGAGCTTCGAGGTCGGGTTAGTCTTGACCACATCGGGAGGATCGACACCAATGTTCAAGCAGATTGCTAATGCGGCTGAAACGGTCTTTAGTCGGTCTTTCATCCTCCAATCCTGACTGGGCCAACTCCCCACAGGGTCTCGGGGGATGCCATTTGTCTCATGGCGTTTCTCGGTGAAGTACATATAAAAATTCTGACAATTCCCGGCATTAGTTCAGACGTACAAAAACTCGGCTTTGTTTTCATCGGTTTCAGCTTACCGAGTGCAGAATCTTAAGATATTCGCTGGAGGTGTATTCCTCCTGCCATCCGTGTCGCATGGCGAAATCTTCCTCCTCCTCCCCAGCTATCTTGTCGAATGTAACCCGGCTTGGGCCATAATCGCTTTTTGCTCGCTTCAACATCGCAGGTCGACTGCTTTCTGATCTGCGAGGGGACGGCCGCCTTGGCGGCTCATCCGGTGATAGGGCCGCATTATCGCCGGCTGAACTCGTGGGTCGAACAGGGGGTGTGATTGATGGCTGCCTCTGTTCTACGGTGGTGAATGAGCGATGGTGGCTGGATATTGGTGCTGGTGAACGCTCGCGGGTGGGGATAGTCGTTTCCAGGTCCGGACCGAACGCAACTCGAACTGATTTATTGCGGCGGGGTTCAGTGGAGCCATTCGTGGCGGGGGTTTGGGTAGATGGTTCCATTTCTGCTGTAGGGTCCCTCATGTTGTTGTATCGGTCATCGTGTTACTTGAATGAGAGTTAGGACGGCGGGGGATGGGAGGTGAAGAGCATGGGCAGCTCTGAGACCTCCCAGATGCCCAAACTAGGATGAGGGTCACAAAGATTTAGGAAGCCCCCACGTTCAAAGAGAAAGGCAGGAAATCGCAAACTCCGAGACAAATCTCTCAAAGCGCCTCGCAATTAGATCAGATGGAGGAAAGCCAGCGATCTAGACGCACGCGGCAACGAGGCTCGGTGCCCAGGTGCTGTTCGCCGGATTATCGGCATCCCCGCCCCCCGGCTGACTAACCGCAGCTCTGACAGTTGAGCTCCAGCACTACAGCCTTGAACATCCACGATGAATGGTTCTTTCGTCTTCAAAACGATGGTATCCTGGTCTTCCCTCTGTGCTATCTTTACGGCCTGCTCTAAATATTCGTACTCATCCGACCTCAGCGCTTCAAACTAGTTGGATGTTAATTCTCAACGGTTATTTTCGGGGTATCAGACCATGACGGGACAAATTTCTTAGTTGCTTGTCATCCTAGCTACACTGGCCAACCTCCTTGTATGAAACCTTTCTATTCACAATGAATTGAAACATCTTATTTATTGACCGAGACTGAAATTAGGCCTAGGTAATATGATATCAGGTAAATTGCATGTTATGATTCCTCCCTGCCGAGATCAATGAACACACTGTCTCAGACGGGAGATCATGATGTACACGGTACATTAGAAGGTTTCACTGGAGGTAGAGACAACAAGCGCAGTGTAATCAATACAGGTCATCAGGACTTTTAGAATGAACCTTCACAGATCAATAGAAGAAGAAAAAAAGTCTAACTACTCGAGATCAGCATCCCTTCCGTGGTGTAGTCAGCATACCGTAACCGAAACGCTAAACTTCGAGAGCATTCCCTGTTTATCTCGACTCGTCTTTCTACTGTTTACTTTCAGATACTGATAAAAAAGTATGAGAGACTAATAAAAATACTGTTCTTTGTATAGACTTTATGTGTAATGTGACGTAGACCCCTTTCATCCTGCGTGGAACCTGTTCTGGATAGGTTCTCTGCACGTTGTGGGGGGTGGATCGCCGTGTGGGCTTTCGGGGGCGTGCACTACAACAATTGGCGGTTGCTTCCTCTACCGAAAAGCCAGCCCCGCGGCTTAATTATAGCACGGATTCTGGAAAGTCGAGTTTCATGTTTCCTACCCTTGTACACTCGATTCACAAAGAATTGGGCTTTTGTAATAGGTCCCTACATATGCAGAATAATTTTAACATCATAGAATACTTCATTTCCCCCGATGTTTACCCCGTATCTCATTCCTATTTATCTTGGAATGGTGGCTCCAATGGCGTTTATTGAATGGTCTCTTTTCCCCAAATCTTTCTTTTAAGTCGTATGCAAGATAATAAAAAAATCAAAGGATTAGCACGAGGCAAGTGATAGCCACAATTCCCACTTCTCCATGACGACCGGGGGCTGGGAGACATGGAATGTTGACACACAAAGACCGTTGGAGTGGTTGCTGCCCCTGAGTATGCAGCCTGTTCCCCATACACTAAGACTAGTTCGATTAGACCATCTCCGCCAGGGAAATTGAATCCTCTCTTCTCATCTTCGCTTTTGTTTGGCCCCCTTTTCTTACTTATTTGCTGGCCTTTCTTTTTGCTTTCTCGAAAGTCGAATCCCGGTCTTGATGTCCAGGATCGTCAATCGCTGGTCTCGTGTTTGATCCCGCTATCCCACCCAACCCCTGGCCTATTATTTTTTTTTTCCTTGGCTCGGTGGATGGAACACCTTTCTACGGTTCCTTGTGGTTCCTGGTTCCGGACTCCACACCATCTTTGAAAACACACGCTGGTCTCTTTCGGTCGCTCCTTCAATCTACATCCACCTCTTCCGATTACGCCGACCAACAATCCGGTGCTGGGGCTCCAACGAACGCAATACCGGCGCCGGCGCACCAGAATTCCGGCCGCAGAATTCCACCCCAAATTGCGCCGTGAACGACTGAATACGACTCTTAACGATGGCCTTTTTGTTTAAATCCAAGAAAAACCACCAGGGGGGTGCGCTTCCTCCTGCGACCAGAAACGTCCACACCTCTGAAGGTGCCCCATCCAATGGTCCGTCTGCTATGACCAATGGGGTCAAGGAAGGAAGCTTCTCTCAGACCCCCACCCCCAGCAGCAGCTACAATAACTCCTTGAATTCCGCGGCGAGCCCCACGAGCCCAGATCCCGTCAGACCGCGCCAAAGAGCGGAGTCCGAGTCACAGGTAAGCTTGCCGGCTGGCAATGGTGAAATGGCAGTTCCTGATGAACCCTCTTTTCAGACCCAACGACCACAACAAGGTCCGAATGGGGCCCCGCAGAGCCCTAACTCTTCCCTCTATCCCTGGTCGCAACGCCGCCTGAACTTCACATCCCCGCAAACAACACCATTCCCACGTTATGGAGCCGCCATCAATGCCGTTGCGTCCAAGGAGGGAGATATCTATATGATGGGTGGACTAGTGGATGGGTCCACCGTCAAGGGAGATTTGTGGATGATCGAGAGCAGTGGTGGGAGCCTCTCCTGCTTCCAAATTGCTACCGTCTCCGAAGGCCCGGGACCTCGTGTTGGTCACGCTAGCTTACTGGTTGGGAATGCGTGTATCGTGTTTGGAGGAGACACTAAGATCAACGAGACTGATGCATTGGATGACACACTATACCTCCTAAATACTTGTAGGTTTCTTCCGCGTTTCCCTTTGTCAATTTGAGCTAATATCGACCGTTTCTAGCTTCTCGACAATGGTCTCGTGCGATTCCACCAGGACCTCGCCCCGCTGGACGGTACGGTCATACTCTGAACATCCTTGGCTCGAAGCTCTATGTGTTTGGTGGTCAGGTTGAAGGTTTTTTTTTCAACGATTTGATTGCGTTTGATTTGAATCAGCTGCAAAACCCCGCAAACAAATGGGACGTCCTAGTCCAAAACAGCCACGAGGGCGGACCTCCTGAAGGTCAGATCCCTGCGGCCAGAACCAACCACACCATTGTCAGCCACAATGACAAGCTTTATCTGTTTGGAGGAACCAACGGTGTGCGATGGTTCAATGATGTCTGGTGTTACGATCCTCGTGCTGGCGCATGGGCCGAAATTGACTGTGTCGGATTCATCCCAACTCCGCGAGAGGGTCATGCAGCTGCTTTGGTTGGTGATGTGATGTATGTGTTTGGTGGCCGAACCGATGAGGGAATCGACCTGGGTGATCTTTCGGCTTTCCGCATCTCCTCTCGACGTTGGTACTCCTTCCAGAACATGGGGCCGGCACCATCTCCTCGATCTGGACATAGCATGACAGCTTTTGGAAAGCAGATTATTGTCATGGCTGGTGAACCTAGCTCCGCTCCTCGTGATGCGAATGAGCTGAGCATGGCATATATTCTCGATACATCCAAGATTCGATACCCTAATGATTCAGGAACAGCCGAACGCAGTGCTGTTGCAAACGGAAGGAAAGCCAGCCTCGACAAACAAGGACCCCCCTCTGGCCGAACATCTCGAGAGGCTCAAAGTGCCACGCCTGACCAGTCGCGTCGTGGCGCGACACCGTCTCGCGAAAGCTTGATCCAGCCCTTGGGTAACAGATCTGGCGACTTTGGATCCAATCCCAATCTCGGACCGGGACCGGGCTCTCGGCTTCCACGTGCTTCAATTGCGCAAGCGCCTTCTGGCCCGCCTCCCCCGGGACAGGCTCCTTCTCCTGGTCCTCGTGCCACTGGCCCCCAACCTGCGATGAATCCTCGCGCCAAGACCCCAACGAAGATGGATCGTGGGTACACAGGCACTGTCGATGTACGGGTCGCTAATGCCGATCGAGGTACAGAGTCTCCAGTGGCTAAAGAACTACCCCTTGATTCCCAGGCCTCCAGCGGTCAGCGTACGCCTACTCAACAACAGCAAAAAATAGCTGCTAAGGCAATGGAAGCTGGCGAGGCCGCTCCAATGATTACCACTCCAGGCCGTCAACGATCATTGCGTTCACATCGGCAACGTGGATCAATGGACAGCGCAGAAGAGTCTGTTCTAGGGCGTCAGGTTAGCATCGATGGTTCTATTGAGGCTCGAAGCTTCCGCAACTCCAAGTCGTTGGGTGACGAACCTCGCTCACCCAGGCTGACTCCGCACCAAGAGGCCTTGATCAAAGAGCTAGAGTCTGCCAAGGCACGGAATGCCTGGTACGCCTCCGAGTTAGCCCTGGCGAGAAAGGGGGGCTATGTGCCGAATCCTTCCAGCAGTCCTGCTATCGACGAGCGTGCAAGCGATTCATTGAATGACGAAGACCGCCCGCTAGTTGAAGCATTTCTAGGCATGAGAGCTGAACTAGCTAAAATGCAGGCCACAGTTGACAGACAAGCTGCCATCGCGTCCAAGCGCATTGCAGAAGTGGAGCATCAACGTGATGTAGCTGTCAGCGAAGCGGCTTATTCTCGTGCTAGGCTCGCTGCCCACGGCGGCAGTCAACGTGGAACCCCGCAGCCCGAGGTTTCTCGGGATGGCGAGGATGGCGAACGCCCAACCGACATGGGTCGTCGTCTTGCATTGGCTCTGGCATCCCAGTCTGAACTCAAAGCTAGACTCGATGTGCTGACTACAGAGCTTCAACAGGAGAAGCAGGCTAAAGAGTTGGCAGAAGACACCAACGAGGCTACCCGTAAACGCTTGGCAGAGCTTGAGATGCAGAGCAACGCTCTAGAGGCAGAGAATCTACGTGCTGAGCTGCACCAGGCGGAAGCTTCTTCTCGGGAAGAAGCACTATTGCGTGCGGAGGCTGAAGCCTCATTGAAGCAACTCGTTCTTGATAAAGAAGAGCTTCTCTACCAGGTTGAAGAGTATTCAGGCCGTCTGGCTGACTTTAACAACAATTTCAGTACCCTGAAAGAAGCGGTTGGTGCCTCTGCTGCAAAGACCGCGATTCTCGAGAAACGGTTGGAGGAGGAAAGAGAACGCCGGGAAGGCCTGGAGAGGAAGCTTTTGCAACTCCGATCCGAACATGAGGAGCGAACCACCGAGTTGGAGAACACGACTCGCCGTCTACGTGAGGCCGAAGAGCTGGCTGAGAGCCATGCCAAGGAAGCTGAAACCCACAAGCTGGCTTTCGTCTCAGGTCTTGAGCGTGCTGGGTCAGCTGATCTCGATGCTTCGATCCGGTCTCGCGCTGACCAGCGTGTGGCCGCCTTGGAGGCCCAGATTGAAAGATCTACAACCTTGGCAAAGGCCAACCAGGCTGCAGCTGATTCTGCAACTGAGAAGTTGCGCCGTGCTGAAGAGCGGATCGCTGGCCTTGAAGCTTACCAGGAGCAGGCTAGCCGGGAGGGACTTCAGCTACGCCGACAGCTGCAGACAGCCATGAAGGAAAGCCAAGCCGCCATCGCTGAGAGCAGGGACTTGAAGGGCCAACTTGATTCTCATCAGCGAGAGGCTGGTGCCTTGAATATTCAGCATGCAGCTTTGAAGGACCTACTGGGTGAGCGTGGCGTGAATCCCGACACTCGCCGGTCACCCCGCCTCGAGTCGCCAGGGTCCCGCTTCGGCACCCCCGAGCAGACCCGGTTGCGCGAGCTGGAGCAACAGCTTTCGAACAGTATGAGGGCTCACGATGATCTGAAATCTTCATTCGAATCCCGGGAGCAAGAAGCCGACCGGGCGTTCCGAGAGAAGCTGGAGCAGCTTGAGAACGACTACCAATCAGCCGTCCACTACGTTAAGGGCACAGAGAAAATGTTGAAGCGCATGAAGGATGAATTGAGTCGTTACAAGGCTCAAAATGCTAAGATGCAGTCTGATTTAGAGATTGCCAACAAGACCATTGAGGATAGCAATCAATCAGGCAGCTCAGCTGAATGGGAAAGTGAGCGTTCTCACCTTCAGAAGTCCATCGCCGATCTCGAGCGGAACACCTCTTCTTCAATTGAGAATCTGGAGAGCCAAGTTAGCCAACTGAAGGACCAACTTGCTCTCGCTGGTGCTGAGAAAGAGAAATCGCTGGCTGAGCATGATCGTATTAAACAAGAACTGATGGCTACTGCCGAGCGCACCCGTGCCGAACTAGAGCAGTTCAAGCAGGAAAACGCCCACCTGGAAACCCGGGCCTCCGATGCAGAGCAGAAGGTGAACATGCTCTTACAACAGGTTGAGACCTCTGTAGGTCACTACCGCCGCCAGTCCCAGCTCATTCAAGGTCCCAATGGGATTTCCCGAAGTCTCAGCAACGCCTCTAGCAACACCGCTGGTGGCCGAGGACGAGCGGACAGCAATGTCTCGCAAGACTCTACCGCCTTCCCTGATAACCGAGGCTCCATGGCTCTTGACTCCCTCGCCAACGAGCTCGAGACTCTTCGCAGCCACTGGGAAAGCACTAACCGCAACTACCGCCTCAGCAGCCAGATGGACATGGAGCGAACCCCTACTAAAGAGGACAGCCACGGCCCTGCCATGATGAACGACAGCCTGGCGGAGTGGCGTCGGCGCCTGGATGAAGAAGAGCGCACTGGCAATAAGCCGAAGACTATGGCTGGCACCGGTGCGGCCAACGTCATTTAAGCAACTTTCCATTCTACGACCATGTGTTCTGAGATATGTCCTTCTGCAATTCTCTGAGCGCTTTGCACATGTATTTTGCCACTTTCTTCCTTTGTCTTTGTAATTTGCGAAGCATGATCCTTGCATGATACGAAAGGTTCCCTGGTCTTTACCATCGTTTCCGTCCTATTTTTGTGATTTGAATTCTTTTCCTCCGATCGGCCATAAGGGACGGGATTCCCTTCGTTTGTTTTGCTTTGGGATGTTCTTTACTCCCGCCTGTTCTCCTACTCCTGCTCTTTGTCTCTCTTTATCCCCTTGTTTTTTTCCTTTTATACCCCGGTTTCCCGATGTTTATTGGACTCTGGCTGTACCATCAACACATCCATGAATTCGCCGTCTACTAATAGTCAGAAATTGTCAATTATTCTATGAAGAAGATCCACGTTGCTTTTCCAAGCCCAAGCTCATGCCCAGAGCCAAGCCCTCGCGTATAAATTGTAAATGGTAGTAACCTGAAATCCAGGAATGTGATTTGCTCGCCCTGCTACCCCGGCTGCGGTAGGTCGCATTTGGCCCCATGCAGCAGACGTAAGGCCACTGGGGCCAAACAAACATTACCACGGCACGATCCAAGTCTGGTCAACATCCGAGGTTGGGGCCCAGCCGAAACATGCTAGTGTAGGAGTGTCTGAAGTACCTTCATTGGGCAGTATTAGGGAAAAAGACGATAGAGATGTGGAAGGGACCATGTTCAGGGTCTAGATCGGGAACCAAGTGTTGTATATCGGGATCAATGGGACGCCAAGATATTAATAGAAATCATGCAAGTACCTATCACCTACTTAAATAGACTAAGGTACCCCAGCTAATCTGCTAAAGGCAACTTTCAGGTTTTGCAGCCCAGTGTCAGCTGAGCGCGTATACCGGATATCCGTACATAAGGAAAATGCCGAGCCCAAATCTCATTCAAAGCACCATGTTAGACTTCAATTTCCAAAAGAAAAGATGAAAAACAATTTCATCTAGTATTTGAATAAAAAAGATAGTAAAAACAATAATGACAAAAGAACCCCCTACTAGATTTTCATAAATTCGCGCAAAAGTGACGGGGCAGGTACCTCGGGCGTCGCACGAAATCCCTAGCGGCTCCCTGTACTCTGCAGGTCACTGTTCAGCCACCTGCCTTTCGCTAATAAAATTATTTACCTGTTCACCGACTTCCCCCCTCTTTCTCTCCTTTCCCTTCCTCCTCATCCCTCTTTAAGGTGTTTAGTCCAAGACTCCTTTGGACTTCTCTGCATCTTCTTTTCCTTCTCCTGACTCGGTTCTGCCCGTGTCCCACTTTCTCGTCCACATCCCCATCTATCCGGTCGGCTTCTGTACGGTCGGCATTGGACATCTTTGATCCTTATCAGCGTTCTAGGTATGGCCTTATATCCCCTCTCTGATTTTGATCTCATATCTCTTCTTTGCCCTTGCTTTCTCGTTCTTCCCCATCCTGCTTCCTTTTCTTATCCCTTTGTCTGCCTGTGAAGGCCCAACAATCCTCGTGTTGGCCACATCTGCCCCGTTTACGCCTTACGCTTGAGGCTAAGATAGGCAACCCCCCTCAATCTCAATTCTTTGCTTTTGACCTGTACCACCTTTCATCGCCCACTCTTTTCCCTATCCCCTCGGCCACCTCTTCATATTTTTCCTGTGAACCATCTTCAGACCCCGCTCTAACCAGTGACACTGATAGCTTTCAATCATTCTGCACGGCTAATCGCTGTGCCACTACAATTCATCCAAGATGACGACCATGGTGAGTGCCCAACCTCCCCCAACGACCCCTTTTCCCGTCACATCCCCACGCTCCTGTGTCGATCATCGCCCAACCCGTTGGAAAGGGGCTACTTAACTAAAAAACGCGTCAAACTCGCCTCCGTCGGGAAGGTCACCAGGTGCTGACATCATACACAGGATTTGCGTGTCGGTAACAAGTACCGCATTGGCCGTAAGATCGGAAGCGGCAGTTTCGGTGACATCTACCTTGGTATGTATCTTATATCCAATTCTGATGGTCCTCCTGCTTGGCAGGGGCTGATTCTACCTTGTTAGGCACAAACATTATCTCCGGTGAGGAGATCGCCATCAAGCTCGAGAGCGTCAAGGCCAAGCACCCCCAGCTCGAATATGAGGCTCGTGTCTACAAGTCTCTTGCCGGTGGTGTCGGTATTCCCTTCGTCCGCTGGTTCGGTACTGAGTGTGACTACAATGCCATGGTTATCGATCTGCTGGGCCCCAGTCTGGAGGACTTGTTCAACTTCTGCAACCGCAAGTTCTCGCTCAAGACCGTTCTTCTCCTCGCCGACCAGCTTATTTCTCGCATCGAATACATCCACGCCAAGTCCTTCATCCACCGTGATATCAAGCCCGACAACTTCCTCATGGGTATCGGCAAGCGCGGCAACCAAGTTAATGTGATCGATTTCGGTCTGGCTAAGAAGTACCGCGACCCCAAGACCCACTTCCACATCCCGTACCGTGAGAACAAGAACCTCACTGGTACTGCCCGTTATGCCAGTATCAACACCCACTTGGGTGTCGAGCAATCTCGTCGTGATGATATGGAGTCTCTCGGTTACGTGATGCTCTACTTCTGCCGTGGCTCCCTGCCCTGGCAGGGCCTGAAGGCTGCTACCAAGAAGCAGAAGTACGACCGCATTATGGAGAAGAAGATGACTACCCCCACCGAGGTCCTCTGCCGTGGCTTCCCCAACGAGTTCGCCATCTACCTTAACTACACTCGTTCGCTCCGCTTCGACGACAAGCCCGACTACTCCTACCTTCGCAAGATCTTCCGCGATCTCTTCGTCCGCGAGTCGTTCCAGTACGACTACGTGTTCGACTGGACCGTCTACAAGTACCAGAAGAACGCCGCCATGATCGTGGATGCTACCAAGAAGGACAAGGATGAGGAAGCCGCCCGTCGCCAGGGTGCTGCTGCTGCTGGTCCCATGGCCGCTGGCGCTGCCGCTAAGCCCAGTGCCATCTCGGGCCAGCGCCGCAAGGTCATCGACCGTGGCACCCTCGACAACACTCCGGACACCAACCGTGCCGTGGGAGGAAGTGACAGGATGTGAGTACTTTGAAACCTGGTTCCGAGTAGGGAACCCCTTCTCCTTTTCCCTCTTGCGTTTGGTGTTTTTCTTCTGTGACGCTGGCGTGGAGGACCCTTTAGTTCTGAATCTGACTAATCGCATAGTCTTCGGCATTAGGCTTCGTTCTGCCTCGAAGGGCGCTGCTTTAGGTGCTTATGGACCTTCTGGTAGCCGTTCGAAGCGGGACGATGGGACTGGGGCACAATGGTACTAATAGTGGAGTATTTGCGGAGAGCTCTGGGGTTGTTAGATATAGTTCCTTGTCTCGCTTCCCCCCAGTTTTCTCCTGCATGCACACAACAACCTTTGAAGAATCCCGGGAAACCCACCGTCAACTCGCCATGGACGTGACTCCTTGCACTCGACCTTCTCGGATTTCTCTTTTCTTTTCTCCTTGGATCTCCATTCATTTTGCAATCTCTAACCGCCCTTCTACCCCGTTCTCGATCATACTTCGACTTCAACCGTTTTGATCCCTCAGTGTTTTGTCTAGCTACCATGGTGGCTTCGCAATCCTGACGACTGCTTTCCCCTTTTCGGATTTTATGTACCCGCTTCCTCGGGACAACCGATCAGTCTCGAAACGTTATTGATATGGTGGCTATTCCTACGTCTTCCCTCTTTTCGGTTCCATGCGACTGCTACTTTCCCTTTCAACAATCTCGCAGATGACCGGATTGAGGCTGACGGAGATGCAAATGACGGCGTCAACCCTGGAAACAGAACATTTATACTACGTCTCTGTTGCTTCGATCGCTTGCCTTGGAATTCTCGGAACTCGCATTCACATGCGCCTACCTTCAATTTGTGCTCTCATCACCCCCCCCCCCCCCCCCTTTAACCCAAATTGCTTTTTTACCTTTCTGATTTTTACCCCTGCCCCCTCATGTTTGAAATCTTTATTACTGCAAATCGACGCCGGATGGGGACGAGGAGAAGACTGCTACAGTCTGGAGGATGGAAGTGGTTATTAGGGATATGACTTTCTTTGAAGATATCATGGGCCTTTTTGGAATTCTTGCCTTGGGTCCTGTGCAAGAGTTCTTCGGGTGGCCTATGGTTGTTCTCAGAGAAGAAGGTCTAGTCTCGATTGGTAAATGGCGACGGAAAATGGATAGGGTCGCTTCCGGGGAGGTTTTGCGTCGATTTGCATGTTTTATGTTTCTAGCTTTTTTCAATTTTGTCATTCCCAACTGCATACCCAATCCCTAACTATTGCATTCTGAGCTTGGAGTGTTGTCTACCTCTACCTGGGTATCAAACTGCCGCTTTCAAAGTCAATGGCAGGTCCCGATCAGATACTTGCTGACATTCGCTGGGGCTTTTCACATCCAATATCAAAATAGCATTTACCCCCAACCTGTTTCCATGGATTCGAAAAGTAATCGATCTAAATACTCTGTAGTGTCTCTTGAGTTTGCAGTGAGATCATCGAGTCGATTTGCCTCCGTTCTGGGCGCTCCATGCACGGGCCAGACTCCACTCGGTCGGATAACATGTTTAATAATCCTGACGTGAGCTTTGGGTGGAAGAACTATTCAGAAAATACATTAGCGTTGAATTTTCTATTAGTAGATATAGTGAGGCCCTTAAATTGGTAAATGTGGCGTGCCGAGACGGCTCGAATCTAGGGAACAGTATCGGTCAGAGTCCGGGGTCACAAAAAACCCATGAAACCCCAACACCCAAACTGAAATCTCCATCCGTACGACCATCATCCTCTCCGGCTCCTGCCCTTCCTTTTCTTCAAAACATCAACAAACCGGCTCTTCTGCTATCGTCGCATGATGGATTACTCCAATTATGCTGGCCATCAATCCCAGCCCTTCTCGATGTACGGGCTGCCAACCCCCGACCAACAACCACCGCCCCAGACTGACGACTCCCTACACGATCCATTCTCCATGGTATTGCTCCGATCAACCTCCTATCTCATGTACAGATTACTAATTGAAGGGAACTCTTCCCCTTGATGATAGCAGCAGCACAATACATATAACCATTATTTCCCCGGGCTGGAAGGCTCCTTGCGCATCGACCCCTCATCTTTTGTCCCGCCGCCACATTCACCACCAGACTCTTTCACCAAACACTCTGTCTCGAGTAACGATTTTGGAAACAATTCAAAGCTAGATCCGTCCTCGATCGATGGCGATGAAAACCATTATGCAGATACTGGTATCGCCCGCAGCAGTAGTGAGGAGAAAGAATCCATGACTCCGGCGCAAAGCAAGCGCAAGGCGCAGAATCGTGCAGCGTATGTGATACGGTTTCCTGCATTTATGTTCGCGAAAGCATCATGCCCAAAACAGAAAACACCCGGGATAGCAGAGGACTAAATTAACAATATCGTATATAGTCAACGAGCATTCCGCGAACGAAAAGAACGTCATGTCAAAGATCTCGAAGACAAAGTCAACTCCCTGGCCGAAGCCTCAAATACCCTCCAAGCCGACAACGAACGGCTGAAGCGCGAACTCGCCAAGTTCGCTACGGAAAATGAGATTTTACGAGTAACATCCGGCTCTATGAACGGTGGTGGTGGCTCTCACAACCCCGGTATGCAAGAGCAGCCCACTGTCACCGGTCCCATGAAATACTCTCCAACAGACTTCTATTCGACTTTGATGCCTGAGGGGTCTGGGTGGGGTCCTGCTCCAGGGAGTAGTGCTACTGCGCCGCCGGCTTCGCATCGGGTTATGGTTTGTCAGATCACTGGCGAGAGATTGCTTGATGCGGGTGCCACGTGGGATCTTATCCAGAGGCATGCTCTTTACAAGGCGGGACAGGTGAATATTGGGGATGTTGCAGATCGGTTGAAGGGGATGGCTCAGTGTAATGGGCAAGGTCCTGCTTTTAAGGAAGGAGAGGTGATGAGGGCTATTGAGGCGAGTGTTGCGGATCGGGACGAGTTGATCTAAGATTCCATCTTGCCTTGGCCACTTTCTCTCTTTGGTCGAAATGACGAGTCTATGTCTTTGGTTATTAAGGTACTGATCTACCTTTAATTTGGCGTCTTTTGATTATTACGCTTGGAGTCCTTGGGTGCTGGAATATATGAAACGATTGGAATTAGCGGGCGATGAATCTACCTGCCTGTAAATTGGGATATCACTGATGGTTAAAAATTTTCTTTGAGCGCTTTTTGGTCTAATTTTATGTACTTCATCTTGGATGTGGACCTGTCTTGTTGTTGTTGGTGCAGAAACTAACCCTTGAAATGAGTCCCTGTACTGATACCCGAAGACTTAATATATCTTGCATTGTCAATTTGATGGATACATGGGTAATCAACAACACTCGAGTGCCAAAATCCATCACCATAATCCCCATCCTTATATGCATTTTGAAGGATTGTTCATCAGCCTCCAAATTATGTGATTTTCTTCTTTTCGGTTTCGGTTCCAAGGTTCTTCAAATTCCTTCCAAAGTCGTTGCAAAGGTAAGGATGGTCTCACTTTGTTTGAGCGCATTTCATAATGTACACACATCAAATCATAACATGGGTTAATCGCATAGAGTCAAGCTCAAATGCAACTAATCCCAATCATCATCATAATCCTCAACGTTGAGGTCATCGTTCTTAGACGTGTAGTCATCTTCGTCGGCATGCTTCTTGAGACGAACATCACTTTCCTTCAGCGCTCCAATCTCAATGAGCAGTTGTTCCAGATCTATCCATAAAGTTAGTTTGAAGCCCTCTAATTGAATGTGTATCAATAGTGAATAGTCACCTTCTAGCTTAGTCCGCACACCCTTCAGTTCCCGCAGAGTCACCAATTGCCTCCGGATCTCAGTATCCTTGTAAACAAGAATAGTGGGCGTGTTCCGCTCTGGATAACCCTCGATACACATGTCGGCGCGGATCTCGCAGAACTTGATATCGCCAAACTTGCTCGCCAATTGTCGCCAAAGCTCGGTCAACACACGAGACTCGACGTTGGCACCCTGGGAGGTGAGATTGACTAGGACGAATGCTTCTTTTGAGGCTTCGGTAACTTCTCGGCCATAATCGACTTTCTGGAGGGGGTAGACCTGATTGAAGTTGCTGGTTTTCTGGAGAGTGTGGAGTTCGGCGAGACGTTTTTGACTGTCGCTAGGGGTTAGTACACGGCCTTGAAATAATATATATAATGTTGTTCATGAATATCGAAAACCCAGAAGATTGTCAAGAGCCTACCGGTATTGCTCGAGGAAGCCCTCGTCCTCCTCTTCCTCCAGTGCGTCCAGCTCATCGAGGTCCTTGTCCTCCAGACGGTTCTCATGTGCTCTGTGTTGAGCCGCGATCAAGGCTTCCTGAATCAATGGCTCTGGGTCTTTGGGTTTCTCGGGAATGATTCCATGTTGGCGGAGGATATCATTCCTAAATATAGCATAACCATAGTTAGACCCTGTACACAAATAGCTCCAACCGAGCGGGGGGGGGGGATGCGGGCAGGATGCAGGTAGTGCTAATGGGACTGTACCATTCAGTATCCTCGTTGGGATTGACTTCGACCTCCATTATGAATAAAGAGGAATGAAGAACTCAAAGAAATTGTCCTCAAACCTATGTAGCAAATAAATGTAAGAAAGAAGTTTGAATAGGCAAAGTATCGTGAGTCCATGATGCCACCTGTTTGCAGTGTTTGCCCGGGTCAGCCAAACACACGGAAGGCCACCATTCAACTTTACTCCATAAACAAGTGATCGTGGAGCTCGAGGTTGCGATTCCATCACCACCTCTACTCCCTCCTTTTTCTCTCCACACCTTTTGACTTCATTGGGGGTGCAGGTTACGCGAATGCAGTAGCTGCCTACACCGCTCTCCCCTGTTACTGTGTTCTTCCTCCCGTTGAATCCCCGACTACCGATCGATCGCGAAGTACATTCCGCTGGTGCAATCCCAGCACCTGGGCAAAATGAGTTACATGAAGAAGGATGAAGATGCCGATCAAGTCATGATCAAGCTTGATCGGACCTCCGTATTCCAAGATGGTACGCCAATCTACAATGGCAAATGGCCATGACCCCTGGCTATTGCGGCTCACCAATTCCCCCTCCCCTTGCCCAACGGGCACCGGACTAACAGACCAATTCTTTTAGCTCGACTTTTCAATTCCTCACCGATCTCGCCGCGAACATGCCGTACATTATTGACCAAGATTGCGGTCCTCGTCTTCACTGGGGAGCAGTTCCCCACAAACGAAGCCACGACCCTGTTCTTCGGCATTTCGAAGCTGTTCCAGAACAAGGACCCGTCTTTGCGACAGATGGTGTATCTTATTTTGAAGGAGCTCGCCAACACCGCGGAAGATGTGATTATGTCGACTAGTATCATCATGAAGGATACCGCGGTCGGAAGCGACGTCTTGTATCGAGCCAACGCTATCCGAGCACTGTGTCGCATCATTGATGGATCAACTGTGCAGGGTATCGAGCGATTGATCAAGACCGCCATTGTCGACAAGACCCCTTCGGTCTCATCAGCTGCTCTGGTCTCCTCCTACCACCTCCTCCCCATCGCGCGCGACGTTGTCCGGAGATGGCAAAGCGAAACCCAGGAAGCTGCTTCGTCTTCTAAGCAATCGACTGGCTTCTTGGGCTTCTCTTCCGGCTCCCAGGCTCACGCTATCTCTCAGTCCAACTTCATGACCCAGTACCACGCAATTGGTCTCTTATATCAGATGCGTTCCCCTGACCGCATGGCATTGGTGAAGATGGTGCAGCAGTACGGTGCAGCTGGTGTGGTGAAGAGCCCGGCAGCTTTGGTGTTGCTGGTTCGTCTGGCCGCCAAGCTGGCGGAGGAGGACCCTGGTCTCCGAAAGCCTATGGTGCAGATGCTGGATGGCTGGCTCCGTCACAAGCACGAGATGGTCAACTTCGAGGCCGCCAAGGCTATTTGCGAGTTGCGGGATGTCACTGATGCTGAGGCCTCGCAGGCCGTTCACGTCCTACAGTTGTTCCTGTCTTCTCCTCGATCGATCACAAAGTTCGCCGCTATTCGCATTCTCCACAACTTCGCCTCGTTCAAGCCGCACGTGGTCAATGTATGCAACCCCGACATCGAATCGCTTATCTCAAACTCCAACCGTTCTATCGCCACATTCGCTATTACAACCCTACTCAAGACTGGTAACGAAGCCAGTGTGGATCGTCTCATGAAGCAGATCTCTGGCTTCATGGCTGATATCACCGATGAGTTCAAGATTACTATCGTTGAAGCTATCCGCACATTGTGTCTGAAGTTCCCCAGCAAGCAGGCTGGCATGTTGGTTTTCCTGAGTGGTATTCTGCGTGACGAGGGCGGTTACGAGTTCAAGCGTACCGTCGTGGAGAGCATGTTTGATTTGATCAAGTTTGTTCCTGACAGCAAGGAAGATGGTAAGTTTGTTTTGCTCTGTGTACATCGGGGTTTGAGTCTAACGGTAACTTTTCTAGCTCTCGCCCATCTTTGCGAGTTTATCGAGGATTGCGAATTCACTAAGCTGTCTGTGCGTGTCCTTCATCTGCTTGGTGTTGAGGGCCCTAAGACTTCGCACCCCACTAAGTACATTCGTTACATCTACAACCGCGTTGTTTTGGAAAACGCCATTGTCCGTGCCGCTGCCGTCACTGCGTTGGCCAAGTTTGGTGTTGGTCAGAAGGACCTTGAAGTCAAATCTAGTGTGCATGTTCTGCTCACCCGTTGCCTTGATGACACTGATGATGAGGTTCGCGATCGTGCTGCCCTCAACCTTCGCTTGATGGGAGCCGAAGATGCCACAGCTAGCGCTTTCATTAAAAACGGTAAGCATCCCAGCGACAATTTTGAGTCACTTTCTTTACTGACGACTTTAGATTCTATGTACTCCCTTTCCACCTTCGAGCACCAGCTCGTTATGTATGTGACCTCGAATGACAAGCAGACATTTGCTACGGCCTTCGACGTTGCTTCCGTCCCCGTTGTCTCCCACGAGCAGGCCTTGGCCGAGGAGCGGACCAAGAAGCTCACAACAGCCACACCTACCCTCAAGGCTCCTTCAGCCGGTCCTCCCAAGGGCAAGTCGAACGGAGTTGCCGAGGCAGCTACTGCTGCTGCTACCCAAAAATACGCCGAGCAGCTCTTGCAGATTCCCGACATCAAAGAGTACGGTACCTTGCTCAAGTCCTCCGCGCCTGTCGAGCTCTCAGAGAGCGAGACCGAGTACGTTGTCACTGCTGTTAAGCATATCTTCAAGGAGCACATTGTTGTGCAGTACGATATCAAGAACACCCTACCCGATACTGTCCTCGGAGATGTGACCGTGATTGCCTCACCATCGGAGGATGATGTGCTAGAAGATGACTTCATTATTCCCGCTCCCAAGCTTATGCCCAACGAGCCTGGTGTCGTCTATGTCGCTTTTAAGAAGCTGGGTGGCGAGAACAGTGTCCCCATCACCTCCTTTACCAACAACCTCAAGTTCACCAGCAAGGAGATCGATCCTAGTACTGGCGAGCCAGAAGATGAGGGCTACGAGGACGAGTACCAAGTGGAGGACCTCGAGCTTACCGGCAGTGACTACGTCATTCCTGCATTCGCTGGCAGCTTCGACCACGTTTGGGAACAGACTGGTGCTAATGGCGAAGAGGAGAGCGAGACCCTACAACTAAGCAACATGAAGGGCATTGCTGGTATGTCTAAAATCATTTACCCCGATTTCTCGAAACTTGCTAACAACCTACTACCAGATGCCACTGAGCAACTCATTTCAGCATTGTCACTCCAGCCCTTGGAAGGCTCCGATATCGCCCTCAACAACAGCACTCACACTCTCAAGCTTTTCGGCAAGACAGTTTCCGGCGGCAGAGTGGCTTCTCTCATCAAGATGGCCTACTCCAGCAAGAGCGGTGTCACGACCAAGATCACGGTCCGGGCAGAAGAGGAGGGCGTTGCTGCCGCGGTGCTCGCATCTGTCACTTAATGTCTTAACTTATTTTCCTTTTTTCTCTTTATAGCAAATTGTAGTAGACATGAGGATTTGGTTATTTTTTCCTCTTTCTCTTTCCCATTTTCTCCTGTCGCGAAGAAGCCTGCTATCCTCTGTTTCTGCTACTTTCTCACTTGTTTCCTCCACTGTGCTTCTTGGCGCGATTTTGTTGGTCTTGACGAGTCCCATGAAGCTCACTACAAAATTGGAGGGTCTTCTCTTTTCCCGGTCTGCTGTCCAGCCTTGCTGTAGTGCTTGTTCTTTCGCTGCTTTTCGGTATCTCAAATAGATTGGGATATACAGTGTGCATGAAAAGCATTTCTATTTTTGCCTATTTGAACCTTAGCTCTATCTCCAAAGCCGTAGATAAGCAGAGGACAATATTGGTTTTGGAGAATGATAATTGATTATCGTATTGATTGAAAACCACATTGACGATATTAGGCAAGGCGTAGCATATGAAAGTCAGAGTATTGATATTATCGAGTACATACCCAGGTAAGTACTTAAACTAGGCTACTCTAGAATTTGAAGGTGATCAAGGAGTGACACTGGGTCAGCTTCTTTTTTTTATTTTTTTATATTTTTTTTTTACTGAGGATTAGGAATACTGATGAATATCCCGGCTGGGATAGAACGTTGCCTTGTATTTTGACTTAGATCTAGCTAGACGACATGCTCCCGAGGTCTTTGATACCAGGGAAATCAGGTACAGCAGCAATACATTCAGAATTGCAACTACTGCATGATGGGAACCACATGTGGTCAGTGAGGTGTTCGATTATACTGTATATCCTTGGTCATTTGATCTATGGAAAGAAAAGGCAATATAAGTCATGTTGTTTCATTTGATAATTGCACTAAGGCATTCATGGGTATCTATCTTTATGCTATGCTGGCGCTAATTCTAGACCGTAATTCATCCCACGGCTTGAATAAGATTCATTTCTGAACTTGAAATCCAAAGCCCGTACCCAACTCATCCAGTTCTTTGTCATCGACATCGTCCAGGTGACTAGTGACAAGCTCATCGAGCTTTATTGGATCCACGCCATAATGTTTAAGGAATGAATGCGGGGCTTGAAAAAACCACAGGTTGCTCAACGGGCCTGATTCGAGGGATTTGGTAACGGCGTCGCAGAAGTTATGGTGTATGGGGTACTGCACACCGTACGGGCCGACAGTTTCTGTCAGTATCAGGGATCGAATAGACAAGGCTGGCATTCCGTCTTCAAGCATTAATAAGGACCAGATGAGGCCGATGGGCATCTTGATATGCTCGAGGGCGTCCAAGTCATTCAAGACACTCGTGCTTTCATCGAGATCCACTTTGTCGACATTGCAATCCGTTTCAACAATAAAATCCGTCAAACTGTATTGGAAATTATCATTCAACAAGATATTGTTGATAAGCGACACGGTCACGTTTTTGCAATTCGACAGGACCAATTCAGTCACATTAGGTGGCCAATCAAAGTATTCCATTAGCTGAGGGTCAATTCGCCCGCCGATTTTCAATCTAGTGAGGGAACTAGGCCATGTCCCAGTGGTGGGCAAAGTTTGAGTAAGTGGGATGTAGATGGGTAGTGAAAGAGAGCGGAGATTCGCGAGCTTGCTGACAGCCTTCTTGAGCTGTGGGAAGCTGAGTGAGGAATCGCCCACTCGGCTCAGATCCAGATATTTGAGGCTCCGGCACTTGGTCAGGGATGCGAGGGCATTGAGACTTATCACTGGTCAGCTAGAACGTTCACTAGAACATTCCGGTTCGGATATATTGGGGTTAAGAAGTGTGGGTTTGATTACTCACGAAAATGAGACCCGGGGCGCTGTAAAATTGACTAGGTTCTCACTAGCCTTATTCAGCAATCTTGCAGTAACACTGTTCGAGCTTTGGTGAACCAATTGACCCAGGTTCAACACATGAACCATTGAGCCCAAGTCAGACTTCGTCTTGTTTCTTGCCTTGGTTGATGGACATAAGGTTTTGGTAAACTTCATAAACCTATTGCCGTTCGCGACACTAGGTTCGCGATAAAGTGGCTCGATTCCCACCGAGTACCACTGATGGCACACAAGACAAAAATTGAACAGAGTGCTTTGTCGTTTCAGTCTGCCATCTTCACGGCGATTGAGTGTAAGCGAATCCCCGTAAGTCTCAAGGTCGTACACATATCCAGCAATGATTATTAAAACTTCGGTGGGGAAGTAGTTGAATCCCATAGAGGCCATAGCGAGGGTCTGATGTGTAGTGTGGTAATCCGAGGCTTGGAGATGAAGTGGAATAACGGGCCAGTTGATGCTTGTTGTCGATTACAGACACAGAAGCAAGACGAGATTGTGGGACATGACTGGGTTTGGCTTTTCAGTTTGGGTAAATAGCGAAGTTGGCAGAAGATAAGCAATGGATCTTTGGAAGAAGAGAAGGTAAAACGCGAAGTTGATAGAAGATAAAACAATGCAGTTGGTGTTCCATGAATTTAAAACCCGCCCCACTCCATGATATTCTGCCACACTTTCTGCCATCCTGAGCTTGTATTCTCTAGCTAAATCGACTTAATACGTACCTGTATGGCACCATGCTGTACCACCGTAGATCATCTAGAACGTTCTCAATAATGTTCCCAGTGATTTCTTGGTAACGCTGCTAGTATCACTCCTAGTTACGCTCCCAGTAACACTCTTACTTAACACAAGCAATAGCATTATTGATTTATCAATTATCACAAACTCTCGAACAAAAGAAATTCTTATTACATAGTAGTGTGTCCTACACTGAACAGTTAGCTATTTAATTAAGTAGCGTGCTGCGTATTGGTAAGCTACAAGCTGGGTAACTCTGGCGGTATAACAAAGCGGTCTGAAAATGGTTTCAAACTCATGAAACGCCACTGGGAAAGCGGAAGCAAAGTGGGGCCGCATGAGTCGGAGATGATATCACACCTTTAACTTGCCCCCCTGTCAACCTTCTCCAACTTCTCACCCCAATAACACAGAATGAGGCCTCAACCTGCTTGGCGCTCTTTTAGCCTGCTGCAGCGACCATCGCGCTGCAGTATTGGCCGCCGCACAATTCAAACAGCCAGCCCTGCCCGGGTCCCCAATTTTGCTTTTGCCTTTGAGTGAGTAGGGATGATGATGTATGCATACAGCTACAGTCTGAATCGCCATGTCTGACACTCTATCTTAGTATCGATGGTGTCCTCCTACGAGCTTCTAAGCCAATTCCTGGCGCTGCCGACTCATTGGCTCTCCTGAAACAGCAAGGAATTCCTTTTATCCTCCTCACCAATGGCGGCGGTAAACACGAGACAGAACGAGTGGCTGAGATCAGCGAGAAGCTGAATGTGCCCCTGGATGCGGCTGATATTGTACAAAGTCACTCTCCTTTCGCCGAATTGGTGAAAGGGCCAGATGAGTCAAGCGCGCTGGAGAACAAATGTGTTTTGGTGGCTGGAGGTGATGGGGACAACTGCCGGCGCGTTGCGGAACAGTATGTGGTCCACGTACACACATCGGGACCATTGATTCTCTAACAAATCGCTCTAGATATGGATTTAAGAATGTTGTGACACCCGGAGACATCTTCATGGCCAATCAATCCATCTGGCCATTCTCTAAGAACTTCTCAGACCACTACAAGACATTTGCCAGACCTCTTCCGAAACCAATTGACCCCACTGATCCGAAAAAGGGGCTGAAGATTGACGCGGTCTTCGTTTTTAATGATCCCCGGGACTGGGGCTTAGATACACAGGTCATTATGGACATTCTGCTTTCACGCCAGGGGCATGTAGGTACCCTGTCGGACAAAAATGGACAGATTGACCTCCCCAATCACGGGTATCAACAGGACGGCCAGCCTCATCTATACTTTTCAAACCCGGATTTATTCTGGGCAGCCGCCTATCCCTTACCCCGTCTTGGCCAGGGCGGATTCCGTGAGGCACTAGAGGGTGTCTGGGCTGCTACCACAGGCGGACCGAGCAAGGGCATTGAACTAAAGAAGACTGTGATTGGAAAGCCTTACCAGGGAACCTATGAATTTGCTGAGCGACAACTGCTTCGGAATCGGACCAGGATCTTTGGAGGTGCAGCTGATCTCCCACCTCTAAAACACGTGTATATGATTGGTGACAACCCGGAGTCGGACATTCGGGGTGCAAACTCCTACCGCAGTGAATTCGGAAGCAAGTGGCAGTCCATCTTGGTTCGCACTGGAGTTTATCCTGGTGGTGAGCCTGCTTGGACTCCTACTACTATAGCAGATGATGTCCAGAAGGGTGTACAGTGGGCACTGAAGACCTCCAAGTGGTCTTCGTGATTTTCGCCTACATTCCAATGAACATGTGTCATATGCACAGCACCTGGTTTGGTTTTATGTCAATGTGAGCATAAACACGGCGCCTTCACTCATGGTGTATATATTTTGAGTCTTCATGTTTTGTAGCAATTATATTATTATAGACTTCTGAGCGACGAAATGTACAAACATTGGAAATCAATAGCCGTCTAGTTGGGTTGAGCTGCAACCTTGACAATCTACAGCCCTGGCCCCAGCAAACCTTAGGTATTCTCATTCATTGGTCCAACCTCGAACTTCCTAACAGTAGGGCGCTACTTAGTTATTATGGGCAGGAGTATGACTTGCATATCACGTGACAAGCACCCCTCTTAGGGCTTAGGGCATTTTGCGGCCTGCCGCGGGGTGACTCAAAGTGTTGACTCAAGTGGATTGCCGTGACGAGATATCAATCCATCTTTAAGGTAATGAAGCTCTCCACTCCGCTCCTTTCACCTTGGTTATCTTAACTCGGCCCCACTGACTCCTTGCCTCAGCATCATGGCGGACTCTGAGTTGCCCACCCGTCCCAAGCCCGAGGAGACCCCCGCGGCCGCTCCCGCCGAGGGCGAGACCAAGAATGCTAGCAAGAACGCTGCTAAGAAGGCCGCGAAGGAGAAGGCTAAGGCTGAGAAGGCCGCTGCACGAGCTGCCCAGGAGAAGGCTCAGGCCGCCGCTCAGGAAGCCAACGACACAGCTAAGGACCTCTACGGCCCGCTCCCCGAGACCGAGGACGTCATCTCTTCCACCCGATTCAGCCAATTGACAGAAGATTCTTACGAGAAGGAGGTCACCGTTGTCGCGCGTGTCGACAATGCCCGTGTCCAGAGTGCCAAGCTGGCTTTCTTGATGCTGCGCCAGCAGGGTCAGAAGGTCCAGGCCGTCATTGCCGCCGCCGAGCCCATTTCCCGCCAGATGATCAAGTACACCGGTGGATTGAACGTCAACTCGATCATCCAGGTCACTGGTATTGTGAAGAAGCCTGAGATCCCGATCTCCTCCGCGTCCATCCAGAATCTGGAGCTCCACATTCGCAAGGTTTACATGATCTCCGAGGCTGCGCAAATGCTGCCCATGCAGGTCAAGGATGCTGAGCGCCCGCCCCCTACCGAAGAGAAGGAGAACGAGGTTGACGAGTCCGGTGCTCCCATCGTTACTCTTAAGACTCGTCTTGACAACCGAGTTCTGGACCTCCAGACCGAGACCAGCCAGGCTATCACCTGGATTTCCAGCGGTGTTGCAGAGCTCTTTGCTGAATACATGATCAAGAGCGGCTCGCGATGGATCTTCACTCCCAAGTTGGTCGGTGCAGCCACTGAGGGTGGTAGCAACGTCTTCGAGGTCAAGTACTTCAAGCGCATGGGTTACCTGGCCCAGAGCCCCCAGCTGTACAAGCAGATGTGTATTGCTGGTGACATGGAGAACGTCTTCGAGATTGCCCCAGTGTTCCGTGCCGAGGACAGCAACACTCACCGTCACTTGACTGAGGTATGATCACACCGCAAAATAACGAGTATATCATTGCTAACTACGTCGCAGTTCGCCGGTCTCGATTTCGAGAAGACCTTTGAGAAGCACTACCACGAGGTTTTGGAGTTCGCTGAGGACCTGCTGGTCTTCATCCTGGGTCAACTCAAGGCCCGCTACGCCGCCCAGATTGCTATTATTCAGAAGTCCTACCCCAAGGCCGGTGACTTCAAGCTGCCCAAGGATGGCAAGGCTCTGCGCTTAAACTACATGGACGGTGTCGAGCTGCTGAAGGCCGCTGGCGTTGACATGTCCGAGCAGGAGCGTTTCGAGAACGATTTCTCCACTGCCCAGGAGAAGCAGCTCGGCCAGATCATCCGTGAAAAGTACGATACTGATTTCTACGTGCTGGACAAGTTCCCCATGGCTGTCCGTCCCTTCTACACCAAGGCCGACCCCAAGGATGCCCGCTTCTCTAACTCTTACGACTTCTTCATGCGTGGTGAGGAGATCATGTCCGGTGCTCAGCGTATCAACAACATTGATGAGCTGGAGGCATCCATGCGCTCCAAGGGTCTCGACCCCACCCAGGAGGGCTTCGAGGATTACCTCAACGCTTTCCGACAGGGATGTCCTCCCCACGCCGGTGGTGGTCTCGGTCTGAACCGTATTGTTATGTTCTTCCTTGGCCTGCCCAACGTTCGCTTGGCATCGCTGTTCCCTCGTGATCCCCAGCGTCTGCGTCCTTAGAGGATTGCTTGTGTAGATAAGAGACGAAAAGAAATGCATTTATTGGGACGGTTCTTTTGAGATTAGCGATTCTAGTGTGCCCGGTCATTGTAAATTCAACAGTAGATTAAAATCTGCCTTGGATGAGACGTTTTGCATGGATAAGATAATCTAGCCCAAAACAATGGTCCATGTTCGTTAGCATGTGGAGGTACAGGTGCATGACGGCCCCACTTACGACATCTAATGGAGATCAGATTTAAGCTTTCGACCGCAATGTTTAATTGGTTCATTGGCGCTTACATAATATCGCATGAGAAAGTATTTTGCTGCCATGTAATGGATTGTAATATTATCGTAGGCATATGTCCAGATAGCTACTGATTCACACCGGTTCTGGAATTTGAGGTTGATTAATAAGTGACATCCACTGGTCTACCTTTAACATAAGTTTGAAATATCAGTATATATCCCAGCTCGAATGAAGCTTTATCCTGCAAGTTGGCTTGCATAAAGCGAGCTCATATGCTATTTTCTATCAAGAAGATCAGATATAACACTTTTGTCTGAAACACAATTCCCGCGCTATGCTAATGTGTTGTCTGTAGCGGGTTGGTGAGATGAGGCTACTAGATAGATAAAGATAATGCGATAAGCCGATAAGAAATCGATAAGCATCGGAGCTTCGCGACTTTTCCTCCTACACACCGCAATGCCGGACAAGCGAAAAGCAGCGATGGCAGCCCCCTCGTCCAAACGGGCTCGCATATCATATGATGATGAAGGTGGCGAAAAGTCTTCTGTGACCCCTTACGAGAAACCTTACAGCCATCCAATCTACGGCCAGAAAAACGCGTTCCCAGGTCTAGACAATGTCAGCGAAGAGCTTTGCTACGACGATGCAGAAGATGATGGGCTAGGATATCTACGCATGGTCCGGTATGTTTCAATTCTCTTGGTCGCTTCTTGCCTGCTAAATATCATCAAATGCACCCCAGTCCTCTACCCCTTATATGCTCTATACAAAACATAACCTGACAATGCTGGTGAGCTTCTAGATCCGAGGCGAGCGCGCTACCTTCAGTCTTTGTCGCAAAGACCCCAAAGACAGATGATACACAGCCGATCAGAAACTCGATTGCACCCGACACCAAACCATCCTCAGCCTCTTTTCCTCATGGATTCTTCGATCGCGAGCATGCTTATGTAGCTCCGCCCGAGAACAAAACCACGCCCTCAACCCCTCCAAGCACATATCCTGAAGCTCAAGCTTGCTACTACAACCTTCTCCGACATCGTTTTCTGCTTCTTCGATCTACTCTGAAGTGTTCGCCCCCAGCTAGCGTAATCGCCGGCCTCGATGACAATCACCCAATTACCCTTCCCCGCGGCGTCGAAGCCGCACGCAAGGAATGGAGACGGCTAGTCATGGCTGTGGAGCCGCAGATGGCTCAGCTGGCCTGTATGGACCAGACAAGTGTACTCGGGGTATTGCAAGTGATGGCACGACTGATATCTGAAATCTTGCGGGGTGGGGACGCCGAGAAGATTCGACGCATCGGTGCCTGGGCCTGGGGCTTGCTGGGCAAGTGTCGAGAGATTGGAGAATTGTCCACGGAAGAGGTAGGAGACATCCGCGATATTGGGAAACGGGCAGCGAAGATCTTAGAGAAAATCCGAGAGGCGGAGGAGAATCCACATATGGAAGGCGAGGAAATGCCAGATTCGGATTCTGGAGAAGACATACAGCCAGAACTTTTGGTTCCAGAGAAAGAACCAGAGGACAAAACGCAGCCGGAGCCCGTAAACGACGCCGATGTGGATATGTCTGATGCAATTGACACCGAGCTGGAGGCAGCCAAGGCACGGTTACAGGCCAAGGTACAAGGAAGTGCGGAGGATGAGCCCGCCAGTGCAGACCAAGATTGCGTGGCTAAACAGACTCGCGCCCTGCTCGACATGATCATCACAGTGACTGGCGAGTTCTTTGGCCAACGGGACCTGTTAGACTCACGAGAGGTCTGGGGTTCATCTGTATGAATAGTTCGATTTGAGAGGAAAATGATACCCCTAATTTTGGCAATTTTGCTTTAATCATGATCTTCTGGCAACTACCGCGATTTCATACGGCGTTAGTCCGATATCTGGAAATTCCAGCTTCGAGAATGTAGATTGGCGAAAACAAGGCTCATAGTCAGGCCAATCGACCCGCGGTCCAAGCCAGAGGATCAATTCTACAGCGTTATCACCATATGTGGCAAGATACCTTGTGATCAGCTTCGGATCGCGTGGGTACACAAACATCCATGCTGCAGCCTGCTGGGCAAAGGGATATAGACCCCATGCGCCGCTGACCACGTGCATATCTTCTTCGGGGATATACCGGTTGACAGTCGAGCTCACCTCCACGCCCTGTACAGATACATTTTCATTGCTACGAGCAAGTAGATACTCGAGCAGTCCAGACCCACTGCCGATCGAGAGCGTAAAGGCGGGCTTCTTGGGGAGCAGTGCAACAATAGAGTTGATGAAGGTGCTGGAAATGGCCAAGCAGCAATCGGGAAATCTTGTAGGTGACGATGACAGCTGATTGACAGTAGACATGTCCATGATGTTTGCGATATTCACAAGCTCGACAGAGGAAGTGGTGTTCAATGTTCAAAAAAACAAAACAATTTTGATGTGGGACTAAGACCGATTCGGGTTGCGTCATGCGGGTAACTCTCCCTCTTATCTCTCTACAGCTTCTCCAACTTCCATCCTAATTACAACTAACGCTATGGCGCCGACTGTAGAGATTGCTATACCCACAACCTCTCTATCCCCAACTTCTCCCCCACACACCGTCTACCACATAACTCTCCGTCTCCCGCTCCGCTCCTTTACCGTCTCCAAGCGTTACTCCGACTTCGCATCATTTCACAAGACCCTCATCAACCAGACCAATGCCGAACCCCCAGTTCCACTCCCAGCAAAATCGTGGTTCTCAAAGACCACCTCCAACGACAGCTTCCGCGAAGAGCGCCGCATCGGCCTAGAAGATTATCTCCGAGCGATCAACGAGTCCCCGGACGGACGTTGGCGCACTTCACCAGCGTGGCGAGCATTCCTCAACCTGCCATCAGCAGCCGCCTCCGCATCAACTAGCGCAGCCAGCTCCTCAACAAGACTGCACGCCGCAATCACAGACCCTGGCAATGCATCCAACGCCCCAATCACAGACCCCACCCTCTGGCTCGACTACTTCCGTGATCTGAAGGCCCACCTCCACGATGCCCGACTAGCACTCTCCCGCCGAGACCAAGAGACAACACCGCAGAAACAGCATGAGAGCTCAGCACAGGCAAAAAGCAGTCTTGTCCGTGCAGGCTCTATGATCTCCACCCTCGAAGAAGGTCTCAAAAACCTCAGCGGCCGCGGTACGCAATCGAAGAACTCCTCTACAACTAGTCTCGGCGATGGCGAGCTCCGTCGTCGAAAGGACCTGCTTATCAACGCCCGTAAGGAGAAAGAGGGGTTGGAAGATCTTTCGCATGCTATGGCGACCAAAAGCAAACTTGACCATGCGGTTGCCTCGATCCAGGATAAAGAAGCGCTCATGAATGTGGGTAATGGAGACTTTGGAATTAATAACGGGCGACGAACGCCTGCGAAATCCGGACGGGTCCTTGGCAAGGAGACTGAGCGCACGCGCGAGTTAGATAATGAGGGTGTGCTACAGTTGCAAAAGCAGATGATGCAGCACCAAGATGCTAGCGTTGAGGAGTTGATGAAGATTGTTATTCGGCAGAGAGAGCTTGGGACGGCCATTCACGAGGAGTTGAATGTGCAGAACGAATTGTTGAAGTTGGCTGATGAGGATACTGATCGGTTCGTCTCTCTCTTCCCTAGCCTGGAGTTTTGTGTGGTATTTACTAACTTATTGCAGTCTGAAATCCAAGCTCGACATTGGAAAGAAGCGGATTGGCAAGATCTCCTAAGCAGAAGATTGACAGCATATTTATTTCTTGTTATCTGACGATTTATGCCATATACATACTGGGCATGTTGAATCACGTTCTCCATGAGCGTTCATTTGGTGCATACTGCGTCCTTCTATTCTTGATTCCCAGCACGGGCGGTTATTTTAATTTTTCGGACAGACACTTGGTTGTTTATTATTTCTGTACGATCATTTCAAATAAGTATATTGACTACTCTTCACGAAACTATCGTAGTAGACAAACAGCTATGATGCAGTAATCTCGCTCATGTAGCAGATTCGTGGTAACAGCAAATTGACACGGATCACAGGTGGTATCTAAGTTAGGCAGCAGACAAGAACTATAGAAAGTCAGCATATTATCCAAAATTCTCAAGGATCAACTCACCTCATTCGCTTCATCCTCCGTGACTTCAGACCTCTCTGACACACTCTGATCAATAAGCCCCAATTTACTCTTCCGAAGAAGCCACCACAGTTCTTTTCGATCCCCACCAAGCTCATCGGCAAGAATCTTCTTCTTCAGACCCCGTAGAAGCTCATTGTAAGCCGCCGGCTCTTCATATTCGATCAGCTCCTCACGAATAGTTCCCAGTCCCTCGATAACCCGATCGTAATTAGCATCGCCAAGACTATGCTTGATCTGATTTTCGATAATAGTGCCCATCTGCTCTACAGCATCAAGAATAGCCTCGACGTTATCGGCACGCGAAAGCAGCTGCTTAAATTCAGGTATGGCGTTTTCTGAGGAGATCTTGGCGCGTTTAGGTTCCAGGTTGAGGAGAGCATCGACATCGAGACCGGAGAGGGGTTTCTCTGTTTCGCGGTTGCGTTTGCGGCCTTTTGTTTTGGGTGGGACTAGATAGGTTGATTGGGTCAGTTATTCTTTGTGGCGATGTGCTTGCGGAGTTGAACTAACCTTTCTTGACATCTGCTGCGGAGATGAGTTTCTCTAATTGCTTCTTGGACTTGTTCACTAAGCCCTCATCAGGACGAGAGAATCTAGTAAGTTGCTCTGATACTTCGCGGACAGGGTCATCGGGATGCACAGCGCGCCATCGCACCGCGGCTTCAATGCGATGCAGCTGTGGAGAGAAAGAGTGCTCAATCGGGAGCCCTTCGATTAGATCTCTGAGTTGAAATTGGTTAGCAATGTCTTCAATATAAAATGAGACAATTCGACTTACCCGTCGTCATCCTTCAAGTCTAGCTCCATACTGTCTACATACTCATCCATTGCCTGCTGTAAGCTGGTGCTTGGCAGGTTGCGGTGCTCAGTGACAATCTTCCCGGACACGGTGACGACCTTGTCCAAGGGCGGGAATCGATATGATCGCACATCTTCTGCGAATGGAAGCTGAACTTCCAAAAGGCACTCATAATCTGATTCGATTGACGGGGCGAGAAGTACGAGCATGGGTGGCTTGGCCTCCTTGGTAACTAGTCGAGCAACGGCATAGCTATCTGATTCCCAAAGTGCATGGATAAGCGATGATAACGCAAGAGTGGCTTTATCGTGAGCTTTCTGTGGGATGATCACATTGACGTTGGAGATGTGCAGGTACCGATCGTACTACATGGCAATGTTAGCGTTCACATCTAGAGATCAGTCTATCAAGGAAAATACCTTGTCATCTGCGACGAAACCAATAATCTCTAGACCCGCAAAGGTTTCCAATGTTGTAATATTCTCGTCTGTCTGGCTGATATGCACAGCCGTGCGTCCATACTCATATCCCTTAGCAAGGTCATCGCGCTCCACATCGGCCTTCCCACCGGGGACAGATTCGTCATCAATCTGATATGTTCGGGAAGTTCGGACGGTGGTTAATGCATCTTTTTTGGTATCCCGTACTAGAGATTTTAGCTGATCCGCTTTGGTAGTAGCGGGCCCTGATTCTCCTTGTCCTGGCTCATCGCCATATCGCAGGGCGAAAGAGCTGGACGTTGGAGGTTTGGCACTGTAAGTTCTGAAATATCGTTCGACAGGGATGCGGAGCGCCGTTTCATAGTTCTCTGCATCGCCAAGCGAAAGGAAACCTTTGAATGATGGCATACTTCTTGTCTCTTTTGGACGAGGGATGTCTAATTGGGAGACAGCTTGGTCAAGGGTGCCGAAGGCGCCATTTGGACAGTCTTCGACAAAATCCCGAAGCAGTTTTTCATTCGCAGCCTGCGGTTGGGATAAGCGCACGAAGCCAGTGAGGTGCATGTAGTTCTTTTTACCTTGCGCTCGCCCTTATCTTCTTCTTTCACCCCCCAATCCGCATCATCAAAGTCAGGGCCACTGAAGGTATTAGCAAAAGTCCAGCGAGGCAAAATACTTCAACGTACAGGACAGTCAACTTGATATTATCCTCTTTGATCTTATCCTTGATTGGCTCCAGGTCCTCACTGTTGATTAAACCCGTACCATTCGTCACGAGCACGATTTCCCGTTTGTACTTAAGCTTCTTGCAATAAGTGCTGATCATTTGGATGGCAATCACAATGGAAGAGAGAGCTTGCGATATGTCAATCTTAAGCTTTCATAACTGTAGGAGGCTCTTTACATACCATCGCCCTTGTAGGTACGACTGGGCTTGATTGCATCTCGCAGTTTTCGAATGTCAGGCATGAGAACCCTAAAATAGTTGACATTAGTTAGTCGCCTAAAGCCTCCATGATGGAAACATACTGTCCAATCTCAAAAAGAACGGAAATGTTTTCGAAACTATCGTCCTCCTGGAGATCGTTTCTAGTCTCTGTAAATGAAATAGATTAGACCGAGGCAAGAAAGCTGTCGATTGAATCATTACCATCGGACCGCAGGGCAACCACTCCTACCGTGGCAGTCTTGCGACCTGTAGAGACCTGGCAACAGTGGTCAGCTTTGATCTTTTCCTAAATGAATGGTCACATACGGTGGTGGTGATGCGATCCCAAACATATTGCATAGCCCAGTCAAGATCGGTAACGGAGCGGCCATTTCGACACTCCCCCATTGACCTCCCCACATCAACAATATAAACGGTAGCTTCCTTGTCTGCCATTATGAAGATGTGTTTGGAATCAAGTTCGCGTGGGGGATTCTGCGAGGCAGAAGTCCAGCAAGTAGAACAGGCAGACGCGTGATATTGCCTTTTCGGTCTAGCGCAAACGCGCGCACATGACATCATCCGGTCCCGTGGCTGTAACATAAAGTGCGTGTATATCATACTTTCCACAATTTTAGTGCGTGGAAATAATTCATACACGAATCTTATCGCGTGGTAATATGCATCGTACCACCCAGCTTCTCCACGCGTCCCTCACGTTCAAACTGGGACCTAAATCTTGTAGTAAAGCTTCATCCATCTCTATTCTCCCGGAACAGATACCATCATGAATGACCCTCGTCCATACCATGTCCTCGGGTACGTCTACCCCTCAGCTATGACAGAATATGCAAAGATGCATTATCCAGTTGGAAAAATAGACTAACATGTTATGAGCAGCTACGGCACCCTTTTGGGTACCCAATTCTTCCAGGTGAGCCGAATTTCAACTTAATAACAAACTCGCACCCGATGCAAGCTATTCAATCTGCTAACTCCGTCCCAGTCCTTCGTTGGTGGAGTGGTCGCATTCCGCGCCTTGCCGCGCCCCCAATTTGCCAGTTTGCAATCCGCCATCTTCCCCGTGTACTTTTCACTACAGACTGCGCTCCCAGTAGCTGTAGCTTTGACCGCCAGCGCTGGTGGTAGTGCCCTAGGTCTTTCTGGCCTCATGGCCCCTGAAAACCGCTATAACACTACGCTGCCCCTGGCCGCTGTTGCCATCGCTGGCCTGGTTAACAACGTTGTTCTGCGTCCGCTTACTATCAAGACTATGCGTGAGCGTAAGCACCAGGGTATGTACTCATGTTTTTGCTCATAACAGTACTTTTCTGACTTGTGCAGAAACTCGCGACGGAAAGAAGAGCTATGACCCTGCTCCTCACTCCAAGGAGATGCTGGCTTTGAACAAGAAGTTTGGTCGTGTGCATGGCATTTCTAGTCTGATTAACATGGCTGCTTTCCTTGCCACGATCTACTATGGTGTCGTTCTGAGCAAGAGACTTGAGTAGGGAACTGCTACAAATCTACCTGGAACCATGGGGAGTATATATCGTTTCGATTATTTCTGATTAGCATTTTCATCTAGTGTATATTTGAAACCACGCATATGTCCTCACTTAAGTAGTCTTCCGTACTCTGGACTTCCAAAAGGTTTTTGTCACGACCCAGATTCCTTGCACCTCATTGAGCTTCACCTATGTCCACGAAGGGTCGCGGAGGAAGGTCACTCTACGGAAGGCGGAATGTTCTACGAATACAGCCATATCACATTTGACGTCTGTCAGATTACTTTCCCGAAAACCCTGAATGAGATCCTTGCAGAAGGTACAGGGATACTGGGGGCTGCAGTTCAAAGTCCAGCCATTGTTTGGCAAGCAAGCAGTTCCTAACTAAAGTGTCTATTTGGAGAGATGGAGAAATGCCAGGGAGAAGGCTTAAGAATTTGAATTTCGGATAGAGGTTAGTCGCCAAGGATAACTGATTATAGTGGAAAACGTAATCTTGCTATGCTATCGAGTCACATGTTCAAGAGCACGTTGGAGTATAATCTACCTGTAACTAATCTAGGAATACAGTACTGTTGGTCTTTCTTTGGGATTCGAAGAGTATCACACATGCAAGGACCTCCAAATCAAAAGGGTAAAATGGAGCGCTCGATCAGCTCTTGGCATGAGAATCCCAGTCCGTGCATCGAATCAGATACGCGGAGGCGAATATCATCGATGCCACAACCTCCATCCCTGCTTCCTGTCTCTTCTAGTCCGAAAGTCTATATTCCCGGCTTTGACGGAATTGCGGGGTCATATTAACCTCTGAGGGGCGACTCCGCAAATCAGCGGGAGGCGTCACGGCTTTTGTAGCCGTAAGCCACTAAAGCCCCAAACGGTCTAATCCACGGCGGCTCTCCACGGAATAAAGACTCCATACGTGTGCTTAGACAGTGAATTCCAGCCCGGTCGTAAGTGGCTTGATAATCCTTGGAGAGCAAAAGCAAGTTCCTGTTCGATCTGACTCAAGTTGCGGCCTCAGACAGACCCATTTAGATGTATATTTTCCCACAGCAACATGACGTAATATATCTTCTCGACCATCTTGATAGGTTGTCCCAGCGTTGATCGTTTCCTGGGTCCTTCGTATTGCTTCGAGTGCTTAACTCTGACTGGCACGGTGTGACTGGGATTATTTGGGCAAAAAATGAGATACAACGCTACCCACTCAATTTCCGATGTTATTGGCTTTCGTCCGCGTGGTGGTCCACTCTATTAGGCCCACCCCCATGGGGATACTCCGCATTGGGGCGTACCCGATGACAAGGGGCACGTCCTCACTCTAGTTCCCATGAATTCTCGGTTCATTCGGCTGGGGCTGACTGGATCGATGACCCGGATGAAAAGAAAGAGATTGGTACTTTAAGCCTTACTGGGTAAAGGCGCGGTCCATGGATTCACTAGCATTTGACGCAAGTATTTTCCCATTTGCGGCCCATGCCGCACCCAATACTATAGAGGGAAAGTAAGATAGATGAATATTGACTGGGGTAAGCTCTGTCTAAGATGTCAGCACTTGTCCGAGCGCAGGAATCATGAGCAGGAAATAAAAGGCGTGCTTCCCCACAGCCCACTTTTCTTTCTTATGTATGACCGTTTCCCACATTCCAGACTTTTTGGGATATCGTTAGCTTCATTTCCAGGCTGTGTGAAGCCATTCTAGATCATTGGTTTGCCAAAACTCACCTAATATGAAGGAGGACGAGATTTTGAACTCCTCGCCGGGGCTTAGTGACAAGATCGAGGACCCTCCTTTCTATGAACACAAGGAGAAGAGAGATAGTGCACTTCAGGACCCACTCAACGACCTCGAAGGCCGTGGGCCCAATAACCTCAATGCCGTCTTCCAAAACCCCTTGGCTGGCATCCCTCGAGAGCAGTTGTTCAAGAACGTCCATGAATTTTGCAGCAAATTCGATCTCCTAGAAGACCTCGAAACCTTTAAGAAAGGCGCTCTCGTCTCGCAAAATCCCGAGACAGCAACACAATTGCCTGACCTCAATGAGTTTGAAAGGGAAGCACTTATTCGAGAACATACGCACAAATGGCATCAACCATGGCAGCTATACTGGCTTGCGAGTAGGTATTCAGTGAAAAACATTAATGAAAGTCAACTGACCATGTCCTAGTTATGTGTTCACTAGCTGCTGCTGTACAGGGAATGGATGAAACAGTCAACAATGGCGCACAAGCTTTTTACCTCAAGGTAATTGAAAGCATCCACCCATGCTGCTGAGATTGGGAAGCTGACATTTAATTAGCGATTTGGAATAGAGAACAGCGATAATCTTACGGGCCTTGTTGTTGGAGCCCCATACCTAGCTTGTGCTATCCTTGGCTGCTGGCTTACCGAGCCCCTCAACCGATACTTCGCCCGTCGCGGTACCATCTTCATTTCCTGCCTCATTGCAGCTATTGCCTCCATCTGGGAAGGCGTCGCGAACTCATGGGTAAACCTGTTTATTGCACGGTTTGTTCTTGGGCTAGGAATTGGCTCGAAATCGACAACAGTTCCCATCTATGCAGCTGAATGTTCGCCCGCGCCCATCCGGGGTGCCTTGGTTATGATGTGGCAGATGTGGACAGCATTCGGTATCATGCTGGGCAACATCATGGGAGTGGCATTCATGAGCGTTGGAAATGACCTCAACTGGCGTCTGATGCTTGGATCTACTGTTGTTCTTCCTTTGATTGTGTGTGCTCAGGTCTACGTGTGTCCTGAGTCCCCCAGATGGCTCATTCAGCAGAACAAGATCCACAAGGCCTATGTCAACTTCAAGATTCTTCGTCCTACAGAGTTGCAGGCTGCAAGAGACTTGTACTACGCCTATGTGGGTGTGGAGTTGGAGCGTGAGATAAACAAGGGCAAGAACTTCTTCTCCATGTTCTTGGAGCTTTTCACAGTCCCGCGGAACCGCCGTGCTACGTTGGCAAGCTGGATTGTCATGTTCATGCAACAGTTCTGCGGTGTGAACGTGATTGCTTACTATTCCACCACCATCTTCGTGGATTCAGGCTACAGTACCTCATCTGCACTGCTTGCATCTATGGGAACTGGTATTCTCAACTGGGTCTTTGCTCTTCCAGCCGTGTTTACTATCGATACCTGGGGCCGTCGCAACCTTCTGCTCTTTACATTCCCCTTCCTAGCCATCTTCCTCTTCTGGGCAGGCTTCTCTTTTTGGATCGATGCCAATGATGGCCACAAACGAATTGCTATGGTGACCACGGGCATGTATTTGTTCGAGGTGTTTTATTCACCAGGTGAAGGACCTGTTCCGTTTACCTACTCCGCTGAGGCATTCCCTTTACATGTACGAGAAGTGGGCATGTCATGGGCTACCGCTACAACTTGGTGCTTTAACTTTATTTTGTCTTTTACCTGGCCACATCTGTTGACCTCGTTCAAGCCTCAAGGAGCCTTCGGATGGTATGCTGGGTGGTGTATTGTTGGGTGGTTCCTAGTTCTGCTTTTTGTCCCGGAAACCAAAGGTGAGACTCCAGTGCTTCTCTCGGCTTATGGGTATCTACTAATGTATTCTTGCTCAGCTCTCACTTTGGAAGAATTGGATCAGGTTTTCTCCGTGTCTACAAGGAAGCATGCTGCGTACCAGATTAGGAACACTATCTGGCATTTCCGGGTGTGGATTCTTCGCCAGAAATTGGAGCCTCTGCCCAAGTTTTACCAGGGCGCTGAGCATCTTGCCGAAGTTGGTGACGCGGCATCTAAGTAGGCAACTGTTTGATTTATTTAATATCTTTGAAGGTCCCGTGGTATTGCTGCAAATTGATGGTGTCTGACAACTAGGGTGTCAAGTATTTAACTTCACTGCGAACGAAGCTTATGATTCTATTATAATGAACTATGTAATACATTACTTGCTCTCTCACGTTTCCTATTTTGCTGGATTTGCCGTTCCAACACTTGGAAGCAGCTCCGCTGAATGCTAGGCGCTTGACCCGAATGGATCCGGAAGAACTGCGGCGCCGAGGCCTAATCCGCTCTAGCGCAAAAACGGAAATTCTCAATAAGTTCGACCCGCGCCAATTTCCCCTTCTTCTGCTTCTCTTTCCTCTCCATCTACAGTTTACATTACGATGTAAATCCATTGGGACTCCACTTTGTGGCTTGCTGAGGGTTACTCGAATGGCTTCGTCCTTCATGGGTTTCTTTCCGTTCCCGGTCCTGGAGAGTAAAGTCGCTTCTCTTTCCTAGACACTCTCTATGCTAGCGCTGCCCTCCGCGGGAAGCCTTAGGGTGTTGGTTGGTGAGAGGGCGTTACAAATCTTACTATTTAATTCGATATCTTATGTGTATCATGAAATTCAATCACCTCTTCGAAAGAAAATCACGTATCCTATCTCAGGAAGAAAGTCACCGAATAGGCCCGCTAGATATGAAAGACTCGTTCCAAGGCTAGCCTAGGTCTATCTAGGCTAGTCGCGGAGGTGTCGTACCCTCTCGGGAGGAAGAATATAGTGTAACTCCTAAGTACTGATTGGGGCAACTGCCGTCAGTTGATACACAGGCACGTCTTGTCTCACTATCACTGCAGGAGCGGACAACAACTAGAGAACGTCTAAGACACTTCATTAACTACCAATAAATTCGTAAAACGGCTATCAACAAGCCGGAAGGAAAGACTCAACTACATTTCATACGAAATTGAACTATTTAAAGAGTTTGCTTATAACTACCTCCGGGACTAGCGTAGGTTAGTAGCCCTCTACAGTATCCGTTTCAAATTGTATAGCTTCGTCACATACATTGCTTTGTTTACTATTTGCAAAACTTGCACAATGGGTTCAGCATAGTCCCGACAAACACGGTTGAGTACAGATGAGGACGACCATCTATACCTCCCAAGGTAGCTTAGACAATCGAAGTTTCATGTTTGCCTAGTGGCCTCATGACTCTTTGTTTGTATACGATATAATTATTCCTTTCTACCAACTCATAACTGCAACTTCTCAATCTTCCAGCTTCCAACCTTGTTGTTTCAACTTTATTTATCTTTTATCTCTGCGAAACCATCACTATGAACTGGACAGTCCCTATCCTCGTATTTCTGACAACCAATCTCTGGGGCCTCTACGGGGGATCCCCTATACAACAGTCCAACCATCCCGCTCTATTCTAGATCGCACCATTGGCTCTTTCCAAGTGGCTAGTACTGTGTTCACTCTGGGCCAGACAAAGGAACACTTGATGAACAACACGTCAGGAAATGAAACCGGAAACGGAAACGGAAACAACGTGCGTCCCACTATACCTGTCTCACAGCTCACCCAGGTCCTGCGGTACTATTCAGAATCGTCTACCAATGACATGAGTTATACCAACAGCAACACGGTTGACCTTCCCATCAATCAGCTAAGCAATCTTTCGTCGGTACAGATATCGATTCCAAACGTCCAACCCCCCAACGACACTCCTGTCCCTCCTCTCAGCTCAACAAACGAAAGAGACTTGATCGCATTTGTACTCATATTCTTTGGCATTGCTGTCTTGCAAACAGTAATTCTTGCCGAAATCAGTCGACCTCAGCAAGACCTACAGCTTGAAATGAGTCACAATATCGTCGAAGGCCGGCGAGAATTTCACGAATTTCTGACGTCTACATTCCCGAATATATTCCAAGCGGTCCTGGGAGTTCCCCAAGAAGTCCAACAAGGCGCCCGGGAAGAACTCCAATATATACACCGAAGCATTCAAAACCTCCAAGACCTCCCACAAGATTTCGTCCAGCTCTCTTTCGACCTCCGCGAAGCCATCCAAGCGCAATTTACCGAAATGTTCGGAACTGTGGAAAAAGGCCTACAGAGAGGATTTGACCAGGTCACGGATGACCTCAATAAATACCAGGCCGAATTCAGACAGACCTGGGCACAGGATGGAGTCCCGCCTCTGTCGCGTGCAAACACCCCCGAAGCGGGCGACCAAGATATATTCTGGAGGGAAACCTGGACGGAGATGAAAGATGATTTCAAACGGACAGTAGAAGGTTTCAATAGAAACCTACTCATGCTGAATGTGGTTATCGATGCTTTCCATGACCAGTTCCAGAGGCTTCCGACTATGATGGCTGATGAACTGACGAGGGCATTCAAGGCGGAGATCAAAAAGTATGAGATTGATATCAAGATTGAAAATGCGAATTCAAGTGCAGCTGTTGATACTGATCGATTGGCCTCCCTGGCGTCGAATTCGCGGACGAACGGGACCGAGATGGATCTTCAAGAGAGTCCAGAGAATCCAATCGTTTCGGGTCATCGTGTGCAAGAAGTCGAGACGGGGCCGGAGGGAAGTCCTGAGCTGCCGAGATCTGAACCACAGGGTCTTCCTTCGGACGAACCGGAGTTTGAGCATTCGGAATTTGTACTGTCAAATGCAGTAGATGCAGGTTTGCAAGTCGATGGAGCGGAGTAGACAAGTCGAAGTTGGAGCCAGGTTCAAGTCACATTGGTATTGGTTTGGAGGGATGTTCAAAATATTTGAAGTGTGGTGGTTGAGCTGGGCATGTTCAATTTTTGCTTTTATTACTGTCTTTGAAAAGAACGTCGACATATTGGAAACTTGGAAAACTGAGGGGTATCTTTATTATTGTTTTAGGTATTCCTAACATATAGCTAGAATTAAAGACATGAGCGAGTCTATGAGACTGAGAAACCAATGGTTATAAAGCGGCTTAGTCGACGAGATATTTCCGACAAGCAGCCTTCAACATCTCAATGCGTCTCTGGGTATGAATAAAGACCTCCCGGTACATATCAAGACTCTGCTGTACGACTTCCGATTTGGTCTTTGTGCCTGCACAGACCTCAAGCATTCGCAACTCCATTTCCTTCCGTAGAAATGGCTTGCTAAGCGAGATACTGTTCGGAAGGCCTGCAACAACATTATCGTACCCCTCAACCAGGGCGACGCCCAGGCGAGTCGGAATGAGCTCTTCAACCGAGGTACGACCACTTCCTCGCTTGTTCACTACGACGTATTCACGTTCTTTGACCTTGGCAATATGCTCTGCCATTGTTGCATCGGTACCAATGCCATTTGCATCCATCAACCCGATGAGCTCTGGTTCTGTCAAGTAGTTTGGCGCTGTGGTTTTGCCTTCGAAAATGTTCGCTTCGGTGGGCACAAATCTTTCTCCGTACTCAAATTTGGGTAGCTGTTGACTGCTCTCCCATTTATCATAGACGTAAACATCGAGATAGTTCCTTTCCAGAACAAGCAGACCATTGGCGTGGAAGGATTCATCTCCATACATGATCTCAATATCTGTGCTTTGACCTTTTGCGTCGTCGGAACAACAAGCGAGGAACCGCCGGGTCACAAACTCATACACTTTTTTCTCGTTGGCATTGAGCGAGCTCGATGAGACCCAGCTTACTGGATGGATAGGGGGATGAGCCTTGTCGTTATGACGACCGGACCGGGGCGTTCTGAATTTCCCATCGATGAGGCTGGAAACATTGTTAGCTGTGTTTTAGAAGGGCATCTGTGAGAGGAAGCATACTCTCGAGCATATTGACCCCATTCGGTATCCGGGAACTGCTTTTCAACTAATTTCTTCAGGTCAATGGCCTTGTCAAACTGGTCAGTTTCCGTTCTTGGATAGCTGATGAATCCCTTGGTATAGAGGCTCTCGGCCACTTTCATGATCGTTTGACTGTCAATGCGAAGGTATCGACTGCCCATCATTTGAAGGTCCACGGTTGTCAAGGGCAAAGGCCGCCACTTGCTTTTGGGCTTCTGGGCCACTTTTGTGACCTTGGCCTCCTTTGCGGCCAAACAGCGCTCTAACATCATCGTCACAACTGCTCGATCGAAGAGATGAACACGTTTCCAGAGGAAATTGACTTTCTTGCCTTCACGTTGGAGCATGACTTTGATGCCCCAGAAGGTCTCGGGTTTGAAGTTCTGTACCCGTAGATACCGATCGACTACGAACCCCAATGTAGGAAATTGACACGAACCTGTAACATATGAGACACCACACCATTAAAGAAGTAGGAATGGACAAACCGTAGCTGATGACTTTCTCTTTCAAAACTGACGCTACAGCTTGAAGTTGAAGGGTCTGTAACCGAGTGAACGCCGCTCCAATACGGAGATCAAGCTCGATTCTCGCTGACACGGCATTGGCTTGATATTCATCAAGATCTACTGGCTCCCGAGCAGCACGGAGAACGTGACTTTCAATTTGTTAGATCAATGTGTATCAATCTTCGAATGGCACTTACGCTCTCTCTGTATTGCTGAACTTGGCTCGCTTGACCTCGATGCGTGCGTTTCCACTTTTGGCTTGATTGCGGACTTCGCTACCGATGTGCTCTCCTTCACGATCACAATCGGTCCAGATGAATAGGGCTTTGCTGTATCTGGCTTGGTTTCGAATATTTTCTGCAATTGGCAGCTTGTCCTACAATGAACAGTTAATGAATAGAAGCCCGGTGGAAAGCGATGCTCTCTAAACCTTATCAACATCCTCATTGACTGGAGCTTCAAATAATACAGAGGGCGGGCATGACTGCCAGCCCTTGTACTGTCGTTCAAAATCCAAGCCCGTGAGGTGGCCAATCACACTGGTCATGGTGACGGAGCAGTGTCCCCAGGGGTCACCAAAATTAAAATCAAACTCATAGTTCTTGACATATTGATTGCCGCGGATTGCGTGCTGCATCATGTTATCAGTCGATGATCTTGTTTATCCTATGGAAACACTTACAGTCTGAAAAGACCCTCCGGACATATGCGTGGCCACTGCACGCGCAATGGCCGGCTTCTCCGCCACACACAAAATCTTGCGCGCCATGACGCACCATACACGGTCAGACGAGATCGTCCATGGGAAGTCGGGGTGGCATATCTTCTGGACGGAAGATGTAAATTGCTTTGGGACGCGAGGAGTTAATGCCTGAGGCTAACGCGCTGGTGATCGTCGCCTGAGGCAACGGCAGCTATACCCGATGAGGTAATCTAAACATTAACGTTTCGATTCCTCTCTATTCTTTTTCCCCCCGAAAACAATTTTGTTCAACAGTGTTGTTGTATTATACTTAGAGAATGTCGGATCTTCCTCTCCCTAAGGTTGAGTCCCTGGCGGACTGCGCCTCTTTCCACTTAACTGTGCTCCCCTACCTGACGCAGCTGCAATGGCTCCCCGCCAGCTTGCGCGAGGCGGGCCGGGATCTGGAGAGCTTGAAGGCTATCTACCTCGCCACCAACCCCTTGGTTTCTGCGCTTGCATTAGGCACAGTCCTTGCTCACGTTTTCTTCATCGCGGCCGAGATCAACCGCAACTACTCGCAGGTGGATCGCTTTTGGAGTATCCTGCCCGCTGTGTATAATGTCCACTTTGCCATTTGGGCGCGTCTGTCCGGCATTCGTACCGAGACTTTGGATACTATCGCTGTTATCAGCGTCTTGTGGAGTGTATGTGCACACCATCGCCAAGACTCCCTATTCCCACATATCACTAATGACATATCATCATTAGGCTCGTTTGACCTACAACTATTGGCGCAAAGGTGGCTACACGATTGGCTCGGAGGATTACCGCTGGCAGATTGTGCGCTCGCAGGTTAACAACACCTTCCTCTTCACCATTTTCAACTTCGGATTCATCGCCTTGGCCCAGTCTTTGCTTCTCCTGCTCATCACCACCCCAACTTACGTCTTTATCGTCGCGGCCAACAGCCAAGCAGGTGAGGCCTTCGGTCTTGCCGACCTCGCCTTCTCTCGCGCCGCCATCTTCTTCATTGCCATATCCTTCTTCGCCGACCAACAGCAGTGGAACTTCCAGACTGCCAAGCACGAATACCTCACCAATGCGCGCATCCCGGAGCCCTTCAAGGACCAGTACACCCCTGAGGACTTGGAGCGTGGTTTCGTTGTCAGCGGACTCTGGTCGTGGTCGCGCCACCCCAACTTTGTCGCCGAGCAGGCTGTCTGGTTGACCATGTACCTTTGGTGCGCTGTCCGCACCGGTAACTACTTCCAGTGGACTGGACTTGGTGTCCTTGGCTACCTTGCTATCTTCCAGGGCAGCACACGTCTGACCGAGAAGATTAGTGCGGGCAAGTACCCTGAGTACAGCGAGTACCAGGCTCGCGTTGGCCGATTCTTCCCTCGCCTGTCTGTGGAGGCCAAGAAGACCGGGTCCAAGGGTAAGAAGGCTGCTCCGGTTGTAGCTGAGCAGGACACCGAGGACAAGAAGATCCAATAAACCGGGACATATAATTCATATATGGCAAGCTTTAAGAATTGCTATTGATCTCTTCCATACTAATGTGCACACGTGCACTTGTTTGTTTATTTATTTGCGTTTGCTTTGTCGAAAATCTATGATGAAAATCTTCCAACGTTTCTAACCTGGCTACTACGCAAATCCCAGCGTAAGATCCGAGTATTTCACGAATAGGTTTCTGACCCAGTGTCAAGCTTGTGTTTCACGTCTGCAGAAAAACTCACCATTAGCACAATCAATAAGCGAATACTGGAAGCGCGAGGTCTGTTGCGATATCGGGTCTAATGTGCTCTGAAATCAAAGGCCCGGGCATCAGGTAATATTTCTCGAAGTCGATACCAGGGATTTCAAGGGGTTCATGCTGACAGTAGCGATGACCGCCATTGCCTCAGCATCCCTGTCTGACATTTCGTAGGTAGAACTATAGATACTATGGGAAAATGCCGCAGCGGGTAAAACGGCAGCATTTGGGGTCAGATGATGAAATGCTTCTTGAAATACGAGAAACCCGTCGATCACACTAACTTTAGAGTTCAGAGTAACATCAATCGCGGGTTGACAATCCTGACTCCTCATATATTTAGTTATAATCAATAGCTGTAATAAGGTGAGCTCGAACAGTTCGCGTATCTAATTGTGGAAGATCTATACTAAACTCATTTAGACCAGTCATCCAAACAAACCACCAACATGCCGAATTCAAATTCAAAGCAAACCAAAGAAGTTCCATCCTGCTTCACAGATACTCACGGCATAATCACATCAACAATGAATGACCTACCAGGCTACAAAATCAAGAACGTCCTCGGCACCATCTACGGAATCACAGTCCGAACACGCAACTGGGGCGCTGATTTAGGGGCTGTAGTCCGATCAGCCGTGGGAGGGGAGATCCGCTTCTTCACGAACTTAATGTATACTTCTCGGGAGGAAGCAATGGAGAGATTGGTAGGGGAGTGCATGAGTCGAGGAGGGAATGCTATTATTGCGGTGAGATTTGATGTTGCGAGTTTTGGGGCTTGTTCGCAGATCTGTGCTTATGGGACTGCTTGTGTGGTTGAGAAGATTGAAGACTAGTCCATCGGGATTACTGGCTTGTTCTTTCTGGGATGAGAGACGACAACTGGATATTGGTCCGTGGATGTACCATATTTGACCTTTAGAGCTGGGTAGGAAGGACTGCATACAGTGCAGCAGCTTCAACAAAAATGAAAGCATATAATACATGGACTCTTAAGAGATCCAAGGCAAAAGGAGATCAATTTCTTTACATTTATTCGCGACATGGTAAGGTAAATGGAAGAGATTTATGAGATAGAGGAGGGATCGAAAGGGAGGACTGAGGGGGGAGTAAGGGTAACCAAAAGAAAAAAGAAAAAGATGCAAGTCCATAAATACAAAAAAAAATCAAAGGGACCGTGATATCACGCCCTACAGATTGACGAAACGGCCTTCCCAAAATGCAGTCCAATCGGTACAAAAAAAATCTTCTACTTCAGGCCATCAATCAAGGGATAGGAGTTTGGTCCCGACCATCCTTGCCCAGAGTCTCCTCAGGGTTCTGAGTAGGCTCAGGCGGAGCGAAGGTCGCACCGCCCTTACCATCGAAGTACTTAGCGAACTCGCTAGACTCGGGGTATGGACGAGGTCCAAGAAGGCGGATCATATCATCACGACCGAGGACCTCCTTAGACAGAAGCTCTTCAGCGACGATGCCAACTTCATGCTTCTTCTCAGTCAGAAGATCGTGACACTGCTTGTAAGCCTCGTCGATGATGCGGCGGACTTCGGTATCGATGTTGCGGGCTGTATCTTCGGAGAAAGGCTTCTGGAACTGCTGTCCTTGGTCTTCCTCGTAGTGGACAAAGCCAATCTTCTTCGACATACCGAACTTGGTCACCATAGCGGTGGCCATGCGGGTAACCTTGTTGAAGTCATCGCTGGCACCGCTAGTCACTGTGTCGAAGTGGAGCTCCTCGCTAACACGACCACCAAGGGTCATGGCCATGCGGTCCATGAGTTGGTTGGTGTTCATCAGGTAGGTATCGCCATTAGCCGGGAGGTACTGGGCGTAACCAAGAGCGCCTTGTCCACGGGGGATGATGGAGACCTTGAGCAGAGGGTCGGCCCACTGGAAGTACCAGCCACAGATGGCGTGGCCAGCTTCGTGGTAGGCAACAGTGCGCTTCTCCTGAGGAGACAGCACAAGGGATTTCTTCTCGAGACCGCCAACGACACGCTCGATGGCCTGTTCGAAGTGCTTCATAACAACCTTGTCCGCGTTTTCACGAGCAGCTATATATTACGTTAGCAAACGTTTCCAGCTAATAACAACACAAGGACTACAAATTCACTTACCAACGAGGGCTGCCTCGTTAACGCAGTTCGCAATATCAGCACCGGCAAAGCCAGGGGTAAGAGCAGCCAGGCGGCCTTCCAGGTACTCCATGTTCTCGTCGGTAACAATCTTCTTCAAGTGGACACGGAAGATCTGCTTGCGGCCATCCATTGTAGGACGGTCGATGTTAATGTGACGATCGAATCGACCAGGACGCATGAGAGCTTTATCAAGAACATCAGGTCGGTTGGTACCGGCCAAAACGACGACCTGCTCGGAAGTGTTGAAACCATCCATTTCGGTAAGAATCTGGTTCAGAGTGCTTTCACGCTCATCGTTGCCACCACCGAAGTTCTGCTTAGCTCGGGACTTTCCGATTGCATCGATTTCATCAATGAAAATAATGCAGGGAGTGTTCTTCCGGGCGTTGGCGAACAGGTCACGGACACGGGAGGGACCGACACCGACAAACATTTCGACGAACTCAGAACCACTGACACTGAAGAAAGGAACGCCAGATTCACCGGCGGTAGCCTTAGCAAGCAAAGTCTTACCAGTACCAGGGGGACCAGAGAGAATAGCACCACGAGGAATCTTAGCACCGAGTCTCTGGAACCGCTCAGGCTGCTGCAGGAAGCTGACGAATTCCATGATCTCGACCTTAGCCTCGTCCATACCGGCAACATCGGCGAACTTGATCTTGATGTCGGTCTCCTGATTGAACTTCTTTGCGCGGCTCTTGCCAATACCGAAAATACCGCTCTGACCACCAGCACCACCGCCAGCGCGACGAGAGAACCAGTAGATACCAGCGAACAAAAGCAACGTAGGAGCGAAGGTCATCAGAGCACTGCCCCAAGAGACCTCATCGACATAAGCAACGGGGATACGTTCATGAGTCGGGATACCAAGTTCGTACTGAGCCTGCTCCAACTTCATCTCGAAGCTGTCGACAGAACCAATGCTGAAGTATACAGGGCCGGGGTTTCCATTTGAATCGGGGTATGAAGCAGCCAAGGCATCACGGTTGGGGTCAACTCGGACTCGGCTGTGGTTGAGCACAGTCAACTTCTCAACAATGCCCTTTTCAAGGAAGTTGGAACGGAATTCCTGCCAGGTGATTTCACGACCACTGCTCTCACCAGGGAAGAAGCTGCGGTAGATGTAGTATGTGACGAGTGCGGTGACGGCGAAGGCGGCGGGATCGAATCGGAACTCAAACACCTTTCCAGCGGGAGGTTGTCCTGGTTTCTTCTTCTGTTGTTGTCCCTTCTCCTCCTTCTTTTCCTGATTAGGTTCTTCCTTGCCCTTCTCTGTCTCCGAGCCAGATTTCTTTTTCATCTCCTCAAGTTCCTTCTGGACCTCCTCGGGAGTTTTGTTCATCATACGAGCCATGTGCTCATTGGCTTCCTTGCCGGCTTCCTTGTTGGCTTGCTCATTGGTATACTTCAGCAAAAACCGAATCATCCGAAGGTAGTCCATCAACGAAGCATCGCGGTGTCTGTCAATGAAGGTTTTCACATCGTCCGGTAATCCATCCCGCATCAATTGTTTCCGCATCTCTTGAAGGGAGGCATGCTGTGATTCAGGCAAACGCCCCTCCACATGCTTCACGAAAGCATCTAGATTCTTCTGATCTTCTTCAGACAGGACCGACTCCGGCTTCTTCGGCTCCTCGTCTTTGCGCCCATTGTTCTCGGGCCCGCTGCCACTTGGCTGAGTGTTCTGGGACTTGTCGTCAGGGCCTCCGGGGCCGCTAGTGGCAAAGGTTCGAATGCGGTGAGATGTTATGAAGGAGGAAAGCCGTGAGGAAGGCACCCGAGCAGATACCGGTGTGCGACTAATGGCTTCCGTGGCTCTCCTCGAGAATCGAGCAAGGTTGCCAGGCCTTCGGAGGAAGGTGGCCATGGTCGAGGAAAGGGGAGCCCCGAGGGCTATGAGGGCGGGGGGAAGAGGTGATCAATCGAGGTCCGGTGGAGTGGACAACGGCATGCAATGCCTTGAGCGATTGAGGGTTGCGGTGGGAAGCTCATGACGAGCTGCGGCTTTCGGCATCGGTTTTTCTGCCGTTCCGGTGCTGAGTCATTTGGCCGGGGCGGTACCCACTTTAGACTATAGTATTCGACCGGATTCCCCTTCACCCCGATTCTTGGATTGATTCACAATATTAGAGATTGAAGGCTGAGAGGAATGAAAAATTTATTGAGATTGCTCTTCTTTGACTGGATGAAAGAGGTACCAAAAATTGAGGTTTAGTCCTGTGATGACAAAGCGAAAGTGAAATTCAATGGCCGGAGACCCTTGTCTCATATATCCAACCTCAGCGTACGATAATGGCAAATGGTAAACGATAAGTACAAGCATGCATATTTGTTCAATTCCTATTCGGCATATCTGGCATGGATTGGAGACTATCTGTAAGCACATTCTGGAGGAACCGATCCTGCGCCCAAGCAGAATCATAAAGAAGTATTTTTCAATGTACATGAAAGGGGAGATATGTAAGCAAGCATGAATGAGTATGTAGTGGAGGGTTTAGAACGCCTGAATAGCATCGGAAGCTCATAAAAGAGAAGAAAATAACATAAAACATTAGATCATCCCGCTTGAATAACGCCGCAACAAATGCCCATGTACAACCCCATTTGTTTTCGGCTCGATACAAGTAGTCAAGCAATGTTCATGATTACTGCGGAGGCGGTTGACCATTACCCTCTCCCGCTTCGAAGATAGGGAAGTTGGAAGACATGTCCGCCCAATCCCATTCGATCGTCATCGGCATCTGCCATAAATCTTGTGGGACGAATGGTTGCTGGAAAGGAGCCGCCATATTTGGGTTTGTTTGCCCGAAGGTGCTTTGCTCACCGAATTGGACATTGTCCAGCTGGTCTGGACTGAGCATTTCTGAGAAACCTTGGCCATACCCAGGGATCGGGTTATTAGATATACCGGTGTTCGAAGGCAAGGAAGGATCTGGGCCATAGCTCTTGGCTGTGTTAGGTGAAGAGGTAGGAGCGGTGGGGTCGTTGGTAAACATGGCTGGTGTGAAAGGCGTTGATGAGGGAGGAGGTTGAGGTTTGCCGGATGGGGAGGTAGTGGGTTGGCCTCCATTTTCTTCCCGGGCTGAATCATCATGTGCATTCTTCCGCTTCTTGCGGGCATGAGACTCTTTCTCGGCCTTATCAAGGACCACCTTGGCAATTCTTTCGAATTCGCCACAGAGAGAGAGCATTCGCTTGATGCTACCGTTGGACTCGTCAGAGACCAAGGTGGACAGGAAATTGACAACGACGTTCATCAACTTTACGTCCGATCGAGCACGAGCGTCGCTGGGGTTCTGAAGGATATTGGCGAAGAGGGTCACAAGAGCAGACACGGGATAGTAGAGAATCAACCAGACACAAGCAAAATCGCCCTGAGGGATATATTTGATCAAATTGATCGATGCCCTAGCCGCAGTCACGCAAAGAACTGCGGAGAGGAAAACTCTAGGGTTCAATGGTCGGGCATTTAGACCTTGAATGGCGTAATTGGATAATCGACTAGTCCAGTAACCGTGGTGCACGGACATACGATGAATAGTGGTCAAGCAATTGTAGTATGAGAACTGGAGGACCACAACGTGGAGTATGAGAGGACCGTGGGTGGCTTGAATCTCATGTTCTGGGCGGAAATCGGTGGGGATACTGTCTTTCCAGTCTTCGAGTTCTTTATCAAGCTCTCCAATGGTGTTGAGCAGTTCACCGTCAGACTGTCGTGATGCCTTGGCGGAGTATAATTTCTTGTAGACCTTGCTCTCGATCGTGGCAAACTCACACAACGACCTAAAGAGGTTGAACTTGCCTATTCCGTCGGCAAGTGGAACATTACCAACGTTGTCTGGTGGGTCCTCGCTTGGTAGCTCAACGTTCATGTCATCGTCATCCTGTACTGGTGGTCTGCCAGATCGTAGGCAGAGATCTTTGTCAAGAGTGTAGGCAATCCAGAATACTCTCTTCCGCTGCTCCATTTCCACTGGATTCAGCCCGAAGCCCGAGCCACGCTTATGCAAGCCAATGCTGTGTGATAGACGAATAGCTGCTGCAACCAAAAAGAAGGCAGGCTGCGGGTTTGGTGTACCTTGCAAGAATAGCGACATTCCCAGAAGTGCTTGGACACTCAGAAGATCAGTATTTCGCATCGTCAACTCGGTCAAAACACCCATGGCATTCTTCAGGTACAGCCAGGCCTTTTTGTCTTCTTCATGTGGTACTAAGTTGCTCATCACTCGGAGTCGATGAGAGATGGCGAGCACAACGTTAATACTCGCCCACCACCCAGAACCTTCGTACGGGTCGCGAGAATATTGTCGTTCTACCAAATGCATGAATGTTGCCTCATGGAAAAGAGGGAACATGCAATTGAAGTTCTCGAAGAAATCCTTGAATAAAGAGAGAGCTTCCTCCTTTGGAGGCAAAGGCTTGAATACCCTCCGCGCAAAGATGTCGCTAAAGATCTCCGGCTTCCAGTACATCCACTTATTATCGTCAACATAGGCCGATGAGATCATTTCTTGGAACGAGGTATCTCCTGTCTTCTCGTTGACCCATTGAATACCCTTTGGCGAAAAGATTGAGAACCCAGAAGAAGATCCTAAGGTATGCAGTGTTAGTTATGGTGTGCCCCATCATGAACTTCTATAAAATTCCCACATACCGATATATCTAGTCTCTCCACAGTTGTTGGTGACCAATGAGCACATCATATCCGACAGCGCCTCCACTTCTGTTTCGGACTTTTGTGAATCAGGAGATGTGGCGGCGGTAGTCCGTGGACTAGATTGAGAATCCATGCGGGGGGTGGTATTGTGCGATGTCACAGCTTGCTGGGTTGCACTCGGGGCAGTAAATTGATTTGCGTTTCTCGCCGCGTCCAGGGCCATTGTTCGGTCGGCCAGTCGTTTCTCCAGTGTACCCAAATCTGTCTTCCCATTATCGCCTTCGGATAAAAGCCCAGACAGTCGCAGCAGCGACTCCATGCGGCCCAAACGGTTCTCTAAGCCTTCAATGTACTTGGCTCTGTACACGACGTCAGCCCTATTCAGATGTCGGGGGAGGGGGTCGGCTTAGTTTATTGTAGTGTGCCAACTTACCCTTTGGGTGGATTCCTTTTCTTTTCTACTTGTGTGAAGATACAGTCGGTCTTATAGTTGATGCAGTGTGAGCACTTGGGCATCTTCCCGTCGCACTTGATCTTCTTTTTTCGGCACATGTCGCATGCCTAAGGTGGGGAATAGAATCAGCTCTCTGTGGACCAAAAATGTAATCTAGAGTAAGGAGGCTACGTACCCTTGCAATGCGTCGCCTCTTCGCATCATTCGCATCGTTGCCATCATCCCCGCCTAATACCGAATCGTCGGGGTACAGAGAACTTCCAGGAACGGACATTTGCGAGCCATCATGAGGATAACCTCCATAGAGCTGGGATTGTTGGTTCATCATCATGGGTTGCATGTCAAAACCCATGCCGTCGCCATCCCCCAGGCCATCCATTTTTCCTTAGGTTCGGGGACTCCGCGGGGTGGAGTCCAAGAGAGGGCGGTGTCAAATAAGTCGAAGCTGCGGGGTTCTCATATGTCTCGGAATAGTGTTTTATCCGGAGCTTCCCCTGAGGTTGAATGTCGGGGGAATATGTAGACTCTTGGAAATTGATGACGCATTCAGGGTAAGCTTGAACGGTTGGCGCGAATAGGCGCGAAGGGTGCTGTGAAGGACTCTGCCGTTTGAGTGGCTTAGTTTAGTCAGGACCCGGCTGAGTCAACCACACATTAGCAAGTTTCGAGCTTTGAAGATCTAGCGCATAAAGCTTTACCACGCTAAACAGACAAAGAATTCGTGCTCTTTGCTGCCTTGAAGGAGATTAGAAAGTATGAGCCACACGGATTCCGTTAAGTCCGCTCCCGAGCATGTGGGCTGTGCGGTAAATTGAAATGTCCGTCCTTTTCGCCCGGCTCCGGGAACGGGATATATTCTTCCCTTTAATTCACTACTTGTCCATCCGGTTGTCCTCGGACAACGTGGAATTGAATTGGCCGAGTGTAGAGACTTATTGAGCCCCTAATTTCCCCAGTTTCGGGAGATAAATTAGTGTGAAATCCGAGTTCGACTAGTGGGGTGATACAACATCCGCGTTTAAACTTTGTCTGCAACTGTTCTTTTTCACCGCGTGTTCCAGTTCCAAGGTTGTTCTCTTTCTCGACAGAGCAGAGATCGGCGGTCTGTTGAGAATTAAGCCGTACTCGGCTGATTCTTTAATCTGCGGCATTTCAAAGGACGGCAGTCAGGTCTATCAGACCCAGTACTAGTACCTTGTTGAACAGTATGACTACATACCTACCTACCTAGGCAGGTATACCGTATATCCGACGCATCATTATGACAGGATCAATAGTAAAAGTACATTGAATAGGAAGAGTGGCGATCTCATGAGAGTATATCACAATAGTGCATAAAATACAAGCAGATCAAAGGGATCCAGGGACCCCGATCTGATAAAGAACCAAAAACTCCACGCTATGCACCCCAATATACAGTCTCGGTCTCAATTTGACACTGCCAATTTGATAGTCCGAGATAAATCGCGACAAGTCATCAACTCAGTCGCATTTAAGTGTGTTTATCGAGGAACTCCTTGGCCTCGTTGATCTTGGTGGCCAAGTAGGGACTGCCGCCACGATCGGGGTGGTTCAGCAGCATAAGCTGGCGGTGCTTCTTGCGGACCTTGTCCTTGTTCAAAGTTCGCTCACTGTAGATTGCTGCAGATTAGTCTGTGTTCGATCGGGCATCACAGAATGAGTCAGAGAAACGTACGGAAGTTCGAGGATCAGGGAGGCTTCGCGCTTGTTCATACGGGGCTCAAATCCTCTGTACAGGCGGTTAGCAAACCATGACGAAAATGTATCAGGAGCAACTTCAACGAACCCCTTGTAGAAAGCCTTTCCAGCGGCATTCAGACCACCCTGGGAGCGGCGGTAGGCGACCAGACCGGCACGGCCCTGCAGACAAAACAGTCAACAACCCCATCCCATCACTCATCTATCCAATCGAAGGTCCATTAAAATCTTACCAAGAAGGCTGCAACACCCACACCAAGTCCAACAGTAAGAACGGAAGCCATTTTGTAGAGTGTTCTTCGCGGATGGCCAAAGTTTCAACTGGTGGTTGAAGGTCGGAGAGATCGCGGGATTAAAAGTCAGCGCGCAACACCCGATTAGGTTTAGCGCGTTCTCCTCCACGGCGAAAGCTTCAAGAAAAAAAAGTTCTGCGTATCAAACTTGAACAATCAACATCCTCCCCGCCCACCACAACCATGCGGTAAGTCATTTCACCTGATTTTTCTCACCTACCAAATAAGAACCTCCATCTAATTCATGTTTCCTATAGTGTGGAGACCTGCCATTTCTGCTCTCGCCCCGCCTTCCCGGGAAAGGGCATCACATTCGTCCGCAATGACGCCCGACAATTCCGTTTCTGTCGGTCAAAGTGCCACAAGAACTTCAAGATGAAGCGTCAGCCCCGCAAGTTGAAGTGGACTAAGAGTCACCGTGCCTCCCACGGCAAGGAGATGATCGTCGACTCTTCCCTGGTCCTCTCCCAGTTCGCCAAGAAGCGCAACGTCCCCGTCAAGTACGACCGCAACCTCGTTGCCGCCACCGTCCAGGCCATGCAGCGTGTGGAGGAGATCAGACAGCGCCGCGAGCGTGTGTTCACCAAGCGTCGTCTGGCCGGCAAGGTTGCCCGCGACCGCCAACGCGAGGCAGACCGCAAGGTCGTCGCTACGGGCGAGCACCTTATTCGCAAGGAGCTGCGCGATCGCGAGGAGGGTGTGCCCATGGTTGCCGAGACCAGCAAGACTGCCAACCGGGTCCACGGAGAGGATCTCATTGCTGCCCGGCAGAAGAAGAAGACTCGCCTCTTGGTGGATGGTGGTGCCGAGGAGGAGATGCAGCTGGATTAAAGAGATTTTCGGCACTCTTTTTTCGCTTTTCTAATTTTTTTTTTATTGGGTTCCCCTCGGTTGCCATTTTGTTATGCTTCGACCGCTACGACACGATCTTACGGAGTTGGGCTTGCATTTTCATTGTTGTTGTCACGGTGTTTTTCCCTAAAAAGCTATCGATATCATCTGCTTTACATACATCCTACAGATTAGCAGCATGGAAGTTTATTCTAGAGTCATTTGGGACTTGTCCGTAACCTTGGTAATTGTAGGCATTAACTTGAAATCTGGTCTGGACTCCTTGAACACAACTAAGTCAATCCCCACCTGGATTATAAGTCCATTCGGCAAGTCGCTACAATCTGCTCTAGGCCCATTCCCACGGGCCCGCCCCACCATGCGAATGATAAGTAGTGATGGGGCGGTCATCTTGTAAAGCATGTGGAGACGTGCACTAAACGAATTTTCTATCTATACGACCACAAACATGCGCATTTTGTACCACCTGAGGGCAATTCCTGTCCTACTCAATGTATGGGTAACTCACGAAGCCTTGACCTGGGCTTCGGTAGCGGTATCTACGCCGGCGAACAAAACCCAGTATAGGTTGAACAAATGCGATATATCCGTGCCAAGATTCGACTACTGATTGAAAATTTATTGTGATTTCATGGTGTATATTCATTGTGTGTCCCGTCCAAGGGTCATTGAGTACACATGGGAGAGCATGAGAGAGCGTGAAGGAGGCTAGGAAAACGATGGGGAGAGCGGACGAGAACCACACCTGGGATATAAGGTTTCAAAACGGGACGAGGTATATGTTCGAGCAAGTGGGAAAAAGAAAGGAAAGAGGACGAGGACGAGAGAAAAGGGGAGGTATGGGTTATGATGAATATGCGCCGGCCGATTAGGTAAGGCCATTTATGATGTTTCCAGAACAAAAAGGAAAAGAAACTTGAGCAGCGGAGAAAAAGAAAGTGAAAAGAACAAGCGGGCCAAGGAAACATGATACATGGGCGGCAAGGTCCCGAAAATCTTTAAGCACGCTGTGCGAGGAGGAACTTCTCATCCCAGTTCCGTTCATGATGAACGAACTCGGGAGAGTGCGGACCTTCATTATGCAGCATGCTCGTTAAATGTGTAAACAAGAAGGGGTTCCCAAATAAAAACGCTCAAGCGCGTACATTGCGTCGTGAAAAAAGTCGTCAGGTTGCTCAACATGAGAGCAAGACGACTTGAGATGGGTGCGTAGCGGAAATGCAGAAATAAAGCCAATTATTCCTCCATGCGTCCAAAGACACCATCGTCATCATCGTCCGCAGGTGCAGCACGGCTGCCAAAGTCGACATCTGCGTTGCGGCTGTGACGACGGGGTTCAGATTCCTTGGGTCCGATTCGAGGCCCACGCTCATCCGACACCTTGTATGACAGTGACGGGTTGAACGAAGCCGCGGAAACTGAAAGGAAGAGATCGGCATTGGATTCTCGTCGGTAGGCCTCGTTCATAGGTCCCGGCTGGGACAGACGCGGGCTCTGGTTGTTCGGGTGGCTACTCGAGTCCAGGTAACGAGCCGGCAGCGGAGGAACAGGGGGAACATCCGGTGTCATGGAGACAGGTCCTGTTCGGGGAGTTCCGAAGTTGCACAGCCCAATCGCTGCTGCAAGGTCGGCCTCATCGTCATCGTGCAGTCGGGTGTCAGCGGTGGATGGGCGGGTATCGATGCTGGACTGGCGGAAATGAGAGAAGGTAGGAGAGTGGAGCGGAGCACTCTCGTTGTACGAGCTTGAGGGAATCGACTGGTAGGAGCGGGAGAAAGCCGAAGCGTTGCTAATGCTGGGGCGCTTGGTCCAGTTGGCCGGCATACCGGACATCTCAAAATCGTCTTCCTCCTCCTCGTCAATCGGGGGAGGGGTGGTCTCGGCGGAGCTGAGTCCATCGTGCACATCAGAAGAGGCGTCGGGCGATCCGGAGGAAACTTCGGAATCCGCTTCGGGGCAATGCTCGTGACATTGCTCGGGACCGTCCTGGTTCATGGTGACAAGCACCGTGGCAGCCTCCAACAGTTGAACCTGCTGATGCTTGGAGATAAGTAGTTTCGAGGTAACCGCCCATGCTGGGTCATGTTCCCACCTATACCACAAATAAACGTCAACTGACTGTCACTGAATGGAGTAAGTGAGGAAGGGGAAATGCCGAACGGGAGTTGAACCACGAGGACCTGCACAGAGCCGACATGGCGCAAACTCCCGTTCCAACAGGAAAACGGCCGGGCGGGATGGGGGATACACACATATGCTTAGACAAGCAGCTGCCATGCTTATACCCTTTCCCGCAGCGATCGCAGCGGAGTTCGGCCGGGACCCGCTTCCCCTCCTTAGATTGAGCGCCTTCGCTGGCTCGGCGGTTCCGGCCCTTTAGCGCCTTGCCATCATCGGAGTTGCTGGGGGAGGCTTTGCGAGCGACCGGAGGCTCCTGGCTAGGACTGTTCACGCTCCGTGAGAGGTATGAACTAAATCCTGATGCGCCCCCAACAGAAGTGGATTCCATGCCTTTGCGGCCCCCAAGGCTGCGACGGTGCGCGGCCATAGGGAGAAGCGCGGACTCGCCCTCCTTCATGGAGGCCGCAATGGCGGCGGCGGCATTGGCAGCCGCTGTAGTGACACTCTTTCGACGCGTCACACGGTGGTTGGCATTGACCGCACCGAGAGAGATCGAGTGGGAGTGTTGTCGTTGGGTTGGGTTGGGGAGCGGACGCGAGAGGGACAATTCCTGTGCGGACCGGGGCCACATCATCAGTATGGGAACACCACAACCCAGGAAGTTTCCCAGGCCCTCCTCAGGACAGGAAAAAGGTCATACCTTGAACGAGGCCATGGTGAAGGACTTTCTGGCAATCGACGGATTTTTTGAAAGCCCTTAAAGTTGTGAAGCGGGCTCAATTCCGAGTGGAAATTGGTAGAATGACGCGGAGTGGGTTTCGGGCGTGAGTCAATCTGGGCTGTGCCGAGCGATATAGAACACGTAAAGGTGAATGGAAGAGGAGATAAGAATTCCGAACGATAGCAAGGAGAATGGAAGTGGAAGAGAGAGAGAGTAAGGTAGAGGTCAAAGTGAGGAACAAAAAAAAAGTTGTAGGGGTAAAAAAAAAGAGGAGAAAGGAAGGAGAACTGGTACAAGCCATCCGGTATGGTGTGGCCCACCAAAATCGCTCATTGCGCTTTGCGGGGGCCTTTCCCTTTGAGCATGCGGGGGGCGATCTTCGGTAACACCGTGGTTTTTGTTGTATTGGGTAGGTGGGTTCTAGATGTTTTTACGTACTTCTTCTTCTACTCTTTGCTCCTATATTTCGGGTTCTATTGCTGGTGATTCTATTCAATCTTCAATGTGCGTCGCAAGACCTAGGATGATGCGATAACCATGGCTCCACTTCGCTTCTGCGATTCCGGGTCACAGCTGGACCTGAGTCACTCATACTAGCCACTGACCAGCAAATGACATCAATCAAGTCCTCCTTCTTAGGTTCCCTTTCCCCAGTTTCCACCAAACAGGCGCCTAGGAGTCTAGGAGGCTTTATAGGGGCTCTATAGGCAGGATGGTTCGCAATGCCCTTGGTGTGCCATACAGGGCAGAGTTCAGGGTCTTCCCGGTTCTAGGACTCCCAGGCACCCATGGATTGCAGCAGGCAGAACACAGACAAGAACTGGATTTAGGATCTCGTTTCAAGTCCGGGCAATGTTTGGATATCTTGTTTCCTAACATTCATCAGTTAAAATGATCTCGAAGATGAAGAACATCTGTTGCCTGACGATCACCCGCTAGGATCACAAGGGGGAATAATACGTCTCAAGGGAAATGGTTTCCTGACAAAACAAGACGGATTGCGCTCAGGTACCTCTCACTAAGTCACTAGTGTCCGGCCAATCTGCGTGGGTAATAAGATACCTGTTATACGAAAAGACACCAATGATGGAACGGACACGATCACCTGCAGCGATATCGACCGGTCTAGGACCTGAGTGGAGTGGGGCCAATGATGTCACCCGCTGATGAGAACCCGGTATTGGAGTTGGCTGTGGACACGGGGCACCTGATAGGAGAAGTCACCTGATCCCGTGACTTTCTGACTTTCTGACTTTCGCACCTGACCGTTTACTTGTTACGGCGTAACATAACCGAGATAGGATATTACCAGTTATGGCCTCCGTTGGGGCCACTTTATGAATGTGTAATAGGTTACATAACATGTACGGAGTAAATTAGGGAATTCTTTGAACCTATTTTCGTCCACTTACAGCCATGGACGATCAGATCTCTCTGGCCGCCTCAACCCGCACTAGCGCTGCCGGAGGGGATCATTACTCCGAGCGGGCATGGTCCAAGCTGGACTACTACAGTACTAATATTTTGGCCCCCCAACCCTTACCATGGAAACAAGACATTCTGGCACATACCCGAGGCTTGCGGCATTCCGCACAGAAACATGGGTTCCTGCGGCTGACAGAGCCCGATGTCGATCTTCACAAAGAAAAGGCGCAAAGGCAAAGAACCAGAGGAATGACAAAGAACAAAAAAAGAACAAAGGAAAAAGAAAAAAAAAAAAAAAAAACAAAGCTTCGTGAAACATGTACAAATTTAGAACTGCTGAAATTGGTAACTCAAATGTCTCGCATGCGATCTGAAATTCCCCTAAACCCAGTCCATTACTCCGTTCTCCGTACTCAATTCAATATTCTATATTCAATGCCCTGATCTCCACTATGACATCCCACAAATGAAACCCACTTTTCTATGATAAGAATAATTCTATGACATCTCCAGCGTCCAATGATATAGATATCTGATCTTTAATTAAAAAGTACACCGAGATAGCAAATAGCTAAATAAATAACAAGAAAAAATTAAGAAAAAAAGCAATCATGCCATTATCTAGCAATATTACTAATTAATCTAATCTGCTTGCCAATGGCAACTCCCCCGCCACAATCCCAATCCCAACCCCCGCACTAGACGAGGTCCAAGACCAAGAACCGAAGATGAAGCCCTAGCTCCTATTTCCCCACCTTTCCGATTCTAGCCATAGCTCCAAGAATTCGGAGCTTCCACCCGACACAGGTACGCCGTACTGGTATTTAGGTATGCATTGGACACGAGGGGTAGAACGTGGTGAGAGCTTGGCGTGTGACTCGTCTTCCCACTTTAAATTCAGCTGTCTCCTTGCTGGTTGCTTGCAATCAATTGAAGTGCTCGATTCAATTGGGGGCACATATACTGCTTCCTGGAGGGTTTGGGCGACTGAGTAACACAAGGGCACCCGGAAATTTTTTTGGCGGAGTGCCACTAGCATAGAGAGTGAGGAGTAGGTCAGCTCCCACATACCTAACTAAATATAGTGGGGAACCCCCTCGAGGAGAAAGCGTAGATATTGGCGGGCTAATGTGCCGAATGGTGTCTAAGGAAAAGGCTGTGTACCCGTTAGATGTCACCGAGAATAGAGCAGTGGATATACTAAATCCTGAGGTCGCAACACATACTCCAATACAACTCCTGTGATGGGTGAATCCTGCTAGTCTAATTGTGTAGAGGTTAATCTGTTTCCAAAAATCACTATACGCAACCGTTCATTCGAAATAAATCATAGAAATATGCTTTCCTATATACGCAAGCCATGCAAAAGACAAGAATCTATCTAATATTCCAATCAGAGTTATCCAACTCTCTGAAAACAAACCGTACAAACCCCTTGCCCCTCCTGTCCCCCAAATCTGAACCGCGGGTACTCCACACGACCCCAAACAACCAACCGATCCTCACCAGCACCAGCCGTAAACCAAGCAACCAATTCATCCTCCGTCCAATTACAAGAAGTAACGACCAAAAAGCCCCCGCGCCTTAACAATCGTCTCGCGATATCAGGATACCGTTCACAAACCCTCGTTTCCTTTGCATCATCTGCTAACGAGATTGCATCGAAAGTACCCTTGTCAAGAACGATATCAAAGCCGCCCGCTGAATACGGGAACCAGGATAACACCTCGGAATCCTCAGATGGCGGCTGGACAGCTAATCCCTCGGGTGAAAGAACAGCTTTCGAACCAAGAACATCCCATTCCTCGAATTGAATCGGAGATGGCGCAATCTGCACCTCTCCTCCCTCCCCTTCTCCCTCCTCCTCATCAGACTCATCCTCATCCTCAGAATCAGTCCGATAAGCAGAATGCCCCCTAGACCTCTGCAGCTCCCTCGCCAACTCAACACTAAGCGGCGAATAATCCACGCCAACCATCTTACCCACAAAACCACCCCGTTTCTGTAGTAGTGCAAGCATGCTCCCGTTTCCGGTGCCCAGATCTAGGATAGTCGGTTGTTTTTCTTCATTGCCGCGACGGAGTGTATTCTTCGGTGCGAGTGGGAATGAGCGACGCGTCAGGAAGCGGAGGACTTTTTCGGGGGCATTGTGTTCTGAGAACCAGGATGTGCCTGGGTCATCTTCGTCGTTTACGTCTGAGTCTGAGTTTTGTTCATCTTCCTTGGGTTCGTTTGTGGTTGAGATGTGGGCTAGGGTGCGCGCGTAGTAGGTTTCCCAGCTGATTCGTTAGTCATGTAATGAGGGTAGGAGTTGGCTTCAAAGGGGGATGCTTGTTTGAGGGTAATATGCAGGCAATGGAGTGGGTATGAGCTGGGTTATGGTTTATTTGGTGTATGGAGGGGTAGATAGTGATGCGCCGGGAGATTTTGAGCTTGATCGGCTGGTTTAGCCAACATTGACTGGGGTCAATTCACTTACTAGTCCTTTGAGCCTAGCTCACTAGGTGAAAGATAGGTCGGGTGAGCGTCTTCGGCCATTTTGTGTTGGGATTGAGGGTGTTGAAGGGCGAGAAAATTTGTGATGCGGAGATGTTCTTATCGACTATCACCCCGCTCTCACTCTACACAGATGTATCGAATATATGGGTCTACTATGAATGTCTAATTTACGTCAAACTTCACATCTACTAGATTTACAATGTAAATAATGAGCTCGAAGCTGTCCATTTCTATTAAGACTGCGCACAGGGGGTATTTGTCGTTCGTTAATCCGCCCAAATCCAGACACCATATTGGTCCTCGGATAGACGGACCACAAAACAGGAAATAAATCAAAAGAAATGAAAAAAGAAACGAAGGCTTGTCATTGACAAGAGATCACAAAATGAAAAAGGTAGCGAAAGGTGTTTTGGTGGCCAACCCAATGTAAAAGGCCCAATCGTCCTCCGAAATAGTATTACAGTTATTGGGTCGCGAAAGATCTTGTCTTTGCAAGTATCCAAATGTTGACGCAATTTTCATCCGAGATGACGGATATGAAAGATGATGAAAAAGAGAAATAATAGCGATAGAGGCTGGGTGATGGTTCACTCAGGTGGGAATGGCGAAAGATGCGAAAGGCGATGAGCGACAGCAAAGCCTGCTTTGGTCATGGGATCATCAACCCAGTCTAGGGGTATGTGACTGGAAAAAGAAGGTCGGAAAAAAGGTGGCCGAAAATTAAAAGGCCGGTGAAATGAATGATCCGCAAATTAGGGATCGTAAGACATGCAAAATGTCGGGTCGTGGAATCGTTGCAGGCCCTGTTCTTTTGGGAACAAGGTAATAAAATTACAGGAACTCGTCAATGTTCCTCATGATCATGCGTTCACCTCCTGCAGGAGGGGGAGGAGATCTGGGATCGGCTATGTCGTTGGCATATTGCGCAGCGCTGGGAGCGTCTGCAACGGTATCAATGCCTCGAGGAGGCACAGAAGCAGGTGGAGCTAAGAAGCCTGAGGTTCTCGGTGAGAACAGACCAGCGTTGGGTGAGAAGAGACCACCATTACTTGGGGCGTCGCGCACGAACACATGGGTTTGGACGAGGGGATCACAGCTGTTCACATTACGTGGAATACCTCTAGGTCTCCCAAACGCAGGCTCCACAGACTGGAACTTTTGCCGGAATGGCAACGGACGAGGGGATAGGCTGCGCTTCGGCGACCGATTCCCGTTGTCACTAGTCTTCGGACGAGACAGGCGTGGGGGTGGTAGTGGAATAGACAAGCAATCCACAGGAGGTGCTTGTGCCGAACCGTGGGAAGGAGGCTGAGGAGTCTCTGCCAATGCTGCTCGCTCCTCATGAGTGAGTTGAGGCTCCGAGCTTCTTCGATTACCGTTCTTTGACCACCACTCGTGAGGAGCAGGGCGGGAAGGCGATCCGCGTGTCAAAAGACCTCGGAAGTCCGTAAGCTGGTAAATGAGGCTCATGTTCGGGCCCACCCATTGGCTGCGTCCCTTGACCGCTTCGTACATGGAGTTGAAGTCCATGTGACGATTCTTGTACAGACCATAAGCGATAACCAAAGATGCTGACCGACTCGCGCCCAATTGGCAGTGAACGAGCACTTTCTTGCCCTGAGCGATCCGCTCATCAATCAGCTCACACAGCGGAAGGAGGTCGTCCAAGATCTCAGAGTTATGGTCCCAACCGACGTGAATATACTCTGGCGGAGCGGATTTCGGGGTGGAGGTAGTAGGGGTCGCAGATGCTGAGTCGGGCTGGAATTCGAACGCGGACTTGAAAGACATCTCTGACATGGCAGTTTGAGGATCTTCCATCGAGAATCGCTTGGATGCCATGGACGCGTTGCGCCATGTGCTCATCACGGTGTCGTTCCGCTCGCCTTGTGTCTTGTTGAATGGGTTGCGAACTTCTTTCGCAACATTGATAACCACATCGAATTGCGCCGCTTCCTCTGCGTTGGGTTCCAAGTAAAGGTAAACGCCAGTGTCGTGAATCCGAATGGGGCCGTTCGGGTACCCGCGGTCCTTCTTCCGGGTGGACTCGCGTGAGTCGATGTGATCGTCCTCTTCTTCTAGACCAGGGAGAACGCGTCGAGAGGTAGTCTCTTTATCTGCAATAGAGGCCAGGGAAGGAGCAGTATCGAGGGAGGTGCCGGAGAAACGACGCGTGGTATGCGACATAGGCCGAGGAAGTTGCATGCCACCTTGTGGGGCAAACGAAGGTGAGCTGATCGAAGCAAGTGAAGGCGATGACTCCGCATGTCGTAATGAATGCTGTCCAAGCGAAGGAGTTGGAGGTACAATGTCGGTTCCAGTGAAAGATTTGTTGAATGTGGGGGTTTGAATGGTGAGGTTCGCGGGACGCCGCCGGGAGCTCTTGGGGGGGAACTGTATCGGAGATGGTGGGGCAGAAAGATGTTTGGACGATGTCTCCACCAGGGATGCGGTGGCAATTGGGGGTCGCGAGTTTGTCGGTGGTGGCATTCGCAAGGACAAGTTCTTCAGATTCCGGGCTCGACGATTGGGCGAGTCCGGACGCACCTGGGGCGCGGACAATAACCTTGAGCTGTCGGACATTGTCGGACGCGCAGCAACTTCGAGAGCACGAGCCGGGGGCGCCAATTTAGGGTAAGACAAGGACATGACCGAGGGTGATTCTGGGGAGGAGCTAGGAGAGATATCCCCGCCCGAGGGCGAGTCAAAGGGAGAGATGGTGGTGGTAGGTGAGGATTCCGTGGAGGCGGAAGCGGTAGAGGATATACTCTCGCGATGGGGACGAAGACGTCGCGAAGAGAAATGAGCAGAGGCTTGGAGATGACAGGAGCTTTCTTCCTCGTACTGGGGTGGCAAGCCACCGTAGACGGACATAAATGAAGGAAACGAGTCCGGGAAGGACGGTGGACTGGTTTGTACCGGCATGGTTCGGGAAGGAGGCGTGTTTAAAGGTGAATCCCAAAACCCACTAGATTCGCACGTAGCCACAGAAACTAGAGGGGCATTCGGATCGTCTTTTGCTACCGGCGCAAATTAGGATCTTTTTGGTTCTTTTCGGTGTTAGTGAAGTTATTCCCCGTCGGTGGACGCAAGGGCTGAAATCAATGATCTGCACACCGCGAGACAAATGCGCAGGCACGAGTCACATTGCAGATGAAACGAAGTAGAGAAAAGAGACATACCAAGCCACCAGGTCTAGTAGTTTGGGTATGAGATATAGCGAAGTGAGGTGTAGTATGTATAGTGGCGGTAGTGGTGGTAGTGGTAGTGGGTGTGAAGTGGGAGCCAAAAGTAAGATGTTCGAAGGAATGACAGGAAAACAGGGACACGGAATCCGAATTCAAAATGGGGGCGGGGATTCGGTGGATTCGGGGGGGGGGGGGCCAAGTCTCGTTCCTCCGGGGAACTAAGAAAAAATCAAGAAGAAGGTGTATATCCCCGGAATATAGGGAAGTCGAAAGGGAGAGAAGTAAAGGGAGGAAGAAGTTTGGACCCTTACTGTTTTTATTTAGATGTTCTGATACATGTTAGAGATGTCCGATTTCAGGCCCACTGTAATTATCCTGTGGATCAGGGAGGGCCCCAATGGACGCCCGCAGATCCAATCCTTGGAGTCCAGCTGTATACCTACCAATCAGACCGTCGCCAGCTCTAATTTTAGCCGCCGGGGGCGTCGTTGCGTCGGCGTCAAATGCACGTAAATGAGAGGTCCTTGCCCTGAAGCACACCAAGCTACGGTAACTTGACGTAATTTTCATAACAGTACGTACACTATGCCGTCTAATCTCGGACATAATCGATGGCGAAAGTCGAAAACAAAATGAGGGAAAAACAGCATCTCGGGGTCCACTTGAAGCGTCCCGCCCAGCTGATGGGGAAAGGAAATTCATTTCTCACATGTTTGCGTTGGAGGGGGCATCGCATGATTATTGGATCAAAATGCTCCCCGATGATTACATACGTGATTAGGGTATAAAGTGGGGAGTTACGTGATCCACCACTACAGTGGCAAGGCCTCTTTGCACGGCAAAAGTGGAGCAATGTGCGTGTTGAACAAGGCGCAGGCTTGATTCGAGAAATTCCAAATTCGGTCCTATCCGACCCGTGCGCACGGCTCGCGACACGGGTGAACCATTGTGTACCAAGGTACAGTTTCATTATGTCGAGTGTGTTTTATGTCGAGCAGAGTGTACACAACCCTAGGATCAAAATACAACAGAAGACTGTGCGTTTCAATTTTCCACTTTTCTGACTTTCTTACATTCTGAATTTCTCGTTTATTCTTCTCACTCTTCCATCTGAAACCCCGGAACTCAATGGATCTGGGTTGCCCATTCTGAAACACACCAATCCCGCACTAGCAGACGCTAGTGCCTTCTTGGCACAGGCACCCCAACAGCCTATCGCACGCGCACTTGTCAGGTCGATACCTACCACTTTCGGCCGATCACCTTACTCAGGGCCGCAGCCTATCTTCAAGGTTGAAATTCCAGCCCATGAGGTCATTCCAGAACTTCTGCAAACCGCTTATCACTGCCCATCAAATATACCTTTAGACCCCCAAACTTGGGGGGAACAATGGAATATCAGCGGATCTCTTGTAGGGAAAAAAGATCGGCCATTTTTCCACGTGGGAAGCGTCAGTCTGAAACTTGGTGCGTTCCAAGGTTTCCAGGTTCCAAGGTTAACAATGGAGAGTCTATCCCCAGTTAATCGATAGCGCGGTACATAGGGCACACTCTACGTCTTATCGATTTAGTCTGGGATCTGCACTGGAGTAAACGAAAACGCGCACTATGTAGTCTGCTCCGTACCTAATATATCTCATCGCATGGATATTGGAGAGGAGGATCAGGTTCGTTTCAGACAATATCGGTTCCTGAACTTGACCTCCTGTTTCATGATGAGTGCATTCTAAAAATAAAGACCCCCTGACCATAGCGGCTGACGTTGGCTCTCGTGTTTCGTGTTCAAGTTTTTCATGTGTTTCGGGTCCTGGAATCTGGTTTGCCACTGGTATGATGGACAGGGGGATCTTGGTTCATTAGCCAACCATACCATAGCATCTATGTCTGTATCATATAGATGCTCGGCTATCAAACGTCCCCCGCAACACTCTGTAACATGCTTAGTAACGCACAGAGTATGTAACCCTTCAAGTCAATCCCTATTGAAACCTTGGGAATGTTTCGTTTCATCACATCCATGGTTGTCTCAACTATTGATTCCTCCCTCATTACGGAGAACTTGGTCACCTTGCCACAGGGCGGCTGTTCGCTTCATGGAGCCTTTCAGGGCTAGTCCATCACGGCGCCACCGACTGGCAGAGCCCCGGACCACTATGGGCCCTAAAAGCGTGGGACCACCCAACAAACCTTTGAGAGCTGAAAACCCCATGAACTCATGAGTCAGGACCCGGATCATAGCGGCTCTAGGGCGGTTGGCATTCAAAATCAGATGCTAAATCCCGACGACTTCCTTGTGGTAGCCAATGAAAACCAGTCTTCAACCTATCTCCATCGACTATGGAGCCCGAATCGGAGCCCTCCCTTCCTGCAACCACCATGTCAACAGTGGTAACCCAGTGGATTGGTCAGGAAGCCCACATAGTACAGTAGGGAAGCCATGCTAGTATCGTCACTATTTGGATCGACCACGATTTCCCCCATTCCACGTGGAAAAGGAAACCCACAATGTTGGGAAGTGCTGACAACCTTCCAAATTGAATCAGATCCATCGAGTCGGCTATCCCATGGTTCATGAGGTATGGTTCCACGGGTCGCTGCATTATTTGTTTGTTTGACAAAATCAGTCTAGCAGCACATGTACGTGATTGACAGAATTGCCTACATAGGACTAGACCTGTCATGTCTATTCTGACAGGGATGCTTAAGTATAAGCCTCATGAGACTATTGTTTTAGAGCTTCTCTACGGAGTCTGTAGTATGTGGATTGCAATAATTAGCTGTTTTGAATGTTTAATAAGGGTCCACGTTAAGTTGGGCCCAAATGGGGCTCGTCCACATCTGAATTTTCCCAGCCATTTGTATATTCAATTAGATTGGAAGCTGAGATGAATAAAAAAATTCCGTGACATTGACTCAGGGCTTTCCTCGTGCTGGGTTCTTTGTTTGCCTGCATGATGATGCAGCAGTAGTTTCCCCAGAAATCCCGTCAAAGCAGCGGTGACCCGAGTCATGACCTTGATTCAATATCGCAAAGCAAGAAACACCTGTGCTAGCGTGGACAGTCTGGACGATAGGGCCAGTGCAAGCTCTCACATTCGGTCCAAGCCTAGCCCCACTGCAACCACTCGTGAAACGCCCGCTCCTGCCACTCTGACCCCCAGGAGACTGCAGTCCCAATCTGTTCCAAGCTTCTTTCCCAGCCTCCAAAATACAGTGGAACGTCATCCTTCGCCTGGTGCGATCGCGATTCTTTCTTCTAAACCCAATGCCGCGGAGCCACCCGACCAAGATCTCCCCTCCACGCTCCGCCCTCATGTAAACGGCGTCATGCCATCGAGCATGGCTTTCTCCGAAACACGAACGCTGGCGAGTGGGCATAGTCGCAGCTTGAACGCAGCCCCTCGCTTGTCCGAGTCCAAGGGCATAGATGAAAACAGACCTAGAAATGATGATGTCTTCCTAAACATCGCAAGGACCGACTCAGGCCGCAGAGACTCGCTGGGACGGTCGGACTTTCGACGGGTGAGTTCCCCGTGTTTATCGTCGCGCCCGTGATTCTGGCGCGACCCCAAACCCCTCCAACCCAAGAGTTGGTGCTGACGACAATGTCTGTAGTCTCGTTTAGGCCATTCCAGTGGGAGTTTACGGTCGCCGACCGCTCGCGACGAAGAACATACCCCTTCCCCAGATCATCGCCCCAGTAATTTTGACAGCCCCTTGCATTTGCAAAATGGCTCTACCCTCTCATACAATCCTGTCCCTCATTCACCAGCCGCCTCGGCTCATCCCCTCGATGATTCAAGTCGCTTTCGCTACTCCAGCCTGTCAGGGGCGCGATCTACGATTGGCGCACCCCGAAGCCGACTCAGTCGCACCAGCCCTGAAACCTCCCCGCGCTCGCCAGCCGTGAACAGGGAGCACCAGACTCGAGAGCGCGCAGCTTCGCTACATGAATCCCGCCTCTACCGTAATTCCGGCTTATCTACAGTCAGGGGCAGTCGGCAACCATCCACCTCAGAAGCCACGGAACGCGCCCTAGACGACGTGGAGAAATCGCGAGCAGATGAAAGCGAATCCAATCTGTCAACAACGGCGCCCTCTACGGTCTGGGACCAACTAGATGACTTGAAATCACGTATTCGCAAACTCGAGTTGACTGGGAAGCTACCCCCGTCGTCTCAAGCCGCCATCTCGGGGGCCAACGAAAGACCGCGAACTGCAGCAACTACGATGACGGCCGTGTCTACCTCCCCCAGACACTACCGTAAGGCTAGCAGTCCTTCCATGGAGGCGGAGACACCTGTACAGAACCAGGTGCATCCTATTCTGCAGTCGGCATTGGCCAAGGCCAAAATGGTCTTGAGCAATGACGTGTACGCGGCGCTAGAGGTGACGATCACGGATGCTTTGGCTCTTTCTACGACGTTGGGTGCCAATACAGCTCCGTCAGGCTCCGTCTCGGTGGTCAATGGAGGATATGGTTCACCCGAGCGTCATGCGCGCCGCAAGGCCGACAGTGTGTGTCGGAGTTTGACTGAGCTTTGCATCGCTTTGACGGATGGAGAGCTCAAGAGACGTCGGCCCTCATCGAGCCAAGGCACAAATTCGCAGCCCCTACGGGCAAATGGTAGCGAAGTCGAGCCATCGAGGCCAACATCCTCATACCGAGCCCCCAGTCATGAACCAGAAAGTGTCGAGCGACGCCCGAGTACCAACCGCATGTCGAGTCGTCTCGAGGCGCGCAGAGCATCTGTAGCCAATCCCAGCCCAGGATCGATCACCGAATCTAAACCAGCCCAATCGCCAAACTTGCCTACCCCACCAAGTCGCCTTCACCGCATCTCTACCTCTCTCCGCAGTCGCAGGGTACCTACCGAGGATGCGGCCGTGGAGACCCCCAACCCCAACAGCCGCTCCCTTTCCCGCGCTATGACCGAGGTCGCTACTCCGACTCCTGCTCAAAGTGTATCGCCACGACAGCGATTCTCCTATGGCCACTCGGCAAATCGCTCAGGCTCTGGTGCTCAGCAAGAGCAAGGTCTTGGGCTCACGCCTCGCTCCCCACAGTATCCACCAACAACCCCACAGGCCCCGGTATCACAACCTCGAACGCCCTCTACATTATCCCAATCTGGCATCCCGACCCATACCGGCATTCCATCTCAATCTGGCATCCCATTCCGTCGCAGCTACATTACGCCTGGTGTCTACTCTCCCGCAACATCGCGTTCCAACATTCAGGCCGGATCCCGACGATATGGTCTTTCGCCCGGGATTGAAGAAAGCCCCGGGTCCTCCCAGCTACAGCCCTCGCAGACCCGTATTAGCGTTCCATCTGGAAAATCAGTCACCAGCTATACACCCATCCAACAACCCCGCCTGCGAACCAACAGTCTGGGCAGTCGCAAATTTGCTCTGAGACGCCGTTCCGCAGTTATGCTTGACGACACTGTCAACCTCGACGACAGCATTGACTAGTCATTTTCCAATTTTTCTGCATCTGTCTGCCATCATGCACGCCCACTGACCGACTCGGTCCATGTCCATCGAAATTTTTACGCAGCAACATCGCATCTGTTTCCATCCGGCGATTTCGGCTTCTCGGCGTTCTCTTTTTATTCCTAGACGCTCTGCTAGTGTATGCATACGGATCAGGTCTGGAGTCCTTTGTTGCATTATCCACCATACCACTCGACGTTGATGCATCGACGAATTTCCTCTGTTCGATTTGAGACCCACTTGGCCCATGGCCTTTTCTTTTCTCATGTCCATGTCTCGAGTGTCACTCATTCAAACCCGGATTGATTCAAGGAGTTTGATTGACCATGTACAAAATCAACCATCACCGGCGTCTCTGTTTCTTTGCATCTGTACATTTTGTCAACCTGGTTTTCTTTGACCAGGTATTTTATTTCTCTTGTTTAGTGATGTGAAGCGTGGAGACATGCTTATATGGACGAGTTTCTTTATGAACGAATGAATGAGATTTCAACAACCTTGGAAAGCAAACCGTGTAAAGACCGCATAAATCGTAGCAAACATCTTCTTGGGCGAATAGGCTCCAATACCTAGCTTTACGGACTTGATCTCTTCTGCCGGGTGCGACTTTCAATTCCAGATGCTGCCGCTTCAAATGAGGGCGCTCAGAGCGAGACTCACTAAGTTGATTAGAGGCCCAGCCGTACTAGTCACGTCGACATTATTGCTGCCATATAATTTGTGAGTCATTATAAAGATTGACTATCAAGCTTGCTAGTTTTTCAGCTTTGCAGGAACTCGTCATTCCTGATGGGGAAATATTAAATTGAATCTGAGGAACTAGACGCTCTTTCCACTGTGATATCCGAGATAAACTTTACTAGCGATCTCTCTTTTACTTATTCGAGGTCTCACTTCACTATAACACACTAATCCAACCTAGGATTATTTTCCGCCATCCTTGTATCTGGCGACGCACCTTCAAACGTGCTCATATCAACCGGGGCGGAAAACAACGCAGAGAAACCCAAGAGACTCCAACGCATTATTTCCCATTGATTTGTTCTTGCCTCATTCCCCCAGTAGGCCTATGTTGCCCCAGAGCAGGTCAATTGAAGCCGCATCCCTTCTAGATATTTGGATGCTATCCTCATCCTCGCTCGCCTCGTGCACCTTGTCAGGGCTGAAAGTATCGAAACAAGGCGCGCAAGTTTCTTCATTGATACGGTTTTCGAGGCGCCCCGCAGCTTCTGGGGTATAGTAATCTATATTTACCACGTCTTCAGGTACCCTTTTGTTGGGGTAGCTATCAAGTGGATATGGAGTAGTTGTCAGTGTCAAGGTTGGACCAGAAAGGGTTTCCAAAGGCGAAAAAGGCTCTTTCGATGAAGTTGCCGACAGGGTTCCTATAGATTGCAGGTCCTCGAGAGCCAAGTGACCGGTAGACATTGAAGTATCCACCAAGGTAGTAAGCTGGAAGTATATTGCTGGCTGAAGCTGGAGTAAAGAGAAGCCATGTAGGGGCTGTAGGCCTCTGGAATGCACGCTTGTTGCAGTGCGCAGCGTGTCACGCGAAACGGAAGTCTCAAATAGGCAAATAATATCATTCACCCATGACGCGACATGAGAAACGTTGTAACGTAATTCATACTGGCGATTGAGCTCATTGTAGATTTTTAAATCATGTGCCGGGTTCTTGCGGCCTATTCTGTTGCCACAAAATCGAAGGTCGAAGCTCAGCACAAGCTGGGGTAACACAGTGTACGCTACGACACTGATAGGAAGATGCGCAGCCGTACCATCAACAATAAAACGTTTCACCATCTCGTTGATTACCCCAACGGCGTTCATTAGATCCGGTAAGTTCTCCTGTCGTTCATGTTGAGGAGCTTGGAAAGAGATGAGATGATACAGTGCTAAGCGCGCGGTCCTATTCGGGAACAATATTAGTCTGATAGCCCCGAGTATTTTTGAATTCAAGCGTCGCTGGAGCTTACTCAAAATACACGCAAGTCAGTTGTTTATAGAATGAGATGGACGGATGACAGCCCGAGTCTTGTGAAGATGGTGGAAGCATATGGTTGGCTTTCCAGTAATCAAGTTGAAACTTAATCTCGTTGATTTGCACCGACTCAAAGGATTTCCGCAAAGATTTGGGCTGGTCTGGAGGATAGACCGCCATTATTAAAATTGTCAAGGCAGTGACAAGCCGACACTGGCTGGTCAAGACCTTGGAAAGCATCACTTTGGTCTCAGGATCGTAAACTTCAGAGGCGTGAATTTCTCTAGAGAGATCCTCAAGAAGTAACGGGCAGTGGGATGTAGTGTCAAAGTGCGATGGAAGAATCTGAAGAGGCCGCCTCATGCCCAAGGCAATAATTCTGTCACGAATAACAAGACACCACCAGAGCCTTTTCAGATCAGACTGCTTGTATTTACCGTTAGATGGACAATGGTGATAGACATGTGCATCTGCCGCACAAGCTTGTTGAATTGCGAGAGTGAGCCATGTGGAATTTATTAAGTGATCTGAGGCAGTGCTTTGAAAGGTAAGCAATGTCAAAGCTTGAGAAAGACACAGATGATCTTTCTCAACCCCAAAATCGTAGAGAAGCTAAGCCTCATGTAAGCCTTCGCCGGAATAAAAAAGCTCAAATCTATGTATTAGATCAAACTCACCTTCGCACGCCGATATAAAGAGTCTCGCACGCCACGAATCGATCCAGCCCCCCATTTCCGAGCATCAGTCAGCGAGACATACTTGAAAAATGTCAATTATGGAAACACCAAACGGGCCAGAAGCTCCTTGGGGATCTCTTCCAGATACATTGGAGGGGAACTTACACTGCAAGCAACGAATAGCATAGCCTGAAAAGTAAGTAGAGAGAACTTAGACTCCCCTGGCTTCCTTTGACGAAATGCCAGCCAAAAGTCTGCCTCGTCCACAATTGGCAAACATGGGTGCACGTAGAGGAAATAATGGGCAACGAGTGTTTCTAGAAATGATTCCACGGGAATGTGAAAACATTTTTGGGATTCCAGAAAAGCCACATCGGCTGGCTGCAAGTTCCGCAGGTTTGGGACTTGTAAACAAGGATAGTAATTGAAGAGCAGAAGTGGGCCGCTGGCATTTTCTGATTCATCTTTCCGACAATATTAGCGGTTCGCCCTGATTCCCGTACATGCGCCTTGGATGTTGGACACCTACTCAACGCGGACTGGAGTTGGGGTTTGTAAAGGTTGGAGAATTCATATGAGCTAGCATTTCGGCTCATCTCCACAAACGGAGCCTCAGTAGCAACAGTAGTAGGTCCATAAGATCTTCCTATGTCGTCCGCTGGAGAAGTGGGGCGGCTACTCATTTGAGTGTCGGTTATCGCAGGAATGCGTGTATGGTCCTGGTTCTCATTTACAACCGAAAGCCGATCAGTATCGACCGCTTGGGTGGGTTCGGCCGAAATTCGAACGCCTCTTGGTTTTTTTGGACGAGTGACACATTCGAAGCCGTCCAGTCGACAATTCGTACAAGGGTGTCCGCAAATTGCAACATTACATCTCACTTTGCGGCGGTGACAATATGAGCACGCAATGCGTGCCCGAGGTCGGGTGGCTGGAGATGAAGCATTTCTCGACACAGATATATCCATTGGCTCAATGGATTTAGTGAGTATATAGCTGGTAATGTGCGTGGTTTGATTGAAAAATGACCGACGGCGCCATCACAAAATTCCAAATCAGCTTCCCCGCATCCCGCATTTCGATTTCCCCACAGGGCTCGGCACGGGTCTGCCAACCGGACGAGAAAGTTAATACGGAAGGTTTGATTGGCGAATTTGTGCATATCTCAGTAAATATTCCATGCATTTCGGCACCGGCTCTTCAGGCATCCGAGACTTGCAGGAACTGGATATTCGGTGACATGATTCTCGGTCAAGCGAACGGTCAACTTCAAGGCAGTCAAGACCTATAGAAAGATATATGTATATATAGGTGATGATATCTTATAGTAATATAACAGATAGCGTATCTAAAAACAGAAGTAAATATTCTACTCTATATAGTCAAAGTACTAGTGGACTTAGGAGTATCAGAATCCCAGAAGTCTCCAATATCTGACACCTGGCAATACCTTTTTTTGGCTGACTTGAGCTACTTTCTTTTGGGGAGTATTTGCATAGCCAGATCACTTATTGATTACAGTAATAGGGGGTAGCCAAAGAAGTTTACGTCAAGGAGTCACGTCTATCTAAGCCCCTTTTCCATCTTGACCTATGTTTCGGGTTTATTCAAATCTACTCATGCCGGAGGAAGACTGAATTTCGAAGCAAATGAATAGTACTCTAGTAAAGGGCATAAAGTTTCGATTCTAACGTTGGTAGAACCTAGTTGAAGCATGCGGTTCATCTCAGCATTGGTTCCACAACAAGACTGGTTTGACTGAAGATCCTTCTTTCAAACTATTCAACGCCAGTTCGTAATCGGCAGCCTACGCATAGCAGATAAGGTCAGCTCTGCCTGTGCCTATTGAGAAAAGACAGGGTGATCGACTGACCTTGAAAAACTTAACCAGTTTGTCAATCGGAAACTTGCCCTCCCGATACCATTTTATCATTTGGGGAATGGCCTATTTTCTGTCAGACATCTTCGAATGACAAGGATATTCTAAGAAGAAAACGAACGATTTGGGGGACGCAATCCCCTTCAATGCATCCCAAGATCGCGCGGCCCGACTTCGACATAATCAGTCATATGTATAAGCCCTCATATTTTCAAACTCACATTTATGTGTTCGATGACTTTGACACCCAGAGTATAACTTGGAGGTGGTATTCCAACAAGCACTATCTTACCACGTGCAGTTGTGGATTGAATCCCTTGCTCGATTAGACCAGGCACTCCCGTCGTTTCGATCACAACGGAGACTCCTTCCGCAAACAAGATTCGAGTTGCTTCGTCCAATGTGGTGAAAGATGAATCACTTGTATCCAGTATGTGTGAAGCACCAAGTTCTTTGGCCAGCTCGAGACGAGCTTTGATCCGATCCACAGCGATGATAGCTTTGCAATTCCTGATTTTGGCTGTCTAGAGATACAGGAAACTGTTAGTGTCTTGAACTAAAGTGATGGTATTTCAATATTAGCGAGGGAAATGCGAGGAAAAAATACCATCAGAGCCCCCATTCCAACAGCACCCAGGCCTATGATCATGACCGTTTCAGCTATACCCGCCATGGCTATATTCTGGACTGTACCCATTCCCGTCTGGAATCCGCATCCCAAAGGGGCAAAAAGCTCTAGTTCATGATCATGATGCAGAATTTCCTTGGCATTGACAATGCTTGCTTCGCTCACAATGCTGTAGTGGGCAAAGCTGGATTGGCCAAAAAACCGAGTCCATAATCCTTCTCCGCTTTCCCGTACTGACATCAATTGCCCACGGCCGGCGTAGTTTTCCTGTGCAAAAGAATTGCAATAAGCAGGGTGGCCGCTCTTGCATTGTTCGCAGGAGAAGCAGGCGTGGAAAGACAGCAGAACCGGGTCTCCGACCGCGACGACATGTACATTCTTGCCAACATCACGGACAATTCCTGCACCTGTTCCACGTTTAGCAAGCGTAACTAAAGATATAGCCCCCCAGAAGTGGTGGATAGAAATGCACCAACTTGAGGACTATTCGAGACTTGAAATCAAGTCTAGAATTGGTTTAGTGAGGGTAATACCTTCATGTCCCGGCACCTTTGGATAACTGACGCCAAATTCACCTTGCGGCACGGAAGTCAACACAATGTCAGTATGGCAAATTCCAGAAGCACGCATTTCCACAAGAACTTCGCCATCACCGGGTGGGTAAACATCCACATCCTCTAATGACCACCTCACAGTTAGAGGTTGCGTCGGCTCTCGAGCAATAACAGCTTTAGAAAGTATCATGGTATAAGTTAGGTAGGGCTCAGTTCATATTGTTTGATACCATTAGGCGGACTTTAAAGGACTCGTTTGCTCTTCCTCCGCAAATCGTCCATCATTGTGGGGTAAATCCCGGTTTTCACGACTAACCGCGGAAACTCGGTAACTGCGGGTTATTAGATAACAAGCATGAGAAAGGGGAATAAAAATCTAAGTTTCGGCTACAAAGTATGCTCGACAACAGTATTGTACTCAGGATCCTGTGGACGAGTGAAGTGGCGCTAATCAACATTAGCGCCTCGCTATTTCAAAATCCCCGGGCGTAGCGGGTCTGGGGTAGTAAATGTGGGGTAGTGGGCCAGCTGACGTCAAATCAACTTTGTACACTGATCAGATTACCGAGTGCCCGCATTTCTGAGATCCACCCGAGCCGTCGGCTATGCACTACGCTGAGAAGGGTCCTGTGTGGTTCACGATATACTTATATATTTCTTCTGAATTCGAGTGTGATCGATCCACACCTACAGCCATCAATTGTCCAGAACGATGGCAACCGATCTTTCAACCACTCTTCCAGCCTTTGCGGCATTCAGCGGTATTACCGCTCATCTACTTCTATATCGCCATGGGGAATGGGATGTCAATGCCCCCAAGCTGGTGGTTATATACATAATCATCTTGTTGGTTGCGGTGGCCCTGGAGAGGGCGGCAAACAACTCAGGGCTTGAGCTTGGCCCAAAGCCGTGCGCTGCACAGGCCATGGGCTATCATCTCTTAGGCTTGTATGGCTCCATGGCTTTCTACAGGGGTTTTATGCATCGTCTGTCTCGATTCCCTGGCCCATTTCTTGCCAGATTGTCAAATTTCTACGTTACTGCATTGTCCGCCCGGAAGCTTCACCTTTACGAGGAGACAGAGAAACTGCACAAGAAATTTGGGGATTATGTGAGGCTAGGTAAAGAAATCGTCTGCTTTACTTCATCTCTTGCGTGACTAATCAAAGGCCTCACTTTACCAATTCAGGCCCCACGGAGTTATCTATTGCCGATCCAGATGCAGTGAAGGCATTATACGGCCCTCAAGCAAAAGTTTCTAAAGGGCCTTGGTACACAGTTTTGGAACCCCGCGTCTCTCTTCAAATGGTCAGAAACAAGCAGGAGCATGCACGTCGAAGAAAGGTCTGGGACCAGGGCTTCAGCTCTCGAGGTATGAGAAATGTTTGAAATATTGTACTGATCATGAGGTCTAATTTTGATTACAGCCTTGCGTGACTATGCGCCCCGAGTATCACATTACACAGAACTACTCATTCAAAACATTCATAGCGAGCTCGGACGCCCCATGGATGTATCTCGGTGGTTCAACTACTATAGCTTTGATGTGATGGGTGACTTATCATTTGGAAAATCATTCGATATGCTCGTTGACGGCAAGGACGCTTATATTTTAAAACAAATGCACGCGGATATGAAAAATGTTGGATTATTCAGTCATCTGACTTGGTTATTCCCATTTTTCAAAAGGATCCCAGTGTTGAACACGAACTATCTGAAATTTTGGAGTTGGGTGGATAAGCATGTTGAGGAAAGAATTCAGGTGAGCCATATTCCGTTGGAAGAGCCCTGGAGAAAGGAGAAACAGTTTCTTATAAATGACCGAGGCAGAACTCTCCAGATCGTCCTGATGTCTTTTCCTGGATTCTGGAGAATTATGAGCAACATCCAAAGACAAAACAAAATACCCTCGACCTCCACGGTGATGCATACCTGATCATCGTAGCTGGCAGGTAATTCATCACTTTATACACTGTTCCTCCACCGACAATAGCTAATCACAGACCTCCAATTCAAGCGACACCACAGCCGCGACCCTGACGAACATGTTCTTTCATCTGGCTTTTGACCGGACGTTATGCGATAATCTTCAGGCTGAGCTGGATGCTTTGCCAGACTTGTCTTACGACAGTCTAAGGGGAGCCAAATTACTTGAAGCAGTGATTAATGAGACACTTCGTCTGCATCCTGCAGTGCCATCAGGCACCCAGCGCAAGTCTCCGCCTGAAGGCATGACTATCGGCAATACCTACATTCCAGGAGACGTCATCGTGTGTGTACCAGTACACACATTATTCAGAGGTATCGACATTTTTCCTGACTGTTCACCGTCTTCAAGCACTATTTGGCCAAGGTCGAACTCATAAGCATATTGCCAGTACTGACAACTGTTAGATGAGCGCGTCTTTGTACGCCCAAATGAATTTTTACCAGAGAGGTGGACGACCCACCCAGAGCTTGTCAAAGACCCATCTGTGTTTATTCCATTTAGCAGCGGTAGGTCTAGTGCGATACCATCAGCCGAAAATTGGGTTGAGGATATACTGACCCGGTAAAAACTTAGGGCCATACTCCTGCGTCGGAAAACAACTTGCATTGATGGAACTTCGCCGAGTGACTGCAGAGATACTCACCCGGTATGATACCGCATTTGATGGAAAGCAGACTGTGCCCGCATTTTGGGATGGCAAGAGAGATACATTCACGCTTGTCACAGCGCCGCTATGGCTCGTATTTAAAGAGCGGGAAATGCGTGTCTGATGTTGGCACGCAAATCGCAAGGTCATGGAATGAAATCCCAAAGCTTCCACATCACCTACTTATTAGTGTATTAAGCTCGTTTATGTCTATTAACGGAGAATTTTGGATCCCAATTTTGGACCACGTAGTGCATTGTGTTGAGGTTGATTTATGGACTGTTGACCCCGACGCTGCTCAGGGTGATTACGTAATACTACCTGATCAGGTCTGATCATTTCTCTTCAGTGAGCAATAACAGCAAGGTCGGAGCATTTAACCGTCAAGGGGGCGCCAAGAAGTGACAGAGAAAATCTGTTTTGTAGGTACAGTCTCGCTCAGTGAAATATTTCTAGGTCACCAGGCCACAAAACAACAGCGGCAACGATTTGTGTTTAGCCGGCGACTACATGTACGTAAACGGCAACAAGTGCGCCATTGCAACAGATCTGTGAAGACCCACTTCCAGGGTTTCTAATAAGCACTAAAGCATTTGTGGGGGCCATGTGAGCTTGCGAGTCTGCAGTGACATAAGCGTCGGGGTTCGGACATAAACCCCGTCCAGTTCAACCTGCATGAACCACCTTGGAGTACGTGCTTGATTATTAGCTCTATCAAATGTTTGAATACATTTAAGTGCTGGTAGATTGATTAAACATCTGCAGCTCGATATTGCAGTAACTAAAGTCCCATTTAACTACTTATATGACATCTCGGAGAAATCAAGTGGATCATGTGCATAGATCGGACCTCCATCGATCCAAGATCGACACTCGCAGAAGGATTGTGATATTATGCAGGACGAACACATACTGAAAAGCCTAGTGGGTTAGCGTATCTGACCTATCGGGAATAAGACAAGCAACAGAATATCGTAGATATTCCAAGCTTTGAAAGTATAAATAGGTGATTGTATTCTGCAAAATCAACAGAGCAGTAGAACTATACCGACAAAATGAGGTCAACTCTCCTGATCACTGCATTCATCTCCCTCTTTCCCTCCGTTTTCCCAGCTGCTCTCGTCCCACCATCGCAAGATCCCTTCTATGATCAACCCAACAATATAAGCACCTACGCAGCCGGAGAGGTAATCCGCTCTCGCTCCGTGGATCCCCAGCTCGAATCCCTACTCTCTTTGCCAGTCGACATCTCCGTCAAAGCCGTCTCTCAGTTCCTTTTCCGAACAACCGATAACCTAGGTGATGCTGCAGCTGCTGTTGTCACGTTGATCGAGCCCCACAACTCCGATCCAACAAAACTAGTGGGATATCAGACATTCTACGATAGTGCAAATGTGGATTGCAGTCCTTCCTACACACTTCAGGCAGAGAGCGAAAGTCTAGTCAACTTACTCGCAGGCAATGTCTCGGAAGATGTCCCATTCGTGAGTGCCACACCAACTCACCTCCACATATATACCCCTTCATATGTACATAAATCTAACCACACACCGGGTATATAGATGGTTGGAGTCTTAAACCAAGGCTGGTGGCTCTACACAACAGACTACGAAGGCCTAAAAGCCGAATACACAACAGGCCTCCAATCCGGCTACGCAGTCCTAGACTCCACCCGCGCAGTCCTCTCCGCCGGTCCTGCCCTCGGCCTCTCATCATCCCCCAAATACGCATTATGGGGCTACTCAGGCGGCTCCCTAGCCTCAACCTGGGCAGCAGAACTACAACCCTCCTACGCACCCGAACTCAATTTCGCCGGCGTAGCTGTCGGTGGCACGGTCCCGAATATCAGCTCGATATTAGCGACTATCCATGACAGTACTGCGGCTGGGTTGGCGTTTTCGGGTATTTATGGAGAGTCGAAAGCTTTTCCTAATATGACTGCTTGGTTGGAAGAGAATCTTCTTTCGGATATGAAGGAGGAATTCTATTCTATTGCGAATGGGTGTTTAGCGCAAGCTACGGCTGCAGGTGTGGGAAAGGATTTATATTCCTTTTTCAATGGGGGAGAAGCTGCGTTCGAGATGGAGGTTCCGCAATCTATTTTCCGGTGGTCGGGGCAGTTAGGTGTTCATGGCATCCCTTCCGCACCGCTGTTTATCTATAAGGCTGTTGGAGATGAGATTAGTCCTGTTGCTGACACTGATGACCTTGTTGCGGAGTATTGTTCTGCTGGGGCTAGGGTTGAGTATCATCGGGATTTGGTGGGAGATCATGAGACTGAGGCTATCTCTGGTTCGGCTAGTGCGTTGGACTGGTTGAATGAGAGGTTGGCCGGGGTCGAGGTTGACGATGGGTGTATAATTGAGGATGTGGCCCTTACTTCGTTGAGTCTTGGGAGTGTGGCTTTCTTCGGGGAGGAGCTTTATTCGATCCTTGGGTCGATTTTGGGGGCGGAGCTTTGAGTGATTTAGATGATGTTGCCTTTTGTGATTGATTGTCTATGTGGATTACCTGTTTTGTAAAGAATGACTTGACCCAGCATACGGGGGGCATGACTTGATCAGGATAGGACCGTCGGTGGATGCCGATCAAAGTAACAGTTTGTACAATTGCCGAGCTACGTATACAGCTATATTCGAAAACAGATTCCCCCTCGAATAGACACGCGTTGTTTCTCGGCCCGTACCCGAAACGACCCTAATACGAATTCTACTGTAGCTAGGCTGTAAATAATACCTTTCTAAACATATGCTCGTTTTATCTCCAGTACGGCTGTATAACGTATCATAATACATCTTCACACGAAACTCGATTACCCCCCGTACTGGTGTGCCCCTCCATAATCCATCCCTCTTGATCTCTCAGCCCCAAAAAAAATTCATCATTCTGCAAAATAACATCGCCCGCATAACATGGCACCGAGACTATCACCCTCTAAACTAAAATTTATTCATGATATAATACTAAGCCAGTCACTAACCACGCCTCAAATGGCCGAGGCAGCAGACTGCAGCGAACGCACGGTCAAGAATATCCGCAGAAACCTGCGACAGTTCGGAAACGTCCATGCCCCTCCAAATCGTGTCGGTCGGAGGCGAAGCATAACGCCCCTAATGATAGAAGCGCTCTGTGAACATCTGCTCGAGAAACCCGGTCTGTATCTCGACGAAATGGCTGTTTTTCTTTGGGACGAAGTTTAGATGCTAGCGACAACATCAAGTATAAGGAGGGCCCTCGTATTTAAAGGTTGGTCCAAGGAAACGAGTCAACAGAGGGCCAAGGAGCGGAATGTAGAGTTGCGAGAACTTTATCTGCATAATCTTTCGGGATTTGAGTTATACCACCTGGTTTACGTTGATGAGTCTGGGTGTGATAAACGGATTAGGTTTAGGCGAACGGGTTGGTTACCACTTGGTGTATCCACTGTATAAGTGTCGTAGTTCCACGGGGATGAGCGGTATCAAATACTACCTGTATATGCCCAGGATGATATTGTGCTCTCTCGCGTTTTTCGCGGGTTGACGGATGCCGCTGTGTTCGAAGATTTCATCGATTAACTTCTTCGGCACTGCGGAAAATGGCCGGAGCCGAAGTCTGTCCTGGTCATTGATAATGCATTATTTCACCACTCCGAGCGTGTTGCGCAGATGTGTGCCCGTGTAGGAGTCAAGTTAGCCCTGGAGTTTACCTACCTCCGTACTCACCAGACTTTAATCCAATTGAAGAGTTCTTTGCTGAGCTTAGAGGCTTTATAAGGCGGAACTGGAGTTACTATGCGGACGATCCGGACCGGGAATTCTGGATCTCTCTTAAAGGATGTATCAACCAGGTTCGGGCAAGAGAAGATAGCGCTAGAGGTCATTTTCGGCACGCCGGCTTGACCATTGAGGATTTATATAGCTGACTTCTCCTTCTGACGGATACCACTACATTATCTAAGCGAACAACATTTGAATACAAAGTCTAGTCAAAATCACCATTCCTCTTTGATTCCTTGCTAAATATGTCTAATTTCTATACTTAGAGGTACTAATTCCCTCCTGTTGGAATCTATACTTACTCGAATTCAGGTTGACCACCTTGTTATAAACTATTTCTTAAAACCTTCTACACTAACTTGAAGCCATATTTTAAGATATCAAAAGGACAAGGCTAAATATTCCGATCCTATTCCGGTCTAGCGCTAGTCGATCACCTGACAATGAAGCTGTAAGGAACCCCTCATTCAGCTAAGCGACCTCCGCCTCCCTCGAGCGCCCATTACGGTATCAAATTTGCTTCCATCATGTCATCCGTCACTTATGGTGGCACAAACCATGGAATCCAGGTTGGAACCAACAACGGCTCGGTCACGGCAGAGTTCCACCAGTGTAGGTTCGATCGCGTATCTCAGAACCTAATGTCATGAGGCTCACACATATTATAGCAAGCACGCCAGAAGACATCAATCGATTTTGCCTACGGAATCTACGCTGTCCTGATTCGTTAGTGGTGAAACATCGCTTGACAGAGACCAAGGACAAGTTACACCGCCAATCGTTTGAATGGATTCTTCAGGACCCGCAGTATCAGAGTTGGCGAAATGGACAAGAGATTTGTCTGCTTTGGATTAAGGGCGGTGCTGGGAAAGGAAAAACCATGATGTCAATTGGTCTTATTGACGAGCTTTCAAGAATACAACACGACTCCACTATGGTAACTTATTTTTTCTGCCAAAATGCCGACAGCGAGCTGAATACCCTTGAATCAATTCTGAAGGGATTGATACTAAGGTTGGTGAATCAGCAAATCAAGCTGACAGAATCTCTCCGACGCCGCTGGGATACTAAGAACGACCGCTTTCATGATGATGAAGACGTTACCTCGTGGAGACACCTCTGGAACATCTTTTTAGAAATGTTGGATCGGTGTACCGCTTCGAGGATATATATCATTGTGGATGCTCTTGATGAGTGTCAAGACGGTGGCATGGTCGACTTCTTGAAACTCATCGTCCGGAATGGACTGGGTAACCCCGCCAAACTCAAATGGCTCTTGACAAGTAGACCATTAGATAGCGCAGAGCGAGCCTTGTTAGCCGGAAATGATCAGGTGCAAGTCAGTCTAGAGCTCAACTCAGACTACGTCTCTGAGGCTGTGAAGGCTTATATCGCTTATAAGGTGGATGAACTTAGTCTTTATCGCAAATATGGGCAAGCACTAAAAAGCGAAGTGAAAACCGCGCTTTCTGCAAAGGCTGAGGGTACCTTTCTGTGGGTGAGCCTCGTTTGCAACAGACTAGAGAGTGTCCACCGAGATAAGGCATTGACTACGATTCGGAATTTGCCGCCAGGTCTGCATTCCTTCTACGATCGGATACTAAATCAACTAAGCGAAGGCGAGCCAGATGATGTCTTTAAGTGCATGCGACTACTCAAGGCGATGATGCTAGCATACCAGCCTTTGAAAGTGGAAGAAGTGTCTAGCGTGACTGGAATAGCTGACGAAGACGACGCCATCGAGATGACAGTCAATCGCTGTGCTTCATTCCTTAGAATGCAGGAAAACAAAATCGAGTTTGTTCATCAGTCTGCTCGGGACTACTTGGGAGGGGAGAATGCACAGCCTTTGCTTGACCCACATAAGCGCTTCGGACATTACGAGATTGCACTAGGCTGTCTGTCTCATTTAGCCAAAAGGCTGAAGGTCAATCTTCTAGACCTTCCGCGACCTGACTCAACTATAGAAGATTGGAAACCGCTGAACGACGGGAAAAAGAAGGTACAGCTATCTTGTCTGGACTATGCCGCTACCTTTTGGGTGCACCATCTTGAGGATATTGAGCGAAGGTCAATAGTGCAGAGCGCGCTTATTGAGAAGGGCCTTGTTGGGATATTACTACACTCGAAATTGCTTGAATGGCTAGAATGCCTTATCCTATTAGGCAAGCTACCAATGGCTATCGAAGCGTTTAAAGCATTGGTGAATATAACAAAGGTCAGCGTTTGATGTTGTTCAACCTCTAGGGACTCCACTCACAAGCTTAACCTAGGGTGACCATTTAGCATCGGCACTTGTGCAGGATGCCAACCGTTTTTTGTTGCAACATTACCAACTTATAAATTGTTGGCCGTTACAGATATATAGCACTGCTATTATCTTTAGTCCTGAATCGAGCGTCGTGAAGAAGAACAATTTAGATCGAATTCCGGCATATTTAAAGAATGTTCCAATCATGCAGGGCACTTGGGGCTCCCTGATACGAACACTAGAAGGCCACTCAAACTCAGTCTGGACTTTGGCCTTTTCACCAGACGGCAAGCAGATCGCATCAGGCTCCGGTGACGATACCATCAAGCTTTGGGATACCGCCTCAGGTGACCTTCAGAAGACACTAGAAGGTCATAAATATTGGGTCAATACTGTGGCCTTTTCATCAGATAGCAAGCAGATCGTATCAGGTTCTGACGAAAAAACCATTAGGCTTTGGGATGCCGCAACAGGTAACCTTCAGATGACACTAGAAGGCCACTTAGAGTCAGTTAACACTGTGGCCTTTTCACCAGACGGCAAGCAGATCGCATCAGGCTCCAGTGACGATACCATCAAGCTTTGGGATACCGTAACAGGTAACCTTCAGATGACACTAGAAGGCCACTTAGAGTCAGTCAACACCGTGGCCTTTTCACCAGACGGCAAGCAGATCGTATCAGGTTCTGACGACAAAACCATCAAGCTTTGGGACACCGCCATAGGTGATCTTCAGAAGACAATAGAAGGCCACTCAAATCGAGTTAATATTGTGGCCTTTTCACTAGACGGCAAGCAGATCGCATCAGGCTCTGATGACAATACCATCAAGCTTTGGGATACCGCAACAGATAACCTTCAGAAGACACTAGAAGGCCACTTAGAGTCAGTCAACACTATGGCCTTTTCACCAGACGGCAAGCAGATCGCATCAGGCTCTAATGATAATACCATCAAGCTTTGGGATACCGCCACAGGTGATCTTCAGAAGACAATAGAAGGCCACTCAGACTGGGTTAGGACTGTGGCTTTTTCACTAGACGGCAAGCAGATCGCATCAGGCTCTGATGACAATACCATCAAGCTTTGGGATACCGCAATAGATGACCTTCAAGAAGACCACTCAGACTGTGTTAGGACTGTGGCCTTTTCACTAGACGGCAAGCAGATCGCATCAAGCTCTGATGATAACACCATCAAGCTTTGGGATACCACAACAGGTGACCTTCAGAAAATACTAGAAGGTCATTCATATTGGGTTAGGACTGTGGCCTTTTCACCAGACGGCAAGCAGATCGCATCAGGCTCTGATGATAACACCATCAAGCTTTGGAATACCATTACAGGTGACTTTCAGAAGATACTAGAAGGCCACTCAAGGCGGGTTAACACTATTGCCTTTTCACCAGACGGCAAGCAGATCGCATCAGGCTCTGATGATAAAACCATCGTGCTTTGGGATACCGTAACAGGTGACCTTCAGAAAATACTAGAAGGGCACTCAAGGCGGGTCAACACTGTTGCCTTTTCACCAGACGGCAAGCAGATCGCATCAGGCTCTGATGACAATACCGTCAAGCTTTGGGATATCGCCAAATACTTTAAAAGCTCCTATTCCCTTCCAGGTCTTTTCGCTAGACAATGCAAGCTGCGACACTACAGAGAATTTCAAACCTCAGAGCCGGTCGTTAGCCTAAACTTTTCACCATGTAACCGGTACCTTGCAACAAACATTGGACCTATCATGCTTGAGTGTATTGCTACGGACAAACAGGACAGAAGCCGACATTCTTTGCAGAGTCTTGATTTCCGAGAACAGTGGATATTTTATGGAGAAACACCCTTCTTTCGGCTACCGTCCGGTTTTCTGCCATCGTCTTTAGATGTGCAAGGCGATCAGGTTGCTATTGGATTGCGAAATGGTCAAGTTCTGAGCTTGAATATTGATCGACACATTTTGCAGTCAATGCTAGACGCTCCAGTTAACATTGAGTAGGCTAGGTAGGTAGAAATCTGGCGAGGATAGGAGACAGGCACATTGACTGCTGGAAGCGTTGCAAGGTCAAATACAATTTTGTAGTCTATACAGGCACTTTGTATATCTTTTTACGTTTCGATTAGGATCTCGTTAGTTATTGTGATTATTTCTCTATCTATTGTTAGAACTATCACGAAAACCAAATGCGCATTCAAGTATGATACGAGAGATATATTACTGTATTCTCTATCAAGGAAAACCAGGCCCAAAAGCGACAATAAACCGCACCTAACGCCGACACGCTTCTCTAAACTAGCTCCAGAACGGGTCAGAACGGGTATCACGTTCTTCACATTCTCAGCCTAGTCACGAATATTTTCTACAAAACTTCGGGCGATTCTGGGTTGAATTCCTTTGCCGACGAAGAAATCTGGGTTTTGATCCATGTAGATATGCTCAAGGTCAAACCCATCTGATAGCGTTACGTCACATACTTGTCGAAACGCTACTTTGAGGGTTTCATCAGATACAGTTAATGCAAGCCACTCACCATATTCTTTCACTGCTATGTCTTTGAACCCCGGGATCCTTGATAGACCTGTATCTTTCTGGGCTAAGCCAATACCTAGGTAGTAGCCTTAGGAGCTATGATATCTAATCCGGCGGGGTGGGAAGGGAGAACGTTAATGTTAATTAGTGGATAAGGCGTTCCACTCGCGGGAACGTTACCCCCTTTCCGCTTTACTTTTTCCTCCCTCTACTGCTCCTCCATATGTAGTTCCTCCCGGATTTCATTAGGAACATCTTGGTGGGTCTCTAGGGCACCACCTTTCTCTACATAGGAGACCAAGCGCCTCGATGTTTATGTGCGAAGTTGTTAATGCTTTTTCCCCATTGGGTCGAGCCAGCAGTAGGGGCCTAAGTGGCATGTAGCTAAATCATATTTCATTAAGTCATACACATAGCGTCAAATTGCTTTCTGACCACTTGCGTTTTCTTTAGCATCTAGCTGCGCATCTCGATCTTCAAGCATCCTCTCTGTCATAGAAGACCTACCTCTTTTCTCCCCCTTCCGTCCAGTAGATAAAGAAACACACTCCTCTACGAAGTTAAAACAGATCCTTAACGTGAGTCTCTTCCCTCGACCGAAGTGACTAGACTATATCTAAAGCTGTTTCTCGATGGCAGTCCAAATAATATCGGTCTTGTTGAACCGCTTACGTGCCGAGAAACACCGCGTGAGTGTCCTTAGGGGAATTGTTTTCGAATTCAACTGTACTTCGAATACCTGATTCGAACTGCACGTAGATCCACCAGGTTACTGAGCTTTGAGTCAGGTCATCGTTTGCTTGATCATAGTCTACATTCTTGCAACTCAAGACTGAACTGTTCTACAGTAGAAATCTACAGCAGAACAAGATTGACCATATCATATGCCTATCCATGGCAGAGGTATCGTCTTTTGAGAATTTAGTGTAAACTCTGGATATGCGGTGACATGTCCCGGTCACTTTGGACGTAAAATATTGGGAGAAACAAAGGGAGCAAATGGAGATAAAATAGAAGGGCGGATTGAAGACGAGAATTAGGAGAACAGGAGGTATGAAATGGTTTTTTTTCGGGTTTGAGGAGTTTCGGAAAGAGGCGCAGACTAGGAAAGAATAGGGGCGAGCATTGCAATTAGGACATGAGAAAGGGGCGGACGAGGAATCAAGGCTATGAATCATAGTCCTTGGAGAGATGATTTGATGTTTAGGAGGTAGGAGACAAAGCGGGAAGGAAAAATGAGGAGGCAAGAGGTAGAGACCGGAGGGAGAGAAGCCAAAGGAAAAGGTATGCGATATAGTAGGTGGGTTAATCGCGTGGGATTTTGGCGAAACGAAGGCTGATCTCCGAGGTAAAAGAGCATACGATAAGTAGACTCGAGTGAAAAGGCGGTAAATCTTGTCGAGCTCAGTCGAACTGCAAAGACTATATCCAACTCCGAGAACATATCGCAGCAACTTTGACCTCGCGAGTCGAGGCATAGGGGGGAAATCGGTGAACGGGAATCAAGATAGAAAAGGTAACGCGCTTGCACATGACCGTCGCTGATCATGACCGACAGTCTCTGAAGTCATAAGGTTCAAGAAACGCAAAAGGAACCGTGGAAAGCGGTTCCATTCAGACTGCCAGTTTTAGACATCCTTTACTCCTGGGGGAGCTGGTGACGGCGAGTCTTCTCGGCCTCGAGGTTCTCGTAAAGAAGGTAAAGGGCCTTTTCGTTGGCCTGGGCACTGCCCATGATGGTGAACATGCGCTCGCCAGTCTCATCATGAGGAGCCTTGGCAATAGAGATGCGGGCTCCAGAGCTGCGGCGAATCTCGGTAATCTTGGTTCCAGCCCGACCGATAATGCAGCCAACCATGTCCGCGGGGATGCTGATGTTTTGGGTTTGAATCTCTTCGCCATCCTCGGTAGTCAGAGGGAATCCACGAGTACCAGCATCGGAGTTGGACCGACGGTTGTAGCCACTGTTGTCGCTGAAGTCGGCGCCGTTGCCGGTGCGGTTGTACTGACGGCTGGCGTAACCATTGCCGGCCACCGGGGCGGCGTTGCCGTTGTTGGTGAGGGGCTGGGAGCCAATTGTTGCGCGCACAGCGGGGTTGTAGAGCACAGTGCCGGTTCCACGCTGCCAGTCATCAATCAGACACTTGCCAATCTCCCAGACAGCCTTGTCAATACCATCGGGGGTGCCCTGCACCTCCACAATGCGCTCAGTAGACTGAGGAAGCATCTCCTTCTGGGCGACCATCCGCACGCCCGATGCATCCTGGATGTGCTTAATCTTCAGGCCCTGTCGTCCGATGATGGTACCCATCTGGTTGTGGGAAATAAGGAGTCGCACGGCTAAAATTGAAGCAGTTAGCAGCTGTCCTGATCTAGTTCAAACGCTCCACATCCACAAGGAATCTGCAAAGGCATCTCCCCAGGGTACGAATAATCTCTCGATGAGATTCTTCAGCCCCAGGTGGGGAAAAATCGAAGTACTTACGGTGGGTCCCATTGTTGGAGACAACACCACCCATGCCCATTTGCGGGGCTCCCTCCAAAAGACCCTTGGCCACGATCGCATAGGCGCGAGCAGTGCCTTGCAGGGGACCAGTGACAGTAAGAACTCGGTCGTGAACACCAGGAACGACCTTGCTCACACCAGCTTTAACGCCGGTCTGGTCGCGCAGGTCGGCAACGTTCTTTCCAGCCTTGCCAATGATAACACCAGCCTCCTTGGACGAGACGATAGCACGCAAAGTCAGCATGGACGCCGCGTACTCCTCCTCGGTCTTGGGGGTGGCATCGATGTCGCCCTCGGGGACATCGTTGAAGGTGTCGGGCATGGTCTCGTCAACCACGGGTTGGTGAGATTCGGTGGTATCCATAACGTCCATTATTTATGCAGAAACGGGTGAAGAGTCGGCGTTTGAGATGGGGGGTTTTCGGATTCAGATGAGTTCGGGAGTCAGACGGTCGCGGAAAAGAGGGGAGCTTCACTTAGTAACACCACGGTCAGCTTCTGCGGGGTCAAAATTGCAGCGCACATCACGAGTGACTTTGCGCGATCACAGGATACACGGTAAGAGCCAGTTTCGGTGGCAGAAGACTCCAACGTGGATGAGTAGCTTACCGATGAGGGTCCGAGATTGAAGTGGAGAAATCAGCGGAGGGGGGGGGGGAAAGGAGGGGAGGAGCGGAAATTCGGAGAGGGGGGGGAATGGGAGAGGAGGAAAAAGGGAGGGAAAGGAGGACGAGAAAAGGGTGGGAGGGAAGAGAGTTGAAGAGATGGAGGGGGAGACGTCGTGAAAGAGTTGGAAGAGGGAATGTGGTGAGTTTAGCGGAGACACCAGTTGACCTTGGATACATCATCTCTCCACCCAATTATATACATCATACCTTCTTCACCAACCCACCGGGGCATGGATACTGTTCACATCTAAACCATCCACAAGCTTATTTCAATTCGACATTTGAAGGATTCAATTTTCATTCCATGTCATTTAATCCAGCCCTGGAGTCCGATTAAAGTCGCACCGGATCATCTTCCTATCTCGGTCACCAGCCCATCATACCCACTATACCACCCCCATTGTGCATTCTGAAAATTTCAGACTGAGTCAATAAATTCAACCAGATACTCAGATTTGACCTACGTCCTTCTTGATCTCTTGGTAGCTCATGTTTTGGTGTTTCAGCTCGTGCGAGAGCAGGCACACGACCAAGTCGAGTTGCACGGATATGCAACTCTTGTGGACCCCCAGAGAATCCCCATCTTCAACGATTGGAAGACTAGGTGTCAGTCTTCACTCACTTGGCTTTTTACAAATTAAAACTATACTTCAATAGCTCGATCAGCTGGGACGAGAGATTCGAATGGGCAACCTTGGCCGGGCCCACATTGACCACAAAGAGTCCCAAGGAAAACCGTGTTGAACATGACACTATACCTGTCATCATTATCAAAACCCGTCAACAAGATGTCATTAATGAAAGCTAACCTGATCTTCCCCTGACTGTCCGGGTGTGGAGAATGTTTAAATGCAAGGAACTGGTCTCCCCTTGCTTTTGCGGGGTTGAAGAACCAATGAATTCTGTTACTAATTAAATTTCCCAGCTCCAGAGTGTGGCCATTCAATCTCAATATAGATTTGGAATTTCCTCGATACACTACCGAAAGCTAACTAGATGACCCCTCTAGATAGCCGATTTTACACACACGTCCACGCTAAATCAACCTCTGCAGAACCAATTCCCGGCCAAACCAAACCCCACACACCAACCACCCATCCGATACTCCATCATGCACGTAATTTCGTAGAACTTACTGTCCAACCCTACTGGTCAGGCAAGAAGATAACCTTCTGAACCTTCATAGCATTGAACAGCTCATATGCCTCCACAGCCTGTGACAGCGGCATCATCTTCTCAGTCATGAATCTGCTGGTAATTAGCAAACGTCCATATACTACAGATTAAAAAGGAATGCAAAGGAATGCACATACCCCAGCTTATGCTGATTTTTCTTCAAGATCTCCAAAGCCTGCGGTGCAACCGATCTCACGGGGCACCGGCCCATCTGAACAGTAAGGTTCTTGTTGTAGGCATCAGCACCACCCCAAGGAATCTGCAAAATCGTCAGTACAATGCACAATCCAAAGACGAATATCATCTCACCTCAGCATTATGAACTCCAACACTGCTGATAGTACCCCAAGGACGCAAAAGATCATAAGCAGTCCGCAAAGCAGGGCTCAAACCCACAACCTCAATCACAGCATCAGCACCCCGGCCGTCCGTCAACTCCAGAACACGCTCATCTAGAGCCTCACGGTCGGTCATAAAGTTCCACGGTTCAGCACCAAGCGACTTCGCAAGCTCAAGTCTCGAAGGGACAGAATCAACAGCCAGAACATGCTTAGGCTTGAATTCGAGTGCGTTGATGAGCGCGCAAAGACCGACAGGACCACAGCCGATAATGACTACGGTTTGCTCGGCGATTTGCTCAGCTGTGGAGTTCTTGAATGCGTTGCTAGCGGCAAAGTAGCCCGTTGGGAAGATATCGCCCATGAGCACGAGATATTTGTCGTCGACACCTTCCGGGGCAATCATTGCGGAGCCCTCAGCGTTGGGGATTCGGATCTGAAGTAGATTAGCCTGGAGTAACTCAAGGTAGTCAAGGTGAAGCTTACATATTGAGCCTGGCCACCGTTCAGGACCTCACATCCAAAGAGCTTGCTCTTCTCGCAGCGAGAGGAGAATCCTTGCTTGCAGTAATAGCATTTGCCACTGATATAGTATTAGCATCATCCATGCATCAGAGTAGAACCAATGCCAACCCTATACATACCACGAAGTTGTGAAAGCGCTAACAACACGATCGCCCATCTTGAAGCTCTTAACCGCACTGCCAAGCTCAACAATCTCACCCACAAACTCATGACCCATGATAAAGCCCGGGGAAGCAGGCTCAACACCACGGTAAGTGTGCAAATCACTACATTAATCAATTAGCAAAATCAACCAACCCTTCATCTAATTTTTCGGATAGATATCTCATAGATCAAACTCACCTTCCACAAAGCGCCGTATATGTCGCCTTAATCACCACATCCTCAGGATCCAGCACAGTAGGAATAGGCCGCTGCTCCACGGCAACCTTGTACGGCTCGTGGAAAACCACAGCTTGCATCATACCGGGGGCAGTAGGGGCGGCCATTTTGAAAGAAAAAGGATCGTATAGACTTGAGGTAGATGATTACGAAAGCTGGATTGGAGGGGTAAACTCCGGGTTCAACCGAGCTTAACGAAACGTCTTCTGCTGAGAGAACGGAGCTCTGGTAGTTCCGGGTGGTCTTTGTCAAAGAAATCGCAATTGAGGATTTATTTGCGGGTCCCGTTACGTCTTTCTGTGCGTGGTGGGTCTTCGACGGCTAGTTGATGGGGTTGCCTCGCAAGACCGGATCGTTCCGAGGTCAAGGTGTTCTGGGTGTGCTTAAAGACTTGAATTAGAGACCTTGCGATCTATAGTATTTGGCAATGAGGGGGCATTTAAATAGCATTCACGCGGTGCTGTGCTGCGAGCACGGAGGTGGTTTAAGTTGGGCATCAGCGTCATAGATATGAATACCTAGGTATCGGAACCGAGGCGAGGGTACATATATGTATGAGAATTTGACTTTATGTTATCAAATTTGACTGGCGATTTATCAGACCAGCATATATGATGATTAACATAGTACAATTTAGCTAGACTTTCAACAGAAAGCAGTCGAATTTAGCTGTCTATAATTCAAGGTTGAGTAGAGATTCGATTATAAACTCGAAGACAAAGATTAAAGCAAGAATTCAATAGCCATAGCGTAAGTAGGATGTATCTATAAAACATCTCCTTGCGCCCAAAGCCTGCCTTGCCCTGCAATAAGCGGCTCATCCTTGAAAAGGGCACATCATATGGCAAAATTCAAGTGCTCCGCGCAACGCCTGTCAGAAACACCAAAGCTGGCAAAGGTTGAAAAGCAGACCGGCTGAATCAATCAATCATCAATTTGGCAGCAGAAATATGCGGTTATAAGAAGAAAGGCAACGCTGATCTGATCGCAGGAGGAATGGTGGTATCGAAGGTGGTCATGATCGTGTGGGTTGGTCCAGGAGGTATGGAGATCGTCATTGTGCATTTAGCACACGATGCAGAGCAGTTCCTCCTCCAAAATGAATTTCCCTTCTTTGTATTTCTCGCTGGCCTCGTATGCTTTGTCGTACTTCCATCCTACGGTTTCGTTGCACTGGCGGCAGGTGATGTCACGTACGATATGGCGGCCGGTGGTCATGCTACGCTCCACGGCGTCGGACTGGTTGACATTGACGACCATGTTGAATAAGTATGCTTTGCCGTGTTGGCCCCGGAAGTTCTGTGAGAGAGAAAGGGTTAGTGGCTGGTGGAGAGCGACACTTTTTCTTCAGTGACTCACCCGACTTATGATGTCGTTATAGTCTGCAAGATGTGTCTTGCATGACTTGCAACCAAAGATCTTGTTGGAAGTCAAGTAGATATTGTATGTGAGACCCATGGTGGCTGTGTTGGGTTGCGATCGCTGGTAGGGGGGTTTGTCAAAGGACGAGATTCAGAAGTATAAGGTGGTTGAGGTCAGTATTTAAAGGTGATATTAGGCAACAGGTAGGCCTAAGGCTAGAAACACGTCCGCAGAATCCGGCTTATGTTGGAAAGCTCTAGGCTGTCACGGAGGCTCATGGGGTATCCAGCGCAACTTCGGCCGGCGGTGCTGGGTCAGTGATGCCCGGCCCTCAGCTCGTTTCGAGAAGACCAGCCCTAAGACCCTCCAGAATATCTTCCACCCCTTTGGGTATTCGATCGTATGGAATCGTCGTCCTGCTCTGACCAGAGAGCTAGAGGATGAGGGAGGGAGGTCACGTCGGTGCAGTTCGGATGACGATAAGGTCTCCGCACGATAAGATCGGAAGACGAATTCACGTGTAGGATGAACTTGCGGACTTATTGAGGGAGAGAGGCGTGATTTATGATATGTTTCAGCTTCAGGAGCAAGGAAACCCCTTACTCTCAAATGTGAAAGAACTGTTGAAACTGGGTAAAGTCAAGTTAGCAAGTAATCAACCTCAGGCAAAAGCACCCCGCACCGGATTCGGGCTAGATCACCTGTTTACTTTGACACCTTAAGTCATTCCTCTATTCGTCAAGCATGAGAATACACGAAGATACATACAAATTGTCCTTCTTTTGAGCAGTCTGGCCAATCATTGCGGTTCTGCTATAAAACAAGACTAAGTATAGTACTTGCCCTCAACCCCCTGTACATCAAGTCTCGCCTCAGCCCCTCAGCATGACAACAAGGTTAAGCAACCTACAGCAGATTTCTAGGCAAATCATTTACGGGAATACTGCATAATGCATAAGAAAAACCAGTATCTATTTTGGGTAATGACAAAAATCCCTGTACAAAGCGCCAGTCAAATGTGCTCCTGCATGCTCTTCCATATTACACAACGGTCGAGACGGAGCCTCGACAAAACGACTCTTTTTAAATATTTCACTCGTAATCCTTCACATAGCGACCAGGCAACTCAACATCCCACAGAGGCCGCTCAATCACCGCCACTTCTAGGCCGCCCGCCTCGTCACCTGATGTGGTGTTGAGGGGCACAATACCAAAGATGTCACGGTACTTGTAAGTGTGCCACCAACGCCGCGCAACCTGGTCATTGGCGACCACCAATTGCTTTTTCGGAGTGTCGCCGAGCCCATTGACGGTTGGCTTACCCTTGGCTCCCTTTTGTGGGGTATCGGGCTGAACGACTGCGTCACCACGTCGGAGACGGGCCAGTGCACCTTCACTACCAGCCGCGAAGGTCTCATCGTATTCGTATGCCTCATCATCATCTCCTAGAGTGCGCGGCTGTTCCGAGTCGAGTGAGACCCACTCGCCCTGGGACTGGTCGCTGCCAACAATCTTGCGAACCTTGGTGCCAAGGTGAAGATCCATCTGTGAACGGGGAATCCGATCACCAGCACCAGTGTTGGCCTTCTTGCGGTCATTTTCAACATCCTCGAGGGGATCGCGCTTGCGCTTCGAAGCCTGGACTAGCTGGCCAGAGGACTTGTTCTCGGCCTCGACTTCCTCGGAGGATGGGAAATCTTGCTGCAGGTCAAACATCCACAACCAAGAGGTTCCGTACAGCCAGAGCCGTTCACGGCCCTCATAGACATCCCACATGCAGCCCATGGCACGGTCTTTCACACCCCGGAACTCGGCTGGAAGGTAAGCCTTGGGGTTGCGTCGTGACCAATCCGAAAGCTTGCCACTAAGAGCCTCGAATTCGATGAGTTGATGCTCGCTGGTAAGTACCATCAGTCTGTCCTCGGCGGATGTGTGGTTGGCACCGTTGGTCAGCGCCTTTGTCTCGGCGCTTTGTGGGCGGAAGGACAGAAGGGTGATTCCTGACTTCATCCGGGGGATGGGAGACTCGGAAGCAGCCGTGCTCCAGCGCTCTCCCTCAATCACAATATCTTCATCTTCGTCATCGGAGGACTCGTCGTCAGAGTCGGAGGCTCCGTTACTCTTAGACTTGCCATTTGTAATAGGTTCGGTCGCAGCACTGAGCGCCCAAGTATCCACACAGCCAGATAGATCACCCGTAGCCAAAATCTTGCTATCTTCGGAGAAGACAACAGTCCGAATAGCTCTCTCATAATCACCCAGGGTACCATGGGAAACCTTCTCGTGTCGTACATGACGTGTGGCACGCTTGAGATGCGCAAGTTGCGGTAGTACCTGAGGCTTCTCTGTGGCCGAGGAGGCTGGCTGAATTCGTGCCACATAAACATCGCTATTAGGACGGATCACCGAGAGCCACTTGCTATCGGCGGAAATAGCGACAAGGCGTGCGCCTGTGGAGGAGAGGGACTGGGGGGTATCGATCTTCTGTATCCGCAATGCCCCCTTCTCGTCACCCTTGCGACGACGAACGGTAAACAATTTCACATCAGAGACTGTAGCAATAGCGAGCAACTTTCCGTCTGAAGATAATCCGGCAGAGGTAATGTTTTCTTCGCCCTAGATGGAAGATAGTATCAGCATGGTCCAATGTCTCCAAAAGAATAGGCTGTGAGATCTTACCTGGATCATAACCTTTCCTACCAGTTTGTGCCTTTGACCATCGAGGGTCTCGTGTACAGAGGCCGGGCCCCGGGATACACGCCATAAGCTGACTTCTCTATCCCAGAAGCTCATGACCAAACGAGAAGCGGGCGAGGAGGTAAGTTGAGGGATCTGAGGAAGGTTGGACAATTTTCGGTGGTGTTCCTTTCCGAATTCGCGCAGTGGCAAGACAACGGGAGTTGCATCAGGGCCTGCAAAATGATGTTAGTATCAGGCATATAGATAGGTCTGATAGAAGGTCTACATACCGCCAGACACGGCAATGCTGATGTCTTTTGTCTCGTAAACCGCGAAAGTCTTGACATCATGCGAGTGGTATCGTCGGTGCATAAGCTCAGCCCAACGAGACTTCTTGTCGCCCTTATCACCATCCTGCTTGCGGTAAACGACTGTTCTCTGATCGGCACCACCGCTAATAACTGTATCGCCATTTGAGCTGCAAGCCACATCAAGCACATCTGCCAAATGACTCTGGATCCGTTGAATAAGAGAGTAGTTCTTGGCATCCCAGAAACGAATTTCACCAGCAGAATCACCGGAGACAATTGTACCATCCGGAAGACACTTGACCGACCAAACCAAGAGTTCCTTGGAACCACCCGTAGGGCCCTTTCCAAGCGAAATCGTCCTCAACTGCTGACCGCTGCGAATATCGAACAAACGAATAGAGCTGTCGGCGTAGCCCGCAACAATGGTGTGACGGTTCTGGAAGGTAACGCTGAGCACACGGGCTCTCTTGGTGGAAGGGCGCATCAAGCGAAGGAACTTCAAATCATTGTCCGCGGTAGACAAGATCACAATCGAGCCATCTGCACATCCAGCAGCCAGGTGCTGCCCTGTGAACTCTCCCTCAGCGGGAGGCAGGAATTTTCCGTCCTTGCCTCTCTTTGTAGGCTGCCAGCGGGGCTGGGCAGCAAGACACCAGATTTCTCCATAGTTTCCGCTCGAGTGACGCAGCGGACGTCCCTGCTCCAAATCCCACTCAGTCACGGCCGTAGAGTACCCAATGCTGAACAGGCGCAGTTGGCCAGGCAACTTGGCACCATCAGGTCCTTCCTCTTGGGGATCCAGAGTCCAGGTCAGTCCCTCAATGCTGCGGTCCTTTCCTCCACGAAGCACAGACTCCTGGAACCATGCGCCGCGCAACGGATTCCAGATCTCAATGTCGCCGTTCGCACGGCCGATAGCGAGTCGAAGGGTCGGTACGCCTCGTCCGGCGAGATCGGCGGATGGTGGGTGGGAAAAAGCAAGCGAGTTGATCGCCTGGGGATTGTAGGAAACGAATCGACAACGGTGGATATCCATGGTGAAGACTTTTGGGCTTTGAAGCCTAGGCGCTCTTAAAGATTGATATTAAAGACGGATGAGAGCACAGAAGTGAGTTTTGAGGTGCGGGGGGAATCAATTCAATTCAATTCAGCTCGGGCAGCGATGCAAACCCTTACGCACTCATCTCGAACAAAAATTGGGAATAACGTGCGGTGTCGAAGCTGGACCTCTGATGCGCGATCACTTTTTTTTCCGTAGATAAATTTTAGCGGGCCGGAATATCTTGGCGGAGAGTTTATGTCATGTGATGTGGGTTCTCGTGCCTTGTGAACGAGGCATCAACAATTTGTATGCTAATATAGTCCTACCCGCGACAATAATCGCAGGACTTGTGATTGTTGACCTCTTGCTGTTGTGTTTGATCTTGTCAGTAGTACAGACTACAGTATATATTCATGGCACTACTCAGTGTTGTGGTCAACTCAAGTAGTGCTTAAATGCTTCATAGACTGAGAATCTCAACAAATCTTCATTAGATGCTAAGTAATCCGTACACCTACGTAGAGAGAATAAAGACCTGGAAATTAATACAGGTATCAAATGTTGAAAACCGTTCGGAATGCGTATTCAAAAACCCAGTACGATTGAAATGTGGCAAAAACGATAGGCCTTGGTTTTTTCCTTCGCTTGCAGTAGCAGAAGCGAAAGCAGGATTTCCCACCATTTCATAGCTTAAAAGGCTGTCAAAACTGTTATCAGAGGGCCATATATAGCCAGACCTTGCTGATCAAAGCGCCGCTCGGAGTAGTTCATGCTTAGATCCAAATTAGGAGGGCAATTCGGCAAGACTATTGGATACCTGACGCAATCTTGGCATGTCGGCTACCCAATGTTGGGTACAGTTCCATATCCCGGTCGCTGGTGGCGTAAACAGGGGTATATCACTGTTGAATGTTGAACGCCATTGGGGATGGAAGAGGGGCAACGTGTTCTGTCATGAAGGGATCTGGCAGCGACTACTATCAAGCAATGCGGAATTGTATGCGACAGGCTCAGCTGGATGTATGACGCCTCCACGGGTGCGTGGCTCATATCCAATCCCGTACTGTTGCTTGCGACCGGCTTGAAGATTCCATATAAGGGTTGCTTGCATGCAGGGCCCGCTGGAGAGGTGCCACGTCAGAAGCATCCCCATTCGTCCTTTGACAGAACTGTGGCTGGTTTTCAGGTGGTCACCCCGAATCATGCATTTATTATGTATCAGACGCCTGGGCTAATCGAGGGGTTGGGGCTTCTGATAGGGTGTGCCACACTTTGAAATTGCCGGCCACCTGCGATCGGCCCTGCCAGAGATCAGCAGGCGACGCAAGACAAGCAAGGTCAAAGCTGACGGAAATTCAATCCGATTGTGATTGGCCCGTTCTAGCAGATGTGCATGAGGGGAAGAGAGGAAGTGCTTTATCGTGTCCACACAAGCTCCGTCCTTCGGGGGGCTGCCACGGAACCAAGAATTGAATGGTTAAGTCCGGCTTCTTGCTTCACTTGCAGGCATGTTGATGCGATGTGGCTGACTAGGTTGGCTTGGGTGGTTTTCATTTGCTGCTCGGTGCTGCGGGGTGATCCTTCCACCCCCGTCAGCATGGGCTCGGGCGCACCAGAGTCGACGGGCTCTCCAATAAGCCAGTCAACCGATAAGCACTGGATTTCAACATAAATATGTTTTGTGTCAAATTGGCGCGATCGAGGCCAGACACTCCATGATTCATGGTGGAGGCGGCAAGCTGAACTCAATTGAAAGACATCTTCGTATGCTGCCTTGATGAGAGTTAAATTGCTAGATCCACATTTCGGGCTGAGCTGGGCCACGATCTTGGATCTGAGCCCCCGAGCTCCCCCGCTTGGAAGGATGTGATGTCCCGTAGGACTGACCGGCTCAGAGAAAAGGTTAGGGTGCCAATGTTGCCAATTGTTGATCGAACGCGTACCAGTTGGACACTGAAGATCTCATAACATCGAGTGCCGAAATTGGATCTGAAGCAGCAGGGGCCCATCGGAAGTTAGTGAACTCAGAATCAAGAATATCTTGCAGCTAGCCTGTCATCCTGCCATGGTAATCCAGCTTTAGCCTGAACCTTGGAAAAACGGAAGGGGCGTAGGACTTCCCCCGTCCAGGTCAGGGTTTTGGACAAGTTCGTCGGTAACGAAGAGGGGAAAAGCCTCCGGATCGGCATTAATATAAAGGTAATGTCAATCTGACGCGATCGCCGAATCAGCACGCGTCGAGGCGACCGGGATTCATGCTAAGCTGGAAATCAAATCATTGTCCGTCGGCCCCTATACGGACGGTGGCCGAGACGCTGATGCATATGCGCTGTCCATAGTTAGATAGAATATGATCAGTAATTAGAGAGCACTTGTGGTCTCACGGAGGCGGGCTATTTCACGAGATCTATTGGAAAATTGCAGTCGTTTCTGCAAGTTAGCCTCAGCCACGAAGACTAACGCAAAGTGTGGGACGCGAACTGGTAATGACGGCATAGATTCCAGCCGAGGTGGACACTAAACCGTACACAGAAGCTATGGATCGCCCCCAAATTCAGGCTGGATATGATCCTTGCACTTGCATGGAAAGCTAAAGATAGAGAGATTTCGATCAGGTTCTTGACGTGCGCGTGTCCTAGCCCTCTCCGCCCAATTAATTCCTTTTTCAGACGCGCATGTTAAGTAATCGGTACTGTATACAGAAAGCTCCGAAGTGGAGCTTTTTGTTCTTTACGCGGGTATTCTCCACTCCGTTTATTAGTCTAAACTATGTCCGGTTTAGCGCCGTACTGGTTAGCCTTACTCTTCCGATTGCCTTTCGTGTTCAATCGGACTCATCTTGTCAGGAAGCAGGGAGAAATGCAGTGAAACCTGTTCAAGCTGACGTCCTCTTGTTATTTGAGCTAAGCAAGCCATTGATCATGCCAAATCAGTTCCAAAACAGGTGTAGGATCTGATCTATTGCAATCTGCAAAGTAAAGGGGCGGGGAATAGGGGAGGTCAAAAATACCCTAAACCCATGGTTGAGCCTCCACCCACTTTACACATAGGCCTTACCGAAAGAGGACATATTGTCTTGACCATTTGATTCGCGTTGCTAATTAGCACCACTCTTATTCGCGGTGGGGTCCACGCGAAGATTTTTGCCTCTTGACAGACGTCTAACGTCGGCATCTACTCCCTTGCTCAAACAGATATTGAGTTGGTTGTTAGATATCACAGTTTAGATACAGATACATGATACAGCGGTCTGCCATTGCCAACGAAGAATTTTCAGGTCCGCAGGCAGGAGTTTCCCAAGTGCTGAATTGGTTTTACTGTATGATGCAAGCTTGACGCACCTTGTCCACGACCCCGGAACCACTCTTAATTTAAGGAAGCCCGAACAGGAAACATCCAACGTGGTGGGGTGGTTCCCGCTGAAAAAAAACTTCACGATGCAGAACACTCCGCAGAGGGGCAGCAAAACAGAAAATTTCTCACCGGTCAAGTACGTCAAGTACAGTCAAGGTTAAGTACATTGTTCGATACTTTCCAGTTGGCAATTAAAGCAAACATGTATAGGGATCGATTCGTAAGATAATTTTGGGGCCGAAGGATTTGGAGATGATCCCATATAGAAACATGACATATCAAAAATAGTAATATTGCATGTCGAGAATACAGCATTTTCAGCTTCCTTTACTCAGTGGTTAGGACGGTCGTAGAAACCCGGGACGCCGACGTTTGTGTACGGTACCCGCAACATCCGGTCAATTGCCACTTGTTTTTCACGTCAAAACCAGTGGAGTGAATGTCAATTCAGCGGGGCGAAGGCCACATAAAGACCGCTTCAACCTTGAGTAAAACCGGCGAAACACGCTTAAAATTCAATTTCTGCGACCTTTACCATGGTTTCTATTCCGGCACGGCCCTGCGAATAAACCATTGTTGAGACTGTGGAGTCATGATTATGTACATGGGCGCGACTTTCCATGGTTGAGGTGTTAGAGACAAAATATACTCCAATACCGTACGCATTTCTTGGTATATTTTTCTGCAGGTCTCGGATGTGATCGGTGGGTAATGAACAAACCAGTTGATATATACTCGGGAATGTAATAGAAACTCACCCGCTAATGTCGGTGAAAGCCACCAGTTGACATACGCAGAACTTTAGGTATCATGCACAAAGACAATCACAATGAGGTCAATGACTCCTTGGAAATGTATCGACAAAAGTCCCTGCAGGCGGTAGATCAGATCGATGCAGCAATCCGAAACTCTACGAAGTACCGAACTCCAGATTGCAATCTAAAATGCTGGAAATAGCTGAAGAATTCCCCCTTGTCACAGGTATTTCAACCAAATTACAATAGTCTGCAATTTCTGCAGGTCCAAGTTCCATATAAACGTGGGAGAGTGAAAGCAAAGTCGGAGTGTTTGCTGGGACTACGCAAGGGAGGAACGATCTATACCTCATGTCTCTACTCCGGTGGGATCTCGCAGCAACAGGAGAAACCAACCCAGCACCAGCAAGTTAACGGTGTGAACCGGAGATTAAAGCAATCCCTAGCTATTACCCCCTCGATAATCATGCATTTCCTGGTTGGATTAAGTTCCATCCCATGCTACGTATAAGCTTGACACCTGAGTGAGGGGTGGATCAACTCAACTCCTTTCAAGGTAAGCTGATTCAAGTAGATTCCTCAAGCGGACAGATCAATCACCGTTATCTATCCACTGGATAGTCAAGTTACTAGTAGCAGAAAAAGGAAACATCCCCACGCATTTGTCACCTTATCTACATGTACTCCGGCAAAGGACTCCGGGCCATGATGGTTCCAGACTCCGAATCTCACCCACCGCTATGCGCGCGCTTTAACGCATAGGTCGGCAGGTTGAAACCCCGTTCATACCAACCACACGTAGCACAAAGGAGTGTCGAAGATACTCCAAGTACAAAAATAGCTACGCGACCATCTTGCTCGCTCTCGCTACCCCTTAAAATGAGGAATGGCTACAAGATCGGGTGGGCGCATCGGAACATGTGTCAGCAGTACTAGTTTCCAAGCCATCCGGGCAGGTCGCCATGGGGACCTCCTTTCCGAAGGAACTAAGTACTCTCCGCGGATTCATGTTCGCCTGCATTGGTGCCCCGTAGTGCCCACGTAGTGCATACATTACGTTCGGGTTTCTCGGCCCCAGTCTCTGCGTTAACCCCTTTCCCCTTTTCGCGACATGTTCTTGTGCCTGGACCTGGACCTGGACTACTTTACCAAGATGCCGTCTTATCCAATAATTTCTATAGATCGACAGTATCGTGTCAGATTTTTCTGGGGTTGATTCAGGGAGTTAGTCTTCAGACTGGGGGACAGGATTCCCGCAGGCCTTCTGATATTAATTAGCGGTGGACTGGTCCACCGGTGCTTTATTTAGAAAACGCGCACGTTGGGTTCTCCGATCGTAATGATGACTCCGGGGCAACTGTATTCGCATAAGATTAATAGCACGAGCTCAATATTAGGCATAATTCTGTACGGTACTTTTGGTATGCATGCTATTTTTGCGCGGCAAAAAGGAAATGTTTGAGGGCCGTTGAAACATGTTGGCCCCTTGTCGCTCCAAAGTACCTTGAAAAAAAGGATTGTTGAAACTTGATCGGCATCGCTACATGCTAGTCTCGAGGAGAAGGCTAATGCATGTTCGTTTGAGTAGTTAACGCAGCGCAATTTGCGAAATGGCGCATTCCACTACGAAAGTGGATTAAGTAGCGTTGCAACTGTATAAGATTACCCTTAATATCAGGGAAATAGGATCGACCATACTCCGTATGGCGCGTCCCTGGCATGCCATGGATACCAACTTTTATTGAACTCAAGTCACTGCAATGAACCGAACATGTTTGCGATCTGCTTGTAGTCGTGTACACCATTCAATTGCCTTATTTGGGAATCCCTTACTTGAAATTGCAAGTAGTACAGAGATGCCGCCCTTTCGTTCCTTTTTTTGTTGCCTGACTTCACCCCAGTCACCACGAGGCTGGATTCCCCGTTGGCAAGTGGAGATTGCGTCAAGATCAGTGCATCCTACGGGTTCAGCGCCGAAAACCATTACGCATTGGATCTGCGTGCCTGAGCGGTTTGGGGTGGCGAGCTACACAGTCCAGTGCTGCATGGTATTGGCCAAGATCTATAGGACACAACTGCATCAAAAGTGTCGGTCGCAAAGACTCTAACACAATTGTAAAAACGGCCAAATCGCATAATAAAGCCCATGATGTCCATAGTGGAGTCCCGACACATTACCCAGTGGCTGAAGTTTAACCCTTCAACCTTACTCCATACAGAGCGCTTGTAGGGGACGAAGCAAGGGGACCCCCGCGTCAACCCGTAAAGCGCAGACGTATGTGGAGCGACCAGATAAAAGACTCAAGCTATTGGCTGGGGGGTGACGGGGAGAATTATGAGACCTGACGTGCATAAAAATCGTTCTGGAAATGGAAGGGGATGAGTCGACCCAGCCATCTCGCCATTACAAACTTTATCTTAGGATGCGAAGCTGGGGACAAATCAGGTCGATGAACGGGGTTCCACGGGCGGCAGAGACGGAGAGACCCAAGTTGCGTGTACCACGGAGATAGGGCACGCAATCAGTTGCGAAATGAGCACTATGGAGCACAGAGAGTCAAATCAAGTTCCATGGGGCAGGATCGGGGAACGTGGGCCGGCTGTAGAGAACCTGCTTTGATGAATGTCTAAAACTCCCCACATGGAAAAGACGCAAGACAAAGGAGGCTCGGGACCGAGGTGGACTAGACTATTTGGGCAGCCAAGCCAGTACCCACAGCGCAGCTGAAGTGCGCAGGCTGAATGAAGTCAATGGCAAGGTAATCCTGGGCATTGGCCAGTCAGGAAGTGTAAGGCCGCAGACCCTGGAACGCGACCGTATCAGAGAGAGGAACCGGTCGCTAGGCTAGCCCCTGGACTATGACGGACCAACGAAAAGAACCGATACGCGGTACGAGTTCGATCAGCAATTTGGGGCCGGAACTGAGTGGTCGCGCGTCCAGTATTCTGACTTGCAGTTTTAGCTTCACGGTTTCAAGGAGAAGGCGACAGAATACCCATGACCAAGGATAAACAAGAAAAACCAAGGATTTCCCTAATTCCGAGAAATTGATTAACAGTTGATCAATCTCCTTTAGAGGGGACGATCTTAAGACCAATAGTGTCCCACAGGAGCAAGTGCCGTATTGGGCGAATTTCGAGAAAGGTGAATCTTGCTTTTAAGTGGTCCCAATACTCTAGTTGTTCTAGCTTTGTATACTACAAAATGACTGGGTCGCGGCTTCCGGTTCAAACCTTGGAACATTGAGTTTGTTCCTGTATACTTTGTAAGTGTAAGTGTAAGTAGTAGGTTTCGGATATCTGATTTACTAGTGAAAGCAAGAGAAAGTTTGCTTGCATGCCAGTTAATCTGAAGTCGATACATCTCGTTGTAATGGACCCGGTTTCCCACGCGAGCAAGGGCCACCCCAGGGCTCAGGCCACAACTCCTTTTTGCTGTCTTAAGGGATTACTGTGCTGGTTAAGCTGGAGGTTTTCCTTCTAGAAATTAAATTCAAAATAATTGAAAAATAAGTCGAAAATATATCAAATTATCTATATGCTATAGAGTCAAGATTACCAGAACCTCCTTGAAAGACCGGTATGAATGCTCAGGGCTGGGGTGGAGTGGTCGGTGTAAACCGCAGTAATACGTGAGATTCTGGGCTCAGCGACCACCGCCCAATCTCCCTAATGTACCAAGTACAAAGACTCCTTTTTCAAAAATTGGGTTAATCAAATGCAAGTTAATTCCCTTGGGGGATTCAAGACGGTTTCAAACGATCCAAGTCTCGCACGCACAGTGCGTCCTTGCAGGGCCAGAGCCGAAATTGACCCCCGCCCTTACCAATACACGTATTACCGTAGTTCAGCCTCCACCCGCGAAACCTCGTCATGACCGTACCGCACAGCTAAAGCTGCTTGGTACATCTCCGTGTCTTCTCTCTTCTTTTCTTTCCCACACCCGCCTGGAGAGAGAATCATCAAATTCCTCCTCCTTGTACTCCTCCCTCCCCTTCTCTTCTTCGATACCCTTTTCTTCTTTCTTCCCTTTCCTCCCTCCCCTTGCCAATTAGTGGAGAGCACGGAGTACTGGTCATTCGGTTGAACGTTCCTGACGCCTCAATTTGCACTGGCACTCCTGTCGAGTCGAATCCCCTCCTCGAACTCCGACGATCCTCCCGTTCTCGACGTTTGTTAGCTCAAACGGCGACCCTTTCGTCCGATCTGTCCCGCGGTGCCCTCCTGATCCCCGGACCCCGACGATACCCTCCTGGTCCAGCTCCTACCGGCTAGACGAGCGAACAGTAGGGACAACCTCTCGGAAATCTTTCGAATGATACAGGAACCTCGTGTTTTCTGTGTCTGATTGATTTTTGGGCTTGTTGAATTGGGTGAGTGCAGATTTTTTTTTTCTTTGTTGCAATATGGTTGTCCAGGCCGGAATGTCGAAATCCCCCGAGATGGAAATTCAGACAAAACGATCTATATGGCGGTGCACTTGAAGGAATCACAATGGGACACTATTCACTTAAGAATGAGTTGGGAAGGAATAAGGGGTCAGGCAATCCGGATCAACATGTTGAAATGATGTCCTATATGTCCAAACCAGGACACCTGGAATATCATGATACTCCGAACATCTCCATATCAATCAGGTTGAAATATGTCCCAGGAGTGAAATCTCGACATTCGTGCATGGAGAAAACATTCGTGAAGGCTGGCAGGACTTGAGGGGACTAGGGAACCATGGGTGTCAGGGGGGATTATATGGCAATGGCAGGTAATGCGGAATGCAATTCTCCAGGGTTTACTTGAAATCCACTGGGGCTGCCAGGCTTAATATTCTCCTTGACGTGCCCTGTTCCTTTGCCTGTTTAAGGTCGAGCTAGGGGGTCATGAAAATCCTATCCGGGGTTTGGACACATTCCGCTGCACAACTATCAACACCTGGGCAACACATACTTGCACTGGTTTTCATGCTTTTTATTAGTGATCGTCGATTGAACAACTCACTGACTGATTGAATCTAGGACCGGTTCCATTTCTCTGACTTTTAAGTGACTTATCCGTTTGGATGATTCTCTGAAAGCCGTTGAACAACCCTTTCCTTCCTACTAACCCTTTTGATTTTTTCAAATCGACCTGGAGGTTCATCCTGAACACGTTAACTCGTGAAGTGTATGTTCAGATCCTTGTTGCACGTTCTCTCCCCTCCCCTGACGATCAACTCCCCCCTACATAGGGTTGTCCCACATTCCGCAATACAGGACCAGGGGTGAAGACGTTGACTCGTGCTTCATCTCTCGGACTGGTATCCTACAGAATCTTAATTCATCGGATCATTCCTGCGTGCTAGCCTAGATGCCAGACTCGCCGTCGCGGTAAGGGTTGCATTGTACCCTCTACCCGAAGGCCTTTATCTGGGTCAGTATACTCCAAGGAGTTGCGTGCCCTTATATCTGGCTGTTCTCAAATGCGCTTGCTTCCCTTTCTCTTCATTCCACTTATTCATTCTCTACCTCGTCTACTTAATTCTAATTCCTAATCACCTGGTCGTCGGTGTCATTCGCTAATTCTTAATTCCGCTCAACAGCTTTCAATCTTTGAAGACTTCCTCCCGGCTTGTCTTCTCAGCATCCCCAGACTATTGTCTCGAAGCTGGTCCACTCTTTAATCATTCCAACTACCATTCAGTCATTCATTTGTACTCCCACGTCTAATCAGACGACTGTCATTCTCTTAATCTCCGTCGTTTCCTGAAATCCCCGACATTTCAGGTTCCTTCATTCGGTATTCAGCAAAGCTAATCAACTCTCGCCTCGTCCTTTTTTTCTCCGGTTTCCAATACACCTTTGATTCACTATGGATTACATGCGCCCCCGGTCCAGCTATCAACCTTGTGATACGTTCTTCGTTGAAGATGACTACCGTATGCGTGCCGAGAAGCAAGCCAAACAGGAGCACGAGAAGCTCGTTGCTCGTGAACGGCAATATGCTATCGCGGATCAGCTGTCCAGACTCGCCAGCGATGAGCTTCGGGACGATGTCCTGAGCCATATGATGGAAATGGATGTGAGTAGCCCTATATGATCAATTGAGTGTTATGTTGCTGACCTAACATAATCCAGAGCCAAACGCTACCGGACGTTGAATCGATTGATATCCAGACCGAAATTCAGTGGTTTATGCGACCGTACCTTCTGGACTTCCTCATTGAGGCTCACACTGCATTCCAGCTGCTGCCGTCGACATTGTTCCTGGCCATCAACCTCTTGGATCGTTACTGCTCCAAGCGTGTGGTCTACAAGCGTCACTACCAGCTCGTTGGCTGTGCAGCCCTCCTCATCGCCGCGAAGTACAACGACAAGAAGGATCGGGTTCCAACCGTCAAGGAGCTGAAGTCGATGTGCTGCTCTCTGTACGATGACGATATGTTCATCCAGATGGAGTGGCACGTCCTCCAGACCCTTGGCTGGACAATTGGACACCCGACTGTGGACAGCTTCCTCCAGATCGCTGTCCTGGATGAGCCCTACGACCCCGAGGTGGAACACATGGCACTTTACATCTTAGAGATTGCCTTGTTCCACCGTGACTTTGTGTCAAAGCCGTCGTCAGAGCTCGCCCGGGCCGCCCTGGCACTGTCGCGCTGCGTCCTCAACCGACCCCAGCCTCGTCACACTCACTGGGCCTCCCAGTACGATTCGATGACGCTTGTCGGTCTGTCTCAGCAGCTCCACCAGCCTTCTGCTGTCGTTGCCCGGAAGTACGCCTCCGCCCAGTATTCCCGTGTTTCCAAGGTTTTGGAGCACTTCCTCAACCGCCAGGCTTCTTTGGCCAACTACGCCCGTTGCACTCCTCCGGTCGAGACTCCTGTGGAGTCCAAGCCATACAATGGAGAAATCGGTCTTGCCACCCCTCAGAAGTCCCAGCAGTTGACTGTGCCCCATGGCTACCTTACCCCACCCATCACACCGGAGAATGTGGCATTCGCACAAACGCAAATGGCCACTCATCCAGCTGTGAACACCTGCTCGCCGTCGCCAGCGCCATCGTCTGAGATGCAATACATGCCTACCGACGCTTACCAGCAACAGGAGGCCATGTACATCACTCAGCAGCAGCAACTACAGCAGTTCCCTCCACAGCCTCAGATGGTGGTCGACCCGGTTTATGCTGGTATGATGTAAAAAAGGCGACAGAAGAAGCAGCCTCCCAAAAGTGTTTTTGGCGTCTTGCACATAATTCTTCGGTGCGCCCTTTAATTTCATCTTGACCGCATAGATTATTTGAAGGAGTCTGCTTTCGTGTTGGTTCGACTCGGCAAAGAACACCCTAATCCTTCGCTGTCGACCACCACTATCTCTCGACCTTTGACCTCATATCATTCTCCCCCTTCAGCTTTGCATTCGGCTTCGGTCTACAGATCCGGAGTCGAGACCAGCCTTTTTTTTTCTTCTTGTTCCAAAAATTGCATACCCTTCCTTTTTCTTGTTCCCATATTTCTGGGTCATCATCTGCATTTTTGATCTCATTCCACATAGCATTGCACGAGCGAGCCTTTCTGTTTACCATCCGATTTGATTGCATTTGTCATTTCCCCACCATTTCGCTTCTCATGTCGAGGAATCTTGACAATCCTCGACACTATTGTTCCCTGCTGCGCGCCTTGGCGCTGCGCCTTTGCATCCAACCACCCACCCTCGACGATCTTTCCGCAGCACAGCTGCTTACACAAACCCCCTTGTCAACAATTACCCACCCCTCAAGAAAAAAAGCCTTTAATGTGTCTAGCCTTTCGCCTTGGGGTTGCTTGCAACCTCATGGGTGAACTATTACAATTTTTACGTTGTTGATAGGTCACAGGCCACAAAAAAAGCAAAAAAGTGAGAGAAAATCTGCAAAAAAGAAGTATTGCGGTCTCTGGGGACTACAGGCTTCCGAGACCTTAAGATTGAAAACATCCCCCCTTTGCCCCCTTTGTGTACCTAGTTTTAACTGGCCCGTTGCCTTGTTCGCTCTTCACATTTATGAAGAGCGCAAGGGTAGTGCCTTGTCTTGATTCTATGTGGATTCGAGACTGCCACCTCCCCACGAATGATATCCAATTCAGTGGAAATTTTTTATCTTAACCTTTTTTCTCTGTAATTTTGTTTCTCGACCCATCAATAGATGTAGTCTTGTTCCAAGCTTGATTATGCCTGGTTCGTCTCAAAAATTGTTAGTAGGGAAGTCGTTGGCACACCTCACCTCCTTGTTGCGTAGGGAGAGACATCTGAAGTCCTAACAGACACTTGGGCAACAGGACCCCTCCATTGATTAACCCTTTGGTCCTATCATATTAGTTCTTTGCTGAGATACATATATAAACGCTGGTCGCAGGACAAAGTGCATAATCAATCATGCCTACCTGCATGTTGGACGCTTCCATAGGTAGCGGAATATTGTATATCTCTCCACATATATATATCCATCAACATTTTGACTTTGAATTTTCATCGGGCCCTTTGAAACCTTGATTTTTTTGAAAAAGACTAAATCAAAGATAATGTCTACATACTCTTCCAGGCCTTGGTTCCTAATGAATCCATTTCATTTCATTATCTCAATACTAAAAGTTCTAGTCCAGACCGAATGTTGCCCACTTCCAAGAAAGTTACCCGTCCCTCAGTCTTTCAAAGTCATCATTTATTTAAGTATGCAATGTAAAGATAAGCCTCCAAGGTACACATAAAATATGATTTTGCGGAAGCTTATATTCTTCCCGTTAGAATCTGGTAGATTGGCTCAAAACTCACGGGCGACTGCCAAGCCACCCTTTCCCTGCACGATCGGGAGGTCCCGAGCAAAAAGCTTATGCCTCTAATGGAATCATGTCGATGTAGCAAGAATGGGGGCTTTTTTCTGTCAAAGTCCTTTCATATTCCTTCTATACTGGCTAGATCGGATCTCTGCTTCCGCCAACTGATCTGGTAGACCTGTGTTGTGTTGATGTCCTGATTAGGACTAGTGCATTCTGTCCCATGGTACTCAGGCTTCACCTACGCGAATCATCTTCTTCCTGTCACTACCCAGTATTACACTTCGTACCATGTTCTATTGCTTCTATTGAGTTCGCATAACATGTTGGTAGGAATGAAATGCACGCACACAAATAGTATGAGATGAATGTCTCTTACGAACTTCCACTGGTCATTCTTTACTAAGGCGGTGACCAATAAGAGGGATAACCCCAGTAATTAGATTATACACCCCTAGATTAGTGCCTTAAGGGCTTTGACTGCGTCGCGTTCTTTGATTGGGGGGTGTTGTTTGAGAGATCATAATACCAATGGCTTCTAGTACCGATCTTCTACTAATTACGTCATTTAACGAGTGTCAAGATATGAATACTTTAGACTACTTAAACCTTCAGGAATAGCCTCTCCTGCATATCTACAGGACAAGTGATAGACACTTTTCATATCGCAGAAGCTGGCAAAGGGCTTATAGGAGTCCTCTATAATCTCACGCGTGATCACAGGAGGAAAACAACCTCAACAGGATATAAAGGAGTGACCTTGCCACCTGGGTAGTAACTCCAGCCCGGGAGGCTGGAGGCCTAATATGGAGAAATGGTGTGTGGGGCTATCTACTACATTATTATATCACCAGTGCACGTCATGAACTCGCTGAGAGCAGTAATACCTAATATATCCGCCTCTCGCCACGTACTTTTCCCACTCACCCGCCATGTTGATCATACGAAAAGGTCGAATTGCATTAGCTGGGCAGCTCAAAATTCACGTAGTTGGAAAATTTCCCCTAAACAAGAGGGTCAGCCCTCAGTTGCACAGATCTCTGAATATCAGGAGAGAGGGTAGACTTTAGGATCATCGCCCATCCAAACCAGACACGCATGCATAGATAAAAACCTGAAATGTAGCATAGAGGTCCATGAGGAAAGGATCCGATTAGCATGTCATTCTTTTTTACTTTGGAATTTGCGTCAAAGGATGAATACGGATGCGCATTGAGAATTTGACGGCCCCAAAGATGTTATAAGAGGAGTGTTGGTTCCAGGTACATGTTCTGTAGTTCACAAACTATTCTGCGAATGAGCGCTTATTCCTCAAGCTGTCTTTTCTTAGCTTCACAAGTATCTAGCCCATATATTTCAAATCTCGTTGCTTCTCCAACGACCAGCTTACAGATTGTCGAACCCCAAGAGCATCGGCCCAGATACGATCATCGTGGGTGCCGGATTATCTGGTATCACAGCTTTATATGAGCTGCGAAAGTTAGGTTCAAGGTGCATAATCCTTGAGAAGGGCTCCAATATTGGCGGAGTCTGGCATTGGAAGCGCACGAACGCACTCTGGTGTTCCGTCCTATGAGCTTCCTATGTCCGAGTGTCATCAAGACTGGAGCTGGTCGAGTAACTATCCTGAATATACGGAGATTCAGAGGTATTTCGATCACTGAGACAAGAAACTTGGGATCAAGAATCATGTCTGCTTTAGGGTGACGATCACTGAGGATGGCGAATTTGGCATCAACGTTCCGGAAAAAAGGCCAGGTGATTTCCTACGAAGTTGCTTAGCAAAGCGCAAGCAGATACTTGGCCTTAGCCATCCAAATACTTCATATGGATCTTATATAATGCTAGTGGAATGCAAAACTGAGGGGAAAGTGATGGGCGAGGAATATGAAAATTCCAGACCAATGTGGTGAAGCTCATTCCGAATCTCCCTCTACAGATATGGTAGCGATGGTGAATAGGACAGGCATGGTGAAAGACTCGAAGATGGATGGTATAGAAAGGGGAAGGGTCCTGTTTCTCCTTCACAATATGCATCCACCAAGGCTTTCGCCATGCCCATCCTATTCACCATCGTTACCTATGGGTCTATGGTAGCCACAGGAGCGCAACTTGACATACAATTAAAAGGAACAGAGTATGGATCAATTCTCAGACGAGTGAGGAAAAACCAAGAAAGATATACCCAAAAGCCTTCAAAGAAGCGGTTCTCTCCGGCAAGCACGCCGGTCAAGATATTACTATTCAAAGCAACTTACAGAGTCTGTTACTTCTATCTCGCAGAAGATTCAAAGAACTTTCAATACTGCCCCACAGACGACTCAATATGCACAAAGAATCTTCGAAACCACGCTAAGCTCAAAGAAACAATGGATATAGCTCAATTCCTTTCAGCCCCACATAGTAAAGGAAGAGTAACAAAGCGAACCGAGTCGAGACCCAGACGTTTACTACCCCACCCAGACTTGGAAAGTCCAAGCCTCTCGGCGTTGCCGGCATACTATACTCCGCTGCTTTTGGCTGTGGACCAACTATGACAGTGTTGACCGCTATCGCCTTCAGGCTCTTTCAAACCCCCACATGATTTCAATATTCCAAATATGAAGACGTGCAATTTATCTGTTTTGTACAATTGATCCTAGTGGACTAGGAACTATAGGAGGCCATCTCAGAAATAGTAGAAACGCCTGAGATCCCGGTTCTTTCGATCCCCAGAATGATAACATCGCTCAATATTGAATTGGCCATTTGTATGAAATGAGCACTGCTATTCATATTCTTTTTAGTAGGTCCTATCTTCGATCTTTACATTCCAAGGTTTAGAAAAAGCTTGTCCCTGCCAAGAAATGCAATCTTTAGCGAATCCAATTGATATGGCAAGATTTGCCTCGGCTAAATACACCCTCAACGAGTCATGTAGTCTCATACTCTTTCAACTTGGAATAAATAGGGGGAAATAAATGGGTTCCTGCTTCATCAATATTCTGTAGCAATTGAGCATCATGCAGTTCTTTGCCAGGGCAGCTGTGCTGGCTGGGCTGTTCCACACGGCCGTTGCCGTGCTCCCAGAAGTAACCACTGTCACGGCCACATACCTTGAGACTGTCACCTATACAAGCACCTCCGATGTCGCGATCACATCCATCACCTCAATCTGTGATGTCGGCAGTGCCGGCCCAGCCGCAACATGTGTCGACACGGTCTGGTCCTCAGGCACCAATTACTACGAGGCAATCTGTACCTCTGCATCGCTCGCAGGTGGTACAACCCTCGCCGCCTTTAACATTTTTAATTTCGGATCATGCGACCATTACCGTTCGGTATATGGCGGCTCGGGGCTTAATTTCGTGAATCTCGGTGCTATCGGCGAGTGCTTCATTCTTTATGGTACTTACCATTTGACAACGGCGGCATCGACCTACCAAGCCCTTGAGAGATTCTCCACCAATCCGTGCGAACAAACCGTAACGGCTGTCTCTACTGAGACAATCATCAACACCTCCGTGGTAACCTATACGACTCTATACACGTCCACGTTTCCCATTTCAACATCTAGCCCAACTCCGACTCCAGCTGCACCCTCTTCGTCGTTAGCTGCACTCTCTTCGTCGTTAGCTGCACCCTCTTCGTCGATAGCTGCATCCTCTTCGCCAGCTGCATTCTCTTCGCCAGCTGTGCCCTCTTCGTCGCCAGGTTCATCCTCTTCATCGTCTCATTCGAATACCGTTTTGTTCTCATCGCCATCTTCGTCGCCGTCTCCGCGCATCGTCTCCTCTTCTTCTGCATTTTCTTTAAGCACCCGTTCGGCTTCATCAAGCGTCTCATCCGCTGTATCATCTATATCAATATCTGCTATCAGGCCCTCAACTTCTGAGCCGATCGCGTCGTTCTCCAGCAAACAGCAATCTGTTGCGGTCTCCGTGTCCAGCAACCCTCGCTCTTCGGTCGTGTCATCATCTGTGGTGACTCCGTCTTCCTCCAGCATACAGCCGTCCATCTCAGCCTCCTTGTCCAGTGTCCCTCGATCTTCGGCTACGTTATCATCTATGGTAACAAGGTCATCTCAGGCCCAGGGTTCAGCTCCGGCCCTAACTTCCTCACCTATATCACGAGCTATGACAACCGCGTCTTCTACTCCAAAGTACTCGGAATCGCCATATCTTTCAAATACGCCAAAATCGATTTTTGTTTTACCCGCGGGATCTTCGAGCCTTGCTCCAGTGTTGCTACCCTCGGGCACGCCTGCGCAATTTTCATCTGTTACTCCTTCTCCGCTGGGATCTACTACTTCCACAATTTTGAGCACTCGGACTGCCACGATAACAGCATGCCCTTCCAACGTCGCTGACTGCCCCGCCTCGGTAAAGAGCTCCTATGTTACGACCGAGACGATTGTGGTATCGACAACCGTCTGCCCCGTAACTGAGACTGCACACGCTACCTCCACTGGCTCTGACTACTCTGTAAGCAACGGCGCTGGAGAAAGCCAGCCGTCATCGGAGCAATTGACTACTTCTACAATTCTGAGCACTCGGACTGCCACCATAACAGCATGCCCTTCCAGTGTCACTAACTGTCCCGCCTCGGAGAAGAGCACCTATGTCACAACGGAAACTATTGTGGTTTCTACTACTGTGTGCCCAATCACTGCTCTTGGAACGATTCCATCGAGCGTTCCTATCGGTGAAGCTTCTGGGAATGCAGACCAAGCTTTTACCACCTTGATCGGCACTGAAGCAGCTGGAAACTCTGCATATGTCTCCACTAGCGAGTTTTCTGGCGCTGAAGGCCAAGCTTCTACCACCTTGGTTGGTGCTGAAGCAACAGGAAGTCCTGCAGATGTCTCCACTAGCGAGGTCTCTGGAGTCTCAGGCCAACCTTCTACCATCTTGATTGGTGCTGAAGAAATCGAAAGCACCACGTATACTTCTACTAGCTCTACTGGCCATGGAGACCACACAACGTTTACATTCAACATGCTTAACGCATCTTCTACTGCTTCAACCAAGGCTTTGACTTCGAGCCTGCCCTTGCCTGAAACAAAAGTTTCCACGTCTTCTCGCCAAAATGCCACAAAGACCGCAACTAATTCTGCTATAAGTGCAGTATACACTGGCTCTGCTTCCCCTACATGGAAACTACAGTCCTGCCGTCACTTTGTACTATTGGCCGCTGTTTCTGTTGTTCTAACTGTCTTCTGTTAGATTTCTCACTTTTGTAAAACAACCCATGTATTGACAAAGTGTGTCTCTTTTTCTTGTCAGATAGCTATATTATAACTAATACTACTTACTGTAATACTGAATGTTTTCCTGAGTAGGTTTTTGAGTAGATGACGCCTAGCCAGCTCTTCGTAGTGTGCGGGGTGCCCAGTTGATGAATTGACAGGGAAAACGGCTCTTGGAGACCGATCACTTGCCACAGGCATGGGGGCATCTGTTTGAAGTTTAGCATAGATTGATATTGAGAAAGGGTATCATTATGATTTCACTGGGAGTGGGTGGGTCCGTGTCTGCTCACTTGACTGATAGAAGAGGATCATGTCATCCACGTTCTTTATTTATATTAAGAACTTAGGTCAGATGACTGCTTGTTAGTCCGGAAGATGTTCTTGAGGGAGTGGAGCTTATGTATTTATCATTTGAAAAAAGTCAAGTCAGCCGTGGAGAGAAAGAATGGATGTAGTGATGTCAGTAAGTTTATTTTATAGCGATGTAGGTAAGCCTCTGGCTCTACGGAGGATCCCGTTGAAGAGAAAAGAAATGCCTGAGATTGGTCTATAGTACACTTTTATTCAAGATCAGGTCTCGCTGGAAATAGTAAAACATGCATCCCTCAAATGAGGTGGGATGCCCGCATGGCAAATGCTATCGCTTCGTTAACGCTGAAGCCTCAAAAGATACCCGTGTCGCCCAAACTACCCAGGAAGTCACCCGCCTGTCCTGGGTTAAACATTTCAAAGTCCTCATCTTCCTCTTCCTCCTCGCTCTGTGTGGTCACCGAAATCAAACCAGCATGCAACATGTAGCCCACTAGAGCGGCGGTACCAGCCACAACAGTCGCGATAGACACATACATATCCTTCTTACTGGCATCAGCAAACATAGACAAAGCATTTCTTTCTATCGGGTTCAGCTCCGAGTCTTCTGACTCCGCTTCTTGCTTCAGACGGTTATTCATCCGGATATCACGCAAGAAAGGCGTGGAATCGGCCAATGTAGCGAGGAGAGTACTACCGACAGCAGCGACAGAAAGACGGCCTGGAGCGCGCCAGGGCAATGATGACGGAGGAGCCGACAGTGGCGCGAACGCATGCGCCACTTCAACTGGAGCTTGACCGAAACAGCGACGGCGCATACGCTCCGTGTAAGCCGACAGCAGCGGGGCCTTAGCGCGCATAGATTCATGGAGCCAGGGCTGGGTGAGATCGGGGATGTGCGAAAGGGAAAGATAGCCGAGGGCAATGCAGTCCAGACTAGCTGGAGAATCGGTTTCATTGGCTGCGAGCAAATAGGATTTCTTGCCCAGCATAGCTTCTAACGGTTCGAAAAACTCTCCTGTCAGGGCATCAATACGGAAGTGGTTTTGCTGGGCTGTTCGGCCCAAGAGACCCGACACGGTTTCGCGTGGCGACTGGATGAAGTTTTTCGGGATTTGACCGGTGGCTACTGCAGCCGACTGCTTTCGTTGCCGTTCTTCTTCCATGGCCTGGAGGTCCAAGGACGAGAGGCCCAGGTGCTCGGTGCGGGCCTTGGCGGCGCTGTGCAGTTTCGGTGGGAAGATCCATTGATTTGGCCATTGGAGGAGGGCACCGTAAGCGGGCGATGTGTTGCCGTTGTAATTCTGGCTGCTCACGTACAGGGAGAGGTCGATAAGAGCTTGGCCGCGGGATTCGATGAAAGAGGAGAATCTGATCATCAAGCAAGCATGTTAGCTTCTCGTTTCACATTTATCTGATGCATGCTTATCAAGACATACGCAGTGTTATCGGCCTGACCTGCATCGGTCAAGTCCCGATCCAGATCCCATTCCCCGTTCGAGTATTTCCGCAGGTAGTCGACGATATTGCGGAACCGGCTCACCCAGACTGATCCATTCTGAAGAGCGGGCAGCTCACCTGAAGATCACCAGTCAGCTTGTTTTATCTCATTGCGACCCGCATCGAGTTCCGGCGAGCACGTCACTTACCCGTAGGGGAGACGGAGGGATCGCTGCTTGCGACAAGCTCCCACGAGTCCTTGGGGAGGGTCAAAGAGCAATATGCGATGGCAGCCAGACATTGCGCCTCAATTGAGGGCAAATTAAAGGCTGGGCCCCACACATGCAGTTGCAGCTTCATTGTTGGGTTGCTTGGATAGAGAAGGGCGGCGCGGGCGAACTGAGCCCGCGAATCACGTGTGTTTACGGCATGTCAAGTGCATGATCTCCATTCTTTTAATTCGGAAATGAACTCCGCTTAAGCTCATTGATGGATTGTTTGACGGAGCACATTAGTTTGATCTACTTATGTATTTATATTTTGTGGTCGACATGCCAACTGTCAGTTCTCAGTCAGATAACGTATACTCCTATTTTATCCAGTTGTCGAAACTCGTCCCGAGGTCTGCTCTACGGCAACATTAAGTAACATAAACTAAAAAAATTATAGAGACTCAAAACCTTAGTTTCGAGACCAGGTGCTATGATCTAAACATGGTATAATCCCGAAGGTCTATGAGAATTCCGTCGACTATCTCGTATTTTATCTGAGACAACAATCCTCCGGTATTAGAAGTCAGTTTTGCGTTTCATCCCAGGCAGACACCAAGACATAAGCTGAGTAGCTCTCCCCAAACAAGACCCCATTTCCGACCCAACCAGCCATACAGCCGCGATAAGAGCGGTCATGATATCACCACACACGTGGCTGCGCAAGAGCCCCTTCTTCAGCTCGAGCACTGACCAGAACCTCGGAAGAAAAGAGGAGTAAGACAGCCTCAAGGAGAAGGAAAGCCAATTAGAAAAAGAAAGTTAAAAAAAGCAAAAACTCAAAGCCTGTTTCCTTGCGGGGCGTGCTCTCCACCCGAAAGCTGGGAATATCAGGAACGCATAAGATCGCAAGGCTACACAAGTGATGACGCCGAGACAATTTAGTTCGACCAACGGCTTTCACGGATGCTAGCACGCCCAGGAACCTACTTACTCGTTTAGTTAGTATTAGTCCGGGCCTCACAGCCCCGCTGACACATGGGAGATAGACACTAGGCAACAAGGCAATAAATGACCACACTGATCTGACCTGACCTGAAGCGAACCCAGGGAACCTCATGGGAAACTGGTCGAAGAGTGGAGAGGGGCAGGAAACCCGAGCCCTCCAATCGCGATCCATTCCAATGACTTGGCCATGGGTCTCAGCCACTCAGCGCGACCAACATAGCAAAACCCGCCGATGCGCTCAGGCTCCGGTATCTCGAGCCGGAATTAATCATGAATCATGATGATTAGGGTCTCCACTTTTCTAAGGGGCCGTTTGTTACCGGTGATATATTGTTGGATGCGTTGTCCCTGCACGTGGATGGAAGTGGGAGCCTTGAGTGTCATGACACCTGTCGCAGATAACGCCATGCATGTTCATATCGCGCTTCTGCTATTCTAATCAGTAGCTAGAAGTGATGATTATTTTCAATTTTACGTTTTGGGGGTTTTGACTTTAGATTATTGTATCGACTGCGCCACGAGGATCGGGGCGGGATAAGGTGGGATGTAGATCGGACCACCATGATCGACTGTGATTAAATGGATAATATCATCTACCGAGTTAACGAGTAAGATGCATCCGCTGGATCCGAGTGCTATTTCTCCGTGACTGCAATCTGTCATAGTTTTGTCAGAACACCGTTAATTTCAAGGCATCCACGTTTACGTCAGGCCGTTTGACCCGGGCAATGGGGCGTTGCTTCGCTTCGCCTAAATGTTACTTACAGGAACCCTACGCAAATCAACGAGGCAACGGCGTTGTGGAAGTACTAGTGAAACAAGCGGGGGCAGACTACCCGTTTCATCCTTACTGCAGCTGGAGGCCAAGAAAATCCTGGGGAGATAATGCACGACATTCTCGAAAAATAAAGATAAATTGCTCTGGGGTATATTAAGTCTATGATACATGCCGTTGATTCAAATGCGGCCCAATGCGGCTAAAGAACGAGATGAAAAAAAAAAGAAAAAGAAAGAAAGAAGATTACAAAGATTGAACCAATTCGCGCCAGTCATGGCATGCAAAACAAGAAAAAGAAAAGTAAACAGATGCGGAGCTTCACGTAACATGACGCAAAATTGATCGTAATGCAATCTGGTTTCCATGAAACGGTGCTCGAAAACGATTCGTCAGCTGCATCTGCAGGGAGATGCATCGTTCTCCGCATCTGCGCGTCAAAGCCATCAAAATCTCGCGAATAGATTGAACCCCGCACGGGAGATAAGTCGCGAAACTTGAAACGCTCGAGGCAAGAAAGAGTCGGAAAGAAAAAGGAAAATTAAAAATCCAAAGTGGCTATGAATGCGAGAGTCGGGGAGGAATCTAGCGCCGGCGCTGAATTCCCCAACCGAAGGAAAAGCAATATGGGCCCCGGAGCTCGTATTTGTTGGAGCTAGCTTTTATCCTTCTCTGGGGCGCGGGTCGGGTTCTGCTCTGGTCTGCTTTGCTTTTTTGGCTCGGTAGAGCTGGCAGGGAGAGGAGAAAGAGGAACCCGGAAGGTGAGCGCCTTGGTGGTTCGATACATTGTATCGGAGAAAGGGCCGGGGATGCGGAAGATTAGGGTAGTTTCCGAGAACAAAGAATCGTCAAGCCGAAACCAGGTCGAAGTCGAGGTCATTCATTTCCATGCCGGAGAGAGGCCTCCCAAGTGTCGTGGGCGGAAGTTCGGATGAACAGGCGCCAGAGTCATCACGGTCATTGGGGGTCTGATTTATTTCGGCAGTGGAGGGAGAGGGCCCTTGGGTGGAGGACCGGGACAGGGAGGGAACTGAGAGGAACCGACGGAAGGCATTTTGTGTTGTTTGGGATTGTATTGTGTGGTGGTAGGAACCTTTGAAATAGGTATAGTAGGTGTGGTAGCTTGGGAAAAAAAGTCTTGGTGTAGAAGGTGTGATTCTTGAAGGAGAAAAAAACGGAGGAACAAGTGCTCTTATAGCAGATCTCAAACAGTATTACAGTAGGACTAATTTACTAGTGCACTAACCCTTTCCAACGAGCATCCCTGCCATGAACAGGAGGCTGAGTATCCACTTGATCTGACGTAGGAATTAATTGCGATTAACTTGATGAATAATGCAGCCCCAACCGGAAATCCAATGGAAATTCTCTAGTTTTTCTAGAAGCTCTCCACTCGGGACTCCCGTGTGGCGTTGCCTGTCGTTGGTGAACCACTAGTGGATTGGGGTATAGGGGGTGGATTAAACAAAAAAAAAAGAAAAAAGGGAAAAAAATGAGACACCAGTCCTGATCCAAATTTCCCGTAGTCTGGTATTTTGACTTCTTTTGCTTTCTCCTCATTTTAAAAAATCAAGGTTGATGCGCGGCCTTGTATGAGTTCATTTAAAACCCTACATGCCCTACGCTATACTACATTTACCAGTTTCACGGGGTTCCTACCCAGCAAATAATCATCCGCATGAAACCACGCGACGTGACAACTGGTAATGGGCAATCTCCCGTGGCTCCACCAAGTCTCCATCAGCACCGATGCGGTGAGCGGAGGGAACGGAGGTAGATTTTTTATTTAATTATGGCGAAATTATTCAAAAATTCTCGTGCAAGTGCAACCCCATACTGTACGGGACCCGTTTATCATGAAAGTCAAAAACTCAAAGAAAATGGGCCCAAGCGGTGAGTCAACCAAACCACCGGAATAACCAGATCGAGGGAGTAAGAGAGGAGTCCAGGGTCCATGAATACACGTGCGGAAGTGTCGATCGTAAGATAAAGAAGTTTACCAATGGTCGGTTCGTATTGAAGGGCTCGTGGCGCAGGGGCTGAGTCGCTGATATGACACGTCAACATGCCAAACATAGTAGATAACGAATTGTTTTGCTTTTTTATTATTACCATATATTGTGTCATTATATTCAATACTCCATAGATAGTACCTGATTCACATACAATTTATTACAAAACAAGGGTTAACAGTTTCCCATCGGGACCCATCGTAGTCCATGGTCCATACCCGTAGCGCCCAACAAATAGAGTGCGGGTGATTATTGGCCTTTATTCTGGAAAGCAGAGTTCCCCCTTTAGCGACACCCGCGGAGGTTATTTTAGCAAGAGCCCTAAGTGGTCCTAAATTTGAGTCGTGCGCACGGAGAACACAACCGAATAATCTCCGCTAATATCAACTGTGGCTAGTGTAGAAACTCGCAAGACATCATCTGCAGGATCCTAGCGTATATCGCATATCATAATTTTATTTTCGTATGCCTTGGGGTAAGACAAAGCGCAAAGTATGTACGTAGGTACGTGCATTACTGGAGATGGATGATCGCCTGCAGAGTTGTATCAGGCAATCCAAAAAATTAGGCAGTTCGTCACAAACGCAACCCGGATGATCACGTACATCAACTGGGGCACCTGGGGGATCGGTGTTTCAAGATGATGGGATCGACCTGCAAAAGTGTGGCGTGGTTCCATTGCGTGCTTAGCAACCGATTGCAGCTGTACCTTATCCAAAAATGATTACGCATAATGATGTCCGATCTCCAAATTGGAGACGTCACACAAAAGTCTCCGGTATCCCCGGAAGGTTGCGATCTCCGCTCCCGGAATTCTATTTGCCTGGGAATATTAATTAATGGTGAATAAAATATCTTGACAAATAGAAGAATCCTACGGACCACATGACTACAGCCCTATATGGTATGGTATCAGGAACGGGATTTGAAACGGGACCTTGAACCTTGGAAAGTGGCCACAGACACGGGTACCTGGCATAAGTTCGCGGGTTAAGCGGTTCCCACATCCCCAAAGCGAAAAACACTAGCATGTGGAGCAAGAGGGTGGCGACAAGGGACAGCAAACGGGAAAGTAGCAGGGGAGAGAAAAAAATTGGACACGCTAACGAGTTCCAAACTTCAATAACGAGTCGAATCGGGTATGGTCAGGTACGAAAGTCTCCACTGTTGATGGGGGGTATCCATCCGTCGTTCCGCACCGTTGGAAACAGGTGTGGACCTCGGGGAAAAGGAGTGCGTACGATTGGAAGTCGGAAGTTTTTTTCCTTCTTTTCCTTTCGAGATTGTGGTTCAGCGGGTTTGTGAGTTCTGATCCCTTCCAGGATTTGGGGAGATCTCCTCGTTGAATTGCCGTTTTGGTTCGGTATCGGGAACCGCACGTGGCGATACCCACGAGATCCACGATTTGTCTACATACCCTTACGTGTAAGATAGTCGGTCTGATCGCAAGACATTCGTCACCGTCTATGTTGTGATTTCATTTCTATCCGACTGGTCAGGGGTATTCTCTGCTGTACTGTAGATTGGCCAAACTGCCGTGTACTGTACACAGACACCCCGATATGCCGTGGTCACGGGAGGAAAGTGGAGAGCACGGGTGGTTTCACATTGAGCTCCACTAGATACTGCTGGCAGCCTTCTGAACCTTCTGGAAAAAAGCCGAGGTGACCACATGCGACATGCTTGGAACGGTCCTAGAAGAAATCCAGGTGGAACTACAACGTCTTGCTGAGGATAAACATGGGAAAATCTAAATTATGTCTTGATACTGCAGAGTTAAAAATCGCCAACCAAATCAAGACATGCAAACCAAAGATATCGTTGGCTGAGGAGCCGGGGTGTGATGTCTCATGATGCGCGTGTGCATCCATCCTAGACCAGCCACAACTGTAGCCGAAGATCTATTCCCTCCCGTCAAATTGTAATCTGGACGATTCTAGAAACCTTGCCAAATGGTATCTCTGCCACTTGCGTAACGGAATCCCTCACTGACTCACTGGGATTTACCCGGATAAGCTGACTGCATCCCTATGGCGCACTGCAGCGGCCCGTTCGTTGATGACCAGGGCATTGGCCGTCGAAATGACGCGTGTTAAACGGCATATAGGCCAATGATAAATGGCCTCACCTCAGGAATGAGGTCTCTGCGCGCCATTTATAGAGACAATTTTCGGTAGGGCTGCAACTCTGCAATTTGGGTAGGTATGACAGGAGGCCCTGTGGCCGATCACGCCACCACCGCAGGTGTCCGTGTAATGCGGAGAAAGCTTGGTCATGTAGGATTTCCCCTCTACCATGTTTCAGACGAGGAGCCTGAAACCAAGGCACCTCAATCCTCATCACCTTGTGCTTGTGTCGAAATCCATTGCTCCATCAACGGCTGCTTAGGCTCCGAGGTCGCAACATTCGGTCTTGCCTGGTCCCCCTTGCGCGAAATGAGCAGACACAGCACCCATCCCGAGATATTGAAGCTTTCGTAATGTGTGCTGAACCCCAGCTTTTTCTCATCCTTATTTTCAGTCTCCATCAGGTCCGAGGCCTGTCTCTTTCTCTTCCGCGATGATAAATCATGGGGAGCACTGCCATTGTCGGTCGCTTCGGGAATATCGCGCAAGTCAAACTCGGGATCGCTATCACTATCGATGACTTCTGGGTTTGCGGCATCGGCAGCTCCGAGCATTTTCTTTGAGTCTTCGTTCTCTTCCATTTTCCCCGCCTGGTCGAAAGTTTTATGTCGCGTTAAGAGGGAATGGCGGGTGCGCGATTCGCGAAGGAAGATACCGACTTCGAAGTCATCTGTATACCGTGACTTAGCTCAAGCCACTGTGCTCACAGAGAACCGGGAATCAAAAATACCTTCAGCGATGACATCCTTGGTGGCCTTGCTCTTCTTTCGAAATAACCGTCGTTCATTCTCTTCCCGCAGCTTCGGCAACACCAACGGTCGAATCACGTCGAAAACGCGTGGGAGGACGGGATCTTGAGAGTTGAGAAGCCAGCGATTGTCAGACGGGTTGTCTAAATATATTCGACATTCCAGCACAGAATATTTACTGATGCGTAGGTAGCGGCGGATGGGAGCCATGGTGACGTAGATCTAGGGATCATGAAGAAGCTCGGGCGGCGCAGGTGAGCTCATGAATGCCAAGCTTCGCCCCAGATGCTCTGATTGGCGACCGGGTACAATGTCCATCATCCCTGACAATTATATCTCAACTTGGACCTAAAGACTCTGAAAGCCAACTTCCTACACGACTTTGGCCATGTCTGTCACTTGCAATGACCTGCAATGCGAGAAACTAACCTACCTCCCCTAATAGTTATAACCAATGTAGTTGATTACGTGATGGCCAACCGCCGCGAACGGAAAGGGACTGACCGTCCCCAAGGTCCTCACCCGCGCTCCGGAAGATTAGGTACTGGGTACTTCTGAGCCCACCACAATTTATATGCAACGCTAAGTACCTAGTACCTAATCCACGCTACAGCAACGTCTTTCCACCCCCAAGGTCCCCATGGATCCCACTCTACTTCCCCGCTGGGAACCGGGCTATGATTTCGCAGATTTTGATCAATCCCTATTTTCAGCTTCTCTTTCATAGCCTGAGCCTTGATCGTCCAATCAATCCCTCATTATTCATACAGGAACGACGATCTGTGTGAGTTCGGCCACCAAGGTACTCACCACCTCCGGGGACGAATTCGGAAAAACCAGTACTCGAATTGGTCAAGAACTGCACAAGGGCATCGCCAAGAGAATTGGGTGTTTCTACTTGTGGTCTCATGCTTTAATACTCTGCAATCTCTGCATTAGCCTTCAATTGTCGACAGGCCAACCTGGCTGTCTTCTGCGCTAGTCTGAGGACCTTGGGGGTTACGGCCAGTGCAGCCAGCATCCACACAAAATTTGCAATCAACCCCTCCACGTCAAATCGACTCGCCCACTTTTCTCACAAGGTGCTCATTGTCGTTCGATCTGATTGATCCTTGTCGGCAAATCATTCGATCTCATTGATTCCAATAGGATTTACCTCATAAGATCTAACGTCGAGATCTTATCTGGGATCCACATTCCCGGCGATTTGAAGAGCCTCGACCAGATCCTTGTCATATTATCATTATGGACATGGAAGCTTACAACGCCGTTCTCAAGCGGGATACCTGCTCGAGTGGCAATGACTATGACGGCCGCATGGGCCTGCGAATCTCTTCTATTTTTGTTATTATGATCGGATCCACCTTTGGTGCCCTCTTTCCTGTCGTTGCTAAGAGATTCAGCAAACGTGGGGGTGCTCCCTCATGGGCCTTTTTCATCGCCAAATATTTCGGATCCGGCGTTATCATCGCGACTGCTTTCATTCACCTACTAGCCCCAGCTGAGGAGGCTTTGACCAGTGACTGTCTGACTGGCATCATCACGGAATACAGCTGGGTCGAGGCTATTGTCCTAATGACGATCGTGGTTCTTTTCTTTGTGGAATTAATGGTGATGCGTTTTGCTCGCTTCGGTACCGGTCATGTGCACGATGAAGAGGGACACTCCCACGTCCAGATCGAGGCCGTGGTCCCAATCACTCAGGAAGTGAGCCAGAGCAAACACTATATACCGGGAGAAGATCATCTGGGTCACACACGTGAGCACCACGACGCCGACGATGATGAGAAGGAGAAACAGGCGATCGAAGACTACACCGCTCAGCTTACCTCGATCTTCATCCTGGAGTTTGGAATCATCTTCCATTCTGTGTTCATTGGTCTCACACTCGCCGTGACCGGAGCCGAGTTCGTTACTTTGTACATTGTCCTTGTCTTCCACCAGACCTTTGAGGGTCTGGGTCTTGGCGCCCGCCTTGCTCAGGTCCCCTGGCCCAAATCTAAGCGCCTCACGCCCTACTTCCTTGGTATGGGCTTTGGAATTTCGACCCCCATCGCCATTGCTATTGGTCTCGGTATTCGCCAGAGCTACCCACCGGACTCGGCTAGGACACTCATTGTCACCGGCGTATTTGACTCCATCTCTGCTGGTATTCTCATCTACACAGCTTTGGTCGAGTTGATGGCGCACGAGTTCATGTTCAGCGCAGCTATGCGCCAGGCCCCAATCCGCGATGTGCTACTCGCCTTCCTGCTGCTGTGCTTAGGAGCTGCCTTGATGGCACTTCTTGGTAAATGGGCATAATCTTTGATGCTCTTTTACTTTATTTTAACGACTTGCAATGACTACCAACCAAAAAAGGAGACAAGTGTGTCCATGGACATACTTCTGGGTGTATCCCCTGAACATGCATATGATACCCATTGGTTCACACTTTGGCGTTTTTTTACTTAGAACGGAGGCGCCTGATTTTGTACCTCGACCATTTTGTACAGCGAGATCTATCAAAATTCAGTTAATCAAATCCCTTCCAAAACATCCTTATCAATTTCACACGCGACAGTATGAATCTTATTCGCAAGGCAGCATCAAAGGATCACACCTGCATCATGCCCATCCCCGCATTCCGCCAATCATTGCCCAAGCAGGACGAACGTGGTTGACACTGGAATGTAGATCGGTCCCAACACGGTCATTTCTTGACCTGCGCCATCCGCAAAAGGTTGCCTATCACCGAAGCTTGGCGTGTTAATTAGACCTGTGCTACCTTGATTCGGCGATCACAAGATCTCCGCTCGGATTTAGCTACTCACAATTTAGTCTCGACAAGGATCACACTATCTCTTATTTTCCGGTCTCCTCTTTTCCTCTTCTGCTCTTTGTTTCTTTCTCCTTCTACCATGGATATCCCTGCTAACAGCAAAATGGCGACTGGATATTCGGTGGACGTGATTGCCGGACCTGAGTCCAAGTCTGATGCAACCAAATCTGAGGTTCAAGACAGCGTTGGCCCACTCGATGCCGATCCCTCACGCGAGGTCTCGAAGAAGCGTCAAAGCTTGTCCGATATCTTTACAATTGTGGGTTGAACCGAACTGGACTCATCCCACGCTCTTACTGAGAACATGACCACTGATGTCCTTGCCTCTGAGTAGTTCGCAAGCGGTTTTGCGCTGATCAGTGATGGATATCAGAACAACCTCATGTGAGTCTTTGCTCTCAAGTGAAGACTATATCAATCAGCTCATGTTACGCTCATAGGACCATGACCAATGTTCTTCTGAAGAAAGAATATCCAAAGGAGTACACATCAACTGTGAGCACTCGTGTGTCTAATGCGCTGCTGGTCGGTGAGATTATCGGTCAAGTTGTCATTGGGTAAGAGCATCTACGAAAGCTATTGGGATGTCTTTTTGACATAGGATCAGTTTGACTTGTGACTATCTCGGTCGGAAGACCGCCATCGTTTTTACTACACTCATGATTGTCATCGGTGGAATCCTCGCCACTGCATCTCATGGAGTTACCATTGACGGCATGTTCTGGATGATGACAGTGGCGCGTGGTGTAGTCGGTTTCGGTATGTTCATCTCCCAAACCCTGGCGCTCATTGCCAATGCTGACCTGTCTTAGGTACTGGCGGCGAGTACCCTGCATCGTCAACATCGGCCTCGGAGTCTGCCAATGACTTAATGCCCAAGCACCGTGGCCCAGCCTTCATCATGGTGACCAACTTCCCGTTGTCTTTCGGTGGGCCATTTGCGGTGTCGATCTTTTTGATCGTACTGATAGCTTGTGGGCAGTCCCATTATAGTACCGTGTGGCGGGTATGCTTTGGGATTGGATGTATCTGGCCACTGTCCGTCTTCTACTTTCGAATTCGGATGTTGAACTCGGCGCTCTATCGTCGTGGTGCTATCAAGAGACATGTTCCTTACATGCTCATTCTCCGGTACTACTGGAAATCACTGATCGGAACCTGCGGTGCCTGGTTCCTTTATGGTAAGGTCTACAGACTACCCAATGACAAGTGTAAACTCACTCCTCGTACAGACTTTGTCACTTTTCCGAACGGTGTCTTCTCAGGCACGATCATTTCATCCGTGGTCAAGAATAGTACAATCCGCTCCACAGGCGAATGGCAACTTCTACTCGGAGCAATCGCCCTCCCAGGTGTCTTCCTCGGCGCTCTCCTTTGCGACCGCGTCGGACGCAAAAACATCATGATGATCGGATTCAGCGGATATCTCATCTTCGGATTGATAATTGGCTGTGCCTATGATAAAATTACCAAGATCATCCCGCTTTTCGTCGTCTTCTACGGACTAATGCAGAGTTCCGGCAACTTTGGTCCTGGAAACATGCTTGGTTTGCTCTCCTCTGAGTCGTATGCTACCGGTGTGCGAGGAACGTGCTATGGTCTCTCAGCCGCGGTCGGAAAGGCCGGTGCCGCCATCGGAACGCAGGCCTTTACGCCTATCGAAACTAACCTGGGCAAAAAATGGACGTTCATCATTGCAGCTATTTGTGGCGTTGTGGGTATCTTGGTGACTTATTTCTTCGTGCCCGATCTCTCGGGTGAGGATTTGCGAATCCGCGATGAGACATTCCGTGCGTATCTTGTTTCTAAGGGGTGGGACGGTGCAATGGGTGAAGACGATCTGCAGGCCGCTGCGGACCAGGGGATCTCCCCAGCGATTGCTCATGAGAGCGCGCCCACCAAGAAGGGCTGATTATTATGGCGACCCCCCAACTTAATGACTAATGGCAACTGAAAGACTGGAATACTTGCTTAGATTAGATATGAAATGAATTCATGGGAAATAGAGTATCACAGATTAATCTACCGTGTCCACCCAACTTGATAGACCCACACCTCCGCACCTCCAACTCCGCCCACGTTTCCTCTCCAATCCCCTCTCCCCCTTCCACTCCCCAACTCCCAAAACTCAACCCACCTCCCAACCCAACACAATTCACAATGCGTCTCACAACCATCCTCCTCTCCCTCGCCTCCCTGGCCGTCGCCGCCGAGCTCGGCATCGAAGTCACCCACAAGGTCGAGTGCGACCGCAAGACCCAGAAAGGAGACAAAGTCTCCATGCACTACCGCGGTACATTGGCAGCTGATGGCTCCAAGTTCGACGCAAGCTACGATCGCAATGCGCCATTGAGCTTCACAGTCGGAGCCGGCCAGGTTATTAAGGGGTGAGTTTTGGAAACAATTGGACCTGAACCCTTGGGTCAATTGAGTTGATACAACTTGATTCGTTCTGTTCACTAACTATTGCTCTCAAATTAGATGGGACCAAGGTCTCCTTGATATGTGCATCGGCGAGAAGCGCACCCTCACCATTCCCCCGGAGCTTGGTTACGGCAACCGTGGTATGGGTCCTATCCCCGCTGGCTCGACTCTGATCTTCGAGACTGAGTTGGTTTCCATTGCTGGTGTTAAGAAGGATGAGCTGTAAATGTTTGAAATGTTTATATGATTTATTCCTCAGGGGCTTTTGTGATGACTTTCTTAATGGATCTAAAATCCAGTCTGGCTCGTTGTAGACATGATACCAACACTGTTTTTCCCAAGCCGGATATCTGATCTGGCTTGACTATATTAACATGAATCTAAAATCCCGAAAGCTTCATGTCTATCTGAATTGGTGCACACATCATCTATAACCAATAAACCTCCCATAAATCACACGCAGCATAATACCAAAGAATGTCACAGCATGCAAACCCAACTTAACGCAGTTCATTCTTCCCCAAAACCAACCCCTCCGGATCGATAACCTCCCTCAAACCCTCCATCGAGGTATGATTTCTCACGTCACCCATCCTATGACACCAAGTAACAACCTTGCCCCCATCACCACCAGGGCCGGGCTCAAAAAGAAACTCACCCCCATTCTGACCCGTAGCACCACCCTTAAACATGAGCCCAGTACGCATGTGCTTGACCCAGTTCACAAGCGACTCCGCAACAACGCAAGCCATGCTCTTGCGGAAGTACTGAGGACGTGCACCCATAGCCCTAGAAACAATCATATCAAGCTCCGTGTATATCTTCATAGTCGGGTCGGCATAGATGGGGAATGGACATTTTGTTTGTGTGACATAGGAGTCTATTAGGCCGGGGTCTCCGAGGCCGATTATGACGATGGAAGTGGGTGTTGGGAGTTTTTGGAGGGAGGCTGGCTTTATGTTTGAGAGGGCAGAGACGAACTCTCGGCAGCTCTATTGACATACGTTAGCATTTGCATTTGCTTTTATGATTGGCAGGGTTGAAAATAAGCATGTGGTGAAGAAGTATGAACATACCCCACAGAAAAAGTGGCGGATAAAAACAACAAGAACACGCTCATCGGACTCGGGTCCGTCATAGATACTTTTGAATGTGTGTTTTTCTCCCTTGCGATCTAGGACCGTAAATTCGCTGATTTTGTCAAGTGTCTCTGCTGACGGTGGTGTATTAATTGCGACGTCCTCGACATCTTCAGTCTTGGCCATTGTGGGTGTCAATTCGTCCGGTGTTTAGCTGTCGGATATGGGTTTCTTCATTCACCTTGATGACAGGTAATGGCAATGGCAACGGCCATGGCTAATAGGGGAGAGTTCCGCTGTGACGTGTACGAGAGCTGAAAAGCGCTTGGGCCACGATCTGCAGATCATCACGATTCAGATCGCCAAATTTGTACACTTCAGCAAAACTAATGTACAATAGTCGGTGGGTTTTTGTCGAATGGGTTCAATGATTTGCATTCCACTTCTCAATGACCATTCCTAGATACCACTCAAATTTCTCAATTTGAGGAATACAGTGTTGTTCTTTTCCTTGGCTTTTATATCCAGACTACGTATCACAAAGTCAAGATGGTGGCTTGATCCACTATCGAATACACCAAAGACCCTTGAACCTAGCCAGCAATATTGGCTAAATAAATTCGAACTTTATTTTTCGCAAGATAAAGTGGACAGTAGCCTATAGTATCTTACAACAGGTATTTTACATGGTGAATAATTGAATTCTGCGGTACACTCGAATCCCCTGCAAAACAGTACACAGGAGCGCCGAGAATTCAACAGTATACGAGCGAATATCATTGCACATATATGCATCAATAAATTTACGGCAAGTGGGCCGATATAAGACAACGAATAAGAAAACGAGCAACATAGCCCTAGTGTTGCCTTAGTAGTGTAGGCAAATATACAGATAGAGGTACATGCCCTGTGACATTCTTGGCGGATAGGTCAGCTATGGGGCTAGTGCGATTGTTCGTCCCAGATAGGCTTTTGGGGTCTGCAGAGTCGCCAAAAGAAGTTATTCTTAAGTCCATGGTCGATATCGAATGCTTGGTGGATTCAAAGGAGGAGGAATCGAAGCCCTTCTTGTATGAGGTAGTAGAAATGAAGTTTAAAACAACATAGACGAGCCAAATGAGGAAGAGCCAAGACAGAATGACAAAGAGATAAATGGGAAGGAGGGGAAAATCAAGAGATAGCAAGAGCTCGCTCTAGTTGTGCGGCTTATCCTAATTCAGACGCAGCTCTACGCATTCTTTGCTAGCTACCTGACTAGCTTGGAACAATTTCAATTCAAAATCGCCGAAGTTTTAGCGTAAGACTTAGTAGATTATAACCAAGCATTTCTTTTGTCGGGCCAATTGACTAGTACATACAAGGTATGCACTCCGTACGCATACATTACGTAGTTAATATCGGTCAGTCCACTAGAATTAGCGAGCAAGCTGTCGAGGACCAGACGGAGGTCGGTAAGAGTAAGACCCACCCTAAAGGCTTGATTCGGACTGGTCTTTATTATGGTGAGTTATGACTAAATTTTAGTTTCACTGTTGTTTTGGATAGCTGAAATGCAATCTAGGTTTAAGACATTATTCGTGGCCATTCCGAGATTGCATGTCAAAGGGAATTGATTCTATTTGTACAGTAGCCATAACTCGAAGGATAACAAGGGTATTTGCAACTGTGGGGAATATGATAAAATGTTCAAAAAACCGTGCAGTGGGCTGCACACATACAAAGCCCGAGTCTAGTTTCGCAGGGTTGGTGTGCAGAGAATATACAGAGCCCGCCAATGTATACAAATCTATATCCTTCATCGGGCGAATCTTGTCGCGGATAACGAGTCAGCGCAAGTATGAGCCATGGCGTCTCGGTGCAGACGCAGGCCAGTCTCCTAGCCAAACCCAAGTCCACTTCGCCAAGGATATGGGCCAACTCAATCCATCGCATCCAAAGCATTCTCAGCCTGGGGATCATTCTCAGATACCAAAATTCCAACCAAACACTCACTCAGAATGCCATCCCAATTGACCCAAGGATGAACCTCCTGAAACAACTTCGCCGAGTCTTTCCCTGCTCCCCGCAAAAGTTCACCTTTTCCACCGGGGTGATACGGAACATAGGGACTAATATTATACACCTTGCCCTGATACGAAGTCCACGCATCGCGACCCTTCCGCCCATTCTGCATTTTCAGCATAGAAGGCGTAATCCGCAGGTATCCGGGCGGGACATCCTTGCCTCGGAGCTGGTTGTTAGGTTTCGCGGCGAGTGCAGCCCAGTCAAGAGGCGAGTATCCTGGCTCGAGGATAACTTTCTTGGATGAGGAGGATTTCTTCAGGGATAAGGGTGTGGGCGCTAAGGTACTGCTGCTTAAGCCTGTACTGCCCGTCGGAGCAAGACGCGCAGATGCCGCTGAGGACAGTGGTGTGCGTGGCGAGCTGCTCATGCGCGGTGGCGCGAGGCCTCCGGGGGTGCGGTTTGGTTGGGGGGGTTTGACGGGGGCGCAGGCCAGGGGGTGGAGGCGGAGGCATCAGAGATGAAGTATTTGGAATGGGCTTTAAGGTAGGTGGAGCGAGAGATGGCTGTTGCTTTGTCTCTGTTTCATTGCGACCGAGTGACGCTACCTGCGGTGTTGATCCATTCATGCTAGGTTGAGCGGGTGGCTCGATCGCGACACGGATGTCGGAGTCTTGGAGGTTCAGTGTAGGTACAGTAAGGACCGGTGTAGGAGGCTCTGATGTTGATGCCTTGGGAGTAGTTTGCGGGCTTTCTGTCTGTATCTCAAAGGATGGAGGGGCCGCGGGGCGGTTGTTCGGTTCAGATTCGGATGAAGGAGACTGAGCGTCGGGCTTGGAGTCCGGAGTCGGGAGAAAAGGAGAGTTCCAGGTTCGAGGAGGATAGCGATAAAGAATGTATGCGGTGGTTGCAACCAATGTTACCACGCCTACCCAGCCCATGCCGGACTGACTTGTAGATGTGTGGAGGATTAAGGGTCTAAATGATTCTGATCATCTTCTCCCCGATTCGCTGACGGTGAAAGTGGTCTGTGCGCCACGATGATCTATGTGGAAATGCTTAAACTTGCCTGGTTTACAGTGAGATGATTCTAAGAGGATGTACAAACCTATTACATTTCATGAGAGTCGTTTCTTCAGTTTTTCATCAGACAGGTACTATCCACTGGGTACCCGAGCAATAAAAGACATATACGATGTATATCCCACTCAACCTCTATGGAGCAGAATTGAGAAGGTATTTCAATATTGATACCAGTTTTAGTGGTCAATTTATGGGGAACAATGGTATGTATTAACGTATATATAGAAAGAGAGAGAGAGAGAATCAAATATAAGGATAGAACCTTATGGCAAGAGGCGTTCATGATGTCAGTCCACCATCACTGGAAGGCGACGAATTGCCGAAGCTCAGTTCAACAGAAGACGTATTTTCTCTCTAGGACAGTTTCACACAATCAATCCCGAGGTAATTAAACGGTCTTTGCACCCAAGGCCGTGAGGGACAAGCTAGTCCGGGAAATAGTCATGTCCACGTCCGACGAAATGGTGCTCTTTGACGCCGGAGCAGGTCAGGTACAGCCCCAATAGTTCAACAGCTGATCGGCCAACTGATTACTTTGTGAGGCAGGCCCAAGGATCAAGGAAGTATCAGGAGGATCGATGCACGGTCGTCCTGCCGGAACAGTTCCCCGCCAAAACGAAAGAGAGGCTAGCCTTCTTTGCGATATACGATGGGCAGTAAGGAAACCTCAGGGGACAGTTCATCACCTTCCTGATTTTGACTGGATATATAGTGGGTCTGCATTGGTGGCAGAGCACGCCAGCAAGAGGTTACACCACCTCTTGGCTACGCGACCCGAATTGGAGACAGGGGACTACGTAGCAGCCCTCAAGGCTGCGTTGGCAGACGAGGACGCTCTGTTGCTGGAGCGATTCAACAGTGATTCAGCCGAGCCTGCAATCTCCGGATCCACTGCAGCTGTATGCCTGGTGAACCTCACCCAGGGTGAACTGATCGTCTCCAACCTAGGCGATTCACATGTTATTCTGGCGGAGAGAGATCCCAAAACAGATCGTCCCTATCATATCGTGCGGCCCCGAGATTTACTGCAGGTATCATAGGTGGAAAATAACACATACTAGCGCCGACTCACCGAAGAACACAAGCCCGAAGTGCCCAGGGAACGACGACGTATCGAAGAGGCCGGGGGCGAAGTCACTATGCGTGGTGGCACAGCGCGACTCGGTAAGTATACGATTAAATACATTTACCCGTGGCCGAGAAGAAGATAATGACCGAAGATAGGATCTTTGAATATGTCGAGGGCTCTAGGAGACTTGCAGTACAAGAACCCTGTCAAGGAGGAACATGACCCAGATTCCCGGCCCGGTGCACGGCGCGGTTCGTCGTCGTCGGCCGAGAGCTTCCTGTCCAACGACCCATTTACGTCGCGACGAACGCTACAGGCGGACCGACGCTATCTGTTAGTGATTGTATCGGATGGAGTCAGTGATAGCACCGAGGACGCGGCCCTGATTCAACACGTGATGGAATTGGCGATGCGGGGGAGGCGGGCCAGTGAGATCGCACAAGAGGTTGCCACCAACAATACTCTGCATATTAAGAGTGATAATGCCTCTTGTGTCGTGGCCATGTTAGACGGGCAGAGATCGTAGAAGATCATATGGTAGCTTCGGAGATGGTTCCTTGTATAGTTTAGAAGAAGCCAAAAACTTAATAAAATGTACTTCTTGAACTGGAACGGGGGTCCACCCTGGGTCCCAAGTTGTGTTATGCATGTTGTGGACCACTAATGGTGCGGGACGGAGGATTCTGCTTATCCGGAAGAAGAAGGTGGTTTTCGATCTTGTGCAAATCTTGCTAATGTCTTCTGTCCTTCTTATTTAATCCTAGAGTCGAATCAGACTTTTCCTATGGTGCGACAAGCACGGATTTTTATTTTTACTCCTTTTCTTTATATGGAACAACTCCAAATACTCCGATGAATAAAAATCTTCCAGAAGTGTTTCCCCACTCCGATAGCGCTTTATCGGGCGGTTTACCTTTAAAGGAATCTTCGCTAAGTGGCGTTTCCTCGTGTCGCATTCGTATACTACCCTACCTCGTCTATGCACGATTCTAGAGTTTAATCTAGAATCCATTCTTATTCTATTCTGGAACTTCCATGAATCATATGTAGTTTGTTCATAATCTGTCCACGTCCTGTTCAAATTTCCTTATCCTTCATCGAAAATTCTGGATAATCGTTCTCCCTCTGACTCAGCTAAAATTCGATCCCTTTCACCCCGCTTGACAAGGTTATCTCCACGATGACGACAAATACCAATTAAGCAGGCGGATAAGTTGTTCCAAAGTCGCTTCGCTCCGTCGGAGTGGACCGTCATCCCTTGGCCGCCACCAACCAACGCCTGCATAGCGTCTGTGCCCTCATTAACGTGTGAACGAACCCCAGAGGCTCCAACAGGGGGCTATCGGCGGCACAATCTGCAAATTCCCCGACAAACCTGATTAGGCAGGCGATGAATCGGTTCAGGTGGGGATCTTCGATAGTCAAGCAATGAGTAAGATTCGGCACTAACCACCTTCCCTAACGGTCAGTTCTGAAGAGAATCTCGCCATTTGAGCCTGGACCTCCGGTTCCAAGTAAAAAAAAAGCCCTGTCCCGCCCGCTTTCTTGTTTTCATACTTCATACATTATTCTCGGTTTCTCTTCTCCAATGAGTTCAACAAAGACTCACACGCATACCAAATCTGCCAGCATGGCTTGGAGTAACTTCCATGTTGGAAAAGACTGTGGCCATGTCAAATGGTCCCGAAACATTACACCCAAATTGACCGTCTCATCTGGCCAGACTGTCACATTTGATGCCATTGATAGCAGCAACGGCCAACTGACACCGAACTCGGATGCTTCCGCCATCAAGACATTGGATCTCAATATCGCCAACCCTGTTTTCGGCCCGATCTATGTGCAAGATGCTCAGCCCGGCGATGTCCTAAAGGTCGAAGTGCTCAACCTCGAAGTCGCCGACTGGGGTTGGTCTGCTATCATTCCCGGATTCGGTCTTTTGGCCGACGAATACACAGAGCCTGAGATCAAGATCTGGTCTCTCGACCGCGAGAAGGGTTACGCTCAGTTCAAGAACGTGCGGATTCCTCTCCGGCCCTTCCTCGGATGCATGGGGCTGGCCCCTGGTAATGATGAAGAGCTCTCAACAGTCCCTCCCACAAACCACGGCGGCAACATGGACTGCCGTGAACTTAGCGTCGGCTCTACTGTGTACCTACCCGTCCAGACTGCCGGTGCCCTCTTCAGCTGTGGTGACGGACACGCTGCTCAAGGTATGGGCGAAGTCTGCGGTACTGCCATCGAAACCCCCATTCGAGCTACCCTTCGTTTCGAGGTCTGCAAGAACCAGCCTTGGGTGACCGCGCCCCAATACCAGACCCCACCTCGCTCTCAAATACCCAACCCACTCCCGGATCTTGGAACTTATGGTGCTCTCGGAGTATCGCCGGACTTGTTCCAGGCCGCGAAGAGCGCCACACAAAACCTCATTCAGTGGTTGGTCTCCACTAAGGGGCTTACTCGGAGCGAAGCTTATATTCTGGCAAGTGTTGCCGGTGACTTGCAAATTGCGGAAATTGTCAACGTGCCTAACTTTGAAGTCTCGATGAGTGTTCCATTGGGTATTTTCAACTAATCGGTGAATAATCTGGAGGAAGTTTTAGGAGGTCGCGATGTGATACCCAGTACTTGGATGACCTGTTCTTTTTGTAAATATCATCATGCCATGCTTGGGCCTCTGAATGCCGTGTCATATGAAGCGGAGTGATGGCCCAGATACTAATAATGCATCTAAAGAATTCATGACTATAATTCGATTGAGAATTTAGTATAAACATTGGAATGAGTAAATGTGTCTCTAAACAATAATAAACCCAATTGCGACCGGGAGAAATTAAGTATGCGAAAATGCTTTGTTTATCCCTTCCATCATAAATATATCCCCATAAAAATGCAAATCATTTAAATGTGTAATGTGACTGCATAATGCATGCTCGTCACATGACAGCGCGTGTTGTCGCGTACTCGGGAACCAACCAAAGCGGATCCTCCCCATATTCTAAAAGAGGTCATGGATCATGGACCCCATCCTCGATGGACTGAATTCTGCCCAGAGACAGGCAGTCACATCTTCTGATCCCATTCTACAAGTTCTCGCGCCACCCGGCTCCGGCAAAACAAAGACCTTAACAGCACGCGTCGCGTATCTTCTCTCACATCATGGGTACTTACCTCAAGAAGTTATTTGTTGTACATTTACCATCAAAGCGAGTCGTGAGATGCGAGAGCGTCTCTCAAAACTGGTTGGAGAACGAGTGCAGTCGCGTTTGATTCTGGGTACCTTTCACTCTATCTGTCGGCGATACCTAGTCAAGTATGGATATTTGATTGGTCTGAGGAAGGGGTTTGGAATTGCGGACTCGGATGATAGTCGAGGTATTCTCCGGGTATGTCAAGTCCTCATTCTTCACTTTGCTGTTACATTGCTCATGCTGCGATAGCGTATCATCAAACGACTGAAGTCATCTATTGAGGTCAAAGCTGCACAAGGTCGAATCTCCCGCCACAAGGCGCATGGACTTGGACCGGATGACCTGGTCGGGCGAGTCAAAGCTGAGGAGCTGGAGATTGTGGATATCTACCGCCAGTATGAATCGGGACTTGCAGCTTCAAATCTCTTAGATTACGATGATCTGCTCGTGAGATGCGTGCAGCTTCTGAGAGAACATCCAGATTGCGTGTCAAACGTGCAAGCGGTGCTCGTCGATGAGTTTCAGGATACGAACATTATTCAATATGACCTAATGAACCTTTTTGCGTCCAAGAATCGGCGCATCACGATTGTCGGAGATCCTGATCAGAGTATCTATGGGTTTCGATCTGCCGAAATCCAAAACCTAAAGCGAATGCAGAACCGATACTCGAACACCTCTGTTGTGCTTTTGGAATCCAACTATCGCTCCTCGGCTTCAATCTTGAAATCTGCCCAGGAAGTCATTGAACAAGACACTGCGCGTCCAGACAAGAAGCTACAACCGACTCATACACAAGGAACGATGCCTGTTCTAAGGAAGCTTCCTAATGCCAGTGCTGAAGCGCACTGGATGGTTCTTGAAATCAAACGATGTATGGCCATGACAGGCGGTGTTCTGCGCATGTCCGATTTTGCAGTGTTGCTGAGATCTGCTTCATTATCAACTCGGATCGAAACAGCATTTGGGCGAGCAGGTATCCCATATAAGATGGTCGGCGGTCGCAAGTTCTTTGATCGGACAGAGGTCAAGACCCTGATCAACTATATGAGGGTTGTAAGTCATACTGACGGCACTGATGCGCTGCTTGGTATTATCAATGTTCCACCCCGGAGGATTGGAGATGAGACGATAAAGCAATTGACCACTGGTGCGGAGACAGCCAACATTCCCCTTTGGACCTTCATCAAAGACGTTATACAAGGCCGCCGATCGACAGAGAAGAAGCTGCAAAAGGCAGCAGAGCTGGGACTTTGTTCGCTGATGAAGTTGATCGATGCGTCGAAGCAGAAGCTCCAAGAATGTGAAGATGCATCGGCACCGCGCGTGCTTCTTGAGCACATCACGGAAAGCCTTTCGTTCCAAGAATATCTTGTGAGAACCTATCCATTGGATGAAGATGGTCGCTGGGCGAACGTTAAAGAATTGATGGGCCAAGCCAATGAAGCTGCATTCTCCACTGACGACCCGGGTCAAGAAGAGGATCTCCCTGAAATCGAGGGAATAGAACAACAGAAAGTGCATGCTGGCGAAGAGGCCCTGTCTCGTTTCCTGGCCAATGTTGCCCTTGCAACTGAGGCGACTACCAAAGACGAAGGGGAGCAGGTAACAGAGAAGGTCACCATCTCCACCATTCATGCTGCTAAGGGGTTAGAATGGCCAGTTGTTTTCATACCCGCCGTATACAATGGAAGCATCCCGCATTCTCGAGCAGAAGTCATCGACGAAGAGAGGCGCCTACTTTACGTCGCAATGACCAGAGCTCAAGCGTTATTGTACATGAGTTTACCACTACGGCAGCCTCGAATGGGCGAAGGAGAGGATTCATCTACCACTTTGACATCCTTTCTTCCCCCCAAACTGATCAAAAATAGATTTCGTCTGATGGGGCCTCAGTTACTGGAAAATGTTGTGTTCGCTATTGCTGATATTCTGCGACGACCACGACCCGCCGTGGAAGACCTGTACAAAGGACTGGGATCCCTTCCGTCAACACTGGATGACCAATGGACAGCTGAAGGTGAAGAGAAGAACAAGGGCGGCGATTTAGAATGGAAAAAATCCCTGGGATCCGACTTGGGAGAACCCAACCCTAAGAGACGCCGTTCGGACATCAATCAGCCGACTACTACCACATACATGTCAGCAGGCGGGCATAGCATGGGTAACTCGTCCAACTTCATGGTCCCTACCACGCTCAGCTCCGGATTCTCGTCTGCTCGTGACTATATCACGGCCAACCCGGAAGCTGGCCTGGCAACGACGGAAACCGCCAAAGCTGTTACGGAAACCGCCCCGGTCAGTCAGGCGACAAAGGATACTACACGAAAAGACGGACTTAGCCAAGCCAGTATCTCAAACTTCTTCGGTGGGCCAGGATCCTCCTCGAAGAAAACCTCCGCCCCATCCAACTTGCCGACCCAACCAGCCCGACGAAACCAGCTGACATCACAAAATCCGCGGCCAGGCTCCCAGCCTGTTCCGCCGACGCTGTCTTCCCACCGACTCCAACCACGACCACTGCAGCCTACGCGACCGGCCTTGGATACCGCGGAGCCTAACAAATACACGTGGCTGGCGGCTCCGTCCAGACCTACGGTGAAACCTGCCCGGATGCTGACCCAGCCTTCGAATGGAAACAACACAGTGGACACAGGGACCAGGGCGGAAGAGATGAAACAGGAGAGCTCCACTCGCGGTGTCCAGTCAGTGACATTCCATACGACTACAATGACCACTGTTCGGCAGCAAGCCCAAGCTTCGGGGCGACGGACATTAGGGATCCGGCGGAGTATGAATGGATGGGAGGAGCGGATGAAACGGGACGGCGGGGGCCAAGGACGTGGAGGGAATCCAGACTAGAACGATTAACATATGATTCTATTTTTCGACCTCTCAACTGCGTGAGGACCCAATACACGTCTGGCCAACTCATTGCAATAATGAGTAGAGTGGAGTAGAGATGCGAATGGGGTTGACCCGTAGGCTGCCCAAGCAAATGGCTCAGGGATCCGCAAGGAATCTCGGTCTGCGCAGTGACGCACATCGGTACGAAATGCAGACTACGGGAGTACGGGGTATAGAGACAATCAAGCCACTGAGTTATGCGGTGAATGCTTCCTTATGACCCATTGACAAGGTCGATCATCCCGGTCCCCATATTTCTATTGGATCAGACTCGCGCTATCTATAGGTATCCGCAATGATCAACTTTGCGGTACCTGAATAATTCGGGGGAGGGAATTCTGGACCCAAGTGGAGCGGGAAGTCGGTGAAGGCCCCTGGATCATTGACATCACAGAGTCTCGATTCAGGACAAGTTACGTGGGCATTGTAATCCCTGCTTTAGAGCGGTGAGGCTGAGGAATTCTGTACATGAGGGATACACGATGATACGCGCTAGATACACCGACTAGGATGAGATCAGTTAGCTTGGGTAACCAAGACCCTATTTCTGGAGGAATGGCTGACTCATCATTATTGGATCCACCCGTCGTACGAGTTCGTGTATGACATACGAGAGGCTGATTGGCTGCCCTGCTTTCGGGTTGGTGTCACGACCAATCATGGACAATCATCGATACTAGATGGTTACCAGGCACCGAATACGTCAAGGGGGTGATCCATTCCCTCTCAGAGCTCCCTGGCGACGATACGCTTCTCCGGCTTTGTAGATCAGATGCGCGCTCAATTGGGAATGGCCCGGGGTATACAAAAGGGCCGGTCTGCTGCTACTTCCATTTTGACTTCATACTAATCAACAACCAACTCAACCAACTCGTTCAACTTTGTTTTATTTTACTTCTATCGTTTATATACTGCCTTTCTTCTTGGACTCGTTTGCTCGCAGTTCAACACTGAGACGGCATCATCCCATACTTTATTCGCTACGCCATACATCCATTAATTCAACCCTCCTACCTCTTTACTCTACTTCTTCTTTACCATGCCACACAAAGTCACCAACGACTCAAATTCCACTCTAGCCAGTAGAGGCAGTGGTGATCAAGTTATTGCTACAGAAGTCCGAGGTATGTGTCGATCCATCTTCATTACACACCCTTGTCCACCCGATCTCCAGATTCAGCCCGGCTAATGCAGACGCGTCCAGTAACCGCCAATGCCGTCCGCAAACCCCCGGTTGTCGTACACAACAAAGGCGGCCAAATATACGACGAAACTCGGCCATCGGACTGGGACAAACAACGCTGGAAGTAGTCCCGACTGCACATGCAGCGTCCAATTCCTCCAGCAGCAGCAAGCCGGTTGGGGCGGGAAGCACTAGAGACTAGACTCTGTCTATCTCGGAGTTTCTCCTTTTCCCCAACTTTTTATTTTATCCGCGCGGCTTCCACGGCTGAATTGGACATGGCCTGATCTGGTGAACGTGATCGCCAAAAAGAGAAAACAACTTTAATCACGAAAGTGAGGCGGTGATCGACCAAAGACGGGAAAGAAAATTAATGATCTCGCGTCTCCCGAAGTTACGCGAGATTCATATTATCTGGTCTTAGACCACTAGATTTTCCATTCCCCCCTTTTTCTGGAGGTCCATTCCAGCTCCGAGAAGGGATGGACGCCTCTTCGTCACCGCCCGTCTCCAATGATCTTCGCCCCTGACCCGATTTGGCGAGTCTAGCCCTTTCCACTTCCTTTTTTTGAGCTTCGGGTCCATGTCCAATTGTTCACCGAGCTGCATGCTTCTTCCTGCTGGGGGAATTATTTGCTTTTTCTGCATTCTTGCCCCGGGTTTTCTCCTTCCCCGAGAGAGCTTGGGCAGGAACTGGGGAAGGGGGATCCACACGATCCCCTGCTTTCCATTATCTGCGCCCTTGTATCATTATATGCGGAGTTTATTGGTTCTGGTGTTTGGGTCTTTTTTTTGCTTTTTCTTGACGCCCGGAACGAGATTCTGGCGTGTGACATTCCCTTGAACACTCCGTCGGGGGTTTTTGGAGTTGAATAACCACTTGGTTCTTTCTTCTCTCATCCCCGATCTTTCCTATACCTCTTACTCTCATCTCCTCTCCTCTTTCCTCTCTACCTTATCCCCTTTCATTTCGCCACCCTTCACATCTTCTTCGATTGTCATTTTCCCGGGGTTCGACCACCGGGAGCTTGACACGTGTCATATTACTGTACACCCCCTCCTAGCAGCACTGCTGCAGGATATACGCCTGATTGTCCTCGCACAGAGGCCTTCTGACCTGTCCTTTACTGTTTTTTTTTTCCGGTTATGCATAGCGTGGGTATTGGGGTTTGGGTCAATGAGCGAAATTCGATTCGATTCTGGAATCTTTGTTTTTTACTACCTTACTGACTGATTTAACTATCAATTTGTCTGAATTGAATCTTATCTTTCACCGCGACTTGACGTCTGTGGGTTTGATCTATCATTTTTACTTTGTTTACTGTAGACTGGTACACGTGATATATCTAGATCGACCTAACGAATAAGCAGCGAAATTGTACACATGACGCGCGTTGATCCGATTTGGGAGTGAGGCTGGTAGAGTAGTTACGATTCCAACTATACCTCCGAACTCTTCTTTAGTCCTCAAGCATATATCAGAAACACGCTAGTTCTAATATGGGATGAGGCGCTCACGCTTTCCAGACCGCTTCTAGTACTATAGGAAAACAGTACAGAGTACTCCATACATAGTCACTCTGCCTCCCAGACCGCTCGCATAGAATGCATAACAACGATAACAGATTGTGGTGCTCAATCGAGAGCCTCCTACCGTATCGGTACACGATGTCTGTCACCTATTCCCACCCAATCCCGTCAGGCCGTTCCGCTCGCTCCGCAACCCGGTGGCCCCATCCTTCCTCGTTTTGACCAGACAGCAGTGACTTCATCCTTGGGTACCTACGCCTAATTCTCCGACAATTATGCAGGCTTCTAAACCTGCTTGTGTACTAGTATGGGGAGTGCTGCACGCCCAGATGATGACAAATCAAGCCAGACTTTTGAGGAGAGTCTCAAGACATAGTCTTTCTATATCGATACCCAAAGCGATCGTCTAATATCCCGACATGCTATAGACCCAAAGTCCTTTGTTACTTCTAGTTGGTGACCCTCCCGACTTGGTCAAGGCCACCTCGTTCGCTCCAAAAAAAAAAAGGCGGCCTTCTCATTAGTGGCCGTCAACTTGGAGGACTTCCGAAGGGAGTAGCGATTTACAGCCCAAGGTCTTACCCGGGTAACTCCTATCAGCAGTTGACCGTCAGGTAGATGTGAAGCTATCAGAAGACTCCCACTTTTCAAACTGGTCTAGAGTCCAGAGACTTCCTGCCCATGACTAGGGAAACCATATGTCAATTCTTTACTTTGCATGGGCATATAATCTATCTGCTCGATTGATTGAGTTTCTTGATCATTCTGCTGAAAATGAGCGTCATATGGTCTATACTACACAGGGGGCAGGAATTACACAGACGGATAAGCAGTGCCTGATTGAAACTGATATCGACGATGCCTGGAAGAAGAAGCCAGCAAACCAACAGCCTCGACTTGGCATTCTTTGGCTTGGTGCAATTCTGACCGACATAGCAAATGCCGTCTTGCGTGATATACGACAAAGAATGGTGGCTCTGGATCTTCTAGCTGCTGCTTGCGCCAGAATACCACAGACTTTCATAACTTCGAAAAAGGATAAGGCAATTTATTAAGTCGCGCTGATGAATGCCGGCTACTGTTCAATACCACCTGCGAAGGCCTCAATTCTCGACCTCCAATATGGCCTTGGAAGCCTTTCGAATACATCAAAATTGTCGATACCAAGCTTCAAATCCGAGAGCACGCTCAATGTACCTCTCACTGCGTAAAACGCGTACATTGGAAACGGGCTTGACAAGCAACGGCTCAGTTTAATTTTCTGGAACAAGTAGTCAGCCTCCTCTTCAGGTATCGGCTTCATCCGCCAACAGAACATTACCTAAACTTGAAAATTATGACTATGACTTCTATTCTCAGTCCCTTTTCGAAGTGTACATACGTGGGATAATAGAACGGTCCAGGTCGACTGGGTACTCCCGTAGCGAAAGACACATATACAAACATTCTTGGTTGAGTCTGGTCGTGGAATGCACCGACGACGCGGAATCGGACTCGGGAATACGGCGAGATCTAAAGGAGACGCACATTGAAGATTGGCTAGAAGACCTTTAATAGCTCTTCAGTCAAGTCAAACCGTAAGGTAAATGTACTACATTCTAAAAAAAAAAAAAAACATAGTGTATGGCATAAAGGTCTTCAGAATTACTGAATTTCGAACTTCCTACTTCAAAGAAAAAACCATCCCCTCGGCGTCCACCTTAATATCTCCCAGCATATAACCCTCCGCCTTAACAAGGGGCCACCCAGTCAAGATAGTCCGCTTCACCTCTTCACTCCTCGGAACAAATCGAAGCTTACTCTGCTTCGGCAAAGTGTTTACACCCCCAGCATAAGCGGCATCAGACACATCTACATGGCCAACCTTACCATCCTCGATGGGCGGAAGGATCTCAAATGCCCATATGATACTCGCGATCGTAATAAACAGACTATTCTCTGCCAAGTGCATCCCAGGACAGATGCGACGGCCTGCACCGAAATCAAAGTGGATTTGCTGTTCTGGATAAGGACTGGCGACGTAGACGCCTGCTTTGAATGGATAATCCAGGTATCGATCTGGGATGAAGTCGTCGGGATTTTCCCAGCGTTTAGGATCGAAATGAAGAGCGTAATGGTTGATTGTAACAACTGTTCCAGCGGGTATAAAGTAGTCTTTGTAAACAACGTTGGCGGTGGTATAATGGGGGGTTCCGATACTAAAGCAGTGAGCGCTAGTAAGCGTGGGTATATAGACTGGGAGAAAGGTTCGATCTCTTACTTGGTTATAGGCCGAATCCGCAAAATCTCTTTCACACAAGCCCGGATATAGGGCAGTTTCTCTTCATCGTCAAACGACGGGAATCGGCTTTCACCTACGACCTTCTTGATTTCGGCATAGGCTTTTGCTTGAGCTTTTGGGTATGCTGCGAAATACTTCACGCAGGAATTCAAAGCTGAAGAGGTCGTCTCTGAGCCCGCTTCAATCATTGCTGGTATTTAATTAGCTTCATCATCGAGTCTCAAAGTTCGTAAGAACATACTTCCAGCCACGAAACTGGCTTGCAAGTCACTGATGTCATTCTTCTCATAATCCGATTCAATAAAGCTCTTGACAAAGCATTCCGGGGCCTCATTCTTCTTGATACTTCTCTGGAGATCAGAGAAGTATTTCATCCATATCGAAGCCTGTCGCTGGAAGGATCGTTCAGCTGATTCCCGCCACCACTGCATCCAGACAGGAAGCTTGGATAGAGGTGGGAACAATTCCGCAAGGTATTTTCCCGGTTCTGCGGCTTCGCTGAAGTCCTGCATTAGTCCGTAGATTTCACGGATATCTTCGCAGTCCTGGGATTATTAGTCGAACCTTTAGTGGTTATGATATACGTGGGGATTGTATTACCCACTGAGGTATTCGTCGTCCATATGTTGATGTCATCACCACTTAATAGAATGTCAGCGTATGTTCGAGTGCCAAATTGTGACTGAAGGGTACCGACCAGATGTTGTGTATCGACGAATATGCATATAGAAATTTTCTTGGTCGGAATTATCGGTACAAATATCCCAAAGGAGTTGTTTCGCTTCAAACTCCTGCGATGGCTTGAAATTATCTGATGACTTGGGTGTCAAAAGTTGGTGGACGATTGCGCGCAGTTTCCGCCATTTCGGTGTATACGGCATTAACAACATTCTTTAGAATGTCATTAGCTACCTGAGATAACGAATATGAAAGTTGATAACGTACCGCATGTCCCCTGAAATGAGGTCCGAGAGAACTGGACTTGGAGCACGAGAAGAGGTGTGTTGGGATTGTTTGTTGAAGATTACTTTTACAGCTTCTGGGCTGTTCACGAAGACCCAGTTTTCCCAGCCGAGTCGAATCTGGAAGAGCTCTCCGTATTGTTGAGCCCATTTGCGCCACTCTCGCTGGGGGTATTTACTCAAATCCTTCAGCCTTCCGGCCTCAGGAACATTACGAAGGCCTGTTGGTGCCTTTTTTGAGGTAAAATAAGTTGTCACTAAGCAGATGACAGCAGATGCCACGATGATAAGTGTTAGAAATGCCATGTTGATAGATTCATACGGAGATGAGGAGATGTGGGGTTATGTACTCTATATATGTATTTATATGCGTGGAGATGTGGGGTTATGGGGTTATGGGCTTATGTACTTTCGGATGTTTGCTTATCGACCCCACTCAGGTGGCCTGCATTACACAAGTACCTTCACTAGCTCCACTTATCAGCTGAAACTCGCTGTTAAATAGGTGATAAGCTCTACTTTGCTGAACAAGAGTTTGGACAGCGACTTGTTTCCTTCCTCCAGTTATCATGCCGAAGCTAATACACCAGAGCATAGAATTAGTGATCACTGCCAACTAGAGTGAGTGATTCACCTTTGGTACGAAGGAAGGCAAATCAATGCAACAGCAGTAGACAAAACACATATTGCAGCTAGATAAACGTTCAAGGTTAACAATGAGCAGATGTCAATGGCAGCGGAAACTTACCAACGACGCAATTCATCACATAGTATCCGAATTTCTCGTTGAGTGTTCCACCCAGAAGAGGCCCAATACAAGCACCCAATGTCCAAGCAACACCGACAATTGCAACAGCGCGTGACTTCCCACCATTGGGACCAAATGCCCCAGGATACTCCTTTTGGAGCTCACTCATAGCGACTTCTCGCGAGTCAGTGAACAGCCATGAATAGGAACTCCAAATGCTCAACATACCTGTAGCTTCAATCATCCCCGATCCATTCAGAAAGGTAGTCTGAAATCCAATCAAAATCATCGCTGACACATATATAGTAGATCCCCAGGTCTCGACATCAATGGATGGGAACTGCGCACTACCCGGAACACCCAAAAGCCAAAAAAGCGGAGCTAGAGTAGCGAATCCAAAAGCAGTTGGTATCCTCGTTCCAAAGCGATCCTTCAACCAACCTACAAATGGGGACATCGCCAGACGAGGAGCCTGGAGACATGCGAACATGAAACCGGACTGCATACCACCCCAGCCGAATACGTCGCGCACATGCAGGGGGATAGTAGCGTTGAAGGAGGTGATCAAAAGGCCGAACACAACGCTAAGGTATACACCAGCGACGAAGTTGACCTTGCTAAAGATGCATCGGTAGAAGTTTGGTATCGTCTTGGGTGCTGCATAGGTCTCAGATTCCTCAGTATGGGTGGAGAGGAGAGCCGATCTTTCAGAATCCGGATTCTGCTCGGTGACCGAGTCGCCAGTGGTATCTGTAAAGAACATGTCAAAATTGGAGTGAGCCACCTTCAAGAAATACGAAAGCACGTACCTGTTTCCTCTCGCTTCTTCTCCACCATCAACAGACGAAAAACCATATCGATACCGAGAAGCAAAAAAGCACTCGTCCATGCTACCCAGTACCCTTTCAGCTGAAGGAGGGTACCAGATACCATCGGCCCTGTCGAATACCCCAAACAAGACGCCATAGAAATCAAAGCATAGGTCTTAGCAGTATTCTCAATCGAAGTTACTTTAGCCACGGTCGTGTATCCCGCCACCCACATGATACTACTAGCAACAGCCTGTACAGATTGGGTGATAAACAACACCGGTACTTGTACTTCATCAGCTACTGACGATAGCATTCTTCAAAAAAGGGTGCCCAAACATACAATATAACCCAGCTGCCGTCGCAGCAGTATTCATCATAATAATCCCCAATGCCGAAAGCAACCATCCTCGAGTCGAGGTAGACTTATCCGCGAAATGGGCTAGCGGGATTCGAACGATGACGTCGACAGCCGCATTCTCAGCTAGAAGCCAAGAGATTGTTCTCTGTGTGCGGGATGGGTCTAGGCCTATTCGAGCTTCCAACATGTATGGAAGAATGGGAACGATGAAGCTGGCTAAAAACGTATCTGTTGATGGTTAGCTCTCCATTTTCTGTTCAGTGGAGATAAGGGCTAAATACCGGTGAAGAGCGCCGCAATCATTGCCGTGATGGTGAACCACGTTGAGGATCGCCAGGATTGGCCCCATGCTGATGTGATCATGACGAACGATAATAATCTTGTAGGTGTAAAGTGCGTCTCCGGATAAGATACTTGAAGTGGAGTCATGTCTAGCTGACAGAAAAGCTTGTGATAAGCGAAATCCAAAACATTTACCCCCTTGCGTGTGCATGCTCGCAGCCAATAGTAACCACAGGAGTCGGAACTCGCAAAACTTCCCCAAGTGCTTCATAGCTTTCACCTGGTCGACAACGCTTCCACGTAGGGACTTTAAGGTTTTTTGTTACTTGACTTATTGATGTTATTCGGACTTTGCTCTGGTTCTTCCTACGTTCTTTTCAATTAACAAGCATTGTCAGTCTTCGAGTAGTCTGGTTGCGTTAAATTGACGCAAGGATGTTGTTATACAGATTCTTGACAATTTTTTGTTTTATTTCTATATTGACAATCCTGGAGTCGTTGAACGACTTCATAGTACTATAATGCCCTCGTGCAGATTATATGCACTATATATTTTCCTCCCCATCCCTAACATTCCAAGTACTGTTCCTCTCTTTGGAAAACTCCGGCTCAGAAACCCAATGAACACCAGGCCCCTCTCCATAGCTCTCCTCCATTTCAATACCCCACCTCAACCCTCCAGCCTCATCAACAAACCAGCCCAACCGCGTCCGTAACCCTTCATAATCACCCGCCAACAACTTCCCTGACTCAATCTCCCGCACCACCTGCAAGAAATTTGCACTCCCGGATATGAGTACCAGGACATCACCTAGACACTCCACGTTCCGAACCAGACCACCGAAGTACCGTTTCTGAAGAACCGCCACGATGATGGTGGAGATGATTAGCCACCCCAATATACCGACACTGAGCCAAACGGCGACAGCATTCATTTGTAGAAGCTCGACGCGCTGGGAGATATGAGCTGCGACTGTCCTGTTCGTATGCGAAATGGGGTGCATAACATCCTGGTACTCCGTAGCCGTATCGGAAGGTATATACCCATCTTCTAGCTCGATAGCCGGCCCAAGTGTACTAGGAAGACTTGCGTTAATCTTCTGGTATGCCCAGCCGCCTGTGCTGAGAGAGACATTGTTGCTGACGAAGTGCTGGAAGAAAGTCGTGAATGTTTTCTGTGCGAGCGTGGAGTATGTATCTCCGTTCAGTAATGCTGAGGGGTCTTTCCCTGCCATACTGTACATGGAATATGTCATGAAATCCATGTTCAATCCGTTGATCTCGTCGCGTATGTTGTATGTGTTGTCGGTCAAATCTTCTGTGCTATAACCCCCTACGTGCTCGGCGCCGCCGAGGTGGAGCGTGTCGGCTGCTGTGAGCATTGATGCCATGAAGAGTCGACCGTAGCTATATCAAAGACTTTAGCAAATTTGTTCATATACTTGTCTTGTCTGAATGGGTTGCAATGTACCTTAGTGTTACATTGTAGTAAAACATTCCCGTCTCCCGACTGAAGCGAGTCTTGTTGTGTGGCAAGAAATTATCCGAAAAGGCCTCTGTCAGTTCTGTTGGCTGGCTAGTGATGCTGAAGGTCTGAATCTCGCCGTTGGCTGGGTTTACAATGATATCTGCCTCGGCTGACTCGACAATTGGCCTGCAATTCATCATTGTGACGGACGGAACCTCGGGAAAGAGTAAGTCTGCATCATAATAGCCATTCTGATTCGTATTCCGCTTAATTCCTGTCACTGCGTTTCCGTGAACCCATTTGGCCGTGAAGTTTCGCTGCCAATTGCGCACTGTCCAGGTTGCAGGGTCGGTGTTTGGGGACCAATAGCCAATCGCTATACTAGGGTCCCATGCGCTACTGCTTCCATTGCCACAGCATACTATCTCAGCTGGATTGACGAAGACGGTTGTGCAACTTGGGCAGGTTGATATGTTTTCAGATGATGTGATAGGGAGAATGGCGCTGGGGAGTTTGCTGTATACTGCGCCGAGCTGGTAACCGCCTTCGAGATCATTTGGGATTGTACTCGCATTCCAGACTGTGTGGTTGCTTAGATCCGTAGATGTGAGCCAGACTGAAAGGTTTGTCAAAGTTTGGGCTGGGTACTCGGCACATTCGATACGGCCGCGGACAGCTGGTGTTGTCAATGAGATGTTCTTTGTAGGCCCGCCGAGTGTTTCATCAGAGGCATCAAGGTCGTTTGGTAGGTTGATACGGTCAAGATCATTTAGTTTGACAGGTACAAAGCTCCAGCCATCTTTACTCCATGAAGGCTCAGACCCATTTAGTGTTAGTTGGATGGCTGCCGTGTACATCCAATGAGACGAAAGGTTCGTATACAAACCGGCAAGGACAGTTCCTGCATAATCATTTGAAGAACCTGGGTAGTATGATTGCGAAGTACCAAAAACAAGCGGAATGTCCCGAACTTCCAGTGTTCGGTTGAAGGTGATGGCTTGGGTAATATTGCCAGGACCACGGTCGAAAAGAGCCGACATCGTAGTCGTGACTAGAAGATTGATGTTAGGATCGATAACTAGCACATCCCAGTTAAGGAAAACTTACATATTGGAGAAAGTGAGCTTCCAAATGTGAGGAGGGAGAGTAGCCAGTGTCTGTTGAGCGCGGCTTTCACACAAGCCCAAAGCCAGAACGAGGACTGATACGATAGCCCAGCACCACGAGATAGTTGTGGGTTCTCCCTCGACATCTGCAAGTATGGTGTAAGGCGACGGAAGTTTTCGTCAATAGCACCCCACCAGAGGCCAATTCCTGTGGCTATGAGTGTTGGGATCATGGAGAATGGAGCGACGGAAGCTATCCCATTACTGAAGAAAGAGGCTTGAACTTGGTAGACAAATGCCTTTTCATAAAGTCCCACACTCTCGGCAAAGTGATAAAGCACAACAATGCCAGCAATGACTGCGCCAAGAAGCACCACCAGCCCCAATAGAGCAGGCAGACGAAGTAAAGCCGGTGTTCCATTTTGAGATTGTGTTGTGTTGTGCTTGATCGTATTGTCAGGATCGTTTCGACAAAGTCCATAAGAGTCAGTACTAAACCACTCCCCTTTGAGTGTTTCCTCCATATCTTTCTGCGATGGCTGTTTGAACACCTGAAAGTCTGATCTGACTTGAGGATTATTTGTAATCAAACGAGCGGCACCTGTCGTCGCAGCCGGGTCTTCTGTCAAGTTCAATGGCCTGCGGTTCAACTGCGTAGACCACCAGACGAATAGTACAAGGAAGAACGAGATGGCGAATAAAACTCCCAAAGCAATCGCAGCACCAGGCTGAACAACGACTCTAGATTCAACATCGCGGACTACACCTTGCATTGCGGATTTTTGAGAAGCTTCTTGGTGGCTTAAAGCTGCCTGTAACACTTCACCAAAGTACCGCTGTTTTGCCTTGGACGCAGAGTAGATCCAATCTGGATCGTTGACTAGGGAAGTCATGTTATAATCATACAATGCACCCAAGAGTATAGTGGGTCCTCCGAGCATCGCAGTTTCTGACCACAGGATTGAAATCATATAAGTTGGCCAATCTGAGTTCAGCATCATTCCTCGAAATTCCGTGGTGTTCACAAGTGTATCAGGAATCGAAACTTTCTTTTGTTCAAACTCGGTTTCATTATAGGTGATATCGGGATCATCGCCCGTCAGCGCAACGGATGTCGTGACGTTGGCCATGTAATATTTCGTCTCACACAGTTGAGCCCCATACTTTGCATTCGCGGACGTCCACGAGTCGGTAACGATAATAATCTCTTTACCATCGCATTGTTCCGTGTGGTTAGTGCTAAACACCGTCTCAACGCCACTCTCCAGTTCCATTTCTGCATAGTAGAAAGTGGAAGCGTCAGACCAACTTCCACCTCCCATATTGAAAAAGTCCTTATCCGCCGACAGTCCGTATTCACAGTCACCAGACGAAGACCAGATAATGGATATAGACGGGACCTTTTCAACACCTTTCGTGTATTGTACAGTCTCATTTGTTTGAGCTTTGACTGACATTGCTGTACATTCGAGCTGGGATTTAAACATCATGGTGTCTGCCTTCCATGTTTGAGAAGTACTCGACGGCAATGAGGTTATAGGCGCATCCTCCAAACTAGCCGGCCAAAAGGGTAGAATCGTATAATCATCTGTGATCCAAGGCGAAGTGGAGACGTTTTGTAATAGATTGGCTATAGTTCGAAAGTGTGTCGACCGGTCTGCATCGATCGGCAGAGGAGAGTTCGTGACAGGCATAAGAGTGAAAAAGTCGGTCGACTTAGAAACCACCACGTCGTCGGCAAATAAATAAGCGGAAGAAAGAGAGGAAATCGCCATGAACCCAATGATATTGAGAAATGCAGCGCATACCAAAACCCAGCTGCGTCTCCCATGCTTCTTCTTGGAAAACCCATCATACAACGCATTCCACCAGGCTCCCGGCGTCTTGAGAATGCTGGACATCGCCATTGCTCCTTCAGTTCGAGCTAAGCGAGCATATATTTCGGTGCGCTTAACATCATCGAATAGTATAGCAGTCATTTGGACGTACACGACAGCAATCATGGTTGGGCTGTATCGCCATCCAATCAGCAGAGCCGAGGAGCCATCATCAGACCCTAGACCATAGCTTGTCGAAGACTTCCACCAAAGCAAGAATGTTGTTAGGCATAATCCAAGACAGAAAAGGCTAAGTATAGCCAAATAAATATGACTAAATGAATATGGCACCCAACTCGGTGTCCAAACCGTGGCTTTTTCATCCGGAGTAGCAGGTCGCGGACTGATAGTTCTGCTAGAAGAACTGCTCAAACTCGAAACATCTCCATCGCTTCTGCTTATCGAGATAGATCGACTAGCTGGGACATTAGATGAAAAATAAGAATTGTTGCCGAGGAGATCGCGATCTTCGTGTGTATTATATTGCCGTGCTGTCATATTCGAAAATGACCACCAGATGTGCCTGCCCAGCAGCTCACAATCAGGGCATATAAGTTAAGGAAAATTATAATAAGAGCTGAATATGATCCCGGCATCGCCATGCTTATTATATCGTCCCGCGTGAAATGATCATCCCGAGGGGCTTCTTCCTAGGCGAGGGTGAGGGTCCAGATGCAGGGAAGCAGGGTTATGAGGCGAGACTATTCCATCTTAGAGATGGGGGGTTTACATGATCCAATGAAGATATCAGATTTAACGCACTTCGACAGAGAGAGGGGAGACGCGGGATGGGCTGCATGCACTGTGCGAACTTGCATATTGGCCCCCACCGGAGCTTTTGCCAGCGATTGCATCCGTCTTCTCAACCCTACCACCTCCACAAATGGCGTGACATAAAGCTGACCATTCTCCGCATTCAACCATGTCAAACTCAGACATTCAGACATTACGAATCTCCCAGGCAGATTAAAAATTGGTAGAGGGTTTATTCGGCAAACAGGCGCACCAGCGGGCCCATCCGTCGTAGTGGATGCTTAGCCTCTCACGAGCCCTCAGTTAGCGCCCGGATATACAGACCACCTGAATACCCACAGCACTAGCAGATTTATCCACAATTATGCAGCTAGAAGAAGTCCAGCGTTTTGAATAACCGCTGGCAGGCTACAACCCTGTCAGTCTATCATTCTAGGCTCAGTTTTCGCCGCACTGGATGTGATGGGACGTTTGCTATTGCATATACACTAATAGAAACAACCCCGCCATATGTAATTATAAGAGGAAGCGCTTTTCTTCGTTCAATTATTCTTGCATACATTTTTCTTCCTTCCGAATGGTCTATATTTTTATCAGTCTATTCTTCAGCTTGTCTTCTCTTTCATTGATCCACGTTGCAATACTGGCCATATTTGGTACTACACCATGGCCTATGAAGTGATCATGGCTTGTTTCAACAAGTGTCACGACTTTTGTGGTACAGAACCGTGCACATTTTAAGGTTGACTGAATTCTGGTTCAGCAAATCCCATCAAGGCACTAATGTATTGCCGTCTAACATGAAAAAGTTTGTTACTTCGTCTTGTGTATCAGCCCGGCGCCAGGTATGTCACCTTCAACCATGAGGATCTATCATATCTGACCCGTTACAGCAGCTACATAGATGACGTGTCTTAGATGGCATCACATCAAGGCTATTAAAAATTGTTGCCAAAATATCTAATGTCCAAGGACTGAAATGAAGAGGAATAAACAAAACCTGAGACTGGAGAAAAAAAAACCATCGATATGAACTAACCCACTTGGTATATGTACAAAGAATCATAAAAAGGAACACAGATCATACAGGGTATGTATGCAATTCCTTGGAAAAGGAAGGGTCCATGGAAGAGCGGCCGAGGCCGAACGTATGGGTAGAACATGAAGGAGCCACCGCCGGCTAGGAATCATTTGCGAAAGAATGGTAAGAGGATAGAGAAGAACACGCTGACATCGAAGTAGGACCGTTGAGCATTTACTCGGACCAGTCAAGCTGGACGACGAGACGGACGGCACCAGCGGCCTGGGAGACAGCCAGCGAAGGGTTGCCCTGGTCAGCACTGGTGTAGGCGTTGAGAAGGCTGGCAAGACCAGTGGCAATGCTGGAGCAGCTGGCGCCGAGGTGGTTGCAAATGCGCATGCCCTGGACATCAAAGCCGGCGAGCTGGGCAATGATGGAGGAAACATCCCAGCCGGAGAAACCGTCGTTCTTCTCACTGCTCATATCGAACTCACCCCAGGTACCGGCCCACTCACCAATGAGAGAGACGGGAACAGATCCCTGACCAGCAGACCAGCCACCCTGGGAGTTGTCATCGATGGCGACATAGGCGACCTCACCGGGAGCGAGGGTGAACTCAAGAGCCTTGTTGGGGCTCCAGAAACCGTCCATCTTTCCACTGGGACCGTAGGTGTTCCAGAAAACAACGGACCAGTCATCGCTGTTGCTACCCTCGAAACGGATAACGTGCTTGTACTGGCTGGCCTCGGACTCGGCGACCTGGATGATGTTGCTACCCCAGGGGCTACCGACGTTGCCAACGTAGTCCCAGTCGAGGGAGCCGGTGGACTTGCTAGCAGTCGAGCCACCGAATCCAGAGCGAGAGTATGAACCGTCGGAGGGGGTCTCGTACCAGGTGCCGCTGCTGGAACCGCTGCTGGAGCTGCTGCTGGAAGAAGTGGAAGCAGCAGCAGAGGTAGTGGGCTCAACTGCAGCGGGGGTGGAGGTGGTGGTAGGCTGAACAGTGGTGGTAGGGGCGACATAGATGGAGGTTGAGGTCGAAGTGGAGGTAGAGGAGACCACACCAGCCCACTCGTTGATCCAGGACTCGAGAACACCATCGATGGTGGCATAGACCACATCACCAACAGCACGAGCCTTCAACTCGGAAGCCATCTCAGCGGCAGGAGTGACGACCGGCGCCGGGACTTCCTGCTCAACCTCCTGGGCGACGTCTCCAATGTGGGCATGAGCATGGCGACGCTCATGGCCGTGAAGGCGAGCGACGGCCGAGCCTGCGGACAGGGCCGTCAACAAAAGAAGAGAATCCTTGAACTGCATTGTTTTCGAAAATGAAAGTGTTTAAAGAGTGACTGAGCGAGAAACGCTCGAAAACAGTTCAAAAAAAGAATGTGTGGGATAACGGTGCCCTGGTGTATGGAGAAGGAGAGAAGGGGAGGAGCGAGGGTTGATATTATTTAGTCTTGGGTCGCACAACCTGGATCAGGGGCGTGCTACCTTTGATTGGCTTCACTACTTGTGGTTCCTGAGCCCGATTCACCCATTGATCAGGTTTAATTGGTTGAACCCACAGTGGATCTATGGGCCGAGACCCCTGACCTGGCTGCAGACCCTGTACTTGGTACCTTGGTCATTACTGGTACTGCGGCGGAAGGTTAAGTACATTGTACCTGACCCGTCCCTAGCTTGGAAGCCTTGTTTACTCGTAATTTCTTCGTTCTTTGATAGCGTCAAAGTATATTAACATTCACTACTAGACCATCAATTCAATCGAATATATGTCAAAAACGTGTGGGATCGGAATGTGTTCTTGGAATGTTCACTTCAGACCCTTAAATTAAAAACCCTTAAACCCTTGACCCTGAACCCTTTCACTTATCCCCATCTTCAAGCAGCCACATCGCCAGGTTCCCCACAACAACGCAACCCAGACCAATCATGCTAGCCCCAAGCCCTGTCTTACGTGTCTCCGGCCAAATCCCTCGGAAGATTGAACACGGGTCCATGCAGGGTACCTGACTTGTGATGTCAACAAATCCGAGCTCTACACGACATATCCAACTCATTTTTACGCGCCCAACCGAGCAACACATCTCTTGTGTAAACCAGTCACTTCAAAATTGACGGTGTATCGGGCGCACTGGCCTAGGCCACAACGATCGACCAACGGGGGGCGATAGCGTCAGGGCTCCATCCCCTAGCCTGGCAACTGGGTCCCCTGGAAGGGGCGAATGATACCAAGTCCTGTACACCGATATGCAGCGCAGTGTAAGGCCCTAGAGCCTGTCTCCCAGGATCAGAGAATCAATAGAAATTTTCCGGCTCCACCGTGTTGAGCCTTCCCTCCACTTCCGACTGGCGAAAAATTCTTCGAGGCAATCCAGACTGACTGGGCGTCTTGGCTAGCGTGCCGTTTCGGAGTTGAGTCCTCTCTGTTCATTAAACTTTATTCTTCTTGGGCCATATTGGCGTTCCATTATATTAACATAGATTAATAATGACCATTATGATGGTCAAAACGGAAAATAGCTATTTCTGGAGTTGTTTGCAGGAACAGTCGGCTCGAGACTGAATTACAGGATCCGGTCTCTCGTCACTGATCCCAGTGACACAGAATTGCTTACTGTGCGATTGACCGCAATTTCCGAAGATATCAAGCTTCGGCAAATTAAACCTGCGCAGCCAGGGGTCAGGGCGGCGAATCCTTGGTTGAGGCGGCGATCGGCGATTTGTTCCACTGGTGCTGACCACTTCTGAAACGGCTGATCTAATCAGTTTTGGTGTCACTTGGACAAAGCGTCTACTTCGTGTTTATTTATTTTTATCACCCTCAAATCCAGGTGGCTGAACGATCTTCTACAATTTTCATCAATTGGTGGAGACGTTACTATTTACAGACGCGGCAGAGCGCTTCGACGCTCCCAGAACAAAGAGATAAACGAAATATCGACCAGGCAACTGAGTCAAGCTACACAGCCATGGACAATCTATACCAAATAGATGAGATCTACCGCAAGTCCACGCCACCGTCAAATGCAGCTCCACCTGCGTCCGCATCCAGCTTCACACTCTCATCCAGCCCGCACACCCGGAAGAGCATTTGAGGCGTCAACTCCTTATCCAGACCAGGCAAACCATCTCGCTTCAGCTTCTCCAGCCCCTCCCGCATAGCCATAAGCGCAGGCCCAATAGTCGCAAAAGGAAAGATGATCATCTTGAAACCAATCTCGCGCGCCTCAGCTGCCGAGATCGAAGGGGTAGACCCATGCTCAACCATATTTAGCACCAAAGGCCAAGGCGCAAGGTCTCGCACCGCCTGAGCGGCCATCTCACGGGAAGAAATGCCCTCCAGGAATCCCACGTCCGCTCCAGCATCGCGCGCGGCTCGGAGTCGAACCAGACTCTCCTCGTACCCCTGTCCCAGCAAAGCGTCCGTGCGCGCAATAACCACGATATCGCTGCCAATTCGCTGGCGAGCTTGCACCGCAGCCCGGATCCGAGTTGCGTAGGTCTCTGTGTCGACTAGCAGTTTTCCGGAGAGGTGACCGCAGCGCTTTGTTTGCACTTGGTCTTCGATGTGGAAGGCTGCGACGCCGGATCGGGCGTACTGCTCTGTTGTCCGGGATACCATGATCGGACCTCCGTAGCCTGTATCGGCGTCGGCAATTAGCGGTGTGGAGGGGGAGAGGTTTGCGATCATCTCGGCGTTGTTCCGCATATCGTTAAGAGTGCAAATGCCCAAGTCTGCTTGTCCGTGGACGGAAGCTGCGGTGCCTGCACCGGTCTTTCAAATGATCATTAGCTTCGTCCTATTAACCAGGAAGATGTTGACACCAATACTTACCATGTACAGCGCATCGAATCCAGCTGCAAGTGCCATACGTGCTGACATGCCATCATACACGCCTGGAGCCACAACGAAGCCATTAGGATCCGCGAGGACCCGTCGTAGATTGGTAGCACCTTGGTTAATCGTCATGACGTCTGATAACACTGACTAGATTCAAACGGAATAGCGTCGCACTAATTGATGAGTGCAGTGCAGATAGAAACATGAGACAGAAATAGAAAAAGCCGGGACTCCTCTACTTATCACATTTTATATCTCGGTCTGAAATCCACGTGTAACCCTCTTAACCTTTTTTTTCTTCACCCCCACCTCTAATTGCTCTTGTTCGATGATGCGCGCTCCACTGCCGTGCCGAGCCCGAGCCCGATACCGGGCTTATGTCATAGAACTCGGCGTTTTTGCCTCCTCGCCGAACCAATACCGAGTAGAACTGAAAATTGAACACGGCGTTCAATGCCGAGTCTAAAATCGGTAAAATTCTGATTATTACAGGGGTTTAATAATGTATGTGTTGACAGAAATTTGCAATGGTGGCTGCTCATTCGGGGTTTTGGGTTGGAGCGGGGTATATCTCTGAATCAGTAGTGCATTTTGGGTTGATTTTCATGACTCGAATCAATTAAAATTACACACTAGGGTCAACCTTATCGATTACAGGTATATTATGATATACTTAAGAGCAGGGGTATATGCATCTTAAGGTAGAAATTAGTACTGTTTAAAGTACCTGTCTGCATGATCTAAATTACCCACTGCAGTTGGGCTGGATTGTGGTGGCAAAGACCGCACTGCTATACTTGTATTCCAGCTAGGAGCATGTCCAATTAAAATCCTGTTTTATGCTATATATGCATTCTATCTAGCCCCCTCAAAAAATTGGTGCCAAATATGGATGCCACGTCCTCAAGTCGAATACTTTTCTAACGGCCTCGACATCCAGCGTGTTTGGTTCATAATCCCAATTCATATCTTTGGGTTTCGTCGTATAAGTACCCGGTGCCTCACCCTTGTGAAGTCGAACTAGAACCTTTAATTCGTTAGAGAGCCCAGTCTCATCCCCTTTGGAGTATTTAGAGCTCTGTGTTCCCTTCTTCTTGCCGTAATTTGAAACACTGAATTTGGAATCCCCGAGGTCTTCAAGACCCATTTTCCTGCGGTAATTCAGAACACAGAATTCAAGGATCTCATCCACGTAGGCGATCATCTCCGCCTTCTTATATTTATCGACTGGGATGTCGTGTTTGAGGAAGATCAGGATCAATAGAGCACACTGCTGGGGGGCATAGTACTTTGACTGGAACCAATAGTACGGCTCGAAAGCTGGGACTCTGCAAAGGTGTAGGAAGGATTGCAGATACTTCATGCATAAGAAGACGATGCTAGGAATGATGTTAGCGCTTCGTGGTCAATGTCTTGCGGTAGATGAAACTTACCTGTTCCAAGAGACTGTCCTGAAATTGGTGTTCTCATCTGGGGGCGGAAGAAGTGTTTTTTGGAACATGATCACCACCTCTAGCTTGAGCAGTGTGATCATCACCCTATACCACGTGCTCAGCACACCCACCAGTGGCATATCGTCCTCGTAAGCTTCAAAGTGGGTTTCTGGGGTTGCTAAGGCTAGCAAAACGGGAATCACTCCTTTCTCAGGACAGCCTTGTACACGGATATCTTTGCTCTCGCGGTCGATCATGTCAAGGTGCAATCGAATGCGCTCCATATTGAATGAGACGAACCATGTAAAGGTCGGCGAGGTTCGGGATTCTCTGATCAAACCACTCTGAATGAACACAGTCTGACTCCAACATGAAGAATATGCCATAATTAAAGATGGGGGATGCTCTGACTCGTCGACGGACTGCTTGACTGGCGGACGCTTGTTTTCAAGCGTCTTCCTCGAAAGACAGGGTAGCAGCCCACTTGAAAGACTTATTTGCATGTCTAACGAGACTAAGTGCCACCACACGAGTCGTGGCATGTCTCCCAAGTTGGCCAACGTTTTCTTATCATCATCATCAATACCCATGCTCTGAGCCAGACGAATAGCTTGGCTCACAAAGAGAGCGGATTTCAGAGGGGTATGTTCGGTGAAATGATGAAGTAGGATTGATGCAGCAAGACTATACATAGTGGGGTGTTCCTCATGTTCACACGCCTCCAAACTCCGAGTGGTAGTATCTTGGAATATAGCCATGGCTTCTTTCCGAGTATAAGGATACTCCTTCATAACATCGGATTTCCAGAATGCGTCTGGTGCTGCTGCCGCACCTGCAAATAGAAGAGCCTGAAAAGCGCAGAACCATGTGGGATCGAAAACCAATCTGGCTGGTACCTTGTCTTCTTTGCTATTGATCCCCTCCCAAAAATCATCATAAGTCATATAAAAGACGAAGGAGTTTACCACAGTAATGATTGGTTGCACACTTATCATAAAGGAGCGCACCAAGGCATCTGATATCGCCAATGACGGGAGAGATTCACGAACTATGGCCATACAGTCGTCCGCCATATCTTGATTCGGTCGCCCTTCATCGAAGAATGACGCAGAGATATTACCCTGACCATTCACAAAGCCCCAGAATGGCGTATGTAAAAACCGCATTCTCATGCGATTGAGCAGGAGACAACCAGGTGGGAGGTCAATTTCTTGCGCTGCCTGACGCTGCGCATCAGTCTCGGTCGTCGGCAGATTGCTCACTAGCAAACTAGCTTCATTTGCGTGGGGTTTGGAATTTTTCTTCCGATTGCTCGGCAACGGCTTATTTTCGGTTGGGGGTTTAGGCGATGCTTCTCTCTTCACAGGGGGTTCTTTTAGATCATCCGCCTTCACCGAGGGAGTAGTAGGACCAGTGTTCGTATCTTTTGTGTCGGTATCATAAACACAGGTCTCGCCCATTTTCTCGCATCTTGTGCATTGTGGTCGTTCTTTTCCACATCGAACATTGCAATTTCGACATGAGACACATTTAAATGTTGGTCGTGGTCTTGAGACCAGGCTAGTTTTTGGTAACGGCATGAATTGTGATTATAAATTATGGCATGCAAATCTGGAGTAACGAATCTCGAAATGTTGTGGCTGCGGATTTGTCACATGACATTTGAAAAAAGTGGAGCATGAGGTTCAATCTGACTAAATGCCCCACATGTCATTCAAGAGAATGTTACATATGAGAGGTCATTCAAGCGAGATCTAGCTGGCTTCATATGAGTTTAGATGGGATCAATTGTAATGCTCATAAGCTCGTCAGCCAGAATTTCGAATGATCTTACATTCAATACCTATGGATCAATAGGCCAGGTAGCTGAGCAAGGAGGATATCTGTTGGAGCGAATTCTGCCAAAGGGACAAATGAGAACCAGATGAGGAATGTGATTGAAATAGAACCAATAGAAGAGAGCCAGCAGGTAGGTCCGTTGGGTCCGGTATGAATCCCAAGGCTGTATATCAAGATATAGCTCAAGCTTGTACTCCGTTGAAATGAAATCGGAATAGGCAACGCCCCATGGATCTGAAATCCTTAGTCATCGAGCTTCTCGAACCTTGAAACTTCGATCTCCCAGACATTCAACCTCGAGTTCACCTTTGATCCTGAAATGCGCCCGTCAACAGACTAGTCCTCCCTCCCTCCTCGAATTCTCCCTTTCCAATCCCCGATGGCTCGCCCCTCCGTCGTTCAAGAGTATGCCGCGCCCTCAACAACCCTAAGCCTCGACCACAAGGTCGTCCACGAGCGCCAACTCTACAACGTACCGCGCCCGCAAGGCTACCGCGTGTCATGGCACGCCAATCCAGCCGTGGAGCCACACCATTTCGGCCAGTCACACCCCATGAAACCATGGCGCCTCACCTTAACCAAGCAACTGGTCATGGCATACGGGATGCACCACGCGATGGACCTGTACCTGTCGCGAGCGGCGACATACGAAGAAATGGCCGAATTTCACGAAGAAGACTACCTTGACTTCCTGAAACAAGTCATGCCAGGCGACATCGACAAACCCGAACAAAGCGACAACGTGATCCGCTTCAATTTCGGCGATGACTGCCCCATCTTCAACGGCTTGTACAACTACTGTTCCCTGTACGCCGGCGGTACCGTCGACGCAGCCCGCAAGCTCTGTAACGATCAATCCGAGATCGCAATAAACTGGTCTGGTGGTCTGCACCATGCCAAAAAGTCCGAAGCCAGCGGTTTCTGTTACGTGAACGATATCGTCCTGGGCGTCCTCCAGCTCCTTCGCCACCACCCGCGCGTCATGTACATCGACATTGACGTCCACCACGGCGACGGCGTCGAGCAAGCATTCTGGTCCACAGATCGCGTGCTGACAGTCTCATTCCACAAATACGATAAAGATAATTTCTTCCCGGGTACCGGTGCCCTCGAAGATACAGGCCCAAATCACCCACTCAACCCGGGCGCACACCACGCCATCAATGTCCCGCTTAACGACGGCATCGACGACGAAAGCTACATCTCGCTATACCACGAGGTAATCGGTGCCTGCATTCGCAATTACCAACCCGGCGCTATCGTCTTGCAATGCGGGGCCGATAGTCTAGGCTGCGACCGACTCGGCTGCTTCAACCTTAACGTCCGTGCCCACGGCGCCTGCGTCGCTTTCACAAAGACATTCGGATTACCCCTCCTCGTCGTAGGTGGTGGTGGCTACACACCGCGCAATGTCTCTCGGGCCTGGGCGCACGAGACATCCATCCTTATAGAAGCGGATCAGATGATCGATACGACAATTCCTGAGACAGTAGCGTTCCGCAACCATTTCGGACCCGATTACTCTCTCTTCCCGCCCTTGTCTGAGATGCGCAAACTTGATAATAAGAACACCCGCTCATATCTCAATGATCTGGTTGAATCTGTTCATGAACAGCTTCGCTATATCAAGGGTGCGCCTAGTGTGCAGATGAGTTTCATTCCTCCTGATATCCTCGGATTACGGGAGGAGACAGAGAAGGAGATTGAAGAGCAGACTGCATTGATGGAAGAAGAGTATGAAGAGCGGATGGGTGGCTCGGCTGCTGCGTCGAGTATCAGCCCTGCTGCTTCTGGCTCAGCAGGTGCCATACCACGCGGGAACAGGCGGCGAGATCTTGAGCGGGGAGCTGGGTACAGAGGCGAGCTATATTCATGATGTTGGTGTGTTATGATATTTTATTCCATGGTGTTCTGGGACATGGAGTTTTGAGCGTCTATGTCTGGTTGAGAGCCTTAATGCTGGGTTGTTTCAGGGAGTTAGACCGCCTTCTTGTTTTTTATCGTGATATCCCGGGAGAGGAATTGTACAGTGGTATAGGTTAGACAAAACAATTCAATTCAATTCATAAATGAATACATCCAGGAAGTTCCCAATAACAACCCCGACGCACTGTATATAGCCACCCTGTCTATCATAACGAGACTTGACCTTGATCCCAAGCTTCGTTCAATTATTTGCTTCGTGCCTCACCTCAGTACAGATTTTCAGGATTTTTCTTCATTACGATACAATGCAGCACAAGTTAAACATTACGACGTACCTCACGCCTCCTTCAGCTCAGGCAGTTTCCAGAATATAATCGATATAATCGAAGATAATGAAGATTCATATGTTATTTCGGAGGCGCTTTCTTGGTACTTTTGTTTTGTCTTTGGTAAAATTCAGCATAAAATCGGGTATCCAGCAATGGTGCGGCGTCGTGACCGGGAAACGCTTGTGTTGAACATGGAATATAAGGAGGGATGGGACAGCGTCATGCGGTCATCGGTCGGGGGAATGGTGCTGGGTAGTCTGCGCAAGTTGCCCAGGCGTCTAGTAGACCCTCGGGAGAGGGCTTGGGTTGAAAGGAATTTCGAGCGATTTGGAAGGGGAAGAAGGTTGCAGACGAAAGCTCTTAATACAGAGGATTCTGGCTTCTCATTGCTTCTCCTCTGCATCTACGAACGTCTCTACCTCATTTGTTCGGGTATCTTTCCGTTCCACAACCTCAGGCCTGGCTGGTTCCATTTCGGACTCTGTTGTTGTATGGCGGCATTAGCTGTGATATCCTTGGGAGCCGCTGGCTGCGCTTTGATGCGTCGAAGCACTGTATGGCGGGATCTGGAATTGAGATGACTGTTTCTGACCTTGGACGATAGGCGCAATGGCTAGGATTTGTTTCTTGGCAAGTTCCGGGTCGTGAGAGTCGCTAATTCCAGGTCAATACGGAACGGTCAGTTCATTTTCATCAAAACTTACACCTCGGCGTTGATGATCCAGTCAAGGTCTTCATCTCCTTCTTCTGGGCCACCGGGACCACCCTTGACAGCGCGGAACAGGCGAGGTTTCCAATCAACGCCCTCATCGGCGCGCTTGGCAGCTTCCTCACGTTGACGGTCTTCGATCTTGGTCTTCTCGTCTGTGGCGGCTTCGTGATTCCGGGCGATGATGGCCTGAACGGTGGAATGCCATAGACGCTGTGATTCACGCTCTCCCTGCTCTTCGATTGGACGAGCAATCGGCTTCGAGTGCTTCGCGTGGGACGCATCAAACAAAACATCCTTCTTGTGGCTCTGTAATGTAATCAGCGAATGGTGTAATCAAAGTATACGCGGGTACAGAACGAACGTGGACATCCTTGACGACCATCTCGCCATTCCACATGCCGGACAGCTCATATAACACCTCACCGGTCTTTTCGTTCTTGATAGTTCCTCCAAGAGCATTATAGGTACCAGAGAAATAACCCTTCGTCTTGAACTCAATGTCGGCCACCAGGCCGGTTTCCGGGCATCGGACATAGCTGTGATCTCCAAGCTCATACTTCATCTTACCGAAAAGAATACCGCGGGCATACATATTCGGTTGCGTCAAGATACTAGAAATATCCATTAGTACCCCGCATGCAGTAACTCCAGCTTCAGCAAACGTACTATTTCTCGCCCTTCTCTTTGTTTGCGCCGCGGTTCAACAGTCGCAAAGTCGCAATACCTTCCATCAAGCTAGCGGCGGAGTTACCAAGGAATTTACTGCGCGGCTTGAGAGTCCCATCGATCCGAATGTGGTGCTCCGGCGCCATAAAGAAGTAGCTCGACTTGGGCGGGTGATGCGAGGTCTGCTCGGAAATATAGTATCCGCGCGTGCCATCAGGATAATCCCAGTAGCAGGTAAAGGTTTCGCCAAGAATGGGGTTCAACGGCTTCTTCACCCCTCTGTATGGTTGACGTCAGAGTGCGATCGGGACAAGAAAACGGTGCGGGCAACGTACGGAGGCTTAATATGCCATCCACTCAGATAGAACTTGACCACAGACACAAATCGCTCGACTGGATCGTCAATAGTGCTCATGGGAAGGAGGGTATCGGGGTGGGCCATGAAGCTAGAAGAGACGTCAGCTTCTGCAAGGCCAAGCGCCAAGGGCCTAAAGCTGGGGAAATTAGTTCATACTTGGTGATCCGCTCAAGCATCGACCGGGGCTCTAGAATGAAGGTGGGCAGGACGACACGACTCAGGTCGGCGCCCGGTCGGAGCTGGGAAATAATGTGTGACAGGACTGGATCTTGTTAGTGGGCTTTCTGACCGCGGAGGGTTCGGGGACATTACCATTTCCCTGGTCGGGCTCGACGATCTCTTCGTCGCCGCTAGCTGCAGATTCATCCACGGATGATTTACCTGGAAGTACTTCAGACATGGTTGTTGGGATAGGGTAGTGGAAAGTTCATACTGGCTAAGGAAGAACGGCGGAGGTGCGGAACCGGCATGACTGCGTTCGGGATGACAGAAAGAGTAGGATGTTGTGGAAGAACAACTCTAGAACACCGAGTGCATTCGAAGGAAATAGATAACTGAAAATCGAGGAGAAAACTTGGAAAATGACAAGATGTCCTCCGTTGCGACTAAAGACAGAATGAGATAGTGGAGAGTAGAAAAAAAGAGGGAAAAGTTTTTAGTAGAATAAGGTAAAAACGGGCTTAGACTTGAATCGGGCAGTGACGTCGAAAGGCCTCACTATAGACCATAAGATCTACCCCATCCAAACGCGGAACTTTCTGGGGATTATATACTGGAGTTATAGTCCGAAAGTTAACTCGTCTATTAATTCTATTGTGGTAAATCCCTTCCAAGCCTGAGCTTCGCCTCTTCCCAACACCTTCTATTGATCCATCATGAGGGGCACGTCTTGGCGGAGTGGGGATCAGCTTCGGCACTCGAGGGCCAACACAAGCAAACGATATGCTGCAGGTTTTCTGCACTGTCCATAGATCCACCCTGTTCTTCTCCGATCGTACCGGGCCCCATGCAATCATACCCGTTCTATTAGCGGCTCGTCTCCACGGGTGATCTCCCTCACAAATGCCAGATCCGGTCGATGGAGCATGACGTGGAAATGTTCGACCGCGTGGACTGATTTGAGAGACTTCCAGTTTTTGAACCAGACGACCTGTTCAGCCGCCACCCGAGAGTGAAAGGTACGCTGCACATATTGATCGATCGCCTCTCGTGCCTCTTTTGTGAGTTCCCCGGAAACTGGGTCATCTGGCAGCTCAAATTTGGTCCATACTACCAGGTGGATTATGTCAGTGTCAATGCCGTAAGGCCAGTCGTTAAATAGGATTCGAATGTCCTCTGTACAGAACGAGGAACCTGCATGTCAGCCAAACAATACTCGTGACTAGGACAAACCTAGCAAATAAGAACATACCGCTAAATTCAAACATGCCTCCTTTAGGCTTCATATTCTCTGTGTCTCCATCGCCCCATCCTAATCTCTCCTTGACCACGAATCGCATCACCGATCCATACTGGGCTTTGATGTAGGCGGTGTATTCCAGATACTTGCGTAGATCACTGGGCACGCGTTGGAATCGATCAATCCGGTTCGTCCCTGCGGACCAGAAAGCCGCCAGTCAGCAAAACAAAATGGCCCCAAATATGCACACTAATAGTAGCAGCTCCACTTAACTGATGATTTCTTGTACTGTATCCCAGTTTTGCCGCTTGTAGTGGGTATCCGACATGGAAAGACACTGTATGTTCTTGGGCGATTGGTTCTGTAGAAACTTAGGGCACTCAGTGGTCCACTGTGATTGGGGCACGTTCATTAGCCAATAAGGCAAGTTTTCGTGGTTGAGGTTATGATCGAGGAGAAAGCGAGCGGGCGAGTCCGCGTCCGCGTCAGTTAGTTTCTCGTCGAGCGCAGTGACCGTCGCGGCTGGCGTTGAAGGCTCGAAGTGAGGCATCTTGAATGAGCGTAAGGCAAACACGTCCTTTAAGTAGCTTGAGCTCTGTAGAGTGTGTTCTTCGAAGCCACGTCACCGTGCAGTAGCGTTGGGGAAGGAAGTTGGAGAAAGAAGGGGTCCTCCAGAAAAACGTCTGTCTACCAAAAGTAGTTGGTATTGTCGATCAACGGGGTTAACTATCCCGCCGAATCCACATGAGGTCCTTGATTGGATTGCAAACCAATAAACCGTTACGGACCAGTTTATATTTGTGGAAACCACCCTTGGAACCGTCTGGAATTCTATGTAAAAAGGAGGCATATCTATGCGACCGCTAACTTCTTGAGGACCGCGTCATCAGCATGGATCACGGAAACCCCCGCGATAAGAAGCTCCTCCTTAACTAGCTCCCAACCAGTAGGAACAACACACTTCGTTCCCTCCTCGATAAGCCAACTTCGAAACCCAGCCTTGACCGCATCAATAGCTGTGCATTTCACACAATAGTCCCCTGCCAGCCCGACGACAAAGACATCCGTCACCCCCTTAGCCTGGAGCTCAGAGATAACATCCACCGTAACCGAGTGCATTGTGACTGTCGGATCAATGTTTCCAAACGCATCGGCAAATGCAGAGTACATCTCGACCTGCGAATGTCTGCCTTTCATCACCACTAGATCAAATAGACTGGCATCAATCTCGGGAATGAGAGCGGCGCCGGGGGTGTCCTCCACGCAATGGACAGGCCAAAGCTGCTGGGGTTTTGTTTCAGGCTCTTGACCAGGAGGTGGATGGGGATTCGTCATTTCCACAAATGACTCAAACGGTCGGTTATTTGGAGGCGGGTGATTGCTGGCGAAGGAGATGTGGTCTGGTGGGTGGTAGTCTTGGGTTGCGATACGGGACACCAATGCGGGTTGAGCGAGGAGGGAGTTGATCAGAGGAGCGATGGACCGGCCATCTTGTACTGCGAGAGAGCCATTCTGTAGACGCGCATCGCAGCTTGCGCATCAGCACCAAGCTTCGAGCTGTTAGTTGAGCTGTCATTCACTCACGGGTGGACAGAAGTCTTCCTGCATATCAACTACGATCAAAGCGGGCACAAAAGGCCCTTCCTCAATTTCTGAGGCCATCTTCGGGAGTTGAAGGAGTGGCCTGGCTGAAACTGTAAGATCCAAGGTTGTCGTAGCTTAGCTCGGTTCGAAGTGGGGGGAGCTGGTGGCTGAGTCAGCACGATGGTAAAAAGGCGAAAATCACCAGCGAAATCGATCTTGCTTCCCTTCTCTCCTTCAAGGGCTACGGCCCCAACGATTTCAACACAGTAAAACTCCAGAACTGGATAATGAAAGACTATTGCAAGGTTAGTGAATAGTTATGTTTATTCAATTGCCCTTGTTTTATGTGATGAATTTTTATTTATTGGAGCTGTCTGAGCTTTTGCTATGCGGACAAACTCTTTATACGCATTTTATCTGAACCACCCTCTATCTACTTGATTACTTGATATCATAGAGAAAGCTCTTGCTAACGCCAAGAATACAGTCAATCACAGGAGATAGTAAACCCAACTTCAAGCCACCTTGATCAAAATTTTTTATTCTATTTGCCCTATCATCCCAACTTAGTCTCTCCATATCATACCTATACCTTAGGTATAAATAATCTCCACCATGGCATATGATCCTCGCCGTGTAAACACGGGAAGCACAACTCCCCAGACTCCTCCACCTCCTCCCCCTCCACCACCCGAGTCTGCCACTCCCGAGATGGACACCCAGGCCACCCAAGAGGGCACAGACAGCTGGAAACTTAAGTTCTGCACTGTCTGCGCCTCAAACAACAACCGGTCTATGGAAGCACACCTCCGTCTCTCTGCCGCACCCACTGCCTTCCCTGTCATATCCTTCGGCACCGGTTCCCTCGTTCGTCTCCCCGGTCCATCCATTACACAGCCAAATGTCTACGGCTTCAATACAACCTCCTACAACCAGATGTACGAGGAGCTGCAGTCGAAGGACGAGCGCCTCTACCGCAACAATGGTATCTTGAACATGCTGGACCGCAACCGAAATCTTAAATGGGGCCCCGAACGCTTCCAGGATTGGGTTCCTGGCGCGCCACGCGTGGATCACGCCGCGAAGGGGGATAAGGGCGCACAGGGTACAGAGGGAGGTGTCGTCGACGTCATTATTACTTGCGAAGAGCGCTGCTGGGATGCAGTTGTCGACGACCTGATGAGTAAAGGCTCGACTCTGAACCGGCCCGTCCATGTCTTCAATGTCGATATTAAGGATAACCACGAAGAAGCATTACTGGGTGGAAAGGCAATTCTGGACCTAGCGAACCGACTCAATACGGCTGCTGTTGCGCAACGCGCCCAGCATGGGACTGAGGGATGGGAGAATGGGGCTGGTGCTGCTCGAACGAGCTTTGATGAGAAGGTCCCCGAGATTCTGGCGGAGTGGCAGGAGTTGAATCCTAATCTGCCGGCGTTGTGGACACTGGCGTGGCTTTAGCCTCGATTGTGATGTCTGATACCCCTAATTCATGTGGCGTTTGTCACTAGTGATCATAATACAATACATCTGAATTTTGTTCGACTAGTACATTGTAATTGATTATTGATAGTGCATCTTGAGGAAAACAAATGGGGTATCATTGCGTATTCTATATCAGCGCCAGTGCTGCTACGAAGAGCAGCCAAAGATCCCGCAGCAAGAAGCAAATTTTCTGTGAGCTTGGGTCAGGAATCATGATTCATCTCGATCTTGATTCGCTGGACCTTTCTGTCCTCGTCCTTGATATGTTCATCCTTGACCATTCCGTCCTTGATATCCTCACCCTTGACCATTCCGTCCTTGATATCCTCACCCTTGACCCGTTCATCTTTGATGTGTTCGTCCTTTATCTTTTCGGTCTTGGTCTTTTCATCCTTGGACAATAATACATCCCGTCGTTCCGAGTACCATCGATCAAGACATGCTCTTCGTTCAGCTTGTGTCATGCTTTCAACGACAAGTGCAAACTCAGTCGCATCAGCAAATCCCAACCGCCGTGCCATGCTGCAAAACTGCCGACGTTTGACACCTTCCGGTGGATGATATTTGAACCGAAACGGCGAATGATCCGGCTGGCGGGGACGGGGTGTTCGTGTTTGGTCGTCATCTGGTTGCATTTGTGATGATCCCTCGAAGACTTGGAAATCAGCACCCGGGTCATTGTTGACCTGCTCAGCCTGACGACTAAGCTTCTCCTCGACACGGGAGGACCCAATCACTTCATTGTTGAGGTGAGTATATTCCACTCCAGCACTGGAGAGAATCGCTTGGACTGGATCGTGTTTGTGTGGGGTGTTGGGAGTACGAGGTTTAGGACGGTCATCTTCTCCATCGCCGCGGATCATAGCGGCATATTGGCTCATGGTTTCGTCTTCGGACTTAACAGGTCTGTCACCAGTGGCATCCTCATCCTCCTCAAAGTGGAAATCCATGACCTGAACACCGGCTCGACTTTCAGCGACATTAGTTTTGTTCACGATGTCACGCAAGACGACGTTATCAAATTGATACGAGAACAAGTTTTGCATGCCGAAGATCTCGCCCTTCTGATCTTTTTGGTCTTGGACTCCCTTAAAATATCGCCTCTCGGAGCTAGCATTGTACCCGATTTCCGCCTGTTGCTGTTTGTAGATTTGCCGTGCGTAGACGATCTCCTCGATGGTGCCAGCGGAAACAAGACGGAAGACCTCGACATCACGGACTTGTCCAATGCGGTAGGCCCGGTCTTGGGCTTGAAGATCATAAGATGGATTCCAGTTCGGGTCCACGACGACTACCTTGTTGGCAGATGTGATGTTCAGGCCGACACCACCCGCTTTGGTAGAGATCAAGAAGACAAACTGCTTAGGATCGGAGTTGAACTCATCCACCGCCAGAGCCCGGTCTTCATACTTCATGGAGCCATCCAGGTAGCTCACATTGTAGCTGGTATGTGTGAATAACATCTGCAGCATCTTCAAGAGACGTACACTATGCGAAAATACTAGCACTTTATCTCCATTCGAATGCCACCACTTGAGCAATTTACGGAGAACCTTCCATTTCCCGCAAAATTCGGGATTCGCGTAGTTCATGATCGAGTCCCGAGAGCGATATAGATCTTCCCATTGATCGGGGAGCGCGATCTGTAGCATGTCCTTTTCCTTCTCTTGTCTCTCTTTCGGGTCATTTCCCTGAGGAATAAGAAGGGCCAGGTGATTGCTTAGTTTTTGCAATACTGCAATTGCAGGGAAGACGAGAGCTTGCCAAGTTTTATCCGTACCATCCACAAACTTATGGCAGCACCAGCCTGCTTTTCTTCTTTCTCCACAGTCGCATGGGTCGGTGGAATTCTTGATGGACTGTACAATGTCGCTGTCCAAGAAATTTTCATATGCCTCTGCTTGTGACCAAGTTAGAGGGCAAAAGACTACTCTATCACTTTTCTTCGGCAATTGATCTGCAATCAAAGATTTCATCCGCCTGAGAAAGAACTGCGGTAGCAAATTTTCGACGAGCTTCTTGGCGGTTCTTCGGGCCTTGCTGAGTTCGTTCACAGTTGCATTATGTGACTGTCCAATCTTTAAAGGTTCTGCAATTTGGGCTCTCCATGTTGTCACCGGACCAAGCACACCAGGGTTGGTCCAATTCAGTAGAGTCCATAGCTCCTCATACCGATTTTGGATCGCTGTGCCTGTCAGACCAATACGACATAAGGCGTTGATCTCGTTCATAGCTATAGTCGTTTCCGATCTTCGTTCCTTGATTTTATGGCATTCGTCGGCGATCACACAATCCCATTCAATGAGATTCACCAGCCCCTTGTTATTCACATAGGTGGTGTAGGTGGTGATCATGATTTCGGCCATGCCCGATCTCACAGATTCAAGGGGGATATCCTTGCTGGCGCCATGGTAGACTTCAATTTGCCACCATCCCCATCTATTCAACTCGGCAACCCAGTTTGAGATCAGGGTCCCAGGGCACACGATCAAGGTGCGTGGGTACCATGGTTTGCCAGCAGATCTGCGCATCTTGCGCATTCGTTTTCCGTCGCGTTCATCACCAGTCTTTCCGTACGCTGCCGTCAGGAATGCAATAACCTGGATAGTTTTCCCAAGGCCCATATCGTCTCCGAGAATTCCACCTTTCTGGTAGATAAACTTCTCGTGCATGAATTCCACTCCCTCGACTTGATATTGGCGCAGCCATTGCGCAATCGGTGCGGGGATCAAGCCAAGAGAGTAGGGTAATGTAATATCCTTGTATTCACGAACGGGGGTTCTCCCCGGAAAAGAAGGCTTCTCTTGTAGATGCTCGAGGCGCTCATCATCGGAAAATTCTACGTCCTCATAAGAGGGTGGCAGCTTTAGTCCATACTCCTCAAGGTGCTCCTGTCTCCGGTCAAATTTCAGACGACGTTGCTTGACATAACTCGGGAGCGTATATTCCATCAAGTCGTCATCGGATGATACTTCGCCATATTGCCTCAGAGGACGCTTAGGTCTCAATACTGTTTTCTCGGGTTTAGCAAGACCAACGATCATGTCATCAGCCGGTGTTTCTCTCTTGGGAATCTTGGGAAGCTTTGCTTTGCGATTTGCAGCTGCAGTTTGTTTGCGCTTGACAGACTTGCGATCCTTGAACTTCTTGTATGCCGCTTCGCCATCATTGAATTCATCATCGCTTTCACTGTCAGATTGAACTTTGATTGGAGTATTGACTGTGATACGCGAAGGGGTATCCAGAGTATTCGGTCTGAGAGGCGTAGAACATTCTGATTTCACGTTGGCAGAATTTCTAGCTTCTAGAATGTAAGCTGCATGTCGCGCGTCTGGGGATGCAAGTACATACTTGGGACGGTTGAGGTGGGGGTTGAGTTCACATATCGCGTCACTTCCAAGTCATCGTCGTCCGAGTCAATGATAATGATCTCGAAGTTTTCTCCGCGATTCTCCATTTCGACAGCATAATCGAAGTTGTGTAAGAATAATGGTGTAGAGGTGGTTTTAGGCAGAGGCGGGAAGGCGGAGAAGAAAGGCGGGCGATGTCATTCCCGATTGGCGAAATGAAAAAAAAGCTCTCTGATCATCTTCTTCTCCCCACACGAGCTCTGCGCTCTACATTGTCGGTATCACCCATTGGGCTTAAATTTGAGCTCCAATACTGTACGCGATCTCCAATCCAGCTTTTCCTGGTCGTCTCCACCGTCTAACCTGCATTGACTGACCCCTCTCCCATCACGCAGGTTACTAGACCAACCAAATTTTGGATATCTTGTCGCCATAGTGGAGGATTAATTCTTTTGAGATAATTGAAGAAGACGAAACTCATTCGCAAAAATGCCCCTCGATACCTCTACGACATACCCTCTGACCCGGCTGCGGTTGGACGGTCGCCGATGGAACGAACTACGCCTGCTCCAGGCTCAGATTTCGACCAACCCCGCCAGCTCCGGTTCATCCTACTTGTCTATGGGCAATACTTCGATCATGTGCTCGGTTCACGGACCCGCAGAGGGCCGCCGAGGTGATGCGGCAGGAAGCTCTGGGGCTGTCGTCGAGGTAGATGTTAATGTCGCCGGTTTTGCTGGCGTGGATCGCAGACGACGAGGTGGAGGAGGCGACAAGTAAGCTCCGGCCTTCTTTATATGCATGGCAGTAGTAGGGCAATAATGCTAACTCATGCCCTTACAGGACATCCTCGCGCATTGCGGTCATCCTCCGTTCTACCTTCCAATCGCATTTACACACTTATCTCTACCCGCACAGCACCATCAGCATCCATGTCTCCGTTCTCTCATCCGATGGATCCGTGCTTGCTGCCGCAATTAATGCTTGCACTTTGGCTTTAGTTGATGCCGGAATTCCCATGCCTGGTCTGCTCTGTGGCTGCACAGCTGGCATGAGTGGAAGTGCCTCGACGCCCAAGGATCCCCGCCACGATGAACTCGACCCCCTTCTGGATCTGTCTCTCCCTGAGGAACAAGAGTTACCCTTGATGACCATCGGAACTACCACTGTTGTGCCTGGGGGAGAACATAACATGGACGACGACGAAGAAGAGACTACTGTAGCTCTGATGACTATGGACTCCAAGTTGCACAGCACATACACCGAGACTATGTTGGCTGTAGGTATCGACGGATGTAACCAGATTCGGGAGCTGCTGGAAGGCGTCATTAAAGGATCGAACCGGGGATGAAACGATACAATACCCTTTGATATTTTGCATGGGCGGCGTCTAGGAAAATGGGGAGAATGATGAAATTCATGTTTCTGATTTGAAAATTACCTATATTGTCAGTATTTGCACGGCGGGATTATCTGCTCAGTTGCACTCAAGAACTCTTAACCAGCAAAGCACTCAAACTCTATACTAAACGTAAAATATGCTCATACATTACCCAATCGGGACGTGTGACACTTCCAACGTTGTTTACGACCACGGGTCTTTCTGTTTACTTTCTCTTCTTCTCTTACTCTTGTCGCACGTTGCACATTGCATTTTGTCCTCCCTTCTCGCCGCTCACAATCAGACAGCAGTGGCCGTGCAGGCTTAACATTTTCTTCATTCCCTACAGTTCTGCGAGACTATTAACACAAGAAAGAGTCGCCATGGAGAAGACTATGCTCACTGAGACAGGACCCATGCCTACTGGGGGCCTTGGAGCCATACCTACTGGTATGCTTCCTGGTATGCCCAATATTCCCGACATGCAGAACATGACCAGTATGGGCAGCATGGGGGATATGGACCTCACCTGCAAGATCTCCGTTAGTCCACACTTCTTATCTGCTCTCGAAATGCTGCAATTGAACTGACACATTGCTTAGATGCTTTGGAACTGGTATACTATCGATGCCTGTACGCTGCTCATTCATAAGCCACCTTACGTTTGTACTAACCAAGCTTCGTCTATCAGGCTTCCTCTCCAGCACCTGGCATATCCGCTCCAAAGGTGCATTTGCCGGCGCTTGCATCGGTGTCATTCTTCTGGTGATGGTTCTTGAGGCCCTCCGTCGTGCTGGCCGAGAGTATGAATCCTTCATTCTGCGCCGAGCCCGTCTGCGCCACATGTTCCTCTCTGTCTCGTCTTCTGGCATACCAGCTCGTCGGGGCGTCAACCCAAAGTTTCAGTGGTTCACAGGCTCACAGGGTAATCCAAACCCCCACGGTATTGACGACGGTCCGTCTGGTGAAGATCTTATCACACCTGTCAAGACCAATTCTTTGCGTCCCAAGACCTCAGACGTGAACAACGAAATGAACCGTGATGTTATTTCAGGGGTCGATGGCACCTCTCACAAAATCGGCCGTGCCAAATTTGGGCCTTACCGCCCATCGCCTATGGAACAACTTGTTCGAGCTTTGTTGCACATGCTGCAGTTTGCCGTCGCGTACTTCATTATGCTGCTTGCTATGTACTACAACGGATACATCATCATTTGTATCTTTATTGGCGCTTTCCTTGGGTCACTCGTCTTCTCTTGGGAGCCTGTGTCGCTGAGCAAGGAGTGGGTTTTGTTCCTATCAACATCATCAGTTAGTGATACTTTGAAGGCTGACACTTTTGCTCTTACAGAAACGATGCCACTACGGTCACCAAGTGCTGTGGTTAGTCTTTTGTTCAATGATGAACAAGACTTAGTCTCTACAAGAACACTGGGCATGCGAATACGTGGATGAGGATCTCCAGTATGGGAATTAATCGATGACAACTACGCGTATCGAAATCAGTGGTGCAAGTTGTCTGACTCTTGGCTCTTATGTAGTTAGGTACACATTAGTCTTATCTTCTTAGCTCTCAAAATATCCGGCCAGTTACACATCTCCCCATCTAAGCCACTTTCCTCTCTCTTGGCCCATATCATCTCAATAATCTGCTTAGCAACAGAGGCAGAATTCAGTCCCGTCATCGCAAAACAAGACTCAAACCAGTAAGAGAAGAATATCTGTGTCTCCGAATGCACAGCCTCACAAGCTGCAATAAATGCCGGCCAAATAAGCGTCGCCATATTCTCACCTCCTAACCCAGCCTCATCCACCCGAACCCGTTCAAGAAAATCCCGCACAGCCTCCACCTCCCGCTGAAGCAACGAAGGATCCAAATCATTAATTCTCCGATGAAAGAAAATCAACAACGCAGTATACATTGCTCTAGCCCGTGGCTTCCCCTCAACCTGACTTTCATCTTCCCAATTAGTATGGCCATCACAGGAAATCAAAAGAACCCGAATAGCTTTTTCTAGCGCTTTAGCTCGCATCCAGAAATCTCTTAAATTCAACACCCCCTCTTCACTCTGATGCAAAGAGATATCCCTCTCGTTCGCTAGCCGAATCACTTGCGAGAGGAGCATGAGGAAACTCTCGGCAATACCATATATCTTCGGGAATAGTGTCAAGCTCCAGCGACCTGGTATAGCTAAATGGAGATCTCGCTGTGCGACTGCTGGATCCTTCTCCATGGCCATAATGTTTTCTGAAAACACAATGTTAGGGTAGATGCGGAAATCACTGTAGGGCATCGTCTCATCAGAGAGGTTAGTTCCCATTAGGGTTGCGCTCAGATTATCGTTGATACTGGTCGTCTCTGCCATGATGCGCATAAAGGCGTAGCAGTGGTGCAAGGCTCTGCGCTTGGGTGACAGGGTGGATGCCTTAAATCCATTTATGGAGATGAACTTCTCGGCTTGGATTAGACAGGATAAACGTTGCTCGGCATCTCCTTGAATCATCTGTTCAAGTCAAAGGTCAGTTGTGTCCAGATGTGAAAAACTCAAAAGTTGTACTGTTGGTGGCATACATAAGCAGTTGAGAGACTCAATAGTACCATCAATATATCCTTGTACTTGCTGGTCTTTTCGGTCGAAAGACACAACTCTTCCATGCATCGTAAGAAATATTGCTGAGACCGCTTCATGTATGTCTTCCCAGTTGCTACCCAATTTTCAGTCGACCTGGTCGAATGATTTCCCATATGAAAGGCACTGGTACTCAATAGAGCATTCAACAAAGCCAGTTGTGCATATGGGACACTTCTGTTTGCACTGAGGTCACTCAGTGCGCTGATAGCACAAGGCATGATTAGATTTAACCATGGCGCTTCCTGGCCAAAGCCGAGAGGTGAAACTAGTGGGACAATTTTATCCTTGTAATGCGATAGAATCGACCAAGCTTCGATGTTATTACTGAAAAACGTCAAGGGGGTCTCGATCTGGGGTGTTGTGCTTAACCCTAGCTCAACGTCTTCAGCATTGGATGTGATAAGACTCCAGGGGTGCAAACTATTTGTCTGTTCTTTTTCCGGATTTTCAAGTATGCTATCAATGAGTTCAAAATCCAGTTCCTCTTGGCTTGTTATTTGGTCTAGCCCTAGTATCCAGTCATCCGATAGCAGTGGTATGTCTTCGTCACTGGGGACCGTTTCTTCTGATATGGGGGTCTGCGCGAGCCTAGAGACTCCAAATGGACCTCTGAAGAAAGAGAAATGCACACTTTCATTTGTCATGCACTCGAATCTCTCTATATCGAGCAAGGCTTGTGTATGGTCACGTCCAGGTAAGGAATTGATGACTTCATTGCTCATGTAATGGCGCTCGGACTCTGTACAGGGTATTAGAACGGAGTCAAGATAGACACCAATCGACATACCTGTGAAGATTGCTCGACGATGCTTCGCTGCATTGTTGGAATTTAATTTGCGAATATCTTGCTTATTATCGTTGACAAAAGTTAATCGATGCTGGCGTCTATTGGCCTGCGTATACTTCTGCAGTGCCAAGGGTTGGTAATCTTGAGACAGTTCTCGGGGCTGCATAACATCCGGAATGAAGAGAAGTTGTTCAGTGTCTTCATCAGATAAGTAGTAGCTAGGTTGAATGAAAAAAAAAAGGACATCGTGACGGTGCTATCAAGCCCCTCAACTCAATTGATAATGTTGGTCGGAAAGGGCATGCGATTCCGAGCAATGCGGGGTCCACCCTAACGAAACCAACAATGTAATTTTTTGGGCAAAATTGAATCAGAATAATGCTGGAGTTACAGTTGCATACGAAAGAGCTGTCAGAGACCTTAACAGCTCCCTGTCAACATTTGATAATCATTATGCTCCGTCGTTTACATATGGTCAAATCAGGACACTGACCCTGGGCCGCTTTGCCCTGGCTTGGTTTTGTTTGAGTGAACTTAAGCTACGTTTCGACTCTTACCCGGAGCAAAATCTTGAAATACTTTCTAGCAAAAAAACCATAGCTCTACGCTTATCAACCCGGACCTCGAGATAGAATCATTACGGCGTCAGGAAATCTATCAGAGCGGTTGGCAGATGGCGATGTCGAAATCAAATCGAAATCGAAAAAGACTCGAATCAAGGTGTTCGCTACGACGGAACATGTGCATATCCACGCCTTAGAGCATATATCTCATGTGTATAATATTTCAATATCTCATGAAGACCGAGAGAAGACGGCGCTTCACTCTCTACAGCTTCTTGCTGGCCTGAACCAGACCATAGATGCAGCTGATGTTGCCAGACCACCACGCGACCGAGCGAAGGTAGCTGGTAGACTTGGTAGTAACGTTTGAGTAGAGCACACTATACACAACACGCGACACTGAATACCAAAGACCGATGGTGTTGATGGTCTCGTTGGGAACGCCAGCGAACAGCGAGATCAAAACTGCGTTACATAATCAGTATTCCATTTTGCCGAGGTTCAGCGGTAGAAGCTGCCAAAGCTTCAAGAGTAGAAAGGGGTGAAACACGTACTTGCCGCCACAAACAAAGGGTACCCCTCTTGAGCATTGGCATGGGCAGCCTCCCGACGCTTCAGCTTGTTGAGTGTGCTGCGACTGATTTTACCAGCCTGGACCGCTGCCTCGCCGTAGGTGGTCAAGTCATCGCGGGGACAGACGTTGTTGTCGATACCAAGACGAAATTTAGCGCCACGGTTGCTCATGAGACAGAAGGCCCAGACCCAGTTGGCGATCAAGAAGCCAGAGGCGTGGTTGGCGGCTGTTTGGCCAGGGGCGGCACGGAGGCCGATGGTGGTGAGAAGGGCACTGAGGGGTCATCAGCTTCAATTATCTACTTGGTGGGAAATCCGACTCACGACATTGGTGATTAGTCTTATGTGTGGTTCAAGTTGAGGTTAGGGGTCTGCTTTATAACTGCACATGGCAGAGCGAGAGCGAGGGACCGAGGGATGAGATCATGTCCGCCGATCGGATCCACTTTCAACAGTCAGGTTGCGAACATGAGATCACCTTTCGTTTTGGCCCGATGCATCTTAATTTGCACTCAAAAATGGGAGGTGATCTTAATACAAGTTTGGTCTCGGGCGCGAAACGAGATTGGCACCCAAATAACGCGGAGCTAGCGCGATTGATAAAGTCCGTGAATATATATGTATAGAAGGCGTTGGGGCGCGTTCAACTTCGATTCGCCGATATCAGCAGGCGCTGATGTTGCTTCCAAGGTTGTCCAGGTATGTAGCGGGAGCCAAAGATCGTCGTTTGAGGGGACATGGCTATACCAAACCGTGTTTTGACCAGAAATAGCTTGCTCGATCTCTCGCGCGGATCCTCTTGTCGAAGCTCGCTATAGGGAGCTTGTGGATTGTGTGAGCACAGACCCGCGCAGTACACAGTCTCAGAGTCCCCACAGCGTGGGCCCTCGATGTGTATAAAAGTATCGATCCGACACAAGAGAAGCGATTGTTGATGACCATAAAGTGCCCTTCGCGATTGACCACACTGTTGTTCGGGATCGGCTCAGTCTCGGAGAGAAGGACTATCTCCACGAGGTGGTCTCGGATGGTGGGAGCTTTGAGCCACTTGTAAACACAGTTGAGAGCGGACACTGCTAGACCGTGAACGACAACGGAGAAGAAATTAGCCAATATAGAACTGAGATGGGATGGCCATGGGTATTTATGAATAGTCAGCCCAGGCTCTTTATGTAGAAACAAGTCCGTCCATTAGAGACATTTAAAGACAAGAAAGGAGAACCTAGAGGTGGCTTGTAGAAGGCAAGATGGTCTGAGTTTATCTCTGCGCATAAACTATGATCTTATCGATTTGCCAAACTCTAGCTTACCTTATGACCGCCAAGAGAGTGGGAGTGTCTGTTACGGAGAAGATTCGTTCTTGAGAAATACTAGAGAACTGTCCAGGAAGAAGTGATTGAGCGTGGTGCTTGGGCATATTTCCCAAATTCGGTCTACCTCTTCTAATTGGCAGATTGAAAGCCACATCCAGGCTAAATGATAAATTGACGACGATCACATGCTGGCAAAGGAACGAAACCATATCTAATTCTACCGGCCATGGGTGGAGATCTTGCGAGACAACACCTGATTGACAGGAGTGACAGCCATGGCCAACTGCATGAAGTAGACCCACCGGGAAAAGACCCTGTTTCAACCAGAGCCTCTTCGAACACGGGCATATGACCTGGAATCCACTATTTGGTTCAGGTTGATACGCCGGTTGACGGGAGCTAAGGGGTTGGAGTTTGTCACGCCAAGAAGTGGAGAAGTAAGTGCCACAATCGGGAGTTGTCAATGTTTTAACTACCGTAAGACTTGCCAAATCAGGAAGCTCGTCCGATGGAGGTAGTAGTCAATCGAGCTATCCCGAAACAAGGGTCCAGGACAGGCGCAGGGTGCTTCACATAGATTTCGATTTGGTCTAGCTCAGCCTGGTGTTCCAATTTAGATGCAGACTCTAGACACGTGTATTTGATATCCGAACTAATCGGCTGGCAATATCAATATCAATACGAGAAGATGTTTTGAGGGGGTTAACAATGTGGCATTGTTTCCATTTAATGAAATAACAAGTGATCCCCTAGAAGCCTAGTATTTCCTGTCCTTTCGATCCGGATTCTCTATATAGATTGGACACTCAATGAAGTGTAGCCTACTCAGTAGCAGACTTCGCCATGTCAGATAGAGATCAAGGGTACTGCAATCAAAGGGCATTTGCGATAGCGTTGTATGCAGACTTGGGGTTATAGCTCCCATCAAAGAGCAATGGGCTGGAGCTGGACCGCCACGAATCCTGAAAGGAATATCTGGTATCAGTATACATAATTCCTATCTCTTTGGAACCGGGCACTTACCGGGTCGGCGACTCCCCAAACAGTGATTCCGACACACTTCGGCTGGTTCAAACAGGCGTTGACAACCTATGGAGATAGTTGTTAGTTGTGAACTCAATTGAGCTTGCCCTGGAATGATGGAAACGCACATTGACATAGTCAGTAGAGCTGGCACCAGCAATATCAAGCTCAGTGATAGCAACCTCCGTCGTGCCTGCACTGGCAAGAGTGTTCAGAGCTGTATAAGGCCGTGAGCTAATGTTCGGTCGATATGAGGCAAGGGGTACTTATCCAGCGACTGCTGCACCGGCACCGGCACCCAAATGAGTCTGAGAGCCTAGAAACGAGTGAGTGGTCATATACGGTGAAATTCAGTAACAGCTATCTTACCAATTCCGTCGATCGGGATACCGGCAGCAATCCATTTCTTGACATGACTGACCATTCCAGTCGTCTTAGAGTAGGAGGCGGAATCCAGGCTTCGCAAGATCAGGATATATGCAGAACGAGAAAAGCTAACAGTTATAACTCACTTGTAGTCATTGATGTAGAGCTTTGCATTTGGGTCCGCAGCACGGGCTGTTTCGAAGGCGATCCTAACAAAGTCTTCTCCAATCACATTGTAGAAGACGCTGTTACGTAGAGATCCATCTTCGTTGAAGATCTCGTTCACAACGTCCTTGAACAAGTTAGCGATATGCCTTTGTAAGAATGAGGTTACTGAGTTCACGTACCCAGGCGTAAATCTTGCCCTTGTAACGGTTCATCACCGTGGTAATGTGGTTCTTCATGACATTGATCAGAGTTGTCTTGTCACTGATGGAAGAGACCCATGACGGGAGCTGGGAGTGCCACACTAAACGAGTTTAGCTTTTCAAAACCTGGCATGCTTGGGACCTACGGATTTCAGCACTTACCGAGAGTATGACCACGAATCAGCTTTCCATTGGACTGAGCAAAGTTGACCTAATCTCTATTAGAACCACACAAGGGGGCAAAAAGGCTGAATTCATACCAGATAGTCCGATCCAGTGAAAGAGAATTGCCCTTGGCTTGCTAATTTCTGACTTAGCTTCTTATACTCTAAGTACTTAGTAAATGGCGATACTTACGCTCAGTAGCATCCCACTTCATGCTGTTCTCCGGAGTCAGTTGACCGAAATCAGCCTTGATGATTGCGGGAGTCTTCGCGTTCTTGTTGAATGTGTACTGATCACCAATGTTTCCGAGATATTTCTTCCCATGAGCCTTGAACTTGGTATCAATGCTCACAGAGGCCTGTCGGGCTTCAACAGATCCGGAAAGAGCTTGGCCAGCGAAAAGAAAAGCCAGAGCGGCTGCTTTGATTTGAACCATTTTGGGAATCGCGTCGAGGTCTTCTCTTGAGAAATGGAAATAATAGTGATGGAAGATGTAGAAGATGAAGACCGTTTGGAAGGGTCAAGGAGACTATTTATATTGGCAATTGCCAGCTTTTTATGGGAAAAGACAGTCATAGTTGAGTATTAGATGACTCAATAGAGCCATTTCCCCCGATATGGTGTGCCCAGGTGTATCATCTATGTCTACCACTGCTGCGGAACGGATGTTGCCTATTCATCCAATATCCTAGCATTTAGCTCAATCATTTTTTGCCTAAATTACTGCATAGCTTTAGCCTAGACACGGACAAATCACTGATCTCCCTTGGAGCCGGTAGGTCCACTGTAAAGTCTAGCCCCTCATGTAATGATGAAAGGACCATAAAGCCTTGGCTGTTCAAGGGGAAGGCTTGGCGGCGAGTGGAAACGAAATCAGGGTCCTCCCGTGTGGAGACAATGGGGATCGATGATACTTTGGCGGTCATCGAACCCAATCATCTTCGATTTCGCCAACTTGGGCTTGACTCGGTTTCACATACGACATGTTTAGATTCATGTTCGGCTTCCCTTGTCAAACACTCTGCCGAACCTCCAAGGGTTATTTCAACATACTCTAAGAAGACATAATGTGTAACCTACACATACAGATAAGCCATCAAACCGGAGATGTCTGAAGCTCAGTGGGTCTTAAAGTGAAATAGCCTTGGTTGTGATGTCTCAGTGTAATTTGTATCCATTGAGCGTTGCCGTCGGCACATGTATGGTCATAGTCCATTTAACCAGTCTCAAGGGACATGTCAAGAACTAGACATGTACAAACTTTAAAATAGCCTGAAGAAAACCCTGGAATGATCACCTCGGTGCGGGGTGCATGTCAGCTTCTGTTTCCAGAAAGGCAAAGATCCGGTGGACGAGTAGTTCTGGCTAATGTACTTTATCCTTGATCAAGTCTTCGAGGGAGAGAAAGGATAAAGGGAAATACTAAACGTAATTTGCTTTCCACTTGAAACACAGCGGAGCTTACTTGCGTGTGAGAAATGATTGATTCCATATTTCTTGGCTGAATAAATCGATCTTTAAGCTGCACTCCGATGCTTTAAACACGTTTGCCCTCCCACCCAGATGTTTTGTCCTTCCTGCTTGCAGAGTTTCAATCACTTTCCAATAGTCATCACAGACGAAGATCTTCACCACAATGATGCTTCTCAACGCGGAGGCTGGCCTGGTGTCATCTGTCTTGTTGTTACTTGCATTAGTGCCAGCTGTCGTCGCTGACTGCGCACTCCCGTCGACTTACAGTTGGACATCCACTGGCCCTCTCGTGAACCCCAAGTCTGGATGGGTGGCACTTAAGGACTTCACCAACGTGGTCTTCAACAACAAACATCTTGTCTATGCATCAACTGCCACCGCAGCTGGCAGCTACGGCTCTATGAGCTTCAGCCCCTTTTCCGACTGGTCTGGTATGGCATCTGCGAGCCAAAACGCAATGAGCTTTAACGCTGTTGCTCCCACTTTGTTCTACTTCCAGCCAAAGAATGTCTGGGTCCTGGCCTACCAATGGGGCTCGAGCACCTTTACTTACCGAACATCAAGTGATCCTACCACCAATCAATGGTCATCGGAGCAAGCCCTATTCTCTGGAAAGATCGCCAATTCAGGCACTGGTGCTATCGATCAGACCCTTATCGGCGACTCGACACATATGTACCTTTTCTTTGCAGGAGACAATGGCAGTATATACCGCTCTAGCATGCCTATCAACAATTTCCCAGGAAATTTTGGAACGAACTCGGAGGTGGTTCTCAGTGATACCCAGAACAACCTATTTGAGGCAGTCCAAGTCTACACTGTCAAAGGCCAAAACAAATATCTTATGATCATCGAGGCAATAGGATCACAAGGGCGGTATTTCCGTTCGTTCACCGCTAGCAGTCTCGGAGGCTCGTGGACGCCGCAGGCAACGAGCGAGAGCAAGCCGTTTGCCGGAAAGGGTAACAGTGGTGCGACCTGGACCAACGACATCAGTCACGGTGATTTGGTCCGCACAAACCCTGACCAAACAATGACTATCGACCCATGCAACCTCCAATTCCTCTACCAGGGCCGAGACCCGAATGCCGGTGGCCAGTACAATGCTCTTCCGTACAAGCCAGGTTTGCTCACTCTGAAGGTTTGAAAGAATCTGTTGTTACAATGGAGCCTTGAGAAGAGCTTGCGGGAGTTTCAGGGTGATTACCCTGTGTATCCGAGCGCATGTAAAGAAGGGAGAGGGTTCTTATTTGAGATAAATTGCGATAAATTGCGGCGGGTGAATATGAAGTCTCAAACCGGTACTGGTACTACTCTCTGGCACCATTGAATATAACAGAGGGGTGCAATTACAGGTTGACTTCAGAAAGTATATCATCGAGGTAGAATTGCCTAGATCAAGGATCTGAATCAAGTACTATACACATATAAAGCTCATTATCTGGCCCAGGAATCAGCATCCAGCCTCTAGTCGGTGCTTGGTTCCGATATGGCGAGAGAGATTATCTTTTCGCATTGGCCCTTTCCGTCCGTTCACGGAACGGGCACAACGGGGATAAGGACAAAAGACCATTCCTTTCCAATGGAGCACTTTATCCTTATGAACTGTTCCCATATGCCGTGTGAGGCCTTTTTGGGCTGTGAACACCCAGGTGCATGCGTTCATAGAACACTTGAAGAGGCGTTTATGTGTGATTATGTGCTTACTATTTGATCATTAGAACAGTATTGGGACCATGAAACGGTATCTAAAGGAGATGAAACATACTTTGGCGGTACGAGATTTGGACGATCTCTTTGGCAGCGCGGACGCTGTAGCGAAGAGTTTTCGACTGCCGCGGGAGGCGAGGTAGGCCGCTCAGATCTTGATGAGGTAGATACCACATCGGAAACAAAATCTTCTTCTCCTATTTGCTCATTTTGAAAATAATCTTCTGGTTGTTGCAGTATTTGCTGCTGATGTTGCTCTCCATCATAGGTTGTATCAAGGGACTGGGGTTGGGGCTCGAAGGGAAATGGACCATTACCCTCGCGGGATAGCCACGCTGGATCAAGAGTCCCAAGTTCGAAAAAAAGTAGTTGTTGTTGATGTTCAAGATCGGACTCTCGGCCGGTGACTTTTAGTGGCGCTTCTGGTATGTGTCTTCGCCGCGGAAAGAGATGAAATAAGTAGCTTCACCTTTTTAACCCCAGTATACAGGCCGACCACTGATTGGATGATATAGAGAAGGTAGGCAGGAAGCCCAGCCTTTCAATTGGAGCAACACAGAGAAGAAAACTCTTTCAATGAATGAATGAAGAAGAGAATGAAAGGACAAATTCAAATGCGCGAAAAAGGAATGGCAGTTACAGCGGGTGAAGTAATGAGCGAGGATGACAGGCCCGCTGCCCCTGGGGAAGAAAAGAAAAAGAGTTTACGAGAGGGACTCACCAGCTCTTTATGCCTTTCGAGTGGCACGCTCAAAAAGATAGGCTAAGGTCGAGTATGTACGTACCTCTAGTACATGCATGTAAGTACCTCCAGATGGTATCAGCCACCGAAGGGGCCGTGCGAGGGGGGCCTCAAAATGCAGTGTCCTGATTGGCGAGTATTGACCATATCGCATGTCGACCAGATCATCGAGCAACGGTTTCGCCTTTTGACTTAGAAGTTCTAGGCGGGGAAGATATGGATTGGGCATCGACAGGGCCGATCAGAAGGGGGCCTCAAAATGAAGAGCTGTAATTGAACAATCACCTCGCCCGAAACCACCTCAGTTGGCAAACTTCCAGATTTCAAGGCTAGAACATGCACATGGTCATCATTTAATGTCTAGCGTACTGCAACTCGTCTCAAGACCAGACTCCCTGGATCAAAGGCGGATTGATACCGAATTCGATGAAATCGACCTAAAGAGCATATAAAGGGAACCTCAATCCTCGAGCAGAAAAGACATCATGCTTATTTGAAAGACGAATACAACGATCTCAGAAATAATTATCTCACAATGTCATCTATTTTCTGTTGCTCTTCTCCATCGCCGTATCGACCGGCCAGTCTTACGCACGAGACCAAGTTCAGCCCATTTGTCGCTTGGGCGAAGAGATCCGAGTCATCTCCCTCTGCTGCTTCAGCTTCGTTCTTTCAGAATCCTAATAACCCACCAGCCTACGCAGTTCAGTTTGTTCGACAAGTCAATTTTGGTGCTATTGAGGCCAAGAGATATTTCATTCCTAACCCCGAAGCCAGTGGGGGTGGACCCGAGTTTGTGGAAATCACCGAGCAAGACTTGATCGCTGGAAATTTCCAGAAGCTCAACTCGTATGTTCAATAAATATTTGATATCTATTGGGACGTATAGCAAGCTCATTGAACATAGTTACAAGAACTTCAAGTGCACCACGCATAACAAGTTCTTCGAAGTCAATTTGTATCAGAAGGATCCGGTTAATCAGCACCACTGGCGATTGAATATTGCTCGACCAGCTAGTGATATTGATTTGTGAAGCTGGAAAGTGTAATTAAATAGCTATTTAATTACCAAGGACTTATGACTCCTGGCATTATTCGTACGGTATGGTCTGGCAGATAGATGGCCCGTTACTAGATGATGCTAGCGAAGTATGTAAGCTCTAAGAGCCACTTAAAAGAATGTACCTAGTATATATCAAGTTGAAGGGAAGGAAAGAGGAAGATCCATATTGACCAGGTATATAGTAGCAGTAGTGATGGAAACGAGGTTGCAAGGTGTTGGCGTCAACCTGCCATTACGGTGATGACCTAATAAAATCCCAGGCACAGGAACTACCGGGCATGGAGAACGCGATGGAGACGAGGTGATGAATATTGACCTTTCATCCTGGTCAAAATGCTGAAAAGGCCATTAGATAGGCTTAGATCCAAGATCATCAGATTGGCAAGATGGATGGATGTAATTATATGGGGAAGATGGAGAACATCGGGATTGACTTTATAGATTACCAGATTCGGACAGCCACGTGGTGCCCCACATACAGGTACAGGTACAGGTACAGGAACATGGTCTTACAGGTAAACAAATGATTTTTTGAGTCTCCTGTACAAGGAAGGTTGCATGACTAGCTTGGTACACTGTCTAGATTACATCGCGCGAAAAGGACCACCATACAAAAAGACTCGCCAGTTGCACTGCACTACTGTCCCGTCCAGAAGACATACGCTTAAAAGAGACAAGACCGCCTATATCAGATCATAAAGATCTGATAATTTAGCACTCACCGCAGCTGACGATAGTGGGCTTGACAGCGGAGCGGACGGAGCCGGAGGAGGAGCCAAGGGCCTCAATCTCCTTGACGACGTTCATGGAGGCAGCGTCAGCGACCTCACCGAAAACGACGTGCTTGCCATCGAGCCACGAGGTGACAACGGTGGTGATGAAGAACTGGGAGCCGTTGCTGCAGAGGAAGAAGACGAAAAGTTAGGAACAATTTTCAAAGCGGGGTCAACAGATCTGAGCGCAGCAGCAAGGCTGACATCGCCAAGTAACTTACGTGTTGGGGCCAGCGTTGGCCATGGAGAGAAGACCGGGCTTGTTGTGCTTCAAGGTGAAGTTCTCATCGGCGAACTTCTCACCGTAGATGGAGCGACCACCGGTACCCTATTCAGAATTAAACAATTAGATGAGGTTCAATGGTACTAGGCATTCAAAAATAATCCCCAGACACAGCAATTGGATGGGGAAACGAGAGCTACTTACGTTGTGGCGGGTGAAGTCACCACCCTGGAGCATGAACTGGGGGATGACACGGTGGAAACCGGATCCCTTGTAACCCTGGCCCTCGGACTTCAAGCAAAGCTCACGGAAGTTCTTGGTGGTCTTGGGGACAACGTCATCGAAGAGCTTGAAGTTGATGCGGCCAATCTTGGCTATATAGGTAGTCAGTATTGGATTCCAATTGAATTAAGTACCCCATAGGGACCAATTGGTCCCGGGGAAAAAAAGGGACGTGGCATTCAATGAAATGAGAAAGGTGGAGGGGCAGATTCTGGTTCTGCCCCTCCAATTTTCTCTTGTTCTCAAGAGAGGGTTAATCATGACTTACCGGCAGAGGTGCCGACGGGGGCGTACTGAACATCGAAGTAGACCTGAGACATGATTGCGGATGTGGATGAGAATGACCGAGTGGAAGGATGGAAAGAGCAATTCAGAGAAGAGAAGAGGGAGGGTGGGGTTGACTTGAGGCGGCAAAACATGGTGAGGGGCAGAAACGGAGCGGAATAAGTCGGTGCCGAAACTACATGTAGGTTAGCTTCTGCGGCATACGCAAGAGACCATTTCCGCATTTCCGTGATTGGGTGACTCAGGCATGTCATTCAAGGATCCAGGTGTTCATAGCACACCCTTCTTTTTCCCAATCACAAGCATGAGATATGAGATATGCCATGAAGCATAGGCACGATTGGTCTCTGTGTTCACAAGAGCAGAGTTAATACTTACAAGTTCTAGAAATACAAGATGGTGAAGATGATGAAGAGCAGAAGCTATAGGGGAAAATCGCAGCTTGGAAGGTAAAAAAGCCGCCGGGGCTTCATGATTATATAATCCCGGGAGGTTCCTTCCGGGGAAGCTAGACCGCTTACATAACTAGTTCATGCCTGAGGTGGATATCTATTTACTCGAGATTTACAAATAGTTCAACCGGCGCTAAGATTGTTGCAGGTTGAGATTAGACTTGAGATGAGGGTCAGCGTGCCAATTAATGTGCATTCAAATAAACGGAAAATTCATCTCGGAGTTAACAGAGAGTTTATAGGTCAAGATTAAAGTTAGAGAATTAGCGTTCTAATTAATATGCATACAATAAATGCAAAGTCAAACGCTGAATTATTATGGTTTACAGATTGAATCTACAGATCAAGATGAGAGTTGGAGTTGCAATTCAGTGTTCTTATTCATGTGCATAAATGCAAAACCGGCGCCTCTATCCAGGGACCGTGAGAACGAGAACCAAATCAACAGCAAAGTAACCACCTCAGAAAAGTCGAGAGAAAAGCAAGGAAAAGTAATAGATCCGAAGATCACAATAGAAATACAACGAATATATCCAATTCAAAAAAGGGCAATTCAAGGAAAGGAAAGAATGGAACAAAAAACCATGAATGCCACGCGTACCAGGACATCATTTCGACATTGTCGGCTCGTTTGCCACAGATGATAGTCGCTTAAAAGCCAGAGAAAAGGTGAAAGGATGGGGTTTGGAAATATAGAGGTGAGAAATGGAATGTAAAGCAGGAATTGGCCATGGCCATGTGCAGACACGGATGTGTCAAGAAAAGAAGTCAAATCAGTCAAGTATCAAATCAATCATCACCGGAAGTCATCGTCTTCTGCTTGCATCAGGGATTCCAGGCGCTGTACGAGCTCCTTGGTCTGGCGAGCAATCTCAAACGCAATAGGAGGTAGTAGGTTGGTCACCTCGCGCACTTGCTCGGGGGTAGTAGCATGGTGGCCTTCGGCGGCAGTGGACATAAGCCGGCCGCGGCATTCATCAAGGGCTTGGACAGCTGGTTCGGATTGCTCACGTAGAGCAACATCTCCGCTGCGATCATGCATCAGGTGTTCAGTGGCGGAGACTACGTTTGTGACCACGTCTCCGATGGCCGAGACGTGGGTCTCGACGCTGCTCAGTTCCTGCTCGGCACGGATACTAGCAACCAGGGCCTGAATGGACTGAACCATGCCATCGGTCTGGTCCTCAACGTAGAGCTTCAGCTCTTGGAGTTCGTGGTCTTCTTGCGGTGCTCCGTAGTAACCGTTGGTGTAACCGTTCTGCATGGCAGGGTGGTCCTGGTCTGGTGGGCTGATAGCACTGTATTCAGAGTGGATGCTGTAGCGCTGTTGACTAGCAGTTGTGCTGAAGTAGTCTGGGTACTTCTCCTGGGAAAAGTCCACGTCGGCAACCTCCTCCAGTTCCTCTGCTGGTGAGGCCTGGATTTTGACCACCCGGACCAGCTCCACGACGGCAGTGCAGAGATGCGAGGCGGCAGCATCGAGGAGGGAAACAGGAGAGAGACCATTGGAGCCGGTGAAGTTACGAGCAGCAGTGATCATATTGTTCGCAGTGGCAGACACTCTGGTTTTGGCCTTCATGCGTAGAGTAGCCGAGCCATCGGCTGGAGGAGGTGCCTGGTCCGCGTCCTCGATCATGTGGCGAACAGCAACGATAACAGCCTTGACTTTGTGGGACACCTCCTGGGCATCCTCGCAACGTGCAACGCGAAGCAGCTCGTCAATCGACAGCTGGAACTTGGTGACATGAATATCCTTAATCACACCATCAGGCTGCACCATCTCATGCTCCTTAGCAGCAATGCGGGCATCGGTTTGAATGTCTGAAAGGCCACCAGACGAGGTACGGAGATGACCCTGCTGTGCTTTCGCCTTCGCATAGCGATTTTTCCACTCATTGACTTCACTTTGAAGTCTCTGAACATCTTGAGACAATCGCTCCTCGTGTTCCCAATTGGAATGACTCTGGGCTGTAAGAGTCTTCATTTCCATAAGAAATTCAGATGCCTCACGCCGCACCTCAGTGGTAATCGCCTGCTGCTGTTGCAGCTCGCTTTGAAGGCTCTGATGCTTGATTTCCAGATCGGCATACCGAGCCACCAAGTCCGGATCTCCGGACTCCCGGACAACTTCATCAAGCTGGTGACGAAGGTCCCGTTCCAGATTATCATGATCTGCCCGAACTCGATCAAGCTCAAGCTGCAGTGAATTATTGAGGTCCTCGGCCTGCGACACCTTGCTCTCCAAATCCTGACGAAGATCGTCCCATTCCTGACGTTCACTGTGACTGACCGCTGATTGATCGGAATCTTGTGAACGGGACAGCTCCTCATCTTTGCAGCGAACCATTTCCTCAAGCTTTTCCACTTTTTCTTGTAATGCTGACACCTGAGCTTGACTGTCCATCAATAATTTTCGTTCCCCTTCACCGAGAGTTGTAGTTGTCGCCCGTCTGCTCAAGACCGCATCTAATGCAAATGCATCACTCCGAGCATCATCGTCATCTTCCGGCCCCATATCGTCGCTATCTTCAACCATCGTACTCTTATTCGGGACCATGGTGTTACTCTGGAAAGACCGAGGGAAAGGTCCATCTCCATTCATCCCAGGAGGCGGTCCTCCAAGCGATCCCTGTCGCGGCGGGAATGGGCTGGGTGGACCACCAGAGGGATAACCCCGACGACTCCCCGGAGGACCACGAGACTGCGAGCGACGAGGATCCGGAGGCAGACCAGGCGAAGGACGACGACCGGTGAACTGCGGGAAACGGCGCTCCAACTCACAGAAGACATCAGTCGCGAGATCGCGAAACCGCTGGTGCACAAGCGACGCGAGTCTCTGACGAGCATGATTCCGTTTCTCGTGGAAGTTGGTACGCGGAGGAAGGAAGGTCGGTGCGTCAGGACGGGGTGGACGGCCGGGAGGAGGCGAGGCTTGTTGGCGGCGAATAAGTTCATCGTAGACATCGGTACTCAGTTCGTGGAACTGGGTCGGTGATAGTCGTAGGAGCTTGTCTCGGGCTTTTTTGGATCGGCCGTTGATGCGGTCTTCGCGGTAAGTGGCGCTCAGGAACCGCTTGAACGTCACGTAGTGCTGGTGTAGTATTTCCTCCATCTGTCTGCGTCGTCGGCCGCCATCGCGCGGATCATCGCCCAGCGTTCCAGAGCTGGACCTCGCACCGACAGAGCTGGGCGGAGATGGGTTTGCGCTGCCCGGCAGCGGAAGACCGGCGCTGTTCGGACTCAGGGGAGTGCTAGGGACGCCGGAGGTCGGGGGTGTGGCTAGATTTCCACGGGAGGAGAACGTAGGCGAAAAGGGCGGGTCCGACTTCTGGTATTGATTGATGCCGGACCAGTCGCTACCATCTACGGAGACAGGCGACATGGCTCCCGAATTGCCATTCATATCAGGGTCGCAAGGAGATTTCGACCCCTCCCAACACTTTTAGTCGATATGGTTAAGGCCTGGTTTTCAAGCTAGGGAATATGGGGGAGGGTTGGCGAAGTCAGACACATCCACGTCGTCAACCACACAGGACCCAGTTTTATCTCCTCCACCGATCTGGAAGTCTGAAACGAAGGGAGGCGCCGAAGGGGGAGACCCGAGCCACCAGGTTGGAAAGCGTGAAGAGAGAGTTGAATACCCGAGTCCGAAGGAGTGTAGGACTTTGCGAAGGTAAAATAAAATTATGAAAGGGGAGTTCGACCAAACCTGTGTTTGGTTGTCTCCGGAGTTCCCTTACGGGGGACCCGCTGGTCCTTACAGTGTGGGAAGCCAAGGGCAAAGTAATAATTCAGGAACTAATAAGCAAGCCAAGCCCCAATCACTCTTCTTTCATCAGCACTCTATAAGGTTTCCATTTAATCTTCTCTACATGTTCTTTATAGAGTTTTCTTATCCACGAACCAGCTCGTGCCAAAGCCCATTGTTGAAATGACAAGTCAGAAAAGAGGAAAAAAGGTTCCGTACTAATTTGTACAAATTTCAGTATTAATACATAATCCTGCCAAGTACACCAGGCACACAAGCCACAAGGGGCTGAAATCACATCCGGGGGGGCCGCGCCCCGTTGTGGCCCATCCTTGCAGAAAACATGGACTCTATACAAGATACTGAGATACGACTGGTTGCAAATTATGACAAAAAAGTCCAAACCTCATATCTGATTTCAAACGATAACCTGAGAATGCTTGCATGGTATATGCATTAGGGGGCTAATAGTTTGAATTAAGGGGGAGAAGCCCTAAAAGACGTTCAGGAGTTCAACAATCTAGACTCTTTTAGCCCCCCAGACACTGAAATGATACAATACGAATACGAACTACTGTAATATATTCATCTAACCAGTTGGTATATTTAATTCCACTATACCTAATGAAGACATAACACAACCGAAAAAAAAAGTGAACTGAAAAAAGGCTGGCTTTATGGGTCTTGCGACCAGCATGTCTATCCAAATGGAAAGAACTAAATACAAATTGTAGAACAGGGCATAGGTCGTATCCGCTGGCAGCGGTTGCTTTTAGATTTAGCCACAGAAGGACTCGGTAACCGAGTAACTGATCTGCCAGCAGAGAGAACCACCGCTGGTGTTACCCAGCTGTTTATTATTCTCCCCATCGCAATGGAGCCAACTGAATGACTCTCTGGTATGGTAGAGACATGAGATGCAGAATCAGATGTGCAGGGGCCGAGGTGGCCTCACCGAAAGTCCGCATCAGAGGGATGGTATCGAAGGTGACATGGAGAGGAAATATATGAGAATCATTTCCGCGGGCCAGGGGGAGAACTGGGCGCGTCGTTGCTTATTTAGAGGTCATAGAGAGACCGCGGGCAGCTCCCACGGCGGCCGACACGGGGGTCGACGACCGAGTTGGGGCTGCACTGCGGTTATGGGCCATGTGGGCTTTGACAAGGTGTCCAGCGGCGAGAGCAGAGCACAGACTGAGCTCACCAGCGAGAACAGAGGCGGCGATGATGCGAGACAGCTGGCGGGCGTTCTCACCGGGGTTGGTGGGGTGGGCTCCACGAACGCCAAGCAAGTCGAGCATGGCACCCTGGGCCTCAAGGATAGTACCACCACCGATGGTACCAACCTCAATACAAGGCATCGAAACAGCGATCTGGAGATCACCATTGTTGTTCTTCATGGTCGTAATACAACTGCTGCTCTCAACAACTTGAGCAGGATCTTGACCAGTTGCCAAGAAAATGGCGGCGACAATATTGGAGGCGTGAGCGTTGAAACCACCCAGAGAACCAGCCATAGCACTTCCAATCAAGTTCTTGCTGATGTTCAACTCGACCAGAGCACTGACATCGCTCTTCAAGACGCTCTTGACGACATCTCCCGGGATAATAGCCTCAGCCACAACCGACTTACCACGGCCATCAGTCCAGTTGATGGCGGCAGCCTTCTTGTCGGTACAGAAGTTACCGGACAGGGAGATGATGGACATGTCATCGAAACCGCACTCCTTGGACATGACGTCAAGAGCCTTCTCACAGCCCTTGGAAATCATGTTCATACCCATAGCGTCACCAGTGGTGGTCTTGAACCGGATGTAGAGGTAGGTACCAGCGAGAGCCGTCTTCAAAGTCTGGAGACGAGCGAAACGACTAGTCGAGTTGAAAGCCGAGAAGATGATGCTACGGCCCTCTTCCGAGTCGATCCAAACCTTAGCGGCGGCAGCCCGAGCCAAGGTCGGGAAGCTCACGCAAGGACCACGAGTCATACCATCACCGGTCAACACAGTCACGGCACCACCGCCAGCGTTGATGGCCTTGGAGCCACGGCTGGTAGAGGCGACCAACACACCTTCGGTAGTAGCCATAGGGATGAAGTAGTTCTGGCCATCAATCTTGATCGGGCCAGCAACACCAAGAGGAAGGGGCAGGTATCCAATAACGTTTTCACAGCAGGCACCGTGGACCAGGCCATAGTTGTAGTCCTGGTAGGGAAGCTTGGAGTGTTCCAGGGAGGCAGTAATCTCGGAGGTAGCGGGGGTGCGAGCGACAACAGCACGGCGAATCTTGACGGCACGAGTGAAAGCATCCACGCGGCTCATCAAGTTCTCGTCCTCCATACTCTTCTCCAGAGCATATCCAGGGAGCTTACCACGCAGGGATAGGTCGATCAATTCGTTGTCAGTGAGATGGGGAGCACGCTTCTCCTTCAGCATCAATTCACATTCGGCCGCAGTGCGAGTAGACTCCTGCTCGTTAGGCTCGAACTTGGGGTAGACCTTGGGAGCGACGGGTTGGGGAGCGGGAGCCGGCTCGGGCTCCTTGATGCTCCAGCGGGCGGCATTGAACAGGTATCCATTGAGAATGATGCTCAAAGTCAGGGCCGCAATGATCCACTTGCTGATGAACGGGTCCTCCACGCTCTTGAGCAGACTCTCGAGGACCTTGCCACCAACGGTGTCAAGGAACTGCTCAGTGTACTCGATATCGAAAGCACCGGTCTCCTCGCCCGCATAGTAGACAGAGGGGTACTCCAGCTTGTACTTGATGGGCGAAAGAATAGTGACCATGGTCTCCTGTCTCTGGCTCTTGGCAGTAACGTAAACAGCATCCAGACCGTTCTCAGCGACCTTGAAGGGGTCGATGGGAGTAGGGGCCATAAAGTTCGACAGACGAGAGATCAGGGCACCGTTACCAGTGTTGCGGAAAGGAATAGCCGACAGGTTCACGACATTAATCAGAATCAGACCACCAACCATGAGAATCTTGAACCGACGAACATTGCTCGACTTGATCTTACGACCGAAGATGCTGGTATCAGCATCGGTACCGGTCGAGCCCACGTTAGGCCAGTCGTTGCTGGAAGCAACGCTCTCAGCGACGCTGTGAGTGATGCCATCTTCCTCAAGGGCCTTGCGCAGAGCCACATGGCGCCGAATGCGAGTGATCTCAAGCTTGATGCAGAGAATAGTGGTGTAGAAGGTAAAGAGCAGCACACAGTCAAAGAACAGAATCCAAGCGGCCAGGAAGCAGAATTGCTGAAGACCACCTTGCACACCAGACGCAGCACCCAGAGCCAAGAGACCAATCTCAATGCAGTAGTGCTGGATGATCTCGAAACCTTGCTTCTTAATGGCAGTAGCAATCGAGTCCTGAATGGAACCAGGAGTGCTGGAAGACAGCGGCCGAGGAGCGGCACCTGGACCAGGGCGACGGCTATCCACCGATGCTTTGAGAACGGCCCGGGTGAACATGATCGGCTTCTCAAAGCCAATGGTCACGACCAGGAAAGGCAGACCCTCGGAGAGCAAAAGGAGGTTGATTGGCACACCGAGTTTGGTAGTCACCAAAAGACCGAAAAGGAAGGCAAAAGATCCAGAGATGAGCACAGTAGCACCGAGCCAGAAGTTGGAGCCCAGACGTCTCATGGAGAAGAAGAGCGACAAGAAGCTCAGGTGCATCGAGATGTATCCAAGGGTCATGATAACAATGTCAATGGTCTCAGCATGCTTGATGAGATCCACAAAAGAGCTCCATGCATCAGTGAGCCACAGCATGACGGCAGTGCGGGAACCCGCAGCACCACGAGCGGCTTTCATGATCCACTTCTTAGGCTCGGCTTCGGCGCCATTCGCAGACGGGTCCTCAATCTCCTGAACGGACTTCAAGAGATCCTCAATCTGCTCAAAGGGAACGGTGTAGGCAAGAGCCGAGTCATGGGAAAAGGCCGTGAAGAGGTTGGGGGTGTAGGGGACGGAGTAGGCAGAGACGTTGGCGGGGACCGGGACATTGACGGCGGACGGGGCAGAATCGGCGGTGGAATCGGGGAAAATGAAGGTCGATAGGGCCAAGTGGTTGACAGCAGGCTCATTGATATCCTGGTTGATCGTCAACTCGATGTTCCGGTGTTTAAGAGCGGGGGGGGGGGGGGGGGAAAGCTTACCTCCGAGTTCACCCAGGTGTCCTCCGCTTGCCACTTCCACGAGGTTGACTCGCCTAGTCGCAAACTCCGACTGCCCTGGAGCAGAGCCTCAATTTCCACCTGACCGGCGACATTCCGAGGGTTTTTGGTATCCAAAAGACTACCTTCCAGGAGACCCACGTAGGTCGTACTGGCAAGCAGCGCAATCACCACAATGGTGTGGATGGGGTGTACGCAGGCGCGACGCGAAATGGCTTGCAACCCAGAGGTGATCTGGCGGCGAATCCAACTGGGTTCGACATCCTGAGTCTCCTCCGTGGAGCGCAATCTCTTGGAAATCAGTGAGGTAGCCATGCTGCCTGTATCTTGGGAAGCGGTGTGGACGTCTGTTGAAGGCGTTGAGAGTGTTTATGAGGGTCCGAAGGGACCAATGCCTTCGTGAAATACCACAGTGGTATGAATCCTCTGGCCTAATCCGACAATTCGCTCTGAAAGATCTTAGAAATCGTTAGATCTCCTGCCCCATGTGGCACCCAAGGCGGCGTTCTTGCACTGTAGTTCCCTGAGGAACTTTATTTTTTTTTTCTGATCAGCGACAGCACAATAGGTAGGGGGGATTGGAGCATACCGAACAAGAAAAGGAAAGGGGGAAAGCGAGAACACAGCGGTGCTCTCGATCAGGAGTCGCGGTATACGGAGAAGAAGCACGGGGACCCCCTGAAGGCTGCAAAATAATTGAGATCCTGGGTCCACGCCGATGGAATTAAGTATCCCCGGTGACGGGAGTACGCCAAGCCACGACGGCGCTGTGGAGATTCCAAGGTTTGACGGCCAACAAAACGAATTAAACCAATTTTCCAATCTCCAGTGGATCAGATACGAGAGGAATATTACAGGAAAAACTAGTTAGTTTTCCAGCGAAGAGTTGGAGGGAATAGGGGAACAATGAAGTAGGGACAATCAACAATATGAAGAGACCCAGATGGGGCAAGCACGAACACTTTTAAACTAGTGCAGCTTCTAGGGTCGATTTGACTTTGCTAGCTGTGAAAGCTTCTTGAACTTCGTTGATCATGTCTATATTCTTTGGGTTTCGATCTGTATCATTTCAAGATTATGCAGTGTTACTATATGGCAATCATTCCCGAAGGGGTCATGTACATTACTCCCTACCTATGAGATAAATCACACCGCAAAATGATGGTTTGCATCAGGATACCGTCCGAGTAGAATCATTGAGTGCGCAGTTTGCCCGCTTGGGCGTCAGGTAAAACGCCATGCAGAAAATTTGCAGAATTTCAATATTGTGGGTTTTTTTTCGCTGTTCCCGAGTCCCCGAATTTACCTCCCGAGAGAGATGATCTGTACTTCGTACGAAGTACCCACTCTGCGCTTTTGCTTTTTGCTGAAAGATCCATGCCGAATTTATTCCCAAGGTCTCAATGACCGTTTCATTAGTCCACGTCAGCACCCTCACCGAGAGGACTCCAATCCTTCTCTCCATTCCGATAATCGCCGGTCTGCAAGTGTCGCGACCCTGTTTCTAGCCGACCAGGTGGAATCCACTCGGTGGAGCTGACGGAGCACCCAGATTCAATCAGATAACTCAAGTCAAATCATGAGTCTCTCTCACCCGGCAGGTCCGTGGTTTCTCTCCACTCGTCCACAATGGGCTCCGTAACCGAGCTCGCCAAGCATGAGAGAAACTCAAGATAAGATGGCAAGTCCGACGGAAACGACCGAAAGTCGTTTTTTCGGAGGAATCGGCCTGCCAGGAAGCTCCACTGAGGGTCGAATGGTGACAAACGGGATGAGAGAAGAAAGAAAAAGAGAGATGATGCAGATCTCCAAGCTAGAAGTGTTGGTGGGGGCTTTAGCAAAAAATTTTCAGCTGTACGTACATGACACTTGATGAAGCGGTGTCGTGTGAAGGAGATTGGAGCAAACTTCGTCAAGGCTATGAAGGTTGGGCGGCACCACGCGCAGCTATCCGAGCTGAAGATTATTGCGGCTGCTAATAAGTACGATCACTTCCCGATCATTTTCCGACCCATAAAACGTCAAGATCTTGTATGTTGCAGATCTTAGTGTAGTCTTTCAATTTTTTAGTGTTGCAGGATTCTCCCTACCAACTTCAAGGTTGTACCAGGGCGAGGGCGCTACGCGCCCTTGGCCAATCGCCGAGCTCAAACCTAAGATATAGTGTATAACATACCGCAACTTCTCTAAGCGCCAGGAGTAACGGGAAGTCTCACCAAAATATCTCCGCATGATGTGAGGCAGATCCCGTCACGTCTCCAATCATCTCATCCAACCATTCGCTCGCAGCTCAACTCTTCAATATCTCTTGGCGCTGGGCTTTAAATGCTCCGACAGATTTAGATTGTTTCAAATCTGACGTCTGCAAAGAATGTTTGTTTGGGTTTGCTCCAATTAGGCGCATCGCTGGGCTCCTACTGTCCGTTGTTATTCTATATTTGCGACGGGTTTCCCTGGGTCGAAATGCCTGACACTCCTTCGTGAACCAGTAAGGCCAGTCTGTTGTAGACTGTTGCCTTGTCAAGAAACCCTTGAAACAATCTTCAAGGCCGTTTATCCTCTTTGTGCGTATCAGTATGGTTCAGAGTGAATGACCACTGTTTGCATTCGTCCATTGTTACTTTCTTCATTCACTCCTTTGCTACAAATAAAAGCAAACCACCAACTGCCTTTCGTCCCAGTAAATACCTTTCTTTACACTCTTTGCCATATCTTTTCCAAGGCAACATACTCGACACTGTACCGCTGGCCGGTACTTGCACGAGTCTGCAAACTGAACGTGACATCTTTGTACCTTTCAAAAAACATTTAAACGACTTTCTGATATGTTTCTCCAAGCCCTCGCGACGCTCTCCCTCGTTGCATGCGCCAGCGCCCACTCTTGGGTAGAGGAGATCAGAGTAATTGCAGAAAATGGAACATTTACTGGAGCAGCAGGGTACGCCCGGGGAAATTACCTTCGCACAGCTGCAGGATTCAGCGATCTGACAATGACCTATCTGATCCCTCCGGACGGCCAGGCCAATGTGACAGTTGTCTACGACAGTACAAAGTTGTGCAAAGACACCCAACAAAACCAAACACAAACATCCGGAAGTCCTCGACTGAAAGCCAATGCCGGGGACGCGATCGCACTCCGCTATCAAGAGAATGGTCATGTCACCCTACCCTGGAATCAACCAGGCAAACCTCCAAACCGAGGCACGGTGTATGTCTACGGAACCACGGAGCCTAAAGTCGGTGAAACCCTCAACGATGTCCACGGCGTATGGAACTGGAACGGCACAGGGGGCGACGGACGAGGAACACTTTTGTCCGTGCAAAATTTCGATGACGGACGCTGCTACCAGATTAACACGGGCAATATCTCGGAGTACCGCCAGGTGAAATATCCGCACGAGGCCAATCAGCTCATGGGTGCTGATCTGTGGTGCCAACAAGATGTACAGTTGCCGACGACTGCACCAACTGGGAAACTGTATACACTTTACTGGGTATGGGATTGGCCCACTCGTCCGAGTGCTACCGATGGATACCCAGATGGAAAGAAAGAGCTCTACACTACCTGTATCGATATTGATATTGTGGGCCAGGCTTCGAGCAAGGTGCAGGAAACGGATGACTACACAGAAGGACAGAGCCTTGATAGTGCCTCAATAGAGTCGGAGTTTGATGATTTGAAAAACGAGGACGCTGTGCAGCTGTCTGTTACTGCTGCGGTATCCACGTCTACTTCGATGATGCAGGCTGAGACTACTAGTTCCTCTGTTGATCCTGTCTCGACGATGCAGGCGACAAGTGAGTCCGCGGGAGCTACTGTGACTGTTACCGTTGGTGCTGTGACCGCCTGGCGGACGGTAACAGAGGTGCAGGTGCGGACGGTGACGATTGAAAGTTGCCAAACGACGGAGGTGGCCGGTTAAGGTTCTATTGATTTGTTTCCCAAAATCTCCATAGATCATATGATTAGAGCATTAACACCTGAGCCCTGGAGGCACATTGTGATCAACAAGGCTTTTTTTATATATACTTTCGTATTCTCTGTCTTTCTTTCTTTTCTTTTTCCCTGTTGTATGCATGAGAGGCTCAACTGCGGACCTTTGTGATCCGATCCGATAAGATCTATGGGAGCCAATCAACATTAAAGAATACTAAACACTATTAAGTCATCACACATGTCTAAAGTCCCTTGATATCAATTAACATCATAGAATTTAGACAAAAGGCTCACATTGGCCTGACAGGAGAGAGAGAAATGAAGTAGATCTGGTTCCATAGTAGAAGCGCGACTTCCCAAAGCATCGAAGCGTAGTTTCCTAATTTGGATTAAACCCTCGATCTGAAACACGCTAGCACGTGATTCGATGACCTAAGCCCCTCGGAGCTTCAATTCACACTTGCGAAACCAGTCGAGATCGATTCTTTGCTTGCATTTCTGACCTGCATATGGTTGTTGGAGTGTGTTAGGCTATCCCTGCTGCAGCCGCCGACCGAACATCCCCGTACCTGCGCTGATCATTGACCCTCAAGGGGGCTTTAAGATAGAAAAGGTATGCCCCATCTCCGATCGCATTGCATATGAAGACGGTGAAACTGGACTGGAGATGAAAGGAAGCAAATCCAATCTTGGACATCCTTACTGGTCCAGATCGGCTAAACCTGCAAGATTCTTCACTCTTGTCATTCGGCGACATAAGCGCTGTGTCCGGGTTCCATTGATATCTGACACACTTGCAGGTTCGGCTATATTTAGCATTTGCCCTCGACCAACTGCGGGACAACAGTCTGGAACAACCACTGTTCCGACTCTTTCCCCTCAAGCATTCTCTCTATTTGCGATTATTTCCCTGGACTCCAATCACCGTGGGGTCCAAATCCTCTCGTGACTCGGCTCCCTTCCCCGCCTTGAGTCCCTTCCCTTCCTTCGATCTCGGATACCCACTCGGGGGTCCTCGTGTGTCCGCAATCCGGTGGTGGTTGAGAGAACATCAGAGTGCAGGTGGTGGACGTGGTGTGTGCGTGCATTACACTTAGTGTATACGGTCTCTTGCCCGAATCTATACCACTGGGCTATTTTGGGCGGGAATTACAAGTGGGATCACTGTCGGCGCGCCATCCAATCGCAATGCCAATTTAGGATTCATGCGACGCGGCTAAATGAACCCTCCCCATATCCCTTGTTGACCTCTTTCGAATCGTGAACTTTCATCGTCCACTCAATCCTTTTGGGGACATCCCTGCTTGTGCAAGATGACCTCCACGAACGCCCCGGAGACAATCTCCGCAGACAACCTCGCGGTCCTGCCCCCCATTTTGACAGATGCCACTGTCAAGCCGTCACCAAGCGCTAAAGACCGGTTATCCACATACTCGAATGTCTCCTTCCAACATCGCTCGCGACCGGGCTCCCACGTGTTCCCGCTCTTCCATTCCAGTCTGCCGTATACTCTTGTTCGAGACTTCGCCTACCCGTCGATCCATCCCATGCACTATGGTCCAACTCCCCTGGCCTCTGGGGGTTCCACACCAGCGAGCGAGTACCGCCGTTTGTCTGATCTGCCGGGCTCGTGGGATACCTCGCGGGGTCCGTGGGCTTCTGGCCCATGGAGCAACGAGACCAGCCAAAACCCTGGCCCGGTTCAGGGCCATCAACAATTGCCAGCCATGTCATTTGGAGACGGGCCCCCATACAGTGAAGATGAAGATTTGCACAGCCCAGTGGTGACAACGGCGCGCCAGCGAAAGAAGTCCACCGGTACCGGTTCAAATGGCATGACGGATGAACACATGGCGGAGGCTGCAGATCGCGGCATGTTCATTAGCACGAACCCTGATGGCAGTGAGACATATTACGTCAATGGCGATGATGCAATGGATGATGGTCCCGGTGGAGAATATATCACATACCCGATCAACGAAGGGCGATACTCTCATTACGATACCCAGCAAGGCCATGCACCCGACGCCGGATTTGAGTCAAATGAAAACGGAGACCGGTATGCGAATGATTATCAGTTCGCTGTCGGTTGTCCGGACGAGGAAATGCATGGGAAGGCCGTGGCTCTTTTCGATTTCGCCCGCGAACACGAGAATGAGTTGCCTCTCACCGAGGGCCAGGTGATCTACGTCTCCTACCGACATGGCCATGGCTGGTTAGTTGCCGAGGATCCAAAGACTGGAGAGAACGGTCTTGTCCCCGAGGAATTTGTGAGGCTTCTTCGAGACATTGAAGGGGGTTTGACCTCGTTGAACGGGGAGCCTGCCCTGGACTTGACAGAGGGCAGCGCCTCGATCGACATGAGCGAAGATGATCGCACTTCAACACCGACGCAGAGTGATCCAAAGGATGCCAATGGTGACACTACGATGAGCCTCTCCACTGAAGCCACGAATGAGCCCAGTCAGCCAACTGGTCGTTCCGCTGGTACCCGTACAAGCATGTTTTCAAAGACCTGAAATACCCGCCAATCCAGGGGCGGCTTCATTGAACAGGGCACCATGAGTTGAAATACTGCACGGCTCACCCATTAGAGTCCTGTCTGCGGCAAGTCTCTATTGGCATTAAAGCCTGCTGACGAACCTCCCTCTCCCCCACAAAGGTAGAGTTCACAAACTCCACCGACAATTCGCTTTTATGGATTTAAATTCCATTAATTGGCTATTATACCCAAGCAAATGGGAGAGAGGAGAACTGGCTCTCCAGATCCAACATATCTGGACGCATTAGGACCTCAGGTCCTAACCTTGAACATCATTAAAAACACTCCTCAACCACATACCTTTCTTCACCAAAACGCCCCCGAAACTCCGACTGACGAATGATTCCCCAACCACTACCCTTCTACTCTGATATTTCTCACGATTCTCATTTCGCCTTTTACAACCCATGGCTGGGCTTTGCAAAAGCTATCTACGAGGGCTACATGATGGAAAATAATTCCCTTTTCTCTTCCTGTTAGCTTCTCGCCCCCCTCGCAATTTTCTGTATTCCGTCATACATTCCTGTTTCTATCCCCATTTAAACCCATCGCACTTGTATCTAGCTTCCTTCAGCGCAGGCGTTGTCCTAGCATCTATTAGCATTAGCATAATGCCTCTTCAACCCTAGACCAACTATTCTGTTCACCTAGTAAATTAAGCAAATGCCGTCTCATGGCCTTGTAAAGATGTTTGATTTAGTACTCGGGTTTCCAAGGTTGCAGCCATAGTGACTTGTATGATAAATGGACATTTTGAAACTCCAAAAAGCGAGGGCAGTGCCATGGATATATAGTGGACATTGACTTGAAACGGCACAATTTACACTTGTGGATGGAAAAGAGACACGAGCTACCAAAAGTTCGAATTTTGGGCATGATGAGAAGAAAAAGGAGAATTTTTTCAAAGGAGCTTTGCTAAAGCGATGGAAAATTCCGTAAGCACGAGCCAACGTACAAAATAAAGCACAAGGGGGTCTTTCAAAGGGAACAAAATGTAGGAGCATAAATGAGTCTGGAATTATGAAATGCCGGATTCTGTACTCGGTAGATAACTAGAACGAGAATTGATCAATAAGCCCAATGGCCAGATTGGAGTTAAGATTAACCGAGCAGGTCATCGAAGGCCGAGCCGCCCTGTTTAGGCTTGGATGGGGCTGGAGATGGGGCAGCGTTTGCGCCCCAAATACCGGCGCTGGCCTTCTCTTTGGCCATGCTAGCGAGGTTGGGGCCCTTGCTTGCGTTCGCGTTGGCCTTGCTAATACCGGCGCTGGCACTGGCAGTGGACCAGAGGGAGCCAAAAGCGTCTCCGGATGACTTGGCGGCGGGCTTGCTTGCGGCAGGGGCCTTGGAGGAGGAGATGGAAGAAGTAGCGGTGTGCGAGAAGGGTTGCGAGGGTTGGTTGGTGTTGGTGGAAACGGAGGTGAAGTAGTTGGGGGTGGCAGCTTGGAAGCCCGTGGGTTTCGGGAGCTGTTGCTGCTGGATTGAGGCAGACTGCGAGACAGGAGAAGTGAGCGCGCTGTGAGTCGGAGTGTGGGGTGCCGAGGTGAAGCCTACAATGCCATTGATATTGGCACCCTGGGACGCTGACACTGGTTGGGGCGCTACGAATTGGGTGCTTGAGGTTGTGCTCGCCGAGACGGGAGCCGGGATGGAGAAGTTCGAAGCAGCTGGTGCTGGTGCCGGAGTTGCGGACTGGAAGTCATCGAATTCGTCATCGTCGGCGGTGTTGTCCAGCATGTTCAAGGCACTTCCGGCGGGCTGCTTACCAGCAGCAGTCGAGGAAGTGGTCACAGGCTCATCGTCACCGAAATCAAACAGGTCTGCCACGGGGGCGGGAGCTGGCTCTGCTTTCTTCGGCGGTGCCCGCTTAGTGCTGGTAGGAGCAGCAGTTTCCCGTCGCTGGGGGCTGGCATCTCCCTCGTCGTACTCATCGTATTCGTCGAATCGGTTGGCCTTGTTCCCGTTGTTTCCGCTGTCTTGGAAGTCACTAGAAGCGCCACCAAAGCCACCACCATCGCCGTAAACACCTCCGCTGTATCCACCGTATCCCATGGAATCGCTTCCAAACCCTCCATAGCGGCCAGAGCTTCCAGAAGACATCCCGCCGACATTCATTCCACCTTCGAATCCACTGAACTTGTTGCGGTTGGATCGGGCCTTTTTGCGCTCAGTGCGAATCTGATCCACGTCGCCCAGCAATTTCACTAGTTCTGAAGACCGGTTGCGCACATTGATACCCTGGTCCTTACCATTCACATCAATATAGTGGAATTGCCGGAGCATCCGCAGAAGGGACATGTGAGATCTTGCGTCGTCCACCACTCGTTCGGATCCGTTCTTGATCAAGAACTCAAGAAGCTGGAGACCCTATACATTATAAAGAGCCGAGGTCAGCCGTTGATATTGATATCGCAGGAGCACACCAGCGTACCTTGTAGATCTGTCGCCACTCCTCCGCCGCTTTATCGGTGAACCGCTTGTAGATCATGGGCATAATCTCATTAAGCAATTGGCTATAACCATAAGCGTCTACTTAACCAGAGCCTTGTAAGCAGTAGCACTTACTAGCTGTTAGTGGCATTGGCAATCTCCTGCATCAACGTGGTCGAAGCACCCCATGGTTCATTGTTTGTGGCTTCCCGAACCTAGATCGAGTAAGTAATATGTCACAGATATATCGAATCGAGGATCGCATAGTTCGAAAAGTCATAGTCTTCACGAGGTATTTGCGCGGAGGTACCAGGATACGAACCTTGGCTTCTATTTCGGTATAGTTCATAACGGCTATGACGAAGCGGTCAGTTCAAGGGTTCCCAGAATTGCGAAACAAAGCCGAGTCACATTCAATCGCAACACTGTCGGACTAGACGGATTCAACGCACCATTTTGCACCTTGCGAACACCTGCCTTGAGGTCATACAAGGTCAGGTTGCTGACCTGATCTTTGAGGTTGGAGAAGTCCATGGCGAGGGGCTGTAGCTGTATCAAGTCGGAATCGGGATGGGACAAGAAGAGGACAAAGATATAGCGCGGCTAGATAAGCCGGACAATTGACTAGAGAAGAACAAGCGATCCAAGCCCGCCGGGATTGATTGTGAGCGAGGGTGAGTTGGTTGGAGGGGAACGGACCGGTTTCCAGCTGGCCGATTACACGCGCCACGCAGTCACGTGGCAGCCCCTGACCCCAGCAACGGATGTATAGGTGGGCCACTGGATCTGTTTTAGATACTTGAACAGTAGAGGAGAGATAGTTGGACAATAATGGCTCAGAATGTGTGACATTCCTATCTGACTGCTTTTGTAACTCTAAACATCTGAGATTTGGAGACTTATAACAAAAATCCAGACTAAATATCGAAGCTCCGGGACATATCCGGGGTAGAGAACCTTGGAATACAAACACATACTACCTAGCCTGATTTGGCGGAGGGAACTTCCAATCAAGGACGTCTGATAGCGAGACTTCTTCTGAGACAATGGATAATTATCTCATGAACAATCAAGTTAAGAACATAGTAATATAGAATGATTTACAAAAATAAAAAATTATTAAATCGCCGTGCCCAATCCACCAAGACCAAACAAACATTGGAAGCACATGTGTATAGAACATTGATAAAATCCGGGGAAATTGCCGATCAAGTTACATTTAGCGTGTCATGTCATGGGGCATGTCTCGTCTTTCTCCCTGTTCCTCTTCCAAACTTAATTCGGTAGTCACCTGAATGGAGAACTTGTCGTGTTGCTGGGCACCGTTACTTCCCGGTCCAACAGTAGCGACGCTCTTCCCACCAGGATGAAGAATTGGCCTCTCACTTTCTTCAGATGAGGCTCTCTTCTGTGTGAGTCCTGGGATGGTATTCAGTTCCATGCTCTTGCGGTTATTACTGCGCTCCGCAAAGCTAATACCACCACCTGATTTGTCGCCTCGGGAGGCGAACTTATTATAACCACCAGTGCTGTACACGTTCTTCGATCCGGAGTAGCTTGAGAATCCGAGCCAGCTCGCACCACGGAATAACGGCTTGATACCTGGGAGCGAGACGACGATTGCGGCGACGAAGGATTCGCGGTCGGCCCAGCGAAGGGCAATTGGAAGGTTGCTGATGTCGCCGAGGGAGTAGTAGCAGCGGAGAATGGTACAGATAATGATGAAGATACCGGATGTGAACATTAGGGCGAGAATGATCTTGCGTTGGAGGGGGACCTGGAGTTTGCCAAGTATGAGGACGGGAATGACCATGATCATGACATCGGACCTGGGTAGGGTTGAGTCAGCTTAAAACACCCAAAAGAGACATTGAGTGAGCTCACATCACATTGAGCACAGCTATAACCACGTAGAGTGGTTGGCGGAGAGTGCAGTTGTCTAGATATCTTTTAGCCCCCCGGCAGATTGTCATTTAGAGTGGGATGTCCTTACCTCCTGCATAGGGTTTGATTTGCCAATTGTGAGTGACAGGTGTGCAAATGCAGATATGTGTAAGTATACACGCTAGCCAGCTGACAATACAGAAGCCCACTGCTGCTAGCACAAGCCTTTGAGTGCGTAATCCTTGCCTGTAAAGAAACAAGTCAGATGAAAATCTGGGGAACAGAATAAGTATGACTAACGTGAGCTTCCAGTAAAGGCAAAGTAGAACCCCTTTCAAGGACCAAAGATAGCTGATATACCAGATCCAGTTCGTAAAGGCCAGCTTAGAGCCCAGAGTCATCAATGCAATTTTGCTGTCTGGCACTTCCAAAGCGGTAACTGCATTGAGGCCAATGTTGTTGCCATACAACCCTTTTTTGAGTTAGTATATGTCAAAGAACCATAATAAAAGAACAACTCACCTAAGAAGTAGATGATGACTGTCTGCATGGTCCAGAAACTCTGTAACGTGGTTAGCAGACGTTCAACCATCCAATGGGGGCGAAACGAACTATGGCTGCAACTGCAAAAGCATCATCTAACTGCAAGCCTCTGAGCCCTCCAAAGCTAAGCCGAGCAATCATTCGCAAGAGCAAAAAGCTCATGCCAATGGCATACTCGACAAAAGTCTCGACGTTCAAGCTGCTCGTCATCGTGCAGGATTGACACAACAGCGTTTAAACCATCAAGGACATCTACAGACGAAGATGGAGGGGAAGGGGATTCAAGATCGAAAAGAATTCACTTTGAGGGGAATTTTACTACTAAAGGATGGGTGTGCCGCCCTCGGGGTCTGAAATTGCATTAGATCTACCAGGAAGACAAGAATAGGAGACATTTTCGCCTAGTGATTTTGCACCATCTACTCGGAACAATTACACAGTGGAGTCCCGTTGGAGTCAACTTGTTGCCCAACTGTCTGCTTTGCTGATCCTTTTTGAAATAAAGTGACAAGGTTCGGCTAGGATTCGTCTAAAATTTTGTTTTTTCCTGTCAAGTTTACTTTCATACTCCTGTATCTGTACATCACATAGGGTGTCTCGTGGTTATCGACGATCTTCGTTTCAGTGTGCTCAATAGGAACTGCTGGGGAGCGCTAGCTCACGATTCTCGATGCAAGGGACAATGCATCTTGCTTGAGTGGATATGAAAGAAGAATATTCTCTTTGAATCGATGTTGCACTGTCCAGGTGTATACTCCGTACCATACGATGTACTCCGTATAGAGTTCAGCAAAAGTACCCTCTTGCCACAAAATTGGAGTCTGACACTTGGAGTCGATCAAAGAAGAAAACAGAAATCAATCAAGTGGCAATGAACTTATCAATCATGCTTATTTCGGAATGCTAGGCTTCCATGATTCGTAAATCCTGCTCCTAGATCCCCACTCACACGAGGAGAAAAGTCGACACCCGCGGGCCGAGACCTAAATTGCTAAGAAACCGGGCGTTCAGCCACGTCAAGCCTAGTGCAAGCCCATTTCAAACTCAGATAGTGATATCAAACGACGGCTTGAGCTTCCTGAAACCTCGGGTTTTTTCCGCTGTATAAGTGAGGTGGCCTGCCGTGGTGGATGCCTTTAGTGTGAACAGCAGGATCAGTTGTGGAGACTTGTAGGCTATCATTACCCCATATAGTAGTGTAGACAACAATCATACAGTACCATTCAGTACAAAGCTAAGCCCACACTTGAATGAGTGTGCCCAGGTGATTATTCATAGGACCTGGATTAATGCAAAAGGGTCGTAGATTCATTCACAAATTACAACGTACATCGCGGGGTACATCGTATAATTATTGTCCAACATGACTACCAAAGTTGCTTTGATCACCGGAGGTGGTAAGTCAAATGAGCTAGTTACGATGAGTATAAATGAGCCTCGTGCTAATGATCCTTCCAAATAGCCAGCGGCATGGGCTTGGCCGTTACCCGGGAACTATCCGCTCGCGGAGACTGGGTTGTGAACATCCTCGATATCAATGAGACCGCAGGAGCAAAGATTGCTCAAGAGCTGCCCCGAGTCATCTTCCACAAGGCCAATGTGACCAAATATGGGGAGCTGTGTGATGCCTTCCAAAAGTCCTTCTTAGACGGTGGTAACAGACTCGACTTCGTGTTTGCCAACGCGGGAGTGATTGAACGTACCAATTTCTACGCCCCGCAGCCACCCACTGAGTCGGTAGCACCACCACCTGAGCCAGATCTTTTGCCGATCGATGCGGACTTGAAGGGAGTGGTGCTCACCACTTGGTTGGCACAGCACTATTTCCGTCTGTCGCCTCACAAGGGCCGCGATGCAAATGTAGTGATGACCGCCAGCTGTGGTGGGCTTTACCCCTCCTTTTACTCTCCCCTTTACTCAGCAGCCAAATGTACGTTGATTGATCAGACTGAATCTAAAATACTAGGCTGATATTTTCATAGTTGGTGTCGTTGGGTTCATGCGCTCGATTGCAGCCAACTTCCGTGCCGACGGGATGCGCGTTAATGCCATCTGCCCCGGCATTGCACGCACTAACCTTGTTGACGAGAAAGGATGGGATAGCTTCCCCCCAAACCGTTTCGTCAAACTTGAGACTATCACTCAGATAGTGCTTCAACTAGTGGATGGTGGTAGCCCCGCAGGCCAGGGTTTAACCGACACATCCGGTAAATCTGTCGCCGCGTCCAAGCTGTATGGACTCGCAGTGGAGATCTCAGACACGGGCTTCTATTTCCGAGACCAGCATGATTTCTGTGACGAAGGAATGCGTGAGGTCATGGGAGCAACTGAGCTTGACAACCAAGTCGACGGTGTTCTAAATGAGGAAGAGACAGTCGGTCAAATCAGACGTTCTATCTAAATGTCAAGCTTTCACATACAAGGATGAGAGACGAGGATAATTATGCCATAGAATCAATAGCGTCATTTCCAAAATCCCTGCAAGCGTGCCACATCTTCAAGGTAACCGTTTAACCACGTGAAAAGGAGAAGTCCCTGCTGCAAATCCCGTCGGCGATTTAATTCGATCTCACAAGTCCCACAGTTGCCCCGAAGGATTCTCAAGGAATGGATATTGGCCCATCAAATTTCGCATTCTCCACCCAGCGGATCATTGTCTTTGGGTTGAACGGACGGTCCGAACCCGTACCGAATTCTGACCGACGCTATGTCCCGTCCACGGCCCACGAGTTCTCATCCTTGCTTTCCCTCTACGCACGCCGGTGGCGTACACCGGTAAAGATCCGCTACTGTAATTTCAATGGTGCCGATCACACTAACGCTACTAGATTTTCCATATAGTTTAAAGTTCGACGCTAAAGAGGTCACCAGACGATGGCTGTTTACTCCACCCAAACTTCAGGGAAGAGAGGTGATAGAGCGTACGAAGCACAGAAAGAGCATGCATTGTTCATGAACAAGTCCTGCTTGTCCATAGAGGTCCACTAGACTCCGTACAAGATATATATACAGCTTCAAGTTCCACTGGCAATTCCGAATACTTTCTCTTTTCATAGTGTAGCGGGTTTGTAATTTAGGAGAGGCTTAGCAAAGTCAATTTTTTTTTTTCTAATGAGGTGTCTCTGATGAAGCTAAATCTCCAATTTGACCTACTGCATTCTTAAGCGCTTGAGATGACCCCAAAACAACATCGCCAACATTCCAAGATTCAAAAGTCTAAGGGATTGCTCCAGGAAGTCCGGACTTCTCACCGTGCATCATCTCAAACAAGGGCTCCCATACCGTAACAGCCCGCTCAGTTATACGACCGTTACCCGGCTCGGGCATTTGGTAGTAGATCAATTTCTCGGCCGAACCCTCAAGCAGTTGCCCTGCCATACCAGTTGTGTCTTCCAAGAAGACATCATAGGCCTTCAAGATCGTCTCAACAGGAGTAATACTAAGAACACAGGTTAGATCTCTTCCAAATTCAGAAAAAAACAACCCCACTCACCATTCAGGCGAAACAGCCTCAATCATCTCGGGAGGAACAATAGGCGTCTGCACAATACCCGGCATAACAACATTAAGCAAAATATTTTCCTTCTGCTTCAACAACGGAGCAGCACCCCGAACAAACTGATTGACTGCCGCTTTAGTCCCACAGTAAACTGGATAAGACTCGTGGGGAAAGACGCTGCCAATGCTGCTGGTTATAATAATCCGCCCTCCAGGTACAGAATTGTACCGCATAAAATGCGTAGCTAGCTGCGTGCAATAAACAACTCCCTTGTAGTTGATATCAACAACAGACATATCCGGTGCTGGGGGAACATCGTCAATGGACTTGTTCTTCGAGTCATAGATATAGACGGAAGACTTGTCGACGATTCCCGCATTCACGCAGACAGCATCAATACGACCCCAGAGTTTGAATACTTTTTGGAAGACCGCGACTGAGTCTTCATATTTTGAGACGTCTGCTGCAAAGAATTCTGCGTTCTGAGTATTGAGCTCCGATAGAAGTTGCGTTCCGGCTGCTTGGCGTCGGCCTGTACAGGCTAGTTTCCAGCCTTTGGTACAGAGGCGTTTGGCTAAATCGGATCCAATACCCGACTAGACCATTTGGTGGTCAGTGAGTAGTTCGGCTAAATATCGATTTTTTTTTGCTTTTCCTTTCTTCTCTTTCACTAACCGTGGCTCCGATGATGATGGCGACACGGTCTTCTGAGGCCATTATGTGCGATTTGCAAGATTTTGATATGGAAACTTGGACAATGATAGAAACCACTGTTCTTTTATCCTACGAACTGTGAGGGGTAAATATCAGACCGTCGTAAAGCCGGATCTGTGGAGCTATACTATTAGCCTCGGACCAACGCTACTGTAGAGGGACGCAGCGGGATTTGAATCCCTTGCCAATCATTACTTCGGGTGGTGATTGACCAATAATGGTTTTCCAAGCTTACGGTACCCGCAATGGGACTACTGTAAGTAACTAGGTGCAGGACAGTGGAGCAAATTATTAGTGTTGTTTAGTGTAAAGCAAAAAAAAAATGAAAAACATGAATCAGAGCTTACATACTTTGCATCCATTCTTGTCAGGGGTTAGCGGGGGGACAAATGCAATGATAGGCTTTGGATCAGCAATATTGCATTAGTTAATCGGCCAAGTTACTAGCAGCTAGAGCTTTTGTGCATGTGAATGAAAATCTAATTCTCTCTTTCTCTCCACCAGTCACGACTGTTGAACAGCTCATCATGACTGAGGACAACGAGAAAGATGCGGCCAGTAGCCCCGTGGCTGCCTCGGGGCCAAGCTCTCTACCTTCTGACCATGAAGAGGTTGAGCCTCCGGTTGTTGCCTTCAAGACCTGGATTGTTGCATTGGTAATCCTCTACATACCATCTGTCGCACCACGTCGCAACTCTAACGATTGAATCTATAGATCCTATCATGCGGCTATGGTCTCTCCTTCTGGCCCATCCCCGTCGTGTCCGCGATTGGCTCCTCGGTTTCAGCAGATTTGGGAGACGCAAATGGATACATCTGGTTTGTCCCGGCTTGGACAATCTCGATTACTTGTTCCTTCCTACTCTTGTATGCGCCCCGGCTATGGAGGAATCCTGGCGCACGAGATACTGACATTTTGCAGTGGACCGAACACAGACCTTTTGGGCCGACGCTGGTTCCTTGTGATGGGCAACCTGGTACATATCCCAATCGGCTTTGAACTTATGCGCAGCTACTGATATTCGCAGGTTACCTTTGCTGGTCATATCATCATTGCCTCCGCCAAAAACACCAACCAAATCATTGCAGGACTGGCGGTTTCTGGATTTGGTGGAGCCAACTGTCAGGTCAGACTACATCAGCCACTCGAGCAGTTGATGAGATACTGACCCCCTACAGATGGCTGCATTCGCTCTTCCTGAGCTCTTGCCAAACAAGTGGCGCCACATCGGTGTCGTCTTTGCTGATATGACTGTGTACATCGCAGTCATTGTTGCACCAGTGACAGCCCGCTTCGGCTATGAGATGAACACCTGGCAGTGGAACTTCTGGGGCGTCGCTATTTTCCAGGGTCTTTCCTTTGTCGGACTTCTTCTGCTCTATCACCCTCCCAAGCACCCGTACGTTGATATTTCAGAAAGCTACGGCTAGGATTAGAACTAATCATACACACAGTATCGGTATCTCCTACATGGAAGCATTCAAGTCCATGGACTACTTGGGTGGATTCCTCTTCGTCGGTGGTATCGTCCCCTTCCTCATGGGTATCGTCTGGGCCAGCGCCTATTCCTCCACGGACCCACACGTCGTGGCAACTCTGGTCGTCGGAGCAGTCGTCCTCGTCCTCTTTGCTCTCTGGGAAACATACGGCAACCTCAAGTATCCCTTGACACCCACCGCAATTTTCACCAGCTCCTACGGCCGCGACTTCACTGCGCCGGTGATCGCGCTTGGAGTCATCAACATGTTCTACTACTCATCCAGCATTCTGTGGCCTCAGATGATCACTGTGTTCTATACGAATGGCGGAGCTGACTGGAAATATGCTGTTGTCCTTTCTCTGCCGCAGGGGCTGGGTATTCTTTTCGGTGCTCTGCTGCTCACCTTCCTTGGTAGCTACCTTCGTCACTGGCAGTGGCAATTGACCATCTCGGTATTTGTGATGGTGTTTTTCGGATCTTTGCTTGGCCTGGTTTCACCTAACAACAAGGGCATGATGATTGCGTTCTTGTTCCTTTCTCAGGTCGGTTTTGGTTGGGCAATTTATTTGAGTATTGCTATTACCCAGATGGGTGTTGAGCAGCAGAACCTTGGTGTCAGTGGTGGTATCTCTGGATGTATTCGATTTGCGGCTGGTGCAGGTATGTTGTTCCTCTTCTCGTTGTTCCTCGTGGTACTAATGTCTGTTAGTTGCTACGACGATTTACGAAACTGTTTACAGCAAGACTTTGACCAAATATATGGAAAAATTTATCCCAGCTGCTGTGACTGCTGCTGGTCTGTCTGAGTCTAAGGTGGAAGGACTGATGTCTGTGGTGTCGGGTGGTGCCTCGGCTTTGACTTCCTATAGTCCGGCCGTTGCTGCTGCCGCCGAAGCCGCTCTCAGTGATGCCTACTGCAAGGCTATCTTGTGAGTTTTCCAAATGAAAAAGTCCAAAAGTGAACATTCGCTGATCTAAGGTTTAGTGTGGTGGCAATGGTTTCCATGGCGTTTGGTATAGTTGGCCTTATTGCCTGTCTGTGCTGCAAAGATGTCGATTCGAAGATGACCAACAAGGTACGACAGAAATTGCTTTGTTCGCTTTCGTTTCTTATAGATATTGACTCCTATTAGATTGAGGTATACCTCGAGAACACTAGTCTCGCGGAGAGAAACACTTTCCACTGAGCTCAACTCGGCCTCCATTGCCAATTTTGGAACCCATGAGGGCTGGGAGCTCGACTGTCCGACACTATATTAATACATGAGGCTTGGTCTTCAACATTGATGGATTTGATGGAATGCACATGCAGGGATAAATATGGATATAGTTGTTAATAGCAGGCAGGACCCTTGCCGTTACAGATCACGACATTTTTAATTGATGAATGTATTTAAATAGACCATTGATTGAATGATTCTTATATTGTGTACATGCTCATTCGGGTACTAATGTAAGAAGCTTGACGCTATCGCTATTGGGGGGGGAAATCGATACAAAAAGTCCCCAGGTATCTGAAACAAACAAAAATAGGGGAAAAGTAAAAAAATATGCCCAAGAATATGCCCAATCCCATTCATCCCTCATCAAATCCGTAATCATGAGAAGCTTATTCATTGTAGAACTTCTTCATGATCAGATGCAAGAAAAGGTTCACGTTGACCCTCATCTGCCCGTCAAAGAAGTCCATGAATTGTGTGTTGTTGAATTGAGCCTGTAATAGGTCATCCAATGGGACCTGGGCATTGGCTCCAGGAACCATCATGTTGCCACTACTACCGTCAATGGTGAACACACCGACTTCGTTACTAGAAATTGTCAAGTCCACCCGGTCAAATTGCCGATCAGAATAACCCTTCCAGGCAACCAGCACGCCACGGTCCGCCAGGTTGCGGGCAGAGTATTTGTACGATCCGAACTTGAAAACCTTGCCGGATTTTTGAAGTTCCCGCTGGTGGTCCCATTGCTTGGTGAATGGCATCAAGAATCGCTTCTTTCCCTTCTTGTTCTGAAGAGTAATCATGGCCTGCTCAATGTAATCGTTGTAGGTCTTGAGTTGTCCCTCTAGATAGGAAGCTTGGTCGCTTAGACGGTTGGAAGTCAGGCGCGCACCCTCCAATTCGCGCTCCCGCTGGATTCGTCGACGGTGCTTCGTTCGAATGTCGATAGCGATGGCGTTCAGGAGATCCTGGTAGTGGTTGTGGCGGCTGATCTTGCCAGCTTGCTCGAGGCGGAGAATGTTCTCCAGGGCGGTACCCTTCAGCTCCGAGTAGGTCATCGAACCGATATCAATCAATGTGCTAGCCTCGGAGTAGGCACCCCGGCGTGGGTTGCCTGTGCTCAATTCTTCTCGAACCAAAGTATCCCAGCGCTCTTCATCTTCTTCACTGGGTGTCTTGAGCATGATATCCATCAAGTTGGTACCACTTTGAACTCGGATAATGTAAAGAATGCATCTTTTGGTCTCCATAAACAAAGTCTTTATGGCCGCTTCCGGATCTGTGGGTTTTTTTTAGCCGAGTCGTAATGGGTAATTTATCAAGAAAGCCCTTACCTTCAACCTGAGCCAGCTTGGGATTGAGTGTGAGATTGATCTCGGTAGAGCTGACGCTCATCAATTCATTCTCGTTGCTCTTCACGTTGCCCAGATCCCGGACAAGCTGTTTAAGGAAGTCATCGGGGTGTGAACACATGCAGTCAATTTGTGAGGCGACAAGTTGGTGGATAGAGAAAATGTCGGACATTTTAATGTACAAAGTCGGTTTGGCTTTGGCGTAAAGATCATTAAATTCATCAATGTCGAAGTAGGCTTCCGCATCCTGGACGGAAATCACTGTTTAAGGTTAGCTCGGTGAAAAGAAAAGAACATGAGTTGTAAACTCACTCTGTCCCCAAATGCGCCCTAGTCGTTGTATTGACTCGCCGATGTAGGTATTCAAAGGTTGAAGGTAGACATTTTCGGCTGCTCCGAAGAGTCTACCAGAAGCGACCTGCGCAACTACCTTCGCGATTTCCCCCAGATTTCGCTTTTGCTCTTGAGTCAAACCACGATCCACCACACCATACTTCTCTGGCTCTAGTACAGCCGGCTGGAAATAGCTTTTCCATGCCCAGTGGCCTACCGTCTGAAGAACAAATCCGGGGTCTTCATTAGGGAAACGGGCAAGCAAATTTTCGTACATTTGCTTGGTCAGGTATCGGATCCCAAATGGCATGCGGTACAAGAAATCTTCGAGGGCAGCAAAGAACTGGTCCGCAACATCACGCAGATCTTGCAAATTCTGAATGAAAGTTTCCCGGGTTTCAGGATCTCTGATTGCTTCCTCGCGAGGAAGGTCTGCTGGTCGTCGACTTCGCTGACCTGTGCGAAGCTCCTCGTTATTGATTGAAGAGCGATAAATCTGGATCGGGTCACTCTCAAGATCGAGTTCACGATTGTCAATTACGGATTCCTTGACTACCGGGCCCAGGACATCACGCATGAACTTTCGGTCCCGAGGTGACTTGGCGTAGGAGCTGAACAGCTTGTTCCAGAAAGAGTGGCAGCGCAAGAACTCAGACAGTGTCGCGAAACCTTCGATATCCTCTTTGACCGAGCGTGCGAGAAGTCTCACAAGGTAATATTCTTCCCGCCTCTTCTGTGAGTACCCAAAGAGGCCCATCATTAGATGTCTGATTCTTTCATATTCCTTGTCTGAGGTATTGATCTCGCGAAGTCGTCGGAACAGTCTTGCCAGATATTGCGATTGAGTCTGTAAAAGGAAGAAAAAGACCTGGTACTGATCCAACTTCCTTCTGGAGGTTTTGTTCAGAGCCTTCAGATCATACGGATCTTTAGAAGAGATGTCAGTGTTGGACAGCAAGTTACCAATATGACCACCGAAGTGCTTTTGGTGTTTGACAACTTCATCAAGTGTGATTTTGTTCTTGACCAGTAGAGCAATCTTGATGTCCAGCTGGCTGATGTACTGCTCTGCCATCTCGTTTTGCCGGACTTGTTGAACAACGACCTTTCGCAGTCGTTCGAACTCAATTTCCTCGTCAAAGTCAAAATCGCTATCGTTGAGAAGGTGCACGAAGCCCTTGACTGTTCCAACAGGTGGATTCTTTCCACCCGTCAAGCTCTTGTACGCACGGCCTTGAATGCGGCCGCGGATGACACTTTGAGCCTTGATGACTCTCTCCATGTTCTGATTGTAATGGCGGCGTCTCTCCTCGAAGCGGTTTCGGACGATGGTGCCGCGAATGTGTGCTTGCAAGTCAGTGATGATGTGTTCCTCATCCTCCAGGTCAGCAAGCATCTCGCCGACCTGAAGCCGAACAATCATGGCCCGAGCCAGGGCTTGAAGCTCAACGACTTCCTCTTCGTTGTCTTCAAGGTTATTGAGAATATCACCGACTCTCATACGCTCCAGAGCTGCGCGAGAAAGTGCTTGAATCTCCACAACGGCATTCTCGTGTTCTTCCAATGCTTTCCGTTCGTCATTCCGGTGCTTACGCTGGATCAAGCCTCTAGCCATTGACTGCACATCCAGCACGGTACTCTCAGAGTTCATGAGCTGGTCATGTTGCGATTGCAAGAAGTCTCGCAGAGCGTTGGCTCTCAGTATTCCCTGCATGGCAGTGACTGATGAAATATGCTGCGCTAGCTCACCGCGGAGAACTTGATTGCCCTGTCTGACTGTGGCACCGCGTATTATCGCTTGGAATTCAATGCACTCACTCTCCGATTTTGACAGAGCATCCAGAAGTTCCAAGTGTCGTTTTCTCGCAGCAAGTGCCCTAGCACCTGCTTGTAATACGGTGACAGCGACACTCTCGTTGTGGAGCGAAGCCTTGACCTGAGCCATATGCTGGCGAGCAAGGGTACCACGAATCACAGCCTGAAGTGACTGGACTGGACTGCTAGTCTCCTCAATTTGCTGTGATTGTACGCTCATCTGCTTCCGTTGCAAGGAACCACGGATGGCTGCTTGAAGGGCGGTAACATCATTCTCCGCTGATCGGGTGTCTTCATATTGATCGGCAAAGATCTTGCGCTGAAGGGAACCTCTAATTGCAGCTTGCAGGGCAGTAACATTGTTCTCAGCAGACCGAGTTTCATCAAACTGGTCGGCAACGATCTTGCGCTGGAGAGCACCCCTTATTGCTGCTTGAAGGGCAGTAACATCGTTCTCTGCATATCGAGTGTCATCGTATTGATCAGCGACAATCTTTCGTTGGAGGGCACCCCTGATTGCTGCTTGGAAATTCTTTATTCCGGACTCCTCTTTTCGCATACGAGTCTGCAACAAGTTTGTCTGGGCTCGCGACTTGGAAGCCCGAATAAGACTCTGGAGCTCAAGAATGTCACACTCTTGGGCTTTGCGAGACTGCATATCACCTTTCTGGCGGTGACGAACAATGAATCCCCGACTGACTGCCTGCAGTTGAACCGCAAACTGACGCATCTCAAGTCGATATTGGCTGATTTGGCGAGCCCAGTCGCCACGAATACGTGATTGCAATTCAACCAGCAAAGGCTCGAAATCCCAAAGATCATTCATCGTATTTCCAAGCTTGAGGCGCATCATGGCTCCCCGGATCTGAGACTGGAAGTCAACAACTGCGGCTTCGTTCTCGTGTAGCTCGCGGTCGATTCGCTCTTCCTCCGACTCAACAGGTTCGGGCTCGGGTTCTGGCTCTGCGCCGAAGTTCGCAGCCATGCCTGCAAAGCTCGGCATGCTGACACCCGCCTTGTCAAGACCTTTTTGAGTCTTTTCAAGTTCGTGGTGTTCAAATTCAAGCTGACCAACCAGGTTGCCCATGCGGAAGTCCAGCATGCCATTTTTAAACAGCAACCAAGAAAGAGCATGGATACAGTGAATGACTTTCGGAAGATTCTTCTTTTCGTAGAGGTCGATGAGCTCGAATCGAAAAAGCTCCGGTAACTCAATATCGTCGAGAAAGCGGAAAAACAAGGCAATGTTGTCTGAATGGCGATATTGTAGCTTTGGGTTTCGAAAGATTCGCAAAGTTCGGTCAGGATACATGGCCTGTACCACCTCCGCCAGGGTCACACCATCTCTCAGTGCCTCCTCCAGCTGAACAATTGGCGGGATTTCTTTTTTCATAACCTCTTCAATCCACTCTTTCGCCTCGCCAATATGACACAGGTACTCGTACGCTTGTAGAAATTGTCGCTGTTGATCCATCCAGTTCCCTGCTGCCCATGAGGACGCTTTGGGCTTTTCTGGTGATATCGCGCCATTTCTCCCAGCCACTGAGTCAGCTCGCTTCAATCGTCGCCGACCCTGTAGACCAATCACAGATGCTGTTGCAGACGCGAGTTGGAACTCCTCGCCTTCACCAGATTGAGCGAACTTGGACAGCGTTCTGAGATGGCGTGTGGATGATTTTTGGAATGTTTCGAGTTCTGGGGTAGAGAGAGTTGTCGTAAGTTGAGCTGGACGTGGGCTTCCGGGCAGAGTCTTCTGAGGAGATGAAGGGCGGGAAGATCCTGGAGTTGGAGTGGGCGACCAGTGGCGAGGCGAAGCACCCAGAGGGGGTGTTTGAGGCTCAAATGCAGGCGATTTATACCGAGGCGACTCATTTTCCTTGAGGTGGGCATGAGGCAACTCTGGGGTACTCGGTCGCATATCCTTCAAATACTGTTTCTCGTCTATGGTGTGGCTGCGGGTGTGTCGATAGGCGCCAGCCTTCGAGGGCGTTGGATTGATGTTAGGCGCCTGTTGTAAGGGTCGTAGAGACCGGCGAATATTTTCATAAGTGCTGCCAGCACTTTCCGAGATTCCTCCGTTTGTTGACTCCATCCTGACTGCGCTTGCCTCACTCTTTCCTCGGTGATGACCTAGGTTGCTCTGTATGGACGCATTGGAAGATACCGTGCTTGTCCGGCTTGGAGTAAATGAACTTGATGCGACTGAGTAGGCGGACGAATTGGTGGACGCGGTTGACCCGTGTCGTAGTGGACTCGATGACTCCACGAGGAAATCCGTCTGGGCTCGCTTCAGCGATGGGAATTGACTGGACATCACTATTGACGTTGCGACAGGAATGCAAACACCGAAGAAAGATTCTTGTGCTCGATAGACCGCATCCCTGCTTCGGTAACAGAAGCGGGGTGTGGTGGCTGAGTCCGAAATTGGAGCAATTCAGATGTTGTTTGTATCGGAACGGGCGGTCGGAATGTGAGATGAACGCGAATTGGCAACGGCGCAAGTGACGTGGAGCGATATCACTCCCGAGTTTGGTAAATGCAAGAAATATGACGAGCAGAAGATCTCGCAAGTTTCGGCTCCAGGGACCCTCCGATGATGGAACTCTTGTTGACAGTGGGGTGAGAGGAACAGGGCAGGAGCGAACCGGCATTCTCCAATTCCCATTTGGGACCCGTCCAAAACAAATCTCCCGATATGGACTAGCGCAATCAGCTGATGCCGGTCGATCCCTCAGCCATAGATCACGTGTTATCAGCACCCTTCTACACTGGTTGCGTATTATTTGAGTTCAGAATTCATATTGTAGTCCCCTGGTGCTATTCAACATTGTTTCTAATTTGCTTCTTTTTTACTTTCAGCATCAAAATTTGTTATAAAGTGTAGCATAATCTACAGTGTTGGCGACAGTGACTTAGATCTATGCGGGTTCGAATGTGGGCCGTAGTCCCGTGCGACCATCTCAAACATCTTGTTCCCATCGACAAGAGAAATCCACACACGCTTTAGTGAGGAAAAATTTGTGCCTAAACACTAACACATTAGTTCCAAGCAACACTATTGCTGGCATAATGTCCATAAGAATCATCTCTCCCTCTTTTCCTCTGTCTCTACCCCAACACGTTTCCTGCTATCTGAATGGACCTAAATCGGCTCCCGATTCAAATCATCGTTGGAAGTCGTGCACATAAAAAGACCTGTAATCATATTATGGCCTAAAGATTTAAAGTATTCACTTCCTTGAATCCAGAAAACTCCCTTCAAAAACTAGAAATTGCGATGTATTCCCGAAATTCCAGGTACGTACTACAACAGATTACGATTCCCGAATATATATAGGGCTGCCCATAACGTTAGTATTTGCCATCCGCCTTATGGTATGCCCATATAACAATGAATGATACCTAGGTAAATAAAACTTGCGCAACATGGATGGATCTAAAACGTCCTAGAAAATAATATGATGTTGAATTGATTTCAATCGGAATGCCCAAGGTCATTGTATAACATTTCCAGAATTGAATGCGACTGATTTGGAGGATTGGTTGTCGGCTCATGCCCATGTGCCGAGGCGAAAGTGCTGACCCACTCCCTCGGAACCTTCCTGGGAAACCTCAAGACGAGGAGTACAGGTACGCAAGTCAGTATCCTACTGTCCTTGAGAACGACTCTTGGGGATGCAATCGTAAAGTTTTTTTTATGTTGAAAATGAAGTGAAAGGATTTGCTCAAAACCCCGCTCAATCCATCTCTGTTACAAGTATTGTGAACGCCATCAAGAATTGACAGAACAATAGGAAGACATATATTCATTGATAAAGTTTTGGATTAGACGGTATTCCCTAACCTTGGAAGCTTGATCATCTCTTTGTATTCGTTATTTAGCACGCAAATGCTTCAAAAATAGGCAGCCCTTACAATTGATTCCCCAAATCCCTTCATAAGCTATGTACGTTGTCACAGCAAGCCTGTTATTCCGGCCCCAGATCGGTGAGGCCATTGCAACGTCAAAGTCTGCCCATACCAGCTTATCTGGGCTCGAACAAGGAAACAAATATGTGGGACAAATGTCTTTGGTGAACGCCAGCTCTGTGCACCTCCTCCAGACCCTCAACTGCCTGGGAGTAGACCGCATCTGAGTAATTGACGCATTTTATGCTCTGCGTATTTGGGCGGTAATATAGCAGTATAGCTCTTAGCTTAAAATCGTCTTGGGCAAAATATTGGAGAGCAGGATAGAATGCAGTTGGACCTATTTAATTGATGCAGCCATGGAACTTCCCAACAACGCCAAGGTCATAAGCACCAAAATCAAAAAGTTGCCTGTATTCATTTGATTCGCAGCGAAATCGGTTCCAGATACGACCCTTCTTGCTATATCCAACGTCGCCGTTGTCAAGAAAAATTCCAATGCGTACTTTTGTCCGTCCAGATCATATCACATATGGACCATCCAGATGAGATCGCGTGAAACTCTGATGTCTTGGTTCTGGGGAACTTGGTTTCCAGAAAAGTGGCGCTTCTTTGATGCATTGCTGTCCTATTGGGAGTGATATCTCCCCCAGGAAGCGTGGAGCAGGTCGAACCATAAACACCGAGTTAACAGTGGCCTAGGCAGATGATGATTATATAATATTAATATCCTTTTACACCTCAATGCATTTCAATTGACTGCTATAGATCTTGATATGCAGTGTTGAACTTTAATGCTTAACGGCGAAGTTCAAGAGCTGTGGGGGTTCATGTTTGACGCAAAGTCTCAGGGCGTGAGGTAAGTGGCGAAATTGAGTTATGGAGTAAGCTTTGCATTGAAAAGAAGAAATAAAGTGGTCATATTCAATATTTTGTTTCATGGTCTGAGAAAAAAAAAACCATCAAGGTTAGCGCAAGGATGAAAAGCGGATAAGCAGATCTGGCGCGGGGAAAAGCAGAAATTAGCATTCGTTACGGCCGTTGGCAACCGTCTTCCCACTCCATCCCCACCTCATATTCAGAATGGCAGCACTCGATTCTCACCCCCGCTATATCTACAAGATTGTCCCCTCCGCTGCACCGGTCAGCGAGCCACTCCCTGAGCGCTTGCCTGTCAGCCAACTGGACCAGGACTCGGGATTCGTCCATCTTTCGATGGCGACTCAGGTTGCCAACACACTCAAGTTTTTTTTCAAGGAGGAGCCACTGGTGTATATTCTACGTATCGATTATGAACGTGTTAAGCAAGATGTCCGTTGGGAGTCCCCCGACGGCAAGGTGTGTGGTCCACGGCCCGGAGAAGGCTTATTCCCTGTGAGTCAAACTTCTGCCAGATATATATCACGATAGTCGCGAAAACAATTACTAAATAAATTCAAGCATCTCTACAACGGCTTGAAACTTGGCAAAGATGAAGTCGAGAGTATTGCAGTTTGGCAAAACGAGGATGGGTGGAACAAAGCCATCAACGGGGCTGAGACATGGCTCGTGTAGTAGCTGTCCCTATGCACGGTTCGGTTGCCATTCTTCCATTCCTCTCCATCTCTCTCTTCACCTTCTGCTAGGTGTACAAACAGCAGTTTTAGTTATAAAAAGACCTCGGGATGATGCCGCTTGAGATAGAAGAACCTTTACTACTTTCCTATTACATTACCTGTCTGTGTGTAAACAAGCGATCAGCAACATGACCTAGTAATCACAGCCTTGCTGGCACACCTAGATAAGTAATTTGAGGACTGAATTGCATAAATAAATTCTCGCTGTCATTTCCAAGTCACGGTCATTGTACCGACATGGAGCTATTAAGCTCTGCCGGGTGCGCCGGGAATCGGCCCGCAGATTTTCTGCAAGAGCTGCATAGGATGCCGCGGTAGTACCACAGCCATCAAGTCGATCCCCCACAGAGCCATTCAATGGAAACCATCAAAATATAGCCCAGAAAGATGCTAATTGTCATTTCTGAAAATATCTTTTCTATTTTATAGTACTACAGGCCTAGTGCAACCCGGTCAATGACATACACTGAACGTTTGAGCAGTATGATAATACGCCTATATCACAATGTATTCGTTTAAAATAGAGGCATTGCACCTGGATGCATCCACTAAGCCTACCTAGTACAGTCATCTTTTACCAATACTACCCTTATTAATCTCAGCATGCCGTGATATCATTTCTAAGCAACGGTCATCTCACCGCCCGCCAGAATCTCGTTTAAGAGCCAATCACGACACGTGACTGTGAAAAAAAAGATATCGCGCTAAACCGCGATAGGGAAGGCGCCCTCCCGGCGTGGCCGTGCACGGAAAAAAGAAAAGGAAGCTTCTTCGCTCGAACTTTTTTTTCTTCTTCTTTCTTTTCTTTGGGAAAGCTGGACTCTCTCCATCAACAGAAGGTTTCTTATCTGTTGATTTTATACCCCTCAATTCTTTGTCCCGTTTCATCCTCTGATTTCAGATATACCTTCTTTTTTAAATAATCATGCCTATCACCATCAAGGAGGCTGCGCCCGGTGCCGCCATGAAGGCTGAGATCGAGGACTTCACCACTGCCCTCGAGGTTGTGAAGACCTACCCCACTCGGGATGGTCTGGATGTTGACACTCTCCTGGACTCCGACAAGCACGGAGCCCTGACTTACAACGATTTCCTTGTCCTGCCCGGTTACATCGGTGAGTCTGATCATGGCGGGGTTCTGATCTGAGACGAAAATTTTTTCTAATATATCGGATAACAGGCTTCCCCGCCTCTGATGTGACCCTGGACACCCCTGTTACCAAGCGTATCTCGCTGAAGGCCCCCCTTGTGTCCTCCCCCATGGACACTGTCACTGAGCACAACATGGCCATCCACATGGCTCTGCTCGGTGGCCTCGGTGTTATCCACAACAACTGTGCCCCCAAGGACCAGGCCGAGATGGTCCGCAAGGTCAAGAGATACGAGAACGGTTTCATCCTGGACCCCGTCGTCCTCTCTCCTACCGCTACCGTTGGCGAGGCCAAGGACCTCAAGGCCAAGTGGGGTTTCGGTGGTTTCCCTGTCACTGGTAAGTTTTGCTTTGCATGTTTTGCCTTTTTTCAACACCTTCCCATTTGCATGATGAACAAACCTTTCATTTATAACTTTCGTTCCACTGGGAGCGGCGAGAGCTGCATTGTAGAGAAACGTTTTTACCTGATCATTCTTTTATTTTTCACCATATTGAGTCATTCAAGTTGTCTTGCATCGACGCTAACATCAATTGTCTGACAGAGAACGGAACCCTCCGCTCCAAGCTTGTTGGTATGGTCACCTCCCGTGATATTCAGTTCCACAAGAACCTTTCCGACCCTGTCACAGCCATCATGGCCACTGATCTGGTCACTGCTCCCGCCGGTACCACCCTGGCTGAGGCCAACGAGGTTCTCCGTCAGTCCAAGAAGGGCAAGCTGCCCATCATCGATGCCGATGGCAACATTGTTTCCCTCCTGTCCCGCTCGGACTTGATGAAGAACTTGCACTACCCTCTTGCCTCCAAGCTTCCCGATTCCAAGCAGCTCATCTGTGCTGCTGCCATCGGTACCCGTGAGGAGGACAAGGACCGTCTCAAGCTTCTCGCTGAGGCTGGTCTCGACATTGTTATCCTGGACTCCAGCCAGGGTAACTCCTTGTACATGATCAACATGCTCAAGTTCATCAAGCAGAACTTCCCTCTGATTGATGTTATTGCTGGTAACGTTGTTACCCGCGAGCAGGCTGCTGCCCTGATCGCCGCTGGTGCCGATGGCCTGAGAATTGGCATGGGCAGCGGTAGTGCTTGTATCACCCAGGAGGTTATGGCTGTCGGCCGTCCCCAGGCCGCGGCTGTTCGCAGCGTCGCCTCCTTCGCCGCTCGCTTCGGTGTTCCCTGTATCGCTGACGGTGGTGTCCAGAACGTTGGTCACATCGTTAAGGGTCTGGCCATGGGTGCCAGTACTGTCATGATGGGTGGTCTCCTTGCTGGTACCACCGAGTCCCCTGGCGAGTACTTCGTCAGCAACGAGGGCCAGCTCGTCAAGGCCTACCGTGGCATGGGCAGTATCGCCGCCATGGAGGACAAGAAGGCTGGTGGTGACAAGAAGGACACCCAGGCCAGCAACGCTGGTACTGCCCGTTACTTCTCTGAGAAGGACCACGTCTTGGTCGCTCAGGGTGTCGCCGGTTCCGTCCTGGACCGCGGCTCCATCACCAAGTTCATCCCCTACCTCATTGCCGGTGTCCAGCACTCTCTGCAAGACATCGGTGTCAAGAGTCTCGAGGCCCTCCACGAGGGTGTCAACTCTGGTGTTGTGCGCTTTGAGATGAGAAGTGCCAGCGCCCAGGTCGAGGGTAACGTCCACGGTCTCCACAGCTACGACAAGAAGCTTTACTCGTAAGCTCCAAGCTTCTTTGAAATGTTGAAAAATACTTTCCTACTGTGAATGTGAATATGACTGGGATGTCCACACGACGCCACGTGGACTTGGAAATAAAAAAAGGGGAATATGATGAGATTGGAGTTATTATTATCTAAGCAATAGCTTTTGATTTAATGAGAATACGTACATTTTTCAGAACAATACTTTTCTATCTCTGTAGGGAGTTATAGACTTGTAGTACTTCCAAGCATAAAGGCGAGGCACATGGCGGGCTAGCCCGATGGGGATAGGCACGCGGGGTACAGCGATTAGCCTAGGCTCTCGGGTCATTTGCCTTTGAGCTCTATGTAAACTACCAAGGTTCTCCGCACCATCTTTAGCAATGTCATATATTGTTTCCGGGTGTTTCAGCAAGCGATTGCTAGCCTCTAGATTAACATATCCAATTGCCCTTTCGACTCACATATCACATTCACCAGTCTCGCGCCCCTTGACTTTACTGCCAAGCAACCGACGGAATTTAACCAGGAACTACGCGACTGCAAGTCCAGATCCTATATCTCAAGCCCAAACTATGCCACGGTCAAAGGCTGAAGTGGGATCGAAGAAGGAGGTGGCCATTCCCCGGCCCAGTTCTAGGTATGCAGTCTCCAGCCATGCCTGTTTCTCCGCATGACATCAATGCTTTCCACGGGAAAAACAAGAAAAGCACGAATCCGGCTAACAAATACCCAGCGTAATTCTCGTTTCTCCAAAGAATGAGATCCTTCTTTTGCATCGTGTCCAGACATCTTCATCTTTCGCATCTGCCCACGTCTTCCCAGGTGGGAATCTTTCGACGCAGGACGGACCATGTCCGCCAGCTGATGACCATGCCGTGCACGATGACGCACCTCATTACCGCAATGCGGCTATCAGAGAGCTTTTTGAGGAAAGCGGAATTCTTCTGGCTAAAGATGCGAGTACTGGAAAGATGGTCGTGCTAGACGAGACCACCAGAGAGCAAGGCCGACGACTAATTCATCAGAACAAAGTCACTTTCGATAAGTGGCTGAAACAGCAACACCCGACCGCTGAGCCAGATATCGGTTAGTATTGAATTTTCCATTCTATATTCTCATAAGACCCTCGCGACTAATTTTCAAAGGTAAATTAATCCCGTTTACTCGGTGGGTGACGCCTACAAATGTCCCCAAACGATACACTACGCAGATGTATATCTATTTCATGCCATTACCCGTCAATATAGAGAAAGGGTTACTTGATGAGCTACCAGCTGAAGGGGAGCGAGAAGAGATCCAAGTCCCAACTAGTGATGGCGGCATCGAGGTTACTGAGGCGCAATTCCTTCCAGCTTCGGAATGGCTTCGTCGGGCACAGGCTGCGGAAATCATTCTTTTTCCTCCACAATTCCTTCTCTTGCATTTGGTCTCTAGTTTCCTTGACCAGGAGCCCCGGTCGGGTGCTTCTATGGAAGAATTGGAAAAACGCCGAGCAGCACTCGTCGAGTTTGTTTACTCGGGGTCACCAGCTTGGACAGACAAGTGCATCTCACCCAGAATGCTTAAGATGACTGAGGATGGGCGGTCAGTTTTGGCACTCGACAATGCTGGACCCGAGTTGAAAGGGTCTGGTCGGCAAGGCGAGCCAGATCGGGTTGTGGTATTGAGGTTTAAGAAGGGAAGTGCAAGGGAGGTGTCTGTAGCATGGAAGAAGGATGTACTAAAGGAAGGGAGGAAAGGAGAAAGCAATCTTTAGATTTATTAATACAATAAATGTCACGGCGTCATCTTGAAATGAATCGGAAATCGGACGTGTATGGAGAATTCTGGTGTTGCATGCCAAGGATGGTATTGCCACGGCTGAATGGGCGGGGAATGACTAATACCACGACCCGCCGTATCCAACCACGCCAGCCCTCGACAAATAGTCACATGACCCACACAAACCATTTTGGATCTTCAATTTTATGAGCCACCCAAGTTCCATCCACCTCCAACCTCACCGTCGCCCGTCAAACCCCCCCATACACAACCCGCCAAAATGGAGAACGAGAAGGGAGAGATCGTCGATCTGTACGTGCATTCGTCCCTCGAAATCGCTTCCCACCAAAAAACTCCCCCGGTACCCTGAAGTCTGGCTGTCGGCAATCGCAAATCCCTCCAACCCACAATCAGGAATTTCTATTCCATTGGCCATTGCACGGGGAACGCAAAAACACACCTGAAAATTATGCGCTGCGAACGCAAAAGCTAGACGACAGGGTCCCAGGATTTTGAGGACCGGATCAGATTCGATTCAAAATTGAACAAGAGGAGCCAGGTACTAACGTCGCCAACAGCTACGTGCCCCGCAAGTGCAGCGCCACCAACCGCATCATCAAGGCCAACGACCACGCCTCCGTCCAGATCTCCGTCGGCAAGGTTGACGAGAACGGTCGCTACACTGGCGAGAACAACACCTACGCTCTGTGCGGTTTCATCCGTGCCCGTGGTGAGAGTGATGACTCCTTCAACCGCCTCGCTCAGCGTGACGGATACCTGAAGAACGTCTGGGCTGCTTCCAGCCAGCGGTAAATCGCTTGACTGCAGCGGATGTTGACGGGTTGATATGATGGTTCGTTCTTCCTTCCAATACAAGGCATTTTGATCATGCAACTAACATGCTTCTCACAGACGAACTGCGGCTAGATGGTCCAGGTTCGGGGATTGGTGATGGAAAAAAAATCAGGGAGTTGGGGTAAGGCTACGGCTACCTCTCCTTCGGCCTGGAAGTTTCTTTTTTTTAGTCCCATGGAGAAACCCTGTTTTCCTACTGTCCTATCTATCGAAATGAATGGAATCGACGACTTTAATGGGTCAGGTTTTTTCTCACCGATTGTTCAATTACCCGAGGTTTTTCCACGATAGAAGGTTTCCCGCCTAGGAAAAACGAGGACTCCCGCCAACCTTGCATTCTTGTGTTCCCAAGGCAAAGCAAAAAACAAAAATGCCCAAAATGATATTCTTAAACATTTCAACCCCTTCTTCCCTAGCCCTTATTTCCTTTCACCCTTCTCTTGCTGGTTTATACCAGTCGGCATATCAAGGCCTCCTCACCCTTGTAGACTAGGAAATCGGATCGTTCACTCGTTCTGTGTTCCCGACGTCTGCTTCCATGAGCGAGGGGGTAGAAACAATACTTCTGTCGCCGTATATTATGATCTCCGCCTACTGAAGAGCCACTTTTGCTGAGTTTCATGCACTGGGGCACAGATACGGGTGGGACATCCATATCTAGAACTTATGGTTCAATATGATTCGAGGAATGTAGTAGTAGTAGTAGTAGTAGCTCCGAGATTGTGACAGGTGTGGTTCCTCCAATGGGGTCTGCAGTTGATATACTTTGTCATAACCTTGGACCTACTGCTACTGCTACTACATATCTCGAAACAAGTATATATTGTTTTTTGAAAGTAGAAACGGTTGAAAAGCATTGATAGCTCAAATATATATAATCTTTTTGCTTCATTGCTCCTCATCATTGACATGCAATATGTCTTCCACGTGAACTCATAATATCAGATCAAGCCGCCTTGATTCGAAAACCAAGGAGCCTACACCAGCAAGGCTCAAAACAAAGGGTTCTTATCTATTGACATTCATCTCTCCAACTCTTGCAGAATGAGAAATTTTTAACATTTTTACTCCTTCTCCAGACGAACAGCCGGGTTGGACTCGATGAAGCCAAGGTCAACCTTGTGACCCAAGAGCTCACGAATGTTGCTGACGCCGTACCTACATATTCATTAGTAAAGAAAAATCAGAGATGTTCAGAGTATTAGTTCAACTCACTTGATCATAGTCGGTCTCTCGAGACTCAAACCCCAACCGTAGACCTGCATGTTCTTGGGAATACCCATAGACTCCAGCATTTCAGGTCGGAACATACCACTGTTACCGATCTCAACCCACTTACCCAGACCCTCGTGGTAACCGAAGATCTCCATACTGGGCTCAGTGTAGGGGTTGTAAGCAGGCTTGAAGCGCAACTGGTGGATACCCATCTTCGCAAAGAAGACCTCCATGAAACCAATCAGACCACCAAGAGTCAAACCGAAGTCAGCAATGACACCCTCGATCTGGTGGAACTCTGCCAGATGGGTAGCGTCGACAGCCTCGTTACGGAAGACACGGTCGATACTGAAGAGGCGGGCCGGCCGCGGGTCAGCGGCGAGCTTGTGCAGCATGTACGCCGAGATAGAGGTGGTGTGGGTACGGAGGACAAGACGCAGGGACTCATCCGCATTCCACGGGTAACGGTAACCGATGGAACCGAACTTGCCCTTCTCGTGGACGTCGTGGACGTTATCCCAGTATTTTTGGTAGTCGAGGGGCTTCGCAGCCTTGGGGAGGTGAGGGTCGTTGGCGGGATCCTCGCGCGGGGGATCAGCGGTCAACGGGTCGGCGATGTAGAAGGTATCTTGGAGGTCGCGGGCAGGGTGTTGCTGGGGCACGAAGAGAGCGTCGAAGTTCCAGAAGCCAGTCTCGACGAAGCGGTTTGTGGGCATTTCGGTGAAACCCATCTCGAAGAAGATGTTGCGGAACTCAGAGCGCACCTTGTTCAGAGGGTGCAGGGCACCAGAGGGGGTGTGGGCACCCTTGGCGTTGAAGTTGTATGGCTTCAGCTGGACAGTCTTCCAGGCGCCGCTGGCAATCATCTCGGGGGTGAGATCGGTCTCCTCCTTTACGAACTCCTTGGCGTACTTGGGGCCCTTGGAGAACTTGTAATGGATGTCCTTAGACAGGGTGACGAGCTTCCTTCGCTTCAAATCGGCGAGGGCCTTGGAGTCGTCGAGAGTCTGTGTGCGCTGCACGGTAAGAAGCTGCTCGCGGGTCTCATCGACGATGGACTCCTGAGTAGCCCGCAACTTGTCATTGTCCTTTTTGATCCAGCCACGCTTGAAGCAATTGCCCTGGCCGACCTTGGCATTGTCTTTCCCCACAATGCCTGGCAGGTCACTAATCTTAAGACCATCCAGAGCGGCGACGACAGCGGCGAAGACCTTGGCCTCGTGACTGCCATTGTTGGCGATCTCCTCACCCTCGGGGGTGAGCACAACGACATCCTTCTCCAGAGTCTCATACTCGATCATCTGTCGCGAGCCAAGGCGGTCCAGCGCACTTTTGATATTCAATGAGGGGATGGAGGGGTAGGCTTCGTTGGAAAGGAGGGGCGCATCGGACTTGGACAAGGAGTCCAGAATCTGGGCAGTCATATCGGACGCCATGGCTGCAGATGTATCCTGCAGAGGATTTGGCGGAAGCTGTGCAGGTGGTGGGGTAATCAGTCTTGCGGTGTCCGGCCAAAATTAACGATGACTCTTTTCCCAGTATATCCGGCGGGGCAGAGCGACCACCTTGAGTAAAATTTAATCCACAGAATGACAACAATGTCTATGTATTATCATATCTACGTCAACATCAATAACAGCTCGCGTAGCTCAGTTGGTAGAGCGCGGCACTAGTAATGCCGAGGTCTTCAGTTCAAATCTGGACGTGAGCAGTTTCTTTTTGCTTTTCTTCTACTTTTTGCATTTTATTTGATTTTGTTTGCACCTTTTTTTTTTTTTCGAGTTTCGATTGCGTAAATTTGTTTTGTTTGCATTGGAAAATTTTTGTCTCGCTTAGCGTTAGCGCGCCCGCCGCAAGTATAAGTAGCATCTGTCGCCCCGTGGATTTTCTTTTCTTCAAGCGACTCTACGTTAGTGATCCCTCCCCCATAGGATTCCAACCTTCACAGGCTTGGATTCTATGAATCACCCTCATGAACTTTCCACTAACAACCGCACAGTTCAAAGAATCACTTTAGAGTAGACGTCCTCTTCTAAGCTCTTTAAAAGAGCCACAGAATCTCCACCCTTGCTGATGACTTCTATGTCCTCGATGCCCTAAAGTGAAGCCTTTTACTCCCGCCTCGACTTGTCACGCGTGCTGCTTGCAGTGTCTGCGTTTCAGGTCCAGGGAGTGGTGATGATCTTGACCTGGTTCGGTGTCTGACTTCGGTCGGCTGGGCCTGGTGGGTGTCGAGGAGGTCTGAAAGGTTTTTAATCCTTCAATTTCTTCATGAAGATTTGTTGTGGTTCAAAATGGATGAGTTTGTGAGGAGTTCACCTCCCCATCAAGGGAACCGGCAATGCCGGGCGCTTGGAGGGGAAACCGATCCCAGTAATTACTAAAATGCATATTTTACCTAAATTTATATATACCTTATCTGGTGGATTCCATTCCTAGATCTTAATTTTCAGTATTGGAAACCTTTGTGGACATTGCGCGGTCACGTGCCACGCGGGCTCAAGTTCACCTTACCGCAAATCATCTGTGTATAGCTTTCTTTTGTATCGAGGCAGGCTACACACTACCAACCAAGCGATCAAGGTTGAGCAACTGCACCTCTGCAATCCGTTTTTCCTTCAATCGTCTCAAGCGAATACTTCGACTTTAAGCTTATCTGCGAATCAGTATGAACTCGCCGACTCATACTATTGACCCAGACGGCGAAGTGCTGTTAATATTGCGCAATGCGAACAGTCCTTTTGCACACTCGGATAAAATGCCATTCACTAGTCTGGACTCTAAGATCGTTCCGTCACTGTGCGATAGCGCCCCGATTACTTCTGAAGGAACCGAGAAAGAGCCAGAGCTGAGTGTCCAGGAGGAACAGAGCAAGGAGGGAATGGAAAGAACTTCTGAGCTCATTTCGCCAAATGAAGAGGCCACTGCTGAAGAGCACATTGATGAAGAGGCTGCTACCGAAGGGCATCTCGCTGTATTAGCGGTCCAAAATTGCTTGCGTATTAAGGTATCTGCGAAGCATTTGATGTTTGCCTCGCCGGTTTTCAAAAAAACACTGACTGGTGGCTGGAAAGAAAGCATGAACTACTCTCAAAAAGGCTCAACCTGGGTCACTGCAGACGGCTGGGATATTGAAGCATTCATGATTGTACTTCGAGCTATTCATGGCCAACACTACCTCATAGCCCAAAAGCTGTCTTTGGAGATGCTCGCCAAAGTTACCGTTATAGCAGACTATTATGAATGCAAGAACGCTTTGTATCTCCTGAAAGACATGTGGATCAAGAACGTGAAGGGAGACATTCCTACGACGCTTTCTCGAGATTTGATTTTATGGCTATGGATTGCCTGGTTTTTTGAACTTCCTGCCCAGTTCAGTTGGTCAACTTCTATGGTCATGTCACAGAGCGACAAACCGATTGATATTTTGGGCCTTCCGATACCAGGCATTGTCATAGGTGAGGGTAGACGAATGCTTCCGAGTACTTGAAAACTAATATATTTACAGCTTCAATGAATGTAGGTAGAGAGGCGGCTATCAACGACTTAATTGCCCATCTTCATCAAACACGCGATGCTTATTTAAACAACACACGGGGTTGTTCTTTTGAATGTCGCTCAATCATGTGTGGAGCGCTTACTATACACATGCAGTCAAGCAACCTGCTTCTGCCGAAGCCTGACACTCCCTTTCCCGGCTTGAGCTACAATGGTCTTGTGCAGACAGTGCATAAATTCAGATCGCCAGCATGGTACAATGCGCCCAAGACTTACTCTACGCACGCATGCTTTCACTCTTCTTTCGAATCCTTGTTTGCGAAACAACATTATCCTCTAGAGGGCTTGGAACTGAAAAATTTCACTTTTCACGATTTGGTAAATCCATGGTGTTGTCATAGTTATTTCACTTTCATGTTATTCAGCATACGTATTTTGACATAGACCTTGAGACTACTTGTGCGTAAGATTATGAATACACACGATAATCCTCTTCACAGGTGCCATAGCCTTGAGGGCTGTTTGATTGCGTCCAGTCTATAGAGTAATCCCGTGGACATGTCAGCAAGAATATAATCTAGACATGTCTCATGACTTATTCTGCCCTATAATATTATAAGCGCAATCCCTGTAATGTTCTAAGTTCTCTCCTTCAAGCGAGCGTATAAACTGTCATACAATCAAGGCAGAACATACCTACCAACACACATCTGATGATCACCATTCATGGCAGGACAAGCAGGATTACCTTCGGCATGAGCAGTCAGTCTCCGTCACAACTCTGCCCAGTCATTCTTGAAGCAGCCAGAGTTTCCGTAAAGACAGCTTGTGTACTCACAGCCTGCTCCGACGCGGTATTGGCAGTTCCAGCTACCGTAATAACAGCATGAGCACGCACAAGCGGAGTAGAGGTAAGCATCGAAGAAGATTAAGCAAACCATCGCATATGAAGCCAGGTACCTCGTAAAGGCTGGCCAAGTTCAAGAAATAGCACTAAAACAAATACTTACACCCGAAGCCGTAACATTGGGATAAGCCAACTGCCGACCAAAAGCCTCCGAGTTTACTATCTTATGACTACATTGACTAGTATACCAGCCGTCATTTCAAGCACCTGCTTGAATCAGCTGCACATGGCAATAGCGAGAATCCTATGCATATGTTCTCTTTATCTCCGACCCGGCCTCTTCAGTCACAGAAACGACAAATCCCAGCGTTTCTTGTCTAGCATTGAAGCGCGTGTCTGAATAGGGCCTAATATTGAAGGCGGTGGTAACAAGCGGTAAAGGCGGTCTCGGACTCAATGGCCTGGGGCCAGGCATAGTAACTCACGATCCATTCACGATACATATAGAACAAATTACCAGACCCATATCCCATATAAAACCCCTTGATCTTCACATTTGGACCGGGCGTAAAGATACTTTCACTCTCAACTTCAGTCTGCGCACATTTGAAATAAAACTCGGCTTCACCGTACATCCCAGCACCATGAAGAGCAACGTGCTCAATACGCACAAGATACTGTCCAGCAGGTACTTCAGTCGGAAACGTAAAAGTAAAATTTCAAAGACCCATTACGCCCAAATTTACCCCCAGAGCCAAATCCGTGAAGACTCATACTGTTTGGCGACAACGGGTGCCAGATGCTCCATTTGCCTAATCTGTGCGTAAATTGTAGGTCTGAGGAGTCGCCTGGACATGGTGGAAGATTCGCGTCTTGGTCGAGGCATCTCGTTTCTCGTAAAACCCGGCTCGTATAGGTGCATATTAAGAGTCATAAGACCGACCAGTGATCCGACGATCTCATTCACGAATTATGAAAGTGAAATTTTGTGGAGACGAAGTCCCGAAGTCCTTTTTAATTTCATGTTATTATCCACTAGGCAATTAAAGGGTCTACTACAAGCACTGCCGACAGGGACTACCATATTAGCCTACGTTCTAAGACTTTGCCGTGTTGATCAACTGGTGGCTTGAGTTTTGTCTTCGTGTATTGTTCTCAGTGCTTTCAAGTGAAAAGCATGAAGCTTTAGACCCCAAATTCCACAAGGAGAAAGTCCTGCATTTAGGCCTGAATTGAACCACACTGAATAGCAACCATAAGATAGAAGTAGAAAAAACCTGGAATAGGATAATCAGCACCCGAGGCGCTCAGTCTCATGCATATGGCTCAACCAAAAGGAAGAAGCAACTAAATACAATAATACAAGATAAAAAAGACAAGAAATGTCGGCACCGAAGCCAGTCGTCGAGCGAGAGAATAGATGGCAAATATGACGACAATAAATCCGGGGGGTGGAATGAAGCACCCCCCTACAAACTCCTCCCCCAGTCATCCACTTGACTGTGCCTAATAGACCTAAGCCCACATAAAATAACAATGCGCCAGACACCAGAGGAAAGGATAAACGAATGCGGTAGATGATAGGGTGAGAGGGATTTGATGACGTTGAAGAGCAGGTGGGTATGAGCGAGAACGGAGACAAAAGGGATGAGGTTTCTTTTTCAATGGAAACAAAGAAACACTCCAAGACTCATATAGACAGGGTATCAAAGGTCACATCGAAGCCATCTGACGAACTCTGCATAGGAAATAAATGTTCATGATATGCAAATAGATCAGGTACTGTTGGATCGCAGCAGGGACTGTGTCGACAAAAGGTTAGCCGGTCTGGTCCGTACAGTGTAAATTTTTTTTTACACCACATACATGCTCAACGTACCCGATCATCGATCATCTCTACATCATTGTCCTCGACAGGCCCGGGACTGACAGCACTCCCCCGGGCGATAGGACCGGAGGTGGTGACTGCCCGAGCTTCGAACCCAGGTCGTGGGGGTGTTGGCAACGGTTGCATCTTTTGTGAACGCTGTTGTTGCTGATTCTGGTTGTCGGGAACGGAAGAGTGGATAGGGTGCATTTCTCCACTGCTGGAGATACGAGACTCTTTGCTCTTCTCCAGTAAGGAGCCACCAAGTGTAGCACACTTGAGGATGGTCTGCATCATCTGGTTCTGCTTGAGCGGTTTGGACAAGTACTCGTCCATCTGAGCTTGAATACACTTCTCACGGTCACCTAACATGGCGTGGGCCGTGAGGGCAATGATCGGAGTTCGCTGGAGACCACTCTCACGCTCGTACTCACGAATCTTGCCAGTAGCTTCGAAACCACCCATGACTGGCATCTGCACGTCCATAAGAATAACGTCGTAGCGACGCTTCTTGACAGCCTCGACTGCCTCTAGACCATTGCCGACAACAAAGACATTGTGGTTGTGCTTCTGAAGTATCTTCACTGCCAGTTGCTGATTCACGTCATTGTCCTCAGCAAGGAGAATGTCGAAGGACCGGGAGTTGTCAGTGGTAATGGGGGTTGAGCGACCTTCCAGTGCTGGAAGCATACCATTGCCAAGATCAATTGGCTGGCATGGTGTGGTCATATACGAACTGATACCGAGATCCAGAGCGGACTTCAAGCTGACACAGACCAAAGGACAAACCAGCACAATCGGAATATACTTGAACTCATCAAACGTCCGCAGGATACGAGCCGTATCCACGGAGTCAACAATGATAACGTCATATGCGTGACCAGATTCCTTTCCGGACGGATCTTGAATCTCCGGCGGAGGAACATGCTCTTCGTTGCGTACAACTAATGGCTCCAATTCGATTTGCTTGAGCATCTTCATAACATTAGAAGCCTGTGTACCGTTCTGTCCCTTGTCGATGAATAGAACGCGGTGGTTCCGGTAGGGCAGGAGTTGCGATGCAATGACATTGATAGATTGATCGGCGAGCTTGACGACGCAAGTGAAGTGGAAGGTACTGCCGTGTCCATATTCGGATGTGACCCACACATCACCACCCATCAGGTTGACAAGACGCTTGGAGATAGACAGACCAAGACCCGTACCACCGAAACGCCGGGTGGTGGAGCCGTCGGCTTGCTGGAAGGTGTCGAAGATCAAGTCTAACTTGTCCTCCTCGATACCAATACCGGTGTCAGATACTGAAAACTCGAAGGCATACTCATTTGTTGTGCACTGCTCTCGGTCGGATTTCCGAATGGTGAGTTTGACCTCGCCGTGCTCAGTGAACTTTATAGCGTTTCCAACCAAGTTCAGGATGATCTGGCGTAGACGGAATGGATCACCGATCACATAATCCGGTACAGTGTTGTCCACTTGGTAGGTCAGGCTCAGGAACTTCTCATTTGCCTTGACAGCCAAGGTCTTGAGGGCATTGAAGACGGTACCCCGCACGGTAAACGGAATGCTTTCAATGACCATTCGGTTCGCTTCGATCTTAGAAATATCGAGTATATCGTCAATGATGGTGAGTAAGCTGTTGGCCAGGTTGTGCACCACATTCAACATCTCACGGGTATAGGGTTTGAGATCATCGGTATCCAGGGTCAACTGGGTCATTCCAATGATACCGTTCATCGGAGTTCGGATCTCGTGGGACATATTTGCCAGGAACTCGGATTTTGTGCGATTGGCAAGTTCGGCAGCCTCCCTAGCGGCTGTGTTTCGCTGAATACTGTCTCGCAGGTTGGACACCATTTTGTTGATCTTGCGCTTGAGCTCGTCCATCTCTCCAGAGGCGTTGACGGTAATAAGTTTGGTGAAATCACCATCGGTCGCGGCATCTGTGATCTCACCGAACGCACGCACTTGAGATGTGAGGTTTTCAGCCATAGTGTTGACGTCCTCGGTGATTTCTTTCCATGTTCCAGCAATCCCCTCGACGTTGGCTTGTCCACCCATCTTACCATCAACACCGACATCACGAGCAACCTTCTTCAGTTCTGTGGCGAACTTGGCCAGTCGACCCACCATGTGATTGATGGTGACCTTCAGGGTGAGAATTTCTCCCTGTGCGTGCACCTCAATCTTCTTGCTCAGATCGCCCTTAGCGATAGCTTGTGTGACGTCTGAAATACTTCGCACTTGTGATGTCAAATTTTGCGCCATGGTGTTGACATTGTCGGTTAGGTCTTTCCATTTTCCTTCCACGTTATCGACCTTAGCTTGACCACCGAGGGTTCCGTCGGTACCGACCTCACGGGCGACCTTGCTGACCTCGAAGGCAAACGTGTTAAGACGATCCACCATGCCGTTGATGGTACTCTTCAGATCAAGTATCTCGCCTTGTACGTTGGCTGTGACCTTCTTTGTCAAGTCGCCCTTAGCGACAGCCGTGGTGACATCGGCAATCTCACGCACTTGGGTGGTCAGGTTGTTGGCCATCCGGTTAACATTTTCTGTAAGATCCTTCCAAGTGCCTTCGACATCATTCACAGTGGCCTGACCTCCCAGTACACCATCTGTACCGACCTCCTTAGCAATTTTTGTGACCTCCTGGGCAAATTGTCGCAGTTGGTCCACCATGGAATTGATAATGTCCTTGAGTTCAGCTATTTCTCCTCGGCAGTTGGCTTGCACCTTCTGCGTCAGGTCACCCTTGGCGACAGCCTTGGTGACGGTTGCGATATCACGCACCTGCGTGGTAAGATTATTGGCCATGGCGTTAACATTGACCGTAAGCTCGTTCCACATTCCTTGTACACCTTCGATCTGTGCTTGACCTCCCAGCACACCTTCTGTACCGACATCACGCGCGACTCGCGTCACCTCTGTTGCAAATGTTCGAAGTTGGTCTACCATGGTGTTGATCGTTTGTTGCAGTTCCAGAATTTCACCCTGAGCACGGCTCTCAATCTTCTGGGAAAGATCACCGTGGGCGACAGCCGTTGTCACAGTAGCGATTTCTCGCACCTGGTCCGTCAGATTTTTGGCCATAATGTTCACGTTTTCAGTGAGTTCCTTCCAAATTCCATGAACGCCGGTAATTTGAGCCTGTCCACCTAGTATTCCCTCCGTGCCGACCTCACGGGCGACACGAGACACTTCGCTACCAAATACCTGCAGTTGGTCCATCATAGTGTTGATTGTACGTTTGAATGTCGCGATTTCGGGGTCCATTTCCAAGGGGTGAATCTGCACCTTCATCGAGAGGTCACCGTTGGCGACCTGGGTGATAATGCCGCCGATTTCTCGCAAAGCTTTCTGGAAAGCCTCGTTGGCCTGTTGGTGTTTCCGTAATTCACGTTCCAGGAGGACGACGTCCTCATTCTCGACCTTGGTGAGGGCACGGCGGGTGTGTTCCTCCTGCTTCTGCAACTCATCCCGGACTTGGGCGATAATGTCCTTCTGGAAGCTAATTTCCTCGGCCTGCTTCTGGACGTGGTTGCGCAGAATGCTGATATCCTCCTCTCGAACCACGCGGGTCCGCCCGTTCTCATCCTCATCGTCGGTTTCGTCGTCGTCAAGGTCTCCGGGAGCTTGCTCCTCGGGGCCTGAGGGGGTTCGTTGTCGCCGATCGGGTTGATTCAGTTTTTGCTGCTGTGTGAGGCAAGAAGAGTCAGAACCTTGACCGGACGACAAGCGATCGAGCCCAAAGGTCCACAGAAAATCAGGGTCCTTCTCGTTTGATCCGAGAGCAGACGGTGTGGTCTGCTGGGGGTCGTCGGGGAACTTGTGATGACTGACAGCTTGGAATTCCAGGTGATGCACGCGACGCACCAAGGCCTCCAACTCTGTTTCGAAGGCGGCCTTTGCAGCGGTGGGTTCTCCAGGCAATTTGGACCCTTTCGCGCCGTTTGTAGGAGGGAATTCAAAATTGAAAGGGGGCGAAGATGAGCCGGCGGTAGGCTCATCTCTCGCCAAAGACTGCAGCACGGCAGTCGCGGCCGCGAGAGTCTCGTCCGCGCCAGCCATTGTGCCCTGGGTCCGGATCAGCGGTTGAACACAGGAAGTAATTACGACAACCGCCTGGGTCCGGAAGGTGGACGTTGCAGGCTAGGGAGGAAAGCCCCAAACGAAAGAAGAAAATTTCAAAAGAACCGATGAATGGGGGATAGCCATGTCGTACAGCCCCATTGGGGAAAAAAAAGGGAGTTCGGGCATTGAATCGATAACGCGTGCGGCGCAGAATGGGCAACTTACGGGGACGAGTGACACACAAGTTCCAAAGGGTTCGGTTAAGACGACATGAGGTGATTCCAACAAAAATTCGGAGACCAAAAACAAAAGAACCCGAGTCGTTCGGGGGATGAAAGGGAACCTTTGGAGTCGAAGTTGATCGGGAAGGAGAGGGGGGAACGGGTAAGGGGCGTTATGTAAGCAAAGGTTCTTTCTTTTTTTCCTTTTTTTGCGGGGGAAAAGAGAGTTTTTAGGATGAATAAAGGAGCTTAAGATGATATACGGGGTTCTTTGATCTAGAAAAAAATGGAAATAGAAAAGACGAGGGATTAGGGAAAGAATGAGGCTTTGATTTGAAGCGATGCAGCCAAAGGCGTCAAGAGGGGAATAAGGCAGAAGATTTCGAAAGGGGCTATGTGAAAGCTACTGAGCACGCATGGAAAATACCCTCTCACTAGGTAGTGGATTGTTTCTTGGGGCCCATAATTCGTTCCTCTTTTTTTTTCTGTCTCGCTACGAGTCCGTACACACACACTTAAAATTGGTTCACTAGTTCACTAGTTCAGCTCATATCAGAAATTAAACGAGCCTTCTCCACGCACTGATCCTAGGATATATAGGGTATAGGATCAGAGAAGAAGGCTCGTTTCATCTTAATCCGCCCCAACTGGAGAAGATTAAAGCGGGTTATCGAAGGAACTCCGGCTCAAAAGCGTGATGATCGCCATCAAGGTTGGTCGATCCCATACTTTTCTCCAGTTTGGCGGGTTTCTGGTTTGTTTGAGTTCTCAATAGTCTTCTTCGAGCTCTCCACCCGGAGAACCCTCAAACTTCCGTAAAACCATAAGCCATAAGCAAAGAAAGAGAGAGAGAGAGAGAAAAAAAACGAGGAAAAACCCGTGGGTGATTGGTTTGGCCGCCAATCAACGGGGAATCGGGGATGTGTGGATGGATCCAGTCCGAACCTTAAGTCTCGTCCACTCAGAAAAGTGGACTCAGCCCTTTTCAGTTGTCTCGGGAATTCTGCGTCGCATCTCTCTTTCGCTTGAAAAAAGACGCTCATTACCATTGGTCATGGGCACCGGTGGAGATTGCCCTTCGTTTTTAACGTTCAACGGTGCCTGATCACTAAGGTGTTGCCGTGTGACTTGGAGCAAAACTGGTCCGAAGATCCGACGCAGCTCTTCACCGCATTCTTCCCTTGAATGTCTCTGGATTTCGAACGCAAAACCCACATTCCCATCATGAACTGAGGGGTATATTGCAGACAGTGGCGAAACAAAAATGTCTTGAACCAGTGCACAGAAGGCCTAAGCACTGGGCACCGACCTCGACCTGCGTATCGATAAGCCGTTAACGCATAGAAAAGTCATCCAGACATGACACGGATAACGAGATATACTCAACATGTGGTAATCTCATGTGGCCCCGGCACAGAAACGGCCTCGTCAAGATAAGCTGCATAGCAGACACGCTATCATCCAGGTCACCGGGTCATAAGATCAGCATGCCTGTATTAACTCGGCGGGGTAAAGTGCAACAGGGTTCAATCACTGATTGTATCAGGCACCTGCTGATATGCCTGGAATCTCAGGTCTACGTACAGAGGGTACATCTTCATGCGGAATTTTGTCTAATTCAGTCTCCTGGGGTTTCCCAAACACTCAAGCCTGAAATGTTCTAGCAACTTTATATCATTACACCGAAAATCCAGCCAAAAAGAATTTCACATAGATCAGACCACCAAAACAAAACCCAAATAAGATAGGTGATTACCTATATCAAAAGTTTCCAATTTTACCCTCAACAGCAACACAACGCCCTTTCCATCACACCCTGTTTCTCACATGAAAGCGGAACCCAGTCCCGGTCGTATCAGTTGTAGTCGCACTCGTCAGTATTCTTGTCACGTTAAGAGTACTCGTCGCATTCGTGTGAATACTGCTCGTGTTAGCGAACGGCGCCGTTATATTCATAACCCCTATCAACTGCCGTCGCACTATACCGGGTGGAATCGCCGCTCGCGGAGTAACTGTGCTGCCTGGTCCAGCTCCAGAAGCCCCAGAAGCGCCACCGGCCCCGGGCCTGGTTGGTAGTGTATGTAAGGTACTGCCTGTAGGTCCGATGGCCGGGTGTGTGGTGCTGCTACCGATCAAGGGTGTTGAGCTTCGAATCGGGGGCGTGGGGGATGGTTCCAGGGGTGACGAGCTGGGCCTTGCTGGGTTGGCAGTTGAAGTGGCTGTGCGATTGATGGAATGTGGTCCAGAGCTGCTGGGGTGAATGCTTGGGGCACTGCTAGATATCTCTCTGGTTCCAGATCCAGATGGCCCTGTGCCTGCAGATGAGCTGGGACAGCTGCTGACCGTCACCGTTGTAGTAGAGACAGGGCACGCAGCACACAGTCCGCTTGCGAGGGGGCAGATATCCGCGCTCGAGGCCGCAGCAGCACGTGAGGAGGAGGATACCTCGTTTCTTCCCCCGCTGGCAGGAGTCGAGGCGCGACAAGAGCTCGATACCTTTGTAATGACTGCCGTGGTAGTGACATCACGCCCTTCTAAGTCGGCCAAGTCACGAACGGCAATAATCCCATGTGCGCCGACGGGGACAGTCCCCAAGAACACCCAAGAGGCAGCCAACAAGGCCAAACAGCTCTTCGCATACATTCCAGGTATGATAGAGTGGGGATCTATTCAGAAGCGAATACCAGAAGAAGGAACCCTCGATCTCTCTTAACCACGGCTTTGAGATCTCGCCGATGACCGATTGGTTGATAAGAGAAGCACGTAGGCCCACGAAAAATACTTGATGAAAAGGATCCCAATGGGGAGCGGAAAAGAGTAAGAAAACAGCCGCCGACTGCTAAACAGACGCAGATCGAATCACTGGTGTTACCACCCTTGAACCTTGGGCAGTAAACAGGATATCGATTTTGAGCTTGATATCAAACAATACCAAGCAATTTCACCAAGTTTGCAGGCGAACAAGATAAAGAAGAAAACAGATTATACGTGCAAGACCGCGTAATATGTAGCGCACTTTTAACTCTTCGAAAGTGATGAGCGCTCGATGTCATCGAGATCCCATTTCGGGATTCGGAGCCTCGACTACTATAGGTGTTTATTGGGTTTGGGCTTGACCAGCCCTGTACCTCTGTGGTTCCGTGGATGCCCGTAGGGTTCTGGCCGCTCTATTGAAATCCTCGGAAGCTTAGTCCCTCCAGGTGGTGGATCTATGTACCATCATCGTGACTATTTGCTTTGAGGAAATGGTTTTTTCGTCGGAGAATATATGCGAGGGGCTTTGTGGTCTAGTCTGTCTGATGTCGGTAAGAACCGCCTTTTATCTAGTTGTTGTGTGGTTTAGCTAGTATAAGGTTGACTTCTCTAGACGACCTTCGGAGTCGTCATCCGGTATTGGGACGAGGCTGGTGAAGAGCAAGTCGGGGTAAGTCTTGTCAGTACTAGCAGATAAAGGTAGATGAGAAAGTAAGGTAATGGAATCTTATTAACAGAATCAGGCTATGTTCAGTCTATATCGACATTTATTGTGTATGTAAAGGGCTTTCTGTGTAGTCACTTTAGCATATTGGAGTGACCACTAGATTAAGGTCACATGCTTAACGCTCAATCTTTCAGTGTCGTCAAAATAAGAGAAAAAAAACTTTTGTTATCAAAAACCTTTTGCGTCTGGTCATCAAGTCATGCTGAGATCATGAGGTGGAGGGGTGTTCTGGTTTTAGTAAATCGCCAATGGCTTACGCCATCCGACTTGAATAACCTTGACAGCCGTGCAACAGATCAAGCCTGCGGCATAGCAAACGGTAGTGAACGCAATAACACCCCAGTATTGTCCGTTGCAGCGGGCCAGGATTTCACCAGCGATAGGCATACCAGTCAAAGTACTGTGGCAAGGTATGTCAGTTCGAAGTGTACATTACGTCACAGATTGAATAAAGGACTCACCCAAAGCTTACGATGGTGTAAGCGGTAGCGTAATACCGGCCGTAGTTCTCGGTCTTGCAGAGCTGCCCGACACAGACAGGCGTCAGGCTGATGTTGCTACCACTAGCAAATCCGAAAAGTAGTGCATAGATCACAAGTAGAGCCAAGCTGTTTCCAGCAGGAAGCCATAGGCATGCGTTGCAGAGCAAGCAGAGAGCCACAGTAGCGATTAAAGTGTTGAAGCGACCCAAGAAGTCAGCAAAGAATCCGGGCAGCCACCGTCCAAAGAAGGAGCCCACGTTCAAAATAGCAAGGATCTGGTATGAAAATTTGCTCGAGAATCCCTCGGCAAGTGCGTAGGACGAAATATAGCTGATGGGAATGAAAAGACCCCACTCAATAAAGAAGACGCTCGCAGTAGTCAATGCAAATCGAGGATCGCTGAAAATACGGAAGTCGGGCATAATGTTCTCCTTGGAGAAAGGCTTCTGAGGAAGTCGAGACTTAATCAGGAGGTTCGCTATAGACAGAGCAACCAGACAGATCAAAGCAACAACACGGGTTGCCCAGCCCCATCCAATCTTGGGGAATAGGGCCTCGAGTATAAGCGGGAACACGATACCTCCAATTGAGCCACCAGTAGCCGCAATACCGGTCGCGACACCACGCTTCTCGTAGAAGAAATGGCCAACGGCCGAGATGGCCGGAGTGAAGATGAGAGAGGCTCCCACACCACCGAGAACGCCGACGACCAGCATGAAATGCCAATACTTAGTACAGAAACCGAGGAGGATGATAAAAGCCATCTCACAGATCGAGCCTGCGAAAACGAGAGCTCGCGGACCACGGGCATCGAACATGGGGCCAATTTGAACACCACAGAAGAATGTCAGGAAGGCGAACATGCCGAAAATCCAGCCGACGTCGCCGGAGCTGTAGTCTTTCAATTGATGGTCCTCAATATAAGCCTGGAAAGTACCAATGGTGTTGATCAAACCAAGCGATCCGAATAGACCGAGGAAGCTTCCTAGCACCACAAGCCATGCCTCTCTTCCACCCTCGGGGTAAACGTTCCCCTCTGCATCTGTCGTTACCCGGCTCATGGGGTCCCTACGAACAGATCGTTGAGAGGGTGCCACTGTGGACGCTGTTCGATGGAGATCATCGTCCTGGTCATGCCCGGGCTGGTCGGCCTCCTCCGAATAGACCTGCTTCTCAGAATCGGCTATATGGGTCGCAGATTTCTCTTCCCCGAGCAAATCAGTCGGCACCTCATCAGTAGGCGTGTTCACGACATCATGAGAGCGCGAAATGAGGCCGGGTGCATGGTCAGCAGCGACATTTGATGTGCTGGTAGGCCCGACCTCGGTGGACATTCTATGCGTTAAAATGAGGCGGTGATATTTTCCGAAGCTTTTTTTTGGCGCTAGTGGGCAAACTTTTTTTGGTTGGTGGCTTTCAGATGGACATTTGTTCGTGAATATGAACTGAGAAGGAGCTGGGGGTGTCCTCAAACGGCCGAGAGGGGTCTGCTATTAGCAATTAAAAAGTCGGAGTCATGAAAGCCAAGAAGACTTGAAAGTGTGTTCATGGTGCATATGCGGTATCATTGGTTCTGAGAGGTTCGGGAGGGTCTTCTAGACCCCATTCAGAAGGTTAAAAAATTTCCCATGCAGTCGGCGATTGGTAGGCGGGTGTGTTCAAGTGGGTCGCCCACCATGTGGTTGCCCGCGGAATAGTACTTGCTCCTCTCGCTATAATCGATTGCTATAAATGAGTGACTTGACAGGTCATCTTAGTAGTTCTGAATCAATGCCGGATTTTTTTGGGTATTTTCTACTTTCTTGCGCGTGCAGAGTACAATGCAGATGCTGCAGGTATTCCGCAAATTACATCACATCGGAGAAAAAGCCCCGTGCAACAACTCCGCTTCCGGCCACATGTTCAGGCGTTGTTGGGCATGGCATTCCAGTCTAATGTAAACAATAGATACTGGGTTGCAAGCGGTCAATATGCAGGCTCTTTTATAGGCTCGGGTTTCGCTTTAGACCCCCGAGTCGGAAGTCTAGTACCGAGATCGTGACAGGGCATCATCCATAAGCTGGGGTTGATTGCAAAAAAATATATATTCCCAACTTCGAAATATTCAAGCTCGTCAAATAATATTTGGAAACGAACATTTAATATTTAAAGTGTCCTATACACCATTGGGGCCTGTGAGCCTTTTTAGACAGCCACCTGGAGAAACATCACTATGAACTAGTCGCCGATAAGTAACAGCTTGACCATCATGGGGATCGCATTTAAGGTTTGGGTAGTGACATTATCAAGTCAAGAATATATAGCATATTATTATGACTCATCTCATCAAATGGGCTTGTGGTTTAGTGGTATAATACTCCCTTAGCATGGGAGTGGTCCGGGGTTCGATTCCCCGCGAGTCCATCTTTTTTTTCGTTTTTGTTTCTCGTGGATCGGATCGAGCAGACCGTGTCTTTGAGGCTATATTCGGACCTATCTTTTTAATTACCCGTTTTGATTCCCTAGAGATGGGCACATCGATCGGGCTTGTAATGGTTGCTACCCAAAATGAAGCTCAACTCTCCGCATCCTGCTACCAAGCAGGTGGTCGATCGCGAATAGAGAGAGAGAGAGAGAGAGAGAGAGAGAGAGAGAGAGAGAGAGAGAGAGCAGAGAGATCTGTTGATCAAACAACCCACCATTAGCTACGCCCCAGCTGGCTCCAGCTTCAACATTGTTTCTTTCGGCTGGTCATTTCGGCTTTAGAGATTCCAACGACATATTGGTAAATAATGGTAGCTCTCCTAGCCTGGGTTGTGTTCCATCTCCACGAGACCTCCTAAGGCGTATGGCCATCACAACGAAGTGTTAGATTTTTTAATTTTTTTTTTTCCGTTAAACACATCTGTCATTAAATCAAGGCAAGCTTTCTGCAAATATATGTGCAACCATGCAATCTTATCGTCAACTCGATATCCCTCGGCTTACACCGGTCCATCAATCAATAAGCCGCACGCGATAACAATATGCAAGCCCTTATCTCGCAATCAGCCACAATCATCACCTCACGGTTCAAGCCGCTTGTTCCCCTGAGATAAGACAAAGCTTACCCTCCGACCGTTAAATCATATTACTTTTTTGAACCAGTTCGTGCAACCCAAGGTTCAGGTACCATCGTTACTGCATCTACTTGGCTCTCTAGCTATCCCCGCGTTTCATACCCGGCGGACCGAGATTGCAAGGGGCTTTGATAACACACCACCATCACTACCCAAGGTTCAAGACGCGCACCCAATATTCATTATCTACACTAATCTCGCTTATGTTGATAGCTATGCCGTCTCCAAAAAAAAGCTGGGAATTTCCTCACGCCACCGCCACCTATGACCTACCCGAGCGGGGTATGGAGATTCTAGCGTAGAAGAAGCTGTTAGCTGATGTCAGTGCACGAGGGGAGAGAGATAACCCAAACCAATTGCAGAGCACTGTAGCATTTCCTGTTCTACAGGACTCATCATCGGGCTTATGAAAGCCAAATTTGCCGGAATCCCGTCGCTGTCCCGAGAAGCCCTAATTTATGTATGGTTTGCCTGAGCAGCTACTGATGACGAAATCAAATCAAGAGAAAATTGGCATGACACTGTATCTTCATGCCTTTGAAGTATGACAGAAGAGTGTTATTTGATCCAGCCTAATGAGTAAAGACAAGCGTAGAGACCAAAAACAAACAAACGCTGATCACGGTGAAGCCGGGAGATCTGCAGGAGTGTTTTCCTCTCCCGGAGGGGCGGGGGATTATGTGGAGACAAGAGGCACACTTTGAGTAGTATCTGTGGACCAGGTTGCCCGTGCTGGGCTAATTGAGTCTCTGAGCTGCCCCCAACTATTTAACTCGGGATCCTCGCTCCTCAATCTTGATATCCAGTGCAGCTAGTTTGCATACCCTTGCTAGCTCTCAGGATGCAGATCAAACCACTTCTGACATCGGCTCTCGTAGCCTTGTCATTAGGCGCCGATACTGTTGTCGCGTCCAAACATGGCCGCTTCGCACAGCTGTCTCGTGCCCCAATGGAGAAGGCCAAAAGGGCTGTCCAGGCAACCGTGGAACATGTGGCCCGATCCGCCAAAAAGTTTCGCTTCTTGAGCAGCAAGTCTAAGCGTGAGCATCATTCGTATAGTTATTCTTCTGTCAATGAAGCTGACCAGTTTTAGCATACATGGTTGACAGTCTTCCCGAGGTCAACTTCGATATTGGTGAGATGTACTCGGGCTTGGTGCCAATTGAGAAGGATGATCCCGAACGTGCACTGTTCTGGATTTTCCAGCCCACAATTGGTGAACCTGTTGATGAGATCACGATCTGGCTGAATGGCGGTCCTGGCTGCAGTTCCATGGAAGGCTTTTTGCAGGAGAATGGTCGTTTCGTCTGGCCGCCCGGTACCTATGCTCCCGTCGAGAACGAGTATTCCTGGGTGAACCTGACCAACATGCTATGGTGAGTATTCTATTAAAGCCAATGAAGGCCATAGGAAAGCGTTAATATTGATTTTCATACAGGGTTGACCAACCAGTCGGAACTGGGTTCTCCACCGGCACACCGACAGCTAAGTCCGAGGAAGAAATTGCCCAAGACTTTGTCAAGTTCTTCAAGAACTGGCAGGAGATCTTCGGAATCAAGAACTACAAGATCTACGTCACCGGCGAGAGTTACGCTGGTCGCTACGTGCCGTACATCTCGGCCGCCATCCTAGACGAGAAGAACAAGGAACACTTCGACTTGCACGGTGCCTTGGCTTATGACCCCTGCATTGGCCAATTCGACTGGGTTCAAGAGGAAGCTCCAGCTGTGCCCCTCGTGCAAGCCAACGCAAACCTATTCGGTTTCAACGACACTTTCATGGCCGAGCTTGATAGACTGCACAAGAAGTGTGGGTACGCAGATTTCATCGACAAGTACTTGACCTTCCCCCCACCCGAGCACCAGCCACCGAAGTTCTTCAACTACACCGCCGATGCCGATTGCGACCTCTTCGACCTGATCTACGAAGAAGCATTCGCGGTTAACCCCTGTTTCGATCTGTACGAGATCCCAACCATGTGCCCCCTCTTGTGGGATGTGCTAGCATTCCCCGGCTCCCTCGGATACCTTCCCGAAGGAGCAGAGGTCTACTTCGACCGCGCAGATGTCAAGAAGGCCCTCCACGCCCCCAACATTACCTGGTCAGAGTGCTCCGATGAATCTGTCTTCGTGGGCGGCGGAGCCGGACCCGAGCAAGAGGGAGATATCTCCGCAAACCCGATCGAGAAGGTCTTGCCGCAGGTTATCGAAGCGACTAACCGCGTCCTTATCGCCAACGGTGACTTCGACATGGTTATCATCACGAACGGAACCCTCCTCTCTATCCAGAACATGACCTGGAACGGTCAACTTGGCTTCCAGAAGAAACCCGAGACCCCTGTCAACATCAAGTTGACTGATCTACAGTACGCGAGTGTTTTCGCTGAGAACGGTATGACCGGTCTTGATGGTGCTCAGGGTATTATGGGTATTCAGCATCATGAGCGTGGTTTGATGTGGGTTGAGACTTTCCAGTCTGGTCATATGGAGCCTCAATACCAGCCTCGCTCGTCTTACCGTCACCTCCAGTGGCTGCTTGGCCACACCGAGGAGATTTAGAGATGAGTTTGTTTAGGTAGAAGCGGTAAATGTGAAATGTGAACATAGAGAAATGAGTGAGCGGATTCAAAGTCTCTATAATTCTCGTATTTAAGGGCAGACTTGTCAATATGAATGTAACAAATCCTTGCAGCACTATTCGAAATCGGCTTCCATGCCTTCACCAATATAGAAATTGCTTCTGAAACCCCGAGTGAATACGGGTAATTAGCTTAGACGTAGGACCTAATCCGCAAAAATTTCTGAGTACTCAATGCCTAATACATCCATGGACATTACATGCGTTAAACGCATAGTTTCCGATCGTACCGAACTGAGGGGAATCAGCAAGTACATTATACGACAAAATAAGATGAGCCCTAGCAATACACGATGAACAAAACGAGGATACGGTAAGTTGACCAGGTATTAATGACGACTCCCGGCTTCCCACTTCGACAGCGTTTTGATATTAGATACGGTGTGAGGATGAGCGGGCCCTAGAACTTGTAGCTCCTTCGCCACGCAGTTCCTAAGCAGATCGACTGCTTCAGCATGGCGATCGGTATCTTCCCAGATGATGGCTAAATTAGCCATGCTCGTCAGTGTATCAGGATGGTCCGCGCCGAGCTTCGTCTTGCCCATCTCCATAACGTGCACCAGGAGCTCCTCGGCCTCCTCCAACCGGCCTTGCTTCTCATATGTCAAAGCTAGGTTGTTCATGCTCGTCAGCGTGTTAGGGTGGTCCGCGCCGAGCTTCGTCGTGCCTATCTTCATAACTTGCACCTGGAGCTCCTCGGCCTCCTCCAACCGGCCTTGCTTCTCATATATCAAAGCTAGGTTGTTCATGCTCGTTAGTGTATCAGGATGGTCCGCGCCGAGCTTCATCTTGCTTATCTCCATAACGTGCACCTGGAGCTCCTCAGCCTCCTCTAACCGGCCTTGCTCCGCATATATCAAAGCTAAGTGACTCATATTTGATAGCGTGTGACGATCTTCCGCCCTAAGCTCCATCTTTCTCATTTTCGCTACCTGTACTTGGAGCTCCTCGGCCTTCTTCCACTGGCCAGCAAGAAAATAAGCCCTTCCTAACTGGATAGTGCTTGCAATGGTCTCCTCATTTTCTTCACCAAGAATTTTCACTCTTTGTTTTCTCGACCTTAACGCCATTTCCCTTGAATCCGCGAAGCTTCCGATTTCTCGCGTATACCATGCACCTTTGAAAAGTAGTGAAGCCCATTGCCTAAGACAGTCTTTGGATTCTGGCTGCTGCGAAACCGCCAAAATAACATGAGGCAAAAGCGACCGGCATTGCTCCCAATTTTCATGATCACCGGTTGGGAATTCGTGATATAGATTATTAATGAACTTTTCTTTCCACTGCTCGAGCTGGCCATGGGTTTTCAGCCATGTGCGCACCGTTAATTGAACGAGTCGATGCATAGTGAGCACTGTGTTGGATTCTCCAATTGAAATCAGCGAATAGTCGCTTAATATTGCGATGTCGTCTTCAAAACTCTGTTCTAGGTCAGATTCAGAGGAACTATTCTCATCCCCTCCACTGGGACAGTCCTCATCCTCTTGCCCTCCACTAGAAATATCTGTAGCTATTTCTAAGTCTGAACTCTCAGTAAGTTTCTGCGTTTGCTGAACTCGGAGGACACTCTCCTGAATTCCCTGTCGGTCGAAAAAGCTCATAAGAGATAGAAGGCCCGCCGCTGAAGGCCTTACATTTTGGATATAGTTAAAGGATATTTGCCATGTGAGTAGAATGGAATTCTTGGCATCCCAGTCTCGGGACAAAAGTCCTGCTTCATAATCAAGCAGCCGCATCGCAGCACGGTCACTTTTCTGGATTTTCTCCAGGTATTGCAATACTGAGCAACGGGACTGATGTGTAATATAGCCGGCGGCTTGTATGATAGCGAGTGGCATTAATTCGAGTGCCTCAACCAGCTGCTCCATAGATTCGCGCTCCGTAGGTATGTTGAGCTTCCTCTGCAGCAAATCTATTGCTTCGATTTTCTCCATTGGTCGCACTTCTATGAGATTTCTATGGCCGGCGATTTCCAATCCTACCATTCTGCTGCGACTTGTGATAATGATAAAGCCATTTGAGCTTTGAAGAAGAGGCCTAAGTGGTGGCTGAGTTGTGGTGATATCATTGCTCAAGCTAATTGTCTCCCGATTCTGACTTCCCTGACCGGTCGATGAAGGGTTGCGAATGAGCCCATCATCATCAACATTATCAAGGATCAGTATCCATTTTCCAATCGTTTCGTCTTGCAACCAATTCCCGACAAGTTGGAATATATCAACGTTGCGATCCTGGCGTCCGGGTATTTTGACTCGATCTGCAAGGTCACGGAGGCTTTTCTCGCAACGGGCAGCGTTGCTCGCATGGACCCAGAAGACCCACATCTCCGGTGACTGTCGTCGCACCTGGTGGGCGTACTCGATAGCAAGTTGGGTTTTTCTATTTCAAAGTTAGAAACCAGCGGCCTATAACCGTCTCGTGTTGACCAACACGTGATAGTTACTGCGTGGCACTTACCCGACGCCGCCGAGACCGAAGAGTACTATCTTGCACCCTGGAATCAAAGCTCTCTCGTAAATTTGGTCAATAATTTGATCGCGACTGACAAAGTCGGGGTCAGGTGGGAACGGCACGGTCGATAAAGGGCTTGGACGGGGCTCCGGTTGTTCTGGAGCGGTTAGTCAGTCAGATCTGCGTAGTACAGTCTGTTGGGAGCTCACCTGTTTGAACGTTGATCACCCCATTATTGATCCCCACTTGAGATCCTGAATTTGTATTTCCATCGTCAAATTTTATAGAAGCCATGTCTGGCATGAGATCCCGTTTTGAAGAGAATTGAGAAAAGAAACAGGGTAAGCCTAATGATGTATGATTGCCCATCCTCAGCCTCACCATCAGGTGACTTTAGCGCTAAGACTGCATCTTTCATTGGCTGAAATCGCTCATAGAGGGATATGTATATGTAAAGTCATCGCCTACATGTATATATGTAAGCCTTGACAATGTTTGAAAGAATGTGAGTCGTTCCTACCTTACTTTAACACATACAGCAACATGTATTACGGAGGCGAAGGCCAAGCTAGAAAAGGAGGCCAGAGTACGGGGAGACTGAGAGGCAAAATGAGCTGCATGAGAGATTTAAGTTCAAACCCTTGCTAATGTACAGGACCCCGGAATACTTGGAATGATAGAAAAGCGACAACCCGACTGTGGACGCAGAAATTGAATAGTCAATATATGAGCCTACTACTACCCCACACGTCGAACCATCTTGACCTCCACAAAACCATGTATGCGACCCGTCTCTTATGGTAGCGACAGTAGTGTAGCTTTTTAATCTCTTGCTTTTGAGACTTGCCGCCGTGCTTGTATAGATGATAGCGGATTATAATTTCGTGTTTCTGGTAGGGCGACCGCATTAGTGATGGCCGTGAGCGATGAAGTTGGGCATGACGGTTTCGAATATGTCATTTTTCGTAAGGTCGTATTATCGAGCCCAAGGCTGGCTGTTCCGGCTGGTGGAGACTGCGTTCCTCAAAAAGGCGAAGATGATGGGATCGGGAATCCACGCGGGGCTTAGCAGCTCCTGGACCTCTTTGTATGCTTTCCCCTAGTGGCTTAGAAATGCCTCACAACTCCCCTCAGGACGACAGAAATATGACGTCCATGTGTTGTATCTCTGGGTGAAGGTTTCTTTGTTTACCGAGCCACAGAGATCTGCTAAGATTCTCCACATTTCCGAGTCGAGATGGAGGCAGTTGGGACCTCCATTCAATTGACGGCATTCGACCCGCTGGGTCCAAAGGTGCATTCAAGAACGTCGAAATATATATACATATATACATCAGTTTATAGATATAAATATGGATATAATATATGCTGGTTATTCATGCAGCAATTATCAGGCCTGGAGATGCCGTGATTGAGTATGGCGCGCCATGAGATGGGGGACGCCCTTGGATATAGAGACATAGATCTAAGCTTTTTGATGGATCTGCTCCGCTCTCTCTGGAAGGGCGTGCGTATTTTCGATGTTGATAATGGGCCTGACAGAACATGACCGGCAAGACGAGTCATGATTAAGTAGGATATTGCAACTGGTACGGATAGGGAAAAGGGAAATGTCAGTGAGAAGACCCCGGGAAGCGCGTTATATCAAGTTGTCAATTTACTCACATGAGCACGGGTAAGCCTTTCAAATAAGGTGCGCCATCATGCCGAAGCCAGAGGAGGGGTACATCCACAGTAAAAAAGGTCGACTTTGTGTTCACAGTTCAGCGTGATATAGCCAGTAGCTCAGCCTGATGTCACAAGTATGATGTGCCAAGACTGAAAAACAAAGGAAAAATAATCTGTGGTGGAGGAAGAGTCCAGATGGAGCTGGAGAGAGAGAGAGAGAGAAGAAGTGAAAGAAGAGTCCTGAGCAACGCCTTTATACCCAGTTGCTGCCTGAACGCCTTTCAGGCAACATGTCTTTCTACGGGAAGAGCCACATCCCATCTTGTACACTTGCTTCCACCATAAAAATGCACAGCACGTCCTCATACTTGTAATGGTCACGTGCTCTAAATATGCTGCCACAACATCGCCATTAAAATGAGTACTAAGGCGCCCAGGGCTTGGGGGCTTTCTAATGAACCATCCATGCATTATTCAGAATACTGTACCAACGTTCAATAATGACTAGAATGTGGGAAGAGAGATATGTATCAGCATTGGCCACCAATCAAGATTAACCATGAGAGCTACAGAGAGAACAATATAGACGCCTAGTCTATTACCATGAGCGACATTATATCATCAAAACCATCGAGTCAGAATATGGGGAGCCGCAGAAAGATAAAGGTGCTGAACACTAGCCTTGATATGAGCATAACGAAGAACAGAATCACTGAGATCCAAAACTTTCCCAAGAGTCTAATGGAGTACTATTTGACATCCATTGGGCACTATCTCCTATCGAAATTTCTGTGTTCATATCGAAAGACGGGTCCATAAGATCCAGCGGGGGAGTATTGTGGATAGGTTTGAAGAAGTCATTACCCATGATCATGTCCTCATTTGGAAGCAAGCCAGTAAACAGATTGGTTGGCTGTGGGGTAGTGCCAGCCAAGCTCTGTATGGTATTGGGAACTCCAGTTGTGCTAATACTAGCGGAAGATGGAGTTGATGATGGGGATATGTGCGTGTCTGATGCGCTCTGGCTCGGAGGAGTGAGCTGAGGCCAACCCCGCTGGGTCGAATTGGATCGAAACTGCTCCCAGGCAAGCTGAACGGTGTTCACGAATGGAGTAGTCAAGCATTGGGCAAGAGTATCCAGGTTCCGTAAAGCCGTTGGCATGATTTTCTTCGCAGCTGGAGTAGGCGGACAGACTGGATTTGCTACAATGAATGATAGTATGCAGATGGCAGCATCCCATTGGTATTGGAAGGCTGGTGCCCACCCGCGCAATAGATCTGTGTCTGATAGGGCTTGACTTAGGATATTAGTCACCATAACAGCGTGTTTCAGAGAAGTAATGCCATGACCATCAGTCAATGGGGTGAGAGACGCGCCACGAGGTGGAAAGCGAAGAAAGGGGCGAAATAAAGTGATTTGCATGTAATGGTAGATGAGTTCCAACAGAAGCCGCTGACGTTGCAGCCAGAGTGGGCTAGAAGGATTCAGATTCAGTGCTGTGCGGTCTGTTGAGAATGCCTCTCCGGTCCCTTTACGTTCAATTTTGAGAGACCGAGGTACATTCTGCACCCATTCGTACATGGGACGGGTTACGTTAGTCATGGATCTTGCGATAAACTCCAAGGTTAGTGGTTCCTCATGAATATCTTCGATATCCTCTGTCTGTAGCACCTCGGCGCATCGCTCAGCAAATGTAGCGTATACCGTGCGTGCTGCAGCCGTCAGGCGGATGCATTCAAAATGAAAAGTTAGCCAGCTGACCTCTTCTTCCGGTGGTGATACCAACGCCGTGGCTGACGGGTGGACCGCATCCCCGGTGTCGGTGGGTAGTGCACAGCCAACCTCATTGGGGTTGATCAACGGCGGGCGGCCGAGCGTCATGGAGATTTGGCTGTCCAACTGGTATAAAGTCCACCAAATCCGAGAATGCAACTGCTGGGTTCCTTGTGGAACAGAACCCACAGGTCGAATGTGCAAGCGCAGCATTTGAGCGATTCTGATAGCCATACCAAGCAGCACATGAGAAGTGTCTAGATTTGCGATATTGTACACGTAGATGATGCAGTAGATATGACTTTGCAGTGAAACTATTGAAGGGTGTTCCAGTGTCTCCATCAGCACTCGCTGACTCCGCCGGTAGAACTTATGCGCGGCGATAGTGAAGTATTTAGCTTGCGAATCAGTCTCGCCGGTCACTATATCATCGTCATCGGTCATAAAGCTACTGCCATAATGCATACAGACGGCCAACAAACTATCCACAAGAGCAGAGGGCTGGCGTGGTGCTTGGCCGTTCGTTGTGGTCCAAAGAGAGTCATAGTAATCTCTGAATTCTTGCTCTGCCATGATCGGGTACATGAAGTGATAGGCCTGCCACAAGAGAACCAAAAAATGCTCTTCTTGCTCCCGAGACAGGTCCTCGACGTCGTCCAGTCCGACACGAAGACTGGGCTGTTCTATATTACCTGACAGCTGCTCCTGCGAAGCTGTAGGGGTATGACGATGAATTTGTGAGATGCGAACCGGAAGAGGAGATTTCAGGTGCAGCCGGTTGGATGATTGTGAAAGGAACTGGTTGAGGCGGATCACTAGGTATGGCGAGGATTGTGGACCATAGTGAATTACGCGGCCGGTTCGCGACTCCGGGTTTTGGAAGCCGTCCCATGTCTTGCGAGGTGAATCGGGAAGCTCAGCAGGGGTGACGACACTGGCGGGGGTGAGGGAATTGGGGGATTGCCCGAAGGGAGATTTGGCGTCTGTCGCAGGCTTTTTCGAATCATCGGTCACTTTATCCAATTGTGCCTGGATGTCTTTGAGCCTGTTGCGCAATCGTTGAATTTCCCTGATCAAACCTTTGTTAGCCTTTCTCTTCTGATAATAATACAGGAAGCAAGGGCCAAAAACGATCAACAATCGTAGCAAGGACGCAGCTTTGCTAGGGTGTTCAATAATCATACCTATTCGCGGCCGGAAGTGAATGAGCTTCAACCTTTTTAGTGTTACTACAGTGTCTACCATGGTTCCGGCAATTTTGACATGGCTGTTTATCGTCACATTTGATGCGACTCAGCCGACACCAGTCGCAAGCTCGCCCGACCTGGCTACGCTTGGTACGCGGGGTGGCAGCGGGTTGGTCCGAGGGGCGATCAGTGGAATTTAGATTGGCGGAAAAGGTGGAGAACATGGCCAAGAAGTTCGAGTTTTTATAAGACACGCACTCTTTTCTCACCAAAAAGAGTGTAGAAAAGCCGAAAAAGGCCGGGAAACCGAGGGAGAAGAAGACGAGGCTGACGAACAGAGATAATTATGTGCTATCAACGAGATTGTTGTTACAACACGCTAACGAGATTAGGTAAGGCGCAGTATTCAAAGTTTAGAGCAATGTTATCGAGAACGCACCCAAGAAGGACCTATTTGCTGTCAAACAGGCTACTCCGGGTCCTGACTGATTTAGCCAGTTGTGTTTTCGTATGTCCAGATGTGGCGTGCAAGCTCGTCCATATCTGCTGCCGACAGGATGAGATTGCTCTCTCCGTCTCTCATTTCTCTCAAGAAGAACTCCCAGACTGTATCTCTAGAGCGGTGTTGCTTGAGTTTGAAACCCCCTCCACTCCTTACATCATATTCTGCCATGTTTCCTGCCAGCTAAAACCTCACATTCTTAGCTAAATCAGCTCAGTGTGTGGTACTTGCAAATTGAACGTTGGTGAGAACGTTCCTAATAACGTACCACATATGATACATGTACAAGGATCGTGTGTCGACTGGTGCTCTATTTTTGGTCAGCGTGAAACGTATTGATAGGCGGTAAGCTATACATAGTAGGCGGTCTGAAAGACTAGTTTCAAACTGCCACTGTAGCTGGTCCTTAATCCAAGAACGGCCTGAAGAGATTCACTTGGGCATGGACATTCAATGCACAACTTCACTAAGCTATATCTGGGCAGTGTCCTTTAACGCGACGCGGGGCTGGCTCGGTCTCCGCCAAGGCGCTTGGCATTGCTCCTGCGGCCCCGGGGTCCGGAAGTCATGGAAGCAGCCTTGGAGTTCCACTAGGTACTTGGATAAGGACTAGCCCATTGCCAGGTGTGAGGCTTTGCGCCCCCATGATTAAGGAGAGAAATTTGCTGCGGGGTAATTCGACCTAAAATCTTGGAGGTCTCCAGGGTTTCCACGATATGACCGACAGCGCTCTCATGAAAGTACCTAGCATGCTCTAGGTATTCTGGCTCTTACACTTCACTTCCAATCGTCTACCTTGCACTTGATCTTCAGTTCACTCCATTCTGAATCATTAAATCATCCTACATGTCATCACCACCGCTGAAGAAGGGGCTGCCATTCCTGCCGACGGAGGTATGGCGTCAAATATTCATCCTAGTAAGTTAGTATCAACGTAGGGACAAGAGCATAGTCACTTACCTCATAAAAGCTTCGCTGGAACGACCCCCAGTCACTAAAATCGGCTTCTTTGACCAATCACAGGCTTCATGAGATTGCGGCGTCTATCATATTCCGAACTCTGCAGCTAGGGGCCCTCACCTTCGGTGAAAAATGGCGGCAGAGATTTTTGAGCTCGATTCCGTGGAAGTATGTCAAAGTCATCATAGTGACAGGCGTCGCGTACCAATCCGAGCTTGATGATTGGAAAAAAGATCATATTTTGAAAATGATAGAGTCTGCCGTAGATCTCCAAGAATTCTAGTAAGTTTGTTCTATGACATATTTGGTTCAAGGTCATCTATAGAATAATAAGGCCGACTTTTACTAATTAGCACTGATGTACTGTTTACAGCTGGCAACATTAGAGACACATGCCTGGCTTTGCTCTGTTCAAGCTTCACCAGCTTCATCCACAAGCTGCCGTGCATATAAGTGGGATGAATGTGTGTCTAGCGCAGCGGAAGCGACCCCATAACCCAATTCAGCGGTCTATTCCTCATCTACAATCTCTTCGCTCCCTTACCTCAGAGTGGGATTATGATCTACAAGATTCTATATCTAAGCCACCTACTAATGTCAGCTACCAGGCGCGCTTGAGAGACATTATATGTGGTAGCCATAATCTAGAGACCTTGAGACTCATCCAGAGAGAGGAAGAGGAAGAGGAAGAGTCGTTGCCCCCTCCAAGGGGAGCGATTACGTTACAAAAAGGCGACGTTTTACCAAACTTGAAGCATCTTCATCTTTTTAATATGCACCTTGACAACACACAAAGCCTTTTGTGGGCAGAGTCTCTTCAGTGGGAAACACTTGAATCATTATCTTTGATCAATGGTGATTGGGTTGACTTGGTTCCTGAAATCGCCAAACGTTTAAGTGGCCTGAAGTTATTTGAGGTTTCCATTTCTAAATACCACCCTCGAATGAAATATTGGCATCGAATCGATCAGACGCTAGATCCACCATCGCCTCTTTACTTGGAGCGTGCGACCCAGGTACGTCTTATTCTCGAGTCAATGCCTCTTCTTGAGAGGTTTATCGGCTATTCTGTTCCGCAATCTATCCTTGACACTCTGTCAAGCTTCCATGGCGACTCACTGAAGCACTTACGGTTTCGGAGCATGCCTCGTGCTCACTTCTCTCCAAACGAGCCTCTATGGCCTTCAAGCATTGACCATCTCGAAATTCTGCCAGACCAATTCCCCAACCTTGAGTCTCTGGGTTTTGACATTGAGTGGATAGATGAAGAATGGGTGCGTATGATTTCCTTAACATTGAACTCCTACCGACAACTTCGCTAATCCAAAACCCGAAAACTTCTATTAGCCCTATGAGTCAATGACGAATATACGCCAAATCGAACATCTCAAACACTTGGAACTAAATATACCGAGTGTAGACCTTCGACGTTGTAAGGATATGCCTGCGAATCTTACCGTCAATCGCATGGATGACAACGCCTACAACCGACTCCTAGAGTTTCTGGAGTCGGGTTTGAACCCGATTTCCCTTAAATCTCTACGCATCAAAGTCGGAGAATGGGACAACGCCAAGTGGATCATGGAAGGTCAATTTCCTAGAAATGAACCTCTGATCATTGGAGAGCGCGACCATTTGGGTAGCATGCACTTTCATCGCATCCAGACGGTCAAGGGCTATGTATATCCAAAGCAATTATGTTACAAAGACTATGCCCGAGATCTGTATCGAGGTATCTTGGAGATTCACGGTTTTGATGATCCATTCTTCATGGACAGTGGGAAATCCACTCGCGGGAAGTTTGATTCGGGATGGGGAGTATTCTCATAAGAGTACGATAATGCCATCGTTAATTCGAGGCTTTCACTATGGTCACCAGGGACTGCACTGCCGGGCTTATGTAAATTAATAATTTATACAAATTGGCCTTTTTCAACCTTAGCCGACAAATCGGTCACTTCGTAGAGCAAAGAGTACTAGTCCATTGATCATGGATATTGTATATTTTCCTACTTCATCACTAGTAACGGGGCCCACTTGCCAATGCCTTCAATCTTAACCACTCTGATGTCCGTGATATTCTTAAAAATCAATCAATAGATTACTCAGGTGTCTATGTAGCGAGAGTGTGCATGCGAGTCTACAAAGGCCCAAAGAATGGAATAATGAACCAACATGATAAGACATTAATCACAACCATGCAGTTCTTGATAGAAAGTAAAGTCCTCAAATTAAATACATTAAACCCTACGTCAAAGTGATTTACCACTCATTTCTCATATACACATGGAAAGCGTGAATTGCAGCAAAAATGAACCAGGTTGAAGAGGGGGTATATAGTATTATTTCAGGAATCAGGCCGGATGAACCAACCAGAACGTAAGTATAGATAAGAAGCGAACGACCCGGAGACAGGTCCAAACCAGTTGAAAGGAAAAGGAAAAGGGAAAAAAGGGAGTGTCAGTGACAAGGCAGGGCCAGTATACGTCGCGTCAGCGACAACATCATCAGCTTCCAAGCAAGCTTAGAAAGCTATTTACAGCTGCAGAGCAGCGACGGCAATAGCTCCGAGGATAGCAGCGATGCCAGAGAAGGTGGCACGACCGGCAGCGTTGTAGGCAGGGGTGCTAGAAGGGGCAGCAGTGCTCCAGGGGCCGGTAGACGAGACACCGGCGGAGGCAGTGGGGATCACACGACGCATAGTAGAGCTGCCGTGTGGGCCCTGGGGACCGGGACCAGCAGGGTAGCCGGAGCTGCCAGCGGTGACGGGGCAGATGGTTGTGGTCTGGACGTAGGTGGAGGTAACAGCAGTTCCGGAGGGAGAGGAGCCAATGGGGGCGACACCAGAGGGGCCGGAGCCGGAGCCAGGAGCTGTAGGGATAACGGGCATCGATGTGGCAGAGGTGGCAGAGGTGGCAGAGGAGGCGATGGAGGGAGGAGCGGGTGCGGTCCAGATGCCGGTGCCGGAGGGAGCAGAGCCACCGATGGTGCTGGTAGTCGTCTCAGAGCCGGAGCCGGAGGGGGAGGTGGGAATGGAAGATCCAGCGGAGGTGGTAGCGGTGTTGCTGTTGCAGTCGGCCTCTCCGAGGACAGCAAGGCAGAGGTTGATGGGGATGTCAATCAGGCTGCCGGAGCCGCTGGAGGAGGACTGGTTGCACTCGACCTCACCGAGGACAGCAAGGCAGATGTTAATAGGAACGCTGATCAGCGAGCCGCTGCCGGAAGAGGAAGAGGAAGAGGAGGCCTGGTCACACTTGGCAGTTCCAAGGGCAGCGACACAGGTATTCACAGGCACACTAATCAAGCCACCGGACGAGGTCTTGGTCTTGCACTCAACGTCTCCGAGAATGGCGGCACAGAGACCAACGGGAACGTTGATGAGCGAGCCGCTGCCGCTGCCGCTGCCGCTGCCACTGCTGCTGCCACTGCCGGAAGAGGAGACCTGGTCACACTTGGCGGATCCAAGAACAGCGACGCAGGCATCGACGGGCACACTGATCAAGCCACCAGACGAGGTCTTGGTCTTGCACTCAACATCTCCGAGGATAGCAGCACAAAGATTGACGGGAACGTTGATGAGCGAGCCGCTGCCGCTGCCACTGCCGCTGCTGCTGCCACTGCCGGAAGAGGCGACCTGGTCACACTTGGCGGATCCAAGAACAGCGACACAGGCATCAACAGGCACACTGATCAAGCCATCAGTGGAAGTAGTGGACTTGCACTCTGCCTCTCCCAGAATAGCAGCACAAAGATTGACTGGGACGCTGATGAGCGAGCTGCTGCGAACAGCAAGCTGGCTGCATTTAGCGGATCCCAGGACAGCGACACAGGCATTAACAGGCACACTGATCAAGCCATCAGCGATAGCAGAGGTCTTGCACTCGGCCTCACCCAGGATAGCAGCACAAAGGTTGACTGGGACGCCGATCAAGCTCTCATGAGCTGACACAGTCTATAGAACAGAGAACTGGAGTCAGATATCGATCCACATGTAGTTTCCAATCAGGACTTCACTCACGACAGAGGTAGCCGCAAGAGCGACAAGAGGGGCGAAAATAGATTGCTTCATCTTGTCAGAATCGACGTCAAGGTACGTGAAATATAATTAAGTGAATGAGTGTGGCGTTATGGAGAACGAATGGACGCTGATATCAGCAATAATGAGTGACAGGGCTAAATTAGCTAACGAAAGAATGAACGAAGTTTGGATCGACGAGAGGGAAAAGCGAGATAGATGTAGGCCCAAGAAGCCTAGCCACTGACAAGGGTTCCAAGACTGATAATCCTGAAAAAGGGCACTGGATGTAGATCAGCAGGCACATGTCCGCCATGCATTGGCATGGGTACACAACAGCTCGTAGTATAAGGCTCGAGACCAATCTATTTCCACTCCGGCGGTCCTCTGATTGGTGTACCTGGGTCAGGACATTTGACGGCTTGGACCGCTACCTTGACTAGATCGTCCATATGCGAACCTAATGCGCATGACTCCACCTGACAATGCGCTAGTTGCACTAGCGCGGATTTTGATTGACCCGCTCAGTCCCGGCCCAAGGGCGACGTGCATGGCTACTGATTTTTGAGCACAAGTTATTATTCAGGGGTTATCACAGAGGTTTAATTCTTTCAAAGTGGAGAGGATAAACGAAGTTCATATGATGATCATCCCTAATCAGGTTGGTGGTAATCACCGTCTTTGTTATTGAAAGCGTGGAGCTGATAAAGAGGGCTCCATATCAGAGCCCCACATTAAACCCTGAATCCAAAGCCTACTGGTTAGGTCCGCCATGCGCTGCGCGTTGCCATCAACACCCCTTTCTAGGCTCGTGCAGAATCAAATTAAACAGCCTAGAGATCAATGAGACACATCAGACGGGCCAACGTTCGATGATCCGGCGAGAACCGAGGGTTACGTGGTCTTCGCGAATAATATTTGAGTTTCGGAATACTTTATGCGGCGTCATTAAGTTCAGTATTTCGCGTGGTCATTGATTTTACCGAGCACTTCTCCAGAGACCAAAGTTCATGGCTTTGTCATTATTGCTTTTACCAAGCTTTGTCCCAGGGGATTTCCTTCTTTCCGCCTTCTGGCGCGTCTCAGTGATTTGGAACCGACAGCCTCTATTGTTGCCCAATCTATAACGCGCACTATTTTTAGCCTTGTGGAACGATAGTCAAGAATTATGGGAGTCAAAGAGCACCGCGTAATACTGTAGTTTATTGATCAGATCGTTCTTATACTTCCGACTTCCGAGGCTGAAGCGCCACGAGGCTTGGCTTCCGAGGTCGCACACTCCTGCAGTGCAACAATCCGTTCACGGAGGAAATACGCGAGACAGATCTCCTGCATAGAAGATATATTTTCAGATCTGTCTGAACTTATTGGAATTTCAAAAACCGAGCACCTCGGATGTGATATGCCAAGATCAGTGTGGAGAAAAGAAAAGGGGCGATTGCGGAGTAAGGGCGGCATTTCCCACAAATGGAGCTCCACGCACATTATTCAGCGCAATGCACGTGCATTGCCATGTTTTGACGAAGTTCTACCAGGACTTAACTTCATCTTCATTCTCACTGTATACGCATTCTCCTTTGTATCTTTTGCAATACGAAATGGTCTTCGCTACAAAACTTGAGGGATAAACATGTCACGAATTGAAATTATCCCAATTTTCTGACTATATCAACTCAATTCCTAGTGCTAATCTGCTGACACTATGAGACCATGATTCATGTGCTGAAGGCCGAGGCCTTGCGATCGAGATCTATACAATCAGGGATGAATGAGACATTCCGGAGGTTTACGAGGCCACTAAAGCCACTAAGCAAGGGATCACCATTAGCGCCCTAGAATCGCCCACGCCATCGTGACTCGTCACATGCTCGTCCCTCGGGAGACTTTACATTGACATCATTTCCAACCTACCTGTTTTTATTCCCTGTTTCTTCTGGCTCCGGTGCTTTGCCTTGCTTGATGGGTCGGATGAACCGAGACAGCAGAAAAAGATATCATAAATCTTCAAGTCAACTGAAATTAGATTATGGACAAGAACTCTCCAAGGCAAGCAATCTCAGTAGCAGAAGCTGTCGCCCTATGAGCTTCTAGCAACCTTGGTCTCAATCGCATTCAGAATATACATCGACCTAGCTGAGTAACTTTTCAACCTGCAAGCTCTCTGAGCAATGGACAGAATCCAACAAAGTTAAGCCATCGCGAACAAAGCATAAGGGGTCACTTTCCTTCCTGCAGACCAAGAAGCAACCTTGAAGGTCTCATTGACGGCAGCCTGATGCCACAAACCATATTTTTGGTCATCGACTCTGTCTGAGACGCGTTCTTAAACTATCACCTTAAGAAAATGGTATTGAAGATGACCCTGGAAATTAGCCGAGGCTGCCAAGATATGAGTTCCCAAAAACGATCCATTTTGATCCATTGTTCACAATTGTGCCAACCTTAAAAGGCTTGGTAGGATTTTTGGCTCTCAAAATAGATAATCAGGCCGGTGTCAGAGCAGACGCTATTCCAAATCTAGGTTTTTCTAAGCGAGATACATTTTTCGGAACCTATCTTTCTATCCTCAAGACAAACAAAACTCTTAAATCATCAATAATTATCACTCATACTATATTGAGTCTTGCCTGGCACTTAGGCTTTCTGAAAGGATCGTGACCCATCCAACCTATAATGTAATTCACGTGACATGGCACCAGTGAACGGTCACGTAGCACTAGTGTAGCTCTCCAGGCCTCTTATCTGATCTTGTCTTCACTTGCTCTTCCTTACATTCTGTATTGTCGACAACTTTTCTGTATGGTAAAGCGCCGCAAGGCATACTGAGTTCTAAAACGGGCTCATATCCCGTAAGAAGATACCGCTGCTACCATCTGAGAACTGGAACGAGATTCTCATTCTAGTAAGTAGATATCGCTACATGATTATTATCCTATCGCTCATTCCATGTTGCAAGGCTTACTGGACCAACAGTAGAATACTTAAGATGGTTGCTTTGACTGATCGCCGATTACATGAAATCGTAGCTTCCAATTCAATTCGAACCTTCCACATGCCAGTCTTTGAGGGTCGTGGGACCTCATAAACACTTTCCCCTGGAGATATGTGAAGTGATCATCGTAACAGGTACAGCTATGCTATGTATGGACTGGGCAATGGGTGAAATCCGGTTTATTGAACTAGATCGAAGCAGCGACGGGTCTTCAAGAATTTTAGTGTAAGCTTTAAAACAAAACGCCCTATATCAGACTAGTCATGATAGACTTGCTCACACTGCCTTCGCTTTTGAATCTATAGTTGGAAACAAAATGAAAATCTGCCGCGATAAATTCTTTTCAAGAATCATCAGCTTTATCCTTATGTTGCTGTCCATATGACCGGGCGCATTTGGTGTATATCACAACGAAGACAGCCACACCACCTTATTGAGCGGTCTACCACCAACCTTCATTGTCTTTGCTATCTTTTCCTCAGAGAGGCATAACTCTATTTGCGATGGAATTTCAGCACCACCCACTCAAGTGAGCTATCGGGCTCGCCTCAAGGGCATCATGTGTGCCAGTATCAATTTGGCGACTCTGAAACTCATCAAACCAGAGTTCACCTCTAATACGGCCCCTGAAAGAGGAGCCATTGCTATGCAGAAAGGCGATGTTATGCCACATTCAAAGCGTACAACACCTGGGAAACATGCATTTTGATGAAATTAAAAGCACCCCGTGAGCAGGTTGTCTTCAGTGGGTACTACTTCGTTGCTTGTCATTAATCAATGGTGATTGGAGTGACCTGAATCAACGGATCAAAGGCCGGTTGAACAATCTTATTCTTTAGGCGTGTTGAATTTGCAGTGTAATCCACAAGTAGGTTACCGGGGTGAATCTAGTGAGCGGCCAAGCCCATTGTCCATCTACTGGGAACGGGCAAATCAACTGCATCTGCTGATAAAGTCAATACCGTTTCTCCTCAATTTCCTCGCTTGAGATATTTTCCGGTTATCATGTTCCACAGGTCATTCTGACACACTGTCAAAATGTCATGAAGACTCGCTAAATCACTTTTGGTTTCGGACCACAGCTCGTGAACACCGCCACTTTGACCATAAAACGTGGCCTTCAGGCATCAAATGCCTGGCCAACTTGTCAAGACAGTTCCCTCATCTCCAATCTCTCGGCATTGGCCTTGGTTGTGAGAATGAGGACTGGGTATGTATCATACCTGTTGCTCCAATATCCATGTTACGAATCTCATTACTAACAGGAATATCTCAATCATTTGCCCCATGAACTCATGATATATATACGCCAAATCAAACGCCTTCAAAATTTGGAAATCAATGTCGCTAACTGTTTACCACCGAATCAATTCAATCGTACCTTCGACGTGAAGTCCATCGATGAGGCCGCGTGTAATCATCTCCTGCATTCTTTCGAATCGGGCTCAGACTCAGATTCAGATTCAACTCCACAGTCGAAGGCGGTATTTCTCAAATCTCTACATATAAGAATTGCAGAATGGGAAAGCGCCAAATGGAGACCCAGAAATTTTCCTCACACGCCAGGCTTACTGCTCATTGGAGAACGGAATCTGTCCGGTGAAATGCACTTCTATCGTCTTATCCCACGGAAACGTGGTCAGAGACTTTACGGAACACCCCAACTTCCAAGTCTTAATGACGAGTATTGAGCCTGCTTAGAGCTTCATGGTTTGACTTCACCATTCTTATGTAGATGCTCTGAAGAATGGATGGATATCTGGAATGTGGGGAATAGACCCTGAGTGGATGGGCGGACGGATTCTTACTAATCATTTGTGGCTAACTAACTAACTTAAGTAACTTATTGCACGATGACAACGGGGTCAATTGAGCTGCAGCTTTTCATATCGTACTTACTCCCTACATATCTCATTCAATGTACTCCGGATTGCCTGACTCGCAAAACCGGAATAAAGTCCGGTAGTGGGGAGTGGGGAAAGATCTCAGTAACCCCAATCAATACCTGGGCATTACTAGCTCCCCACGAGCAGATTTAGTGCCTAGCCCATCATTTCCAAAGGAGGTGGTGTAATGCGACACTTCACGGAATAGTGAATTCTCTCCTTCCTCAGGGGGAACAAATCCAGATGTACTCCGATAACAAGATACTGAATTTTGCATATTAACCAAAATGAGAGCTCGGTCAAATCATTGGATAGATAATTACAGCCCAGTCAGCTCTAGCCACGCCAAGAAGCAAGGTTGTAATGTTTATTCGCCTCAATCGAGGCTAATGCACGAGTGAAAATTTTTTAGGCTCCCGGCTCGAGAATCCGTCGACAGCCTTGATTTTTTGCATAACTTCTTTCCTTGTACCACATCTGGGCACGCGAGCAATAGCCTGTAAGGCCACTGCATCTATTGAGCAAGGGGACGGACTCTGCCGACGGCCGAGCGTATTGCCGAGGATAAACATTCCCGCGCCTAGATTTAATTAATACAAGAACCGGCGCGAGTTACGGTCACATCAAGGAAGTCGTGACAAGCGTGGGTGTGGCGGCGCCCCCCAACGCCGCTTGGTCAGGGCGCGACTCTGCGTGTAGGTGCGGCGGTATTGTATTGTAAACAAGGGTTTTGATTTGTTGAGTTAGTAGCGCGTCCATGGGTCCAATGAGGGCGCCTGAATGCGGAAGGGATACGCCTATGCCAAGACTTACGACTTGAAGTGCAAGTTTTTGTCCTCTTTTTACTTTGGCATTTTTCGGGATAGACAGAATAGGTTAACCACGAGTAAGTCATGGGGATGAGGCTGGAGGTCACAAGTCACTCCTAATGTTATGTTATGTGATCATTGTGCAGGAAGAGTAGATCACTCGGGATTTGAAAGTATGAAAAGAGTAAAGAAAGTCAAAAGTTTTTACCGCACGGAGATGACGTCGCTGTCCGGCACGTGGAAACTGGAAGACTTTTCTGTTTCAGGCAGGTCTAGTTCTTCGCCAAAGATGTCGTGTTCCGGCCGACCTCGCTAGTTAGACACGGTATTCGGTGTTGAGGTACCGAACTTAATATGATATGATCTCGGGGATCCTACAGATAGTGGCACAGTACATATCATTCATGTATTTACGGTCATCCATTGATGCGTAGTAGTATCATGTCGAACTTTTGCGTATTACCTGTGTCACTAGATGAATGCGGTCCGACCCAGGAATGGCTCTCAACCGTAATCCCCGAATGGCTAAATGCGGCCCGGGGTCCAGCAGCCACTCCGCGCCACAAGATTTCTGATCGTCCGGTCAAACTTTGCCTAGTGCGGCCAATCTCAACTCATACACTTCTTTCTTTTCTCTCGCTTGCTATTATTTGGATCATATAAGCCAACGCTGGTCTTGACGAGAGTGCCGCGCATGTTCCCTGACTTGAGCTGACCTGCGTGCAACTCCAGTCCGACTCCGGGGAAGTGTATTGTAATTTTACGTAATTTTAATACCGGGTGGGGGCGGCCGAAGCCGAATAGGCCATTGCATGTCAGACTTTGCCTCTTTCAGACAAGACTGGGCCCTCCCGTACGCTCTGGCCAATACAGCGTCGTCCCATCCTGTACCGTAGATTGGCCGTGTCGTAATTTCCTTGGAAAAGAAAAGGGAAAAAATGGAAAGAAAGATATTGTCCTGAGATAGGATGATTGTCCTAGGTCTATATAGAGTCAACAGAACCCCCACCGTTTTCTTCCTTCTTCTCCTTTTGTTTTACCCAATCTCCATCTTCCCTTCTGCACTACCTTCCCCATAGGGTCCGACATAGCTACAAGCTATCTCGCCCTTCTCTTCAGGTCAATTATATTGCCTGATCGTTGCATTTACAGAGCCTAAAAAGAAAGAAAAAGAATTGGACCAGTCAACGGACCAAAGCACGTCATATTCCTACCTTTTGCACATACAACTTGCTCTAGCAAGCGACAACTACGACCCCCCACTTTTCGACAAGTGATTGCAACGTATTACGACCACAGCGTACGATCCAATTTCACGATTGCAGCATTTACGACCAATCCCTGTGCAGAATCACCCTTCGATTGCAGCATCAGCCCTGTCCCGCGGAATTTTTCTTCGATTGCGCCAATTTGTAGTCTTGCCCGACGATCCAGATAGCAACAAACCCAAAGCCAAAGCCGCAAGCGATTTACCTGAACCCAATTGACTTAAGACCATCCCCAAGCGACTTTAACTTCCCATTACCGCCAACATGGGTCTCGAAAGATTTAGCCCGTTTAAGAAGGATCGCCAAAACTTCCCGGGCGTCGTGATCCCCTTATCCGAAGCCCCAGCTTACCCCAATGGAGCCCCACCCTCTGAAAAGGAGGATAAAACCGATGCTCTCGATGCCAGCAAATCCTTGGACCGAGCTCCCTCTTCGGAGACTGGTTCTGCAGGATCTTTGCCGGAGACCAGCTACCTGACTATTGAGCTTCTTCGTGCAGAGATTGATGCTGAGCATTCGACTTCCGGCCACGACTCTGTGTATGATCGTATGTGCTCCATTTCAGTCCCTGATATCGCCATTGCCCAAAATCTGCCTATTTAGTTATTACGAGGTATCTTTCTATTGGCTGACACAATGAATGATAGGCAAAGCAAAGGTGATTAACAGGGCTATTCAGGATATTGGCATGGGCAAATATCAGTGGAAATTATTCTTCCTTTGTGGGTTTGGATGGTTGGCAGACAAGTAAGCTATGACCCTTTCCTCTTCATCCGATGGAAATGTTTAACTAACGTCCTTTAGCCTCTGGCTCCAGGTGAGAAAGCATAAAAGCAACATTGAAGGACGTGGAATTAAAACTAACCCTAAAATTACAGGGAGTTGCTCTGACTTTGACACCCATCGCGTATGAATTCGATATCGACACATCATGGGTGCGTTTCAGCACCTGCGCCCTATTCCTAGGTCTGTGTATCGGTGCTTCATTCTGGGGTGTCGTTTCCGACATCGTCGGTCGCCGTTTGGCATTCAATACCACCCTCTTCCTAGCTGGTGTATTCGGTCTAGCAGCAGGTGGAGGCCCGAACTGGATCGGCACCTCTGCATTATACGCCTGTCTCGGTCTCGGTGTTGGCGGAAATCTGCCCGTCGACGGCGCTCTGTTCTTGGAGTTCTTGCCCTGCGTCTCTGGAAACATGTTGACTATGCTGAGTGTCTGGTGGCCCATCGGCCAGCTTATTTCCAGTCTACTCGCTTGGGCTTTCATCCCGACTTACAGCTGTGCTAGCGCAGAGGGATGCACAAAGGAGAAGAACATGGGCTGGCGCTACCTTGTGCTAACTCTTGGTGCTATCACCATGTGCATGTGGATCGCCCGTTTCTTCTTCTTCCACTTATACGAATCGCCTAAATTCTTGCTTTCCCGTGGTCGTCAGGAGGAGGCTGTTGCGTCTGTTCATGGAATTGCTTATGAAAATGGGGCTAAGACGTGGTTGACCAGCGAGATCCTCAACGAGATTGGTGGTATCGCTGAGACAAAAGAAGAGGAGAAACTTGCCGTCAGCGAGATCGTTAAGCGTTTCTTTTCCAAGTTCTCTATGGAACGGATTGCGCCTCTGTTCTCTAACAAGCGTCTGGGATACACTACCGTTCTTCTTTGGTTCTGCTGGGCTACCATTGGTATGGGATACCCTCTTTTCAATGCCTTCTTGCCTCAATACCTCTCCCAGACTGGTGGTGAAACGAACTCCTCCTACACGACCTACCGCAACTACGCCATCACTTCAATCGTCGGTGTGCCCGGCTCCATCTTGGCGTGCTACACCGTTGAGATCAAGCACGTTGGTCGTAAGGGAACGATGGCTATCTCCACTGTCATTACTGGTGTTTTGCTATTTTGCTTCACTGTCTCGTCCACCTCAAACGTCCAGCTCGTCTGTAGTTGTCTCGAGGCCTTCTTCCAGAACATCATGTACGGTGTCCTGTACGCCTACACACCTGAGGTGTTCCCCGCCCCGAACCGCGGTACTGGCTCTGGTATCTCCAGCTGTCTGAACCGTATCGCTGGTCTCTGTGCCCCCTTGGTTGCCATCTTCGCTAGCAGCTCGAACCCAAACGCCCCTATCTATGCTTCTGGTGGTTTGATGCTTGCTGCCTTTGTGGCCATGGTTCTCCTTCCCATTGAGACTCGGGGCAGACAGACTCTATAAAGCATTCTTGATACTAGCATAAAGAAGTGCTTATTGGAGAGACAAAAAAACGGCATGTGTTATGCTGTATTCGATTTGACTATATTTCTATTTGTTTTATATGGAGTGATGTCGCTCCTCTATGGATATATGTACAAGATACCATGTGATTTTCAAGGTTAAAGTTTCAATTAAATCAGAGACTTCCATTCGATGTTGCTTGTTCTTCTTTCTCCATTTCAATTAATCCACCCCGACATTCCTACATAAAGTATTTGCTGATAGCCCTGAAATACCACTCATCTGATCATGCTCGAGGCCCTTTCAGTCCCCGGAGCTGTTAGCGTGACCAAAGCCTTCTCCACAGCCCGACGGTCAGACCTTGCTTGTGTTTCCGTCTAAAAAAGGCTTCCCATTTGAGCCTGCGATTGATTGCCTCCTGGTGCGGGTGGAATACCTTCTGGCGATGGCAGCGGTTACTGTTTGGACGGCTTCATGCTGCGCTGCCACATATAATTCCTGAGAACTACGGAGTTGAATAGTTTTGGTCAATGGTTCATGGTCGCCGTCTTCTATCAATGAGACGCACGGGAAGACATTGAGAACATAAAGGCCATGAAGGTCCTGTGTCACCGGTTCTGTATTTTCACCGGCTGGAGGAAAGCGATCCCATTCATCGTCTTCGGGATCAAAAGGTTCGTAGTCTGTCTCAAACTTCTGTCGCGACCGCTGGACCGGGAGCCAAACCTCGGCCGCATTTTGAGCTATTGTCTTGATTTTCGTGCAAAAACTATCGTGCTGCGCCTCGGAAAAGAGGCCCCCCGCATACACGGACATTTTCTGGACAATCGCTCGGATCTTATGTTTGAGAGCGTCTTGTTCGGCATTCGGGTCGATGGAGAGGAGTACGCGACGGCAAAACGCTTCTCTCTCACCATTACTGCCTGCAAGATGTGCGAGAGCTCCACGAAGATTGTTGGCCTCTGATAGAAAGTAGCTGGGTCGAAATATGTGCTGGTCGATCTCTCTGAACAGAACAGTCAAGATCACTGCGAGTCGTATCGCTTTGGCGGCTGAGGAATTCGACGGAATCAGAGGAAAGCTTGGTGGTAGAGTAATTGTATCTGCCTTCTTGAGCTTCTCCCATACGGACTTCTCCTTTTCATTCTGTTAGTAATGAGTAGGACCAAAGCTACAGGCGCTTGAGGACAGACCTGTAAAACATCTTCCGTAATATCTTGCTCTAACAGTGGAGACAAGTTGTCTATAGCAGAGGTCCAAAGGCTTGTGAATTTCATCGTCCTGTGATGTAACGTGAAAACAGTCAGCTTATGAATGGTTGCAACCATCTGACCTGCCTTACACAAAATTGTCATTAATGTCCGAGGATTGGACAGGTAAGTCTTCCAAGTTTTGGACATGAGCCCTGACTGTTTGCAAGTCCGTGTTCATGGAGGCATTGGCAACTTCCAGGTCTTCAGTCTTTTTCTGCTCCGACGATAACAATGATTTCAATTTCGATCCAGCTGTCTTCATTTGGTCTATCATCTTGTCCTTTTCTTTCAAATTGACTTGCAATGTGCTGATGTCCTTAGCTGATTGTGAGACTTTAGCGACCTCTTGCGAGCAAGTCGATTCCAAAATTTTCACTTTCTGCTGCAGAGCCTCCAAATTCCTCGATAGTTCAGCAATCTTACTCTCCCTCTCTCCAACAATAGCATGAAGGGACTCAATATGCGTAGCGGATTCTTTCTGTCTTGCTCTTTCTTGCTCGTTAGTAGTGAACATATCGTTGATGGTAGTTCGTTTTGTCTCTTCAATACTGAGAATCTCCTTGTGAAGCACCTTCAATTCTTCATCTCGAGAGTCGATCTGCTCACACTGTTGAGTGATCTCACCAAGCACGGCAGAGGCAAACTGAGTGTCAGAACTTGATGCCAATATACGCATATATTTGATGAAGCCTTCCAGGCTACCACTATTGACCAATGGTATGGCATCATGCTTGTCTGGATTCAAGGATGATGAATTGGCGGGAGGCATAACGAGACTTGTTTTTGATAAATCGTTTGAGAGGGTGCAGAAAGGATGGAAAGTTCTTTTACTTCAGATTCCTGTCAGTGAAGAGGGTTCATTTATTCGTATTTACGTTGCGAAGGTGTTCGCCTCGCCTTGTGAAACCAGCTTTTAAGGCCAGCAAGCTGAGCTTCATTATGAGGCGAAGAAATAGTGATGCGGTTTATGCATGCAAGTGCAGGGTAGTTTGCGACGTGTTAGGGAATGTGTGGGTGTCAATAACGCGAGTCAAGGAATAGAGATACACAATTTTCACGCTATTACGTGTCATTCAGACTATGATCGAATCACTAGTTTGCCAGTTATTGAGATTATATTGCGAGGCACCCGAGGAAACTCGTACACTTCTGAGAGATACGATAAAATAAGGGGAAGAACATTGATATTTAGGATTAGCGTATCCATTACTCGCGCTGAGAGTTCCACTAGCCTAAACTAGGCGTCACGACATGTCTGTGATTAAACGACTCCTTTCATACCACGCATGGAAGTGAGGTATATCACCGTAATGAGATGAGGCAACATACGATATTCCACCGACGAATTTCATTGATGAGGCTTTTAGGGATTGGTATGTGTCCCAAAAAGGTGAGCAAGCCCAATAACATGTTTAGCTGGAGGCTGAGTTAACGCAGACACGCTCCAATTTCATGCGAAGCGTCGCCCTCATTGGTCAGGTACTTAGGAGTGCATGTGATACGCGCCCCTGGCGTGTTTGCTCTGCTTCATTAATAACACTGATTATTGATCGTTTCAGGGCATTCTGTCACAGAGAGCGCGCGTCAATGGTGATTCCTTGTCAGAGAACCTGGGGGGTGCGGAGGTATTAGGGAAAGCACGGACCTCCACATTATGTAGAGAAGGGCGTATCGGTAAGCCAACCAGTTCGTCCTCGAAGTAGATCTAGAGTTCTTTAGTTAGCCATAGCAGAGTGTTCACTATTGATTGGCTAGCATCAACAATTCGCATTCGCGCTAGAAGGTCAGTTTAGAAAGATAAATCTCAATATGGCCTGAATGATAATTATAAAACACATATATCTGTATGGTTTCCTTGTCCATGATCTTGATGATGATGAAACATTCGCCCGATGTAGCTCGCTCTATACACTTGCTGCTATGCCGGAGTGCTATCAGGCCAGCCGATAGTTAGAAGTGGAGGTAACTAACCAACGCATCAATGAAGTAACTCGAATGCGAGATTTTGTTTGACCAGTAAAAAGTGAAATAAAACATGGAAAGATATCACGAGTGAAGCCCCGCTTTTCCCCAAAGCTCTCTCTTACCTCTTTATTCTTTTTCACTCACCCTGCGCACCACTTTCTGCCGTTGGCTGGCGCTCGCGCAATTGTTATGGACCTGGCGTATATGACTAATCGTCGTTAAATTTCAGCCGCGACAAACGAATATACAGTCAATGATGACTGCACGAGGAAGGCTTTAAGGTTTTTAATTCAATACCAAGAAAGTTAAGATCTTAATGATCTCCAAAGAGTAAGACACCAAATTCAAATTGACTATGTCGGGTGGCACTTGCTGTTGCGGGTTGAGCTGTTACAGCATCATACATATTCTAGAGAGAAGCAAATTGGTCAACATATTCTAATGTTGACCCATCATGAAACTCTCATACATGTATACTTCAAAGACCACCATGTGGCACAAGCTTTGCAGGCTCATAAACTATAAAACTTCCTCCCGCCTGGGCAGCCGAGACCGTGCAATAGTCTCTAATCAAAGGGCGGGTATTGGTATGTTACAACGCGGGGTTTTCAACTGACTTAGCTGCCCAAGTGATACTAGTGGTAATATCCCATACGCCAGATCAACGTGATCCATGGACATTTTAGTCGACGAGGTCCCCATAACTTTCTTATTATCTCAACTGCATTTCATGAACGAACATGCCTCTCTCCAAATTTGTTAAATGGTGCCAAAAGCATAGTAAGTTTCTCCACATCGAATCAAGGGCAAGATTTTAATTATAGGAACTGTGATCAAAGGCCTTACTTTCAGCTCCGATGACAAAGAGCCCTTGGAACCACCGTCGTCGATCAACGCTCAAATACAAAGTCCCTTATTCAGGCTCCCTGTTGAGATACGTATCGCAATTTATCAACTTCTCTTTGGAAATCGTGTACTACACTGTGAGCGCGACTGTGTAGACGACAAAAGAAAGAAGTGGTTTCTTTATTCTTTCGTATGCTTTGCAGATTGTGAAAGACTGGATTGGGACGACTGTGCAAGTCGGGGGAAAGAAGGGCAGCGGAATGCGACCAATGAACTTGGATCTTTCTTCGATACGGGGCTACTCCGCGCATGCTGGCGAGCGTATGTTATCACAGTGCCTATTCATGTCCCACCAATATCAAAAATAATGATTTCACTAACGACAGATAGATATACGGAGAGTCTTTCTATTCTCTATGGCAACGAATTCCGCTTTTCGTATGCACGAGAGCTCTGTACCACATTTCCAACCCAAGTTTCTCCTTCGGGGTTTCGACATATCCGCAGGGTGGCTCTCTGGTGGACACTAGGGAATGATCTACAGCCGCATGTATCGCCCGAAAACAAAGCCAACTACGACTCTCTGTGGAGAACCCTGGGAAATAGGTATTATGGCTTAACCCATATTCGCATATACATCGATTCGGCCTATCTGGCACCTATGAACTCGGCAGGTGTCGCTGGGGATACAGAAAGCGACAGAAGGCAGCACATGCAGAATGCATGGCTAGAGGGAATAGAGACTATGGTTAAGGGAAACACTGACCTCGAAGTCTTCGAAATTTATTTCTACACCAAGGTGTACCAGGTGTTGAGGAACAGAGTAAAGCCTTGGCTGAAAGAGAAAGAGGAAGAGAGAAGGCCGAAAAACAATGCCGTCAGGTATAAAGCGTACAAGTGCCGGAGCACAACTATCAAATATGCCTACTGTTTTTCGTCCCCCGATGGAGCTTCCACGGACCTATCGGACGGCAGCTCGCATATAGGCATTGAGGACCCTAAATCAACGACTTTTGCCTGGATTCGGGAGAGGAGGAAGGTAAAACAACTTCAGAAAATACAGCAATCTCAAAGCGATGTGTGATATCTTTTAGATTCAGTCGCGCAATCAATATTGTTCTAGTACGATATCTTGTGTAGATTACCTGTGTTGGACTAGGTGTAGCTGGAACTGGAGTGCCGGAATTTATTGCCGTGGGCTGCCCAGATGTTCCAAGACAGACATGTTCACCAGCTTCAAGACCCCAGAGCATTACAAGCAACTAGGCGACTAGGTACGGATATTTACTTTTCACAAGGTCCTTTGATAAATAACAGAGAAATTTGCCCTCGAAAGATTGTGCCCATGAGGCTGACTCGCAGAATGGATATACGATGAGCAAGGTAAGCCTTTGCTAAATTTCTGTGTCGTGTACAATTAACAGGCCCCGGCATTACAATTCACATTTCACTCAATGCAAAGCATCAATTGGAAATATAGAAGGTGATGAGCGATAATTCATGCAGATAATGTTGGTCATTTAGCCCTGTGGCATCGTAGATCCGAGCAATTCTAACACTTTAAGAATAGAAAATAGATAAATCACCAACTCCAGGCCAGATAAGGATAGCTCCACGAAACGCAAAATAATCAGATCAGAGCATAATAATAGTCGCCGATGAACCCTGTCCCTTGCCTTTCCCAGATACCAGAACCAGAACCAGTCAATGAAGTATGTATGCTCTTCGCCAGGATATTCGAATAACAACGCATAGACAGATCAAAAAAAAGTGAATAATAGTGGAAAAGAGAAGAATGAGGAGTAAATGGGAGGGGAGGAGATTTGGTGATGAGCAATGAGAGTTGGAAGAAATGACAATAGTAAGCAAAATGTAGAGAAGAGAAGAAGAGAAGTGAAGATGCGAATACGAAGTAGATCATTCAACGTATCGCTCGTTAAGAACACACCAGAAAGACCGCTTGTAACCAGAGACGCTAAACAGAACATTTCGTTTTCTTAGTTCTTATGCTTAGACCACAGGCTGATTACGACGGCCACGCTTCTCTAGTAATGTGGCACCATTCAAGCTTAGCTCAAACGGCTGCTGGGAATTACGACCGATAGCGCTCTTAGCAGCTGCGGCGACCTTTGCGTCGTGTTGACCGTATCCCTGCTGCGGCTGCTGTCGGGGCTGGCGGTGGGCTTGGCGAGCCTGGGCAGCACTACTCTGGGCACCGAGGTTGGTGGAACGGAGCTTAGCTTCCATGCCTGCCATGTCACCTGAACCGCCGGTGGCCTTGACGATCTTAGCGGGTGGCGGGCCAGAAGCATCGGCTTGCTGGCGGTAGTCAACTTCGTCATCATAACCCTCGTTCAAAGCGCCCAGAGCAGACTGGAATCCAGCGGTAGGATTGTTTCGGGCAGCTTGACGGACATTCCGGCGGCGCTTGCCTTCCTCCTCTTGTCGGTGGACGGCGTATCCAACATCGAAGACCTCACGCAGATTGAAGGCACCAGGGGAGCGGAAGTCCATGCGACGGTCTGAGCCGGTGGTAGGGATATCCAGTAGTCTGGAGCTGGCGGGTTGGTAAGGGGCTTGGTCGGCACCCGTGGGGCCGAGCTGATCACCGTTCGGCACCGGACCCATAGGTGTTGCCAGAGGGGGAGCGTCGGCAGCGGCGGTCGTTTCTTCGTCAGTTCCGCGAATCCATGGGTGTGCGAGGAACTCCTTGATGGTGTAACGCTTCTCGGGATCGACGGTCAACAAGTGCGAAATAAGATCCTGCGCGGACTTGGAAATATCATCCCACCAGGGCGATAGGAAGGTGTATTGGCCTCTTGCAACCTTCTCTGTGAGCACCTGGATGCTCTCGTCGTAGAATGGAGGGAAACCACACAGCAGGGTGTAGAGCACGCATCCCATAGCCCACATATCCACACTCTTAGAGTACCGCTCGTCCTTGACAATCTCTGGCGCGGTGTAACCAACCGTTCCACAAGGGGTCATGGTCTGGCTGTCCCAGATCACCTTGGACAGACCAAAATCGGCAATCTTGATCGTGCCGATGCCGCCCGCGCCAACACCGGGGATAAATTCTCCCTCATCCTCCTTATCTTCGTCGCCCGGCTGCTTGGGCTTCGGACCTTTGCTGGGAACGAATGGTGTCGGGTAGAAAAGTAAATTCTCTGGTTTGATGTCACTGTAGATCACCCGTTAGCGCGAGACCCAAAGAGGTGGGGCAAGAACGAACCGATGAACAACGCCGGATGTCTCGTGAAGATATTCAATGGCTTCGGCCACTTGCTTAATGACGTGTCGGCTGAGATCCTCACTGAAGTAGGTCAATCGCACGATCTGATGGAAGAGCTCGCCTCCGGGGCAGAGCTCCAGGATAATGTAGTAATATTGGCGGGATTCGGAGAAATCGATCAATTTGACAATGTTGGGGTGATCGAGGTTGCGCATAATCTGGACTTCCTTGAGGATGTTCGCACGCTATGAGACAGAAAAAAAAGTCAGTGAACATGAACCAACAGAGATGCGACAATAGAATGAGATGGTGATCGTGATCTTGAGAAAGCCGATCCGCGCACCTCTGCAGCCCTTGGGACCTTTTTGATGCTTGGGTGAAGATTTGACTACAGAAATGATTGGTGATGTTCCTCCCCAGTCATGGACGTATAAAGGAGATCAAGATCGAGGCGAAAACAAGGAAAAACAAGACGAAGGAAATCAAGACCACCAGGTCACCCTACCTGATTGCTGTTCATTTCAAATTTCCGCACTACCTTGATGGCCACTTCACCATACTCTGTTGTGGAATCCTTGGCTCGGTAGACATTGCTGAAGGCTCCATCTCCCATCTTCTCGACCAGGATCCATCGATCCAAGCCCGGGTATTTAGGCATCTTTGATCGGCTTACGTTCTCCTCCTGGACCAGGCGTTCAATTTCCACGGAGCGGTCACGACGGACTTGGGATTCTGACTTCTTCTGGGAAGCTGCAGGACCATTTCCTCTCAGGTCAGGATCTAAGGAATCCAGTGCGGGGGAGAATTGGCCTTGGTGAGGTTGTTGTTCGGCGTGAACGGTGGACACGTCGGTGGTTGGCTCAGAATGGGTCACCAAACGAGCTTGTTTCCCGTGACGAATAAAATTCTTTATGTTTTGAATGGTGGTCATGATAGGCAGATGGGGCTGAGTGTAAGAGTCAGGAGTTAGGGGGGGCGTCGGGGCCGATTGCGCCCGAAGATGGAAGGTAGGAGGGGTTGGGGTTGGGTTTGAGATTGGGTCAGTTTTTTTTTTCCACAAGGTGCAGGGGTAATGATAAAATAATCCCCAACTATGAGCACCGAAATATGAAGGGAAAGTGAATGAAAGAGAGAGAGAGATGGGAGAAAATGAGGAGATAGAATAAGCCAGAATACCATTTAGGGGGAAAGTTGGAAAAAAAGCCTATGACGACGTGGGATCTACGAGCGATGTCATCGTCTTTAGCATCGCCAGAGTCAAGCCAACTTCTATTTGGCTTGGTACTAACGTCATGTTCCGCCACTGATCCACTAATATATTAAAGCCAGGGCCTTTTTCCTTGTTAATATAAACATGATTGTACTAATGACTTAAGATTTATGCTCACTCCATTGATCCTGACGATTGATTTGTGATCAATGGTTACCCCGCGGACACCTGGATGCCTGAGGCAGGTAGCTCACGTCACTATAGACTCACCAGTTTACAGCCTCAATCTAAACACAGTTCGGATGACGCATTCTCACGAGTGATTCAATCCGGGGTCACACAATAGCTCTGTGTTTATAGTCGTAGGGTGAATCAGGGTTCGCAATGGTGGAGCTGTACTAATCGTCATTATCGCCACATACCCGAATGCGTCTTCCTCGGCCCCATCAGCTCAAATAACTAGTGGCGTTTGTGATTCGTGCAGTCTAGTCTAATCTGAGACGTGGAATGTGGCTTATTGCTCGCTAAGCAATGTAAGGAGTCGAGACTGAAACTGCAAAACAATGTTGATTCAGGAACACGTTCGAGTATTAACTTTGGGATCCATTTTGGTGCTTGACGCGCAGCTTCATGAAGGCTCGCAGAAACTCCGTACTCCGTCCTATAGTAGTCCTCGACCTGCGTACGTGTACGTACATATTCTAAGTATGGAAGTGTCCAATCAAACCTGCACCCGATCTGCCTATTTTCTTCCTTTTTCGAGTTCTAAATTAGATGGGGGTTCTATCTGTCAACTCCATTAAACTCCGTTCTAGCTTCCTTTTTGTTCCTTCGCTTCCCCCAACCTCCACCCTTGCCGGTGCTCAGGCACTTTCTCTCCTGCATCCTTATCGTGGGACTCAACTCCCTGACAGATCGCGATGCGACCCATCCCTAGACTGACGCCTTTCATCTGATCTATCTGTCGGGACTTTTATTTTTCCATGGCCCCCTGTTCACAATAACACTCCTTTTATCATCGTGATCGCACTGACCTGGTTTTCCCAATTTTCGAGTCGATCTTTGCGACATGCCGGGCCTGGACGTGAGCCCGTTGGTGGATTCACCAGATCGTCCGCTTGTCAGGTCCCACAAAACACTCCCGCGGAGGGGCATCCTTCCTATAAACGTTGCCCAACCGGCCTCCCCGGAGCAAACGGGCACAGTGGCCACGCCGGCTCCTCCGTTGACTCCGCCCGGTGCGATTCACGATGAAGCCATGGATGGCGAACTCACACCCCGAAAACTCGACCCGCGCCCCGATAATTCGACGGGAATGGTAACACCTCGCCGGCCCTCCAAACCCCCGACTCCTGATGTTACACCTCCTCAAAGCGTCTCGATCAAGCGACCGCCGCTCAGCCAATTTATCCACCCTTCGTCTTCCTCACGAGCCGAGTCCTTTCAGACCGCCTGTGAGGAAATCTCTTCAGATGGCGACATGGAAACCCCCGTTCAATCATCTCGAAATGCGTCGCAAAGGAGTCGCAGAATTACTTCGTTGCGACAGAATGCGCCGAACGGAGTCCGTGCGAGACTCACCTATACCAAAGACACCCCTCCGTCCGCCTCCCAGCCACACAGTGAAACAGAATATGAAACAGGATTCGAATCATTTGATGGAGAATGGGCGACTAACGGGTCACCGACGCCTCTGAAGGGAAAGCGACCCTTGGCTCGAGGACACAGTGCATCAGGCTCTGATAAGGACACGCTGGACGTGCTCCACTTGGATGCTTCTTTGACTCGGGAAATGAACCTACGTGATCGAGTACGCAAGACACAAGAAACCCACGAAGTCACCCCGACTCCCTCGATGGAGCGATTTCGCGAAGAGATTGGATGGCCATCCCGCGATACCTCTTCGCAGGCCGGCGACCCAGAGTCTCGACGATTATCAGCCCAATCTTCCACGTCGACCGTGGAAGCGATGATCATCGACTCTCCCAAGCGAGCTCAACGATCGTTGCGACACACGGAAAAACGCACCTCTCTGCGATCGATCAGTTCTCCTATAACGAGGTCCGAGCACACTTCTACTGCATCGAATCCCGACTCCCAGCGTCGCCTGATCCACAAGGCTGCTCGAATTTCGGAAGAGAATCGTCGAAGCATCTCCTCTGATTTATCTTTCTCCGCCAAGACGGTTCCCAGCACACCCCGTGCGTCAGCTGAGATCATTCCTGTAGTCGTGATACCGGAAAGACGATCGTCACTCCGATCGGGACCCAATAGTCAGATATCTTCCAAGCATGGTTCTCAACGGTCCAGTCGACGCCCACCAGTATCAGAGGGCTCGGGTTCAGTGAGTGCTCGTCAGAAAAAACGAACGATGTCAGATTCAGCTTCTGCACGACCCCGCGATCTAGACTCAAGGGGCCGCCCCTTCGGTCAGCCGATCATTCCGCCTCGCAGCTCCTCGCTTTCTGCACCAACTAGCCGAAACAATTCCCGCGCTACATCCCTCACCTCGGAGAGCCTGCGCAGCCACACCCTAGCGATGGACTTGGAGATGCAAAAGCGTCGGGACCAGCAGCCGGTTTCACCGCCTCGTCACAACATCTTGGGCCCTAATGGTCACAAAGCCTCAAGGAAGGCCTCGGGTCATTTGCAGCCTCCCAAAATACCAACGTTCTTGCTCAGCCCTGAGGAGGAAGACGTGTCAACCCTGCGTCCCCCATCTCTACCATATACCCAGTGGTCGATCCCGTCCTCTTCCCCGGGGCCTGTCGAGATCCGGGAGGCCACTGCTGTTAGCCTGTTTGCACACAATAACCGATCATTACGTCTGGTTGATCAGCGACTGCCACCCGGACCGGAGATCCAGGATGTCCCAACATTCCATGAGATCAGACGGAAAATTGACAACCCTAAGACCCCAGATAATCCCATTGACCCGACTTTGAACGTGGATTCTCCACTGAAAAACCCCCGGCCACCGCCCAAGCCTCCCATCTATAAAGCTCCCCATTCTAAGCCTCTTCCTCCACTTCCTACCCAGGCGGAGGGAGATGTAGATTCTGGCGAGATGGGTCGGCAAGGGTCTGTTCGTCGCCCATGGACGGTTCGGCCTCGGTCAAATTCCTTTAACACGCTAGTGCGCTCTCTTTCCATCAAATCAGCAAAGAATCGCAAAGCAGGACTGGAAATGGATAGCCGCCTCCACCCCATGTGGCGCCCACGCGGATTCTGGGAGGACGTATCTGGATCTCCAAAGAAAGGAAACTCAACTGCTCGGAATCTCAGCCCCGAAGAGACCCCGTTCGTAAACAACTCCCTCGGTCTTCCCCAATACCGAATTGTTATCGAAGGCCCGCCATCTTTAGCTCGTCGCAGCCCTGAAATGAGACGCTTGTTCAACGGCATGCCTTCCGCTACACAGTACAACGCCAGCAATGCCAGTCTTGCGGACCGAGGGATGTTCCGCACCGGAACACCCTTGTACCAAAGTCGCTACCAAGTTCTTTCCAAATGGGGAATCCGCCTTCGCTCAATGAACCTGCGAAACGTGCGAAATCGTCTCCGACGTATGCGCCAGAGACGTGATGAGAGGAAACGGGTCACACGCCGGGAGAACCTCAAACAGAAAATCGGTGCTCCTGTCCATGTGGTTTCTAGTGCTACCCATGGTATTACGCGTTGATGCTTATCTTATGCCACATGATGACCTGATCTTTATTATGACTGGATACAGTCCAGACGAGAACGATATTCACGACTATGCATCCGGTGTTCTGAAATTTTAACGATTTTTTTTTGATCTGTTCGGATGTTTGAAGATTTCTGCTTTTTTTCTCTCTGCTGATATGAGATCCATGATACTTACGACACAAATAACGACTCAATGACTTATGCCAGTTGTGCCTGCTATAGGCCTTCAGATGTACCATAAGTTCTCTGCGTACGTTGGACGCCCGCATTGTTTTAGCCTGGGATTGAATAAAGTTGTTTTTTGGTGTTACTTGAAGTTCCAGATCAAAATCGTAGTCCTGATGCTTGAATATGTGGGTATATACATGAATTTTCATCATGGCCATTAAATTAATGTAGTCGACTTCAATATATCCTCTTTCCCCTTGGTCGTTTGCCTCTCCCACTGATGTTCGATCGCCCTCGAATAGCCATAGATCCATACTCTGCCTCTCTGTCTTGCCTCTGTCTGCGCTGATCCGCCGTCTCAGATGGTCCAGATGGTGTATTGCTCCCTCGACTTTCATTCCCACCATCTGAAGTATTTGCAGCCTCTCGAGCCCGTTTTAGCATCGCTTCCCAGGCGGGTGGATCAAGGAAGGGCTGCGCAGGCATTGCAAAGGACGCTTTGATGGGTTCTGGTTTGTCCTCTAGCTCTTGCTCGCCTATATTTTCATCTGCGCCGTCATCGCTGTTTGGCGCGTAGGGAATGGGCTTCTTCATGCGCGTTTCTGCTGCGACGGCGCTAGGATTGAGGACTTTTGGGACTGGTTTCTTGCTTTTCTCTATTCTCTTTGGGTTTTTAGAGGAGAGGAGAGGCCGTTTGTGTGGAATAAGGAGAGGACGCGAAGCCATTTTGGTTGGAGTGAAGTTGGAGATGGAAAGATGACGTTTCGCGGAGCGATGGGCCTTATCTCCCCGGATCCACTCTATCTACTCTACAATAACCTGCCGACCTATTGGCTTTCGATCTTCTCCCCATTAAATCTAACCATGTATTCTTAAGTAGTAGCATAGACTAAGACCTATATTCCGTACATCGAAATACAATAATCCCTCTTCCAGCTTTGGGCTACCACTATACCCTCCGCCGCAACCGCACCTTCAACCCAAAATTAGGCACATAAAACTCCTCGAATGACAACGACTCCGTCAAAGGCCCCGGCATCAAATCAGGTAGAATATCAAAATGCAATACCAGATGCGCAAGCGCCAACTTCATCAATGAACTAGCCATCCATCGGCCAGGACTACAACGCAAGCAGAGTCAGCGGACGTGCGCATGCAGACTAGATTAAAAGATGACCGGGAAGAACGCATGCCAAGAATCCCAAGAGATTGGAATGATCTACTCAAGGAAGGAAATAGAGAAAGAGGGGAACGACTAACCAAGCATGAACATCCATCCCGAAAACTAGATATTCAGGACTCAAATCTACAAGCTTGGTACCGGACGCACCGGCTGCAGCAGATCTGGCGAATCGAAAGCCATCAAAGACTTCTGGATCCGTGTATACGATACTCGACCGCTGAATCCAGCCGCTCGGGACCCCAACGTGCGTTCCGGGCTTGAGAACGACACCTAAACCAGGGCCATGGTTAGGGATGAACGCAATGTTGGTAATGGAAGATAGGCAAAGCTCACCATTCGAAAGTGGAACCGCTTTAATGCAGACACGGTGAGCAGAGACTGCAGGATAATACTTGTTAGCAGGGTTTTACATGACGGGTATGGGTCGTGGCATGCACATACCAGCTGCAGGAGGATGCAGACGCAGGCACTCTTTGAGAAAACTGTCTAACAAGACCATTTTATCACACGCGGTAACTGTAATTCCCATTTGTAAGGATGTGGCTTCGACTTCTTCGCGTAGTGCAGGAATGTATTCTGGGCGCTGGGCGAGTTCAGCTAAGGCTCCGTATAGACCCTGGAATAGGTTAGTATGTGCATACTGTTGTATCTATTCATGGCTAGATACGCACATAAGCTGTCGTATAGATGAAAGCGAACTGGAGAAGGAGCATTTCTCCAATTACTTCCGAGTAACTCCATCGTTGACGGAGGACAGAGCTCTCGTAGAGCCAACGGAAAATCTCAACCTATGAATTGCTCAGCTCGGTTCTGCAGCTTGACTTGCTAACTAAAGCGTTGACAATAATCAGAGATGTACCGGCTTTTCTGAACTCTCGTGATTGGTCTGCTTCCCATTTCCCAAGTCTCTAGACATATCAACCTCGTACTCAGCTGCCCTTGCATCAAAGTGCTTAAGCAGGATCTTGCGTGAGGAATGCATATTCCACCGGGTGCACATAGTAACAAGCCGACTAATAAAGCCACCAATACATCTATTTGATTTTAGTTTCGGCGTCAGCACTAGTACTATCCCGTCAATATCGAAATCTCACCTCTTCAAAACATCCGGAACCAGGAACTGCACACGAGTAGTCACAATCATGCCGAGTATGTGCTCTTTCACAGCCCCCAGATACTCCTCATCTCTCGCAAGTCGTTCCCCAACTAACGCAAAACTGCCGCTGCGAGCCACAATGGAGTATGCAATGTCAAAGCAGCCAACCGAACATTCTGAATCATGATCAGAAAAGGAAATCCATCCTAGCCAGTAAAGAAAAAGAGGAATAAACTCACCATCGTCCTCAAAATTCAATGTTCTCAACTGCGAGAGAACAGCCTCATTCATAGAAGGAATATACCGATCCAACTGTTTATAAACCGTCCCCCGTATAACTCCCGGCGTAGTCTTCGCAATGGCAGGCCACCCCCCGTCCTTGGGAAAATAACCAGGCATCACATGCGAGATCTGCAGTAACTGGTCGATCCATGGTTCCGGCGATACAACGGTCCGGCAAGAGTTTTTCAATTCTTCAATTAGTTCAGGCTTGCACAGAATTACCTGGCCGGGGCGGAATGTGCGAGGAATTTCGAAGAGGCCGTCTGAGTAGAGGGCGTAGCCTTCTTTTATCAGACCCGGTCCATCGATTATGAAGCGGTATTGCTGGTATAAGATTGAGAAAGGGTTTCTTCCTGTTATGAAAGGGATGTTGTCCTGGGTATGGGATAAGTATTTGGACCAAAGAGATGGAAATGGAAGTAGAGACTGACATTGGCCCATCGGCTAGATGTTACCACCAGTCCGATTGCGATTAACAAGGTAAATGCTGCCCATGCTATCAGGGATCCAATGAGTCCTAGATGGAAATCAAATTGCCCAGCGGGCCAATAAGCTTTTGTGAAGAACATCTATGCCGCGAATAAGTATAAATTGAGAATAACTTGAGAAGTAAGAATGACTTGAGACAGCCCGGGTGTGTAAAAGGAAGTAAAAGGACGTTTATAAAGAACACGGTCGTGGAAGTATTATTACCTTATGGATGTATCAACCACACTTATTTGTAAGAACAAGACTTAGCAGACCAAGTAGCGCCAAAGCAGCGGCGGCGAGGGATGTTTATGACCAGAGAGACTAGGATGTTGCGTGTGTACCGGGTGCCACCATGTAGCTTGGACCAACCCCACTGCTTCCCAGCGGTCAATTATATGGAACCATCTACAGTCATACCAGGCGTCATGATTACAGCACCATGAACGTAATTTTGATATTGGCCCGGAATGAATGCATTGGTGAAGTGGAGTGCATTTCATTAATATGAACCATTAATGCGTCTCTTATAGGAAGGCGCTATACAGCGAAGGCTATGGCTTACATGCAGGCGAGGGAGTCGAGTAATGAGAATGAAGAAAGCAAAGGCTCATATATTTGCACGCGACTCCATCACACATCATAGTTAGGGTAAATGTCGTACAGGGACTCGTAAAGGCCAGAGGCCAACAGACTAGTGACAAAGGAAAAGAAGAATAATAGACAAGAACAAACTCCAGGGATCATTAGCGAATGGATCCGTGTGGTATAATGGTACAAGTAGCCCAATACGCCCGCAAAGAAGAAGAAAAGATTTTAGGGCAAGCAATTTGGTCTATGCAATGCCTGAGGTCTCCATTCCTCCCATGGTCGAATATGAATATGGGAGGTCGACAAGACCGTCAAGAAGCCAGTTCAAAGGATCAAAGACTTCGTAGTTGGGTTCCATGAAGCCACTTGGAAGGCCTCCGACGCCGTTGTTTGGTTGGACACCGATGGCAGCTTGGGAGAGGATTGGCGCCGGTGCTAGACTGGGGTCGCCACCGGCAAGGCCGGGAGTAGATGATGAGGTACGGGGAGGACCCACAGATGAAGTAGCTGATGAGTCGGCTGCGGAATCCGGGTTGGTCGGGTTCTTGAGGTAGGCTTCGATGTTTCTTCCTTTTGTCCGGGCATCCTCTCGCCATCGCCATACTGAATCGAAAAGGAGAGACATGCTCATACGGCACCGGACTTTAAGTCGTAAGGAGTCATCGACGTCGGAATTGCTCGTTGCTGAACGCTGAGATCCTAAGCGCCACATTTGTGCAAGCACTTCTGCTAGACGTTCAGGGAGATCGTTGTTGGAGGCGGACACGCCACGAATGGCCCAGATAGTCCGATTGAACAGATTCTTGGTATACTCCATGTCGATGTGAGCAGCAAAGAAACTCTTGCTCATTTTGAGAAGGGTACAGCCTGCTGCAACCATCATCTGGTAGACGTAATAAGGGGAATATGAGAGGACGGGGCCGACTTCCGTCTCGAGATTCATAGCGACCTCGAGGAACGACGTAGTGGCAACGTATAAAGAAAGCAGACGCTCACGGTAGTCTTTCGCAGAAGGGTCGTCAAAGAAAGCAGACAAATGCAGATGAAGGTTTGCAGCGCGGAGATATAGATCGGTAATGCAGTCGTTCTGAGGTTTGAACTGCTCCTCTAGTTCGTCATAGTCACGCGAAAGGAATGAAAGCATCGTGTTACGCTCTTGGTCACTAGTCAAACCAACAGGGTCTCGTCGGTTAGTGTAGAGAGCTCGAGTGATCCTGTCGCAGAACTTTTCGATCTCCAATCGGGATTTCATATCACCAGACAATTTGAAGTTCGGATCTAATGAATCACTCGATGACAATGTCCAGTCATAGAGTGTAGAAGGAGGCTGGCCATAACCAGTGGAAACTCTGAAGAGAGTTAGGAAAACTGAAACAAATTCTACATGTGAGGGAATACACATACCGTTGTGCCACAATGTTACAAATAGCCCAAGTTCGCACTTTGTCTCTCAACTCCTCCGCGATAAGTTCCACACGGAATTTACTGAAGTCCTGGCTGTGGGATGGTCGATGGAGACCCAGCTGCATGGCCACCTGAATCATCATTCCGCAGAGCATGAAAGTTGGGTCTGTCGAGGTACTACTGGTGGGGAATGGCCATGTACAGAGCAGGCAAAGCGCTTTGACGACATGATAACTTTGTGGTATGTCCGCCAAAGTACTCCAAACGAGCCGTGTGACTGGTCCCGACAGAGAGTTCAACAAACCCGAATCACCCTGATAGCGTCTGGCACCAACGCTGATCATCGTCCAGAAAAGCAAAGGCGAGTTATTGTAATAGTCGTCAGGCGGTTGTTGTCGGTCCAGGAATGGGAGGAACGGATGGTAGTAAGTGAAAAACCTATTAAAATGTAAGAATAAAGAAGTGAGCGTGAGGTGTCGGGGGCCTTACAGATTGAAGAGCTCGGTCACTTTCTCAGGTACGACCATGACATCTTCGATCCGTTTGAACTGCTGGTTTCCATTTCGCATGTAGTTGGAGCCATCATATCCAGAGCGCAGATCAAGCAGCGATGCTACCGCTTCCTGCGAGCCCATATATTGGTCTGTGGATATGGCTGACGGAGTCTGGGTCTGGTAGACACCGGCCGGGCTAACCTGATTGGATTCCTGCTTCGGCGTCAACTGACCCGCCTGAATAGGTTGTTGCTGGTGCATTACTGCGCCAGAATTGGCGCCGGCGATTTGTTTCCTCAATGCAATGATCTCTCGTTCCATCTCAGCATTGCGACTGCGCTTCCCAACTCGCTTGAAACTGGATTCGATTTTGCAATCGAGTTTCAATCGACGGCACCTAGAACAATCGCTCCAAGGATCTTGGCTAACATCGCATCGAAGCTATGATATGGGACCACCGGTTAGCAAAATGCGTTCTTTCAAAATAAACGTAGGGCAATTAGCGTCGCCACCGAGTCGATGTCGCATTATAACAATAGATGCTGCCCACCTTTTGCTGTCGGCATTCATTGCAAGCCCGCTTTACTGGCTGTCGCCTCTTGTCATCTCGCTCATTATCCTCCGCATCATCAATACTCCCCGGAGAGCTGTCCATCCCCGCAATAGTGACATTCCGTTTGCGACCCTGCAAGCCATCGGCCGCGGACATAGAGAGCGGCGCATGATTGACACCCGCCATTACGGGACTTATGACCGCTGGAGCATTATCAGCTCCCACACCCGAATCGAAAGCTTGGGCCGGTGACCCTCCGAATGCGCGTGCTCGAGAAGCCAGACTGAATGACGTTTTTGCCGTCGGGATCAAGTTTCCGCGGGCTGAAAAGGTTGAGGTGATGGCTAGTGTGCAAGCCAGATGGATGACTTATTGCAACAAATAAGTAAATTGCAACAATGACCTTTCTCCAGGTCAAATCAGACTTGACAATCTCCGCTCAAGCTGTGAGATAGATGCAGACTTAAAATGCGCCGGTGAATGACTCAGCGCGGGGGTCGTCAGGTGACTCCGGGAGAACAGAAAATGGCTGAGGTAAGCAAAGCTAATCGGACAATTTAGTATATTTTCTGGCCTTTTACCATGCTGTGCTCTGTTGATACATATTTTTTTTTTAGATCTATATAGTGAATTGAAAGCTCGGGTGGCAGGTTTTTATGCTCTGTAGTAATCCGATGGTTACCACTGGTCGCGTGCTTCAAACGGTGATCGGCAATGGCTGGCGTTGAGTGGATGTGTTGGGTGGATAAACGTTTTTGACCTAAGCCTAGATCAATGTGTGATCTAGAAAGTCTCGGCGGATTGGCCTCTGTCTATACTAAATTCTTTCAAGATATCTGACTATCTATGTACCTGCCTGTTGGTACTGTATTCCTCCAGGCGAAGCTTACCCAATTAGGACACCGCCGCTTTTATGAGGGAGATCAGGCTCAGGCTCTCGCTCATGCTCACTGAATATTTTGCAGTAAGGGCTCACTGAGCTGCACTATAAATCACGTGATCGCTCAGTGAGCACTCAGCACTCATTGATCAGTTACTCATAGCCATCTAACTAACATTTAGTTATATCCCGCCGTAGCCGCTGTGTTTTTGGGACCTCTTCCGCCGATAAGTGCATATATAGTACCCCTTTACGGTATGGCGCCGTCTACTGCCCCTTTTCGCTCGCCGAAAAACATATCCAGAACCAAACTCTTCTTGCAATTGAAGCCTTCTTTGGCTGTTTAAGCATCTCTAGAACCTTGGAGCCCGTGGTGGATTGAGGTAATTAACCCTTATTTCTTTTCAGGAGAGGAGGCTTCCAGTTTCTGCAATGACCTCATGAGACAACGCACTACGAAACATCTGCTTTAGTTACCTCGACACCTACGCACTTGCGAGGTATATTTGTTCTTCTCCACGCTACATCTTATTCATATTCGCTAATAAGCAATTCAGATACTCGACATGACTTCAATTTTGACCCGACTTAAGACCCTTTTAGGGGCCACACCCTCCCTTCAATCATTCGAGAAAATTGGGATTGTAACTGAGGGAGATGACTTCACGAGTGACAAGATTTTGCTCCAGTATCTCAGTGACAACCCGATCAATCGCTATGTCTCAGAGCCGGATGCATGGGCATCGGCTGAGATTGGGAGCAACCAGCAATATAGATTTGATTTCACACTTGTCTACCTAGGCTTCAACGGTCCCAAACGTTGGCTCGTAGCAAATGGTCTGCTTTACTCGGATTCAGATGCTTTGATTGTGGTCTTCGACCCCTTGAACCCATGGGTCCTCGATTCACTCAGGCTGTGTCTGGAGCTGTCTGCAAAGGGAGCTGTCAATTCTAAACCAAATGATTTCTACCCTACCGTGAAGAAAGGGATTCCATGGTTAGTTCTGGCTAATTTCAAAGAAGAGCCATTGGTAGGTTATTCCCCACCGCTACATATTGATAGGACTCGTACTAATTTAGTCTTGTCTATTCTTATTTTAATTAGGATGAAGAGAAAGCCCGGGAACAGGTCAAAGTACTAAAATTGGATACACTAGATGTGGACTGGGTAGGCGCTTTTTCTTACTGAGCATCACCTTCTTTATCACTTCTGGCACCACTGACAATGACATTCTCGCCATAGCATCTTCATGCAGTCTCTACAGCTTCAGGTGCCGGTATTGATGATGCGGCGTCGGTACTTCGAAAGAAGTTGGATGAACCTGGCTCAAAATGGTAGGCTATGGCTAGTGTCGCAATGTGATGAACTTTCGTTTACATGACAATGCCCCACTTTAGTTCGCACAACCAAGCGTTGTCGTAAAAGTCCGTCAGTTCTGTAGAATTATCCGAGAAGACAACTTCTGCCATGATAAGAGTCAAGGCACTTGAGGATCTTTGATAATACTGTTCGTAGATTTCCGATATACTTCCATATAGAAGCGGTGAGCCAGGGCGGTCATAACATGCACAGTAAAGTGGGGCGGAAACGCACGTATTACCAGAAACATTGGATTGAGGGGATTGGCCCTAAAAAGACTCCGTAGGGTAAGATGCTTTTGGGGGCCAGCACGCCGCACTGACATTTTCAGATGAAAGACAGTATAACATCATTGGGCCACGTTTCTCAATTCAAAACAAATCGCCTACCACCTTTAATTTTACACGCCTCCAGAATTTCCCGAGCGGACGGTCTGACCGGACCCTGAATTCCATTTTCCCCTGTAAGCTTCTTGTCCATTAGGCAAAGATCAACAAAGCTAAAGAGAAGGCCCATTAAGGTGCATGGAGCAATTATGTCGCGAGATTTGATTTGTCTTTGTCGTGCTGGTCCTGCCTGGCCCCCGCATGAAGCTCTCGCTAAATTCTGGAGGCTTGACCATGTTTGGGGGCCAAGGGACTTCGTGTGGAAGGTTTATATTCCCTTGCCTTCTCTCATGAGGCTCTGCGGAACACCCGTACTTACTCTGGTAGGTGCGTGAGACTTGCAGAATTCTCGAGGCTCGTCGTCCCTGTCAGTGGAGCCTTTAAGAATGACAAGCACATTGACAAGCACACTGGCAACTGCCAATGCTGCCAATGCTTCATTTTTAACGACGACTTTTGTACCTCCCACCTCATGTTTGAATGCAAGCCCATCCACTCCATTCGCGACTGCTGGTACAGTCACCCACTATCAAGCCCTTGCTTACAGCAACGCATCGACATGTATGCCCCCCGGATGGAACCCAACGTCCTACCTTTCTGGTAATGTATGCCCGAGTGGTTATTACGTGGAGAGTAGCTTGCTAGGATTAGCCAGCGCTACTGCTACAACACTTTCCATGACTTGTTGCCCAACGTGAGTGCTACAAATTACCGATTCCAGACTACCATGAAAGCGCACTAATGTGTTTGATACCGAAGTCACTATGCATACCTTGGCGAGTATGAGAACACGCTGCGGTGCTATTCAGTGCTTCAAACTGACAGCACTGCGACCACGGAAACTGCCATGATGGACTTCCCTGCTGTTTTGCTTAGATGGGATGATGCGGAATCTTCTTCGCCCTCTCCAAATCCGGCAAAACATCTTTCTGTTACCGGGAAGGCTGGGATCGGGATTGGAGTGACAATGGGAGTTCTACTCGGGTTTCTTATTGGCTTTTCCCTCTTCTACTTCAAACGAAGGCGGACGCACGTGGCAGCGAGAGATCAAGAACCCTCTCAAGAACATCAGTTGCTTCACGATGGTCATTCTGGTTCGATTCAAAAAAGCGCTCATTCCTCCTCAGCTCATCACCATCACTGGAGCTCAGTACTCTTCGACTCATGGTTTTATGAAAGCATTGCTATCTGCTTCAGCATCGCTTCCTTCATAGCGATATTTTGCACACTGCTGGTATATAATCAGCAGAAGACTCCAAAGCTCCCCAGCGGACTAACACTGAACACTATTGTTTCGATATTAGCGACCTGCTCAAAGTCTTCCTTGCTCTACATTGTTGGAGAGTGCATTGGCCAGCTCCGATGGATTTCCTTTGGAAAGTACTCAAAACCACTCTCGGATGTTCAGGCATATGATAGTGCTAGCCGTGGACCATGGGGCTCTTTGATCATGCTCCTGAAAGATAAGGGATACTCCCTTGCCAGCCTTGGAGCGCTTGTGACCGTTTTGGGCCTTCTATTTGACCCTTTTGTTCAACAAATCCTAACATATCCTGTTAGAGAAGTGACACAAAATTCATCCGCCGCAAGCATTCAGCAATCTCGCTACATAATTCCCGATCCCACTCTTGGTTCCGGTATGTCTACTGGGTTCTTTGATGCTGCTAACGCTGGAATCTGGACGGATAATTTCGACCTTGAACCAAAATGCCCCTCTGGTGATTGCACATGGCCATTATTTCAATCGGTTGAGTTGTGCACTAAATGCCAGGATGTCACTCCAAGCGCAAAGATACAAGGCTGTCAAACCTCATCCTTCAACATGAGCTCCCGACAGGACCAAACTATATCTTGCAATATTTCATTGCCACAACTCTCCCCCTACGAAGGAAGTATCTCTTTGAGCTACGAGACAATGCAAGGTATAAAGCCTATCACAGAGATGGTCATTCCAGAGAAGGTTGCCTGGGTGGGTCATAGTCTGCCTTTGGTCCAGACACTTTCCAACAAAACCATAGGTGGGGTGGAGAACCCACTCCTTGTTATCGCACAAGCCGAATTCAGCTTGCCAGCTTCAGAACTGGTCGAATCACCGGGCAAACAATTCTTTCCAGGAACCAACCTTGGGCTCAGAAATGTCACAGAATGTGTACTCTCTCTTTGTAGCAGAACTTATAACGTGTCTGTTTCGAGCGGCCAGTCGTCAATTCGGGTCGAAAAAGAGGATTTTGGAAACTTCTACTTCAAGCCCCTCAATGGCACCACATGCTGGAAGCCAAGCTCCAGTCCCTATATGAACTCGACAAGCGAGTATGCTTTAGTAGATTACTCGTATAGGGTGGACACAGATAATTTCGCATTCTGTGGTGCACATGCCAGTGTGTATCAAGATGCTCTCCCCTTTCCAGGAGAAAAAGCATGGACATTCTCCGATACTACCCCTTATTGGATTCTTGAGACGACGGAAAATATCACGTCTTCTGAGATCAAGAAAGTCTTTGAGTCCGGTCTCGAGACAACTTTGAGCAATATAGCAGCTGCAATTTCAAAATATGCCCGGGACATGAGTGGTATAACTGTGTCCGGCCAGGTCACCACTAGCGAGTCATACGTCTCTGTTCATTGGCCCTGGCTGATTCTTCCTGCCTTGTTGCTCTTGCTTGGAGTTGTTTTGCTGGTCTCAACTGGAACTCTTAACAGACGCCGGAAGACCAGTTTATGGAAGTCTTCTGTTCTCCCTTTGATTTATCATGGGCTGGAGAAAGTTTCGTTTGACGGATGGGATGGTTATGAGTCTATGAGCAAGATGGAATCATCTGCGAGCGAGACAAGAGTCAAGCTGGGGCTGCCAGATACGGAGAACAGATTGATGCTCATAGAAGATGTGAGGAGGCCTGGTATCTCTACCACAGGAAGCTCCGTCAGTAATTTTGACGCCAAGAGCACTGCTCATGCTGTGACAGAACGACAGAGGATAACACGACGTTACTCGTCTGTCTGGTAATTTCTTTCCTGTTGGAGGAAATGCATGGTATCAGAGTGATAGATGAGCATACTACTTGTGCAGACTGTTATTCATATCAATCAATTAACACTAGCCTGGAGTCATTCAATTATCGTGACCTAATCACACATCCGGCCAATTCACGTGCCGCCGGAGTCACTAATGGGGCCTGTCTGGATACGGGCCGAAGTCGAGGGCGAAGTTGAGAAGTTACCACTTGGACAAAATGGGACCACAATCTACTCAATTAGTATTTAGATTTAGATCCTATCTCTTTTGTATCTGTGCTTTATACTCTGACTCTTTTATTCAATTACAAGAATTTTAAATACTTCTTTGCCTTTCGAGCTAAATGTATAACGCATATCGAACCATGAGACTTGTGCATAGAAGTAATACAACTTCGTACTTTAGATCGAATCTCACCTTGGGAGTACTTACAGCAATCTATGTTCAAGATTCATAGCTACTAAAATTAGTGAAGGGGCACTGCTACAAATAATGTCAAAGTGTAGAACGATATGAGGTCATGCCGATCGGGCGCAGGCTTACGGGTACAAGCGGCGCCGAGGCAGTGCTTTATCGCCGGAGCAATCAAATGAGCTCATTGTGCCCCGTCATTTCGCACCCCCGCTCAACCCTGTCTATCATTGCTTGATCGCGTCAAACCCCCACATTTTACGAGTTCAAGGGCACGCTGGCCGTGCCCGACTGGGAGGAACTACCGAATCGGGGATTTGTCTTCGCTTCCAGAAGCTTTCTGATCCGCAAGGCTTACTTGGGCGTCCATCGATCCATGCACGTGTCCCTTGATCAACCTGCATACTTTCTACATCAATCTTGGTATACGGGGCCATCCAGTGACCACTACATCATACGATATAAAAGATATGAGCACCCCTCGCTCAAATTGATAACTCGCTTCATCAACATTCTCAGCCTTGTTCAGTCCTAACCATGACTGCAACCAAAGAAAAGACGAAAGAGGCTCTGGTCAACGGCTCTGAACTCAAGGATCAGGCCGACCAGCGACCTCCCTCATACGAGAATGACGAGCACAAGCTATTTCTCGCGTTGCCCAAGCTCAACCTTGGTCAGCCCACGGATATCAACAGTATTGTAACCACGAATACTGTTACTCGCGACCAGTGCGTCGCGCACCTCAAATTTCTTGCTGTCTTAGCAGATCTACGAGACTCTATCTCAAGCCAAGATGGCCTCTTCGGTCTCTTCGACTCTCAGGCCGAAAAATTTGCTGAGGAGGCTGCGCTAGCAAAGGCTCGTATTCGTGAGAAGCGCTGGGCTGTCTACGTGGCCCGTGCAGTAGACCGGTATGAGAAGTGGTGGTTTGCCGCCCTGCCTCAATCTCGGCCATTTGCGACGATGGCAGATCAGGAGAGCACGAGATATGAGGAAATCACAGACTGTGAGATGATGATTCTATGGGATTCGAACAATCTGCCCCCAATCGGTGAGTAGTGATGAACCCAAACTATGACCACAAACTAACACAAGTCTAGATATCTTGATGGTCTGGCATTCTCACATGCTTAATCCAAGGAATTTCCTGGAGGACTGCGTTCGTTGTGGCAAGATGAGTATCTGGAGAACAGGTTTCCCATTTGAAGCTGTCAACCAATGCATCGATGACCGTACCTTGGAGTATGCCCCGAGCGAGGCTAGCCAACAGAAGTTTGAGAAACAGATAAAAGTCAAATGGGATGGTCTACATGATCCCCCAACCAAGGACCTTGAGTGCCCGTCCTGCAAAAAGACAACCCCAGTCTTGTGGACCAATGGCGAAATAAACTCATCACTCGACAATGCATTCGCAGAAAGCACCGGCTTTTCTGACAAGAGCTTTGCAATCACCTGCCAGCACTGCCTCCTCGCAATCGATCACGGCGTACTTAGGGTTGCCAAGTTCCGATTTGACCTACTCGAATTGATGGAACACGATCTTCCCATGCCAGGAACGCTATTGAATATAAATGGAGTCGCAGAAGGCCCCGTGAAGCGGCCCTATATTGCCCATCAAGCAATGATGTTCCCTAGCAAGTTGATGCGAGCCTGCGGAAAGGACTTGGCAGCATATACCGATGCCAGAGTAAACCGGTGCCGAAACATCGATGACCTCCGCAGTCAACTGGAGCTCAAGCTCCGTGACAGGAAGGCCCTGGCAGCAACCTACGCTCGACACGGAGCCAGCGTCCGACCAGGCGAGAAAGTACACTTCCGACGCATGATGTCCCGATACTGGGACAACTCCAGCCCATTCGCCCTCGACCTAGTCGGCGCTGTGATCCGCCAAGGCACATTCGTCCTAAAAATGGAAAACATCGACTGGCTCCACTCGCCAACAGTCATGGACACAGCCGATCGTCTAATCAACAAGTACAATGTATTCCTCAACATTATGCTCGCAAACCCCAAAGAAATGGCCGTCCCAACGCTAGATGTCGATCTAGCCTGGCACACGCACCAGCTCCAACCAAGCCAGTACTACAAGTATACAACAAGTCGCTCAATCGGTGGAATCCGCCGCTTCATCGACCACGATGATAAAGTCGACGAAAACAGACTTTCGGATGCATTCCAATGGACTAGTAAGATGTACCGCCGTGCTACTAACGGCGGCATCTACAGCGAATGTACATGCTGGTACTGCGAAGCGACCCGCGCACCAGATCTATACGACCGCATGTTCAATATCGGCTCTTCGTCTCGCGCACGCGATACAGCAGATGCTTTACACGACCGCGCAGATATATCCTCAGACCCGGATAAGAATCCTCATATATCAGCGCATAATGCTGTCCGTACGGCTCACTCGGATACAGCCGCTGCCGTCAAGGCTAATATCCAGCGTATGCGTCTGCACCGGAACTACGAGAAAGCCGTTCGGCGGGCTGAGAAACAGGGTCGCCCGCGTTCGGATTCGCGGACTACTCGCGATGGTAGATATGAGCCTATGTTCTATGCGCCTTATGTCTGGGGTTATCCTATGTACGTTCCCTTCTATGGACCGTACATGTGTGATCCTGGTATCAGTGCTAGCTCTTATCCTTGTAACCCGGGCTGTATGAGTACTGCGTCGGGAGCCACGGGAAATTGTTGCTCGGGCACTTGTGGTGGTGGTGTTGCAGCGGGAGCATGTGGTGGTGCTGGTACTGGGGCTTGCTCTGGAGGAGGAGCTGCTTGTGGTATGTCTTCTTGGTATCTCTGCTCTTGCTTGTGATAATGCTAATGTTCTCTCAGGCGGCGGCGGCGGCGGTGGCTGTGGAGGAGGTGGTGGAGGAGGCGGTTGTGGTGGAGGAGGTGGTGGTGGAGGTGGAGGCTGTGGAGGTAAGTTTATTCTGCCCTGTATTCACTATGGGAACCAGGTCTGACTCTAATTGACATAGGTGGTGGTGGCTGATCTAATGGACCGTTATGATATGAATGATTATTTAAACCCGAAGATCTCTCTGTTTCTTACTCTGCCATATTTTGGTGATAATGTTAGTTTGTTTTGCTTTATTAGCTTGTTGTGCTTCATTTGCTATATAATGCGGGATACATTGATAGGTACATATGGAATTTATTTGTCCTTTTATAATCTTCAACAGAATACTGGGAGACATCCGCAAAAGATCGATGTTTAGATCAATCTCTCAAGGCATACCGGAATGGCATTGATCATCCATCTAGATAGTGGATGTCATGTATATAAATGGCGGGAAATATCTATTCGAACGAGGGTATTGTGGTCTCAGAATGGACGTAAAGAAAAGACAACGCTACATAACCATGCACTTATTTCTTCGTTTTCGACCTCGTTCCCGAATCGTATGTTCGTTCCAGTCCTGAATGCGCCTCCGCCACTCTTCATTCTCTGGCGGTGGCAAGCTAGTGGGCTCCGTTGAGACTCTTCGCCGGAAAGATCTTTGTCTCGCAGGTATTTGATCCTCATCTTCTGCATCAAGGTCCAGCCCATTTCCGTGTGGCTGTGGAATATGCAGAAGGTTTGGAGATGACACGGCATATGAGAAATAGTTCTCTCCAAGCATTGTTGCTCCCAAAGGTATTGGAAGGTCGGTATGTCCCAGTTCTTCTGCGGGTTGAACCGCTAACGTTGGAAGTGGTTGCAAAGGCGGGAGCCGGCCTGTGGTGATTGGAATAATCGGGGACGCTGCTGTGCTTGGACGAGCGGCGGTCAAATGAGCCGGCAGCGGAGGCAATTCTGGAACAGGTGGGACGTAAAGTTGTTGGTCTTGGTTCAAGGCCTCTAAGGCAGCTGAAGAGCCCCTCCTACTTCTCCCAGAGCGAATGGTGCCAGTAATAGTCCCCAATCGCTGGATAATAGCGGATTGAGGCCGTGGACGGTCTGTAGGGCTTTGCCGTGAGACACGAGCAGTGTGCGCTCTCTGAATCTGATTGTTAGATGGGGTCGATATGTTAGGAGTGGACAGATCGCGGCGATGAGGAGGTATATCTGGGATGGGCGGTGTTGACAGTCCCGGCATAAGGGTTTGCTGCAAGTGATCTGGCAGCGGTGAATCAGGCTCGCGCTTATAAGGTGGCGGCGGCGGCACCCAATTGTCTGCATCACTTTCATGAGGAACGTAGCGATGATTGGGTGTACTGCGATACCGGGGGTCATAACGTCCTCGCGTTGATGCTGTGGCTGTGGCGGCGCGATGAAGTGTTTCTCCAGAACGAGGCTGTTGGTTGTCATATGGAACATCAACCACACCATTTGAGTTCACTCCATTCAGTGCAGTGGGGATTGCTAGACTCATAGGTCGTTGGCGATCAAGGACCGGAACTGTTCTTGTCGATGGCCGAGGGCGGAGACCAGTGCCTGTCGCATCTGTGTCATTGCGAACTAATCGTGTGCGCCTTCTTTGTAACTCGACTTCTGTATCTAGAGAAGAGTCTGGTTCCAGTAGCATCGTTGGTGATGTTTCCCCAACTTCGATATCAAACTCAATTTCCTCGCCATCAGTGGTCGACCTTTCAAAGTCTAGGAGAAGGATTCTTCCGCCGTCCACGGGGACATCCTCTTCGCCAAATAATTGAGGGCGCACACCACCAGGTGCGACAGAAACAAGACGTCGCTTGGGTTTTATAGAGGGCGCCGAGTGTACCCAACGAGTTGATGTGATACCATGCATGTCAGTCACACGGCGGCCACGAATCAAGGCTTTGGATTGTTGAACTAGTTTTTCAAGTTGTACTAGGTTATCACGAGGTGTTTCAGAGCTAGAATAATGATGGACACCACCCATGCGGGTGATAATTCTCGAACTTCCATCGGGAGCTGGATCTGTGGGCGCAACGTCAAGTCGCTTGGGTACACCATACAACCATACTTCAGAGTCCTGGAATCCCAAAGCTGCAAGTTCACCGGTGTCGTCAATAGTGGGAAGCATAGCGGGCAGCATCTCTCTTGATTCTTCCGCCAAAAATGGACTGGAGAAGTATACACCACCTGCGTCCACGTTATTGACTCTGATTGCTCTGAATGCTGCCAGTTGAACGTCATATACAAGAATCCAACTATCGTCGCCTTCATCATGCTCTGAAATCAAGCAAGCATGAGTAAGTCCACGGGCCATTTCAGGAAAGAGGATTTGTGTTGTCCACATTCGCATTTGAACTTCCTCTGGCGATGCATCTGTCCCAGTTTCGGTATAGAATGGAGCTGTAATAGTCACAATGCCATCCGTCACGTAGTCCACTGACGACCCAAGTAACATTGATCCATCCGGGGTGAACGAAAGTGCATCGACGCGCAAACAGCGTGCTGCGCGACGCTCAGTGGTCAATGTCTCTTCTCCAACCGCATGGACTTCGATACTGTCCTCGAATGATAGGGCTAGTACACTGCCTGTTGGCGAGAATGTCAAGTCGCGCGGAGCATCATTTACAATGATCGATTGAACCCTTTTAGCTTGGCCATCGGAGAGCCTGTAAATGTTGACCCGGTAGGATTCTGAGAGAACCGCAAGCAGCGATCCGTCATCTAGAATGGTAGCGCCGAGTGGTCGCCGGCGGGTTTGCAACTCATGTTTGACAGAAACTGGATCACTAGCCAATTCCAGCACAATGATCCGAGAAGAGCTGATACATAGCACCATATGACCATTGGCGGAGAATGAAAAGCGAAACACTTCGCCCTGAGGAAACGCTGTGGAGGAGCTCATAGAGCTTGAGATCAAGCGCACCAAGGTTTTACGAGGCCGAAGAAATACGTCGAATGCATTGCGACGGACCTCTTCGATAAACTGACGTTTCAGGTTAGACAGGCTGTCCATTTCGCCCGGCGGGGCAAGAGCCCCGCATGACCAAAGGAATGACGGGCATTTAGATAAATGATGAGCATATAGTGCAGAGGATTCCGATATATGTCGCCATTGATGATTTAAAAGGGCCAGAGATGCAAAGGTGTTGGCATCTGCAACATAAAGAATGCTAGACAGGGTGCGTCAGCCAAGATGGGGTCCGTCTGGCCACATGGACCCTGAATCTCAAAGAGAAACACGTACTACTCGATCACAGAACTTGGCAACCGGGCAAAGGCGCACGCTTTACTGGGGGAGGAATCCTCCATGATCACCAGCGATTGCCGACATACGGAATTGAAGGCATCCAAGATGGAGTTGCCCTTAGTGGCGGTGCACCCCAACCTCCTTCATGTCGATCTCGATATAAATAGAGTGGGCACGTGGTGATGACTAACCAACCCCGCATTCAGTTTAGCTTCAATTTTTTTCTTTTTTCAAGTGTTTGGTCATTGGTTATCGCAGTCTATCGGATGAACTACCCCATCATTTTTGACCATGTGTGAAAGTTGACGCCAATCTACAAACCGAGAGCCATGAAAGTATAACTATTACTGAGCCACGGCTGTGCTCCTCCAACCAATCGACACTCAATGCTTGTCGCATTCGGCCGGGTCATACCCCTCATTCTGTCCTACTAAGATCGGCCGACTCCGAAAAGTCCCCGTGGGTCGTATTTCCCCAGATTATTCCCTCAAATTCCCCTCTTCCCTGCAATACCTAGGGTCGCGCATCATGTCGCCCGCACCCCTGCAAGTCAATCCCTCCTCCAAGTTGCCATCGCCCGGCTTCAATGCCGGTGCGCGACCCTACCGATCCCACAAAGTTCGCGCCTGTGATCTCTGTCGCAAGCGCAAGTCTCGGTGCACAGTTGACATCCCCGGACAGTCATGTCTCCTGTGTCGCGTGCAGGGTGCCGACTGTCACTACCAAGAAGAAGCTTCTGCGGAAACCTCAGTGCTGAGCACCTCCGAATCGAAGCCGTCGTGGCCAGGAGCCCAGCCAATCGAGCCCGCATCGGGCCACAAACGCAAGCGAAGTCCCGACAGCTCGCCCAATCCAGGCCCTCATATTCCGACGCGCCAGTCGACCAATGGCCCAAGCCCTCAGGATACCAATTCGTCATCTGGGCGTCGCGGGAGTGACTCACGACGGAAAGGATATGACGACGACCGCCACAACGAATCAGTTCTCATTGTTGGTCCAATGATAGCAGAAGATGCGCAAGTTATTGAGAAGCACATGCCACCCGAGCGATCGAGCCTTTCCGAAGAACCCAAGAGACACCCATACAATATCTATTCAAGCGACCCTAGGAAGCCCGTCCTCTACACCACTATTTCTCGGCGGCGAAAGGGTATGCGCATGGGGGTTCCACCCGGTGAGAATCAAAAAGAGATTCTAGAACAAATTCTTGGTCCATTTAAACATGACCTTGTGAGACTGTAAGACTTGGCGCATTCCCCCCAACAGTGACCAATGGACCCTCATTGATATCTTTATTTCAGATTCATCGACCGCTTTAACACCGCTTTTCCTATTTTCGACGGCGAATCATTTTGGGAATCCTATATCACAGAATCTTTGGAAGATCCCCCGGCCTCGCTTGTCTGCCAGGTTTATTCCATGTCTCTAGTTTACTGGAAGCACACCCCAAAGCTAGCGTGCCACCCCAAGCCAGACGTACGATATGCCGTGAACATGACCGTTGCGGCCTTGCACGAGGAGTTTTCTGCGCCTGGACTGTCCACGATTAGTGCCGCACTGATTGATTTGACGGGCCGACCAATCTTCTCCATGACAGGCAATGCCATCAGTTGTGGTCGTATGCTTTCCCTAGCCAATTGCCTTGGTTTGAATCGGGATCCGTGCTTGTGGAAGCTCTCCGATCAGGAAAAGAACCATCGAATTCGACTCTGGTGGGGGGTAGTGATCCACGATCGCTGGGGCAGTTTCAGTCACGGTGTGCCTCCGCAGATCTCCAAGACTCAATACGACGTTCCTCTTCCCACCATTGACAGCTTGGTGCCCTCAAGCATTCGCACGACAGAGCGTGTGAGAGCAGCACATTGCCATATCTCCTTGTGTAAATTGACTGAGATACTGGGTGAACTCTTACCTCTTGTCTACGGGCTGCAAGCAAAAATGGCGCGAGAAACCTCTAAGAAGATCAGACAGATCCGCACGGAGTTGGATCTATGGGAGGATTCTCTTCCCGACTGGCTGAGAGCACCAGAACATCACAACCGCGGAGAACAGGTGTCTGCATCTAGCAGTCTACAGCTAGCATTTTTGGCCGTCAAAATGCTCGTGAGTCGTGTGGAGTTGAATGTAAGACCTCCCTTCCATTCATTTCTTGTATGCCTGACTGACATGGATTCTAGGAGGTCAACAATGCGGAAACAGATAACCCGGAAGCTCGCCGCTACTTTCAAACCGAATGTCGACGATCGGCAGAAGAGATCGTACGATTCATCACATCCCTCCGAAAAGAGAATTTCAAGGAATTCTGGCTGCCTTGTACGTGATTGACCCACCTCCGTCGTCCTATACACATTAAACTCACAATTTCTATAGATAGCGCTTTCCACCTAACATCCACCGCCACTCTCCTCGTCCGATGTGCTCTCGAAACTAATGACAGTGAGGTCTCTCGCTCCTGTCTCGCCAATGTCGAGACTCTGCGAAACGTTCTTCGTCGAGTCCGCGAAGAAGAAGATTGGGACGTGGCGGATATGTGCCTTGACCACTGCGAGCGAATCATGCATCGACTTCCTGGCACTAGCTCCACAATGGATCAAACATTGACTTCCTCCATGAATGATAGCGGACTGGTCAACCCAGCTGCTATCTCACTACCGGAGACACAAACCAATAACGATATCGTTGATGATATGATGTCTATATCCAATACTTTCGGCACGATGGATGGTTTCCCTTTCGACATGACTGGTATCTGGGATGTCTCTGTCTTCCAGGATGTCAACCTGTCTTAGTTGCCACATGGTTCCCTACCAGGATAGCTTTTTAACATAGCTCCCTGGGTTGGTTACCCTCTATCTCATGATGAATTCTCTGGTTGATCTTTGATATCCTTATTGGGCAACCGGACGTGTACTTTAATTCAACACTGTATATACCCAGGGTCCAGCACGAACCCCAACCCGTGCAGCAAATAGTTTTTATCAGTCTCAGTTTCTTCATATTAAAGCATCTGACCAAATTTTAAAATGTACATTGAGAATCGAGAAACAAGTAGATCGGACACCAAACGCTATTTTACAGTCGTTCCGGGAATCAATGCTCAGAACGAAACCAAACCATCTAATGACCCGCCCCTTGCCCATAAATGACAAAAACACAAACCCCGTGAACGATGAGTTGGGAGAGATAAATCAGGTTAAATAAAGCAAGAGCAAGAACATAGCTTTTCTCGCCTTATAGGGCATGACATGACACCAAATTACTGCTTGTCACCGCCAACGCCGAACATGCCAGTGAAAGAGCCCTTCATGCTCTGCATCTGCTCTTGACGAGCCTTCTCTTCCTCAGCGGCCATCTCAGCAAGCCACTTCTCACCGTTCTCACGGATCTCACGGTCAATCAGCTCGTAGTTCTTCTGACCACGCTCACGGATCTGATCCCACAGCATCTTGCCCTGGGCAAGGCCCTCGGAAGGCGAGATCTCGCCATCCACAGTGCGGGTGGACTTCAGTCCAAGAGCGGAAGCAATGCTGCCCATGCTGATGGAGGGCTTCTTCTTCTTCTCCTCGGTGAGCTCCTTCTCGAAGCGCTCACGCATGGCCTTTTCACGCTTGGCGAACTCAACGGGGATCTGGCTACCCTCGAATGACTTCAGCACGGGGCGCACATCCTCAACACCCATACCGGCCATGTACTCCAGGAAGGGAATCAAAGCGACCAGCGTCTTGTCCTTGGGGTCACCGGTCCACTTGTCCAGGATAACGGCGTTTTCGGGTTGCAGGCGAGCGTGCTCCTCCTTGGTATCGATGAGGATCACTTTCGACAGGTCACGGTTCAGGTAGGAAAGATCCTAGCATTTGTTAGTATGTAATCCTTAAGAAACGCTTGTTCCTGTCTTACCTTAACGTACTCTCCGTCCTTGTAACGAGTGGCCTCACGGAAGAGGGGCCAGCGAATAATACGGTAGGGGTCGAGTTTGCGGAGAACCTGGTCGGCCATCATGCTGGGCACAGTGGTGAACAGAACAAGCTCGTAGTACTGATTGAGGTAACGAAGGAAGTAGTCCACACCGGGACGCTTAGCCACACGCCATCCGTGTTCACGGCTCCACTCGCTGTGAACGAGCAGATCCTCCATACTGAGGACAAGTGTGTATGGCTGGCGCAGGGTGGGGTCCTCGTCGGGAAGCAGCTGGGGGAAAGCCGGGTCCTTGTAGTAGCTAGTAAGTTCACCGGAGCGAGCCTTGATACGGCTCCACCAGAGACCAGGGCTCCAACCAGAAGGTTGGTCGGCGTGAGCACGCTGTTCCTCCTCGGTCTCCCAGTTGCGGCCCAGGTAACCCAATCCAGCAATACCAGCACCCAGCATCACGGCGTACATGATGTTGGCCATGCGGGCCTTGCGGCGGTCCGAAGAGGTCTCGTATCCACTTTTGGGGATATCACCACCTCCCCGGCCATCTTCACTGTATTCATCGGATTGGGTGTGGTCCTCGGTGATGTTCAATGGGCCGCCTTTCTTCATGCGGCCTTCCAACTCGGCGGCCAAAGTCGATGGGATACCTTGAGTCAGGTCAGGGAGAGGCTGGTTGGGTATCTGTTCAGGTTCGGGCTAAAGGGAAACTGTTGTCAGATGGATATTCATCATTCCGGCATGACAAGTATGTATCTCACGATGTTTGACTCGGCCGCGTCAGTCTCTGGCTTGGTCTTGTCAGACTCGGATTGCTCCGATTCGGGCTGCTTCTTGGAGGTCGACTTTGTGGGTTTTGTCGACTCATCCTGCATAGATTTGGGGAGCTCATAAGGTGTACCCTTGCCCTTGGCGTACCACCGGGGTTGCTGAACAGACAGGGCCGAAACTCGTGGAACGCGCGAAGCCCGGGCGGCAGAGGCGAGGACATTGGGCCTCGTTAGAGGCAAGACGGCGCGACTCAACATGGTTGGGATATTAGTGAGAGACAAATGTACTCATGCCTCTCTTAGTATACGGAGTCGCGGACATCCGGCTCGAGTTTCCCGTAGAAAAGTCGGAGCGCGTGAACATCCGGCGACCCACAGAATCCAATGATGCAATTTCCATTTAATTCTCCGCCGATCGTTTTCTGACTTCTTCTTTTCTTTTTCTCCTCATGAAAGTTCACCCAGTCGTTAATTTGACCAAGTACGCGCTCTTTACACGCATGCTGGGTTGAAATAGCTGGGGAGACAAAGGAAGTTTTCTTCTGATCCCGCTTCCAAGAGCCGCAGCATAGGTTTTGCCTTTGATGTTGCAGCTCCGTATGTGTGGACACATTCCCTATTCTATTCTGCCTAGATTTGTGGTTAATCTTTGTTCTGATCGGTCTGTCTGGCACTGATGATCACTATCAAGGCTATTCTCGTCTTCAATTGAAAAAACAAGTTCGAAAAATGGAAATCTTGTCCAACCCTTAGACTCGTCACGCGTACTTCATAGACCTCGGATCTCGTTCTCCCTTTTTCCCGTTGCGTCGCCACAACATGGCCTCGAGAGCCGCCAAAAAAGCCGCGAAGAAGGCCCAAGCAGCCTCTGAATTCTACGATGGCGAAGACTTTGTAGAGCCAGTGTCTCTACCGACTTCATTTCGATTCTTCGATTTGCCATCCGAGATCCGACTGAACATCTACCATTTTGTTCTTTTCACGCCGACGAAGAAGACCGCAAAGAAGAACGCTGGTACCGTCGGTGCCTCCGCGAAAAAGGCCAAGCTTGTAGCTCCGGCCACACAGCGCATAGCTCTCTTCCTGGTCTCAAGACGTGTCCATGAAGAAGCGAGTCATTATTTCTATTCGTCCCAAATTTTCCGGGTCTTCTACATACAAGACTTTTCGCGCCGACCAACCCTCCGAGGCATACCCCCGTGCTACCGTCCTTTGATCACCACCATTGAATTGATTCTGGGAAATAGCTGGACAGCACCACCGAAATCATGGGCCGTTGATGATAAAATGGGATTGCCTGAGATGACTCTCTTGCACACATTAAGGGTGTTTGTCGAGTGTGATCCCTCGCAGCCCATCTTTGAAGGCTTCCGGGTTTCGAAGGAATACTATACCGAATTCTCTGGAAGATTGATCAAAGAGATTCTGGATCGACTGCCAGCTTTGAAATTCGTGGAATTCGACGCATATCCGTCTGTTAAGAGGGACGGCTCTCTGATGACCCGATTGATGAAAGAGGCTCGAGCAGCCAACAAGAAAATTATTTGGGGCCCAGAAAGGGGATGGACAGACGACGATGATGTTGGTTATGTCCATATTGAGGATCCGATTCCAGTCCCGGATTACCTGCCCTCATACACGCCTGATCCCGTTGATGAGTTGGAAAACAGGATTCAGGAACTGGCTCTTGGAGTGAGGTCCTAAGCACTGCTTTGATTTAACGTTAGACGTGCCATGAAATTATGTACATACATGTTGTGGCGTTGAAAGGAAGGTTGATACGATCTGGAGCAAATATATATAGATTATGATTTAGACCATGCATATGTGATGATCCATATTTCAACAGTTCAGGTTGCATTTTCCCCTAAACAGTGCTCGAAATATATATTTATGTAAATGCTTACATACACACACACTCAGTTATATGAAGGCACCAAATTTGGAGTACATACCTGCCTCGTTTGAATAGGTTGTACGTGAGGTATATTCTGACCTTTGCCTAAGTGGGGGCCTATGCCCACGGGTCTCGCGGTCGATGTTTACCTCCAGGTGAATTCACCTAGATCCATGGATATATCCATAGATGAACTTCATGACATACCTAGTCCCGAAAATATAGAAACGTCAGTGTAGGCCCTGGGGTACCTAGATACCCAAGTGCTCCCGAGGTCAAGTGCTGGTTTGATTCGCATACTGCGCAACCTTGGAACCCGCTTTATGTATATATCTTGAGACCCTCTAGGCTCTACCCGTAGACCGAACATTGCAACATTAAAGGTTGGAGAACATAATAGATAGGTACCACCTGCTTGCTTAGGCACCGGTGGACACCTGGGCAGTGATTTCATTGCGAAAAAAGTGAAATTTCGTGATTAGAGCGTTTCAGTAAGATTCAAGGTTAATGCACCTTCCAGGTTCTAAATCTACAGCTCCTCGTCAACATCCATGGAAGCATTGCCATCCTTCGGCGCCTGTCGGGCGACCGAAGCTTCCTTATCGATCATCTGCCTAGAGACAGCAACGATGTTATCTTCGATCAGTTGCTGGCTCACATCCTCGATATCTATGGGCTGAGATTAGCATTTCTGTGACCTGAGTGCCCAACTGAACCGGAACTTACGTTTCTTGGGGTCAACCTTTCCGACATATCGTGTCTTCAGCTGATCCTTGGTCAACTCAGTCTCTTCCTTCACGCGCTTCTCATAACCCTCAGCAAGGCTGACAAGCTGCTTCATCTGGTCCACATTGTGGTGGCCTTCCTCGTGGAAGTCGTTCATTTGCAGAGCCTCTGTCCACACTTGCTTGTGCAGATTCATCAACATGTTCTCCTCCAATCCTGTCTTACGATAGTCGATCGCGATGCTGTAGTAGTGGCGATTGAGACCGTGGATCAAAGCTTGAATGGAGGGCTTGTTCAGGTGACCCAAGTTGGAGGTGGTTTGGCGGGGCTCCTGGCCCATAACAACTGTCTGAGGCTGAATGAGACGGAAGGCATCGATGACAACCTTACCCTTCACAGACTGGATCGGGTCAACAACAACGGCAACAGCACGGGGGGTCAGCTGCTCGAATGATTGCTGGGTGTTGATATCGACGGAAGAGAGCCAACAGCCGAATCCAGGATGGGAGTGGTACCAGCCGACAACGGTTTCGGGTCTATAAAAGAGAGGATTAAGAGTCAATAAAGCGTTTAACTTCCATGGGTCCTGTGGGGTAGCTTACCGTCCTGTTTGACGAAGCATCTCCATCATCTTGGTCTGGAACACAGGGTCCACGGCCTCAACACTAACACCAGTACCGCTCTGAGGCATAGCAAAAACATCCACCACACGGACTGTGTATTCATCCACAAACTCTCCCAGCATCAGACCCATGACCTCCATAGGAACACCAGCGCGGCCGTGGCGCAACATCTTCAACAGAGCCAAGGACGAAATGTGAACGGTTTCGGAGTTATCAATCAGGTTGGGGGTGTCCTAAAATGTTCTTATTAGCAACGTGAAGCTTCACAAGACGCAAGTATTGCAATCGGCAATCGGTGATCACAATGGCGACTATTGAGAGGCCACGCTTGTTGACTTACACCACCTGGAGCAGCGCTGCCCATACCCATGCCTTGGGCAGCCTGCAGCATCCGGTTGAGACGGTCCATGGCTGGAGTCAAAAATCAAATGAGATGTGAAGAAGAAGGGTTGTGAATGATAGCTTCCTAAGCTGGAAGCTCCCGATTGGGCGGAAGTGTCTCAACCTTGTGAATCGGCTAAATGGCGATTTATAAGCAAGGATGGTGGTCACAAGACGCGTTCAGTACCACAAAGAGTCGGGATGAATTATTGAAACAACTTTTGGCAACAGTGAATTGACGAGTGAGTGCCCTGGCCAAGTGAAGCAGCTCGGGACCCCAACTGACGAAGGCGGTCTACAATTTTGCCGGTTCTCGCTCCTTCCCACGCGGCGATCGATCCTCTCAAGCCTCTCCTCGCTTCTTCTCCGCAACATCATGAGCTTGTCAAACCTGACTTGCTACTGTGCATAGTTCTTTCTGCTTGCATATTGTGGTGTCTGGTCGCCGTTTCCCTATTCCTTAGGGCTTTGAGAGACATCTACCCTGGATTGTCTCCCTAACCCGCATACTTCCTATATCCCAACCTCTTTTATTGATATCCTCTACTCTCCCTGAAATACTTGACGAGAGCCTCGACTTCACCACCGCTCGATATGGCGGCCGAACCCATGGCCACTACGGGGCCCAACCACAAGAAAGTCGCCTACTTCTACGACTCCGATGTGGGAAATTACGCCTACGTCTCGGGCCACCCGATGAAGCCCCATCGCATTCGCATGACGCACAGCCTAGTTATGAACTACGGTCTGTACAAAAAGATGGAGATTTATGTGAGTTTACTTGCGACAAGTCCTGACCCGTCGGTTGTGGGAATTGGAATTAATGCGCAAAACCATATAGCGTGCGAAACCCGCGTCGAAATACGAAATGACCCAATTCCACACGGATGAGTATATCGACTTCCTTGCGAAAGTTACTCCCGACAATATGGACCAGTTTTCCAAGGAGCAGAGCCGATACAACGTTGGTGATGATTGCCCGGTGTTTGACGGTCTTTTCGAATTCTGTGGAATCAGCGCTGGTGGCAGTATGGAAGGTGCTGCGCGGTTGAATCGCGGCAAATGCGAGGTCGCCGTCAACTGGGCTGGTGGTCTGCACCACGCGAAGAAGAGCGAAGCCAGTGGTTTCTGTTATGTCAATGGTAGGGCGCGATCATTACCACGCCTGAAGGGTTCCTTAAGTCCTAATGAATTCTCTAGATATTGTTCTCGGCATTCTTGAGCTGCTTCGATTCAAGCAACGTGTGCTTTATGTCGATATTGATGTCCACCACGGTGATGGTGTTGAGGAAGCTTTTTACACCACCGATCGTGTGATGACTGTCTCTTTCCACAAGTACGGCGAGTACTTCCCTGGTACTGGTGAGCTTCGCGATATTGGTGTTGGCGCAGGAAAGAACTACGCTGTCAACTTCCCTCTTCGCGATGGTATCAACGACGCCTCATATCAAAGCATTTTCGAGCCCGTCATCAAAAGTGTGATGGAATGGTACCGCCCAGAGGCTGTGGTGTTGCAATGTGGCGGTGACAGTTTGTCTGGCGATCGCCTGGGATGTTTTAACTTGAGTATGCGTGGACACGCGAACTGCGTCAACTTTATTAAGAGCTTCGATCTTCCCACCTTGATTCTTGGTGGCGGTGGTTACACAATGCGCAATGTTGCACGTACCTGGGCCTTTGAGACTGGTATCCTTGTCGGAGATAACCTGACGTCAGAGCTTCCATACAATGATTACTATGAGGTAGATATCCCCTCGATTACTTTGCGCTGGATTGCAAACTAACAAGAATCGCAGTACTTTGCTCCTGACTATGAGCTTGATGTTCGTCCCTCCAACATGGACAACGCCAACACCAAGGACTACCTGGACAAGATCCGGATTCAAGTAATTGAAAACCTCAAGCGCACAGCTTTCGCGCCTTCAGTTCAGATGACGGATGTCCCGCGTAACCCACTTGTTGATGGCATGGACGACGAGGCTGATGATGTTATGGATGACTTGGATGAAGACGAGAACAAGGACAAGCGGTTTACCCAACGACGCTTCGATCAGTACGTGGAGAAGCCTGGTGAATTGTTGAGTGATAGTGAAGATGAGGAAATCAATGCCGCCAACGGTATTCGTCGCCAGCCGGGTGCTATGCGCCGCCGAAACCAGACCAACTATCGCAACTTGGATGACTCCGGTCTTGACAGTGGAATTGCTACCCCTGCAGAGGCATCTTCAGTTGGGGATGGTGAGCTAGACGCTACCATGGACACCAACATGCCTGATATTCCACGGACAGAGCCCGAGGCATTGACTGCCGCTGCCACTTCGAACGACCAAGATACCCCCGCTGATGTCGATCAAATGGTTGTCGAGGGCGAGGAGAACGGCCTTCCTGCCGTTGCATCTCAACAGCCCTCCCCTCCCTCGCACGATACTGATACAATGATGGAAGACGCTGCTCCTGCCCCGAAGGAACCTTCCGAGTCTGCCACTGATGCCCAAGAAACCAAGCCCGAGGCATCCCCTGTTGCCGAAGATGCTTCCAAGGTACCATTATCTCCACCCCAGGCACAGTCGCCCCCGAAAGAGTCTTCTGCGCTCTCAGCAGAGCAGGGTGTCGACACATCAACGGCAGGGCCAACCCCCGCTGGAGGTTCAGAGACTCAGACACCAGCCGTGGAGTCTATTGAACAACCCTCCAAACAGGAAGGATGAACAGCTGTGACACAGCACAATCAATATTAGATCTGGCGCAACGGACAATGGGCAGAAAGGTGTTATCGGTTTGACAGCGAACTAACTAGGATCAACATGGGGGGCGTCGTGTCTCTCTTCGCAATGAAATGGGCGAGATAGACTCTTTACCCTGTTAAGAGGCGAATACCCTCATGTCTCTTGGAGCAAATTTATTTCATTTACAAAATCTTCACCGCAAACTTTAAATCTAGATAAGTCGAGGAAGTTGCTCCCTGCGTACTTTGGAGCGTATCTTGTTTTTGAACAACAGGATGTTAGGGACCTGTATTTCCTGGACAAATGCCGCTCGCATAGTTCTTTTGAATTCTCATTACTGTATTTTGAAACGCATTTAGCGATTGAATAAAGACCATCTCCTATCCTTCAAGCTATGATCCGCTTATGCGTTCCAATTTACTTGTCGTGGTACTCGAGTAATAACGTAAGAGCTTAAAAAGCGGCACCCCCATGAGATTTGACCAGATTTGTTGTGCTGAATTCACTTTTCAAACATGCAAGGGCCTTTCAAAATACCATTTGACGAAATCAAATATCGGATGTTCACTACGATGTAGAAGCATGTTGATCATGTAGTTCCGTAGAGTATTACCACGTGACTTGATATAGATACCGCATCGGGCATCACGTGCTAGCTCCAAACGGGCTTAGTGCTAGGGCTACCCGTTCCACCAATAGACCCGCGCCAAGAATTTCCACATTGAACGCACAAGCGAGAAACCACTGTGGACGATTCTTCGACTCGACTTGACCTTCAGTCGCCAACCCTTTTCGCCTATCCGACAACCCCCCGTGATACTCACCCATCATGTCTAAGAGAGGGTAAGTCTGACTTCCCTACCTTCGGAAACACCGTCAAATCCAACCGGAACACTTTGTGAACGCTCTCGACAATCGAACATGCACCTTGAAACATTCAACCATGTCGATCTTGAGAGAGAGGGAACCGGGCGGACAAGACGACGAACACAGCAAGCAACAGAGCAGGAATGCTAACGTTTTTCTTACAGTCGTGGCGGTGCCGCCGGCAACAAGCTGAAGATGACCCTCGGTCTGCCTGTGTACGTTTGAAGAATCCCCAGAATTTTCTTCCCAGCCCTGTATCTCGCCCAATGAACCTCGACAACGTCCAATGCCAATCGCCAATATCGACCTATCATCTGCCACGAATCACCGGATCCTCGACATCAACGCCACTTGAATTCGGAAAGATCACGAGCAGACTTGGCGGGACAAACGAAACTATTCGGCGGGGTGCACGACATGGGAAAAGAATTTTCGAATATGGATTCACGGAGAATATTAGCTAACGGACATTTCGTCTAACAGTGGCGCCGTGATGAACTGCTGCGACAACTCCGGTGCTCGCAACCTGTACATCATTGCCGTCGCCGGTACCGGTGCTCGTCTGAACCGTCTCCCGGCTGCCGGTGTCGGTGACATGGTTATGGCCACCGTCAAGAAGGGAAAGCCCGAGCTCCGTAAGAAGGTTATGCCCGCCGTTGTCGTCCGCCAGAGCAAGCCCTGGCGCCGGGCTGACGGTATCTACCTGTACTTCGAGGACAACGCTGGTGTTGTAAGTGGACACTCCGCTGTGTTTCGGGATGGATGTGCAGATGGGTTGGGGTGTGGCCATGTTTGGGAGCAATCTACGACTTGCTACACCTCTTCCCATAATGCAGACCCAAGCCCAGCCTTGGTCGATTATACATTTACTAATACGCCTTGTCACAGATCGTCAACAACAAGGGTGAGATGAAGGGTTCCGCCATCACCGGTCCCGTCGGTAAGGAGGCTGCTGAGCTTTGGCCCCGTATTGCCTCCAACGCCGGTGTTGTTATGTAAAGAGAGAGAACCGAATAAAACAACCAAAAATGAACGATACCATCCAAACCTGAACTCATTGGGACCTGGGAAACGGAGTGCATACGAGGCATATTGTGGAACAGGGTGCGGAGGTCCAGACGAATCCACCTGTGTTATTTCGAGCCGGTTTTCCTTCCCAAATTCGTGTTTTTTATCTCTTTGAACACTGGCGACTCGGAAGTATTTTTGAAAAAAATTACAACCCTTTTTCATGACGATCCGTTTCTTGTGGGATGTCGGACTTGCATAGCACCAGGTGTTGTCTCGGATTCGATGTCTTCAGCCCTTGTCGCGTGGGTTTCAGGCGGGTTCATGAATCTGATGACCTTCGGCTTGAGATTTCCCTAGTAGCTGTGTAGATGTATGTCTATGGAGTAGATAATCATCCATGCAAGACATACTGTCCCGGATCACACTTTGTATATTATCTTTGGGTGACATTACATCTTCCTTCACTTCCCCGGGCCTAGAAGGGCACTTGTGGTGATTGGCCCTGCTTAAGCAATTCTTAGTTGACTTGGTGTCCCCGCAGTTGACCCCAGAGCCTTAATGCTGCCAAGGCCGTAAACACCCCACCCTAAGATGGGTGGCATGTTTGATCTTCAGGGCTCCAAGTATAAGAGAGAAAAATTGATATATTCTAATGTTCTACTTCGGCACAGCTACAACCACCGAGTTCCGCATGACAGCACCATACGTCTTGATTTCCACCACCATCAAGCCCGCCTTGTCCAAAAGCGCATGCCACTGGTCAACAGTCCTCTCCATCGCGCCGTGCATGATATACATCTGCATATCCATACAGGTACTCCACCAATGAGTACCAGTATTAGGGAGAACCACATCATCAATCAAAATCTGCGAATCATCCGCCATGGCCGGCACAATATTTTTCAGGATCTCCACTGCCTTGTCATCCTCCCAGTCATGGATGATCATACGAAGGTAGTAAAATTTAGCACCTGAGATGATCAGCAACAATCCTAGTCTCGAAACTATCAGTGAAAAGGGGGTTAGGGGCTTACCTCTGACCGGCTGCTCCCTGAAGAAGTCATGCACCATAAACTCCACCCCATCAATCTTCGGCGCACGTTGGAAAGTCTCCTCCAGATCCTGGAGAACAACTCGACCAGCCAGATCGGGATGCTTGGATAGAAGTCGCAAACATTGGTGACCAATACTACCAGCAATATCAACAAATACCTTTCGGTTAGCATTGCCGTCCGCAATAGACCGCGTCTCATTCGCAATCGGGATAACATCAAGCCAGCTGCCATCTTTCGGAAGCATCATGATACTCATGAGTTGCTGGAAATATTTCAGAATCTCAGGGTTCTCCTTTGCCCATGGGAAGAAATCTAGCTCGGTATTGGCAGCCTTGTGCCAAGCACAATGGCCCCCGGTCGTGTTTTGGTAGTTGTTTTCCTGCAGGTATTCCGGCAGGGCTTGCCAAGTTGGATTGCTGATGTGGAAGCTAACCAATCCCAAATCCAGTCAGCGGTCGAGTGTTTACATTATACTGAGAGATATGGTGACCTACCCATGCAACAGCCCACCTCGAATTCGAGGGTCAGAGAGTCCCTTGGTGTACTTGTTGGCTGTGAAGTAATCCTGACTCGTTTCCGTGATCATGCGATTTGCTGCAAAGAATCGCAACAGCCGAGATACAAGAAGCGGGTCCGCGCCTTTTGGCACTGATAACTCTTCTACTGAGTGTGGTTCTGTGCGGCTGGTGAGAGTTGTGAAAATTTCTAGGTCGTATCCGATCTTGATCATTGCCATTTGTCTGCCCTGTTTTGAATTAGCTTGGTGTTTACTTTGTACGTTTGTCGGCATTTGATGCCGCACAAAGGGACGGACCTGGTTAAGGAGCCGGTACATCATGTCAACGGGTGTCTCCAAAGCCTCTGCAGCTTCGTACAGCCCATCTTGGAGGCGTATCCTGTTGGCCTCGTCAAGGTGGGAGGAAGCCTCCAGAGGGGCGATGAGGTCGTCCTTGCTAGGTTCTGAAGGCATGTTGCTTTCCGGGGACAATATTGAGAGAGGGAAGTTGAGTGGTACTCAGTTATCGTAACATTATTATTTCCTAGTAACTGAGAATCTCGGTGTTGGTTATTCGGGACTTGCTGTTGTAACATTCCATCCGTTTCCGGCTTCCCGTTGATCCCGTTGACTTCCCGACTTGTTTAACAACTTTAAATTGCCCATAAGGCGAGCTTTAATTATTGTAATATTACAAAATATTAGCGGTAGAATTATTAACAATTATAGTCCAGCTATGCCAGCTATGCTGGCCAATAGGTTGCGTCGTTTGTAATCTGCTGTAATCTTTCTTGCATCAGGTTGCCCAGCGCTGGCAAGAAGTCCAAAGGAAGGTCATTGCCTGCAAAAGCTGGTTCACCAATCGTACTTCCATTATATCGCTCAGTAAATTGCAAAACCAAGGTGGCCACTTTGGAAAGTTCTTCAAATACTGGCATGGCCGTAGCTTCGTTTCCTGGCGTATCGTGGAATTTCGCGATTATCATCGCGTGTATATCAATGATAGTCATGCAGACAGCAGATATCAACATTGCAGTCTCGCCCTTCCCAGAGCAAGGGCAAATTAAAATGATAGAGAGACGGTTCAGTACAGCGGTCAAGGTCTGTGTTGTCGTATTAAGTAGGCAAGAGTCTACCGACGACGAGTACCTGAGCTGTGAGGCAGGAACCTCCAATTCGGAAAACAGTTCCACGATAACCAACGTGCAGTCTTGATCAACTGCATGTTGCACTTCGGGGAAAATGTCTTGTTGTTGCATAGAAGAGTGTACAAAGTCTTGATTAGGCCAGACATCGGCAGCGGTGCCATGCGTACATGACCCGTTGAGTCGAGAGACTATTTTATTTCCCTCATCTATAAACCTGATTGGCTTTATAGTCCTTGTAGAGCGTGTTTCTGTTTCTTCGCCATTCTTTCCTTTTGAAGAGGAATCTTTCGATCGATGGGGTCGTCCCACCCGCCGTGCAGGGCTGTAAAAACACGTGTATCCCATTTTCTCACAACGCGCACATGAAGGTTTTTCTTTGGTACATCGTATCTTGGAGATAGAACACCTATCACAAGAATCCTTGAGCTTTTGAGTTTGTTGAGATTCAGAGGATGCTTCAGATGAGATCTGTGGTGGAGTTTGACTGGGCTCCATATTTGCCCAGGTCGCCGTCGCGATATGGGTTTAATTTGAAGGAAGTTAGAGAAACAGCGGTGTCTCGAAAGCGAGTTGGCTGTTCAGATTTCTGTGGCCTCTCTCAAGAACTCAATGAGAGCGAAGAAAGCGGAATGCTTCCAGGAACAGAGGAATATGCAGTCATGTCCAAGTCAGCGCTAATGTGTCAGCTAAGCGACGCTGCGTTGGATGCCCCTCAAACGTGAGATTCGCTAGACGCCATCGGTCGCAATTGAGCGACCACGTATGTATAGGAGTACAGTAAGGTAAGCCTGCAGAAATTAGGCCATAGGGCAAGGACATTGGTATTCATCCAATAAAAACGCTAAAAAAAAATTGGCGTTAGATTTCTTAATACCAATTTAGCATAATGAAACCTGGCGCGATAGATTAAGTGGGGCTACAGTCGGCTGAGCCTCGTCCACAGCTCTCGACCTCATATTCGAGGCCGTGGAAAGTACAACTTCACAACCAAGGCTGAAGATCGTATAATATATAATGACCAGTGATGGATTATAACGAATCGCTCCATTTCCAGAAAGAGGGACATGAAACCGCCTTCTTTCCACGCTTGTCACCATCCATTGAAACAGATCCCTATGATATGCGCCCCAGCAAGGATTGGGAGTCTCTTCCGACTACATTAACCGGCAATATCGAATACTGGGGTACTGCACTCCAATCTACGGCACCTGCCCAGCCCCTACATCCACATGTGGAGTCTAACGCAGACAAGGATCTATTCCTAGACCCCTCATTCGAAGTTGACCCCAATGATGAGTTCAACTCCGGTTTATACCTGGATCAGTCCGCTATAACGCCACCATTTCAGACCAGTACAGCAGCTGGATCTTGTATGGACTTTTCTCTTGGATCTGAACACCCTGATAACCCAATGCTGGATTACTTTGCGCTTCCGGGCTATTTCTCGGACAACCACAACCAGCACCAAGCATTTGAGTCTCTCTATAATTCAAACCTTTGCTTCGAAGTCTCACTGCATACGCCTATCTTGACACCACCACCAACAGCAACATCCACAGCCTCCTGCCTGGCTGAAAATCGCACTCCATGCATTATCACTGCGACACACTACCTTCGCACACTTCACACCCGCCAAAATAATTGTCTATATCAACAAACCTTTACGAGCCAAGAAATTAATGAGCCCGAAGCTCCACGAATGTCCGGCTCAGTTCTCAAGTGCAACAAAGAAGCTGGCATGTCAGTCTGCAGCATGCTACAATGTGCATGTGCTCTCCGCCCACAGAATCAACTTTTAATAGCATCAATCTGCTCTCGACTAGTAGTGTGGTATCGAGCAATGATCCGTGCATGCTTCTCCCGTCCTGGAAGCGGTTCAAGCGGGCAAGGCTTTCCTGGAGAGCCAGATCTGCCACAAAAAGTGATCCATGAAGCAGTCACTATTGGTGACCACTTGGTCGACAACCCGGCCTTGGGACAGAATGTTCAGGCTCAGGTTATCCTTGGGGAACTTGGGCATTTGCAGCGTCTTGTCGATACCCTCTCGGTGCGGATCCGACAGACCGGTATGAATGCCGGTGCTGATAGCTCTTCTATAGGGCTCCCGCAGATAGCACATGACCGATTAGTGACGCATCTGTCTAAGGAGGTCCAAGCGGTTAAGAATGATTTGATTATGGCTCTGAGATAGCTATTGGTTCTTTGAAATATGAACAAATCAGTCAGTTGCAGTTCAGACGGCTTGCTTAGTAGCGTAACATTCTTGCTCAATTAGATCACATCCTCGAGCGCATCAAAGCAAGGAAATGGGCCCGCCTTAGTCAGGTTCTCAATGTAATTCGTCTGCCTTGTCAGTTTGACTCTTTTATTCAATGGTAATTGGCCCCTGGCTTGTAGATAAGAGGAGGCGCTAGGTTGACAGGGGATTTAGCTCGGATTTCGTGGCCACCCAGACCAAGATGCTTGACTTGAACTATAAACTCGGTTACCTGCACTAGGCGACTCAATGGTAAGGACCTGTTTCCTCTTTTGGACTACTCTAAGATGTATTGAGGTCCCACCTCAAGGCTATGATACAAGCCAATGAAATCCAGCAAAAAGCGGAGAGTGGGCCCAACTTAACTAGATGACAAAGACCATACTAACAATAGTTCAGCTTTGGAAGTGACAGATTATTCTCGGGGAATTTGAGATTCAACAAATTGGTATGGGTGCTGGTAGTGACCCGTCTATGGGGCTAGCCTTGAAGAAGTATGACCCTGCGCTTCCTCGCAGGGGACAATACCCAGTCGCCCTATTTTGACAACATCGGTACTCGAAGTACCATCCTGTGCAAGCCATTGGAGGACATGTGTGACTGGATAGCTTCTCAGAACGAGCATCCCAGCCAGCTGGACTTTGACTTTCAATTCAAAGACCGTGATTTGGATCTAAAATCGATGAGTTAGAGGTGGAAGTTGAGGAGTTGAATGAGGAGTTGAGAACGAATGAAGCCCTCATAAACTGATAATGGTAGGTCACAAGATCTATATTTTGATCAACAATACTTGACATGTCTAACGCCTATACCCAATACTTCCAAAGTTCTGGAAACAATAGATAGCAATAAAATGATGATCAGACTTGAGCTATATTGTACAACTTAATACACGAGACTATACATTTTCCCAAACCTTAAGGCTTGGCCTTAAGCTTCCCACTTGGTATCTCTGTCTTTAAAGCCGCATCCACGACCTTCCTAGACCCCCCATCTCTAACAAATCCAGTCAAACCCCAAAGCAAAGCAACAACACCCGTTACTAAGATACTAACATGCACCGCCCACCAAATATGCTGCACACCAGCGGGGCACATGGTAATCTCATAATCCCATTCACCGAGATCAGCATCAAACCACATAGAAAGAAGTCCAGCATTACCACCAAATTCGCCCATCATAGACCGAAGCGTGACTTCACGGATGGAGGGACCCTGTGTTGAATCGTTGTGTTCGTTCTGGGTGTACCGTCTGGCAGCCCATTTCCAATTTTGCGATTCCTCATTTTCCTTCTTTTCTTCCTCTGCCTCTGTTTCTGTTTCTGGGGTCGCATGCTCAGCATAGTGCACTACATCACAGCCTGTATGGTCATGGCCAGTGAGGATAAGTCCTTTCCGTCCACGACCACCCATGAACGCATTCTCATCCCCGCTCATACCGAAAATACCACGGAGGATACCGCTGTCACTAACGAAATCACTCAGATGATTTTGCTCCCGCAAACCACCAGCCAGGTAGCGTGGGACGCCGTCAGTGCCTTCATCGTCGTCTTCCTGGTGGAATGTGAACAAAGGGCCATCAGTGCAGATGCCGTCTTTCTTGTGCAGAGGTAGATGGGTAAGCAGCAATGTGAAAGCAGATTTATCTTCCACGGGATAGAGACGGTGGCTAATAAGGTCGTTGAGGTAGACGTAGCTCTGGGACTGGAGCTCAGATGATAAAGCAGGTGTATCCATGATGAGTGTGTTTAGGTTAATAACGTGCAATGTAGGCGTAACAGGTGAAACAGAGTCTTCTGATTGTTCTGGGGTACTGTCATTGATACCACGTAGAACAGGCGGGTGCTGGAATCTGATATCCCAGTTCGCGCGACCAAAATCACGCTCGAAGCGGTCCATCCGCGCTTCGCTCACGTCTCCTGCGTATCCGATGTCGTGGTTTCCGGCAACATTGATAATGCGTCGTGGCCAGTCAGGGTTGGATCCTGGGCCTAAGGGCTCAAGGTGTTTGTCTGATTTATCTTGGTCCGCGGTGTGGCTGGCTACAGCACCGGTCCAGGTAATATCGTCATCGACACGTAGTCCGCCTCGGAAGACTCGATCCCAGTACCGCTGGCTCCGGTCCGAGAATTCTTCGTCTGAAATCCATTGGCTGCCAAGCAGATCGCCGAGGACGGTGGTGTGTGTAGGGCGAGTCCACCAGAAGAGTGTGCGGTAGATGTGCGCAAGGTAGTAGTCGTTCCCGAGGAGATCAATGCGTTTTTGTGTTGCGCTTAGTGAGCGAGGAATATCTTCCTTCGCTAGTGTCCAAAGACCGGTTGTGATGTTTGAGAGCACGTTGGCGTTCAGGAGGGAGAGCGGCAAGGGTGTTGTAGTTGAGACATTGCCAATTGCTTCTTGGACGGCGCGCCAGTGTGTTCGCATGCGTGGGACTAGTTCAAACTCTGGGAATGGGAGGGAAGTATCGCCTTCTAATTGAGGGTCTGCGAGGACTAGGAGTCTGAAGATGGCGGGCTGGTTGTTCGTCTCGGAGTCTGGGAGGAGGTGCTGTAGGAGGGTGTTCGTGATGGCATTTTGCTGGAGTTTATCTAGGGCTGAAGGGGCTTCGGCCCTTGTCACCTGAGTGCGAGGGAGAGGAAATGCGCAGCCATTGAAAACGGGGTATAGATATAGGTAGATTGTTGCGGCGGCGCTGAGGGGGAGCAGGATCGCGAGGATGCGGGCGAGCAGCGAGCGGAGGGACATGAGGATGATATAGGTATTAGAAAAGATATCAGGATATAATATACAGCATATTGAACGTAAAAAGGAGTGTAGGGCTGCGAGGAGTAGGTAGGTCGAGGCACTAAGGAGGTAAACAGTGAGACCTCCGCGGCCGCGTTAGCTCACATGTCCATAATGATGGCACGGAACCGAATTTACACCCACGTTTTGTGAGAGATCACGCGATAAGATACTTGTTCCTTGCTGGAATATTCAATACTTCCGTTATCATTTGGAGGTTTTTTTTTGTTTACTTACTTTTCAAAACTATATCTGTTCTGCTACTTAGTTTTGTTATTGAGCAAGTGCCATGGAAAACATATACTGTGAACCTCCAAGGCTTGAGCCTAAGTGCGGGCACTCTCAAAAGTCATCTTTTCCCCTCAAGTGCTACTCTTAGATCATCGACAAAGTCAAACCTCGGAATTATAAAGCTATTAGAATTCAAGATTACTGGGACAATAAGAAATCCACAGAATATAACGTATATAGAAGAGATCGGGGACTAAGCCACTACTGCGTCCAGCATCCATATCCTCAATAAGCTAGGCCATCATACACTGCCCGCATAAAAACCCCTTCATATCCACGTAACTGAAACAGAAGAAATTGGCATGGGCCAAGAACGAAGGGAACAGAAAGTCGGAGCGAGGGGTATATCACATCAAACGCCAACAGAAGGGGGGATAAATGGCCAATGGCAAATATCAGAAGATCAAAAAACATAAAAGATGGGGAATAAATCGGAAGGGGATAGAAGATAGCAAGCATAATTAAATCAGACATAGATGGCAAGCAAAAATGTAGATGGGAAGTGGTATATGGCCAGCAGGAGCAATGTTATCAAAGATTCAGATAGAGCAAGATCACTGTGAATCCATCTTCGCTAGGGGACTAGGAAGGAGGGATGTGGGACCGGTGTTAATCTCTCCAAGAGGGTTGGATAGAGTGAGGTCATTAGCGTTGGAGTCGGCTTCGATTAATTCGCCCTTGGCATCCACGTAGGAGTTACCAGCCGAGGAACCGGATTTCGTCAGGTTGAGACCCTCGATGCGTAGTCCGTCATCTTCTTCTTCCTCTTCAACCAGTTTCTCGGTCTCCGGGACAGGGTTGCTCATGAGTGCAGGTGGTCGTTGGTTCATTAAGCGTGCTTGTTTGAGACTGATGGTCTTTTGTTTGTTGGTCGATGATACAACCTGATCTAGATCACGCTCGATGGTTGCCTTCATCAAAGCGCCCATCCACAGGCGACCCTCCTGGACGCTATCGACTTGGAAGTAATGGGTCGTAGGCTTAGTGAATTGCACAGTGCGCGAATTGCCCATCTTTGGAGGCACCAGCTTGAAGAAGAATGGGCCACTCAAGTCTTTGCTCTTCAACCCGGCGAGGGCGAGGGCATCGGGGGTGACAGCCTTGGCACTGTTCTGATCTGTGGAGCTAGCATTGGCAGGAAGGGCGGTAGAACCAGTGACCGCTGCGTGCAGAGTGATAATGGGGTCGTTGTCTGCCCGCAACACGCGGTGGGCCGTGATATCAATCAAACCTCTTTCTTCAGTGTCATCTTCGCTGTAATAGTAGGAGAGACGACGACCACGCAGAACGAAGAGTCGAGGCTTCCAGGTCGTCATCAAGTTGGATGATCTCTTCTTCATCCACCCACTATAGTCACAACCATCCATCTGCTCCCGGGGCGGCTTCTTCTCTAAGCCACGGGTGTAGGCACTAGTATCCTTCTTAGACTTGACGGTTCGAGGGCGAACAACGAATCCCGCAGGCTCGCCAGCTTTGCCCGAACCATCCGTGCTGTGTCGTTCCGAACTCTTGGAAGTGGCCGACGGGGTGGTGGATCCAGTACGACCAAAACTAGGATCAAATTCCTTGGGGGAGACGGGTGAAGGGGCTTCCTTGTTGGCAGCATCTGAGATGGCACGCATGCCTACCGCCCGTCGCATCTTAGGGCCGACATTCCTCAGAGGCTGGAAGTGCGATGAGCGTGAAGAAGTTTCAGAGTCAGAACCCTTTTTCGCCACCAAAGGTCCGAAGCTTGCAAAGAAGCCAGGTTTGGTGTCAGATGATTGAGAGGTGCGACCACTCTGTGACGAAGAATTGCGTTGGCTCAGACTCCGCAGTCGGGACTTAGCCGGAGAATCATTGTAATTCTTGGCAGCATCGGAGATATGTTTATCAACATCGCGAAGTGAATCGACACTAGCGATTCGAGACTGGCGCTTTGGAGGTTTCACCATGAATATGGGCTCGTCTTGGTGGCTTGACTTCCGAGAATGGCTGTTGCTACCGGCAGTTGATGTCCGTTTCTGCAAGACACGTCGATTCCGACGCGAATCAACCTCTGTACCAGAGAAATAGCCCCGGTCCAAGTCATCAGTGGCTTCAGGGGTGTTGGGTTCCGATTCGGCTGCCCCGCGGAAAGCCCGATAACCCTCTGTCGGGGTACCAACCGCAGTTCCCGGGCGAGGGGGTAATACATATGATCCTGATTGAGATCCTCCATTGAGCGTCCAGGTCCGGTCAAAAGACGGCTTCTTGGGATGGCTATGGAATTCAGAATGGCCGCGTTGCGTTGCGTCGATGGAAGAGTGTCGGCGGGTGTGATTGAATTCACGAATTGACGCCGCGGACATTCTCCTTGACTCATTGACATACCGAGGAGGAGTCATGGGGATAACTGGGGAGCTTCCGTTGCTAGCGAGCCGGGGATGCTGCCCAGGTCCCATGGACGACCGTGGGACATAGCCTGCGCCAGTCTTTTCTGAGACAGTCGGAATTCGGGGAAGGAAACCGCTTGTATGACCAGCACGAGACATTGAGCGTTCTTCATGGGGACTGGGATATCCAGCGACGGAGCCTCGGGGAGGCTGGGATGGTTGCTGTTGAGGTTTGGACATGTTGACTTCCTCCTGGAGGGCTTTGATCTTGTGCCATGTCTTGAGACGCTTGCCCATAACACCAAAATCGAACTCCTTCATAAATACGAAATCTTGGTTCATCTCAAGTAGCACATCACCCGTAATCTCCTCGTTTTCGAAAATATCGCAGTGTTTAGAGTCAACGCCGAGGCTTCGGAGGTGGTTGGCGGTTTCGGTTTGATTCCACCGACGTACCTGTTCCTCAGTCAATGTCGTGCCCTCCTCCTCGTCGGTTTCGTTTCCATTGATGTATGACAGTCGATGGCTGATGTGGCTGCTGTATTCGCTCCCAGAGTCATTAATGGTCTTGGCATCCTGTGTTGACACGCTGTGGCGGGGCGTATTCATATCGGTAATGTGCTCATCAATCACACTCAAAGTCTCATTCATTACGGGACTTTCCTGGCCGTTTGCGTGTTGTTCAGCGGATGGGCGCAATGCATTTTGTATGTCGGCAGCTAGGCTCGAGTACGGTAGGGGAGATGAGGCAGATCGCTGCGATGGAGAATCCATCGGGGGCGCTCCAGGGACGCTGCTCTGCCGTGATGCCTGCGGGGTGGTTTGCTCGCTTCTCATGGCCGAGAATGAGGTCTCTTTTGGGGTAGTTGGTTCGATCTGCACGGGCGACTCGGTTTCTTCTGAAGTGATTACCCCCTGGGATGATGGGTCAATACGAAGAGTGTTGTGATATCTGGAGTACTCGTGTCGCTCCGCCCTTCTCGTGAAGCCTGCTCGACCGATTAGTTTCGGTCCGATGAGGGCGATTTCCATGTGCGCGTACCTGCGGGGAAGAGACCCTTAAGGTCAGTACCCGGATATTCGCCGAGCCACCAACCATCTCCAAACTCTTCATCCAGCTCCACCAGCTGGATAATATCGTTGCGGTGCATTGTCAATTCATCTTCGCCGCCGGTGTGAGCATCTGTATTGGGTTAGGCGCATTGTCCTTCAAAACGGCCGAGGGGGAGCGCAATGCGCGACAGTTTGCGCGCGCGGTCTCAACTTACGGACAACCACGAGATAATCGCCAGCCTGAACATTTGGCGGTGGTGGCGGTGGCGCCAGCTGCGCGTCGGCCATTTTTGCAATCTTTGGGGGGCGCAAGTCCTCCGGTCGCGCAGGTATCGTTGAAGCGAGCTGAGAGAGGGGATTGGGGGGGGAACTCAGTCGCAGGACATAGGGGCCCGGCAGCCCTTTCGGGGATGAGCAATAAACAAGTCAACCGCCGGGCTAGTAATCTCACGAGAGAGAAATGTGAACTCGCTCGGACAGGGGAGAGAATGCAGAGGGGTCGGAATCTAGCGCGCCAGGCTCGGCTTAGGTCAGGCCAATGGTTCTCGTGGGGGTTCTGGTAAGCACGCACCTCGTAGTGCTTCGTGCGCACTTGTATGGAGACTCAACGGCAGAAGATCAGGATGACGGTGGAAATGGTGGAAATGGTGGCGTGTGCCAGATACAGATCTATCATGCCACTGTAAAGTTTGACAAGGTAGATTTGAGGAGTCTGGGAATCTGAGAGGAGAGTGTGGAATGGGGTTGAAGGTCCACAAACAAGAACCGAGCGACCCACTGCAATAGATAATAAGGGAAGTTCCAATGTTCTTAAGAGAGAGAAGAAAAGGTAAAATATGGGTCTTAGGCCAAGAGTGACGTGGTGTGGCCGTCAAGTAGTGTTCTGGGCGAGTCCACGGTTGAACTTTTTCGGGGAAAATTGCAATGTTGAGCTGATGGTTGTACGAGGATATTCAGCCGAGGAGAAGAAAAGGATCAAGTCAATGGGTTGAAGTAGAAAAGGAAACGATGAATTCGTACAGGAATTGGTGAATTGGTCAACGTGGATGAATCCGGTCATTCCACTGATAATTGTAATTCCATTTCCTATACTCCGTACTAGTCGCCAATACAGTACAAACTATATCGAATCTCCGAACACCAATAATATTGACTCTTTCAGACCCCATCAAAATCAATATCGGAGTAGAGGGATTCAGGTCACTCTTTATTTGATTTATCCGAAGGTGCTATGGTACTAAGTACCTGCATCGTGGTGTACGCGCGCGCCAACCCTTTTGGTCACAGCGACGAGGGGCATTTCTTTGTTGCGTTTCTTTTTTCTGGTTTCTTTCATCTCTCACCGATATAAATTAACCTCTTCTCTAGAATCCCACTGAATATATGAGGCAGTTGAAGCCGTTGTTTATTTGCTTATTTATCAAAAACAAACAATTCTCGAATAAGGAAAGAAGCGGATTTCCAGACAAACATTTTCCATGTCCGTGAGAAGTTCTCAATGTTACTATGAAGCCTTCTACTCAACCGCTTCCTGCCGATCATGTTGAAAAGTCCAACACCACTGCGAATCTCTTTTTAGGTGGTGTGCGGAGGAACTGGATGGCCGATGTCCGTCCAGCTTCAACGCACCATGTTCCTCCATCTCCGCCTAAAACCAATACTGCACCTCCGGTTTCCGAGCGCCCGGAAGTTGCGCCCATGTCCCCCGTCACACCGGGGGGTATGCTGCAATCGGCCCTGCCACCCGCAGTGACTGCAGTGACTGCAGTGGCAGTCACTGCTCCCAAGAAACCCGATCCTCCAGCAACTGCGCTTCCATCTCCTGTACCAAGTGCAGACTCTCATCCAAGTCCCGTTATTAGCCATCCGTCAACCGCTAGTCCCGCGATTTCTGCTGCTCCACCGGTCGCGATTCCTCGAGCTCACCCGCAACCTATAACCCCAACATCCGTCACAAATGAGACCGGCCCTCGTCTGCCACACCAACCCGGGATGAGCCAAGTCTCACAAGATGCTCTAGGGATCACAGTCGCACGTTCAAGCTCCCTGATAAGGACGGATGCGCGGCCCGGGCCCATGCACGAGGTACATGTGCACGAGGCCAATGCAACACCAATCTCAAATGGTCCAGGCCCGACCCCAGATCAGTCTACATGGAAAAAATGGCAAGCTTGGGTAGGTCAACTGGGGAGGAAGGCGACCAGTTCCCGGTCCAGTATTGCCGTAGCTCGAGTACAATTGCTGTATGAGGCTTGCGCGAAAAGAGACCTGTTTTATCTGGTACTGCATCAGATATTCTGTCGCGTATCTTTGGGCGATAAAGTCTTCTTGGATCTCCCCGTCCTCAGTTCAGAATGGTGTCAAAGGGGCATTGGCCGGATCTCTGAACTGCTGGAGCCCAACCATAAGCTTTCCAAAGAGATCCTCGTTCTCTTTGCCCAATTTCCAGTCACGCCAGAGGAGATGAATGCGCAGGTTTGGTATCATCGGAATATTCAGGAGGTCGCCAATTTCCTTCCACTGCTGGCAACGCGTTTCACGAGTTGCTCTTGCCAATTTTACGCGGATGTGGTCCATCGACGCTTTCCGCCGCTGGTGCATGAGATGAGACGAGAGTTCAATCTCAATTCACCCGCGTTCATGAGTGTGATTTTTGCTTCCATGGGTCGACAACTATACGATGCTCCCAATTTCGAGGCGTTGAATGAACTGTTTCACAAAAACCAGGACCTAGATCCAAATATGAAAGGCTTGGACAAGGAATCCCAACATCAATTAATTGATGCTTACCGGAGCATTCCAATGAGAGATTCCCCATTACAACTAGCATCATTACCCAGTCCCCAGGCTCCGGCCACAGCTCCGATCTCTCAATCTCCTCGACCTGAAGTCACGCGATCCTATTCTCGAAGCCAACCCTCATCCGCGAGCCCAAGACCAACTCTTCTCAGTCATCCCAGGCATCAATCTGCCCAGGCATCCAATGGAACACAAGCATCTTCGAATATACAGGAAAGGCAATCCCCTGCTATGCAATCTCCAGCAGTCCAGTCTCCAGCAGTTCAGCCTCCAGCAGTTCAGCCTCCAGCAGTCCAGTCACCAGCGGTCCAGTCACCAGCAGTCCAGTCTCCAGCAATCCAGTCTCCAGCAATTCAGTCTCCAGCAATTCAGTCTCCAGCAATTCAGTCTCCAGCAATTCAGTCTCCAGCAATTCAGTCTCCAGCAATTCAGTCTCCAGCAATTCAGTCTCCAGCAATTCAGTCTCCAGCAATTCAGTCTCCAGCAATTCAGTCTCCAGCAATTCAGTCTCCAGCAATTCAGTCTCCAGCAATTCAGTCTCCAGCAATTCAGTCTCCAGCAATTCAGTCTCCAGCAATTCAGTCTCCAGCAATTCAGTCTCCAGCAATTCAGTCTCCAGCAATTCAGTCTCCAGCAATTCAGTCTCCAGCAATTCAGTCTCCAGCAATTCAGTCTCCAGCAATTCAGTCTCCAGCAATTCAGTCTCCAGCAATTCAGTCTCCAGCAATTCAGTCTCCAGCAATTCAGTCTCCAGCTAGTCAACATCCAGCGAATCGGCCTCCGCCTCCGCCGATCGTAACTGGCCCACCCGGCCATTCTACGTATCAGTATCCTTCACAACAGAGGCCGCAGATTCGGCAGAGTCGCCCGCTGATGACGCAGCAGGAGATCGCAACGACGCGACAGGCAAACCAGGCCTGTCCAATCCCTCACTGGCAAATGTCACCAGCACAGCAGAGTCAAATGTCAGGCTTGCCTCCAAGGCCAGGCCATGTACCTGGGTACACTTGGCAACTTGCTCCCAATCCTCAGACACAGGCACAAGCACAGGAGTTTCTTCGGTCATATATTCCTCCTTCAGCATATACGTCTCCATCTCCGCTTTCGGCCCAGCAGAATGTGTCATCCCCAGGAGTCGCGTCCGACGGTCAACGCCGAGAGAGCCAGGTGCCATTGCAAACTTACCAGGCATATTTAAGAAGCCAGCCCATTGCTTCCCCGCACCAAGTTCACTCGCCAAATTCACGATCTCCTCAAACTTACACCCCTCAAAACCACAACCTTCAAACACACACTCGACAAAACCATACTCCACAAACGCATGCTCCTCAAACGCATACTCCTCATCCCCCATCCCCTGCGCCCCTCTTGCCACCTCCTGGATATCGCCTCCCACAGACTGCTCCGCCGAATCCCATGCGTCTCGGGCTACATCAAGCCGATCTTCGTGACCCAATAAAGAAATGTATCAAGAAAGGGCCAGGAGGCGAAATGCGGGAAGCGGAGCTTTATCATTATGTGAGCCATTTTGCGCTGGAGCCTTCTGTCATTGATCCCGAGGGTTACAATTATGTTTGGAATTTTTCCGTGTCTGCCGATGATATGACGAGGCATCCTCGCCCTGTAGAAACGTCTGTTAAGGAGGGCCACCGTCGCATTCTCACATATCAATCAGGTTGCCGAACATTTCGTCTGCGGTGTGTCGCACTTCCAGCTTCGGAAACAGCAAAGACAAAGACCCTGTGGCATACGGCGCCCACAACTTGGCCCAGCGTGTTCTACATTCACCTCAATGGCAGAGAGTTTACTCCCCGCCGGAAGATTCATAATGGGAAGGACCTGCCTTTGGATATCACATTGGATCTCCAACAGGGCGAAAACAAGCTGCAAGTTGACCTTCTCCTCGGGCCAGATGAATGCAAGAATATCCGATATTACTTCGGTATTGAAATCATGGACGTCTCTCGGTTCGATCTGGTGCGTAGTCTCGTCCGGGCCCTTCCGGCGGACGTTGTACGTCAAAAAATCCAAAAGCGTCTTAACAAAACCACTGAAGATGATGACGTGGCTGTCGTGACCAATAATCTGACTGTTAGCCTTATTGATCCTTTCACTGCACAAGTCTGCCACACGCCAGCCCGCTCCAGCTACTGTGACCACCAGGAATGCTTTGATCTGGAGACTTTCATCAAGACTCGAAAGTCAGTCAGCGGTCCGACCCCGATGAACGATAATTGGAGATGTCCTATCTGTAATTCCGATGCTCGTCCGCAGCTCCTGCTCTTGGATCGATTCCTTGAGGATGTTCGCATGCAGCTTATCCAGAGGAATCAGCTCGAAGGAGCCCAGTCCATCCAAATAAAGCCCGATGGCACATGGACCGTGAAGGCCACCAGAGATGAAGCTGGGCCGACTAAAGAGAAATCACGTTTGCCCCCGGCCAAGCGCAAAGCAGACGATCTCGAAGTACCATCAGGGAATGCGGCTTCGCGTGTCAAATATGAGAACACCCGGTCCCCTGGAAACCAGCCTCCCGAGCGAATCGTCATTGAAATAGACGACTAAAAGTTGCCCATCTGCGTTGTATGCTCTATTTCTGAGTATAATTCTTCAGCACATTCGCCACATTCTTTCTTTGCTTTTTGTTTTGCTCGCATTTCAAGAAAGAGATACCCCCTTCTTTGTGTTTTCAAAAGCGTGCCACAGTCCAGAAGGCATCTGGTTGGCGTTCAGTCTCAATTCCATTCTTATTCGTCTCTAATTTTGCGTTCATTTCTTACATACTTACAATATGGTCTGTGTTCGGGCGCAAGAGATCGAGTGTATACTTCTGCTCGGTCTGGCTTAGTCTTTGCGCCGAAAAGACTCAAAACTAATACAAATGAGGTCAAAGAACCAAAATGGACTCCTTTATATTTATCATGTTACCATTCATATAGTTATTCTTGCCCATTTAGTGATAGGCTCTCTACATTTGAAACTTCAAACTTTCATAAAAGAGAAACAAATCATGTATGCTCATTCAGCGGAGATCTCTCCACGTTCGACATTAAATTATACATAGTAATATAGTAGATGGTATATAGCACCGGATAAGAAGTTTACTTCCTCACCCTCCGAACATGACTAACGAGGTTCTCAATGACCCCTTCAAAAGCCTCCTTCTCACCAATAAGACCATCCCGTCGCTTAAGCCAATACTCCAAGACCTCACTAGCTCGCAAGGTAACAGCCTCCAACTCCTGAGCATGTCCCTTGAGCTCCGTATCCGTTAATCCATTCAAAGCAGCATCAGTAGTGGCACACAAGCGGCGCACAGCCGAAAGATCCAACTGAGGCGGAGGCGCAGCACCACGCCGGGCCTTGGTACGAGAAGGGGCCTGCCCCGCGCCATTTTGGTTAGAATCGGATTCGGTAGTACCCTCTCCCTCACCCTCTTTACGGGCTTGGCTGCGCGAGCGTGCGGCAGGCGTGGTTGAGCCTGAATCAAGATCGATAGAAGGGAGGATGAGCTTCTTTTGTTTTGAAGCTGGGAGAATCTCGTCCAGGTCTACTGGAACACCGAGTGAGACGAGGAAGAGTCGGCGGATGCGAGATTTTACCCAGTTTTGGGGCTGGAGGGGTGGTGGGGCTACTAATTGAGACCAGAGGGAGAGAGAGCGCTCTGTGCTGAAGATGGCGGTTGGGTCGTGGATTGGTTCAACTGGGGGAAGGGAGTTGAGGTCTTGGGAGGCGGGGAGGAGATTGTCGAGAGTTCCTTGAAGGGATGCGAGTAGTTCGGATGTGGATTTAAAGACGTCGAAGTCTGTGAGGGGGGGCTGGATAGTGTTAGTTTTTCTTTGTTGATGTTGTTGTTGTTGGTGTGGGCTGGATATAGACGTACAACTGATGGCGCGGGAGGCTGTGGAGGGGTGGTTGTACCATTTTCAGCCATGGGTTCTTGGAAGCCATCGTCGAAATCTCCAAAATCTTCGTCATCCATGCCTTCTGCCTCATCAACAAATTCGTCAAAGTCGTCTCCGAAATCGTCTCCGGCATCTGCTTCTATGGTTTCTTCTTCGGCGCCATCTGCGGCGTCATCTGCGGTACCGTCTTGTAACGTAGGTTCTGGCGCGTCTGGGATTATTTCCACTGAGTCGGGCTCTGCATCACTGCGTGATGACTGGTGAGCCGTGGGCCCTGATGGCGATTCTTCATCTAGGGGCATTGTGTCCACTTTGGAAACCCGTGTTTCAGGAATTGGACCAGCTGTGGGATCACTGTCTAGGGGAGCATCATCCAGCGAAGGAGTTTCATTGCTCCCAGAGTCCGATGCTTTAGTCACCATATCAGGCACTGCATCGGCCAGGCGCTTTGCATGCGCTTCAGTTCCTGGAACCTCGCCATAGCTTGGCTCCTCAGGGTCCACCTTTTCCACTACTGTTTGTGGGATGGGTGAAGCTTCCGGGGTTATAGGTTGGTCTTGCGACCCCGACGCAACTTGGTCCTCACTCTGTGTATCTTCTGGGATAACCTCAATTTCGTCGGGGGCGGCATCTTGCGCTCGCTTTTCGTATGCTTCGGTACCGGGAACTTCGCCATGCTGGGCACTATCGTCTACCCGCTCGACTCGTGTGGTCGGGACAGGGGAAGTGTTGCCAGATTGTGGGCTTGATTTTATTTGTGTATGGCCTTCACTGGCATCTGAAAAGTGTTCGTCATCGCTGCTGGAAGCTGTAGGAAAGGGTGGAAAAATCACGTTAGATTCTGGTTGTTTATGACGTTCTAAGAGCCAACTTACCAAGATCCTCAGCTCCTGGGTCCTCCAGCTCCGTGGTCTTGGTGGGAGGTTCTAGGTGCGCAGGCGGATCGGGTGATGCCTCCGACATTATTGTGGGTGATGTTAGGGCTGGAGCATGGGAATTCGAGGATGTAAAGAGAAATCTGGGAAATTAAGCATGCAAGTGAGTTGTGTAGCGTGGAGTGACGGCGTTCCCTGCGAATCGATTCGAGTCCAGAACGTATGTGCCTGAATGCCTCAGGAAGCTATCAGTTATGCCTGGTTTATCGGGCGGTAAAAGCTCCTGGCATTCAATTGTTTAGGCATTGTTAAGGCGCCAAGGCATCGACGAGCGCGTAACTCAAACTCCTGCCGATTATTATTCTGAGCTTCAACCTCTCACCTCGTGCCCTTTCCTCACCTTCTCGTTGGGCTCAATTTCCATTGAATCGGTACAATCGCATTGTCTTATTCGATTTTGTGATCCCTCCTTATAGGACCCCCCGACCTTCCACTGGTCGTTTCTTTTCTTCCACTTTTTCCAGAGCTCGCCCGAGTCCCTCGCCTGCGACAACACATCACCATGTTCGGCAACAATAACTCAGGCGCCAGCAAAAACCTCTTCGGATCCGCTGGTGGCGCTAGCAGTCCCTTTGGCTCGAACACAGCTAATTCAAATGCCGGGTCCACTGGTCCTAGTTTGTTCGGAAATGTAGGAGCTACACCCGCCGGAGGCGCATCTGCTTCGCCCTTTGGAGGAAATTCGGGTACCCAGAACTCTCTCTTCGGTAGTGGTACCACCAGCAATACCACCGGCAGCTCATTCGGTTCCAACACCGCGACCTCAGGCGGTGCCTTCTCATTCGGTCAAGCTCAGAAACCAGCCGGTCAACCGTCCACCTTGTCGTTTGGTGGAAGCTCGACTCCGGCAAAGACAGAAGCAGCCACACCTAATGCTACAGCTGGTGGAAACCTATTCGGTGGAGGCGCTGGTGGTAGCGCATTCGGAGCCTCGACTACACCCGGCCCCTCGGGAGGATCTTTGTTTGGCAACAACTCAACCACTCCTGCCGGACCTCCCCCAGCAACGAAGACGCCAATGTTCGGAGGGGGACTGAATACCGGTTCATCGACAACCCCGACCTCGACAACACCTTTCTCTACTACTCCAGCTGCAACCCAGCCGCAGACATCTGGCGGCCTCTTCGGTACTGCGGCCTCTACATCGACCACTCCCAAGCCAGCGTTTGGATCTACTCCTGCTGCCGGCGCAGCTGGCGGTAGTGGTCTCTTCGCCCCAAAGCCCGCTGGAACCTCAACTCCGACCACAGCTGCGGACAGTACCCCGAAGCCCAGTCTATTCGGAACTACGACTCCGGCTGCAGGCGCCGCGCCAAGTACACAAGGATCTTCACTTTTCAAGATGCCCTCTGCTGGGGGCGACTCAGCCGCAAAGCCTGCATTTTCTCTTGGTGGTAATACTGCAGCTAGCACAGGCGCATCCACGCCATCACTGGGAGCCCCTGCAGCTTCGGCCGCTGCCCCCCAAAAGTCGCTCTTCCCTACCCTTGGAGGTACCACATCTTCCGCTGCCCCGTCATCCACACCTGCTGCAGCTCCTACTACCGGATTGTTTGCTCCCAAACCCTCTATATCCGCCGCCCCAGGTGCTGCGGCCACCACATCCGCATCCGCCACCACTCCAGCTGCCGCGGCTCCTCTTGGGGGCATGTTCGGTAAGCCCGCTGCTTCAACACCGTCTACTCAGCCTGCGGCTGCCACTACGACAGCCGCTGCTGATAAAGCCACTACCGCAACTGCAGCTCCGTCTACGACTGCCACTGCTGGTGCTCCAGCTGGTACTGGTGCCAATGTTCTTGGGCAGTCAACCACAGGGCCAGCTCCGCCAGCCCAGTCACGGCTCAAGAACAAGACCATGGATGAGATCATTACTCGATGGGCAACAGATTTGACCAAATATCAAAAGGAGTTCCGTGAGCAGGCGGAGAAGGTTGCTGAGTGGGATCGTATGCTGGTGGAGAACGGAACCAAAGTGCAGAAGCTGTATGGCAGCACTGTTGATGCAGAGCGCGCTACTCAGGAGGTCGAGCGTCAATTGGCTTCCGTGGAAGGCCAACAGGACGAGCTAAGCTCGTGGCTGGATCGTTACGAACGCGAAGTGGACGAGATGGTGTCAAAGCAAGGATCTCCCGGCGAGAACATGGCGGGTCCGGATCAGGAGCGCGAGAGAACGTAAGTGTTCGCAAAACTCTGAATGAGCGTTTAACAATCGATCTGACTCAACTCTATAGATACAAATTGGCCGAGAAGCTCTCCGAGCGTCTGGATGAGATGGGCAAGGATCTGACCAGCATGATCGAAGAGGTGAACAGTGCCTCAGCAAGCCTATCCAAGACCAACCGAGCAGACGAACCTGTATGTCAAACATCTCAACCCTATTATACATTAAGATCATTTCTAACCCACTTTCTTACAGATCTCCCAAATTGTTCGCATTCTCAACTCGCACCTGTCTCAATTGCAGGTCATCGACCAAGGTACATCCGAGCTGCAGGCCAAGGTTGCCGCAGCTCAAAAGGCTGGCCAGTCGATCTCCTCCCGGCTTGGCTACGGGTATGCTAGCCCCGGCTTGGGCGGAGGTCAGGCCGCGGATGATTTCTACCGCTCGTACATGGGACGGAGGTAGATGGTGATGGATGGGATGTCTTATGATTTAATTCAGGTTATCGAATACCTACACCGTGACTCAATGGGAAAGGAATTGTTTTTTGTAGTTACACTTTCTTCGCATTACTACCTATACAACACGTACTTTTTGTCTGCGACCTTTGACCGTATCTATTAGCTGAATCGCAACCTGGGGGTTCTTTCCGTGTATATCTAGCTTATATCTGATCTTGATCTTTCAATAGAGCAAGAGCGTTTATTGGAGTTTACCATTGGAGGTCATCTAGGCAGTTTTGTTATTGGGCTCTGGATCCCAAGTGGTATGTCTGACACATCATTCTTATCTTACATGGAATGCCCCACGGGCCATAATGATGGATATTGAAATCCCAAGTTTATAGACTATTTGTTCTACTCAGTTTGGAATCTGTGATGATTTGAGGCAATGCCCGGGCGGTGAAGTACGAATAGCCGTAGACATGCTGCTGATAATACATCTGTAGCAGCTGCGGCTGCTTACGGCCGACCATTGATCGTTGTTCAAAAAAATGGAGAAAACTCCTGATATGCTCTCGCCTATATGCTATATCACATGCTAATGGCAAAGAGGCCCCCACTGGTCACATCCGATTGGAGCGGAGATTATTATAGTACAGCAATGGTAGGTCTTGAATGGGGCCAGTAAAGAATAAGACCGCTTTAACGCTTCTGCTCGGCAGTCAGGGTATCACTGGAAAGAAGTTAGTACAGTCCAAAACCAAACCAGTATTATACAAAGGTATGGTACATACATGTGGCCCTCGAGGTCATCAAGGTGCTTGCGCTGCTCAGCGATCTGTTTCTTCAGCTTGGACAGCCTATCCGCCTTGTCAGCAAAATGGACCATGCACTCACAGGCAAGGCAACTTACTTCTCGAGCTCCTTCTCGCGGATGTACATGCTTTCCTGGGCAGCCTCGCGCTTGGTGAATGCGTCACTACCAGCGCCATGTCAGCAAGGGATGATGTCATAATACAAGGCAGACACTGGGCACACTGTGCCTGCTGCGCCTCGCCGCCATCTTGGTGATCAGGGCACCGCGGAGAGCAAGGCGTGATCAGATACTGCAGGGGGATAATGAGATGCCACGTACCCAGAGGTTGGGACCCCAGATGCGCGGGGAGCGCTAGAGTCACCTTCACCCATTCGGGGCACAGCAACCGAGAAGGAGCGGTACTGGAGAGCCCGGGTGGCAGTGGCGGCAGGTCGGATGATAGATTGGCGAAGCATGATGGATGATGGATGATGAAGTGTGATGAGGAAGTAAGATTCAACGAAGGAAAGAAGTACTCAAGGAACCCTGGAAGCTACTAGCTCACCTGGGTGGTATGACGACACATCAGGTGATTATGGGGTGCATTAGATAATGGATTATGTCAGCTCCGGTAAATCTCTGCGATAAGTCAACGTGCTCTCATTCGGCTCTATGAGAGATCATGAGGGGTTCATGGGAGATCATTCGTATTGTTTCTATACACGTTTGGTGAAATGACTACATGATTCCTCGGCTGATCGAGTATAGACCTATAAACTTCCTTATTTTTTTCTTTTTTTTGTTTCCTTTCTTGTGCCGCGAATGTCTAGACCAGCTGAGGCCCATAGTCCCATGGGGTTTTTATAGACAAGGGAGATTAGGGCTGTTTCAGCCATACTACAAGGCCTCGACTATGGCCCAAGAACAATGTGTTTCCGAAAGTGAGGCGTAAGTAGGGAACCACAAGGGCGATTGGTGGGCGGGATGGGAGATGACGCTGAGTGGCCCACCGAACCACACAGAAGATGAGGACGATACTGAGCACGAACAATTCTTAAGGAGGGGAAAGGGAAGGATATATAGAAAATAATAGTAAAATAATCAGCAAGATCCAGACAAGCCATGTGAATCAAGTTCGAACTTGAGAGAATCGATAGGCTGTTAAACTCCCTTATTGTTCTGTAGCGTTAAATCCCAACGACACCGCCCTGTTGATTCCCTCCCCCTCTTCTCTCATTCTCTCCTCTTCCCTTCATCTTAGAACTTCCCCCTTTCCTCCCTATCCAACTACCGTTTCATTTTTTTTCCTCCTCAATCCAGGTGAGTGCTACTTGTGATAGCCAATTTCATACTTGGTACCCCCCTTTTCCCTAGTTCCCCCGCCCTGCAGCCAAAACCACACACAACTTCCCCAAACCCACTCCCCTTCCATAACGGGGAACAGGACATTGAGCAGCCGAGGAGAAATCTTTGGAGGAATCTTCCTCCTTTGACTTTGCATGATCCAGAATCGCATGCCTCTTTGAATGGTCGAAGCCTATTCATCCTTGCCTTGTTTACTTGGTGGGACGGCCGCGACCGCTACATTGTGATCCCAAACACCGCACATCCCGGGAAGCCCACATCCGGACCATCAACCTATCCATCGTCATGATATCTGCTTCAGGGAAAGAGGAATGACAGGTTTCGACTGGCATGCCCTGAATCGAGTCAAACAGGATTATCGTTGAGCCCCCAAATCGAGGGGAGGGCCCTGGCGCCTCTGTCTACCCCTCCCGGTCGGCGATGATGTAGATGGCGTGCTTCCCACTTTTATCTCCAAAAACTCACAAACACCACATGCAAAAAGTTCCAACAGAATTGTCTTACTAACCGAATTTGATTCATTCAGAACTTTTCACCATGGGTCAAGAAAACGCCGTTTACCTCGCCAAGCTCGCTGAGCAGGCCGAGCGCTATGAAGGTTCGCCTCCCACACATCCAATGTAATAGAATGAGATATTGACCATGTCAAACAGAGATGGTTGAGAACATGAAGGACGTCGCTTCCGCCGATGTTGAGCTCACCGTTGAGGAGCGTAATCTCCTGTCTGTTGCCTACAAGAACGTCATTGGTGCCCGCCGTGCGTCTTGGAGAATCGTCACCTCCATCGAGCAGAAGGAGGAGTCCAAGGGCAACGAGTCCCAGGTTGCTTTGATCAAGGAGTACCGCCAGAAGATCGAGGCCGAGCTTGCCAAGATCTGTGACGACATTCTTGAGGTCCTCGACAACCACCTTATCAAGTCCGCCGAGAGCGGCGAGTCTAAGGTCTTCTACCACAAGATGAAGGGTGACTACCACCGTTACCTCGCTGAGTTCGCCATTGGCGACCGTCGCAAGGGTGCCGCCGACAACTCCCTGGAGGCCTACAAGGCCGCCACTGAGATTGCCGGAACTGACCTTGCCCCTACCCACCCCATCCGTCTCGGCTTGGCCCTTAACTTCTCGGTCTTCTACTACGAAATCCTGAACTCCCCCGACCAGGCCTGCCACCTCGCCAAGTTGGCCTTCGATGATGCCATTGCCGGTTCGTTCCCACACTCGTTTGTATGCGCCTATCAATTCAGTGACTAATTCAACCAACAGAGCTCGACACCCTGAGCGAGGAGAGCTACAAGGACTCCACTCTCATCATGCAGCTCCTCCGTGACAACCTCGTATGTTGATCCCGAATTTCTCTGCATGAGTTTTTTTTACTGATTATGTTATAGACTCTCTGGACCTCTTCCGAGGCTGAGGGCTCCACTGATGCTCCCGCCGAGAAGAAGGCTGAGGAGGCCCCCGCTGCTGAGGGTGAGAAGCCTGCCGAGTAAAGGTTGGAACTCTAAAAAGATATTGATGATGGACTCGCGTCCTGGGACGGATGGGACGATTGAGAGAGTACTGTGACAGGTCTATCGGAGCAAGAAGACCAAGTGGAACATGAGGGGAGAAAACCGTCAGATGCACTGATCTGAATCTTGGTTTTCCTCTGGTCCCCGGGCCTCACGGCCTGGAGATGAGGAGAACTGTTGGGTTGATCGATGGGCAACTTTGGGGGAAATCCCTTCGAGTTTTCTACTTGTCTTTACACTCCTGTTGTTGGTCTGGTGTTGTTCTCTTGACTGGAACCTTGTCCGAAGTCCTCCTCTTTTCGTTTCTTTCATTCTCCTTGTTATTTTGTCTACTTGCCTCTCCTATTTTACCCCCTCTGAAAGAGTCCCTTCTGCGCGCACTCTCCAAACACCCCCTCACACATATACACACGGACAGAGAATTTTTTTTAAATCAGCTCCTTATCAGGACCACAATGAGGGCTTCGTACCGATCCCCCGATCTGGCTTTTTTTTTCTCTTCTTTTCTCCCTTTTTCCTGGGTCTTTCTCATCTCTTCTCGTATTCTGTGCCGTGTGGCGTTTGATTCTCGCTAGATGTGGTTTAAAGATTAACGAGGTAAAATACCTTATACCCGTACTTGCCTGGAATACCCTGTCGTATGGGCATACTAGTTGGGCTTGTGACAGTAGAACTATCCTAGCCCATGAGGTTTACTTAAACCTCGGGTTGGTGTACCCTGTCAAGGAACTTTCAAGTTGTGTAGTCTGGAGACAAGCTGAGAAAACCGCTATTCTGATGCCCCTGGTCATATTCAAAGAAGGTGTCTCAGTAAGTAGAATTGAACGTGGATTGAGTTGAAACCTTTCCATCATTGAACATATATAGTCCATGGAATGTTGACCATGTCTCCTGGCATCAAGTACCTATACCTTGTCATTTGTGACTACTATTCCCCCCACTTACCGAAAAGCGTATACGCTCTCTGCACGGATGCATGAATGTGCTTACCTTCCTGTCATCGCCTTGGGGCTCGGAATGAACTAGATAAAGTTAGGCTAAGAATCCCTCCATAGATCCTCTATTAACCTGAGTGACTATGGCAGGCAGCAACAAGTCACACGGACAGGTAGACTTGCTGATGCCTAGAGTACCAACGCAGGGTCCTATTGGACCCATGCCAATTATCAGCGATGACCGCATGACCAGATAAACCGTTTTGACTAGTATGGATACAGACTAGTATAGATTAAAAAACCATGATCAACATAATAAAGGGTGATATAGCCTCCGTGACAAAAGTACGTTCTTCAATAATTTGGCAATCCCGATAATTGAGATTTCAAAATTGAGTATAGTCGATCATACACAAGATTGGATGGAGGATCAACTTTGGGTTTACGCTATCAAAACAGTCCCATATCTGTAATGAATATCAACAGAGATTACAGATACACTAGTTCACTTCCCAGTAATGCGTCTTATGAAAATTATCCAGGTGATTTTTATGGGGACAAATTCGATAGTTCTGTCAATGAGCTCTATAACCTTGGAAACGGTGTTCTAAAATTGGCTACATTATACAAATACGGTGTTTACGTCATGATATTTATTTTGAACATTTTCCATTGCTATGGATAGAACCACCATGCTACCAGCTATGCAAGCTAGAGAGAAGAGGGGTATGATGGACGATAAAGTAAATAACCAGGGGGGACTTGAGACATGCACACGTTCCTGGGTATGACAAGAGCGAAGCAAGTAGAGCCGCAAGAAATAAAACAAAAAAAATGCAGGATAAAACGGAAGAAAAAAAGAGTCATTTCGTTCTGTAGGGTCAGTCCACGGTCAAAAAAAGGATGTCAAAAGGGAGATATACAAGTGATCGTCAAGACGATCAGATGAGAGAACGAGAAAAACAAAGGCAAATGGACTGCTCCGAAAACAATGACCCCCTAAGATGCTTTCCTTCCACGCCATCCTGCCATGACCATGCATATGACGAAAACAATTTCCTATGCGGGCTCCGGTAAGAGTTCATTCAAAAAGAGTCTAGTCCCAGTCCCCGAAACGCCCGAGGTGCTATGCATCCGATGATAATAAGAAAGAGAAAAAAATACAAGGTAACATGTCCGCAAAGAACCGCCGTGGGAGTCACAGTAAGAAAAGAATGAAACGCCAAGAACAAGAAGAAAAAAAAAAAAAGGTCGGAAAAAATGTTGGGGAAATGAAGCCCAGTGAAATCGTCAGGGCGAGGAGATCGTCCCACAAATTGAAAGCCACATGAGATTGGCGTCACATCAAAAGCCGTTTGGGATGATCCTAGATGAATCAAGGTTGCCAAGACCCAGGTGGCGGGCCACTTGACGAACCCCAAGTATGCGATGATGTCACTGGCAATCTAACCTGGCTCCCTTGGTAAATAAGCAAACCGGGGTGATGCTGATCGTTCGTGATTTAGCGGTCGATCCCGTTGCGAAGGAGAAGTGGAGACGGTGACGGAAGGCGTGGGACGGAAGAGTAAGGTAAATGTAGTGGCCACACCGAACCGGTCGGATGGCTGGAAATGATGAAAGTGGTAAAAGTGGCGAGAAGCGTAGGCAAAGGCATCCATCCTCTCGGGAAAGGACATACCGAAGGTATCACAAGACCTTCGTATCTTTCCCATGGAGCCCCCTGTTCCCATGTGGTTTCTCCGCGGAGGCAAACATGTCAATGGGTGTGATTCGGGGGCTCTTGATCGAACTTTGGCGTTGTGCAAACGGGGAGGAATGGGAGGAAAGTCGTAAATGGCGGAGAGAATCGAAAACAATCGGTGATGAATCGTGACAAAGGATTGCACCGTGGACTGCTTTAACGTGCATAAAAATCCCGATGTCTCTGGGTCAACAGGGTGCAACGACGCTCAATCTGCGACCCCTTCCTCACTCCTCCCACAAGTAGCTATTTCTGAGCTTTGCGTGCTTTTGTACTCCGTGTCATTTCACCCTTGGTCATGTTCCGGGTGAGGCCGCCAATGTAATCCTGTAAGATCTTGTTGTCCTTTTCCAACTTGTCATGATCCGATTTCACCGCGTCGATTCGTTCGGCGAGGGCTTGTAGTGATGATTGGAGGGCTTTGGCTTGTCTGTTTTGCTTGTTAGCATTTCGAAAAGGGACTTGTTCTTATTCCCTTTCAACCACGGATACCAGGGGTGTATCTGGATCAAAAGGGGGAGACACCACTCACTCTTGAAGAGTCTGTCGGGCCTCTTTGCCCAATCGCTCCAGATCAGCGGAATTCCGTCGGGGACTCATGGCACGGGCGTCGTCCGGAGGGAATTCTTCCTCTTCGATTTCAATTTCGGGATGATCACGGGGTACGAGTATCGATGCACTCGGTTTACGGCTCGCCATTCGCGGTCGTTCAGATCGGCCGCGGCGATCAGTCTCGGCGTCAGATATAGATGAAGATGAGGACAAAGATGACATATGCATGCGGCCACCGTCGTTAGGTTGCGGCAAAGTATCAACGGGAGAGGCTTCAGTCATCTCTGTATCAGAGGCCATATGGGTGGTTGTTTGCAACGGACGCAAATAATATGGGATTTAGCGAGTCCAGCGTGGCGGCTGTTCCGGTTCCTGTTTCTTTGTATATTTTTTTTGGTGGGCAAGGGGGAGGGTTTTTTTCAAGGTCGTCGATTTGTCGATTCCTTCTCGTCGCGGGTCGGAAAAACGAATTATCGATTTCGAACGACCACGGTCTACCCCTAGCGATGGACCCCAGACGAAGAATCTGTGTTACGCTTGAGGTAGCTACCGGGGTCGGGTGGGAGTATTGGATTGAGGTTGATGGGGGTTGAAAATCGGAGAGGCCACGAGAATAGACGTGTCGAGGGGGGGGGGTTTTCCGATTTGGTCGAGGTTTAGATAGATCAGTGTCGAGAGAGTAGGGGAAGGCTTTGGAAGAGACAGTCGGATGTGTGAAAGAAATGTCGGGGAACGAAGGTGAGGGCAAAAGCAAAAGCAAAAAGGGACGAGCTTCGGGAAGGTATCGTTACGATGAATAGGATTTCCGTCGTACGAGAGCGGTGGACGGTACGGACTATCTTAGCACCTTTTGAGTAGGTGGAGGGCCAAGTCCCTTGGTTGGATGCGACTGATCGTCCCCCCCCTCTTCTTTTTTTTTTTCACTTTTTTTCTCGTTTTTGTTACTTAATACTGTATGGTAATTCACTATCCAGATTGAGGAATTACCGTTCCTACATATGCTATATTATATCAGAAAGGAAGGTAATACTGATATGTATGGATTTATTTATTTCGGTGAAGGAATGAAAAAAAGAACCTGATTTTTGCTCACGGATTAGGTCCGATTACCCTTTTTTCTTCCCCCTTTAACCCTTAGGAGGCGAACCGTACACCGCTTCCCTCTCCGGGGTCCACTAAGGTTAGTCCGGGAATTATAACTGGATTGAATAGGGCACGGTTCCACTTCACGTTGATACACTCCACAGGGCAGAATGTATTGTTACCGAACTCTGAACACGTATTCCCCCTTTACCGCAATCGACCAGGTCAAAAGTACCTGTTCTACACATCTATATGATGCCAAGTACTTCTTCGCTGGAATGCCCCGAAAACGGCGTCAAAACTCGATTAAAATAATCTTCAGGTATTCATAATCTCTCTAATAGTAACAAGAAACCTCGGATGCAATTTCATATGCATATTATGGGGTGTATCTTTCATCCGCCTCTCAGGGGCGCTATGTAATGTCGATCGAGCCTCAACAAGCGGACAATGACGCCATACAAATGGTTCGTACACACCCCCGGAAACTCCCAAGGTTTCCTATACTTCCGGTATGGTGGCAAACGGAAATCTCTCCCCCTAAAGCCTCGAGGAATGTGATGTACAGATCTGAGATATCAGTTTGAGATTTAAGTACCAAAGTACTGATCCAATTTACTGAGAGAGAAAAAGCAGCCGATCTTACGCCCGGGAGAGCCAAGACTTTCCTGCCGCTCGGTTAGCCTTAGCTTAATCAACTTGAACTACCGTCTTGTGACAAGTCTTCGGTGCTAAATGCCTTCTGCTCGAGGTTTCTGATATCAATCAATGTCTAGTGGATATTGTAATCCGCATCCCGTATAGTACAGTATACGGAGTACAGTAGAAGTATAAGTCACGGGGACCAATGCGTGCCCGGTCAAGGCTTGGAGCCGATCCATTCCCGTGGTTTTTGCCTCTAATTTGATGGCCTGCTAGCCGATTAAAAGGAGGTGAAACCAAGCAGGGTCACCGCTGCCGATCCTGATGGTCATATCATTCTCCACCTGAAGTTTCCAGAGAAAATCCTAATTCTCCACCTCTACATATTGCTTCGTTGGCCTTGGCAGGAACAGGCTGTCTGCTGTGCTGTCAAACCTTCTTACTCCGATCCCGCAATAATAGAGTCACCAAGTAAACTACAATGTACGGTATCAACCAGAAAACAGCTTCGACGAGGTTCCTTGGGTCTCTTTACGCCTTTTAGCCTGTTCAAATCGGGCTTGGAACCCAGGTACCGGACCCGAGAGTAGCAGCCATGGGTCCCCGTCCCGGCAGTGGCTTGGATTGGGAGAACGGTGGCTGCAGGTGAAATACTCGAATCATAACTGCCGGCGCCACTCCATCACGAGTTCGGTCCCCGTTGCACGAGACAATGACATATGATCCCAGCATTTTGGTACAGTAGTCTGCTTGAAGGATTGGAATTTTGTCATTGCCATGCATTTATTTCCAAATTTGATATTATTGATATTATTGATCCTCAAAGGTTGAGAAGTGGGACCACCAAATTTGAATGTGTGACCGATCGGAAAATTCCTTTGCACTCCATACAGTAAGGTGCTTTTTTCACACCTTCTTCTTCCTGTACGTATCCTCCGAACCCAAAGATTGTACTTCTATCATAGAGTGTACCCCTCCTTCGACCAGTGACTATCGTTCCTGGATCCCCGCTGTGAAGGGGGGGGGGGGGGAAGAAACGCTCAGGCCTGGTTTTTGTCGTGTCTGTGCGATGGTTCCACTATAATACACCAACGTACTCTATACGCCTTAAGCTGGGGGCGAGTGAGACACAAAACACTGCTTATTCTTGTCGTGAAACCATCCACGTAACCCCTATAGAAAAGGTACGTACATTGTAACCGATAGCTTCCGTTTGGTACCGAATTTACCCCCCCACACATCTGTCAAACTGCGAAATTAAAAATCAGAAATCATAAACTATAATCAAATCCCTTGGAACATCTGAACAACCCTGCCGATCTGCATGTACCTCTATGCTTGATGATTCGCCTTGCAACCTTTTCTATCCCGCTTCCTTACCCCACCAGTACGAACTCGTTTCATCAATTACGGAGGGGGCGTCAAGTAAGGCTAAGCACGCTAATCTCCACTCCTCCCCCCCTCCAAGCTGCGGATGGCGCGCGTTCTTTAGGTTAGTACGAGTGGGTTAGGACGTGGCTAACGATTTTTGGCATCATCTCACTGGCCACGTTCGCCCTTTGCCGCGGGATATTTCCCCCTGCAGAAGAGCCAATCAGCAAATCATGATTTCTTTTTTTCTTTTTTTTTCTGCCTTTTTCTTGCTGGATTTTGATACCCAAGATACGCCAGATACGGATTACACGGTTGAAACCAAAGCACGAGATTCTGGTATAGTATGGTGTACATCGGTTCGTGAGTAGATTATTGTAGATTAAATCCATATTAATATTGCTCGTCCAATTAATTGATTCAACTCCAATAATCCCAGTCCATATAGCAATATCTGACTGGTGTTGACGATGGTCACGAGATTCCGGGCTGTGCTGCCTGACAGTGGGTCGAACCATCTGCACATTCAATTTACTTTCCAGTTATCGTGACCCCCTTAGCTAAACCCATTCGTACTACTCCGTGCTCCGTAGTTATCTTGCTTTTACGGTAGGCTAGGACGACTGTAGTCCTGACAATTGCGGCGATGTCCGCTGGAATGTCCATTTCAAGATTCTCTCCTCGCCGCAAGGAGGAGTTCCCTTTTATGTCATAGGGTCAAGTGACTTCAACTATGTCGTAGCTAATGTACGCTTATCCCATAGTTCAATATGCATTGTAATTTCTATAGTACTTTAAAATCTAAGCAGATAAGCATACACAGATACCATGAACTCGTATCTAACAACCTAAACCAAGCTTGAAAATAACCATACAGGGCGCGGACCCAATGACTAATGACCAACCTTATACACCCGTACCAACGTTCACCCCCTACAATAGAAGAGGCTCAGTAACACAAGAAAAACACCAGATCATTACTTCTACATGTGTTCCACACACGCAGATCACTCGATCTTGCAATCCTGTTTTTAGATCCGGATACTTGTTTTTTATTCTATGCTAGCTTCTGTGGAGCTGCGACTATCGCCGGAATGTGGGAGCTTGGCTCCGCCGGGCGATCCAGGTTAGGTTGAAGACTAGTGCTTGATGAACCGTGCACGAGCGAATTAGTTACGAGGTACATGGCGGGGTTCTTCGGAGTTAATGGTCTTATCGATTGGGACTTGGATATTGTAGGTCATGTTGTGCTGGGATTTGGGAGAATGGGTTGGTGCTGCGCCGCATTTGAAGTGAAACATGTGTTGAGTCAGGGAGTGCGACAATGTCTGTCGCTTAGAGTGCTACGACGTACGGAGTACTGGTTGCCTATTTGGACGGTTTAGCCGCTGTGGAGCTACTATTCTATCTTGGTGCGTAGTGCGAGTACATATCCAGGGGTGCTATGTCATAGTCTGGGGAGGGCTGTGTATAGCTCGGAGTAATAACCGTTCCAGTATCCAGTACGGGAATGTAAATTGTACAGCCTATAGACAGATACATAATGATGAGTAATAATATTCATCGCGGTCACGCGGTAAGTCATGAGAGGGCATCGCTTGTTTGCCACTGGAACAAAGCTCGTAACACGGCAACACCGCCAGATTGTGTCTCAACCGTGCGGCCACGGCCACGATCATTGAAGTCCCGTGGTACACCTGATGTCAAAGCCTCGGCATCTATCTCGCCATTCCGGTAGTCCACTGCGCCCTCTGGGAGAGTACTGCTGCCTACTATACCGTCGGCTATAGTAGACGAAAATGGTAAACCCCACCACATACCAAACTTGCCATCGTCGTCTCGAGTCATAAGCGCCGCACGGGCATTATGCTCGATCCATGGTCCGTAGGAACGGCATCGGTTCAAATGGCGACTAGAGACCTGCTCCCATTTCTCATCTTCAACAGGCCGGCGCGTATCACCCGCCAGGAACCGTTCCTCCTGTGGCCGAAGAGGGCGACAAAATTCCGCTAGATGGTGGAAGAATATTCCTTTGAAAGTCTGCCCGTCCTGCGAGCAGGTGGCGTGCGATTCGCACGCCTCTTCGAGGACACCACCACGCCCGAGTCCAGCCCACTTGGTTGAAGAAGTGTGCGGCCAACCTGTAGCTTGAAGGACTTTGTGAATAAGCTCGTGGCCATCGCGGAGGTAATTCTGTGAGCCGGTGGCGAGCCAGAGGCCTCTCAGCCCGCTGAGAACAACGCCCTGATTGTAAGTGAATACCATCGTGTTAAGTACATCGCATTTCCGTGTGCCTGGGTCCGACGAGCTGCGCCAGTTTTTGATATGGAAGCCGTCGGCGTAGAGACCGTAGAGGCCGGTCATTTTAGACTCCTTTAGCCATTTATACCCGTCGACTGCTGCTTTCAGGTATATGGGGTTGTGCCCGCTAGAGGCTGGGTCTTTATTGGTGGTCATGAATGGGGCGTCGATGGGGTCGCCGGGGAAGTAAAGATACATTGCAATGCTTGCAGAAATGTATAGCTCATTTGTGATAGCATTTTTGTATGGCACGAGGGATGGATTCCAGATCATTCCACCATCGCAAAGGGTTTTGTCCCATCCTACCGAGGCCAGCTCGTAGAAGATGCGCGCTCGGTGTGCAGCCGAGTCACGGAATTGAGTGCCATACCACGTCGAGCCAGAAGAAGAGTTAGATGCATTTGATGCGTTAGAGGGGGCATAGTGGCAATCAGTATGTAGGTCTTGGAATTTAATATTCTCCAGCCAGTCCAATACCACCCAGAGCATGTCATCGTAGGCCTGGTTTCGTAGACCAAATGCATTTTCGCCAAAGTAGAAGGTATTCAGGTGACTGAAGAATTGATTGACGGTGTTCTCAAGCGCGATAAAAGAGAAGTTTTGCGATTGCTCTCCACTGCTAACGCCCGGTCCGTAGGAGGAAGTAAAGGATGACAATGCTGCGCCAACATGCGTCCCAAGAACAGTAGCAGTCCAGTCAATACTAGTAGGCCATGTACCAAGCCACAAACAGAAGTATTCATCTTGCATGACGTTCAATGCATCAAGCAAATCTTGCAATGTCTGGGCAGGTGCCTCCCCACTCCACGAGTTCACGCTTGTCGCATCGATTTCTCCGAGATCGGTCTCGACCAAAACATCTTCAAAGTACTCAAACGAACCTTGCTCTGCAGGCAGGGACTCTCCGAGGGGCCGTTGAGGCTGAGTTGCAAGCGCATTGGTGACAGACCATAGGGAAAGCAGGAATATCACAAGGGTCATAGATAGAAACCGTGGTAGCCCGGCAGGGTTCTGGGAAGGGGCCCACAGAGTCATCCTGCCAGGTAGACGGGGAGTAGTATAATCCACAAAAGCAAACGTCGACCTCCTCTATAATGATATCAAGAAAGGCACCAGGTCACCTGCATCCCACAACCAGGACCCGTCAGTCTCCAATGCGGGGAAATGGGGAGAAAAGGGTTTGGCCCCAAAAGATGGCTGGGCTTAGTCACCCGACCCACTTGCATTTTGCATGCATGCTCTATACAGCTACGTAACAAATAGAGAATCGCTGAAATCGAAGAGACGCTTAGGGCACGGAGGTGCATACTGGGCTGCATCACGAGAAGCCACGCATTGGTGCTACTTTGCCACATGGTCTTGTGATGGGCTAGAGACGCCGAGCCGCAACGCTCGGACTAGGGGCTTTTCTGGGGGAGGTCATCGTAGGTAGGAATTGACTCCTCACAATTGGAAACCCATAAACCTTCATGAATACATGGTATACGAGCAGAATTGGCAGAAATTTACACCCTCTTATCTATCATAAGCCAATCAATTCAAGCTTGAAATCATCGATATCAGAGACGCCGAGGGCTGTCCTAAACCCAGGACGACAGCGCGGCACTTTTAGCGAGCGAAAGATAAGGTTTTAGAATCTGGCTGAATCGACTCTGTATATTGCGGGTAATATTTGCGGCATATGAGCTCCATAGCCCTTTACATCTCAATTATGGATGATTGCTATCTGGGAACATATTCTCCAATGGATGACAACAATGCGCAAAGATAGTCTTGGACGAGACCGATTTCAAGATTTATTGGCAGTCTTTTACCTCTGAGCCCAAGTCAGCATGGGAAATTCAACTAGCCCGAGACAAAATCGTCATACCTTCCGAGGCAATTCAATGAGGCGCCGACACATACCTCTCCACGGGTGTGCTCGGTCTCCTCACAACATATACCATAAGAATGTACCAGAGCATCCAAGGAGAGAGAGTAGGCCGGCGAAGTAAGGACACCGATTGTTCATCATCCATCAAGAGCGTCGTGGGGGGTATGCGGGGTCAAAAGGCGAGAAAGAAGCGCTGGAGAGAAAAACGACGAAAAAGGGTAATCCAGGTATCAATAGAAAGGGAGCAAGCAGTTGCATCCCAGTGAATAAATCATCTTTCATCACATCAAAGGCTTAGTTGATGTCAGCGTCCGGGCTGCGACTTCGGCGGATCGGGCTGGGGCTGCGGCTACGACCACGGGCGGCGCCACGAGCTCCCTTGCCTTGTCCCTTGGCTCCTCCTTTGCCGCCTGGGGGTGGGCGGACAAATGCGTAGTCGACTTGAATGGTCTGATCCAGGAGCTTGGTATTGTTCAGGTTCTTGATGGCCTCGGTGGCTTCAGGGAGGGTCGAATATTCAATCAATGCGTATCCCTAGTGTGCGTTGGTCAGCTAACAGGTTCCTTGAGCACTGCTACAATTATTCGACCTATGAAAGCCAGGGAATCTGATCATCACAGCGGCGGCTTCAGATAGGATCTAAGTACGTACCTTGACATAACCTGTCCGTCGGTCAAGGTTCAAGTTGAAGTTCTTGATCTCGCCATGCTCTGCGAAAAGTTCGGTGATGTCTTCTTCTGAAGCTTCCTCGTGGATGTTGGACACAATGACAATCCATCCCTCAATACTGCGCACGGCCACGGCGCCGGACTGTGTGTGAGGCTCGAAGCCACGGTTCTGCTCCTGCTCCTGCTCCTGCTGCTCGGGCACCTCCTCCTGGGCGACAGGGGGGTCCACTTCCATTTCGTTCGACATCGTGAGAGAATTGGGGTGAGGAGAGGAGAGGGGGGGAAGGGTAGGGCGCTGGTGGTTCAAGATGATGTGAATGCGGAAGGGGAAAAGCTCTGGCTGAGTTGCACTCCTTTTTGGGTTTAGCGTCTCCCGCATTTCTCTAGGGCTATCTATACCAACTATCTCCTACTTCCACCAATTGCACACAACAATGCAGTATATTTATCTGTGTACCTGCAAGCTATTGAAAATTTAATGCTGGGTAGATGTGAATATTAGAATTTATGTAGAAGCGTGGTGTGCTGAAAACGCCTCAACGCAAGATCACGTAGCCGCAACATGAACGACCAAGAATACTGGTACAGGATCAAGTGAGAGAAGTCGTGAAGAGACTGAGTAATTAAGCTCATGTTTCATCATCTAAGTTCCCCCCTACTCGTTAATCTTCAAGGTGCGATTTTCACATCACAGTCATTGAGCTAGCTCTTTGTTCTGATCTCTACGAAAAGCAGTCTTCATAGATCTGATCCAAGGAACAAGATAGACCACTGGATCACGATGGTCTTACGTTGGTGAGCACCACATCTTTTCCCCCAGAAATCTGCAGACAAACCGACATTCGGTGCCTCGCATTAGTGCCCGGCCTTCATGTGGCTGCAACGAGGCACAAGAGCCAATCCAGAAACCTCTCGAGTTGCATATTCGAGACACCAAATCAGGGGAGACATACGACATGGCAACGACCTGCTCTGAGCTCGACGCCTCGTTTGACATACTCTCTGGAACGATGTTCATCAAGCAAAAAGTCCGCGACCCAGAAGTCTGGCCCGACATTCAACATGAAAGTTTGGTGCAGTTCAACCAGAGAAACAGCACATTCGTCAACCTGGAAGGCCTCGCAGGAAACTCCTTACTATTCACATACATGATCAATCCGCCCAACACTAAGATGAAAACAAGCTCCAGCTCTATCACCAAGCATATCTGGGGACGCACCAGCGCAAAGCTAAGAACCTGCCACCAATGGTACGGGTGGGAAACAGACACAAATGGCAACGAAGGCCCACTCTACCAATATCTCATGAATTGCGACGGCGAGCAAATCTTACAGCTGCATTTTCCCAATGACCGTATTGAAGGTTGGAAGTCTGTCGCCATGATTCTACTCACTTACCGCAAGATCAATCCGGTTATATGGCACCATCTCAGAACCCGAACTACTAGTTGTGAACTTGCGGGTTTTGATTGGGCGCAAGTTGAAGATCGAATGGGGTCGCAGCATGTGTATTTGTACGCAGATGTGGAGGCCAAAGCGAAGAGACCCCGCGTTACTAAGGCTGATACAGTTATGAAAATGGCAGAGTTGTCGGAGTACATGGGGTCAGATATAACTCTTAAGGCTCGAGGGTTTGCAGATCTCGCCGGGGCTGTGGACCGGCATACTATTTATCATGCTTTGAATTCGGGTGATTTGGGGTTCAGGGGCCTCTGATGAGCGTTGATGTTGCATGCCGAAGACTGATAGGTTGGACTCGAAGTAAGTGTTTTGAGATTGATATTTTTAAGTAATACTCGGCGTCTTGTTTATTTTCAGTGCATTACTATGGTACACAGTGGCTGTCTTTGGCCTGATTGATTGATATGAAGCTACGTACTTGAAGCTGCGACAAGAATTGAATCTGAAAGGACCATATTCCAAAAAGGAAGATCAAATCTTTGGATTGCTATTCTATATGTTTTTTTTTTGTGAATCTTTTAGAAAAAAGCTGTAGAGTGGAGATGTATCCCCATTTGGTTTGTCAAAAAGAAATTCTCCCGTTGTAATGGGTAGTAGGAAAGTGTGAACAATGGAAAGCAGCGCAGGTCGTTAAAAGTACAAAATGTTGAGGGAATTAACTAGAAGGAAAACCGATTGTAGCGCCAGGGGAATTGCTTATTTCCGGTTGTTGTTGCGCATGCCCAGGATCTGGACCATACGGACAAAGATGTTAATGAAGTCCAGCTCGAGGCTGACACTCTCGTTGACAACATCACGCTTGATGAGACCACGCTGAGCCAGGCGAGCGTGGTGCAGGACCTTCTGCACATCGTAGAGGGTGAAGCCACCGAAGACAGCCAGTCCACCGTACAGCCAGATGCGCTCAGACCACATCAGACTGCGGGCAGCAGTGGCGGGCAGAACCATGGGAGCGAGTCCAGAGATAGCAACGAGGACCACACCAGCAAGGAGTGGGCCACCTAGGTAGAGGTACTTCTCCTGCTTGGCAGTCGCACCGACAAAAGCAATTGAGCCCATCAGGCCAACGGTGTAGATACCAGCACGAGCGAGCAGAGCAGGGTTGTAGAACATCAGCGGGGAGAGGAGTGCAGCCTGTGTAAGGTTGAACAGGGTCCAGCAGCCGTACTTCATGACGTAGCTATGAAGGAATTAGTGCGAAAACTTGAGGTAGATATTATGCGCTCGGGTGAAGCGGAATTCAATACTTACTTATCCGGAGAGGTGTAGAAAGTGCCGTACATCGAACCAATGCTGCCAACCAGACCAACACCAAGGACAGCCCATGGGTTCATGGCCATGAGACGGTAGGACCAACCAGTAGTGTGCAGAGCGCGGGCAGCAATAGCGATAATTCCAAGACCAAGACCAGTGTGCATAAAAGTTTCGTTCAAGAAGCTTCGTTCGTAATCGGGCATACCGCCATCCTCACGGGTTTCACGGTTGAAGATAAAGTTGGTAGCGACGACGGTACCACCGACGATGGCGGCGCCATACATCAGCTTCTGACCCATGCTACCACTCTGGGTGTTAAAGGTCTGCTGCATGTAGGTGCGGCGGAAGGCATTTTGGAAGGTCTGGCGGGACTTGTTGAAGACCGAGGAAGCACCGGGCTGAGGCTTGGTTGCCTGGGTAGGCTTTAATGGAGAATTGTGAATGAAGCGAGCAGTGTTGGAAAGCTTGGGAGCTTGGCGAAGTGCCGATGAAACGGCGAACGGGCGCCGAAGAAAGAACGCCATGACGATGATGTCGAGGATGAGTGGGAACAGTTTGGGGGGAAGATCTCCAGATATACCCGGCAGGTGATATCAGTCTGATTACTCACGAGTGATTACTCACGTTCCGGAAACCGGTAACTCTTAAGTCCGAAACTTCCAGAATCATCACGTGCCAGGTGGGATGAGCTCTCAATCTCATAATCTGCCCCGCTAAGCGCAATAGGATATGCTTCTGCTTGTCTAAAATTATGACGATGGCGCCGCTAGAAACAATCAATCTCCCCCATTTGCCTGCTGAGCTCCCGGTTTTTGTGGCACTTTACCGCAATGTGGAGAATGCAGAGTTCTTGCGCCAGCAGCTGCTTGCCGGCAACACTGAATATGAATATGCCTTGATTGATGCAAGCATGGTGTGTAAAAATGCATATAGAATGAAAAAAATTCGAAATTGAAGGACTCATAGTCTTCTACAGGTTCTATCACGAACACATGCTATCACAGCAATTTTCCGAGCTGTCAATGACTATCTGAACAACCGCCTCAAGTCCCGCAATGTACACTCGGAGATTGTCTTCTCCTTCCTTGCGGCCAACAATGTGAGCAGTATTCCAGGCGCTGCAATACATCTGCATAGAATAAGAGCTAACTCATCCAGATTGCTGACTCATTCCGCAGATTCGGCATTGCCGACACCACCAAGGACCTGCTCGTGGTGAAAGTCCCCGTGTCCCCGGAGATAACGCATGACTCCGTTGCCACACACCTGGAAGCTTCCATCAAAGGAACTTCCGTAACCTTTGATGACCAGATCCTTTCAGAGATCTCGGATCTTGCCAGGATCAAGAAGGTGTACAAGCTCGGAGCTTTGCCTACTCCTGGGGCCAAGCAGGCCAGCGGCACACCCGATGACGCCAACCGACGACTTGAACTGTCAATTGTGGGAGCGATTGCTCTACGTGGATCATGAAGGGCTTCTTCGTTAATATTGAATATTTATATCTTGCCGAGAAACCTTACCGGCACCCGCAACAGGCTCTCGGGGGACAGGCCGGCCTTGACGGTTGATGATGAGAAGGCACTAACGATGACCTTTGTACGCAAAGCAAGAAAAAAAGAACGGGTTATCATACTAGGGGCAGAGATGGAACCCACTCCACACCTTGCTCCTTGCCTTCACAGCATAGACCATTAACTTCTTAATGGTCTTGACTCTTATGCTCCTCCGATTTGCCCCAGCAAAACTCGACCAAAAAGATGTCGCGCATCCCAAACCTTTGGAAGTCAAAGCGAATCTCAAGTGAATTAGGAGCTCGTGCCCATCGCCTACTGAACTCAAATCGTTATTGTCGAAATGTAAGCTCAGTTTTAATTGAAATGAATGATGAATTTCGCGAAGATATATTTCAGCCATACATGTACAACACATCGAATATGCTCCAATGTCGAGCACCAGAGGGTTTAATATTGAGGTCTTCGTAGATAAAAATATGGGCCAAAAGAATATCCATCGTTATATGAGATTGAATTCGATCAGATAAATAGCATTGATAGTTCTCCGAGGATCAAGATACCTTGCGTTGCCCGGACCAACCTGCAATCGTCCTAGAACGGAAATCCTACAACTTTGCCAAGACTCGCTGATCTTCGTCATCGCCGTTCCATCGCGCCTGACTCCACTTTCGCAATAGAGCATAAACTGATCCGCAACCACCGCTCAGCTTTGAAATCCACCGTGACATCGAAAGCAATGGTTTCTTGGAGCAGGAGAAGCTTCAAACGATATCTCACCTCATTAGCAGCCGATCTCGCCTTGAAACGCGTGATCAACTGGGCATAACAATGGCAACCGCCGCAGATGCCATTGTTTTGTCCTCATCCCCGGACCCTCCTACGCGTACCCCTAAATGTACTTTGAACGATGCCGACAGGCTTTTGGAGACATCGCCACTGGATCAAACGCCACTGTCAGTACCGTCACTCGCAGATGTCTTCCGCCCGCCTTCGCGATCCCGATTCTTCGCAGATGCCAGTGTGGCCGACAAACCAGCCAGGAAAAAGCGTCAGCCGGCGAAAAAATCCGATACAACAGATCCGGACGCTACCAAAGCCCCCGCCAAACCGAGACAAAGGGCGAAGAAGACTACGAAAGAGCAGGAGCCAAAGTCGGCTGCACTAGGAGACCTCGAGACGGGAGCTTTGGATTCAAGGGATAATACGGCGAAGAAGGCGGCACCTTCGAAAAAAGCTGGCGCGCGGACAAGCAAAAAGGCCAAGGAAACAGGGAACATGAAACTGACCGGCAAGGTTACCAAGGCGAGCAGTGAACCGCAGGCAAAGAAGGCGAGCAAAGCCAGCAAGGAATCAGTCTCCCAACAAACACCAGCAGTCGGGGATATCGATATTGGACAAACCATTTCTCTGGAAGGAAACGAGCATTTGCAATTGGAGGAGGCAATGGCTAGGCGACGTGACTGGACTCCTCCAAGGGAATCCGGCCCGAAGGATGTCACCACGATGGATGAGGAAACCGAGAGTCGCGAAGCAGGCCGATTTGGGAAATTACTGTGTGATTACAATTATTCTGGACTCGATTCAGATACCCGCGATATACCTTTGAATATAGATGGTGGAGGACCTACAAAACGTAGGCGAATCGAGGTATGTGTCAGAAGTTTGATATCTGCATATCTCATAATGATTCTAATTGAGCCTGTTTAGCTGGTGGACCCAGGACTTCAAGCGTTGACTTCCAGCAAAGCAGACCAAAGTGATTCATCCTCTGGCGCAAAATCCAAAAAGAAACCCAGAACCCAGAAACGATTTACGACTTTGACAGCCCGGATGACCGCCCAATATACCGTAAATGAGACGCCAGATGATGATTTGATGGATGATGTCGTCCCAGATATTAGCAAAGCGAAATCTCGACGGAAAACAAAATCAACGAACGAAGAGCCCGCTTTTACGGTTCTTTCGCCTGAAGCTGCTGTAAAGGCGTTGGATGCGCAGGATCTGATATTTGGAACATGCAGCCAGCTTGAAAGGGAAGAGTCACCACAGACGTTGAGAGATATTCAGCGAGCGATTCGCGAATCTGAAAGTCTCGCTTCACCGGCAAGTGGCTGGAGCTCGGGACGCCAGACACCCATACGCTCGGGAACTCGCCTGATGGGCACCAAGAATCTCTGGGGAGTTGCGGCTCGCGATATAAATGGGTCTCTCGTTCGAGCAGCTGAATTAGACTCGGCCGATCCGACCGATGTTTCCCAGGCATCCAAAGAAAAGCAGAGCAAGTCTACTAGTCTATCCACAGCTTTTGAGGATGATGATTGGTTTGACCTTGACTATGGAAGACGTGCTCCATCAAAAAGCATGACAACCTTGCAGCAGAAAATCTTCGAGCCTGTTGTCGATACCAAACAACTTCCTGTTACGGAAGTGCCCGTAGCAGAGGTACCCGTTGCAAGAGCGGCCGCTACAACGGTGCCTGTTACAAACGTTTCCCTCCCAGCTGCACAAAACCTCAAAGTAGTGAAAACCAGTCAACAAGCTGATATACAACCACTTTCTATGCCGCATTACCCCGGCTTCACGGATGCCGAGCTTTCGAAGCAGGTTGCCGTGTTTGGGTTCAAGTCAATAAAGGGTCGCAAGAAGATGATTGATCTGCTTCAAAAATGCTGGGAATCTAAGCATGGTATTTCGAGTAAATCTACCGAAGCCTCATCACAAGCTCAAACTGCTCCTTTACAAACGACTGTGCAAAGCGCCCAACCAAAACCAAAACCAAAGGCGAAATCTAAGCTCCTCGCTTCCGCGAAATCAGCGCCAATCGACAAACCTGCACAAGCAAAGTCTCGTGCTTTGGCAAGCCCAAAGAAGACACCGCAAAAAGCAGCAGGCACCGATACTCCCCGGTCTTCATATATAGATGTGGATGAAATTCAAGACTCCGAAGAAGAGTTATTTCTATCTCCCATCCGAGTTCAGCAGCGACACACAGAGATACCACCAGCAAACCCACCTCAAGAGCATACTTTGGACATTGTGACCAAGGAAGCGCCCCAATCCCCAACGAAACGTAAAACGACGACCAAACCCTCACGTTCTAAAGCAACAACATCATCTGTCTCCAAACTCAAGTCCAACACAGCAGTCTCATCTGCGCGAAACAGCTTGCCAGATATTTCTGCTCAAATCACCAAAGCCGTGCGCTTACAGGCATCTCTCTCGCCGCATTCCTCTTCAACCGGCAGTCGAAGTTGTCCAACATGGCACGAGAAGATGCTCATGTTCGACCCCATTATATTAGAGGATCTTACGACCTGGTTGAATGTCGAAGGCCTCGGTCTTGTTGAAGAAGATCGAGAGGTCAGCTCCTGGGATGTGAGGAAGTGGTGTGAGAGTAAAGGGATATGTTGTTGTTGGAAGCAAAATGCAAGTTGGTGATGCTGCTGCATAGATTTATCATACATCAAATCACCAACCTAACTCCAAGATACCCATAGCACATAGAGGACTTAAGCAAGCATGATAAAGCGAAGTTTCCAATTCAATACATGTCCCTCGGCTTCATGACAAAGTCTGCATCTTAGAAAAGCAGCAACCCGAAGACGTCAAAAACGCAAACGCAAATCACCTTCCATGGTTTAGAAAGGCTCCTCGCCCTTCGACTCAAGTTAGCCACATGAATGGAAAAAAATAGGGGCCTAATCCCTTACCCAAATGGGACTGAGGACTCTCATATCATCTCTCCACCCGAAATTCCCACTCAGAAGCGCAACATTCTTCTCCTCCAAGTGGACAACCTTTGCCATAAGATGGGTTTCATTCGCAATGGAGATCTCAAACGCTGCCTCGAAACCAGTAACCTGATCTTCCAGCTTGCGAATTTTCTCCTGTAGCCCAGTAACTTCCTCCTCCAGCTCAGTAATCTTACGCTTCATCCTTCCGGGCTCACCGCGTTTGAAGGTTTGGTTGGTACCGCGGTCAGTGACAAAACATTCTTTGTGATCTTGAAGACAGTGGAAACATGGAGCGGTATCTGATCCAACAAGGCAGCGCATTTTCCTTATCTAAATGTGGTTGGAAGTGAATGTCATCAGTGAATTCTTCAAGATGATGAATACGATAGGGCTATATTTACCCTGCACCTATCACAGGCTTGGCGAGATCGTTCCGAGGTCTCCTTCTTCTTTCTGTGGTCATTCCTAACCAGCTCAGAATATTCTGGCTCGGGATCTTTTTTGCTGCGACGGGGTTTCGGTTGCGCGGGAACTTTCTTTGCTTTGACAGTGGCAGTGGCCGTGGGAGGTTCCGAGGTTTGCTCGGTGGTTGAAGGGTATTCCGCTTCCCTGAGACGGTAAATGTTTGACTCGATGTCATCGGGCATTTTGATGGATGTTTGGTAGTCTATATTAAGACTCAAGGGTTAGTCGAGAACGGGTCAGTCTTGGGAGGAGTTGATGGGTCTCGACGATAGTTGATATTCGGGAGACAACCTGTGATGTTTAGCATAGTCCCTGAGGGTATTGGAGTGACCTTTTTTTTGTTGAGATTCAGGTTTGGTTTTTGTATGTAACTGGTGGGTGTTGATCAGGGAAGGAGTGGAAGTGATTGAGGTTGCTGTTAAATAAGGAGGGTCTGGGATGTGATGATTGAAGCGAGAGCTACGCTTGGATGATGGGAACGATTCAGAGAGGAGTGCCTGGGGTATCAATTGACTCGCTGTCTTTGAGAGAACTTCAGGAATCTTCCACAGTATACAGTTCTGAGGTCGGGATTATTTATTGCCCAGGAAATTACAGCCATGGAGAATAGGCCTTCACATATAGTAGTAACTCACACGCTTCATTTCTTTATAGAAGAACAAGGGCATTGTTATATTTCAAGACAGCGCCCAGAGAAAGACAATGAGAAAGACGATATGGCAGAGAAATGCTAGCTCATATGGTCCCAATGCCACTGACTCCAGAATCTGTAGAAGCTTGTCTGACTAAAACTTCCGAGATAGTCAGATAGATAAAGACTTATGGAACAGGGAGCAGTCAAGGTTGTTGGCAATGTACTAAGGTTGTCTTGAAAGCACAACTAGAGCTATAACCTTGCAGACCAAGTAAAAAGTAATGAACTGGAACTGCACCTTCGTGTAGCGAGCCATACCCTTTAATGCTCAAGTCCAAGCCCATGAAAATAGAGCATTTTAGGTACCAATCAATACTCGGTCAATCCAACTTGCCATTGATAATGATCCCTGGCTTCAATATCTGGAACCTTGACAGCCAAATAACACATCAAGGTAGTAAATATCCTTCTAGCTAAAATAAATCCCGTTTTTAGCCTCATCAGGCTCCTCCCACGGCAAGAATTGTTGCTTAGTTCTCACTAGTAACTCTAGATTATCGGAGTCTGTTTCCATACTACACTCTTGAATTTAAATCATATTTTGTGCCTCTTGGTCTTGACAGCATGCGCTGGTTGAAAGGGAACCAAGGAAACTTGTGCCTCGAGTCTCGTATTCCATTTGAGAATCTACAATCATCGAGTCGAGTAAATAGAACAAGTTTTACAGTTCAGATAGTATCTATAATCAGACTCCAGCATGTCTCGCCTTCCTAGAAGGAGCACCAAAAGCCCTAACTCCCATTCAGGATTTGCTCCCGGTAGAGGGCTGATCGGATGTCATATGCATCTTCAGGGTCAATCAATCGTGCGTGATCATATTCTGCTTCATGACCCGCGGCCTCCATCTCTAGATACCCCGGTGCATAAATCTCAATATCCTCTGTCCACCCATCTCTCGCCCCATCAAATCGATCAAGAAACTCGCCCCGTGCCTTAGCTCCTTCCAGGATATCGATTACCGGCAGGTTCATATCCAAGCTACCGTCCAGATCAGCCATCAGATAAGCAAGCAAACTGCCAGAACTGGTCTAGGTCACATACTCCGAATTCATCCGTTGAGAGCCCCCAACCCGATCATCGATCACGTGTACAAGAGGTCTATTACCGGTAAAGAGGTCCAAATACACAGGCCACATGTTGCAAGCCCGTCGACGAAGGCACTGATCAATCTGGCCATTGCGCTTGAAATCCACGACAGTGATGTGGCCGGTGTTCAGATCATCCTCGGTTACCAGGAACCAGTGCCACAGAAATCCCATGTAAAGCACCGTCCCTTGGCGGGTCATGGTCAAGTGCGCGAAATTAGCCATTTCGAGAAAGGCTCTTGGAAGAACATCGGTGATGTGCACTTTGGTTGGGTCGGAGAGGGTCGCCGGGTTGGGATCAAGGCTGCCGTGTCTTGCGCCATGGCTTTGCATACAATGATCCATCTCTCCGTCCAGACGGCAGGAGAGAATATAGAGCTTTATCCACTTGGATTGGTTGGACGGGAATGACGGGCCCAGCGGTGGGAGGCAGACAAAGCTGGGCGTGTCGTAGTAAAGATGAGAATCACGTACAGCATCAGATGGATAGTCCATTGCGTTCCTTGCTGGGGCTCGCTGGTGATAAGACTATCGTTGTTATTCAGCCATGAGGTTCCAAGGCTGTTCCCCCAATCTTTGAATGGGCAATGAACATACATCGCGGAATTCTTGGCTGGCTTTTGCCCAGCTCTCCACTAGGGCCCGGCGTTGGCGCACTTCGTAATCTCCATCGTCGTCGGAGACATTGGCATTCACACGGGAGACCCATTGTTCCTAGTCGACATGTGAGGCTTTGCTCTAGGATCATCATGAGACGAGGGTTCCACTTACCTCTACAAACAACAACCATCCTTTGGCCTCTTCGTTGGCCTGTTGGATTGTGACATCGTTGGCATTTGCTTTGATCTCAGGTGGGACGCCGCCCGGCCAGTGGAAAGGGCGGGAAGGAGGAGCGACCATGAGATATAATTTTTGTCTATGAAGTATTGCCCCATTTGCTCAGTTTCGTAAAAAGCTAGTGATACTTTGTGAGTCCAGAAAAGAAGACGAATTGAGTTTTAAACCCGGAAGTCGGCGGTGGACAAAGGAGACTAAAAGTGGATGTTGTTGTCATTATTAACGTCCAGCAGAGACACAGGAGGAGCCTGTGTTCCTGAAAACCTCCCAGGGGTTATAGGTATGTGCCAAGCTAGGTTTTATAAGTACATATGTGCTATCCTAGAAAGCAAATCTCGTAAAAGCAGAGGAACTGGCCAGTCGACGGAGGTGGTCCCCGACGAGCGGGACGATCCTGCGGGAGTCACGGGTGGTGTTCCACCCAGTCCGGTTTGTAGGACTATGGGCCCAGTGTTCCGACACATGCTCTACAGGAATCCATGTCAATGCACCGCGCAAATGGGATCCCCTCTTGAGGATGATTTATGGCCCCACTCGCTTGGGATACAAAAACAAATCTGGCCTTGGCCGGAACTCAGCCAATCATGTTTTCAAAACTATGCTTTCCGCCCCATTCTGATATCACTCTAAACTACCTGCCTGAACGAGTCAGGTTGCCTGGAAAATCGTAAATTCTCTACACCGATGTCTGCTCTGGTGAGTTAATTGAGGATAAACTTTTCTTTGTTCTTTTCAATTCAGTAATTTGGAATAGACTTTTTTTTGGGAAGCTTTCTTATTCTAGGCAGACAATCCTGCTACCTAACCGCTTGTTTAACCCATATGTACTCAATACGCGCAGAATTTGCCGTCTAATTACATATAATCTGCCAATCCAGCTCACCAATGCTGGTGTGATACTTTTGCACAACATGGAGCAACTACCAAATGAACTCCTTCTATGTATTGGGAAATACGTCCAGCAAGGGTCTGACCCCCAATCAGCCCTGTATTCATTAAGTCGGTGCTGTCGACGATTCCATGACTTATACCAGCCCTTGATGTATTCATACCTATCCTTCGAATCTTTTTCTCAGAAATCTGTGGACTTGATTATGCATTTGTGGAGACGCCCGGATCTCGCCAGTCAAGTCCATCGATTGTACCTAATCTGGTCTAATTGTGATCAGAACCATATCGATCGGCACGACAAGGATGACAAAGCCGCCCATTTCATCGAAGATGCACTGAATGAGATATTTACGCCAGAAGAAGAGGAGACAAAAGAAGTTTGGGAAGAGCATCTCAATGGCGAGGGGTTATGTCCAGAAGCATGGTTGGGTCTATTGCTTGTCCGGCTGACTCACCTCCAAACAATTGAGTTTGGGCATGAACATTCCGATTTGATGTCTGATATTCTACTCAAGGCAGCAAACCGCCAGCAGCCCTTCCACCAGGGGACGCCATTTCCTCTCTTGCAAGATGTTCGAGCATGTGTTGGCTGGGGAGCTTCATGGATCGACTCCGGCTTTTTAATGCCTTTCTTTTATTTCCCTACCGTTCGTAGGATCTACGGAACCGCGATAGGCGAGACAAAAGATGACGAAAACACATGTCTTGCAAATCATCAGCCTTCATGTCCTGTGCAGGAAATTACTGTGGAAGAGGGCTACTGGTGTCGAGGCATGCTTGACTGGCTCGCAGTGTGTACGAATCTTCAGCATATCTCCATCACGGTGGAGATACAAGCAGACGAATATGAGCTTGATGAGAAGGACCAATTTGATGCTCCGCAGTTTCGGGTGGCTCTTCTTCCATTTACCAAGACTCTCAAGACTCTGTGTATCGAGTATGGAGATAACTACAGAGACCAAGTGGTGGATGAAAAGGATGTCCACGAATCTTCCTTCGGATCCTTTAAAGACTTTACTGTTCTGGAAAATCTCACAGTCCGACATGATCACTTAATGGGACTTTCTGATGACTCGAGTCATGATTGGGATATGAAACCGCTTGCTGAAAGCTTGCCTCACTCCCTCGTGAGTCTAAAAATCATCGACATAGTGGTTGATTGTCATCTTGAGTTATTATCCGAGCTTTCCCAACTTTTGCGCCATGTGCACACTTTTCCTAAGCTTGAACGATTAGTGCTCTGCATTCTGAGCGAAGATGAAGAGGAAATTAGTGATGTGTTCGATATTCTGAGGGTCGAATGTCAGGGTGCCGGTGTCTCCTTGATGATTGAGTAGGTACACCATCTGTCTCATGGCAAAGACAAGGGATCCTTGGCTTTAAAATATCGGTCCTCTGATACTAGCGGAGCATGTGATTTAATGCGTGCAACCGCAAAGGACAAACGTCTTTCCGGGCGACCGGTATATGGCGATAGACGACATCCGTCACGCGGTGTCCCGACCCAGCTCGACTCATTAGACGCCCCCACAGCACCTGTATTCACTATCGTTGTGTTAAAGTACTAGAAGCGAGATATTGAAAGGAATCCGATAAGTAAAACAATAGTAACATTATCTTCGTAAATGGCAATAAATAACCGACCATATAACGGGAAATTAAATATCGAAACCAAAGTCAATATGCGTTCAGTCTTGGAACTCCAGCCATGCTCGACCAGCTTAAGAACCAAATATGTGACCCCGAATTTCCCAACCCGAACCCCAGAAACACAGCCTGAATCCCAATCTATGCGGGTCAAAGCCAAAAGAATGAGCACAGTGTCCCAGAAAGCCTGAACTCCCAATCACGAACGGCAAGCCTGAGGTGGCACAACAAAACCAAAGATGTATGAATAACAATAAATACAACAATTAAAGGGAACGCGAAAGTGCTTCGTATCGTGTCAAATGGTCGTGTACGCACTCTGGTCTGTATTTGATCATCGGAAATTCTTTCCGTTGGAGGCGACGAGTTGGAAGTTGATGCGTGGCTGATATCGCACCGCGCCGCCGTCCTCAAGCCATGGAAGAAGGTTCTTGCATTGGCTGACATCGAAGGAATCGAGTTGATGACAGCCTTCGGACACAGCTTCCACGCCTACACCAGTAACGCGGACACAACCACGCACGGATAGATGCTGAAGTGAAAGGAGATGCAGGCCGATACTGCGAAGGGAGGGGTCGGAGATTGCAGAGCCACAGAACGACATGTTCAGGGACTTCAATTGTGAGCATTGAAGGGCAAGGACCTCTGTTGCCGTATCAGATAATGCGCAACAGAATGACTGATGATCATGATTAGCTAGGATTTCTTTGAGCACAAAAAACATTAGAATTCTTACCAAGTCCAATTCTTGTAGCTGCTTGGCAGCATTGGTTAAATGCACAATTGCATTGTCCGTCAAATAGGTGCAGTCCGCCAAGCAGAGCTTGCGCAGGTTGGTGAACCGAGCATTTCCCCAATATTGGAACCCTTGGTCTGTGATCGTGGTGCAGCGAGTCAAGTCCATTTCTTCGATTCGACCTGCTGCGTGTGATGCAATGTGGTGCATTGAACGGTCTGTAACGTGTTTGCAGTATGACAGCGTGAGCTTCTTCAATTGCGGGCAGCCATAGACCAAGCTGTCTGCCGTCTGTAGGGTGGGCTTGATAGAAGCACTTTTGCCCTCGGTGGGCTTTTGATTTCCAGGGATAACCCACCCAAGGATTCGAGCCATGAGGGTATCGCCCACCTTTCGACAGTTGCTCAAGTCCACGTTCTGCAGACCAGTAGCCTTGCTAGACATTTCGAGGATTGCTGAAGCCGTGACATCCCACACACTTTTCATCTTCCACGTAGTAGAGTTAGGTGCACAAGTATTGACTAGTGCATTGAAACCCTCGTCTGTGATATGGAAACAATTATTGATGTTCACAGAGCGGGGCCGGTCACCAACAAATGGACAAATGACCTTCACAAGAGCATCATCGGTGACTTTACGGTTGTATATGCTGAGGTCCAAATCCCGAACCAGCTCCGATGACTTGTTCAAAATGCCACACCAATGAGAAGACACTGCACGAAGTTGAAGCAGGTGATGGAATTCCAGGAACCCAAATATGTTCAGCAAAATGCTATCTGGGAAGATGCCGGGTGGGGCATTTTTCCAGGGGCGTGCAGTATGATGTGCTTTGGTTTCGGCAGTGTCTGGAAGTGCAAAGCTCGATGAGGTAGCAGAACGAGGTTCTGAAGAAGGAGATTGTCGCTGGTATTCGCCTGTCATTTCTTCTGGCGTCAACGGTGCCACCGAGCCGCGTCGGCTTCTAAGTCGGACCTTGTCTAAACCAAGGCTTAGATAAGGATCTGGATCGGATGGTCGTGCCAAAGGGTGTTCCTGGTCTTCGCCCGATGAGGATTGGTGTGGACCGTCAAGCTCAGTCTCAGTCAATGTCAATAGAGGCATAGACTTTCTCCGAGCCGCAGTTATTTTCACACGATCTTCGATATTCAAGTCACCCATTGGAGGGTGCTCTTCTGAGGCATCCGTCATGACTACATCGCCATCGGAAGCCGCCTGTAGCCTTTCTTGGGCGGTACGCTCCACTTGCTCTCGTATATCCTTAGGACACATCTCCCAGAATTTAGAAAGCACATCCCCGCTTAGCATGAGACATTCTACCGATGTGACAGATCGAACAGTTGCTGTCCTTCGCGGCGCTAGTGCCAGGCTGACCACTTCTCCGAAGTACTGCCCCTGCTTGAGTCTAGCTTTGATTTCCACACCGCCGTGATCAACTCCATTGGGCTTGCCATGGCTTTCATTGTTTGCCTCACGCTTTTCGGCCACAACCTCAACTTCACCACGAACGATGAAATAGAGCTCGCGGCCTTGGGAGTCCTGCTTGATAATATCGGTGAATGGATGAAATGAGGCTGGCTGGGCGTTTAAGCCCAAGAAATGAAGGATATCCGCAGGTAACCCGGAGAAGAGCGGTAGTTCTTTGAGGAGTAGACGAACGTTCACCAGTCCATTGGCTAGTGCACTGGCTGCATCTCGTCGCCCTGGGCTAGGTGATTTTCGTTTTTTATAGACAGACTTGAGACTCAGGTCTTCATCTTCCGCAACAATGTGATCTTTGGAAAAGCTTTCGCGTAATCGTTTTGAGCCTCTTCGTACTGGACTGGGACTAGGTTCGTCGTCCACGACGGGAGCCGAGGTCTCTTTTTTCTTTTTCTCCAGAATCATCAATCGCTCCTGGGCTTCTTCCATGATCGCGCGCTCAACATCCGGAAAGCGCGGAAGGATGTTGCGAAAGTCTTCCTTGGAGAGCACGACCAGCATGCATCGGGTGCGTGCAATAATGGTTGCGGTGCGCGGCCGATCCATTAGCACTCCAATTTCTCCAAAGAAAGAACCTGGTTCTAACTCGGCGTATATACTTTCACCATCACGCGATGTGACGGAGACGGCGCCGCGCACCAACCAGTAGATTGCTCTTGCATCATCGCCTTCAGTCAGAATATAATCATTTGGGGCGTGGAGCTGCGGGCGTAGGTGTTGGCCAACTTCGATCAAGAAGGATTCGGGTGTGGCCTGGAAGAGGGGAAAGGAGCGCAGACGATCGACAAGCTCGAGCGGCAGCGCTTTAATGTGGGAGGAGGCTAAGGGCGAGGGGCGCACGGGTCGGTTCGGGTTCATGACCGAGTCGAAGGAATGGATAAGGGACAGGTTATCGGACATAGGCGTGACAGCCTTAGTCGGACCCCCGGCCGACCTACCATGGCGACGCATGCTCACAGAGACAAATTTTGAGTAGGAAGATCCGACGACTAGAGGTAATAGGGCTTTGAGCTAAGGAGAGAACGATGACGTCGACGAAAGCACCGCAGATGTCGAGCCGACAGTCGGCATTCTTTCCACGCCCAAATTGGAACGGGCTCTAGCAGATAGACATCTGCAGAGGTGAAAAGGTGGTGGAGGTTGGGATAAATGGGAAAGATCAAAGGTTGACGGGGTCTCTCTTCAGGCGAAAAAAGGTGGGGGGAATGAGCGACTCAGCGATGTCAAATGCGGTTGAGCTCCACCGATCATCTGGAAACCTTCGGAAACTCTATGGGAACCCGCTGTCGGATGCTCCACTATTGCTGAGCTTCTGCTCAATGATTTATATTTCATTACATATAGGTTTTGCATGAAATCAATTGTGCTCGGATCGTCGCATTGTCTAGGTGCCTGCAGAGATGATCCTACATATTGCCCCAGGAGTTCATCAGTGAAAAAATACTACATTTCTGCATAAGGCACGGACTAAATGGAAATCAATGCACTTCTCTTACGATTCCGTTTCTTTGATAGGATCTAGTACGCCGAAAGACAAAGAAAAGTAAAAATAAAAAAATCTCTTGATTCTTGCCTAGAGCAGCCTTCGCCCAAATCCGGACTTTCCAGATGAAAAGCATCGGCTTGAAACGAGATCAGGCGGAGTGTCTATTGAGGACTAATATTCCCTAGCTAGGTGCGTAGGTAGCTAGTTGCTACCAGCCTTACCCGGCAATCGATGTACTTTTGGTCGACAATAAGTCTTAGCTGATTACATGTGCCCAGTGACTGCGGGCATTCGGTCATATATGGTCACGTGCTCAGGATAGCAAAGAGAGAAGTGATTCCATGAAATAGTAAGGAGGGTATCAAACAGATGTAAATCAAACACGCGGAGAAAGCATGGCGCAAATATGCCATGTGGCCGATATCCTATATTGCGGAACAAACAGACCCAATATCGGGGTGTCTGTGCCTAGGATGTTTCACCCCCTGGTCTTGGGACACCATTGGAGCAGTGGCTTGTATAATCCCGAGCCATGTCTGAGTGGCCCGTCCAATCGAATTGGTTGGGAAGATAGTAACAAGGCCGGCGGAGCTCTAATGGCTCTGGATGAGCGACCGACAGTGTGTCAATCAGAAGAGGGCATTCATAAACTGAACAATGCCAGACCCCAATCAGATAGTACCCTGATCCTCTGTTTTAGATTGCCGTTTGCCAAAGAAAAAATCCAAGTATTTCGGGCGATTCCCTTTCGCTGTTTCCAAAACATCTTGCAATAAGCCGTAGGTCAGACTCAGCTTCAATCCGAATTTTGCGGTTCGAGCAGCAGTATAAACGTCATGACGAGCTAGGACACAATATATAGTTAGTTTCAAATGATGTTTCCGGCCGGAGAGAGTCAACAAGTCTTACCTAGTAAGCTGTAAATACCAGAGAACGATAAGCCGGCAGTAACTGTGGACAAAAAGTCTCTCTCCTCATGCCTAGCATAGTCCACGGTTTCCTCGAATAAGGAAAAGGCCAGAGCCCCAACACCAAGCTTAGCTCCCATTTTTAACCCATCCTTCACGCCACCAACGATGGAGATATAGTTCTTGGTCTTATGATACTGGAACCAGCCGGTCGAGGTTGTTGGGAATCGATGTGCGTTCTCTGCCCGGAACAGCAGGCCAGCTTTCTTACTGCCATGGACGTACCCCAAAGCTAACCCCGGTATGAATGCACACATTGTAGCGTATGGTATGCGCTTCTCGACGTCGATACCCAGCCGTGGAGGGGTATCAGATTCGAAAAGCTTGTGCCAGTATACGAGCTTCAGGAAGAGTGAGTTCTCCCGCTCAGACTCGAGAGAGGACGGTTGATGTTCCATGATGGCGGAGGGAAACAAGGAGGCGACGATAGTGTAGAGTAAGGGTGAAGTAGTCCTGGCAGTAGACGTGGGATACAAGGCTTCTGGGATAGGGAAGCGCAGTCCAAACGAGGTGCTTGGAGTGGTGGCGTATAAAGCAACAATGTTGCAATGCGGTGGTTGAAAAGCTGTCAAGCGTTATGAGAACAGCTAAAGGATTAATTGATATGAGGAATGGCCTCTGGCCCTTCTATTGAACCACCTGTCGTGCTTGTTTCTCAATCGCGTAAATGGTGTCAGAGAAGAATTTCGGAGTTGCGGGAGTCCACTCCGCCTCCGTCACTACGCCAAATCTGACTACTATGTACTGTAAGGGTCCTGACTGCAAGAAGTACGGGTAATTATTCTCAAGGTAAGCTGCAAGTCAAACTACAATCATATACTCTGCCCCTAACTATATCTGGTTTGCAGACTTCCAGCTTCTAGCATCATCATATAATAGCAGGTGCTCACGTCCCTACTATTGACCGCCTAATATTCACCGCCCAAACCAGTTTATGGCAGAATCAGGCTTGGCATGGCAGAAGTATTATGTCACCAGGACACACATCACGTGACAGCCTCCCTTCGTTTTCAATCCGTGCGATGACATACAATCACGTGACAACTCTTTCACTGAGCTCTACACATCGCAAAAAATGGTATGTCTCTGTGGAACCTTGCTGTTTGAATAACAGAGGAGCTGTAGTAAGCTAATTAATGTCTCCAAACAGCCTCCTAAGCAAGCGAAAGTGGACCCACGGGCCTCGACCCTGCTCTTTAAGAAGCACAAAATCACCATCTTACTCTCATTGCAACCTCATGAGCCCCTCACAGCAGTGAAGGAGAAGCTACTCCAAGCCCTGAAGTCCCGTGAAGTGCGCGAAATTAAGGGAGAACCGATTCCTGAAGACCCTGCTCTCATCGAGCTTGGTATTCCCGTCGACCGAAGTGAGCTCGAGAAAGGATGGACCCGCCTCATCAAGGCTGAGCCCACTATAACAGAAGGTGTCGCGAAGGGTACAGGAAATACTGGGGATACCGTGCTATCAGCTGGTCTGGAGAATGGACATGTGGTCGCTTTCCGATTCCGCAGGGCGGACGATGTAGAGAAGGATGATGGAGATTGGGATGTGATTATCCCAAGCTTTGACGACGAAGAGGAGGAAATCTGAGGAGCGGTATGTCGCTCCACGATTTTACTACATTATACGACCGTTTTATGACGCTGGCCGAGCAGGGGAAAATTGGAGTAACGTACTTTGCATGGCGTTTCTTGATTTGTCACTCTCGTCGAAAAAATCTTTCTTCAAAGACTAAAATATGTGCTATTCGGACCTTGGTCTGCAATAATTGCTTTGTCAGTAAAATTACAAAGATATACAGATGAGATGAGACCAAAATTTGTCTTATTTGAGTTCAACATGGCTAGACGAATCGAGACTATGCAGATGCCCGACCTATAAGCACCACGATCCCTTCCTATTGTCATGCATGACAGCCTTGGGGATACTATTTAGAGCTGGGTTGATGGTGAACAGGCCTTTAAAGGCGCCCCAATACAATAGCTGTAAGTATGAATTTGAAGCTGCAACATTAGCAATGACCCACGCCAAGCTAGGTTTGATTGTCATCTCTATTTACTGAATTAGGTATTCATAAACGGGAAAAAGTCTTGAGTGGAATGCTTCATGGCTTGTGATATACTTGTCTGCTGGTGATTTTGTACATTTCGTAAGGACTGTACATACTACATAGGTCCAGTTTACAAGAGTTGAATAGCATCGCATCTGTCTCCACAAAGTGGATCTAAGACGTGGGCAAACATGGATATAGTGCGTGGAAGCTATATGAAACAAGTTATTGCTGTGGGAAGTGCCGTTCCCCGAGTGAAGCAGTCCTAAATGCCACGCGATTTTAATCATAATCGCCACTATCAAACCGTTGCCAGGAGCAACCAGGAGGGGACAACACATTGCTCCCGTCAACAAATGAAATCGCTCCCAGGAGTCTCTCGGAGAATACTGCATCCCATAACCCCATACACATTAGATCCACACATTCCTCACCCTTTCATCGACAACTCTCGCCACCTCCCAGCACTAGGCCTTGCCGAACGCAGGTCGCGACACGGCTTCGACATACCGGCCCCGCAACAGCGCGAAGTGCAGGCGGCTTCTTCGACCCAATCTTCCACCATGGCCACCACCGACGGCGCCTCTTCGATCACGGTCACGGTCCGCGTCCGGCCTTTTACGATTCGCGAAGCAGCTCAAATCACCAAAACCGATGACGGCCCCCTGTTCCTTGGTGATGGATCGCTGGCAGGCGTGCCCACACCAAAGCTCAACCAGAAAGGGATCCGGTCCATTGTCAAGGTGATTGACGACCGGTGTCTGTATGTACTAATTTTTAGTTGCTGGCTATATATGGGTCCACTGTCCCGACTGACGCATTTCATCCACCAGAGTGTTTGACCCTCCCGAGGACAATCCTGTCCAGAAATTCTCCCGGTCCGTCGTTCCCCAAGGCAAGCGTGTCAAGGATCAGACCTTCGCCTTCGATCGTATTTTCGACCAGAATGCCTCACAGGGTGAGGTATACGAATCCACCACCCGCAACCTCCTCGATAGTGTCTTGGAAGGTTACAATGCCACGGTATTTGCATACGGTGCGACAGGATGTGGAAAGACACATACCATCACTGGAACGGCGCAGCAACCTGGTATTATTTTCATGACAATGCAGGAGCTATTTGAGCGGATTGACGACAGATCGGGTGAAAAGTCGACTGAGATTTCGCTTTCATACCTGGAGATCTACAACGAAACCATTCGCGATTTGCTTCTTCCCGGGGGAGCCAAGGGTGGGCTCATGCTGCGTGAAGACGTCAACCAAACAGTTTCGGTACCTGGCCTGTCGAGTCACCACCCGCAAAATGTGCAGGAAGTCATGGATATGATTATGCGAGGAAATGAATGCCGTACTATGTCACCAACAGAGGCCAACGCGACTTCTTCCCGATCCCACGCTGTTCTTCAAATCAATGTTGCGCAAAAAGACCGAAACGCCGATGTCAACGAACCACATACTATGGCCACACTGAGCATCATCGACCTTGCCGGTAGTGAGCGAGCCAGTGCCACCAAGAACCGAGGCGAGCGCCTTCTCGAAGGTGCGAACATCAACAAGTCCCTGCTGGCTTTGGGAAGCTGCATCAATGCTCTCTGCGACCCCCGGAAGCGCAACCACATCCCTTATCGAAACTCGAAACTCACTCGACTACTCAAATTCGCTCTTGGTGGCAATTGCAAAACGGTCATGATTGTTTGTGTTAGTCCGTCCAGCCAGCATTTCGATGAGACACAAAACACCCTACGCTACGCCAACCGCGCGAAGAACATCCAGACTAAGGTCACCCGAAACGTTTTCAATGTCAATCGCCACGTTAAGGACTTTTTGGTCAAGATTGACGAGCAGATGAAATTAATCACCGAACTCAAAGCACAGCAGAAGGAATCGGAGAATCTGGCATTCACCAAATTCAAGAAGCAGACAGAGAAAAAAGACGCTGTTATGCGCGAGGGCGTTGCTCGTATTCGCACTGCTTACGACCATTGCTTGCCGGAGAGACAAGAGAGGACGAACCATATGCTCAAGCTCAGACAGATCAGCCGCAGGATCGGTATTCTGTCTTCGTGGATCGCAGCATTCGATACCGTGTGTGCCTCACGCGAGGATGGAGAAGGAATCGCCAACCTGTATGCCATTCGCAAAAGTGCCCAGGGTATTCTCCTTGAATTGGAAAGCAGCAGACATCATTACAACCAGCGATTGTCCAAGAGCACTTGGGATCGAGCGATGAACTCGGCAGTTGAAAATGCGACCAAGCAACTTCAAGAATTTGAAATCAGTGATGCGAGTGACTACGCAAACTTGGATAGAGAAGCCGAGCTTCTCAAATCCAACGCGGAGCGCGAGTCACTGTCTGCAGTTATCGAGCAAGACAAAGCTGGTGAAGCTATTGCTGTACAGCTGCTTCTCCAGGCACAATTTGAAATGATGACATCAATTGAGGACATCATGCAGCTGAACGCAACTGAAGCCATTCAGAAGGGACGCGTGATTCTCGCGAAGATGCTGGAAGACTGCTCGAACGCCGCATCAAACCTCGTGAAGCCTGATGGTAGCCTACCCGCAATTCCCACAAGTCCAGTGAAGGTCGCCAGCCCGCCGAAGCCGAAAAAACGATTCAGCCTGGTGAGCATGCCGCCACCAATGAAGACTCTCCAGCCCTCTGTTCAAATCGCGCCAACAGCCCCTCTCTCTCCAATCAAGGGTTCGCCGCGTCGCCGAAAGGCTGGTGCTGGTCGCAAGAATGTCACCTTTTCACCCAAGAAAACTCAATCCAAGCCTACCAAGAGATCCGTCCGTTGGAAGGATGATGAAGAGGACGCCCCTCTGACCGAATACCAAAAGTCGCCTCAGAAGACAGAATCTGTGGACGGGGATAGCGGAGAAGACCCTTTCGAGCCTACCCTGCCGCGGGGCGCATCGCCCATTCCGCGAAACATCCCCAGGATCGTTAGTCCATCAGGAATCGCTGCACCTGCCGCACTATCAGATGAACCGACATTGAACATTCAAAAGAACAGCAGCCGCTTCAAGGCTGGATTCCTTTCCAAGAGACCAGGCAGCTCTCCTCTGGCACCCCCTCCAACTGCTTCTCTCCCTCTCACCAATCGTGAAAGCTCCCCACTCCGCGACATCGAAGGCAGCAGTTTCTTGAACCGTGCCTCGACTGACCGTCCCTCTCGCATTGCCGTTCGAAGCCCGAGCGGTAACTTCTCAAGCAGTCCTGTGCCTGACAACAAGGACAACTGGAAGTCTGACAAAGAAGACGCGATTAAGATCAACTCTGCCATGCGTCGCATCTCCAGTGGGCACTTTGGTCCTTCTGCCAACGCTTTGCGGGTCCATCGTCGCCGCAGTCCTAGCTCCAGTACATATGGCAGCTCTCCTAGCGAGGGTAACATGTTCACCGCATCCCAGGCCCGCCGCATGGTGAAGAGCGATCGGGAGGTTGAGGCTAAGCCCCGGGTGTTTAGTCCGCATACCCTGCCGGTAATGAAGAACACCGCGCGTCGGACCACGCTGGGAGGAGAAATTCGACCACGACATGCCAGCCTCTCAAGCAGAGATGCTTTACGACTTACTGCCATGGCTACACCATCGGTCGGCCGTCCCTCGGACTGGTCTTCTGGTGGACTGCGCTAGAGGTTGACTTGTTTCTTTTTGCATTGCTCGATAATGATATGGCGTTGACATGGCTTGGCGTACCCGATACCACATTTTCCTTTTTTGTTGCTCTCTCGTTTCTACAGTCATGGGTGGATCTCACGGTTGTTTATTTTTTTTTTCTTTGTCGTTTCTCTCTTGTCGTTGACTACGTTCACCATTGGCGCAGTGCCGTCTTTTCATTTCACTTAACATATTATCTCTCGGAGTGTACATTAACGATGTTGCTTTTTCATTACCACAAACCAAGTTTTGTTGAGTATGCACTTTATACTTGTGTAGGAAGCTATGACTGATAGCCCTATCTCGGGCCAATTTACCCGATCCAATAACTGTTCAAGCTGCTTTGTCAGAACATGGATGACGCCATTTCATCATAGCGTTCCTCAAGCTGGACTTTATTATTTGAACCATAACCCTTGCTTAACCGGAGATTTCTAGTTTTGTTTTTATTCTAGAAGAAACCACAGTGATCGCGCCATCCGAAAAAATCTTCCTTAGCTCGACCCATCTTGAGCACGTCAACTTCGTTCCCCACTCCCGGCACTTTTACCGTCCCCACAAGAGTTTCTGCAGATGACTTTCGCACCGATCGCCTCAACACTCTTCTCACGACTCGTCCGCCCATTCTCAATTAGCGCTCCAATTCTATCTCTGACACCGGAACAACAGTCGCGCAAAATGTCTACCGAACAAGCCACCGTCGCAGCTGGCTGCTTCTGGGGTGTCGAGCACCTGTACCGCAAGACTTTTGGCAACGGCAAGGGTTTGCTGGATGCGCAAGTCGGATACTCCGGCGGACAGACCTCTGATCCCTCATACCGTGCTGTGTGCACCGGTTCCACAGGCCGTAAGTCGTTTTCTCTTTAAGCCTAAGCTCCACGCCCTTACGACAAACTCTCACAAAATTTGGCTGAGTCGCGCGCGCGAGCGCGGGGAATAAATTTTGCATGGTATACTAATTTTTTCCTTAGATGCCGAAGCCCTTAAGATCACCTATGACCCTTCCATCGTCTCCTACCGCCAGCTCCTTGAATTCTTCTACCGCATGCACGACGCCTCAACCTTGAACCGCCAGGGCGGAGATATCGGCACACAGTACCGCAGCGTTATTTTCACACATGGTCCCGAACAGCAGAAGATTGCTGAGGAGATCACTAAGAAGGTTAGCGATCAGTGGTATAAAATGCCTGTCTCGACTGAGGTCGTGCCTGCGGGTCAGTGGTGGAGTGCAGAGGAGTACCACCAGTTGTACTTGAACAAGAACCCGGCCGGCTATGAGTGCCCTGCACAGTATGTCTTCTGGAAACCTGCATCTGGGCTTCTTCGATTACTGACTTGACCTTTCTGCTAGCTTCGTGCGCGATTTCCCTCCTCTTTCGGATTGACTTTGTTCTTCAAAGATATAAGGATACGAGATTTCTGGAGACAAAAATATTTTGGCGTTTATGACATGAATTTATTAATTTTGCCCATGGACAGGGTATGAGTTTTATCTGGTGCAGCGAATACCTGGCTCAACCTCGGTCGAAGCTTTTGCTTCTTTTTTATTCCTATACTGACAAGCTTCCGCAAATGCTTTTGAGTTCAACCTTGGAAGTGCTATTTCAAAATTATATTCTTAACTACATATAACTTGAGATCAGGTTGGGGACATACTATACTTCGTGAAAATCCAAGCTCATAAAAAAATTTCTTTGTTTTGATGCCATTTTTAATTAAATAGACCTTGCGAAAGCGGGTCTAATACATTTTAGGTTCAGAGTGTATATACTAGCTTTGAGAGACCCAATACCAGAAAGGTCCCGGAACTAATAAGTCTCTCGACGAAGTATCCGATCCTAAGGTTATTTTCTACTCTCTTCTCCTCTTTATTGCCTTGAGCAGATATACGTGATCTTGTTCATTGCTCTCTTACTAGTATAGTCCCGCCGCTTTCGCTAAGGCCTTGAAGCTAATTGCAAAATTATCCCATCAATGCGATTCATACCACAGATGAATAGCCTCTCTGGGATGGAATAAGGGAGACATCTGACAATTTTCCGTTACTGCGCTCTCTACTATTTGAGAAAAGTCTTCCCTGACAGAGACTTTGTAGATGAAGGCCAGATTGTGGTGGAATTCAATTGACTGAATTGGCGGACGAAGGAGATGAAGACCGAAGACATCACATCACTACTATTTCCATAAAATTATCCAGCTACATGACCCGTAGTCCAACTCTCATCTGCCCGCGACCTCCACGGTTCGCGCGCAAATAATAAGGAATGAAGCACAAATCATGACTTTCCCCAGTGACCTTGTTTTGAGGTTCGGCCACGATCCGTTTGTTCCAAGCCGATGTGTCTAGCTCACCGGGAGCGCCATTTTCAGCGATGATAGCCACATATGAGTCAGGTTGAGACCGGGATTCTTCCCGCAAAGGTGCCGTGGTATCAAATACTGTGCTCTTGAAATGATTCTGCTCCCACGGATGATCAACATCCTCAACGCAGTATACAATCGGTCCCCTTGTGACATATGCCACAGGCTGTAGGGTCATAGGATGGGGCTGAGCAACACGCGGTTGCATGGGGCAGGAAAGTCGAAACTGTGGGTTTCGCTTAAGCCACTCTGCGGTCAGGTACAGATATCCGTTTCGAACATCCAGCTGCTCAGGACGAGGGGTGATCTTTTCATTGACACGAATTAGCTCCTGTAGCAGCGAGGGAACAACATTCAATCAGACAAGGGGGGATATTACCTCCCATGAGGTCGCCCAACCAGGGATTCTCAAACGTAACTGTAGATCCACTGGGGGCCCATCCTTGCCAGTACGCACGGCAAACTCCACGTCACCATTCCATGGCCAGTTCGTCTTTTGTTCAATCTCAACAATTGACCCAGAGACTTCAAAGCTGAGAGTAGCTGACGTATATAGGTGCACGTTCACAATAGCACTTTGCTCCGTTACATGACGAGTCCAGAGATAACCCCAAGGAAGCCCATAGTGCGGGTGACATTAGGCGGGCAACAGGCGACTTCAAACCACTCGTGGCGCTGGGAGATGTCCTGGTCTGAAGAGCCTAACTGATTGACATAAGTAAAGGCTTTTCCATCTAAGCTCATACCAGTCAAAACTGCATTGTAAAGACAGAGCTCCATCATATCCGCGTAATCGCTGTTCAAATCAATCTGACTCACATTTAGCACGCAACCAAAGTGTATAGAGGGCATAAGTAGGACATACCTGGAGCAGTCGCTCAGCGAGCATCATTACCCCAATGGCAGCACAAGTCTCAGCGTAACATCCGCCTTCGTCGGTACTTTGGGGTAAGAAGTAATCAATTCCAAAGCCTTCCCACTTCTTCATAGATCCAATACCACCTGTGGCATAAGACTTTTTCTCCACCATATTAGACCATAATCGGTGGACCACAGGTAGGAACTTCATTCCAAATTCACTATCAGGCTTGGAAATGTGTACTAGATCTGTGACTGCCGTGAGAAGATACATGGCACGAACAGAATGACCTTCAATTGTCTGTTGGTCGACGATCGGTTCGTGAGCTTGTTGATACCTTTTTGAATATTAGCATGACCTAACCTCGTAAAGTCCACTCGCCGACTTGAATCATATTCGTACCAATAGCTTCTTGCGGCAGGAAAGTATGCGGGTAGCATATGTTCATTTTCACCACGAGCTTCTGCTTCCACATCATAATAATGCCTTTTATCCTTCCCTCCTTGGGGGTTTCCTCTCTCTTCGATAAAGAATTGGGCTAATTTTAGATGCTTTGGCTCTCCTGTAACCTTATATAGGCGTAAAAGAGCTAGTTCTATCTCTGGATGACCAGGATAGCCAGGGATTTGACCATCCTGAGCACCGAAAGTAGCAACTAGAAGATCCACATATTTGAGAATAGGTGACAGCAGTTCCTCATTCTTATAATAGTGGTGGTGAGCTAGGGCACCTTCAATAAGGTGGCCTGCATTATAGCTTTTAGCAAATAATGTTCGTTAGTTCGGCTTATATCACAAGGGGTGAGTATTCTGGAAGTACGTACAGTTCGTGCATATCTCTCAAATTGGTAAAGCGCTTTTCCGGCTCGACAACCGTGTAGTGAATATTGAGGTAGCCATCTGGTTGCTGTGCCTCCCGGATCATCTGCACTAACTCCTTGACGGCTGCATCAATTTCGGGATCGAAATGATCCATAAGCAAATTACAAGCACCTTCAATCCACTTGGCGACATCTGAATCCCAAAACTGATGATTTGGTACAGGGTATGACGTGGGTGGCTCCGAATAGCAGGGGTGCCACTTCAGTTTGAACGCATCATAGCGACCAGTTCGCTTGAGCATCTGAAGTTGATGCTGTAGCGTTTGAGCTCGAACGACTTCACGACGAGAGTCCCAGAACGAACCTGGCGCAAACTTCGTCGCAGCAAAACTCTCCTGAGGGTAGTCCATGATGTTCCGATTTGTTTTCGATTGAAATAAAGATAGTCTTCTCGAAACTAGGTTGTGTTCCGAGCTTCTCTTATACATGCATAAATTAGGGCGCCACCGGCAATGCACAATCGGAAATGAAGTGACCCCACAGTTACCGTGAAACCTCCAAAACTGTCCGTTTGTGATGCTCCTTGGGGCTAAACTCCGGCGGGGGGCCGGAAGCCGACAGCCGACATTGAAAGCCATGAAGCTTATCTTTCCTGCAATTTTGATACATACCTCACTGGCTCTATGATTGGTTGTTGACTGACATCAGTGGCGGCAGGGAGTGTAAGCTAATCGCGTTCATTCATCTCAATGTTCACTTCTTCTTTCTGTTGATCCATGATGAATTGCACCTCAATTGAACCCTACAGCAATGTGTAGTTCATAACTCTGTTATATATTCTTTTGTTGAAGTAGGACTGTTCCAAAAAGTTCCGTGCCATGGTTGTCGACTTCATAGCATCGTTTCTCCTTACTAAGGCTCTCCTTCCACTTTGCCCTCCGAAACTCCCCACTCCTGTCCCCACAAAATCAAAGCAGTAAATATGATATCGCGGAGACCCCGCATATAGCCCAGACGATCATTACCTCGGGATTTTGTTTCCCGAAGCACCCCGGTGCCAAGTTCATATTTGCACAATGTATCATATATCTACCGATAAATAAGGAAGATCACAAACACTAGAGAGCTACATTTCACAACAATTCGTGTCGAAATGGGTCTTGTGAATACATTCCTTCCGAAGGAAGACCGGTAGGCTCCATTCCGACACCCTCGCATCTACTTCAAAAGATGCTCGACTAATGTGAAAATTAGATTTGCGGCCTTGTTGCTGTATGGAATGGTCTTTTGTACTTGTTTCAATGGATATGATGCTGGCATCATGACCGTGATCTTGGCCGATGACCAATTCATTAGCTACTATGGAATCAATGACGCCAAGTCCGGTCTGGTAGCGGTGATCCCCTGGGTTATGACAGGTAAGTTGTGGTACTTGGCATGCGCCAGACGTGATTTGTAATGACAATCGTCGATGGGTAGCGGTGGCCCAGATATTCTTCGGAGGCATACTCGCCAGCTGGCGAGGACGTCTGTGGGCATTGCGGATTGCAATCTGCATTGTGATTATTGGAGTGTATGAGACCATTCCCACAAGTCATTTGATATGTTGACTGACACCGATATAGGGTAGTCGAAGTCGTTCCGAATAACTTTGGTGTCTTGATCCTGGGCAGACTTATAACGTGAGATCTACATCAAATGAACGTTTCCTTCAGGTATTAACACATCTATAGTGGTTTAGGCACTGGCTGCTTATCTATCGCTAGTAACCTCTATGTCGCCGAGTGTGCGCCCACCAAGCTTCGAGGCAGTTTTGTCGGAACCGTTTCACAATTTGGTTATCAGCTAGGCACACTTATTGCCTTTTGGTCTGGCTACGGAATGTCTTTCCATAAGTCCCCATACAACATTGCATGGCGTGTATCAAACATCGTCCAGATACCGATTGGTATGGCCTTTATCGTCGTCTCGTTCTGGTATCCTGAGAGTCCTCGATATCTACTTGAAAAGTACCCCGACACACCTGAGCGGGCTCTTGAGGTATTCTGCAAGCTAAGATCAGGATCGATCACCGACGAGCGCATTTCTACAGAGTTCCATGAATTGGTTGCCTCGTACGAATACCGCCGTCAATGCGAGCCAGGATATATTGGCCTTCTAAAAGATAAGACAATGCGCAAGCGTCTTGTTTTTGGGTTTTATGCTGCAGGACTTCAGCAGGTATGTTTTTACTCTTCCTCCTATGTTGAAGTATATGAAAGACTAATATAGATATAGTGTGGTGGCATTGCAGCGCTTACTATGTACGCCACGACAATCTACAAAAGTCTCGGGTGGGACTCTGGCTCACAAGCGCTAGCCATCAATGGCATACAGTCTTGCCTCCAGTTGCTTATTGTGTTGGTTAACACTTTTACCGTGGAGCGGTTCGGTAGACGAGGTCTACTATTGGCTGGTTTTTTAATTCAGTCACTATCGCTCTTAGTCATGAGTAGTCTTTGTACTGCTTTCCCTTCAAATGGAAACAGATCTGCTGCGATTGCGGAGGTTGCCATGCTCTTCATTGTCGGCTTGACATATTGCTGGTCCAATGGTCCCATCGCATCTACGGTCGTCTCGGAAATTTTCCCCCAACATGTTCGAGATAAGGTGAGTGATTTGAGTGGAGATACACTTGTCCTCATCGTGCGATAGCGACACTAGGAAAACTTACTCATCGTTTATCATGCTAGGCCTATGGACTTTCGATGCTTGGCCAAACGTGCTGGCTCATCGTGCTAACAGAATCATGGCCTTCCTTCAATGGCACTGTTGGGGGTAAAAGCTATTGGCTTTTGTTTGGCCTCAACGCGGCGGCGGGTGTAAGTTGAACCTGATTGTCTAACATAAGGATATGGCTGATTATTCCCAGATTTCGGTCTACTTTGTTCTCCCCGAGACCAAAGGTGTCTCTCTGGAGCGGATGGAAAACATCTTCGGGGGCACGGACTATGTCGAGGCTGGCGAAGCTCAAGCCTCTCTGAAGCTCGAGGACCGGGCATATATAAACGGAGATCAAAAGACGCTCACTAATCACGTCGAAAACACTCCCACTGACCCATCACCGCAAAGAGTCTAGGGCTTGACATACAGGGGCTTTTACTTGAAAAACCTTATGCAACCGTGAAGTCTGTCAAGCCACTGACTTCTAAGCTCACTATGGTGCCTTCTGCAATAAAGACATGCATATCCTATCCAGAAGACCCGGTGCAGTCTAAAAGGCTGCAATTCGCTTTGGTAATGTCGACCAATTAAGAGCCTGGGAAGAATGGAGATGAAGCAGACTGACCCTTAGAGGTGGGAAAATTCTAGTAGGCTTAATTCACTGGAAGATATTCCGGCATTTTCCATGTGGTGCGTCAATATTATAGTTGCATAGAGCCGGCATTCAAGTATGCATTAAAGTGGTCATAAAAACTCATCTCCAGCCCTGGAGGATCAATGTAAGCCGGTGCCCTTTCCAGAAGTAGCCTGACAACACTATCATGTCCGTTCTCAACAGCCCAGGATAAGGGTGTCATGCCTATCCTATCTCCAAGATCCAAGTCAGCGCCCTTTTCCAGAAGCAATTTAACAACACTCTCATGTCCGCTCCCTGCAGCCCGAGATAACGGCGATCTACCCAATTCATCTTTTAAATCAAAGTAGGCGCCCTTTTGCAGAAGCAACTTAACAACACTCTCGTGTCCGCTCTCTGCAGCCATAGATAACGGCGTTTTACCCCGTTTATCTCTCAAATCAAATTCGGCGCCCTTTTCCAGAAGCAATTCAACAACACTACCATGTCCGCGCTGTGCTGCCCAGGTCAACGATGTTTTGCCCTCTCCATCGCCCAAATCAAAGTTGGCGCCCTTTTGCAGAAGCAGCTTAACAATACTCTCATGTCCGCTCCGTCCAGCCCATGAGAGCGGTGTTTTGCCCTCTCCATCGCCCAAATCAAAGTTGGCGCCCTTTTGCAGAAGCAACTCAACAACACTCTCGTGTCCGCTCTGTGCAGCCAGAGATAACGGCGTTTTACCCCAATCATCTTTCAAATCCAAGTCAGCGCCCTTTTCCAGAAGCATCTCAACCACACTCTCATGTCCGCTCTTTGCAGCCAGAGATAACGGCGTTCTACCCCAATCATCTTTCAAATCCAAGTCAGCGCCCTTTTCCAGAAGCATCTTAACCACACACTCATGTTCATTGTGCGCAGCCCAGAATAGCGGCGTTTTGTCTTCTTTATCTCTAGAATCAATGTCGGCGCCCTTTTCTAGAAGCATCTCAACCACACTCTCATGTCCATTGTGCGCAGCCCACAATAGCGGCGTTTTGTCTTTTTTATCTCTAGAATCAAAGTCGGCGCCCTTGTCCAGGAACAGTTTGACAATAATCCCACGTCCTTTCTCTGCAGCCCAGGATAGTGGCGTGCGAGCGAAGGTATCCATGGAATTCAGAGTCGCTTTATGTTCAAGAAGGCTATTTGCTGTCTCGCTTAGCCCAAACCAGGCCGCCAAGTGCAAACCTGTAGCCATTGCTGGTCCAAGTTGACTGTAGCCTATCATATAGTCCTGTTCGAAGTAGTCCTGAATTCGTTCCTGCGAAACTGCCAGAGCCTGGACTGAAGCAGAGATCTTCAAGTCACTCTCGAAGAACGCGTGACATAGGTTTCTGGTGTCTGTCTCAGCTCCACGAGCATGGCACCCCCAATTATGTGCTGCGTATTCATAAAGTGGATATTGTTCAAGCCGCATCTCATACTTCATATCAGTCATACAGTACCCTTTCTCGAATATGTCGAATGAGAGGTAAGTGACGCAGACAGTGGTCAAACGAAGATCTGCATCAGGGAACCAAGCGAATTGCTTTCTTTCAAGGTATTCTTGCGTCGTGTAGTGAACCAAACGAATCACCTGGTTTTCTTCATCGACCGCAACCAGTCCGGCGCAAACCGAGACTATGAATCTATAGCTGGTAATGTTTTCTTGATCAAGAAAGCTTTGGCCTTCTTCCACTGCTAGCGCCTCCTGAAGTTCTCGAATACTAAGTCGTCTCTTGGCACAAGTGATCCACATCAAAACGTTCATAGCAAGCTTTGACGCCTCAGGATCCTGCCCTTCGATTCGGCGTTTAGCATCCTCATACGCCTGGGCATATGCGTCAGGTCCCCTAGAAAGACTTTGCAGTGTTTCTTTAACTTTCTTGAGTGTCATCTTGGTCTTAATGGAGTCGAAGAGAAGCTGTGCCAACAGAAACCTGCGCTGATAATTAGCTCATACCCTTTTAATAAAGGGAGTTGAGACGGATCGACAGACATTCCATCCGCAACTTCTGCAATTATCTTCTTGATCTCTTCCTTGTATGATTGCAGGAGTTCTGATTCAGCTTGTAAGATGCGCCCTTCCAAATACTTGTGCAGATCGCTTTCATGGGCGCGAATACTCAAATGTTCTCCGATAAACATTTCCGTAATATCTGGTATTGGCCTTGCAGTGGCAAAAAGTTTCACAGCGCACTTCTTTTGGAGATCGAAGAGTTGAGATAAGAGCACATTTCGACAATCATCTACTGTCTGGCATTCATCAAGCGCATCAATGACCACGAAAACTGTTGTGTATCTTTTCGCTACAGTTTGTAAAGCTTTCGATAATTCGTTCATTGATGGCCGTGTGCGTCTGTCCCTGTGTTGTTCATAGAGCTTTGTCACGCTCTCTGGCACCGAACATGTTAATTGTTTGAGAATGCTCGCTAGTAGGTCTTCAGCCTTCTGTTCATCCTGCAGTCTGAAGTTACAGTAGACATAAGCTAGGCCTATACTTGGATCGCTCGAGCATTGTGCTGTGAGGTCTTCAATGACTATCGCAGTCAGAATGGTTTTACCAGCCCCGGGAATGCCTGAGCAGAATAGCGTTTGTTTTTCTGTTGTTCGCCATCTTTGGTATTCAGGTGATTGGAGGAGCCATTGGCCTGTTCCTGGTTGCCTCCGCTTAAGGAAATCACTTTGGTATGGTCCCTGATTGTTCTTAGTCAACCATTCGAGTGCTTCAATATCATCCCTCTTATTCAGCTTTGAGCTTATCGTTGCAAGACCCGCTTCAGCTCTCGACATAGTTTCATTGACTGTATAAAACATCAATACGAAGAGCAAGTATTAATAGTGGAGTTAGAGAAGGACTAACTGTCAAGAAAAAGCTCGCTTATTCTTTTCTCGTTCTCAACCCTAGTCGGGGCAAGTCGATAGAGAAGATCGCGTGCATAGGCAGCCGCTACCATAGCTGCGTACCCCTGCCACTCCTTGTTCTTATGGGAGTCGGAGTAGTCACAGATACCGCGAATGACTAGGCAAGAAAAATGGTTCATCAGTCCCGCCGCTTCCATTTCAAAGCACAAAACGCTCTCTTCTGCGGCAAGTTTATCTCGTATCAAAGCGTCTTTCATCAACTGGTTTGCGGAAGCAATCAAGCCATAGTGAATTGCCAGACTATCTTCATCATCCATCCGCTCCGGCCTCAGGACCAAATGAGCTGGATCGTCCCCGCAGATCACTGCACAGCTCGCGTCGTTTCCCAAGGGATGGAGGAATTCGCTTCGGTACAGTTTGTCGCTACATGGGTCTGGTCGTTTGTACTTCTTCCGCAATCTTGGCTTTCTCTCTAGAACACCGATGATGGCTTCTTCAAGTTTGTGTCCTTCTATCTCGTATTCACTCCGTAATCCGCTAATCACCGTACGCAGGGCTGTTGGAGGCTGGTTCAGGACTCCTGTTGGTTGGAAGGCTTGGTTTTGTATTGTTTTTCCAAAGTCGTACTGAAACACGCCACCATTCCCCTCACTGGGAGCGCTGACCACTATATCTCCCAGACGAACGTCATGCTGTGAGGATGGTGCACCACCGCCGATGCCAACCATCAGGCCGATCCTCACGTTAGGAAAGCTATGGAGCATGTCTCTTGCCACATTTGCTGCAGAAGAAGTTCCATACTCGCCATAAGGTAAGACAGCAATGACGACCTTGTGTTTTCCGATCTTTCCTACTGTATAGTCATTGTTGTCCGCAGGAGAAAGAGGTTCAGGTGCTGGGTGCTTTTCATCCAGAAAAGCTTGCGCCGCAGTGTACTCCGTGCTGATGGCGCAGATCCAGCCTATGGTATATTCCTTGGGGTCGGACATGGCTGGCTTGCGGAATGATAGAAGGAGCAAGAGGCGTAATCATTCGAATGGAATATACGCCAAGGGAATTTTTGGCCTTTCAGCCCCCAAAGGAGTGTCCCGTCCCGCGTGTCACGAACGCTTAGCGCTCTCTTTACCCCGCCCGATCTATATTGCTTTTTCTTGTCCTTTTATCCGACAAGATATATCGCCTATACACAGACAAACGAGCTAAGCTGTCAATGGGAAATAAGATAATTCTTCCTTGGTCTAGTACGACCGGGTATACATTGTATAGGATATGAGCCGCGGGATAGGATAGACCTTTTGTGTTTGATGCTACAAATAAGTATTCCATCCTTGGATCATTCTTTGAAATTTTCCGTATCAATAACTCAAATTCATCTGAAGGCAGATATTGATTCGATCATGTCTTTGGAGTCTCATCTTGCAGCGAAGCCCGTTCCGTCTCTTTTACGAGCTCATCAATATCGGTCGATGTGCCAGGCATGTGTAAGAATGAAACAACGGTCTGCCTCATCTCGTGAGGTCTAAAAGCATCGATGCTGCGAGGCCTGAGCCCTTCATCCAATGCTTCTCTTATTATCTCACTCCAGATTCCAGCGAATGTTTCTTTCCACTCATCAATGAATTCTTTCGCTTGGGCCTCCGTTTTAAACCTTTTGTGACATGAACCCTCCACCTTGTCGACTTCTTTCTCAGCACCGTATTTGCCACTTGATATTGTCAATATCAGTGAATGTGCCAGCAGGCATGATATAGGGATATTTACCGGTAAAGGGGATAGACTCCAGGATTGTCTCCATTCGCAACCGCATAGAACCCATTTCCACACACAGGGGTTGTGTCTTCATCTTCACTCTTTATAATCTCCCTTGGCTCGGTCACGCCCTTTTCTGTCATATACCTCCGGGCTGCTTGAAGGGTAGTGAAGCTTTTCGATATCGGTTTTTTATACCCTGTTATGCGGGGATGGGCATGTCCCCTGCAATTTGAGTCAGAGTAAGCTTGATCATTTCAATAGGAAAAGGGCAGAGTACCATGATGAGAATATCGTGGGCTCCTCGACACGGCCCTTGAAGATCGCGTAGTATTCTTTGTTTTTTCTACTTGGCGACATAACTCTTATTGCTCAGTATGAGACAGGATCGGAGAATAGCAAAGAGGCTGGGGTGCGTTGAGAAGAAGAACAGCAAATCCGCAGAATTCTTCTAACTGATAGTATTGTTATCCAAGTCTAGCCCAATTTAGCTTATCTGGCAGGCGGCATGTGATGGGCCGCGAGGTTCTAACTCTATGATTTGACCACGTATATGTCGTCAGAGCTAATGCACAGGATCCCTGACAGTGCATTGAATTAGGCGCCGCTTGGAATGAGGGCCATTATGATCGAAGCCGCTCTTCTGGTACTATCGCACAAGCCTAGCCGGATAAAAAACATCAATTTACTGCCTAACCAGAAGTGGAAGCTTGAGGTCAGTTGAAACACTTCTTCGAATAGTGCAGAATATATGCTGACACCAAGATGAGGCTCATTAAAGAATGATGTTTGAATATGACGTGCAAAATTGGTCAGACAAAGCATTCATCTGACACTTTTTCTTTGGCTCCGTTTTAAGAATGACAGACTGCTCCCAGTCCGTACAATTCTATTGTTGTTGAATGTCATTAGTAGGTTACTCTCAAAAATATAGGCCAGGAACTTTAACAAATCGGGCAGCATGCAAAACAGAGTGTGGTGAGAACTTGAGGATTGTGAAGACTCAATATTGATTTCGAACGCGCCTGTACTCCTAATCTTAACTCATCCTCAAAGCCGGGAGCAGCCCATGAAACTGGGGCACAACTGATCATCCTGCTGCGTATTCTCCACCATAATTCCCCATAAAGCTATATTCAACCATTGCATCGTATACGCGACAGCCTCAGACGTCCCTACCTCGGGATGGGCACGAGTTTATATAAGATACGCGAAGCTACAGTAAAGAAGCACATCTGCTTGTCTTCCGCCACAGCAGTGCTGTACTTAGAAATAGGCTTCAAGAAGCGAGGAAGGGATAAAGATGATCCAGCCATGGTAGTTGCTCCGACTGTGTCGTATGATGAAATTAGGTCCTCACGAACCAGATCTTTTCACCTCCCATTGCCCTCTCCCAGGCAATTCCCAAGGTACAAGGCTTTCCTTCAATGTCGATTCGAAATTCAGCATTGTAGACCTCGGGGCAAAAAGCACCAAAATCCTCGTTATGTGCCGAGATCATCAGGAAATGTTCCCCAGTCACATGCTGAAACGTAATATTTTCTGGCCAGGTCATATCCTTCCGGTCAGCGCGCAAAACACCTCCGCTATCCAAGTAAACGGTGACATCCTTGTATCCCGCGTGACTGTACGTGCCAGCAAATTCGTCCAATGGTAACGTGAGCGGAAGAGAAATTGGTGGGCGATAGTTGATTTTGTCCGCCACTCGTTTTTTTTCTTGCTCGACCAGTGACCAGTTTTGTCGATCCCAATCAAACCTCTGGGACTCAGGGACCCCGAGTCGCTCGTCGAGAAGATGGAACGCCAGTAACTGCGCGGCAAAATTGGAAGTTTGCGCTGTATTCGCCAGAATTATGACAGCAAATTGTAGTTCGGGGACCAGAAGGAGCTGTGCACCGAATGCATTCATGCCGCCAGTGTGCTCATAGATCTGAACCCCCTGGTAGACTGCAGTTCTCCAGCCTAGAGCATATGCCCTGGGGCCCGTAAAAGGGCGGCCTTCTGTTGGTATCAGGGTCCGTGGTTGCCACAGTTGGTGCACTGTTTCTTGACTCTGGAAGATGTTTTTCTCGACAAATGTTTGCGGGCGGAGAAAAGCACGCACCCACTTGGCGTAATCGAGGACGTTTGTGATGACCGACCCGGCACCAGAGACCTCCTCCAATGACATCCAGTCTACTTTGCGGTAGCTGTCATCATTCGAGGGGTCGCCACCATGACCGGAGTAGTAGTAGCCTTCGGCAAGGGTTGCAGAGGATGCTTGCGCATCATTCAAGGAGAAGTAAGTGCTGGTCAACCCGAGTGGCTCCCAGAAATAGCGAGCCAGACAGTCGCCCAGCCATTGACCCGTCACGGTCTCGATAATATGTGAGGCCACCACGTACATGAGGTTATTGTATTGAAACTTGGTACGGATCTTAGCTGTTAGCGGAAGGTGGGCGAGCTGACGGACGTTCTCGCGGACGCTGGTGCGATAGCTAGCGTGGTCGTGAGACGGGAGTCCTGTCCGATGCGACAGCGCATCTTCAACGGTAACCTGGTCCCCCGTGCCTTTATCTTGTAAAGCAAAATCACCAGGAATCAATTGGCTGACGGGTGTATCCCATTGGATCTTTGTTGCGGGATCCTCTGTCAGTTTGGCTAGCATTGCCGCAGTGAAGGCTTTGGTCGTGCTGCCTGCGTAGAAAAGAGTTGAGGGGGTGACTGGCGTGGAAGGCATGACTGCGAGTCCATATCCCTATGTTGGTGGTCTGCCATGTTAGCAACTGTGGGCTCTTTGATGCGTGAGACGAAAGGCTCCAAAGTCGTTCATGTAGCCTGATCATAGAGGGGTTGCGTACTTCTGCCCAGGTGTGATCGCCATCAACCACTGCGATGGCCATTCCAGGTACGTGCCATCGATCCAATGTTTGTTGGACTAAGGTTGCAAAGCTCTCTTCTTTCAGTGAGCATGGATAAACTTTCTTTGTCATGGCTTAGTACTTCTTATCACAAATATTTGCGAGAGGGCAATTCCTGGGGTTTTTTGCGCAATTGCTTAACTTCCGATCGAACTGCGGGGTATTTCTGTCCAGATAAAGAGGCTCCTCTAGCGATAAACACTTGTTCTTCACGTTCATAGTGGAAATTGCGTAATCCAACCACTGGTAACAGAAGTCACTAACGTGATCGACCCTTGCCCTGATTCATAATTTGGTACTTTACTGGCTTTTTCTTTAGTTACTTTTATCCTTTTTCACTCTCCTAAATTGGAAGCTAAGTCTGTTCAAATAAAATCTAGATAATGATGACTACATTGGGTGTTTATACAAAGGCTGTCGTGTTCACTAGCTCTAATGATTTCATCGCTGTTCTATTTTTTTAATAGTATTTACTCAATACAGATGATTCTAATAACCGTTTAGCTGCGTCACTAGCTTTTCCCAGTCCTAGTGCATATTGCACCCATTAGACGCGAGACCTATGCTTATCATTGACTATTGCGTGAATCTTGGTCAATCACAGATACGCGCCAAGAAAATTTCTTTTCCGACAGTAAGATCCACTCATTTTAGCTATAGCTCATTAAGAGTCCGATGTAGATCACGTGAGTGGCCCGTTAGCATGTCTGTTTTAGAATCCTCATGTTTATCCACCATCAAGTGCGGTATATCTTTACAATTTTCGGTTCCGATGATCCGCTTTACTCACTAGGATAAATGGAGTCTCTCGGGTCCGCAGTCTTTCGTACACATCTATCAAGATGATCTGTTTGTTCTATCAGGAGGGACGGGCCGAGGTTTCAGCAATTGATCAACGGTGTGAAATGGGGTGGAACTGTTTTTCTGCCGAGATTCCCTAAATTTGAGCCTTCTACCACGCGGCCTTGCGCCTGGTAAGGATAGATCAAAATATTGAAATAGAATCGGCCATCCTACTTCGTAAAATCCCAGTATCTTCTTTCCCTTTCTATTCTCCAAAATGGCATCACCTGAGGATCTGAAAATTCCCTGCTCTCGAAATCACGGTCTACAGATTGCCATCTCAGTCTTCTCTCCTGAAGATTGTCTCCGTCCACGGCCAGTGATCGTCATGGGTCATGGCATCGGCGCTATCAAAGCAGCCGGCCTGGCCCCATTCGCCCTGGCCTTCGCTGCCAAGGGATACTATGCAATAACTTTCGACTATTTGCACTTCGGAGAAAGCGATGGACAGCCACGCAACCTCCTATCAATATAGGGCGAGCTACAAGATTTTCGCGACGTAATTTCTTGGGCTCGACAGCAGCCTGATCGATTTGATTCCCAACGAATCGTTGCTTGGGGTTCTAGCTTTGGGGGCATGCATAGCACTGCCCTCATAGCGTCTGATCATGAGCTTGCCGGTGCAATCGGACAGTGTCCCTGCGTTGATAGCTTCGCAGCGTCAACGATGCAGCCTTTGTCGAAGTCTCTTCGTATCACTCAGATGGCATTATCTGACTGTGCACGGTCATTCTTTCGGAAGGAACCACTCTATATAAATCTGACAGGAGATGGGTCACCTGGATCGCCAGTGGCACTGATGGAAGGCTCAGAGGTGATGGAAGGGTGGCACAGGATCAGTCCATCGGGTGTCGACTTCCCGAACATCATTACTGCTCGATCTTTACTTGAGTTTCCCATGCATCGCCCAGTGTTAGATGTCAAAAAGAGTCGGAAGCCTTCTCTCATAGTGCTTCCGACATATGACAATCAGGCACCTTTGAAGGCGGCCGAGGCTGCAGTAAAAAATGCACCGTTTGGGGAGGCTTTGCGAGTTCCGGGTGGCCATTTTGACTTGTATGCTGGTGGCATTGCCTTTGATTCCAATCTTGCGGGTCAGCTCGCGTTTCTCGAGCGTATTCTTGTCTGATCTCAATCAATTATGATGGTGATGTAGTCCTTAGCAGATAAATTTTGTTTTACCGAGTATGTTTTTAGATTGGTGACGTGGTCTTAAATGTCTTGCAAAGGATTCACAATGGTACATGTGATGCCATACTGTAAGAATTAGCATAATGGAATTATAGAAAGACTGAGATCAAAGTGTCTCAATTTTTGAGAAGAATGTGATCTATATTCCCTGTTCTTTTCACTCTCGTGTAACTGTTAGACTTGAAAGTAAATCTTCTGCTTCATGATGAACAATTATATGCTAAAGAAAGGCAGAGAAACATCTAGAGACACAACAAACCTTCGTGTTCCAGACCTCAGGCCCAAATTCTGTTAGGAAATTCACTGAGATTCAAGGTTCTCCAAATATAAAAAGGATTATTTCCTGGCTATTATGCCAGGCAGATCACAATTTTCTACTGCCTCAGACCGTGCCAACAAGAACAACCACGATTCTCACTTTATTTATCCAAAGATCAATCTTTAAAGATGGATATCAACGACAACAACGAGAATGTCTCCGTCGCGTACGGTCCAGACAACAAATTACCACGTTCACTGCTTGACTCGGGTGCAACCCATCATATAAGCCCTTGTAAAGAGCTATTCACGGATCTCATCCCCCACAGGAAAGGGTTGGTAGGATTTGGAGGCCATAAACTCTATTCCATTGCCATTGGAACGATGAGGCTACCCTACACTGTCAAAGGCAAGAACCTTTTCCTTGAACTCCGTGGTGCTCTTCTCGTCGAGGGCGCCAGGAATACTCTCGTGTCTGTCTCCAAGCTCATCAAAGAATATCCGGATACGCGAGTCAGCTTCTCTTCTGATAGCTGTAGAGTCAAATTTGGAGACCGTAAAATTCGTCTCCGCTTATCAAGGGGACATTATGTGTTTGATCTGAGGACAGATCTGCCACTTGACAGTGGTACAAGTGCGGTTTAACATGACCTTCGCGAAAAGGGAGAACGGGTGCAAAAGAAGAGAGACGAGAGGACAAGGTTTGAAAGCCGGACAGTGTGAATACTGAGCTTGCAAGTGTATGAAACCTGGAAGTTGAACCTTGGAAGTAGCTACTGGTCTGGATGTTAGTCTGTGGTTTTTGACCTGCTATGCTACTGCGGCAAGAAAGGAAATGATTTCTCTGATTGGAAGTCCTGCTTTTATATATTATCGTAGCTGTATTATGCTTAAATGAAGCCATGGCAACTGTTGGCTGTATGTATAAATCAGAGCAATGAGTGTTGTGGAGATGCTGACCTAAGCGGGAAAGTGGCAAATACTGCGCTAACCCAAATAAGGGAAATGCATGACTAGCGCTGGTGCCTGAGCGGTAACACAATTCCCCCCCAGATTTTTTATGACGATCCAGCTATTGAAGCCTATGCAGCCCCCTACTGAACCCCTTACTGGATATGACACATTCCACCGTAACCAAGAGTAAACAGATAGAAAGCCACTGAGATCACCTGAAAAGCCACAACAAACATTCCTTCCAGAAGAATAGCGGTGGTTGCTGCGAGGCGTGAAATAATGTACTGTATTTATCCGGTATGGGCTGTTCCCCTGAGTTCCTCGTGCGGTCATCCGAGCTTCGAACTCTCCCGTCAGCACCACTTAAGGTTTACTTAGTACTGGATCGACAGTTGCTCGTTCCTGCAGAAATGGAACTGGAAATTCCAAGCAAGGTCTAAGCTGGTTTCTTGTTTTCTTGTTTTTTATTTTTATTTTTATTTTGTGTGTATCTATTTTCTTTTTTTTTTAAACCATTTGTGTGACCAAGACAGAGAGGATTCTGGTTTTGGTGCCGAGCCCAAGAGCGCCACTTTATTGCCAAAGGTTGGCGCCTAGCCTCGTTCCTTCGGGTCTTTGATTATGTCTTGGGGGCTTTCAGTAGGTCATGGGTATATATGGGTCCCTTAAATTTAAGCGGGGCACACTCGGCTTCACTTGCTATTCGAAAATTGAGTCGATACGGTACATGTACTGATGTCAGGTCGCACAGTCCCTGTGTCCCCATAGATGCTGTAATCCCATTGACGCTTTTCCACTTTTTCTATGGGTCGTCCCATATGTAATTCCCCCCTTATCGACACAAACGCCTGGGGCAATATCCATGTCTCACATCGGTACCAAGTCACCAAATCACAATCCCGCGGTTAATCTGCTCCAAATGAACCCTGAATGTCTACTCAGACTTGATTTTTTTTACCTTGGATCCATGGCTACATCTTCTTCTCAAAAATGAATGGGAAACCTACATCATTTAAAGCTCTCATGCCACGACTAAAAATAACCGGTAATTTACCCTGTAAGCAAATACCCAAAATACAGGGTGCGAGTCCCTTTCTCAGGGAAAAGTGGGGACATTGTCTTATCAAAGGGTCTTTTCTCCAGTTAAATCTGCCCAATTTAGTTTAGATCCACCATTAATTCCAAGGATTGTTTATGTAGTCTTGGGTTAAGGTAATATATGGGAGATGACCTCCCCGTTTTCTCTCCTCAACCCAGTCGACCTTCACGACACTCGTTCTCTAATTTCTAATTCCACAGTTCGCTCGTTTGTCTGTGGCCTTTTTTTATCTGATTTCCCTTTTTCTTGTACATTTCGTTTGATTATTTGATTCCCCCCCACTTCCGTACATAATCTGACACAATGGTCCGTTTCGTGACTGCTCTCCTGGCCCTGTCGGCAACCGCTTTGGCTACCACCACGTGCAGCTCCAGCAGCCAGTGCCCGGAAGACAAGCCCTGTTGCTCCCGTAAGTTTATCTATCACTTTCGAAATTGAACCAAACTCTGACTCCTACGCAGAATATGGCGAGTGCGGTACTGGCGCATACTGCCTCGGCGGTTGCGACATCCAGTCCTCCTACTCTATCGAGTCATGCGCTCCCATGCCGGTCTGTGAAAGCAAGAGCTACACCTGGGAAAACCTCGACAACTCCATCTTGAACACCAAGTACCTCGGAAATGCCAGCGCCGCCGATTGGACCTACAGCGGTTACCCCAAGATTGAGAACAGCTCCCTTCTCATGACCATGCCCAAGGAGTCCGTCGGAACTCTTTTCGCCAACAACCACTACATCTGGTACGGCAAGGTCTCCGGAAAGATCAAGTCCAGCCGTGGCAAGGGTGTCGTTACCGCTTTCATCCTGCTGTCCGATGTCAAGGACGAGATTGACTACGAGTGGGTTGGTGCCGACCTCACTGCTGTGCAGACCAACTACTACTGGCAGGGTGTTCTTGACTGTATGTGCCAATGAGCTTGAGACCATATCTGAATCTTCATGGAACAACACTAATTGACTTTGATTACAGGGCACAACAGCGCCAACGCCTCCGTGAGCGGCGAGGACACCTTCGATGACTGGCACACCTACGAGATCGACTGGCAGCCCGACCAGCTGCAGTGGATCATTGACGGCACCGTTATGCGCACTGTCAAGAAGTCCGATACCTACAACTCCACCTCCAAGCAATACCAGTACCCCCAGACCCCCTCCCGCCTGCAGATGTCTCTCTGGCCCGCCGGTCAGTCCAGCAACGCCGCCGGTACTATCGCCTGGGCTGGTGGTGAGATTGACTGGGACAGCGAGGATATCAAGGATACCGGTTACTACTACGCTACCATCGGTCAGATCGATGTCACTTGCTATTCTCTTCCCGACGGAACCACTACCACCGGCAACAACTCTTACGTTTACACCTCCAGCAACGCTATGGAGACCGATGTCGAGGTCACCGGTAACTCCACTGTTCTCGGCTCCCTGGGTGCTACCGGTCTGGACATGACCCTTGGTGCCGGCTCTAGCTCCGCCTCCAGCACCAGCAACAGCACCGACAGCGTCCCTACCAACTCCTCCGGTGGCTCCGGTCAACAGGGTCAGAGCACTGGAACCACCTCATCAGACGCTGACACCTCCGCCACCACCACCTCCAGCTCCTTCAGCCAGGGCACCACCAGCAACAGCGGAGCTGCCAACCAGAACGAGCGCGTTATGCGCGGCTCCTTCTTCGCCGTCCTGGTCGCGGTTGTGGCTCTTGTTGCGCTCTAAATGCATTGAATCAGGTTGGGATTTATCCAACCAGTTCATTTTTGTACCTTATTTTTCCACACTCTTCTCGAGTACATTTTTCAACCTCTTATGTCACCTTCCTTTCTCGACTTTCTCTGGACAACTTGAACAAATCCAACCTAATGAAGACTCGCTGTTTTACTGGGTTTCTGCTTTTCGATGTCATTGACATGTCCATCTTTCATGGTCTTTTATACCTCTTAGCGTTTTCATTTTTTACTACCCTACTGAGACCATTTCGTTCATTCATCCTTTCCCTTTGGTATATTCAACCTATGTTTAAATGTTTGTTTATGGCAGGCAGGATCACGTAGATCTTGCACGTTTGGAAATATGGTACCATGGAATGGATAATATGCACGCTTTATCAAAATCTGAAATTGACTTCTTTGAACTTATTCCATGCAACACCAAGCCGCACCGTGACGAATGCGGCTATGCGAGCTTTGATTTAAGCTTATAGCTGGTATCCAAGGGCGCTATATACTCCACTTGGTCTATATCTCTATATCCACGTGGAACTGGACAGAGGGAATGTACTTTTGTAAATTGGAGGCGCATAGTCACTGGAGTGGGTCAGGTATGTCGGTAACTAATTTTGCACACATACTTCTTTGATCCAACTTGCAGTCTTTCTCTATCAATCCTTTTCCTTTTCCCCGTAAGAAGCACATTTTATGAATGTACAGATTTAAGGCTGCTATAGGGTGAAGTAAAGTATAGTATCTGGCTACGAAACTCGCAGATTTTATTTTAGATGTAGTAGCCTGGGGCATTAGGAAGATACTTGGGTAAAAAATCGAGTAGGTACTCGGGCAGGTACTTGGATAGATGCTTGAGTAGGTATTCAGTTGTGAGACCCAAATACCTACCCTATTCTTATTTCCATTTCATAAAAGATATCAAAATTTGGGGGACAAAAGATTCGAAGACGTTCACTGTAAATCTATAACACCATCGAAGTGGGAAAGCTTCCTAAGTAGTGATTTGATGTATTTCTGGACCAGACTATACTAGCAATTTCATACCGCATTTCAATAAAGTTACCAGTGCATATGCCATCAAACATTGAATGACAGCATTAATCGTGAACGCATGAAAGGTCTGCTTGAAACTCTCATGCTACACCCACTAATCTACACGTGAATGAGATCATACCTTAATACCGTCACTACTGATATAGGCCCCTTCACGTCCACCTTCACGTCATCCTTTTAACCATGCCACTGACTGAAACCTTGACTATAAAAAGCTTCAAACTTTCAAATCTCTTCCTCTTCTCCTCTCTTCCAGGCAAGATTACAAAATCCTCCTTAGCAACAATCCCAAGGAGAGAGAAAGAAGGGAAACACCTTCTGATACAACATAAGGGTGTGGGTGAACTCTTCCCGCATCTGATCAACCCTCCTTATCTGTCATCCATAAATCAAATTTCAAAGGAGCAAAAAGGAGGACCCTTCTGACTGAGATTCAGGGTGTGTGTGAACGCCAATATCCAATTATCGCTGGAGATATCTGGCGTATAACTGAAAGCCGGGCTTCCTTCCTCGTATTCAATTTCACCTCACTTGAGGAGGTATACTTGAGGAGGTATCATATATCCATCAACTGATACCTTGTCGTTATCTGTCAGGTTTGTCACTAGCATCCATATATCCTTAACCTACTAACGATCACTTCAGGATCCCTCCCGCTCTTTACTCATCTTCGGGCCAAGAATCTTATCAGGAGGGCCACCGATCTCTCATTTGTCTACGCTTGCTATAAAGAAGCTCCCAACGACACGTCACTGTCGAACTCGCACTACTTCTACCAACACCATCTTGCAGTCGTCTACAAGATGTGTCGGTATAAAGGGATCTGGTACTACGAATGCCAACACATCCGCTTCAACTTGAGTATGCTATGCCAGGACCTGCTTGATCAAATGTCACGCATCGAAGACTCGATAGGCCAGGCGGGCCTCTGTGACAGCCCACAGAGTTGCCTGCCCCGAGTTTTGACGAGAGATGGGGCCATTGTGATGGAGGCACAGGAGCAGGATGGAGGAGCAACGAATATTGATCAATGGGTGACTGATCTGGCTGAACAATGTCCTTCTTGTGCCTTGTGCGGTAATGACATAAGTGAAAGTAGTAAGTCTCCATGAGATGGAAGGTAGCCAGTGAAAATGCCAGTATTGGGGGTTGCATCTATCTTTATCTTAGAATGTAGTATACATAGATATGCCGAGTCATTGTGTCATGGGCTTAGTTGTCACTCTACCCGTTTGGATATCTCACTTCGCCTTGCACCCCGATGATCTCGTTATAATTTGCTCCCCGCATCCTCATCTACGTCCCCGTCCAGCACCACCTCGACCCCGAGAACAAGACCACCTCCAAGCCTCGATTCAATACAATTGAGAGAGAAGAACAAATCAAGTATGCACCCATATCCACCTCAAACAAGATTCTCCATGCACCCACCCACCACAAACACGCCATAAACAAACCATATCAAGTTTTAACTTAGCATAGGCAAACATGTGCTTCTACGAAGGAACATATTACACCGTCTGCCACCACTACACCTTCAGACTGCATCTATTCTGCGAGATGGTGAAAAAAGAACTGGACCGCATCAATGACGAGGCTGATCGTGATAATCACGGTATCCCCTGCGACGCAGTGTTTTCTTGTCGGCCTAGAGTTACAAGGATTAGTGAGGGAAATGCATTCACTGAAGTTGCTGTGCACGCTATTGTGGGGGCTGTGGCGAGGTGGGAAACGAATATTGTTTCGTGGACGGATGTGCCTTTTTGTGAGGATTGCTGGCAGGATGTGAGGATTCCTGAGGTTGAGTGGGAGTTGGGGATGAGGCGAGGAAGTTTCTGACATGTGTGAGGATGTGTAAGGTAGTTCAGGAGTTTGTATTGCTTGAGTTGTTTCTTTCTGCGACATATTTATGGGATATGCATGGGCTTGGTTTAGGAGTTATTTTATGGGTTGAATTTAATGAATATACTTGATATCAATGGACTGATGAATGGTCATGCTCCAAGGTTATACCTTAACCTGGAGTATTGATTGCCCTCTATGCCCAATAACTCCATGTTAAAATAGGTCTTAAAATCGAAAGAAAAATAAAGCAATGCCGAAAAGAAAGGAGCTGAAGATCCATGACTAGTGGAGTCCACCACATCCGCAATCCTCTGGAGATCGCTTCTTGAAGTCGCCGTGATACGTATCAAAACCGTCAGTCTGAACATTTGAGCCTAGCGGATCTCCCATCCAGTGGAAGTCTGCTTGTGCGGAGACCTCATCTGAGGATGCGCTCCAAGAAGCTGAGGACCGGAGGCGTTTGGTGATGTCTTCGATATCGAGATCGAGGTAGTCGGCGAGGAAAGTGCCCACTTCGGTGTTCTCATGGTTACCCACCAAGGGCCAGGCACCCTTGGTGGAGGATGCGTAGATGTTGACATCAACAGCTGTGGTTCAATTAGTATGTGAATGGGAACTCAATTACGCGTGGTAGATGGGAGCTTACCAGAATGTCCATGGGTGGACCAACCAATCTGTGCACGGCGACTAATCATATCTGCGAAGACATAGTGTGAAGAAACTCCTGACGGGGGGTTGATAATAGCATCCAATTCCTGGTCAGAGGCATCGGTGATACCCAAGTCCTTCTCCAAGAGTGTTTGACGGATGTATGTTTTCTTCTCTGACTCCGTTGCCTCCTGTCCAGCTCCAGCAGTATATTCATTTAGCTTGGCTCCGGTAAACTCGGCAGAGTGACTGGCATTTGCCAGGACACCGGGGTACCATAGGTAATCCGGGTAAGACGTGTGAAGCTGTCGGGCAGCCGCTAGACCACCGGTCTCGTGGTCGGACGTACCAACAAGTACTCCGGGGGTGGAGTCCTTCTCCAAGAATTCCACAACGGCAGCGAAGGCCTTGTCGTAGGCTAGCACCTCGTGGACCTGGGCAGCGGGATCATTGCCGTGGCCGGCGTGGTCAATACGCGAACCTTCAATCATCAAGAAGAAGCCATGCTCACTGTCGCGGGTGGCCTCACTCAAAGCAGTCAATGCAGTGCGAGCCATCTCCTCTAATGATGGGTACACATCATTCTGCGTGCGGCGGTCGATTTCGTAAGGAATATCGGTATCAGCAAAGAGACCCAATAGCGGCAATTTGGCTTGGGTACCGCCATTTAGCGCATCGAATCCAGCTCTATCATTCACAAGGTTGAACCCGTTCTTGGAGGCAACCTCGGTTATATCCCGGTCGTCCTTTCGGCAGCTACCACTGGTCGTGTTGGGCAGGAAGTGACATCTTCCCCCACCCAGCATAAGATCAACGACCCGACCCAAGGGGTTCTCCCCAACTTCCTGCTCCGCAATGCTATCCTCGTATGAACGCAGATTGGCATGGGAGGCAAAGCACGCCGGCGTGGCATCCGTCAGACGCGTCGTAACAACCAGTCCGGTCTTGTATCCCGCAAGTGCAGCAGCCTCTAAAACAGTTCCACAGGGTGTATGGTCTGGTAGTACCGAGATAGCTCCATTGTAGCTCTTGAAGCCGCATGAGAACGCGGTCGCTCCCGCTGCCGAATCCGTCACCAGGCTGGAGGTGGATCGCGTCCGAGATGTCCCAATGTAGTGTTGGTCCAAAATGAGAGTGTTATCGATCGGCAGCCCCTCCGTGTGTTGTCTGAAGCTGCGGGTCATGGATAGACTAGCGGGGCCCATGCCGTCAGAGACCATGAAGATCAGATTCCGCTTGCCGGATGGCTTTCCATCGGGGCCCCATGTGTCCTTTGATGTGTGGTTCGGTTTCGAGGCTTCGTGTTGGTAGACGACTCCGAGGATGACAACGAGGATTGTGGCAATTATGGCCCAGGCAAGTAACCCGATGTCCTTCCAGAAGATCCAGCCCCGCCTTTCGGGGTGACGGCGGCGTGAACGTTCGCCGGTTAGGAGGGAGTCGTCTTCTTCGGCTTGAAAGGACTGGTCATCGGAGAAGGTGACAGGTGGAGCCAATAATGGCTCCTCTCGTGGGATAGCTGCCATAGTTCAAGAGGTAGACCAGATGAACTCGGCTAGGAAGCTCTGGTGTGAAGCTCCCTTATCTAGTAGGGTGGTTATGTGTGGGGCTAGGAGGGTCGATCTTGAGGTGTAAGCCAGCCAATCCACCTATGAGAGATGTCATCCGAAACCCGTGGTGGATGCCTCGATAACGGCTCACATGACCTACCTCCCTTTCAGGTAAGACCGGATTTACCGAGCATTTGGCAATAGAATAATTTCTCAATATGAGCGGAGGCAGTTCTTATATGTACATTGTAGCTTCTCCAAATCCCTCATGACCTTCCTTTCCATGAGATCGGGATCATCGCAGCCGCAATCTCACTCACACCGCGCTCAGTGGCCAACAGATTGAACTGTGCCGCCGCATTACGAGTGTCCTGAATATCCACACGAATACCCAGCGAATTGATCTGGCGCTTTGTTTCAGGCGCCAAGGGGTAGATCGAGGCCCCCAGACCAAGAATGAGCATATCTAAGCGAAATATTAGCTTCAAATCTCATACGTAAGATTTATTGTCATTCAAGATTCCGAAGACACGACAGATGACCAAGATGCGGAGAAGTTGTCCATCTGACCGTAGCTCAAAACCTTGACTTGCGAGACAAAACAAGGAAATTAGATAGTCACGTACCAGGTCTCGGCCACACAACACTCAACAACCCAAAAGCCTCCTCACCCAGCTCAAACTGGCCCTTGGCATTTATCATACTAGCCTTGGCCTCGCGCTCATTCGCGAACTTTCCCTCAAATTCCGTCCACGGCTTCCAAGAAAATGCCTCTCCACCCACAAGCATCATGCCCGACCCGCCAGTAATCTTCAAGCCGCTGTTGAGATGGAACCCTGAATCAAGACATGCGTCAATGGCAGTGGTAGGTGCCTCGACACCGCCCAAGACGTTCAACGCGTTGAAGTCGGTTTGAGTGCTTTCATCTGACTGCGGGCCTCGATCATGACTCGCGGGCTTGTGGGTGTGAGAACGAGGGATCATGCGTGTGGGTCGGACGGCGGTACTGGAGTTGCGGTGCGCGGATGGAACGATGGGTGTGGCGGGTGTGAGTCGGGGGAGGATGGGGCGCGAATTGCTGGAAAGGGTGGTGCGCAATGCGCGAAGTAGTTGGGGTGATGGGGTATACATTGTAGTAATGTTGATTTGTCGTTGCGTTCGTAGGATGTGGTGATGTAGGAGGGTGATGGTGAAGGGATTTTGTCGATCGGTTGAAGCTAACAAGCTTGATCCGGGGTCCCGGTCTTGGCGAACGCTTTAACACCGTAGCGCCAGGATACTACTATGTACACACAGAACTGAATACAACCTCGTAAACATTGGAATAGAAAATAGAAATGGAAGTTGAGTGTCCTTTGTATTAATATATCTGCCTTTGGTGGCCCTAGTGATTAATCTAGTTTTTATTTCCAGGTAACCCACCCATGCTCGTACTGCACTTCCGTTTCCATATGAAACAAGGACAAAAACAATGTCATACGCGTCATGATGCCCCAAACTCCAAAAATAAAGTAATGAAACCGCAGTTACCATCAACGAAAGTCCTGAAAATATCAAAACAAAACGCACAAAAACAAGGCCACTTCTCATGCTATTCCTGTCCCGGGTCAACATTACTGCACCGTTTTGTTTCCCGTTGGCCAAAAAGAATATCAAGAGAGTATGCACAGATGGAAAAATTAGACACGGGTGATGGTGAAAATGGGCATGATGAGGTATCGAGTTGCCTGTACAGATCGATCAAATGCGTGGTTGGAGAAATTATTTGGCTGGACGGGGAGTACCAGTGCCATTGCGGTCCTCGTCTGATTGACTGGAGCTATCGTCGCTGTTAGTTGTAGCATTGCGGAGACGCTCCGCCCGGTCTTGAAGAACCTGGGCCTCAGCTGCGGCCTTTTGGGCCCGGATCTGCTTTCGCCACATGCCGGCGTAACGACCCTTCATGGCAAGAAGCTCTTCGTGGGTACCGCTCTCGGCGACTTGACCATTTTGCAACACCAAAATGCGGTCTGCTGTAGTAATGGTACTGAGTCGGTGAGCAATGACGAGCATAGTGCGGCCATGAGAAAGAGTTGAAAGAGCTCCTTGGATATGCTCCTCTGTATCAGTATCAAGCGCAGCCGTGGCTTCATCCAAGAGAATGATGCGAGGGTCCTTGAGAATAGTGCGAGCGATAGCCACACGTTGCTTTTCGCCACCACTGAGACGCAGACCACGCTCTCCAACCTTAGTATTATACCCATCAGGGAATCCCATAATCTTATCATGGATGCTGGCGGCCCGGCAGGCTTCGTACACTTGTTCATCAGTAGCGTCCTGGTTGGCATATTTCAGGTTATACATCAATGTCTCATTGAAAAGCACAGTATCCTGCGGTACAACGCCAATATGCTTGCGCAGAGAGTCAATGGTGACGTCTTGCACATCATGGCCATCGATACGGAGACAGCCCTTCTCGGCATTGTAGAACCGGAAGAGAAGTCGGAAGACCGTGGACTTGCCTCCACCCGACTCTCCGACTAAAGCAGTGGTGGTACCAGGTTCACAGTGGAACGTGAGTCCATTCAGAGCCGGCTTCCGAGAGTCATAGGCGAACTCAACGTTCTGGAAGCGGATGTCGCCCTTGCACGCAGCCAACGGTACCGCACGAGGGCTATCGACCACAGTGGGCTGCTCTCGGAATAACTCCAGCATGCGCTCTGCATTTATGAGCGCAGACTGAATAGAGCGGTAGAAGGTGCCGAAAAAGTTCAAGGGACCTTGAAGTTGGGCCATGTAGGTCAACAATGACACAAACTTACTAACAGGCCGCTGGCCAGTGGAAACCTGGAACGCGCAGATGAAGCAAGTCGTCAACAAGCCCATCATGAAGACAGTGTTCTGGCAGGTGTTAAGAAGAGTGAGAGAAAAGAGAACGTGGTACTCGGCCTTTTGGAAGGTGCCGACAGCGTCACGATAACGGTCGAATTCATACTGCTCCGCATTGAAGTACTTGACTGTCTCATATGAGACCATCGAGTCGTTCCTTGAGAACTTAATGTCAGTATAGCTTTCGTGGATGCGGTGGATAAAACTTACTTGACAGCATCTTCTTGTCGTGAGGCATTAACCATCTGTCGTCGGATCTCTGCCCGCCATTGAGCCATCCGGATAGTCACGTAAAGGTATCCAAAGGTGGAAATACCCACCACAAGGGCGTAGTATACATCGAAAGCAATTAGGAAATAACCAACCGCGATCCCCAGATCAACTAACATGGGGACGACCTGGAAGGTAACCTGCTCCAAAAATGTGTTGATCGAGCTACCCTTGCTCAGTGCCGAGAGCACTTCACCAGTCTTCTTGCCCAAATGGAAGTCCAAGCTGAGACCATGCACATGCTCAAAGGCGGCAGTGGAAAGCTCCATATAAGAGTACTGGCTCACGGGAATCCAAAGACTAGAGCGCAGAGAACCCAGCAAACCTTGACCTCCCTGTAGCCATCTATACACAACATACATAAAGATCTCGAACCAAGGAACACGAAATTGACCCTCGTCTCCAGCCAGGGCCTTTGTGACTTCTCCGACCTGGTAGGGCACCAGGACATTGACGATTCGTTGGAGGACGAGTAAAATGAAACAGGCCACCACGACAATTTGGAGCCGGCGGGACTTGGAGGGCCACAAGTAAGGGAAGAAAAGCGAGTAGCCACTCAGATACTCCCACCAGCTAGTCGAGGGGATTGATGTCGGACGAACCCACTTGTCTTCTTTCGCAGGCTCGGGGTGTCCATTTCCGTTTGTTGAGCCATATGCATGGCCGTTGCCATTACCATTGGCCGCACCGTTCTCAGCACTTGACGGGTCTAACAAACCAGTCGACTCGGAGACACCTTCATTTGCGCGTCCAGATTTTTTGCCATGCCGCTTGCAGCTAATTGACTTGCTGGCGTAGAGAACGACCAGCGCGAACAGGATAAGGACCCGGATAGCATTCGAGGCGACCTCCAAAGACTCCCATGGTGTAATGCTTCGGCGAATCCGACCACCCTCGGGGTCTCCAACGATGGGCTCATGGTGGACCGAGGTGTAAATGAACATAGAAGTGCTAAGAATAACCAATTCCATCGGGATGGCGACCAACCAACAGACGAATTGAGCGAGTGTTGGGGATGGGGTGGTATCGAGTAATGTCATGAGTAAGACCGCGTAAACGAAAAAAGAGCCGACGATGTAGACCTGCTCCGATGATTAGCAAACCTTCTTTTTGGGCCGTTTGCCTTTTTTTGCTTTTGACTTTTTTTCAAGCCATCTGCGGCAAATTTGGAGCTGGGATTTCCCCCGAGAGACGTACCACCACCGATTGTCCACGCCACCAATGCTCAGACCTTGCGACCATCACATGAACGATGTAGATCGTCGCATCTGCGAGGAAAGTCAGAAGCACGGCGGCCGAGAGCCAGTTGAAGACATGCTTGGTGCTCTTTGAGAACCCCTGCGTGTCGTTGATGCCGGAGCTACGCGATCGTTGGGGAAGCTGGCGTCCGCCGGGTCCCATGCGTGGGGATTCGGCCTTTTTAGATTTCCTGGCGGTAGACACGGTGTTGGCTATGAATGCCACGATGAAGAGGACGAAGAGGAAGCACGGGTAGCATGTTCGCAGGTAATCCAGCAGCTCGAGAGCTGCGTGGGGATCCATGATGCGCTCCCCCACGAATATCCGCACAGATCAAGGAAAAGAAACGAGAGAATTTGATTCAGGCGATTTCCATGACACAGCGGTGCCCACGAGACTGGTGTAGGAGGAAGAACGGGTTCGGATCGGAAATGACTGAATGGGTATAAGGGATCGACGCGAGGAATGGATCGCGGCCGCACGCGGGGATTATGCGTGCTTGCTTTTTGGTCCACGAGGCGAGATCGGAGGAAAATCTTAACCTTTTCGTAGATGCAAGGTTTGTCGTAGATTTGGAATTTTTTTTGCTTTTCTCGTTGCGTCTTTATTTCTCTCCCTGTTTAGACCGTAAGGTTGAGAGTTTTTTAGGCTTTTTTTCTGGGGAATTAATGGGTTTTGCTGATTGCAAGCAGAAACCTTAGGCAAACCCGAGAACCCACAAGTGGCAAAAACCAGAAAATCAGTGGGGGGAAGGTGGACAGAGGTGTGAAATCAAGGCAAATTCCACAGTTACAAAGAGAAATTGATCTCTCGGAATGACGGTGAGGATGCAGCTAACGCAGACTCCACCGGAGGTTGTGGGCTCAGGTCGCTCAACTTCATCCGTTGTTATATATATCCGGGCCCGAGGAGACAATTGTTTGCATCCAGACTGAACCACAAAGTCGGAACCTTTTGCCAGGTGGATATATTTGCAAATCAGATGTGTGCCCGATGGTCCAGGTTGGAATAAATCAAAAAGTGCAGGGGTGGGACACCAGTGGAGATGCTGACGATTAACCCAGATATACTGTAGCCATGGAGAATGGAATGAGGGGGAAATTTAGGGAAATATGAGAGAAATGGGGATAAAAAAAGAGAAATAAGGGGGACATTTGGAGAACAACATGATCAAAGAATTCTTTATATCGCCGAGTACATTAGTACGTATATCTAAGTCGCGATCAGATGGGCAATCTAGAAGGTCCATGTACAACCATCGCGATTAGATCAGCCTAGATTGACGGTCTAGATTGATCCCAAGGTTGGATGCATCCAATTTAGCTTTCCTCGTCCTCAGTCCTGGCATTATATTGGGTTGGAGATGTTTTTATTGTCACTCGATGACGTTTCTATTTTCTATTTCTATTTTTCTATCTGCTCTAATAGAATGTATTGGCCATCCGGTTCCCCGAGTTCGTGAAGATTGTTGATTGTTTGTGTTTTGATTCATCTTCAAGGTGAGACAAGTCCTCGATTTTTATTTTTATTTTTAATTTTTTATTTTTAATCTTCAATTTATTTGTGATTTTATTTCAGACATTCCCTCATCTACCCAAAATCCAGAATCACCTATCATACTCATTGTTGCCATCGGAGAGTCCGGGTAGACCTGCAGTACGACGATTTTCAAATCTGATCTCTCTTCTTATGTGTTGGCCATGTCAGACCGCTCTTGACAACTGTGTGCCTCAGGATATCTCCACCAATAATGCACTATCTCAGGCCATCAACTGGTACGAAGCACGCATGTAAGAAATGTGACTCGGGGTTAAGCTAAAACCTTTGCGATCCTTTTACGTATAGCGTGAACGGGTCATTTATCTGGGACAAGGTTCCCCCACTTTTCCCCCTTCACCGCTTTGCACCACCTCAAATCACACCTCCGAAACCATCGTGAATACTTTAAACCCCCCGATAAACTTCGTTTTGGTCAACTGGTCGTGTGCCCTCGCCCCAGCAATGGACGTGTGATAGAAATCATGTCCGACCTGTCAGGGTCACGCTACCCCGTGCCCCCTCCTCCGCCACCTCCACAAAAGTACTCGCGTGCTGCCAACGCGCTTGCCCGATTCGCGCCGTTCTTCTCCGGGTCGAGGCCCCCCAGTCCGCAGAATAACCGGGTCGATGGTCCCCGGCCGATCAGGTCCAAATCACTGTACGTTGCCAATCGTCTACACCGCTGCTTATTATGCTTTTGATTTGCTTGGAAGTTGGGCGCATTCTCGCTACTTGATACCTTTGCTGCCTCCCCCTACATACCTACTGCATCCCCGATTCCTCGTGCAAATGTCAAGATCTCAAGATCGAACCAATCCTGATCCCACGATATAATAGTCCAGGTGAACCGCAGACGGTCACACACCGTACCGGTATCCCGATTGTCGCTCTCGACATCTCCCCCCAACAGACCCATGCCGTGATCGGGGGTAAAGATATCCTCAAAACCATCCGAGTCTCGCCTGACCACTCATCGGAGGAATTTAATATTCGCAATGCAGTGGTGAGCTATGCATCTACCCACCATGATGCGGGTGTGTCAATGCCACATAAGGACCAGTTGAATGTAAAGGATGTAAAGTGGTCACATGGCAATTACGACCGGACAATCGCCACGGCTGTAGCCAATGGTCGGATTGTCGTTTACGATCTGCAGCGGCCCGGTCTCCAATTATGTCGCTTCCAGGGACACAACCGGCAGGTCCACAGGCTTGCATTTAATCCTCACCTCGCCTCTTGGCTGCTGTCCGGCAGCCAAGATGGGACCATCCGCATGTGGGATCTGCGATCGGCCTCTACGAATCGCAGCCTTTCCACGTGCGGCAGCAAGCATGTGTACCAGGGCAATAGCGACGCGATCCGGGACGTTCGGTGGTCCCCCAGCGATGGCGTCGTGTTTGCGACCGCCTCGGACAGCGGCGCCATTCAGATGTGGGACACGCGAAAGACCAACGCCCCGCTGATGCGCATTGCGGCTCATGATCGTCCGTGTTTCGCTGTCGACTGGCACCCGGACGGGAAGCACATCGTCAGCGGAGGCACAGATCGGCAGGTCAAGGTCTGGGATTTCTCCTCGTCTGCAGAGCGACGGCAGAAACCTACGTTTCAGTTCCGAACCCCCCAGCCCGTAACTAATGTTCGCTGGCGCCCTCCGTCGTGGGTCGGTGATTCCCCTGGGTCGGGTGAATGGCAGTCCTCTCAAGTCGTCACCGCTTATGACAAAGAAGACCCACGTATTCATCTTTGGGACCTTCACCGGCCTCATGTGCCGTTCCGAGAATTTGACCGATATGACTCGCCTGCAAGTGACCTGCTTTGGCACTCGAAGGACCTATTATGGACTGTCGGTGAGGTCGGGGCATTTACTCAGACCGATCTTCGTTATGCACCCACGGTGAGCACTCGGCGGCCGACATGTTCGGTCGCCTGGAGCCCCAATGGCGCGTTCGTTGCATTTGGCTCAAAGCGTCCTCGGCGTCGAGCTCACGGAACCAATGCTCCCCAATTTCTCCAGGTTGAGGAGGATGCAGCTAGCAACGGAGAGCGATCATTGAGCCAGAGTCCGGCCGATGACATGCTCGATGAAGAGGTTCTAGCTTCCTCACTTCGGCACCGACAGACCAAAGCCACCGTCACTCGCCCTTCAAAATCTCTGGGTAGCACACCACCAGGGGCTGTGGACAGTGTCCCTATCCTGCCCCTGGACCTAGCTTTGGCCAAGAATACCACACCAGGCCCCGATCAGCTGGGGGCAATTGGACACATCCCTGGTGCCACAAATGAAGAATCCCTATTCCGATATTTGGCACGCCACTATTCACCTCTGATGATCGACTATGATCGCCAGCAAAGCCACGTCGATATGCTCAATTCCTTGATGGACTCACTCGACCAGAATGCCGAGAGCGCAGATGATGTGTCCCTGACCAAGTTAGCTCAGACTTGGCGCATCGTGAAGTTTGCCATCACCCAGGAGCTTCAGCGCAGGTCGCGGGAGCAGCCATCAGGCAAAAGTGGAGTAAGGGGGAAGTCCTCTAAGGACGGCCTTTTGGGCGACAAGTCGCGAACAGTCGACGAGAACCGTCAGGGGAAGGTAAAAAGTCGGTTGTTCAAGGGAGTCATGGAGACGGAAGGTCCGAAAAGCCATGGGACAGAGGCAGAGAGCACATCGAACATGACTACGCCTCTCGCACGGCCTTTGCCCGACTCCCCACAAATGGAATCGTGGAGTAGCGATTCCCAAATCCCCTCGTTGGATGAGAACGCCGTTGATATTGACCCTCTACCGCCGTCAGTGTTGAGTTCGCATAACGGCTGGAGCATACCAGACCATGATAATCGTCTCACCGCTCCTTCGCCGTTGCCGGAAGGCCAGTCGCTATCGAGTGAAGATGTATATTCCTCGACAGGTGTCGTATTTGATCGTCTACGTGACCCAGCATTGGATCCGGAGAGCGAGCAGCGATCTGCACCCAGGGCAATTGCTGGGAGAGTAGACTGGCGTACTCGCAATCATCCAGACTATCCTCGCGGAGCATCTGAGGACGATTATGACCAACAAATGGAGGACAAGCGGGCCGCCATTCGGGATTACAAGCAGTTTCCCAAGACAGTACTAACGCTGGATCCAATGGAGTCGAATCGCCCTCCTGCACCCGAGGGGTACCATCGCCATGACTCGTCAGAGAGTTTCCCCATGTTTTCCGCATCAGATAGTTCACATCCTTCAAAGTCCATGGGGGCCTCATACTCATCCAATAATCGATTTCCAGAGCGGCGACCGTCCGATTCTGGCCAAGCTGGATCATATGGGGGCAGGTCTGCTGTGTCGGCCAGAAGGGGGTCTAATCTGGAGCCGCCACCAGAAGAGCTGGATGAAGATCTTGAGTTTGATGAGTCCGCCATAGAGGCAGATCGGATCCATCTTCAACGGCCCTCTACTCCTCCTGTCTTATCGACCGAATCCACCCCACTTGAACGCCCAGAATCGATAGACGAATTCCTGTCTCCAAACCAGACGGTGTCTGTCGATATCTCCGCTTATCCAACGATGGCAGGAATCTATGAAGATCTCTCTCAGGTCAAAATTCCTCTACCTGCGGATTCAGCCGAACCAAAGCCGTGGAGCATTGAATCCATTCTCAAGGAGGCGGTTCGATACTACCACAGCAACAACAGCTCTGTCGATATCCAGACTGCAGCACATCTACTCCAGAAACTCCACGTCCTCTTCCAGGATTGTGAACAGATCCTTCCTTATGAGGAGAGTGAAATGATCTTCAAGACCTACAACGAATACCTCATTCGGCATTCCATGGACTTGGAGGCTGCCGAGCTCCGTCTATCCTGCGTGCCAACCTACCCTGCTGTCTACGATTATGCCCAGGCTGACACCTACATCAATGTATTCTGCTACACTTGCCAAAAACCCTACGAAAACCCCAAGCGTGACAACACCCGTTGCTACCGCTGCAGTACTCCACAGGCACCGTGCTCAATCTGCATGAGCATCGACCCGCCTGCTGAATGGGTCGCTGCACAACGAGACCAGCAACCAACCTCGTTTGGTACCGCAAGCCCTAATCCAGAATCCGAGACTATCTCACACTCATCAATCCGAACAGAGGTGGCCCCAAGTTCCGAGATAGACCAATTTGATCACTTCGCTGCACCCCGACCTAAAGGCTCTTCCCTCTGGACCTGGTGCCAAGGCTGTGGTCATGGTGGCCACGTTGCCTGTATCACAACCTGGCTGAACGACGTTTCCATAAGCGAAGGTGGCTGCGCCACTCCCGGTTGCTCGCACGACTGCGGCCCAGGTCCCCGGCGCGACTCCAACCGCAATGCACTACTTACCGAATCGAAACGTCGCGACTCCACCAGCCGAAATTCTGGCGTTGGTCTTGTGAAACGTGATCCGTGGACAAAGGGCGAAAGTAAGGCCGTTGAGAAAGTCCGCGGTATGCTCGGTGCTGCCGGTGTTGTCGCTACTACAGGTGGAAACGTCTCTACTACCTCTTCTCCTGGCCCGCCTGTTGCTTCTGGGGCTGTTTCGCCTAAGAAAGTGAGGCTGGTTACACCAGGCGAACAGGGTCTGCGAAGGGGTCCTTCTAATCGTTCCAGTATTGCGCCCTCAGATTAATGATGGGTTTCTTTTTTCTTTGACCGCTACAGCCTTGGGGATCTGTTTGCGAAGATATGTACTTTATTCTTAGAATTGTGTTTAGCGAGCATCTTGTTTTTGATTCCCCCCAATGGTCATTTGATATTTACATTCAACTTTGCAAGATTATATTACCTACCACGTAGATTGAAGTAGTACGACAAGCATAGCAACTAAAATCTCCGTTTTTTCTTCGGAGCTTTACTCTTCTCCTCAAGCTGACGTTTCAACTCCTCCCGTTTCCGGGCAGTTTTCTGCTCCTCAGTCTCCTCTGCGACAGGCTCGGCACTTTCTTTTTCTCGACTAGCCGGGACCTGAGGCTTTGCTACCTTCGATACAGGGTCTGCCATTACCTCAGCGGGATTATCCAGATCTGAAGATTCATTGAGCCGTTCCTGCTTGCGCTCTGGCGCAGCAGCAGTAGCAGCAGGAGGCTGTGACGAAGCCTCAGGTGCCTTGCTTTTAGCTTTCCCGCCAATCATACCTAGTTTTCCGCCCTTAGGTTTCCGTGGTGTAGGCACGGGTGATGGTGCTGGAGGCGGAGAAGGAGAAGAAGGGGCTGGGGAAGGTTGTTTTTCTTCCTTTTTCTTGCCTCCGATCGCGCCCAAACGACCTCTAGCTTTTGTAGGTTTTTTGGGCGATTCTTTGGTTTCGGGTGCAGGTGGACTAGGTTTTGTTGGTATTGGTGTGCGTTTTTGTGGCGCTGCATCAGCCTCAGGCTCGGAGTCTGATGCTGTAGCTTCGCCCGCATGAATATCAGGGACTGTATTTGAAGGTTGAACATCATCGTTTGATTTCGACGACGAGGAAGCGGCAAGCTTTTGCCTTTGAGCTTTAATGCGGGGAGGGGTCTCTTGTCGTTGAAAATCGTCGTCATCACTGGCGGTTGAATTGCCATCTTGGTCTAGATCTAGGTCCCGGTCCTGCTGAGAGGCCTTGGCCAGTTCATCCATTTGAGATGTGGAATCTTCAGGTGTCGTAACGTTCTTATCAGATTGAGATGCGGCCGTCTCAGACCTTTTTGGTAGGTCGTCCCACCACTTGTCCTGTGGTGCACGAATCTTTTCAACATCGGCCCTTGAAACCCCAAGCTCGTGTAGGATATTTGCAGCCAATCCTGAGCTTTCAGATGAAGACCCTGACTCACGGAGCCATGCCGATTCATCAAACGGCGCGAGGCCTTTGACGAATTTTCCCGCGTCGGACCTTGTGCTACCCTTTTTTGTAGTGCGCAACCCAGCAGCACCAGGGAAAACAGTCCCCAGCTCCACTCCCAGAGACTCAAACTTGTCGAGCAACTTCCCAAGAGCCCAGTCCTTCTGCTTCAGCTGGTCCAGAAGTACTCGCTGTCGGGATTCCCAGCCCGCTTCATCTTTTAACAGCGGAAGAAGTAAGTGGTCAGTTAAAGACGACGAGGCCCCTTTCGATAGATAAAGCGTCCATTTTAACGGCCGCAATGGAGCGGGTAGTTTTGAGCTTGTACTGAGTTCGAGTGAGCCTTGAGATCCACTGTTAAGTGTTGCGCTGCCTCCATCGCCTCGTAGCGCTTCTCCGATCTTCACTAAGAGCACATTAAATTGCTCCTGATCTTCACTCGGATCAATAGTCGTGCTAATCTCTTCTGCGCGGTTCAGGATCTCTTTATGCGATAGCTTCTCCGTCCAGATGGAGGTGAGATCCGTGACGCAGAGCGCGTAACCTTGGCGAGTCCATGTGTACTGGAAAAGAAGCGGGGGTGAGCTTGTCTGCTGTAAACTTAATCCATGCCATGTGGTGGACATGCTTTTGTGTGTTGAGATGAATCCTTGATTCGTTGTTTTTAAGTCATGGAGTGTGTTGTGCTTTGACCGGGGAAGCTGGGCGGAGATGAGCTGAGCCGCTCCCGTCCCACGTCACGGTTTGACTTGTCAACCTCGCGACGTATGCCACGTTTTGGCTTTATTTTGTCACCTATGCTTTCATCTATGCCTTTTCACATGATAAGTACGGTATCATATATTTTAAGACAATCTCACGGAACATAGATCGGTTCGATGCGACGCTTGCCGGTCGCGATATCCCATTCTTCGTCGGTCGCGGTAACCCAGTCTTCTTGCGCCAGTCGAGATACATCCCCGCGATAACAGCAACGATTTACCGACCAATATTGATACTGAAATCAGCGGAAAACCTAAAATGTACGCGATCGGATACTGGAGACGAAAGGACGGCTCGGAAGACTTGTAAGTGGCACATGGTAACCTCCGTTTTTACACTTCCAAGCATTCTTGATCTTGCAGACCAGCCATTTGTCTTTCTGGTGGCGACGACTAAATAGCAAGTGTCGTAACACTAACAAAATAGGTCAAAGCCCGATGCCTCGTGGATGATACCCCCAGGCTCGGGTGAAATGCATGAGACGATTCGGAGAAATAGCTAAATGTTTCACTCATACAAAACGAGCTCTCGGCATTCTCGATGAGGTCAGTGTAGATGTGTACTCGTAACCTGACACGACCTTAGTCGGGCTGTTTCGTCCGTGGGTTGGTAGTACTCCCATCCATTGCTATCTGAGCACGTTAAGGGGCTTTTCAAGATGGATACTTGCTGTCTTCTCCTATTGGAATATCGGCCTTGGTCATTTTTGGGTAGTCAAGCAGCATGAGGTCAGTGGATTTTAATATGATCTTACACTGGTCAGCTATGCATTACTACCGTTGCATATTATCATGTGAAGAACCTTCTGGCGCTCAAGCCCTGGTCAAAGAGACATAGACTTGTACGACTTTAGGGCTTATAGGCTTATAGGCCTGTCGCGTGAACCTGAAAGCAATTGGTTACGAGAAAATGAAGATCAGATGGCTGTACTTCTTCAATGGTATTTGGCACAATAATCGGCTTCTCCAAGTCATGTCTCCAGGACAATCTGCTCACTCAAATTTGAGTGGATTCTTCGTATGTTCTTCCCCTGTCAGTTGTTTCCGAGTTGAAATCAGAGTAAACACAGATAAGTGCATGTACCGAAATAAAAATGCTTGCGGGTTGTTGTATTCCGTTGATATAGACTGATGACCATTGTCTCAGATCTATTGCTTGAAGTAACACTTGCGCAACGGTTATGTATCGGGATTTGATGAGGTCGATATGTAATATGCATGGGGGAAATCGGGGTGTATTTTCCGACTTTTTCCTGTCCAGTTATTCAGAAAGTTGATGATTGATTGGACAGGAAATATTACCCCCTTCTCTCTGAGGGATCTTGATAATGTTAAGCGGTCCACGTGTGGAGCCCAATATCGAATGCTTAATCTGACCACTGGAGATTCTTGCAACCTTTTATCTGGTGATATTACCCTAGGCTATAGCGCCCCCTCAGACGTACTCACATTGCTCTCGTACTTTTCGTACTTTTCCCTATGCTGACGGGGATCAGTAATGGTACGGTAACTCTTTTACTATTTTTTTCTGTTCTATCCCAATTACCATTTCCTATTTTTTATTTTTTTTTTATTTTCCATTTTTCCATTTTTCTCATTTCTCAATCTTATTTGCGGGATAACAGACGTTGTTGTCGGTTTCCGGTGACACGACGCAAAGCTGCAACATGCAGGAGGGATGTATTCCCGTTGCCTGAAAGCAGCCCACGCCAGCACATAAGGCACATGCTCCCTATCTGCTGGAATCCGTCCTTCTCCTGCATCCTCAGATCAAACACTAGGTCTGAAGGTGGGCCAGATCCGGTTTGAGGGGGGAACGCGGGTGGCAAGGGAAAAAACGGGGGCTACTATTAGCGCCATCTACAGCCGTCACCCCAGATACCCGAGTGTTTTGTGGAACTGGAATCTCAGAGTCCATAGACACCAATGATCTTCCGCGCGGCTCTATACCAATGGCGTCACGATCGACTGGATAAATAGGATTGACTTGATTATATAGGTCAACCTGTATTGGACAACCTGTATAGGTTGGACCAGGAACTCTGGACTAAGCTGAGGCGACTATCGGAACAAAAGAGAAAAGGTAATAATAAAGTGGGGGGCGAAAGTCATGGCTGGTAGCCGTCCAATGATGCACTGGCCACCATTCAACTATGCAGTCGATCGCGGACCTCCCGGAAGAAGACGGTGATAGGTGAAAGGGCTATTCTAGAAACCCCCCCCCCTCTTTGGGGATTTGTGTTTTGCCCGGGTAATGTTTTTTTCATTAGCTAGGTAATTCTATGTATTTTTAAGAAAAGAAAAATCAGAAAAATCAGAATAAATCAGAATATCCAGGAAGACTGTGGTAATCTTCCCCCAGAGTTTACAGATCCAATTTGGGTTCTTGAATGGCGGCTTGTGTTAATGCCCCGGTTACTTTTACTTGCTATGGCCCATTCATGCGACTTATCTTAGTGAGACTTTTTCTTTCCCCTCTCCCTCTCCTCGATCCGGTTTAAACTTCTCACGGTTTCGGTTGGTACAAGCTAAAGGAGCTTATTCCCTTCCCTTTAATACGCGCAATATGGATTACAATTCAATTCCATCCTACCATTTGCACTTGGCTCAAATATCAACTGGCCAGCGAGAGTCCGAGTATCTACCGGTACAAACAACCGATCTGATTTCCCAGTCAGATATCTTACCAGGCTTACCACCATCTTACAATTCCTACCCCCCGGTGAATGACTGGGCTCAATCTAGATCGGTCCTGGGATCGCGATCGGTCCCGGAATCGCAATCCATGGATTCTCACCAATATCTTGGGTATAGCAGCCCTTGGGGTGCCACTATGTCGGGTTCAGGTGGACAACAATTCAGCCTACCTGATCGGACAAGAGGTTCGCAGCCTGAAATTATGACTTATGCCTATCAATCACCATCTTCAACTCTTCCCATGGCCTCTTCGTCATTAATAAATCAATTTAGTCCTGGGGTCGTAAAGTCTGACCCTGATATTCCGCTTCAACAAGGATACCAATCAACACATATGTGGACGAATCACGAAAACTTCAACTACCATTCCATGGAGCTAGAACGTATGAAACTGGAAGATCCCGACGGAACTACCCTTTCTATGCCCATCACTCCGCCATCCCCTATTTCAATCACGTCTCATCACTCATCCCCTTACTCTTCTCACTCTTCGACCGGCATACACTCAAATCGAATCAGCATTATGGTGGACCGTTCTTCGCCAAGAGCCAGCTCTAGAGACAGCGAAGAAGATCAGCCTACTGACCCACCATCTACCGACCCACCATACTCCCAACTGATCTACCAAGCCCTCAGAGAGAGCAAGGGCCATCGACTTCAACTCCAAGACATCTACACCTGGTTCGAAAAAAACACCAATAAGGGCAAAGATGAAAGCAAAGGATGGCAAAATAGTATCCGGCATAATCTCTCCATGAACGCAGTAAGTATTTGAAAGCGCGATCTATCATCATACCAAGGTCATACCAAGGTCACCATTTCCATATAATATCTCATCAAAACTGACCAATGACTCCTGTAGGGATTTGAAGCTATCAGAACGGACGTCCCCGGCGGCAAGAAGGCCGTGAACTATTGGAGCCTAACCACCCAAGCCATCTCAAAGGGCCGGGTAGAATCCACAACACGGTACCGACGACCGAACCCCAAAAAGAGTTTAAACTCGGATAATGCCGCTCCCTTGCCAACGAGCCAACGGGGCAGTGCGAAAGCCCAAAAAAGCTGGGTAGAGTCCCGCCAAGCTAAGCGCCAAAAGCAACATCCGACTCCTCAATCGCCGTCTCAGCAACTTGGGTACGCTTTTGGTGTGGAACCAGGACCGTCTTGCCAGATACCTCCTGTATCTACTGGTTCCCAGCAGATCTACCCTTATGCCTTTGATTACGACAAAGTGATTGCCTGTACGCCTTTACAGGAAAACAGCCCGATGTTCTGCGATAGCGTGGATCCTGCGCCAAGCTGGGGACCAGGACCAGTCAGAATGGAGAACTATGAGTGGTATCCTGGCCCCAATAATGGGACTTTCGCCGGGTCCGAGGACCAAGTGACTACAGATACGCATGGACATGTCAAAGAAGAACGGTGGGGATGAAAAGGGGGAAGATAGCAGGTGGGGGTGAGGGGAAACTAGCAAGTGTCGAACTGCGCCTGAGGAGCTGACATGCACGTCTTTTTTTTTTTCTTTGTCTTTCTTTTCCTTTCTTCTTTTTTGGATTAGTATTGTTTTTTTGTTCACTTAATCGTAATCCCTTACTTTGTGGATTTTTTAGTATTATTATTTTACGTTCCTACCGAGATCTAACATGCCCTCGATTGAAATCAAGAGGCATGTCGCATTGCTGCATTACGATTGGGGAAGGAAACTGGTGCTCAAAAGGCGAAATGTCATCAGCTGATCGTGTTTTCATATTTTCTAAACCTTCAAGCTTTCTGATCTTTGCTTTCTGCTATTTCTTTTTCTTTCTTTTTCTATTTGTCTACTCCGTATCTGTTCTGAGGTTATTGGACAAGTTCGCGTGTACCATAGAGCCTCTTTTGTCCTCCTACTTTTAATTCCTCGGCCAATTTCTCATTGTGGCTTAGCTTTTGTACAGGGGAGGTTAGTTTGGTATCAATAGCTCAATAGCTCGCTGCGGACTAAGATACAGTAGTTAAGGCCGTGCGACCCCGGAGCCAAGTCTCCACCTAACAAAACGATCGTGGTGCAGTGATCAGACCCTCTTTTCCAATCGGGTCCATCCCACTCCCGTTGACGTGTATCAAAGGCTTGGTAATAAAAACGGATCGCACAACGACATGAATTTGAGTGTCTCGCCACTATGCGCTTATTAAAAAAAAAAAAAAAAATATTAGCTAATTTTCGAAAGCGTATTTGAATACGAAAACTCGGCTATCAGATTCTATTTCTTATCTAGGCAAGGATTCCCGGTCGCAGTTGACGACGGGCATAAAATTAGGCTAAATGACATCCAGCTGACAAGTTTGTGATTCATACTTGGACACGATGTACGATTGAGACAGGGGGTTTGAGATCTAAGCTAGGAAGTGCCGGGCAGAAGGTACTGGCCAGTAGCATTGTAGTGTTAAGACAAGGATTATGGGAAAAGACGGCACATAATCCTAGTTTTCAAAAGTACGACAGTGTACTCTCTTCAAGTAAGAAAGATCAGATATGCGTTTGCAGAGATTTCTATCTTTCATACACTATATATGTGACTCAAAATTGTGTACAAGTTCGAGGTTCAAAAAGAAAGGAGGGTTTGACCTGTCATGTGCAACCTTAAATCAAGAAATCAACATGACGGGCAGGTTCGCACCTGGTATCGCCTCATCGCCGCTCGGGCCATGTTAGCCTATTCATCTTTCCGCTTTTTGGCCCTTCAGTTGATCTGTGGCTGCATCAGCATGCGGGTACTTATGTAGGCGTCTCCTGCCTATTATGGAATGGCTATTTGACTAAATTTTTCGTAAATAACCGACTAGTGTGACCTACGGTGATCCATAGCGGTTATCCCAAGCAGTGTTCTGTACTGCTGCGGTTCTCCCCTCACGCGATTCTGCCGGGCGGTAGTGCTGCTGTATTGCCTCGCGACCTAGCCTCGATTTGGTGCATGAATCATACATGTCACTAAGCCATATATGTACCATATTGCCTCTACCAAGTGGGGCTTTGCTATCTCCACTGGCGCTGCTTTTACGAGGTGCTTAAAGTCGGGTTTACGTAAATTTTAGTCCGGGCTTATTCTCCGAGCCGCCCAGTATCAATCGCGCAAGTGAGACGTGAAGTTCTCGGGCTCAGAGGCATATACTAAGTACCCAAGGCTCAGCCCATACCCCAAAATCACTCCTATAATATTGAGATTGTTTTTCAGGCCCCTTCATCGCAGTATTGAATTGATTCTGTATCGACTCTGCAATCGCTGGACACTCAAGATCAGGCTGTATGGTAAATTTGAGGTTTTTCTTCCTGGCGACAGGCATAGGCCGTCTGCTGTTGGGTTTTTGATACCAGCTATATTCCTGCTAGACAAATATGTTTCAAGCCAATGGCGCTAGCGAGCGTCCTATTATATAAATGCTATGCAATTGTCCAGTAGTGTACTCGAAGGAAAGTCTCATTCATATCATGAAGTCAGAGCTTCCGGCTTCCGACGCTATGGTACGTTCTGGAGATGTGACTGTCGTGAAAGAGAGGGGGGAAGGTCTTCTAAAGAAGCCACCAGTGAGACTGCCTGCGATCCTAGCTTTAAATTCAAAGCCTAAATGTGTTTCCTGGGTTTCTCCAAGGTCTTCATCTTTTTGTTTCCCCGCAAACCCTTCATATCCACAAGTCATAGTGAACGATGGACCTTGTCGGAAATATGGTTATTATATCTACATGTATTTCATTTTGTCCCTTCTGCCTCTGCGATTACCAAATGGACTGTACTTCAAGTATGTACATAACTTTCCAGGTATGCCTTTAATTCACCGTTACTGTCGTCTCATGAACTAGCACAGAAGTGATTGTGATTTGTATTTGTCTTACGCGTTGCCAGGCCTTTGAAAATAATTCATGACCTCGGGACGCTCATGCTATTTTGACGACAAGTGGGGCAACATTGTCAAGGTGGTCCCTTGAAGGGAGAACTAGCAGGGTGCATTATATTGAGGTAGGCTTAGTGGACGGATCAGCTCGAGGATTAAACGATGCGGTCCGATTGCCAGGTCCACGGTACTTATGTAATGGTCAGCAGGCCAGACCGCTCAGGGACGTTCCCAGCTCTACTGAGCAAAAAGCGACAGGGTCCAAGCACGAAAAAGAAAACACAATGCTAAGTAAGTGGAAGGGTAAAAGATCCTGTAGATCCGCTGCTATTTTGCTTTTTTTACTTCCTCGCCTTCCAAGGTTGATTATCTGTCCACGGGTGGAGGCGTAGGTGCCTTGTACAGATGGTGTGGCGATGTTCCGAGGCCATTGGTAGATCGTCAAACATATATACATCGGATTCTCGGATAGACATCATTGCTTTGGATTGTCAAACACCCTTACGAACATATGTTCGTGGATCTATATCCACTTGCCTAGGAAGGTTGACTGCATATTCCATAGCTAATTCTTCGGATGCGCCTAGACGAGACGAGGCCAATCTCGTGGTTCTTCTATTGTACACATCCATTCTGCGGCTCAGTGGGCCTTCCCAGCGCGCATCGATGCGGGCACCCACCTGGGCACCCCATGAAGATTGTGAGTAGAGCCAAGAGAAGATCCGACTGGGTGGTATTTTGTGTACGATGACTTACAAGAAATCAGAGCAACGTGATAATTCAATTACGCCGAAATATATTCCAGGAAAGTTGAGGTCACGGCATGCACCTAGTAGTGCCTGAATGCCCAAGGCATCATTATCGGACCACGATCACCTAAGATAGCCACTCACTACTGAACACGAGGGACATAAGTACCACGCGGCAATAAAAGAACCAAAACAAAACAAAAAAAAGGTATTTGAGTTTCAGGGGCTCGGAGATCCCACGTAGGACGCATCATATTGATGGTTCCGAGTGCTGTTGAGCCATGAAAGCTAAATCTCTGCAGCTGCGGGCCGAATACAAACCTGCTGATGCGTCTGCCGAGACAGGGACCCCGGACATGACGATTCAATGAATAAGATTTTGTCAACGGATACTGCCCTAGTTAATATTAAGCACAAATATAGGGGATTCGGTAGCTTCCCCGCTGACTGCGTCCGCACTATCTGCTTCATTTAGCCTATCATAGATCCAACTCGTGGCGGTCTGACCACGAGATTTGTAGCGCTGTCAATTGACAAGGGTATGAATCGTCAAGCTGCGGTGTAATATTAGGATGTTGGGAGACGCGTGCTTGACGTGGTCAGAGGTGTTAGATTAGTGTGTTTGGCAAAGGGCTGAACCGAGTCTAGACTTGTGACGAATTTGACACCTGCAGAGCATCGGTGAAGAGGTGCGGCTCTTCAGGGTCTTTGGAATTCCCACAACGAGGTAAGTTTGAAGTGTCGATAGAATGAAGCAGAGGCAATTGCTGCGTTGGAAAGATTGCCATTCAATATTCTAGGGATCGATATTTATACCAAGGACTGGATATTCAGGACCGAGTATCCAGATACGGGCTCTACGGCGTTCACAAGCAGTGTCACATACTCACATCCGGTCTATAGTCAATGGACCCCGCAAGTAACATTGCGGGTCCATCTAAGACGGTCCAGAGGGCAGAGCGGGAGGAAGATAGAATGCACAAAGTAGAGCACGAATGCCCAAGGCAAGAAAATGGGAACGAACGCATTGTGGGAATCAACTCATGAAGGTAATAATTTGGGTTTCATTTGCGTAGCCACGGCCCAATCCTGGACTCATGAACTAGCGGTTCCTGTCCATCGTTTTAGATTCTAAGAGAACCGTTCCCAACCATTTTTTCCGTAACGTCCGCTCCTCAAAAAAGACCAACACCGACGAAAATGGACTTTGCTTAGCGCTTGGCGGCCTTCTCCTGGGACTCCTTGAGGACCTTCTTGACGATCTTCTGCTCCTCAATCAGGAAGGCACGGACAATGCGGTCCTTGACGCAACCAGCGCAACGAGAGCCACCGTAGGCACGGCTGACGTTCTTCTTGGGGCGGGAGATCTGAGCGTACTCGCGGGGGCGGAGAGCGGGGACCTAGGTTGAACCGTGTCAGTTGCTTCGATTCTTTTGAGAATAGTGGCAATGTAGCGGTTGTGGGTATTGTTGGCGGAGCGTAAAGAATTCTTTCTGAGAGGGGGTGCCTTTTCCGTCGGTCCACCCACATCCACCCGCACCGCACAACACGACGCACAATGCCACATGCCGAGAATTTAAAAAATCGATTCAGGAGTTACTCACACCGGGGAGCTTGATGCCACAGTCACCGCACTTGGGAGCAGTACCCTTCTTCTTGAGGTGAAGGTACCGGAGCTCGCCACCGGGGGTCTTGATGATGCGCACCTTGTTGGACCGCGTGTTGTACCTATCGGGGAAAAATCGTCAATAAATCGCTCTGGATCGATGTAGCCATTCCGTCTTGATCATATCCAATGTCGAATCGAACGTAGAGA